TGGGCCGGCTTGCAAATCTTCCGCACTCCGGACTTTATTTCTGTCTAGCTTACGGCGAATGAAAGTCTGAAAACTTTTGGAGTGGAGGCGCGTTTACGCCCGTGTGTGTCGTTTGACATCATCGTCCCTGTGGGAAGCAAGGGTGTATTGCCGAGGGTGCTTACTACCGCAGATCCGCTCTCGCGTTCGGGCGGGGTGACACACCCGCTTCGACAGAGCACAATGGAGCTGTGTGCTGCACAATAGAGTCTTTTGCGCCGCTCGAGGCAGGTGAGAGGATTGCTGACCAGTGTGTGTGTTGCCGTCATCCTTTCCTGCGCTTATAAGGACCCTCCTTCCACCTCTCCTTCCCCTATCCCTCGACTAACAATCTTTCGACCCTTCACACCGAAACAACACCTCACCAACGAACAAACAATGAGCAACGACAGTCACTTCGAAGGCTGGGTGGGCCACGATAAGGAGTGTCTCGGCAACATGAAGTGGGAGTCGTTCCAGCCGAAGCAGTGGCGCGAGACGGACGTGGAGATCAAGATCGAGTGCTGCGGCGTGTGTGCGAGCGATCTGCACACGGCGAGGTCTGGATGGGGGCCTACTCGGTATCCCTGTGTCGTTGGGTGAGTCTTCTTTGTTCCCCTTGTTCACGCTCCTATCGTCTTCTTCATCCGAGTACTGACCATGTTTGTGAACCTTTTGTGGGAGGCTAGACATGAGATTGTCGGCACCGTCGCTCGAGTCGGCAAGGAAGTTTCGGGCTTCAAGATTGGCGACCGTGTCGGTGTAGGCGCGCAATCCGACTCGTGCAAATCCTGCTCCGCCTGCAAGGCGGGCCAGGAGCCATGGTGTGAAAACGGCATCGTCGGCACCTACAATGGCGACTACAAAAAGACGGATGGATCCGGGTTCTCCATGGGAGGGTATGCCAAGTACTCGCGCGTTCCTGCGCACTTTGCGGTTCACATTCCCGATGGACTCCCTTCCACCGTTGCTGCACCCATGATGTGTGGTGGTGTCACGGTGTACAACCCGCTCAAGTCCAACGGTTGCGGTCAGGAGGGCTTCAAGCGCGTTGGTGTCGTCGGTATCGGTGGGTTGGGCCATTTCGCGCTGATCTTTGCTAAAGCGCTGGGAGCGGAAAAGATCACCGCCATCTCGCACACCCACTCCAAGGAGGAATTGGCTCGCAAACTTGGCGCTACCGACTTCATCGCTTCTGCCGACCAAAAACCCTACGCTGCCCACAAGAGGAGTTTGGACCTGCTGATCGTTACCAACAACAACGCCGACATGCCCATCGCCGACTACCTCACGCTGGTTCGACCGCACGGCAAGGTCGTGGCAGTGGGTATTCCAGAAGAGCCCTGCATGCCCACTCCGATTCTGCAGATGGCGTTTACAGGTGTGTTCATGGGTGGAAGCGCCATCGGTGGTCCCAAGATCATCAGGGAGATGCTCGAGTTGGCCGCCAAGCAGAACCTCAAGCCCATGATCGAGGAGCGCGATATGAAGGACGCCAACCAGGTCGTCAACGATATGGAGGAGGGTAAACCTAGGTTCCGCTACGTCATGGTCAATAAGGACTACGAGCCGGTTCAGGCTGAGGCTCGAATCTAGACCCGCTCTCTTCGCCAATCATCGCACATCTGGAATAGAAACGTTGACCTCACTGTCTTGCATGCACTCGTGTGAGATTCCGTCGAAGAAGAGTAGCGCAAGCAAAGGTGGGAATGAGTCCATTTCATCGATAGAGCAAAGCATTATTTGATGTTGCCCAACCTCTGCGTCCCGGCGTAGATCTTCGTGTCCAACGTAGTGGCCTTCTCGCCGATTCTGCCCAGCCTGGCGTTCTGACTATCGACCTCCTGGCCCATCGCTTTACCCAACTGATTCAATCTACTACTCAACATGCCAATCTCGTCCAGGTTCTGGTCCAGTTCGTCCTCCAATTCGTCGTCCGACTCGGTGGCTTCGAACTGGTACCTTCCCCTTTGCGTCACCTTGTTCTTCATTGCTGCGTCCTCCTTCTTTCCCGTTCCGAAGCGGTCCTGGCCGAAGCGGCCGAAGTTGGCCTTGCCCGTTCCTGGTCCGTTCATGCTCGCATCCAAGCGCGATTGGGCCGCAGTAACGTCACGACGCACCGCCTCGCGTTCTTCGCGCTCATCAATGTGTCGTGCAATGATCCGCGCCTCTTCCGCATCCCGCTTCGCCTTCTTGTTGAACTGCATATTGGGGCGGAAGATGGAGCGGTTCAGCGAGACGATCTCCTTGGCATTGTCCTCGGCGCGGGAAGCGTGCGCTTTGGCCAGATCCAGCGCGCGCTCCGTATTGCCGATCTTTTCGGATTGGTCGGAGAGCTTGAACATGGTGTTGGTGGCTGTCTCCTCGGCTTCGCGGGCGATACGAAGGGCGTTGCGGGTGGAAGAGAGGGATTCTTGCTTGGTGAAGCGCATCTGTTGCTTGATGGCTTCCACTTCGTCGTCCTCTTCGTCGACCTGCTGTTCTTGCTGCTCGACACCGTCGTACGCATTCGAGGCGCCGGCACCGGAGCCTCGGCCGTACTCGGCTTCGAGGTCGTCGTCGTCACCTGCTGCACCTCTCTGAGTACTTCGTGAGGCGTTGCCGGGTCTGCTGCTTCCACCCGGGTTGGCGTACTGGTCGTAGCCCGAGCCAAAGCCGCTTTTGGGTGCACGAGCGTTGGCGAAGCGGTCCTGATAGGGTGCGGGTCCGCCTGGCGCACCACCATATTGCGGCTGCCCATAGCCTGCGGATCCGCCACCGAACTGCTGCTGCGGAGGCTGCTGACCGTATCCAGCACCTCCGTAGCCGGCCTGCGAGGGTCCGCCAGGTCCACCGTAGCCGCCAGGGGCGCCGTACCTGCCAGTAGCCTTGCCTTGGGAAGGCGGAGCCGACTCGACCGGTGGAATCTTGCTGCTGTTCTTCTTGCCAAATAGACCCATCTTTTGCGTGAAATGCGAGGCGTGGAGTGAGGTTGGTCTACGAGCTTGTGGTCGATGGTAAGAGACAGAAAGAGAGGGGGAAGATTGAAGGGGTTCGGCGTAGTGGGAGTGGCTGCGTGTGCGAGTGACCTGGCGCGTGCACAGCCAGCACGCCAAGTCTCAAACTGAGCCAGCGGCGAGCGAGGCAGTGTCTAAAGGATCCAGGGCTTAACACCAAAGGAGAAATCGCCACAGCGAACGGCCTCGTCGAATGAACAGCCTTGCTCAACACCGATCTTGACGGAAGAGCTGCCGGTTTCGCGCTGTCAGCGTCGTGGCGTCCTGGTCTCACATCTACACATTGGTTCCAATCATGACACTTTTCGATCGTCTTCACACTGGCCACAAGCATACGAGTCGAGAGAGACGATTCTTTTTCCGTCAAGCATGCAGACGGTGTGTAAAGGAATAAGTACAGAGAAGAGAGCGAAACAAGTTCCAACCACGCAGAGAACAACCAACAACGGCGGATCACACCGTCGCTAACGTTCAAGGCGCTCAAGCAGACTTGGCGGCGGCAGCCATCTTGTTGAGGGCCGAGCCGTGCTTGAACCAGGTGATCTGGTTGTCGTTGAACGAGTGCTCGAGGGGGATCTCGTCCTTGGAGCCGTCCTTGTGCTTGGCGACCAGGGTGACCTTGGAGCCGGGGGCGAGCTCAGTGACACCCTCGAGGTCGACCAGGTCGTCGGGGCGCACCTTCTCGTAGTCGGCGGCGTTGGAGAACTTGAGCGGGAGCATGCCCTGCTTTTTCAAGTTGGTCTCGTGGATACGAGCGAACGAGCGCACAATCACGGCGCAACCACCGAGGAAACGGGGCTCCAGAGCGGCGTGCTCTCGCGACGATCCCTCACCGTAGTTCTCGTCACCAATGACGACCCAAGGCTTGCCCTGCTCGCGGTACTGGATAGCAGTGGCGGGCACCGGTCCCCACTCGCCGGTGAAGACGTTCTGCACCTCGTTGGCCTTGCCGTTGGCCTCGTTGATGGCACCGATCAAACAGTTGTTCGAGATGTTCTCCAGGTGACCACGGTACTTGAGCCATGGACCACCGGCCGAGATGTGGTCGGTGGTGCACTTGCCCTGCGCCTTGATGAGGACGGGGCAGTCGGTGGGGTTCTTGCCGTTCCAGGCCTTGAAGGGCTCGAGCTTCTGCAGACGGTCCGACTTGGGGTCGATGGCGACCGAAACCGACGAGCGGTCCTTGGGAGGGTCCTGGTAGGTGTTGTTGCCGGGGTCGTAGCCGCGAGGGGGGAGCTCCTTACCGCTGGGGGCAGTGAACTTGAACTCCTTGCCGTCGGCACCCTTGAGGCTGTCGGTCATGGGGTTGAACGTGAGGCGACCGGCGAAGGCCATGGCGGTCACGAGGTCGGGCGAGGCGACGAAGGCGTGAGTGGCGGGGTTGGCGTCGTTACGACCGGTGAAGTTACGGTTGTAGGAAGTGATGATTGAGTTCTTGTCACCCTTCTTGACGTCCTTTCGGTCCCATTGACCGATGCAAGGACCACAGGCGTTGGCGAGAACCATACCGCCGGCCTTCTCGAGGATCTCCATCTGACCGTCACGCTCGATGGTGGCGCGAATCTGCTCGGAACCGGGGGTGATGGTAAAGGCGGCCTTGACCTTGAGGCCGTGAGCGGCGGCCTCCTCGGCGATCGAGGCGGATCGGCTCATGTCCTCGTACGAAGAGTTGGTGCACGAGCCAATGAGCGAGACCTTGAGCTCCTCGGGCCAGTCGTTCTTCTTGACCTCGGCGGCGAACTTGGAGAGAGGGGTGGCCAGATCGGGGGTGAAGGGGCCGTTGATGTGAGGCTCGAGGTTGTCGAGGTTGATCTCGAGGTGCGAGTCGTACTCGGCGCCCGAGTCGGGGAGCAGGTTGCGGTGGAAGCCCTTGGCGAGGTCGGCAATGTCGGATCGGTTGGTGGCTCGGAGATAGTCACCCATGCGCTCGTTGTAGGGGAAGACGGAGGTGGTAGCACCGATCTCGGCGCCCATGTTGCAGATGGTGGCCATACCCGTGCACGAGAGCGACTCGACACCGGGACCCTTGTACTCGATGATGGCACCGGTACCACCCTTGACGGTAAGCTCACCAGCGACCTTGAGGATGACGTCCTTGGGAGTGGTCCAGCCGGACATCTTGCCCTTGAGCTCGACACCGATGACCTTGGGGGCCTTGAGCTCCCAGGGGATGTCGGCCATGACGTCGACGGCGTCGGCACCACCGACACCACAAGCGATCATACCGAGACCACCAGCGTTGGGGGTGTGCGAGTCGGTACCGATCATGAGGAGACCGGGAGCGGCGTAGTTCTCGAGGATGATCTGGTGAATGATACCAGAGCCGGGCTTCCAGAAACCGATGCCGTACTTGGCGGTGGCCGTGGCGAGGAAGTCGTAGACCTCCTTGTTGATCTCGATGGCACGGGCCAAGTCCTTGGCACCACCGACCTGGGCCTCGATCAAGTGATCACAGTGGACGGTGGTGGGGACGGCGACGGTGGGAAGACCAGCCGACATGAACTGGAGGAGAGCCATCTGGGCAGTGGCATCCTGGCAAGCGACACGGTCGGGGCGGAGCTTGAGGTACGAGACACCACGCTCGATCTCCTGGTCGTGGGGGTTGTCCAAGTGACCGTAGACGATCTTTTCAGCGAGGGTCAGGGGTCGGTTGAGACTGCAGGATGGGAGGAAGCAGGAGCAGAAGCAGAGTTGCGAAGGGTCAGTCGAATTGTTCGTGGTCGTGTCCAAGGATGATGTCTGTGCTGCGCATTCTTGCGCGGAGGATTGCAATCAATTCGGCGGAGCAGCTCTGCTTGAACTCCTTGGCAAAGATGGTCGCTGGCTCGAGAGGGCTGCAAGTGCGGCAACTTGTGCGCGCAGGCGTCTGCTCAGCCCGAATCGTTTGCAAGAAGGCCATTCGAGACCAGGCGCAGAAGTCTGGCCAGAGCTGCGCATTCTCGCACATCCCTTGTGCCGGCCATTGCGTGTTGCTAGGTCGTTGATCGAGATAGGCAAGGCCCCTCTTAGGAGAGCGACTAGATCCTCCGCGCTGCAAATCAAAGCAAAAGATGGTTCTGGAAACTTACCGCTGACGAACGACCTTGAGGTTGTCCTCGATGCGCTTGTAGTTGATGTAGTAGCCCTTGCCCTTCTCGACGACGGACATCTCGACCTTCTTGTCGAACAGCGAAGGGTTGATCTCGGCAGCCTCCTCGGCGACGGTGGTGGCATAGCCGCGAGCGAGGGGAGCGGGGGCCCTGAGGGCCGCCCGGAGGGACGAGGTACGGAGAGCTCGAACGGGAAGCATGGTGTGGTTGATGTAGGAGACCAGCTATCCTGCTTTCACTCGAAGGATGAAAGTAGACTAGTGGAGGGGGGGGGATGGTGATGATGGTGGAAGAAGAAGGAGTTGAAACGACGGCGAGCGAGATAGCTGCAGCTGCGATGAGAAGGGATGCCGAGGCTGACTGGCTGGCTGGGCGGATCAACGAGGGGAAAACAGGCTGGCTTGGTTTACACGCGGAAAGGGCCGATAGCGACGAGCAAGCGGCAGCAGCAGCAGCGGGGCACGAAAAGCATTTCAGTCAGTGTGTGAGCATGGAGCCAGCAGCGCGCCTTCACGCAGGCAATTGAAAAGAGACACACACGCAGAAAGAGCATCGGGAAGGCAGGCAGGCCAGAGCCAGAAATTCCCATTTTTCGCTTGCGGATGATTCATGAGAGGGAGAGTCTCTTCTGACCCGGCCAGCAACGGCAATTGCAGCCCGAGCAGACGCCTGCTTGGTGTTGGAGCAGAGCCAGGTCTCCTTGGGTCTCGAGCACGGTCCAATCAACAGGCTCGCTTTTGTGGGAAGGGTTCTCTGCTGCCTGAGCGCGCATCCTTCTTGGCTCTGGAATCGCAGACTGAAAAACCGCATCCGCTCCCTTTGACCCTCTCCAAGTGCCTGTGCAGACGCAGTAATTCCTCATAATTTCGACTGCGCTCTGCAAGCCCTTTCGCGTTCCAGTGGTCCTCTCTGCTTGACCGGTTGAACCGATCCAGTCTATGGCGGCTGAGTTTTCTTGCTATGAGTGCTACATCATCTCGAAGAACGACAGAAGTGAGCTCGAAGGGAATGATGAGAAAGAAGATGTACTCTTACAGGTCATAAGAAAAGGAGCCAGAAGGATGACTGTGAGCGAGGATCGCGAAGGTCAAGAACGATCGCCTGTCTGGAAGAACCGGTCGGCCGGCCACGCCCGTGAAAGGGTTGATGCGAAGCTCGCTACCGCTGTCTCACAACAGCAACATCGAAGCATGCTTCGACTTTTCTTGCTGCACTTGGAACATCCTCTTGATGATCAGCTCTCGCCTGCTATTGTAATAGCATAGTATCATGCACGCCATCAAAGAAGCGCGCTGAGCTAGCCTTAGAGCTTCGAGAGGCGGATCTTTCCAGGCAGCCCTCAAGGTCTACAGGGGCTCGGTCTGCTGGAAGGTCGAGGGTCCAATCAGCTGCCTCGCAATTGAAACAGCGGATTTGTTCGCTCTGCTGCCTCTTGGCCTGTTTTTGCAGGTGATTTCCGCAATGACCGCCGCTGCCAAATGCCGTGCGGCAGGCGGAAATCATCGTATCGGGTGATTACCTACCGATCTGCTGAGATCCACGTCGACGTGAGCGGATCTTCCTGCGACCTCGACATGCTGATCCTTGCTACACATCGTCATCCGAAGCGGCTGTGTACACGACGGCGGAGGCGTCTGCACATGTCGTCGGTTCAGCAGGGTTTCGACTATTGCAAGCACCACTTGCCAGTCGCACCGAAGGATTGATCTACTCTCACACAGGCGAATGATACAAAAGACCGATGAACGTTTTTGGTTGCTAGGAAAGCGGATGAAGACAACGTACGTGACATGAGCGAGGGAAAGGAAAAAAGTACAATGCTAGCTAATGACGCGTACGCAGTCAACCAGCCAGTCGTCCCAGTGCAGCATGGCATGGAAGCGACTGACAGGCCCAGTGATGGAGTCACTTAGAGTGGGCAGGAAGTCGCTCTAGAGCAGGGGTAGCGTACGTCTCGATTCGAGACTTTTGAATGCATGATGAATGAGAGCGAAACCGAGAGTGTGTGTGTGCGAGGAGAAGTTGCTTGACGTTGGGTTCCCCAGCTCGTTTAACGGAACTTGTGGAAGCCGATCTGGTCAGCGCGCTCGCGGAAGCACTGACGGCAGATGTCGAGGCCGTACTTTCGGATGATACCGCCCTGGTTAGCGCAGACACGGCTGTTGTAGAGACAATGAGTGAAAACGTAGATGGAAGGGTCAGTACGCTGTTGGCATCACCGAGGTTGCATGGAGACTGTGACAACGCAGAGTTGGCTGATCAAGACAGATTGGGCGTTGCGGTTGCTGATGCAGTTGGAGACCGGTCGAGGATGCGGGCCATGAACCGAGACAACTGAGCAAGACGATTGTGCCTGCTGGAAAAGTATGACGCTTCTGTGTCGGTTGCACATGCTGTTTCGAGTCGCGGGCAGGATGAAGAGATCCGCGGTCTCGATGTGCCTGCAATGAGGTTGCTGGGTTGAGGTCAGGACGATGCAGCCTGTACGGAACGCATGTGCCGTCATGGTCTGCGTCCGGATAAGGTGCGCTGCCAGATGTCTGAGATGCAACATGTCCTCCATGAGCCATCACAGTACGCACCCTTGCGCTGTGCGGTGCGAATCAGCAGGCCATCGTATCGGGCGAACGTCCTTCCTTTGTCGACTTGACGAGACGCGAATGTCGAAGATAATCCGCCGCAAAGATCTGGAACAGTCGTGCTGAGATTTGTGACCCGCAACATCCTCCTGGAAAGATCAGACAACGTTGATCCGTTGATTTTGGTCCTGACTTCTGCTTTCTTTCTGTCTCTGTACTTCGAGGCATCTGTGGCGGCTTCGAAGCATCGTACTCCGCTGATGTCCACTTTTCAGTGCTGCAAGTGTGATTCCCTTGGTAGATTGGTGGTGCGGTGCAATGTCGTGAATGGCGCAAGGGTGCCGCTTCGATTCTGTTGAATGCAATACTGTCCTGCTGATCTCCTGACGTTGGACAGCTTCGAGACCAGGCGGATAAATGGGATCGTCCTCCATGCCACGCTTCCATGATTGTCGATATGCTCTGCGTTGTGATCTGCCATCTGCGTTGTCGTCGTCCATGTTGCTTTGGTGTGGACACTCACCATTGACGCGAGCCCTTGCCGAACTTTCGGGGGTGGCTGTACCACAGAGTCTGGAAAGTCATCTTGTCGTAGAGGTATAGATGTGTGATATCTTGAGGGGTACGAAGAGATGGAGGAAGCTAAGCACAAGTGATGACGCCGAGCGCGGTTTCCATGCGGGCTGCTGCTGCGAAGCGCGTTCGAGATTCAGAAGCCTCTCATCTCACACTGCCTGCCAGCTGCCAACTCACTGCTCAGCCAAGCCTGCGCGCTCACTTTGTGCCTGCCGGTCAGTCTCCTTCCTGAAGGGCCTGGATGCCGTCTCGAATTTCGCAGGATCAAAGTGACTGCAGAGGAGAGTCGAATCTGAGGCTAAGGGTTAAACCTCGGCCGAGCTTTGGCCCACCAGTCACGTGTCGCAAGATTGCGCCTGCGACATTCTCGAATTTGAGCTGCAGCGGCTCCTCGAGGTTCGCGAGACTTGAGTCTGCCACAGCTGGAAATTCTGGTTCAGCAGAGTGAGTATCCTGGCAGAGCGAACAATTCGACACAGCAGCGCACTCTTCGTAGCCCAAGCAAGACTCTCAACAACGCAGGCTGGCTTACTCGAACCGCTCGCCGTCACCATCCTTCTTGGTATCATCCACCAACCATCCCTTCAAGACATCGAAAATGGCTGCTAGACCCAGTAGGTATCTCGTGCACCATGTCAACAGCAGCAGCACCCGAACACACAGCCATTCGCACCAGTCAGCACCGTCGTCGAAATGATCATAACAGTACAGCCACCAGAATCATGCACCAGCAGGCGCCACCCATCTGCGTTCATCGTCACCGACTCATCACACACATCGCAACAGCTACTTTCGCATCACACATGTTGCTCGCCCGCTTCGTTCGTGGGACGGGCAGGATCAGGAGGGAGGGACCGGTCGTCTATCAAACTGCAGAGCCTCCTGGAACTTGGAGCGGAATGGCGAGAGAAGACAAGGACAAAGGAGGATGAGCATACCGTCTCGTCGCGCTCGATGTCCAAGCAGTCATCGTACAACAACCACAGATGCAGTCGTGTTCGACGTCGTTCAGTCTCTTCGAGAGCAAACCAAAGGTCGGACAATCGACAATCATACTTTCATACCAACGCCGTGTTTCTATGTATATCGACGACTACTGGTGGCTGTTTTGACGGTATCATGCTGCTGCTGCTGTGACTTTTCGACAACGAAGTTCAAATCATTGACCTCGACCCACCACGTTCAATTGCATTTACTCCAACAGCCGTCAACGTGAGGGGCCTCGATGGCGCGGCCTCGGGCTCGCTCCCTCTCCCCGCAGTTTTCACTGCCCCCATCCGACCTGACGTCGTTCAGCTCGTTCACAGTGAGTATTCAGGAAACTCAATACCAATGTAGATGGCACCCCACGGAAAGGAGGACACGGCAGGATCGTCTGCACGGAACCATCACGCAGGACAAGGAGGCAATCAAGGACAGCAGGTGTAAAGCGTGGACGAGCTTGGCTGTATCCTCGAGCAGAGTCGGGGGCCTGGCTACCCACACGATTTGAAATCATCGATCAGGATCATCATGGAAGGACGGGGGGCCATTATTACATTCAACAGGAACCGCATCTTGAGCGCAACCACTGACGCTTCCCTCCCCGCCGTCTCCCCTTCTTTTCGCCTCCTACAGCCAACGTTGCCAAGAACAAGCGTCAGCCCTACGCCGTCTCCACCAAGGCTGGTCACCAGACCTCTGCCGAGTCGTGGGGTACCGGTCGTGCCGTCGCCCGTATCCCCCGTGTCGGCGGTGGTGGTACCCACCGATCCGGCCAGGCCGCTTTCGGTAACATGGTCCGTGGTGGTCACATGTTCGCCCCCACCAAGCTGTGGCGCCGATGGTTCATCAAGACCAACCAGAACCAGAAGCGTTACGCTACCGCCTCTGCTCTGGCTGCCACCGCCGTCCCCTCGCTCGTCCTTGCCCGCGGTCACCGCGTCGAGGAGCTCGAGGAGATCCCCCTTGTTGTCGCTGACGCCGCCGAGAGCCTGACCAAGACCAAGGAGGCCGTTGCCCTGCTCAAGTCGGTCAACGCCTACAACGACGTTGTCAAGGTCTCGAACTCGCGCAAGATCCGTGCCGGTGTCGGCAAGCTGCGCAACCGTCGCCACACCCAGCGCCGCGGTCCCCTGGTCATCTACAACAAGGATGCCGGTATCGTCAAGGCTTTCCGCAACGTGCCCGGTGTTGAGCTGTGCTCCGTCGAGCGCCTCAACCTGCTCCAGCTCGCTCCTGGTGGACACCTCGGCCGTTTCGTCATCTTCACCCAGTCCGCCTTTGGCCGTCTCGACGAGGTCTTTGCTGCCAAGTCGGGCTTCACCATGCCCAAGGCCAAGATTGCCAACACCGACGTCACCCGCATCATCAACTCGGACGAGATCCAGTCGGTCGTTCGTGCCAAGGGTCCCGCCAAGACCACGCGTCCCTTCACCCAGCGCAAGAACCCGCTCAAGAACCGCGCCGTGCTCTTCCGCCTCAACCCCTACGCCCAGTCGGCCATCCGCTCCGAGATCCGCGCCCAGGCTGCCAAGTCGTCCGGCCTCAAGAAGGAGGCTAAGCAGCCCGTGGCCAAGGAGTTCCTCCAGCTTCTCCACGCCAACTAAGCGCGCCGCATCCATCGACGTTTGAACGGAGCTTACTTGGCGAGGCTAGTAGGGTTTGGATGGTGTGTGGGTAGGCTAGCTTGCGACTCGCACCAAAAATTCTTCACTCGCACATTCCCGGTCCTTGTTGTTTCCATCATTTGAGGAGCATACTTAGCCATCCGCTCGCCAACCTCTCGCACCCCTGCCTCATCCGAGAAAGCTCTTTCTTACGTTCCCACCTCCTCATCATCATCATCATCTTGTACACAATCTACTTCCGCACACAAAAATTTCAACAACGCAAAAAGGCCCGGGTCTTCTCCGGCTCGTGTTTTGGGACCCATTCATCTCTCTTGTGTGACGGCGTAATCTGTGCTCGTGTGAGGCCAAACGACAAATGAGGGAAGATGAGCACAGGAAGATCTGACCTGGGCATCGTCTTCACGTCAGCTGGGAAGTGCAAGATGCGTCTTGTGTCAGAGCTGCGACGGCTCACTCGGTGTGGGTCGAGGTGACGCCGACATCTGCGGCGATATGGTCTGCTGCGAAGAAAGCTCGGACAAGCGAGTTGCCGCGGAATGGATGGATCTGGGCCTTTGGCGTGACTGCGGCCGTCCAGCACGAACCGTTCGTGTTCTGGACGCTGACCCGAACCCAAGAACAACAGCGTATCATCTCTGAAGCTTCGACATCACCACCAGCGTCGTCAACGTCCGATGTGCTCGGTGTATCAGACCTAAGAGGACTCGCTCCGAGTTCTCAGCTCAAGAAGGTCGTGAAGGACTGTCTTCGACAAGGCGGCTTTGGTGCATCGACGGGTCACTTGGACCTCATGGTAGCACTTTTGAAGCTGGCGATCGATCCCTCACGTCAGCGGATCTGGGACCCATTTTGCTCAGCCACCTTGCTGCAAACTCTGACTGGTCACACGTGTGCACGCTGTTGTCTAATCAGCGAACAGTAATCTCAACAAGGTCAAAGCCTGGACACCTACTTGTTGAGGGCGAACAAGACGCAAGTGCGTACAGCGGCGCTTGGACGACCAGATTTCGTTCGCCTCGAAAGACTTTCCCACGAGGCTTTCGAGGCCCAGCTACAGCATCTCAGAGAGCAGGAGGCCGCGAAACGCCTGATCAGAGACAGTTGCTACAGCCGCAGCTTGAACGCACAGTCAAGGATTCTCAAGTGTGCAATGAGTGCATTGAAACCAGTGTGCTGTGACTATTGGAACTTCTGAATGACGACAGCATTCAACAGCCCGGCATCTTGCAACGTCTGCGACTCGTCTGTGAGCGGCTTGGGCGGGAAGGACGAATTGAGCACATAGTCGCGCGACGACATGCCCGGGTTGGCCGCGTTGATGTAGCCCCTCAGGTCGGCGACCGTGTGGGTCGTGTTGAAGCGAGCTGTCATTCTCTGACCGTCACCGAGACGAATCTGGAGCTGCGTGGTGGGCTTGTCTGCGTCCACTTGGAAGTCTTGGCTCCCCGCATTGGGTGCAGCGGCAGGGGCCGCGGGCTGGGAGCGGGATGAAGAGGCGAACGATGCTGGAGCAGGAGAGCCGAGTCGGTTGCCGGAGCCAGCGAAAGGTTTCATGGGTGGCGGCTTGTACTTTTCGTCCGTACGTCGGTGGACGTGCACCTGGACTTGCTGACCGAAGCGAATGTTGAGCAGATCGAGAGGGGCATGGCCTGAGTTGATGGCGGCGAGGGTTTGAGCGTGCGCGGGATCGTCGTAGCGCATCAGCTCGCCGTCTTCGACCGAGAAGCCGTCCTCCCAGAACGTGAGATTGCGGATGGCCACCTCTCCTTCATCATCGTCGTCCTCGTCGTCATTAGCAGCGCCAGCCCGGTTGCCAAGACCGCCAGGCATCGAACCCGTAGAAGTCGAAGGCTCGGGCTCCGCAGCGTCGTTCATGGTCCTGCCACGACCGGTGAACGCGAACGAGGAAGAGGCTGCGGGCTTACTGCCACCGCCTCTAGATCCGCCAGCAGCTGCCTCCTCCGGGTGACGCTTGCCTTCCTCAGCAGCTCGCTTGAGGATCTCCTTCACTAGGTCTCCACCAGGCTGATTCCTGCCTCGACGCGCCTCGGGGTTCTCAACGCTAAGCGCGCTCTTCTCGCCACCGGCAAAGTAGTTCATCTCATCGTCGTCTTCGTCGTCATCATCATCCTCGTCGCCCCTCCCCCTGCTTCGAGGACCGTCGTTGGAAGACTGCAGGTCGCGGAAGGTCGAGATGCCGCCACGACTGCCACCGCCCGTAGTCGAGCGGGATGGCTGGCTCGACGCAGAGGCGGCGCCAAAGTCGGAGACGGTCGAAGGGTCGACAGGCTGGCCTGAAAGTGTGCGCGGGCCGGTGTAGTTGTCTGGGACGCTTTGAGCGGGGGCGGTCTCACTGAAACCTTCGTCCGCGGCGGCACCTGCTTCGGACTCGTAGAAGCTCGACATGGCGGTTTCGAGGTCGCCTCCCGCCGCGTCAAGGAAGAAGCGGGCTCGGTCGGTCGATGCACCCGTGATGGAGACGAATTGCTCGATGTTTTGATCCATCTTGAGCGTCGTGCGTTGAGTGAGGGTGTGGTTGAGAGGGGAGAAGGCGGTATGGAGGACTGCCAAGTGGAGGAAGAACTGAGCTGAGGAGCGGAAGCACAGCGCCGCGTGTCTTCCGGCGCACAGGCCTAGCGGAAAGAATTCTTTGATCTTCATGAAGACGCGATCACACATTGAGAATTTTTTGGACTCGGACGGAAGGATGGATTGGAAATCGAGACGGAAGCGAAGGACGCAGCGACGGCAGTCCACGCTCGACCAACAAGCAATTCGATCTTCTTTGATATCAGTGTCATCCACCTACATCTTCGCCGTCGCATCTGCTCTACACGCGCCACCACGCACCACCTAGACAGCAGCATTTGCGTCACAATCGATCGTCTCGACAGCGTTTGTGTCGAGCTCCAACGGAATCACCGCACGGACTAGGGCACGAGATATCAGTATCGACCATGGCCAACAAGACCAACGAAGAGGTCGTCACCGAGACCTTCTCGGAACGACACCCATTTGCTGATGGCATGACCGCCGGCGCCGCTAGCGCCGGTGCTGGCCTCTTGGTCAGTGCCATCCAGAACAGTTTGCAGACCCACAACAAGGGTGCCCTCGGTGTCTTCACACGCACAGGAAGCACTATTGCTCTTTTCAGTGAGTAGTCAGCCCTCTCGACAGACAACGACGGGTGCAGTACACGAGCTGGTGTTGCTCTGTACCATCGCCATGTCGTCGACATGCCTCGTTACAAAACGCTTCAGCTTGCTGACCTCGATTGCCTTATACTCACACCCTTACCTCGCCCGCAGCTGCAATGGGAGGAATCTTCTCGTACACCGACGCGACGGCTGCCAACTTCCGTCAGAAGGATGATGCTGTCAACGGTGCCATCGGAGGATGTGCTGCCGGTGTTGTACTCGGAGCTGCCGCTCGCTCGGTGCCCATGATGTTCGGTGGTTGTGCCTCGCTCGCAGCGTTGATCGGCACTTTCGACGCAGCAGGCAAGTCGCTGCAGGGCACATACGCACGATCGTCGCCAACAGACTTCACTCACGGCGCAGAGGACGCAGAACACGGGCCCGGCGGGCAAGGCTGGAGGGAAGCGCGAGAGGCTCGTCGCAAGAACTTCTTCAAGGTGAGTAGCTGCTGAGAGTCCGATTCAGCACGACTTGGACTGGTTCACTGACTGTTCTCTCCACCATCTTCTATCCACGGTCGCCGCAAACAGCAAAAGAAGGACGATGTTGAGTCGGACGCATAAATGTGGTAGACAGCAACGCAATTCAGTTTCAGTCTCGTCTCTCCTTTCAGCAGTCCAGAGATTCAAGGACGGCTCAATCAGCCAGGTTCAGGCACGGGTCCGGTGCTGCGATTCGATTGTGTTTTGCTTTGAAACGCCGATCTACGACAGCGAAGCGCCAACAAAGTTCTCTGAGAACAGAACACCCTTCTCGGTCCTGAGCAGGCGGGGCTTCTTGTCAGCCTCCGGGTCCGCCGCGTCCGGCAGAGCACCGACCCAAGCGCACTCCTTGTTCTCCGTCGTGGTGTAAGCCGGTTGGATAGTCTCGAAGATCTTCTTCTTGGGGTTGAGCACCGCTTCGGGCTCACGACCCTCGAAGCCCTCGACCCAGACCTTGTCACCTACCTGGCTGCCCTCGGGAGGGTGGACCGGCTCCACACCGCCGTCCTTGCCTTCCTTGGCGGTTGCGCAGAGCAGCATGCCGTACGACTTGATGCCGCGCATCGAGGCGGGCTTGAGGTTGCACACGCCAATCACCATGCGGTTCTGCATCTTCTCGATCGGCACAAAGTTGACGAGACCGCTGAGGATGGTTCGTGGTCCGTCGGCCTCGCCAAAGTCCACCTTCTCGAGGTAGAGCGCGTCAGCGTCCGGGTGCCTCTCGATAGAAACAATCTTGCCTACACGGAGATCGACCTGAGATGGCAAAGGGCCGGTGGTGTCGGCAGCGGCGGCGGCAGCACCGCCCTTCTTGCCTCCACCTCCACCACCGCCAGCCTTGGCCTCCTTGGGCGCCTTCTCCTTCTTTTCCTTCTTCTCCTTCTTAGCGGGCTGCTCCTCGGTCTGCTGTTGAGGAGCTTCAGACTTCTGCGCCTGAGCAGCAGCCGCCTCCTTGTTGGCTTTCTTGGCCTTCTTGAGGTCCTCTGGCTTAGCACGCTCGATGGTAGGCATGCCCTCGTAAGTTGGCTGGAATGGAGAGAAGCCAAGCTGGGCGGCGCTGGCAGCCTTGCTTACGGCAGCCAGATTGGAGAGATGCGAGACATAGCGTGCGACCGAGGGCGTCGCGTGCTGCTCAGCGGGCTGCTGTTTCGAAACGGTGGGATAGATGGAGGCGAACAGCGCGAGGTCGGCCACGGTCGGCTCGTTGGAAGCGAGGTAAGTGACGTTGTCGAGCTGCTCGTTGAGCGACTTAAGTCCTTCCGAGGAGGCAAGTTGCGCCTCGTCGGAGCCGTCGAGCTTCTTGAGCCATTCGGTGGTAGCTGACTTGGCCTTGTCATCGGCGCCATAGATCTGGTTCGACTTGCCGGTAAGGCCGGCAAGCTTGTCTGCGAGATCTACCAGCGGCAACGCGGCGTCGCCTTGAAGCTGCTGGATCGCGTTCTGTTGTGTTGTTGAACAGGGATAATTCGTACGTCGAGCAGATGTATGAAGGGACCGCCAGCATGGTCGAGTGGCCAGAGCGAGGGAAATCTGTGAGATCAGTCATTTGAGCGAGCTGGACAAAGGCTGCAGGCAGACAAGCAGCTGCTACTTACTGCATCATTTGCATACTGCGCATAGGTAGCCGTGATAAGCTCTCGTGCTCGCTGTCCGGACATTGTAATGTAGGTTTGCGATGATGTTGCTGAACAGAAAGGTGTTGGAGCAGCTCGAAATTGAGAAGCAAGAAGAAACATGGTCGAGCGCACCTTCTCGAAAAAGAAAGCTCGATTTTTAGGTCTTGACGGTGCCGACGTAACAGTCTCTAAAAATACTTGACTCAAGCTGAGAAAGGGGTCCACGGTTGATCAACTCGTAGAAATCAGCTCATGCATGCTGAAAGCGCAGAGTTGGTACAGTCGAGGCTTGCTTGACGAGACAACGCAGAAACGCGGAGCAGTCCTTCAATTCACTGAGACGTCGTTCAAGTCTCATTTGTGTTCCGCCTTCCATCTCAAGGTCAATTCTCAACATTCGCACACCCCCCCCTGGCGGACATGTCTGCGGTAGCTTCTTCTAGCTCGCAAGGCAAGGACCTTCGCCCTATCATCCTGGTGACGGGTGCCAACGCCGGTGTTGGCTTCGGCATCTGTCAGAGACTGATCGTCCAGCTCTCGTCTCCCACCCCTACCGATACTCTTCCTGTGCATCCAACGACGATCAAGGACCCATCAATCCAGCCCTCGCCGACGCCGTTCGCCGCGGCAAATGGGTGCACCATCGTCCTCGCGTGTCGCAATCCTATCAAGGCTCACAAGGCGAGGCAACAGCTCAAACAGCTGCTCAAATGGATCGAAAACCTTCCGGAACACGAGGATACCCCGACAGGCCCTCCAGAGAGCTGGGCCTACGCTTTTGATGACACTTCGAAGGATGACAAGCTGACCGACCCCGAGTCGGAGCAAGACATTCGCGACACGCCGCACGAGGACGCCGACCCTGCCCTCGTAGCGCATGCTCAGGAAAACAATGTGAGACGCAGGAGGAATCAGCGACAAGCGGCTGCAAACGGCGAAGACGACAAGCATGCTTCGGCCACGCAGGATGGATCTGAGGATGCGAAGGGAGACACGTCCGACTCCGATGACTCGCCTGATCTCGATGCCAGCCTGGAGCAGCGAACCAAGCGAGCCAACGCAAGCTATCGACGTCGCTTCTGTCAAGGCACGCGCATCGAATTTGTTCCGCTCGATCTCGGGAGCATGGGGAGCGCGCTCGAATGTGCCCGCATGGTGCGCGAAAGATACACACACGTCACACACGTGGTGCTCAACGCTGGCTCGTCGGCTTGGATCGGCATGAACTGGCTGCACGCCATGTGGATGATGATGACTCAGTACCGCTATGCCGTCACGTGGCCTGCCTACAAGATGCAGCGCGTTGGCGACAAGAGCGACGACAATTTTGGCTGGGTCTGGCAGTGCAACGTCGGCGCGCATTGGATCCTGGTGCGAGCCCTGCTACCTTCCTTGCGCGCGACACCGTATTCGACCCCTTCGCGCATCATCTGGACCAGCTCCGTGGAGGCGTTCTCCAAGTATTACGATGTCAACGACTACGAGTGTCTCGACGTCTCACGGGCGCCGCTACCGTACGAATCGGTCAAGTATCAGTGCGAGCTAGCAGCTTTCGGGTTGGATGATGCGCTTCAGACCCGTCGGATGCGCACGCAGCCGGGTACGCCGATGGAGGAGCGACCCTCTTTCCTCGGCATGTCACCTGTTGACCGCGGCACGAACATGCTTCGCTCCGCCTCGTCGGCAAGCGGCACCGCTCCGCACGGCTTCCTTGGTCTGCCACCTGCATCGCGCGCCGTGCCAGGTCAGCCGGAACCACGCAGCTTCCTCGCGCATCCAGGCGTCGTAGCGTCCACCATGATGTCGCAATTTGTCGCGACGTGGATGACGTTCTTTGTCATCATGAGCTTCTACATTGCGCGGTGGGTGGGGTCGCCACACCACCCGATCGATCCCTTCAAGGGTGCGGTCTCGGTCAGCCATGCTTGCTTGGCACCGCAGCCGGACCCCAAGAAGCGCTACGGCAGTCGCACCGACTTTTGGGGTCGCGAGTACGTGGGGATTGAGAACATCGAATACTACCGCTCGCAGCTGGGCGGTGCTGGTCCCGGTGTGGGCGCTCGGTTGGCCCTTGCTGGTATTGATCCTGCAACAGTGCAAGGAGACCCGAAGGAGAGCGGCCGGGTGCTGAGTATGGCGCGCGAGTACGTGGGGCAGTGCGAGAGGATGGCACGCGGCGTCTGGCGAAGTGCGCGCAAGGGCGATCTGCCCCCCTGGAGCTCGTTGGCAGGTGACGAGTTCGTGGTGCAGGAGCACGAACATCAGATTGCGCTGGAGGAGGACGGCATGCAGGAGGGGTTGGATACGGAAGATGCACGACCACCGGCGTATTCGGAGGAAGACAAGCCTGCGATCACGGTCAAGACTTCGACGGTGCCCGGCAGCAGCGGCGGCTCGACCGAAGATGCCGAGTGGGAGAAGGTGCAGTAGACAGCGTCCTTCCATTGTCAGGCTTCACATTAGATAGAATGCATTGTCAATGGCTCGATTGACCCTCTAAATCTCTGTGGGCGTCATGTGTGTCCCGAAGCCGGTGACGGTTCTGCGCCATCAAGTCAGTCGGATCGTCCGATCTAGCCCCGATTGGTACCCACAAGGCCGTCGACGCCCCCTGCTCGCATCTTTACAGGGAAAAGACCTCAAAATTGGTCAGCGAAATTGAGGTCACAAAATCCACCGACGTTGACCTCGCACCCCCGAAGCAAAGTTTTGTGTCGCTGCCATCAAGCTCCAGGCCTCGGGCGCCTTGGACTCGCCTGACTGCGTCCGACGGCTGTAAGAAGACCTAAGCCAGGAGTTAACAAAGCAGACATCCGTGGAGAGTCGATGTCAAAAATTTAACCGGATTGGCTGGAAGAATCTCGCGTCGAGAGAAAGATTTTCCAGGGATTCGGTTGGAAGCACGTTTGCCACCATCCCGGAAGATTCATTGGTGCGGGAAGCAACTCCGTTCTACCGATCACACAAGCGAGGTCGGATTCGCCTTACTCGAACATGGCGAGTGTTGACGTTAGCGAGGCTATGCGGCAAAGCAAGTCGGACTCGGCAGGGCTAGCTCGGGAACGGTGTGGACCTGATTGTGCTGACTGGGAACAATGTCGAGCGGAGAATAGGCAACGCGAGAAGGCCGAGCCTCGACCCTCCTACTGTGTAGATTGACCGGATCCTCGTGTGAAGCTACGAAGAGCATTATTCGTATGCAACCTGCTCCCCACACTAGAGCCTGCGACCCGCGATAGACGCCACATTTCCTGCGACCCAAACCGGGGTGCTCGACGACGACTGCCTCGTGCATTTCCGGGATGGAGCGTGTTCATGCATGGCGGGATGGCGTCGATGGCAAAACCTGTTTGCCAGGACAGGGTTCTGCGTTTCAAGCAGCACGCAAACGCTTGTTCGTTCCGATAAGACAAAGTGCCTCTGGGAGCTTGTCCGCGTTCAACATCATTCTCCCGTTGCAGACGCCCCGCCCTTCGCCTGAGCCAACATGAAGTACGAGAGCCTATCCACCGCGCGTTCAGACCGCGGACGTGCCAAAGCGGCCTTCGACGAGAGCGTTGCCCACGATCTGCTAACCCACACATTGCGACATCGAAGCAAGACCGAGATCCGCGTCTTGGCGAGATGAACCGTGGCAAATCTCATCGAGGAAATCGAGAGACCGTGATGGAACCGAAACTTTGCCGCCCTGGCGCTCGAGATCTAACCGTGATTCGACGCCGACAAGTTCAGTCCCGGCCAAGTTCGATGCACAGCGCCGTAATCGCGAACATGAGGGGTTCCGGAACATAGCAAGGCTTCATGTGGACCTCGAACAGTAAGGGTCGCCTGCCCGCTTTTGCGGCAAGCTACCGTCGGCACCAATTAGAGCGCGGCAGCCATTAACATTGTCTGGATCGAAATAGTCTACTGTAGTCTCACCAGAGCCCGCGACAGGAGCGCGAGCACGCAAGTCTAGATTGACGTCTGTGGTTCAGGCGGCAAGCAGAGCGTGGCGACAAGTGCTACCTGGGCTTAGCTTGAAAGGAGGCAGCACAACAATAGACTTCGCTAGGGCGCTCGTGCTCGCAAAGCAGCGCTCAAGTTCAATTTTGCCAAGCGGGTGATGGCTGGCTCGCTTCCAAGAGGCGCGTCTGAAGCATTCCTCCAACCCGGCAAAATAAAGCTCAGACAATCTACTATAGCCGACCTTTGGCTCCTCTTCTCTTTGACCATGGTTGTCACAGTCAAGCATCGAAAGCTGGGCCTGGCATGGCTTCAACAAATGTGCCACGACGATTCTCGAGAGAAGTTTGAGCTGACAGCGAAAGCGGCCGGATGTCGGACGCAAGCTGACGAAGTTTTTGACTCAGATCGCAGATGGCGTGGTCACCCCGGACTTAGGCAGGCAAGCAGGAGAGCCAAGACAAAGGGCATGAGCAGCTGCCCAAATTACCGCAATTTAACTCTGCTCAGCTGGCACTGCCGTCGGTCGCTGGACAGCACCCTTGATCTCTGCTGAGCCTCTCTTCATGCGTGCAAACAAAAGCCCAAACTCCGCTCTCAGTCTAGAACTCGGCTGTAAACGTCCGACTTTGCTCCCTCTCTCGCTCTTCCCGCTCTGAACCGGGTGCGCACATCCGCCTGCTTTGGCTGTTCAGTTGTCCTTCGCGTTGGTTCCTCGAAGCCTCATGCTCTATACCGATCGTGCCTTTTCCTGCTTCCATTTTCCAGCTGCCCAGCTGTCTGGCTGCCCAGCTCAGCGGAAGGCCTTCCGAATTTCTACCGATCAGAGCTCCCTTTCTCCCGTTTGTCCAAGCGACCGCAAAAGAGCAGCAGCTGCTCCTGCTGCAGCATCACAAGCGCCGCTCGCATCAGCCGCAGGCAATCAACCCACTCTTCCCTGCCTATTGTCATTAGGGAGAGCTACAGGCTAGTGCCGTTCGGCTCCGTTCCGTACCCATTAGCCGTGTTCGGACACCTCTCGATTCCTGCCTTGTCTTTAAACCTGCCCGCTGCGCCCTCTGCCCCTTGACCATCTCAACTGCATCCATCCCACCATCACCATCACCATCACCATCGCCATCGTCACCATCACCACCATCACCACCACCTCCTGTACCTGTGCAACGTACTCACGCCTTCATCCATCCCTCTACTTCTTCGCTTCCAGTCGCTCGTCTTTTGAGTCCACAACCTTTCAACATCAGCTCATCGACTCCGCTTCCACTCTGCTGTCGCCTTTTGATCGACTCGTGCATCGTCCGTTCCCACAACCTCATCGCCCGCTTGCTTTCACCCTGACTCAGAACGCACATCGGTCCTGTAACCCGACACTTCTTCTTCAGATACAGGCCTGGATCTGTCCGATTTGTCCTTCAGCCTTACGGCATCTCCATCAAATAGGACTTCAACCCTATCTGAGCATTCACCTCTAAGCTCAGCCTGCCGCGACCGCATGCAACAGACTACACCCACCATGGCTGCTTCGCTTCCCTTCGGCCGTAGGCCATCTAGCACGCTCGCGCCCGACTTCCCAGCCGGCGCCGATCCTCGTCTGACCGCTGCGCATGCCTATGCTCCCCACCACAATCAGCCGTACCCACTGCAGGCTTCCGATCTCGCCTCGAACTACCAGTACACCACCGCTCGAGCTGCATTTGATCATTCGCTCGCCTTCGACGGTGCTAGTGGATCCAACGTCCCTTCCTGGTTCTACAACGCCTCTCAGCAGCCAGCTTCGCAGGTCAACGCGCAACCCGCCCTACCCTACCACCTTGACTCGTATGCAGCACCACCACATGGGTCCGCTGCGGCACCCGTCAACATGGCTGGTCCATCTGTCCCATCCATCAACGCACCTGCTCATCACCATCATGCGGCTTCGGTACCGCCGACGGTCGACTTCCCGCCCAAGTCAGCCCACATCGGCTCGACCGATGCCGCACCTTTCATTGTCGGACCCTCCGGCCGTATTCCAGCGCCAATGGTGGCTGGCGCCGGGCTTCCGATGGCAGCTTCGATATCGCCCTCTCCGGTGGACAGGCGTGCGAGCGACGAGAGTATGCACATGGTCGCCTCGGCTGGTCCGTCCGCACAGAACATTGCCCACTCGACATCAGGATCTGCAGGCGTGAATGGCTCCGTCTCGCCCAACTCGTCTGCCAGCCTTTCCAACAGTCCTCCGGATATCGCCATCTCACAGCCTTTCCACCCATACGCATCTACATCGGTACCTCCGCTTGCGGGCATGCTTGTGGGAGAGCCTATCTCGGCTTCCATGATGGAGTCGATCGATGCCTGGCTCGCACCTGCACAATCTGCATCACACAGCGTGGCGTCGTCTTCTGCAGCTGCATCCGTCACCGCAAAGGCTTCCACCGTGTCTGCACGCAAGATCTCTCCCGTCGAATCCTTTGCGGTCAGCGATGCTTCCTCCTCGGCACGCGCCTCTAGTGGCGCCACTTTCCACCCCGGCTCGACCATCTCGACCTCTTCGACACTCGACTCAGTGCCGTTCAAGACGAGCACAGAGAGGCGCGAGCGTAACAAGGCGTCTCAACGCGAGTCTCGAAAGCGCAAGCAAGATCGACTCGAGACGCTCGAGACCGAGAATGCCGCGCTCAGAAAGGCTCTGGCCGACACCAAAAAGTACAGCCACGCTCTGTCCAATGGAGCCGGCATCCGCGGCGAGGACGGTGCCGAGGTGCCGCCCATCCAGTTCACCAAGTTCACCGGCGCCTTCCACCTTGATCTCATCGAGACGCACCTCGAGGATGATTCCGCCGAGGCAGAGTGGAAGACCATGATTGGACGCCGCTTCCCTGGACGCGCCTCGCAGGAGGAAGATGGCGACGACGTGGTTCCTCGCGCAGGCTCATCTACGAGCGACTCGGACGAGGATGACGGCACGCGAGATCGTCGCGACAGTACTGGCGCTGGCAGTGTTCAGAGCACTGCGCCCGTCAAAGCTGAGGCTGCCGCCACCGACAAAGAAGTCGCCGAGTCGTCCCAGACCGCATCGCGAAAGGCCGCCAAGAAGGCCATGTGGGAGATCTCGCTTAACCAGAAGCGCCAAAAGGCGGCACAGAACTTCCCATCGATGGTCGCTGTGCCCGAGCTCGTTCTGTACCGAGTCTGCCGACTCTATTTCAGCACGCTTTTGCCATTCACCACCAAACTCAAGTCGGGCATCATCAACCTCCGTGCCGCGCGGGAAGCGCCAGGTTTCATCGGTGAATTTGATGATATGCCCCGCTTTCCCGGCGACCCTGCCTTTGGCGCTTCCGAGCTGTACCTGCCCAAGAACCTGATGCCCACCGAGATGCAGATGCGCATTGGCTTTCATCCCATCGAGATCGCTGTGATCCCGTACCCAGCGATGCGTGACCGCCTTCTCACCGTCCTCAGCGCCTTCTCGGACCTCGACGAGCTGGTGCGGGAGGAAGAAGATGCGGCTCGGTTCAGCGAGGAGCGCATCAATGACGGGCCCAAGGCTCCAGAGCAAGCTTCGCCTACGGACGACGTCAATGCCGAGCTGACGGACGCTGACATCCGCAAGCGCACCGCGTTGCTCGCCGACATGTCGGCTTGGAAGCCCAAGGACTTTGCCGGTGCCGTCGTCATGCCGGACCGGGCGCGCGTGTACTCGTACGGCTTCCTTGAGAAGCCACGAGGCTCGCATCGTCTGCGCAAACCCGCTCAGCGCTGGCTGGACGACTTCTTCTACGAGATTGTTCGGACGCTCCGAGTATGGTCGCCGGCAGGTGACGTGTTTGACGGCGAGTGCTTCGAGTTCAAGGAAAGCTTCTTCCGCAAGTATCCTTACATGGTGGATGGCGAGATTCTGAAGGCCACCAACCGTTGGAGGAGGGCTCGTGGCGAGGATCCTATTCGACTCTGATCTCAAGCCGACCCATGCGCATCTTGTCCTCTGTGACCATCGTCGAGTCCGTGCTCAGGTAGCGGCATGCTGATTTGTTCGTCGGCTCTGCAAGCCGGGCTCATTCTGTTCCACTTTTCTCGTTCCTCGTACTCTGTATTGCATTTCCGTCTTTTGTTCTCCCTCTATTCAGATCTTTCTCTCACTCCACAGGCCATCCAGATCGCTGTCACGCTACTCAGCATGGCATCTCTCGACAGCCAACCCCTTCGCTCTTTTCTTGTCTCATCGTCCACGTTGTATTCCTCTTCCTCTATGCTACTGCCCGGTCGCTATTCGCGTCCACGTGCACAATCACTTGTACTACTTTTCGATAATCGCAGTCGTCGTTGACCTCCTTGACCCAGACCCTCTCGACTGACGTGATGGCGATGTGTGCCGCACACCTTGCTTGACCGCGGAAGGGACCGGCCAAGCTGCGATTCGGAGAATTTACGCCTTGAAACGTCAACATGTGAACAGCGAAATGAGTCCAGAAGCGGCCAAGCGAATTCGCCTTTTTCGACTTTGCAGCGGTGACGCGTGCATGCGTGTGAACTGGCCGCCTGCTGCTGTCAAAGGAGACCAACACCTGCACTTTCCCACAGCCAGAAGGAGCGAATTTTCTGATGCATTTTGCTTAGGGGCTCGCATCCAAGTCTGCTGTTGGCAGGCCAAATGCGTTTTCAGAAAGTTAGAAGCGCCGTCGATCAACACAAAACACACACGGCGAGAAAGCACTGCCTTCGCACATGCACGTTGCTGCGAATCCTTCTCAGGCACGGCTACGCCTTGATCTTTGCCAGCGACGTCGCTTAACTTAGCTTCTTACCTTTCAGTCACACCCTTCATTTCTTCTTCACTCGTTGTTTCGCAGGCACCACCACTACTCCTTTGAACTCTCGCTCGATTGATTCGCAGCAAGTCTTGCACAGGCCACGACGGCAATATTGGTTCATTCGCGATTACCTCGACGGACCAAGAAGAAAGACGAGCATACCAAGGTTGGAGCCACCAGCAACCATGTCCATCTCATCTGAAGACATCTCGAGCCTCCGACAGAGGTATGAAAAGGCGGGGCAGTCCCATCTGTTCGCCTTCTGGGATACCCTGTCCGCCGAGCAGCAGACCGAGCTTGCTCAACAGCTCGACGAGCTCGACGTGTCGCGAGTCAACCAGGTCTTCCACACCGCCATCAAGGCGGACGAAGAGGCGAGAGCGGGCAAGTCGCACGAGATCACTCCACCACCTCCTTCGTCCGTCGAATGCACCATTGACGGCGAAGCGGACTCTGCCAAGGTCGAGCACTTCAGGACGGTCGGTCTCAATGCCATTGCTCAGGGCCAGGTGGGTGTCCTACTCATGGCTGGTGGTCAGGGCACTCGTCTGGGCTCGAGCGCACCAAAGGGCTGCTACGACATCGGGCTGCCCTCGCACAAGAGCCTCTTCCAGATCCAGGCCGAGCGTATTCTCTCGCTCCAAAAGCTTGCAGCCAAGCACGGCTCCGCCTCCGCCTCGTCATCGTCCTGCTCTTCAGTCGTCATTCCATGGTATATTATGACCTCTGGACCCACACGCAAGGACACAGAAGCCTTCTTTGCCGAGCATAAGTACTTTGGTCTGGAACAAGCAAACATCGTCTTTTTCGAACAGGGAACGCTCCCCTGTCTTTCGTTGGAAGGGAAGATCCTGCTCGAGACGCCCCACAAAGTGGCCACTGCACCGGACGGCAACGGAGGTCTCTACCGCGCCCTCCGCACACCCTACAACAAGGGTTCGCCCGACACAGTCATCTCGGACCTCCAGCGACGTGGCATCAAATACCTGCACGCATACGGTGTGGACAACTGCCTCGTCAAGGTCGGCGACCCGGTCTTCCTCGGTGTCTGTCTGTCACAGAACGTCCAGGCGGGTGTAAAAGTGGTCAAGAAGACGGATCCATCCGAGTCAGTCGGCGTCATTGCGCTGCGGGACGGCAAATTTGGCGTCGTCGAGTACTCCGAGATCCCCACGGCGCTCAGCGAGGCCCGCGAAGGGAACGGCGAACTCTCCTTCCGTGCAGCCAACATCGTCAACCACTTCTACACGACCCACTTCCTCTCCGAGCAAGTACCCGCCTTCGAGGGCGAGATGGCCTTCCACATTGCACGCAAGAAGATCCCAACCGTCGACGCCGAGGGCAAACCGCACAAGCCCAGCACGCCTAACGGCATGAAGTTGGAACTGTTCGTATTCGACGTATTCCCATTCTGCGACAAGTTGGCAGTGCACGAAGTAGCAAGAAAGGAGGAGTTCAGCCCTTTGAAGAACGCCAAGGGCACAGGCGTGGATGATCAAGATACGAGCAGGAGAGATCTGTTGGCACAGCAGAAGAGGTGGTTGGAGAACGCGGGGGTGAAGGTCGAGGGCGAGGTCGAGGTGAGCCCGTTGGTCAGCTATAGCGGTGAGGGACTGGAGAGGTACAGTGGCCAGACGCTCGAGGGGAATGTCGAGCCTTAGAGCAGGTCTGAGATCTCTGTGAGAAATCGAACATTGACTTATCATGCCAAAGTGCTCCAGCGTGCGAGCGAAACTCATGATCCGAACAGCACAGTGAGCAGCGATGTGGCAGGCAACAACGCGAGAAAGCCCCGCCGGCTGACTTGTATGCGACGTGTCTTCCTGCGTGTGCAATGCCGTATGACCAGACGACTAAGCGTCGCTACACGCGCTCGGGCGGACCACTATTGACGACGAAGGTTGAGACCGGCCCATTTTGAAAGGCACGTCGGTTCGACGGTCTATCGGGGGTCACGTCGAGTTCTGCGTGCTGAGAACGACGCGTCCCTCTCCTGAAGGACGTGCAAACAGGATCGTTTGAAGCTTAAGGCGATACAAAGGAGCGACCCGCCGCAACGCTCATGACGGTGGCCGCTGGATGTCTGTGTTCCGAAAGACGTCTCGAGCTGTGCTGGCCCCTTACGCTCCGCCGGCTCCTCACGCTGCCGTCGCTCCTCACGCTGCCGTCGCTCCTCACGCTGCCGTCGCTCCTCATGCTGCCGTTGCTCCTCACGCTGGCGCCGGAGGCGTTCTCGACGAGCGAGAAAGCTCGAGACAGCCTCTGACCTCAGCAAGAGGAGGGTAAGTGGTGCAAACATGTCGATGTTCGTCAAAAGTCATGCATGCCACGAGCGTGCCAAAGAACCGTCCAACACTTCTCTGCGTCTTGTGCCAGACGGACGGCTAGATGCTGAGGCGAGGATGCTTGTCAGTATGGCTCTCGACATCGCTCAGGAAGTCTACGACGCCAGGTTCAAGTTCTAACCCTGCCTTCATGGACATCAACTCGGCCAAGCACAGGTTCGCCACAGGAAGCGCTATGCACATGTGGTACCAGCCCCGCCAAACCGAGTTAGACGCTTCAGCCCTGAGTGGTTGCACGCGTTTGAAAATCGGGTCAGCACAGCGATGAACATTCAGCATAGCGATGAACATTTAGCGCATGCACGCCTGGCCCTTCTACTGTCGCATCCCCAAGTCGCCGGGTGCTTCGCTTCGGGTCAGGCCACCAGTGTCAAACGATCAATCCAAGAGCCTCTTCAAAGCTGTGACGCACATCGTCGAATCGATCAATCACCGTACCTTGGAGCTTCAAGTGCATCATGACTCGGTACGCTCTGTGTCCGAGATGGCGTTCGCCGAATGGCTCCACATTTTCGGCATCATCTGCTACGAGAAGTACAGAAACGCACTCAGTCCCAAGATGTTCAACGACAAGCTTGATGACAAGGTCGAGGAGACCTGCAATGCGAGTGTGACCTTTGATGAACATCACCATATCTGCGCCACTTACTCTCATCTCAATGGAAAAAGGGGCCCGCTCGAGCTTCGCCGGCTTCAGAGGCGGAACCGGCCTGAGGAGCCGGAGCAGCTTCAGAAGCATCGGAACTACTGTAGTGTTGCTGATGGCGCTCAGGGTTCGCTTAGCAGGTATCACGTACTTGAGGGATGATGAGCCGCTACTTGAGGTGCAATCACGGTCTCGAAGCCGGGGCCACCGGTACCTACAACACCTGGAGCTTTGAGCACTGGGCAGCGACGGCGGGACAGTAGCTGCAGCTGGACAAACTGCGGGCAGAGAGTATCGATGTTGCTGAAGCTGCCTCCTCGAGAGGTACTAGATCGTGGTGGAGCCGCTTGAAGGCCCAGGATCTGGTCACGAGCAGGCGCTGAGCTGGCTGTCCAAAACCCGTTCCAGGTACTTTAAAGCGCACATGTCTCTGCGTAGCCACAAACTCTCTTGAGACTGCTCCACGAAGGGCAGGCCGCTTGTTGCTTCCCATCATGAAATGGCACGGGCTCGCAGCATCTCGACCATCTTGTTGCGTCTCATTCTTTCCGCGAAAAGACCCCTTAATATACAGGCAAGATTCGCAATACATCGGCACAAGCGTGCCTCACAAATTCCGGCAGACACTGTTCCTGGATTCTATCGAGCCATTCCAGCTCGCTGTTTGTTCCAGCGTCAGTGTCCTCCGTCGCTCCTGCGAGCGACTGTTCGCGGTCCACGCTGCCGATGAGCTTGGTGACGGTGTTGATGTCAGGCGCCCTGTTCTTGCGCGAGGAGGGTTTCTGGTCGACCCATTCGCTGATCTTGGTTTCGACCGCATTGATGATGCGCTCGAGATTCTTCCATCCTGGGACTTGATTGTACAGCTTCGGTGGAATCGGCGTCGTTTCGGCCGCGCTTTCCAGAGAGGGATCGAGCAGTAGCACCGTCTTGCGCAGCGTCGCCGAGCACCGCACGATCTCGTACACAAACTGGTTGATGTCGGCTGTCGAAGCGAGAAAGTGGTCGGAGCGAAGGAGAATCGTGTTGAGCGTGGCTATGAGCGCCTTGATGAGCTGCGACAGGTCGCGCGTCGACCGGATCTCGGTATAGCGTGCTGCAAGGAAAGAGGCCAACGCTAGGACCGCACTCCAGCAGTCCTGCCAGTCATACTCGAGCTGCACGCGCTCGTCGGAACATAAGACGACGACGCGCTGGATGAGTTTGAGGCTGATGAGGTACGATGCTACGTCGATGCGCTTGCTGAGGTTGTAGCGGAGCGAGCACGTGGTGGAGTCGAGGACGGCGGTGACGAGCCGAGTGCGTTTTGTGCGTGGGAGAGCAAGAGCAGGCTCCCGTTGACGACAGAGGCGGATGTTTTGAAGGACGTTGCCTGACTGGTTGGTGACGGCGAGCATATTGCGACTACCACGAGGATCATAGAGGAGGACGAGGAGGCAGAGCAGAGATATGCGGGCGTACGATCCTGATCGTGTCGAGACAGAAGCATGGGTGGCGAGGTAGGAGGTCAGCGATGCCAGTTGGCAGAATGACTGATCGCGGGCCCTTGCTCGTGTGTCTTCCTGCGCACTTTGCGAATCGTCGTTATTACGGTCGGTGATGTCGAGAATGAGCGAGGTGAATGCCTGATTGGATCTCGAGAGGAGGAAGAGCGGCAGCAGAATGACGCACGTTGGTGAGGGAAGATGGGAGTAGTCTCCAGAGAAACTTGGCGCTGCCGAGGAGCGAGCCTCAGAGGTGACAGGAAATGACGATGTCGTGGGCGAAGTGACAAGCCCGGCAAAGCTCGAGACCCATCGCATGCTGGCCAGAGCAGCGATATTGCCTGTGAGAGTAGGCGGCGAGTCATCGAAGACCTGTCGATACAGCTCAACGTTCTGCTCCATAGCCGCAGATGCTGCCACCAAGACTTTGGCCATACAATCCTCGTCGACCCAGTCGTGAAAGCGGCGCGCATATGAATTCGATGTGCTGAGACTGAGCGAGACGCCTCCTGAGGCGCTCTGACCGATTGTGGCGAGGAGACCAAGAAGGACGGCGCCTTCGAACGCGTATCGAGAGCCATCCGGGGTGGAAATGAAGGTGCTGGTCGTGACGAACAGATCGCGACGCAGGAAGTACGCTGCCAGTGGGGTCTGAGCTACGCACGAAAGCCACAGAAGACCGAGCTGAAGCGCACGATGCTGCACTTCCGTGTCGATCCATTCCCTGGCCCTGGCACGAGCCACGTCCTGCTCTCGTTCGTCCAAGTCATCGCGAGCGGAGGAAGGAATGCGTACCCTGGCAAGGTCGCCTCCGCGCAGAGTGTCGTGGACAGAGTCGACAAGCAGCGTAAAGACGTCGTCCGCTTCGTCCATGCCCCCCGCAAAGATGGTGATAAGGGCGAACGAGTAGTTGGCGAAACGTTTGCTGAGGATAGGATACGACAGAGCTACCAAGGTGTCGACGGCATTCCTTCTGCGTACCTCGTCCTCGTCGCTCTCGCGCCAAACGCGAATGGCTTCCCTCCAAAGCGAACCGACATTGTCGGCGATGTGTGCGCCCTTGCTGTGCGGATCGTCATCGAGCAGCGTCTCGGGCGAGACGGCCTCGAGCTGCTGAGCCACCAAGCGCGTCTCTACTGGCAAACAGAGCAGATCCGCAAAGTAGCGAGTCCGGGGACCAGAATTGCTCTTGCCAGAGGACTTGCTGCGCGAAACAGCAGGCCGAGCTGAGGCGTCGTTGCTGAATGAGGAGGCAGCGGACGAGCCGGAGATGCCGTCTTGGTCCAGCCACGGTTGTCTGCCTTCGAGGAGTTGCTTGTAAGAATCGCTGAACTTGGTCTTGAGTGGCGGTCGGCTGGACCCGATGATGGACGCCATGCTGACGCGATCACTTGATCTCGGCACCGAGTGAGCTGATGGATGGAACAAGGGTGAGGGACTGAGCGTCGGAAGGGCCAAAATGGGCTTCCCGCACCAACCTTTCGGAGGGTCCGCAGGTGATTCACTTTATTCGGCAGCTTCCCGACAAGAAGGCTAAATTCAACAAGTGTTGGTCTCTCGAGCCGAGAAAGCTGACGCGTGCCCAACGCAACGCTCAACCTGCAAACTTAGCAGGAAGGGAGCCGCACAGCGCGTCAGTGCGTGAGAGAGGACAAAAGGTAACAACGTCACGCCCCACACCATTTCACGCTATCGCTGGGTGGGCTTGAGCTATTGGGCTTCCCTCTCTCCCTTTGTACGCCTTCGCTCGCCACCGTCCGTCTCCGCAACACTACAAGTGCGTTCGCAACCACACTCATTGTCGACCTTTCTACGCGCCAGACTTCTCACTCGACGTCGCTCGTATCCGGTCCTCAGTCATGAGATCATAGAGCCTCAGCGTCCCTTACCCAAGCCCAACCAACGTGTCTCCCGGCCGCAACTTATTGCCTCCTAGCACTCGATCGCTCCTTCAGGAAGCCATGTCGCAGGTCGAAGACTGGTCTGAAGGTGACTTTGACCTCGAGCACACAGCATTGCGAACAGACAGTACCTCGCTTCAGGATGTCCACCCATTCTCGCGTCTCGACCTCGATGATCAGCCCAACTGGGACGAGGACTTCCCTGAGGACAATCCCGACGAGAATTCGGACGAGCAGACCGAGACTATCAAGCTATCATCTGCTGCAGGGTCGGCGCTGAAGCTCATTCTCGAAGCGAACAAAGCTTCTACCTCTGCAGCAGCTCACCAAGATCTCGAAGATCAACTTCGCCCACCAGCGCTCGATCTTGCGCGCATTTCCCAATTTGCCAACACTGATCACACAACAGGTGCTGCGTCAGAGATCCGGGCGTACTCCACCGGCAGTCTCAGCACCTGTGGCAGCACCAGCGGCCTCAGCACGACGGCATTCTCCACCGACCTCACCGATCCTGATACTCCCAACAGCAAGCAGAGCGCTCATCAAGCATCAAGCATCTCGTCTCGCAGCTCCATCAATGCCAGATCCGACCTAGACGATCCTCTTTCTGATCTCGGAGATGCTTTCGAAACGGACTTTGATCTAGCGCCGGACATGAACAACCTCAGCCTCTGCTCCTCCTTGTCGCGCGCACGCTCCAACACCTCTCTCAGCCATGTCAGCAGGGACATCTGGGACGACGACCCTGCGCCGCTCACTGGCACCACGCATACCTCTTCCTCGTCACTGCATCCTCCGGCGTTTCCGGATCACCCACCCTCTGCGAAGAGTGTGTCGGGCGAAAGCGATGCCGACGACGAGCACGAGGACATGCTGGAAGGTCTCGACTTTGAAGGCAGCGTCTTTGCGACTTTACCTGCGGCTTCTGCTGCCTCAAATTCAGGCATTAAGGCAAAGCTTGAGGCCATCCTGGACCTCAAGCGCTCCGGTCAGCCGTCTGCTACCGGTGGTAATGACCAGATCTCGGACTCGGATACTGGCATCGCTGCCGGCCTCATTATCGATGACGACTTTGATATCTCCCCGAGCCGCATCGCTGCTCGTGGTCTGCCCTCGAAGCCTTGCTTCTCCTCCGTTCCTGCGCAGAACTCGGCCTTCATCGGAGGCAGCGGATCCTCAGCATCACACGCTCACGAGCGCCGACACCCCGTTCGCTCTGCGTCCGATTCTCCGGCTCAGGTTCCCAGCACTCGCTCCGAGGTCCGAGCATCTAACCGCAATCGCCTTTCGATCAAACGCTCCACAAGCGATCTGCATTCGCATGCCAACCCAAGCACGACTTCTTCGACGTTCAGGCGACCTCCTACTCGTGGCAGCCAACTCACACGCAAGAGGTCTTTACCATCTGTCCGAACGACACCGCCGACCAACTCGCCGTCTGGAGCCGCTCCGCCCACTCTCAGCGCGCGCGCGCCGTCCATACGGCAGCGCCACAACAGCGGCAATGCCGACGCCTCAACCAATTTGCGATCCAGAAGCAATGTCGGTTCCAGGCTCACCGACTCGACCGCGGCGTCGCGTGCAAGAGCCGCTGAGACCGCAGCCGATCAGCTGGCTCGATTGCAGAGGGATGCAAGCGCCCCTGCGCGACCCAGCACGCCTACGTCTTTCAACCCTCGATCGACATATCAGCCTGCATCACGCATCTCGGTCCACACTCGGGCTAAGGCCAGGTCCCATTTAGAGCGTCGCATGTCCTCGGGTGAAAGTCAACCCGCGGCCCGCCTTCTCAAGCGCTCCGTCCTTTATGGCAATGGCGCAGAGCTCGACGGCATCGATGATCTGCCAAGCTCAAGCGGTCCGCCAACATCGCAGCCGCAAGCGTCTTCCGTCAAGTCGAGCCAGCACAAGGCGGCTGCAAAGGATCACTCTGATGCTCCTTCGATACCTGGTGAAAATCAGCGCAAGCGCGGCGGCCGTCGCGGAAAGCGAGGCAAGCCGGCCCTCATTCGACCCCTCGGCGCTGGAGCAACCCCTGCGCAGAAGACCGTCAAAGGCATGCGATGGAATGCACACGCACTCCGCTGGGAGGGTAACGAGGGTGTCCTTCGAGATTTTGATCAGGTCATCCAGCGAAGCACGCGACCTGCTCTCATCTCACAGATGACGGGCAGCTCCACGAGCTCGGCACTGAACCAAGTGGCTGGTTACTCGTCGCCCCTATCGCCGGAAAGCAGCACTCTGATGAACAGCATCGCATCCGGAGCTCGTGTGGTCGGCGACATGCTTTTCGACCCCATCCAGATGCGATGGATCCCGAAGTCCGGCGATGAGGAGGAAGACGTGTTTGCAGGATTCGACGATGCGCTCGAGGGGGCAGACGGCTTTCCTGACGCGCCGGCGGCCAGACTTGGTGTTGATGGCGACAGTACGTTGCGTGCGCGCAGGACACGGTCTACGGAAGCATTCAGCCTATCGTCGAATCCATGGACGCCTCTCGGCGGACAGCAGAGAGCGACGCAAGACACGGACGCGGTGATTCGACACGCTTTGTCGAGGGGCATGTTCGCTTCCAATGTTGGCATCGATCGCGAGTTTTGGGATGCTTGCGTGGAAGCAGAGAAACGGCACGCCGTCGAAGTTGACGGGCTGCTGCCTCAGAGCAGCGGGCCCTCCCTTCGTTCTCGTACGCACTCGCAGACCTCGGATCGCTTGACCATGGACGAGATCGACCGCCCGCGACCGCACCTGTATTACCTCGAGAACATCGCCAAGAGTATCGTCACACCAGACAGCCGGCCGTAACGCAGGCCCGCTCCTTTCCCACCACTTTCTTTTCTTTTGCATTGTTTAGCATAGATACCAGCATTTGAATGCACACACTTTCCTTCATCTTGACGTCTCTCAAGCGAGTGATAGTCTCTCAAGCGAGTGATAGTCTCTCAAGCGAGTGATAGTCTTGAGACAATGATCCCAACGAGCCTGCCGGAGAACGTTGCAAGACCACGCGTGGAAGACGTCTTTGATAGCTGTCTCGTAGCTCAATTGGGAGCCAAGGGATGCGAAGGCTCAGTCAGGCTGTGCTAGACGAACTCAAACAGGGAATAGGTACAGGCTCCCGAGCGTAGCAAACTACATTATGCCAAGAGGCTTGAGATTTTACGTGTCCCTAAGGCAGGCCAGACAGCTGGGTAGGATGCCTACTCAGGCCAGCGCGGCGAGCAAGTGACTTAAACGACTGGACGCAAATGAGAAACGCAACCAGACCCTCCCGTAGACACACGAGTGAGCCTAACACTGTACGCGAACACGCTGCTCATCGCGTATGATCTGCATGACCCTGGGGTCGGCTGACCCTTAGGAACAGCTTCCCTCGGGGGCCGCGAGGGCCCAACTTGACGAGGATGTCACGGGGAAAGAAATGAGTTCGCTTCGGGAGCGTAGGACCTCGGGAGCGGTTGGCGCAGATCGGGGGGTTCGACTAGACAATGGAGAGAGAAGCAAGTGCAGTAACGCCGTCATCGTGCGGGAGCGGACTTGGGATTCTGCATCCGATCGCGATCCCTCTTCTCACGCAGAGTCGTGACTTTAAATGTGTATTTGCCGACTGGCCCGGGACCTTCAAACACCGATCAAGACGAGGTCTCTTGGCAGACTTTGCGGAACATTCTGATCGCTGCTTTCAGCTCAGACACCTCGTCGCGAGTGTATTGCTTGGCAAGGTGGGGCAGAGTCGATCGCGCGAGCTGAATCCACCAGTCCGGCACCCACACTTGTGTTTCACGCATCACACAAGCAGCCTGTCTCGTGGGTTCAGATTTCCGACACATGACCGACTGCCGGAGGCTTGCCCATCCAGCCCGGAGAGTCGGCCTTTAGCCTGCGTCTTTTGTTATTGGAGGACTTCGTGCCTGGTTGGCTGCGAGACCTGCGGGCTTGCAACCTTTCCTTGAGCAACCCCCTCATTTCTGCATGCCAGTCCCCTCGTTTCGTCTGCAGGAGACTGACCTGAAAGCCAGATTTTTCACCCTTTTCCCCGTCGAAATCCGCGAAAAATTCCGCTTTCTGCTTTCTTTATTTATTTTTTCTTTTTTGCTTTTCAGCGGCTTCGGTTTTGGTCAGCGGTCATAGCGGCTGCAGCTCACATACTTGAGTGTGGATACGAAACGGTCACCATTAAATCAATTGGACAACGAATGCCGCTGCTAGAGCGCTTCGAAGTTCCAATGCCTGTTCACGCTACCACAGTCTATGAACAAAGAAGGTGGGGAGAATACGTTCTGCATTGAGTTTCCGTTGGTGGAGAGGGCGCTTCCGTTCGGAAAAAATCAGACCACCTCGTGCGACTGTACCGCCCGAGTGCTGTCGGGCATGCATTCTAGCTGTGTCCTGCCGTCATCCGTTTCAAAATCCGTCGCGAGAAGCGCGCACCTCGCTTAATTCAAACATCTCCTTCTCAGCTGGGCACCTGCCCTGCTGCGCTGACACGCGAGCATCGAAGAAATTTGAATCCGGCTTCAGATGGCGACCTGCCAAAATGTGCACACTGCTCTTGCTAACGAAGCTATACGCTATCACTCGTCTTGTACTCACTCCGTCTCGAGCTCGCTTGGCGTTCAAGCCCGGTCATCACGTCGGATCGCGGCACATAGACTGTGTCCCGCTTCCTGCGCTTCACTCCTCCCAGTCCACGTCGCTGAACGCCCCTGCACAAAGCTTTTCACCCCACTTGGTTTGTCCAATTAGGCTCCCGCTGCCACACTTTGTGCCCTGATCTGCGCGACCCTGCCCACAAATGAGCTCGCCACATTGAGTAACTTACCCTATACATATACACATTGTCTAGGACGCTTCATCTGGTTCCCATCCCCCTTCAACTTCTGTTGCCCTTTCTTCCGCAACGTTTGGTCACCCTTTGAAAAGCGTGTCCGCCCCTCAACTGCGCCCTTCCAACATATCCACTCTATCCTCCCTCGTAGCTCGTGTCCCCTGCTGCTACCGTCAAGATGGAGAACAACAAGGTTCAAGAGGTCAACACCGGCCTTCAGACCGACGTCAAGGGCGAAAAGACCAATGAGCAAGTCAAGGCCGCCAACCACGGCAACCTCGAGAAGCAACTCAGCCCGGGCTCCGAGGAGTTCTCTCGTCCCGACGGCAAGTCAGTCGACGACATCTACGAGCGCAAGGTCTACATCCTCAACAAGGTCCTCAACGAGGAGATTGGCATGGGCAAGGTCCAATGGCAGCTCTTTTTCCTCTCCGGTTGGGGTTGGATGGCCGACAACCTCTGGCTCCAGGGTGTTGCCATTATCCTTCCTCAGGTCTCGCGTGAGTTCAACATCGAGAGCAACATTCGCTGGATGACCTTCTCGCTCTACATGGGTCTCATTCTCGGTGCCGCCCTTTGGGGTATCATGGCCGATGTCATCGGCCGCCGTCCCTCGTTCAACATCACGCTCTTCATTGCCGGTGTCTTTGGTATCGCCGCCGGTGGCGCCAACAGCTTCGTCGGTCTCGGAGGTCTCTTGGCCGGTCTCGGTTTCGGTCTGGGTGGCAACTTGCCCGTTGACGGCATGATGTTCCTCGAATTCATCCCCGCCAACAAGCAGTACCTCCTCACGCTCCTCTCCGTCTTCTGGTCGCTCGGTCAACTGCTCGCTTCGCTTGTCGCTTGGGCCTTCATCGCCAACTACTCGTGCGACGGCAACCAGACCAACACTCCCGGTGAGAACACCGTGCCCTGCGACGTTTCGCGCAACATGGGCTGGCGTTACACTTTCTACACTCTTGGCGCCCTCACCTTCGTCATGTTCGTCGCTCGCTTCTTCGTCTTCCGTCTGCCCGAGTCGCCCAAGTACTATCTCTCCAAGGGCATGGATGCCGAGGCTGTCGCGACGCTCAAGGAGATTGCTCGCAGGAACGGCCGTCCCCTCGGCGACGATGTCATCTCGGTCGAGATCTTCCGCTCTGCCGCTGGCCAGGAGGCCGACATGACTGTTCGCGAGGTCGAGGAGGAGCCCAAGGGCCTCAAGGCTCTGACCACCGCTCCCTCTCGCATGCTCAAGGACCTCAAGAACGTCTCTATCACTCCCGACCTGTCTCACGTCAAGCCTCTGTTCTACGGCTGGCGCATGGCTACGACCACCTCCATCCTCTGGGTGCTCTGGTCGCTCATCGGTCTCGCCTACCCGCTCTACAACGCTTTCTTGCCCATCTACCTGTCCGAGGCTCAAGGTGTCACTGACACCTCGTCCGTCGACACCACCTACCGCAACTACGCCATCATCTCGATCTGCGGTGTCCCCGGATCCATCATCGCCGCCTGGATGGTCGAACTGCCCCGTTCCGGCCGTCGTGGCGCTCTCGGCATCGGCACCATCCTCACTGGTGTTTTCTTGTTCCTGTTCACCACGGCTTCCAACGAAGGCGCCGTTCTTGGCTTCAACTGCGCCGCCGCCGTCGTTCAAAACATCATGTATGGCGTACGTATAAGCTCATCCTCACCCTCCGACGCTTTCAAGACGTTCAGAACGGCATGCTAACCATCTTTACTCTCCTGCAACATCACGTTGATTGCCCTCAATACCATCTACGATTTTCGTCCGACCCTTTTTCTTCGGCATTTTTTTTTTCGGCACGCCGTCGATCTCGGGAAATTTTCTTTTTTCGGATTTCTTTTTTCCCCACGTGCAAAATTGGTGCTCCCATCATCTCAACTCAATAGGTTCTGTACTGCATCACCCCGGAAGTGCTTCCTGCTCCTCACCGCGGGACAGGAGACGGAATTGCTGCGGCGCTGAACCGCGTGTTCGGGTCGATGGCGCCTATAATCGGTCAGTGGCGCAAAAAACGCATCGCAGAAGCTTTCAGGACGTTCAGAACGATGAACTGACCATATCTAGTCACTTGACGCTTTACGATTTTTTTCTTTGCTCAAACAGGCATCTACGCTGGAGGCACTGCCCCTCTGTACGTCGCAGCCTCGCTGTTCTTGTTCTCGGGCGTCCTTTCCTTCTTCATCCCCCTCGAGTCGCAAGGAAAGAGCGCTTTGTAAGCCAAGAGCTTCCCTGTGCTCCTCGAGCTTGTACCACCTTCGTAAATGAACTGTATTGGGCTCGTTTTGCTTTTCAATGCTGTGACTGCGTGGGTTGTGAGCCGGGATGTCTCTCGCGTGGCTGGGCCTGGGTCTCATGTCCTCGTGTCGACCTCAGCTGCCAAGTCCGTGGCAGCGAACGTGCGTGCGCCGTCGCGGATGCGCAGGAAATCAGTATCTCATCATCAGTCGTCGAGCCGGAGGATTAAGGACTAACTTTCTTCGAAGGATCATGGAACGACCTCTATTCGTGACGACCTCGTCCAGCGTCACACACCAATGGGGCACTCGATCGTTTTATCGGGAGGGACATTTGTATTGCAAAACGGGGCCAGGTCTGACGAGTCGAGCCGACAATGGCACAGAGCGTGCGTGCATCCAGCAAAGAGCTTCATTACGGACGAAGGATGGGCGACATTGCCCCACTGGCACCCTTCACTTCTTGACGCCGCGCTTGGGCTGCGTTCGTGTGCCCTTGGTGGCCGGCTTGGTCTCCTTCTTAGTTGCCGTCTTTGCCTTCTTAGGCTTCTCCTTTGCCTCTTCCTTGGTCTCCTCCTTGGCATCCGACTTTCTCTTGGCGGTCTTGGGCGTGCCAACGGCGGCAGAGGGGTCCTTGCGCTCGCCGCTCTCGATAGCGCTCTTCTTGGGAGAAGGGTTGCCCTTTTTGGCCTCGTTTGGGTTGTCACCCGAGTCCGTGTAGTCACCACCCTTGGCTTCGTAGACTTTGGCCATCTCGGCCGCCTTGTAGGCAGACCAGTTGCCCTTGCCACCACCCTTCTCCATGTTCATCACCTCCTTCTTGGCTTGCTCGCGCAGCTTGGGGTCCGTGGGCTTTCCCTTGGAGGATGGCATCTTGGCGGGTTGAGCGGATGTGTTGACGCGTCGAGGAGGTGTGACAAGCGGAGCGAGCCTGATTAGAGCTGTCTTTGCGAGGTGCTCTGTGGATGGGACTTGCAGAAGTTGACAAGCGCTGTCGAGAGGAGATATGATGGTAGCTGAAGGGCGAGCCGGATGGACCAAAAAGTGGATGGATGGACCTGTACATCTTGCGACTCAAGGGTCTGGTCCGTCTGCATCGTCACTGACAGCTGCGGTCGGGCTTCTTGGCACCAGGCACTATCTCACGCAATTGCTCGCACAACAACAGCCGCGTTTGCTGCATTATGCAATGCGCTAGCGTACATCTGCGTGGACCCGGACTGCAGCACCCCGCGTTTCTCTTTCCATGGACTCTGCTCACGGCGCGATACAAGAGTCAACTGGGCACCTGACCCCAGCGCTAAGATTCTTGGGCGAACAAGGCTCCGAGACCGGAACACAACATCTACCACTCACTTCGATCTGTGCAGAGAGCCGACGGATCGTAATTTGACAGCCGGGCCTCCGTCCGGATTTTCCATGGCTGACCCTGCATCCCGATCTACATCGAGCCCGATTCGACCGATCGGCAGGCCAGCTTTGCGTAATGACTCGGTTAGCCGCAACACGTTTTGCTCGAGGTTCGCATGCCAGAGCCGAGCTCATGAAGCCGCATAAGGTCGATCCGTTTTCATTTCTAGTCTCAACTAAACGATGCAGGGTGAAGATCTGTGTCAGGCCTCCTTTCGACAGAGTTGGCACTACTCTTTCGGGCGGAGGGTCACGGAGCATTGACGGCCACTCTCGCAATGTAGGGATTTGGGTCGAGGATTTCCGACGCTTCCAGACTCCGCTGCGGCGTGGAAGGCTATGCTTCAGGATCTGAGAAGACGAGCGCGAGACCGGGATGCGTTCGTGGGATAACAGGGGGAGGGTCAAACAACTTTTGATCGACAACGCAGAAGAAGCGAAGCCTCAGCGCGACTCATCTTCGGCCGTCTCTGCGCCTCCGTTTCTGGCTGTAGGGACGATCTGCTGCAAGGTTGATCGCCATGCAAGTCGCCGCTCGTTGCGATCCGCTGCATGTGAACCATTTGTCTGCTGTGCGCAGCGCTGGCTCTCGAGTGTAGACTCGAGCTCTTCATTCCGCTTCTCCCTCTTCTCGATCTCTCAAGAGCGCGCCTCCCGCATCTTGTGTAGTAATTAGCCGTCCACCTGCTTGCCTCTCCTTGACAGCGGCGATTTCTCCTTGGACCACGTACAGCAGGCGAGAGGACCCCCAATTCCGCAGGCTGTCGAAAAAAGAGGGTCCTGAAAATAGACAGAGCTCGAGTGCCAGATTCGAGTTTTTGAATTTCTGAGGCTGCAGCCGCTGCAATGCATGCCTGTGCTCGTCATCCGTGATCAGCAACGCACCAACGCGCGATGGCCACGACGGCGTGTGCTGCGAGTGCCTCCATCCACTGCCATCAGTAAATCACAATTCAAGTCACAATCAAATCGCAATCATTGAAAAATATTGCGGCAGCACAGCAGTACATGGCCAACACACATCCTGTGATTGTGGCTTTGCTTTCCTCGTTCCGTTGTCTCTCACACCTTCAGCCGCTCCTTAGCACGTTCAGCATTGACATTCGTGCATCTGTGCATAGTCGTTCTCGATTCCGCTCACCATCCTATCTCAAATTTGCTACTCCGGCTCGTGTAATCCGCCCACCTCCATTACCGGCATCTTTCCGAGTCGCTTCGGCCGTCAGAGCGTCGCAGGTCAACTCACATTGTTGTCACATCTGCACCCTCACCTCGACACTGAGTACAAGGTCGACGCCGTGCAGCAAGCGCCAGACACCCTTATCCTTCGCACCTTCTCCTTCACCACCGCCGACTCGGCATCGATCAAGCCCTACTTCTACACCGCACCTCTCGAATCGTCCAACATGCACGGCCGCTGAACACCTTGTCTGCATCTCGATCACCAGCAGCATTCGCCAGCTCGACACCCTCTTTGTGCTGTCACGTCTGGACTCACTTCAGCTTTTGTTGTCTCTCGTCCAGGCATTCGAACGTCAGCACGCCTGCGTGAGCCCGACCAGCGTGCTGCCCATGAGATAGCGCCCGGCCTCATCTCCTCGACGCATTCCAGTCTCACAGCATCGAGAGCACCCTTTCCCATTTCACAAGGATGCCAGCACCACTCGTCAAGGCCACCTCCCGTGGCGGAGCCTCGATCCAGAGCCATCCAGCCGGAACGATCGAACACATCTCCAGTCCCGCAGCCGCCTCCACGTCCCAGCTTCACCCAGTACCCTCCTGGCCCAAGATGGGATCGTCTTCGCAGGATGAGCAGGCATCTACCAAAGCCGGTCTCAAGGCTTGGTGGGCATCCTTCACCAAAGGTCGTCAGAGCAAGGAGAAGAAGCCCATCGAAAATCGTGTCTTTGGCGTGCCCCTTCGCCAATCGCTCAAATACGCCAGCGTCGCCATCTCGATTGCTGGCGAAGATGGTCAGCAGTACGTGTGGGGCTATGTTCCCGTCGTCGTCGCCAAAGTGGGTCTCTATCTCAAGGAGAATGCTACCGAAGTGGAGGGTGTGTTCCGCATTGCTGGCTCGCAAAAGAGAATGAAGGAGCTGCAAGACACCTTTGACTCTCCGCCGCGGTACGGCAAATCGGTTGACTGGTCCAAGTACAGCGTCCATGATGCTGCCAGCGTGTTGCGAAGATACTTCAACCACATGCCAGAGCCCATTGTGCCTCACGACCTCTACACCGAGTTCAGAAACATCCGGGCGAAGGAGCCTTTCGACGAGCAAGGCGCCATCAAGACGTATCGCCTTCTCATCTCCAGCATGCCACCCGCCAGCCAGTACTTGCTCCTCTACGTGCTCGACCTTCTTGCCGTGTTTGCTCGCAACTCGGAAAAGAACCTCATGCCATCGAGTAACCTCGCCGTGATTTTCCAGCCCGGGATGTTCTCGCATCCGTCCCACGAGCTCTCGCCGGGCGAACACAAGCTTGCGGTCCAGGTGCTCGAGTTCCTGATCGACCACCAGGACCAATTTGTGCTCGGCATGTCACCTCAACCTGCTCAGCAATTGCCCGCGACCGAGCTCACCGCTGTCTCCAAGCCTGTGCCGGACGAGGACGATCTCGTGCCGTCGGACAGCGACGAGGATCAGGGCGAGCTGCAGGCTCACGAAGGAGGAGGTGCTCGCTTGGCGCGCAGCAAGACGACCAAACCGAAGACCAAGAGGTACGGCTTTGGTCGATCTCGCCCCGTCGACGAGGGTGAGGATGACAGCGACGGAGACAAGCTCGCAGCGCAAGCTCCCGCTGCATCTGCCAAAGTGCGTACATCGACCGACGCATCGGCGGGAGCGAAGGGTACTGGCTTGCGCCGAAGTAATACCGCACCGTCGCGGAAGCCGATCGAGGGTGCATCGCCTGCTGCTCGGAAGGGCCGACGTCCGCGCGCCTCTGCAGGTGACAAGCGAGCAGCGGAGGAGGAGCAACGCAGAATCGTCGCTAGCCTCATTCCACCGCCGCCGGAACCCAAATCGCACGCTATGCAGAAGGCAGCGTCAAGTGCCGGCCACACGCAACCCAAACCGGCAAGACCTTCGACCGATGCCGGGTCAGCTGGAGCGACATCGACGCCGATGCGCAAGGTGAAGTCAGCAGACGGACCCGCTGCTCAAGCGTCCATTGCAAGCGTCACCTCCCAAGCTTCTGCCGGTGCCCCATCGACAGGGCTTCCCACGCCGCCATCGTCCAAGATCCTGGAATCAGGAGCACCAACAGCACCTGCATCTGCATCGGAGAAAGCCGAGGCTCAATAAGCTCCCTTTCTCGATGCGCCATTTGTCGCAGTCAGACCGTCTCAACGCGGTGCTGACACCACGAACAATTGCTTTGCCCCATTCCCCCTTCACTTCTTGTGCATTGCCTCTTCCCTTCCGCTTCTCCACACCAGCGCTCGCATCTCTGCTCCCACACCGGGCAGTGGAGGAGGCGCTCCCTGGTTCACGTCTGGGCTGCATATACCTCACTTCGCAGCTCACTCATTCTGCATCGTCCGGCTTCCCCTTCTTTCTTCTTAGCCCGTATCTTGCACTCACACACTCTCTTTTCTCTTCATTGTAACGGCTCTTCTTGTTGTCTTGTACCTCTGATGGAATTGCAAGTTTTGTCAGACCTTGGACCACTGAGGGCGTGCTTTGATGTGTGCTGAGGCTGCATGTGTCGTGTTCGGCGGTGCCGAGCTCGCTGCGTATGGTCATGTGAGACCAGGTTGCGAGTCTCGGGGTGTTCTGCTGACTGCCAGCTCCTGCTTGCGTGCGGTGATGAGTGGGAGTTTCCATCCGTGTCGCTATGCTGTCTCTTCCACAACCTCCTGTCCCTCTCCGCTCTCTTCCGCGGCGGCCTCCGCACCAGTCCACCAGCTGACCAATCCCAATCCGCTACCCGCGATACTCCCCGTGATACTGTAATGCGGCTTCTCCTTCGTTACCGCTCCCTCTCCCTGAGCAGGCGGAGGGCCCGGCTCCGCGTCCCAAAAAGCATCGCCCTCGACGGTAAACCTGACCCTTTCGCCTGCATCCAAGTACATCCTCTCCTCCTGACTGCTCAAAAGAGGATCCGCTGCGACCTCTTCGGACCTTGCTTCGTAGAGCCAGAACCACGCCTGTTCGCGATGATCAAACGCACAGGGTCGGGGAATGAGGTGCTCTGGGACAAAGATGTCTTCGAAGAACCCCATCGTGATGCGTATCCCCGAGGCGTCCGAGGATGAGATCTTGCCCACAAGTACTTCTTGTGTGAACGGCCGAAAGATGATCAGGCGGAACGTGACGCGGTGATAGAGGCACCCATCACCGAATCGGACTTTACCCTCGGAGCAGGAGAGCACGTCGAAGAGGGAGATGCAGAGGCCGACATCGGGAAGGATGCGGTTGGCGTACTTGACGTTGATCTGATCGCTAATCGCTGTGAGGGCGGGTAGCGAGAATGTTGAGGGGTGTAGCGGGATGGTGTCTTCGATGTCGGCCAGGACGAACATGATGAAGCGAGTGGGCTTCGCCTCGACTTGCTAGGTTGTCGACGGATTGATCGAGGCTGCGTGACGAGCCAGTTTTCGGAGCTGAACCGAGCTTGAGGTCGGTGCTTCCGCTTTCGGGTCTACGCCGACATACTGCGCGCGTAGTTGAGTGGTCAGCAGCGCTCTCGATGTGACTGCGGCCGATCGTAGTGTGATGAGACTGACGTCGTTGTCGAGGATCGAGAGGCAAGAGGGCAACAGGCACTCCACTTCTTCTCAAACAGCTGCACGCAAGAATTTTTTGGCTGGTTCCGAAATCCGCGCCCTGTCAAAAAAGGGTTCAGCTGATCGCTTCGGAAGGTCTTCCGCTCGGGCCTTCCACATCATCGGTTCGCTTGCGACTGCTTCGCCTTCGCCCATCACTTCGCCACAAAATGGAGTTCAGCAGCCTCAAAGAGCAGCGAGCAACGGCGCCGGATGCCGCCGAAGCCAGAGCTGCGGCTGCGGCGGCCTCTGCCGAAGCTGAAACCGGTTCAGCTTCACGCTCGGGAGCTTCTTCGTCCACGTCGTCTCGTCGGAAGCGCACCACGAAGGCTCAAGACACGGACTCCAATGCTGCCGAGACACCATTTGCGAAAGCGATGGCTGATCCATCATCTCAAGACGAGGCGCACTCACAGCCGCTCGAAGATGGCTCGCTCCCAACACCGGGCTTAGGATCTGCAGAGGGGGCATCCCCAACGTCCCCACCATCCCCACCATCCCCACCGTCACCCACCGAAGAAGCGCAAATGAAGCCGCACAATCTGCTCACCGCAACCTCAATCCTTCAATCGGGTGGCGCAGTCAACTCGCCTTTTGCACCCGCACCCATCCTGCGGCTCAACGCTATCCGCATCTCTGGAGCCAGTCGTGCGCTCCGTCCTGGTTACCTGACCTCTCTCTGCCGGCCATACATGGACCCCTCCCTCTCATCCTCATTCAGTACGATCTACGGCACCCGCACAGGTCACGTTCTCCCCGGACAACCGACCACGCTACCGTCCATCCTGGCCCTCACCTCCTCCCTCGCTGGCGATCTGGACAAGCTCGACGTCTTCCGCACAATCGAAGCGACTCTCTCCCCCTCCATCTTTCCCGGCGCGACCGAGGAGGACGTGGACATCATCCTCGCGTGCGGCAAACCCAAGGGACGGGTCTTCCTCAAATCCAGCACGGACGTGGGCAACGGCGAAGGGTCCGCCTCCATCCAGGGTAGGATCAGGAACGTCTTTGGCGGTGCGGAAACCATGCAGGGCATTGCGACGTTCGGTACGCGCACGAGGCAGGCGTTCAACGTCGAGCTTGGCGCACCTGCGGCGTGGAACCCGGACGTGAGCGGGAGGGTCGCGGTGTTTGCGCACGAGAGGGACTATTCGACGCATTCCAGCTTGTTCGAGGCTGTGAAGGGGTTGAAAGTTAGCGGTCACGCGGCGTTCACGGATGAGCCGAAGGGCGTCATCGATCCGACGGAAGAGGATGGCGCACGGGCGGTGACAACGCAGCATGAGGTGGCATACGAAGCCTCGGTGCGCGAACTCGGAAGGGTGAGGAGCGATGCCAGCGTCGCCGTGCGTAAGATGGCCGTTTCGCCCAGCGTCAAGTCTGCACTTAGCTGGACGTGGATTCGCGAAAGCCGGGATAGCGTCGTGCTCCCGAGCAGGGGATCGAAGGTGCGGACATTCCTCGAGTACGCCGGACTGGGCGGCGATGCGAGGCACGTCAAAGCTGAAGTGGAAGCAACAACGGGCCGTCACTTCTCGCCATTCAGCTGGCTCTACCCACCACAACCACCAGCGCCGACGCCGTCAGAGTTCGTCGATGAACTCACGCCGACCATCCCGCAACCAACCCTCACCAATCACCCGATCTATACAAGCCTCACCCTCCGTTCTGGCCTCATCCAGCCGCTCACCTCCACCCCAACCCACTTCAGCGACAGATTCCACCTGGGCGGCCCGACCTCGCTGCGCATGTTCCGCCACTCCTCGCTCGGTCCGAAAGGCGGCCACGACTCGTTGGGCGGCGACGCATACTGGGCGCTTGGCGCATCGGTCCTCACGCCCATCCCGCGCAAGCCCCACTGGCCACTGATGCTGCACGGCTTCGTCAATGCTGGTCAGGTGTGTCAGCTCCCCTCGGTGAGCAGTCGGGGATACGGGGCAGCGTGGAAGGAGCTGGGACAGCCGAGTAGCAGCGTGGGTGTCGGATTGGTGTACATGCAGGGACAGTTGAGGGTCGAGCTGAACGCGGGTGTGCCGATCACCGCAAGAGAGGGTGATGGCATGAGGAAGGGGCTCCAGCTCGGGATCGGGGTGGACTTCTTGTAGCGTACATACACAAACTTTTACGAACCACGCACACGGTTCTCAAACACGGACTTGCTCCGTGTCACAGACGCCAGCTCGACACATTCAGACTCGCAATCCGCAATTCTGCAATGTCACACACCTCAGACTCGAACATGCGTGGTTGAATCTCTCCGATTGACTGTGTGCGAGCCTACAAATCTTCCTCTTTAACAAACCCAGGGTTCTTGAGCAAGATGCTGAAGCCCTCGAGCACGTGAGCATAACTCAGATACTCCTCTGTGCCGAGCTCTGCCCTTTCGTGCGTGCCGACCCGGACGGGCGTGGTGTGGGTCTGGAACCCGCTGATGGTCCTTGGCTTGCCTGCCTGGCCGACGACGTCGACGGCCTTACCGACTCGCACGCTCGTGGGCAGCGCCTCGAGATTCTCATCGAGCGTAATGAGGAATCTCGGATACATGGCCGAGGAGAGGAAGTAGAGCATCCAGTGGCTCTGATCCAGGACAAACCCGCGGGCGTCGGTCATGGAGGTGAGGAGCGCGAGGATACCTGCCACCGCAGTGCGAGACATGAGCTGGCGATCCGTGTGGTAGGGGTTGATGCCAATGGTACCTTTGCCCATGTGCACCAACCCTTGGGAGACGCGCACCATGAACAGGCAGTCTGGCTCCTTGTAGTAGTACCCGGCAAGCTGGCGGAGCATCTGTGCGAGGCGGGCGTTGTTCGAGCCCGCGCCGACAAGACCCATGGCGAGAATCGCGTTGATCGCAACGTCCAGGTCCGAGTCGTGCGAGTATTTGCTAAGCGTGTCCAGCACAGGCATGGAGGGGTTGGATGGGTGCAGCAAAGCCAGCGCCAGCGGCACCGCGCGTCGGATGGTTGGCTCGCCGTAGTGCATCAGGTGCGACAAGTGGCGCAACGCCATCTCAGCTCCAACTTCTTCGCCCATTGTGACAAGTGCGATACCGATCACCGCAAAGGCTTGGAACAAGTCGTTGGTCTCCTTCTCGTCTTTGTCGTCCTTGTCGTCCTTGTTCTCCGACGACTCGGCGGCGTTCTCTCCCTCGGACGTGTTTGCATTCTCGCCCTCGGCAGTCTCTTCCGTGGTCTCGGGTGTCTGGCGCTCCGTGCAGTAGTGCAGCATCGTCTGTACCTTGAGCACGTTACCTGTGCCAGCGTACGAGCACATGTCTACGAGCACCTGCGCCTGCTTGCTGATGGGATGCTCGATGGCCTTGAGCGTCTCGATGGTGGCGTCGCTTTCGTCCTGCTTGCCGAGGAAGAGCAGCGTTAGACCGAGGATCATGAAGCGCGTCCACTTGTCGTCAAGCTGCGCCGGGTCGCGCTCCATCAGGCTCTGCAAAATGGAGGGAACGATCTCGCCGTGGCAGCTTCCAGCGAAGACAAAGCCGAGCGAGAGCGCCGACATCGCAGCAACCTCCATTGGCGTCGTCTCGTCCTGAATGTTGGGCAGCAGGAGAGCAGCAATGTCTTCGCGGCAGAAGCCGGCGTAGGCGAGACCGAGACCGACAATGGCCGAGATCTTGAGGGGAATGCTCTTTGATTCGATGTGCTCCGACAGCAACGCCATGGCTTCATCGAGCTCGGACCGCAAGCCGGAGTGCACAATACCGTACGCGAGGAAGGCACCAGCCTTGATGGCCTCCTCGGACGAGTACGAGTACTTGTCGATCTGGTCGAGACCGGTCTCGGTGTTCCAGAGCAAGCTCATACCGAGCGAAGCAGCGGCAGAAAGCATGCCGGAGTCCTTGTTCTTGTAGATCCATGAATTGCCTTCGGGCGCATCCACCATGAGCTTGTCGTTGCCGAAACCTGCGTTGACAAAGGCGTTGACAAAGGTGCTCGCCAGGTTACCACGAGCCGAGTCGACAGACCCGCCGAGACCTGTGCGTGAGTTTTCGAGGTGTGTCTTGTAGATGTCCTCGAGACTCTTGGGCTCCAACACGTTGAGGTCCTTGCCGAAGCTGACGAAATGACGCGAAAGGTTCGAGTTGTACATGATGTCGAGCAGCTCGTTGTCGGTGATGGGCGAATCCTCGTCTTGGAGCCACTCGATGGGGATGTGTTGTCTCGCGAGCATGAAGGCGAGCTGCTTGCGCATGGTGGGGTTCTTGGGTGCCTCAAAGTCGGCACGGATGAGATCCTTGTCGCCGAGACGGAGGGCGAGGGTCATAGCTTCGGTGTATCGGTCGTGCTTGCGGTAGATCTCGTGGGCGGTGCGGAGGAACATGGCATCATCGGGTGGTACGAGGAGGGTGACACAGCTGACCATGTAGAGGCAAACCCGTGCGTAGGTGTCCTTGTCGACGAACTGCGGCAGCTTGTCAATCGCCTCGAGCTCTAGCAAGAGATCAACAGCGTCGGCTTCCGCATTGTGAGTGAGACTGAATGGCACGACCTGTAGGGCAAGCTCAAGGAGCTCGTCCGTGTTGCTGTCTTCTTGCGATCGAGCGTTGTACTCTTCGCCAAGCTCGGCAGCAAGGTGACGCATGTACTCGTGACCCCAGAGGCCGGGGTCTTCCGACTTGCCGTCGGAAGCAACGTGGTTGGCCTGGAGACGGAAGTGGAGTGTCTCGCGCTGACCGTTGTCGGAGTAGGTCATGGCGAGAACCGAAAGTATCTCGGCAAAGAGGCTCTTGTCTGCGCTAGCTTGCTTCCATGATTCGTAGAGCGTCTTGAGCTCTGGGTAGTGGGGACGGAGGAACTTGAGTGGCTTGGGGACGGAAGTCATGGAAGAGGTACTTGTGCGGATGAGAGTTCGGAGCGATTCGAGCGCTGGTCGATAGAGGGATGAGTCGTCCTCTTTGAGACGCTCTACGAGCATTTCGAGCTCGTTCTTGAGCTGGAGATCCTCTTCAGAAAGCTCATCTTCTGGCTTGTCTTTTCCATTGAGCTTCTTTTCGTTGAGAGGCGGGAGGCCTTTGCGAGCGGCTTCCTCTCTTTGCTTTTCCTTTTCCTTCTGCTGATCTGTCTTCTTTGGGTCCTCGACGGGGACAGTGATGTCGAGCTCCTGGCCGTCACCTCGAGCCATTGTGGGCAACTGTTCGGTGCGTGCGAATGGGCTTAAGTTCCGCAGCGGTGCTCTACTCCAGTGATGGCTGCGTTGCGCTTGCTGGTCTTGTCGGAAGCTGATGTCGTTGATGTGGAGTGCTGCTGATAAGTGTGCGGATGCAGCGAGCGATACGATGTGTGGAAGGCTAATGAGAAGGGATGCGAAGAGGAGAGCAACACACGTAACGAGCTCAGTGTTCGGTGTGGAGTGGAAGAATCTCGTTGCGCGTCCAAACGCACAGGCTCAGCAGACAGCCAACGCTCAGGGTTCGTAGTCAGTCAAAGCCGATCGATCACCTTTGCGACTCCACTTGTTGATTAATTTGACGCGTTTCCGGATGTTTGATCGTACTAAAACAACAAAGCTCAGATCTTTTCTTATGTTAGAACGTTTATTTTGTGGCCCTCTTGCGTGATAAGTTGGCCGAGGGAAGAGGGCATTTGTTCCATACGGGCGATCTGATCCAAAGTTTCGGTTCATACACCAGACGGCGATAAGCAGCTGAGCTGCTGAGCTCGATTTAATGCAGCCTTTCTGCTAGCTTGCTCGAAGAAGGCTAGGCCTTGACGCCAAGCCTATATCGTCGCAGATTCCCCGGACAGCCCGTCGCAGCTCATCTTTGGTCCAAATAGGCTGCCCCCTCAAGCTGTGCGAAGGCGTTGATCATCAGCAGGTAGATTTGCCCTTCTTTCAGGCAGGGATTGAGCGAGCATTGATTCTCGAGATGAATCCAATCACGTCCGCATTTGATGCGCGCATCCAGTCGATTGTGACTGCCTCTCTCCATTCCACTTTTTTTCTGAGAGGGCGCAGCGCAAAACAATAGACAGCCGAGGCAGTCCGAAGCTCAGCTTTCCTTCCGCTTCTCCACCACCGATCTATCACCATAGAAGCTTCTCTTCACAACATACACGACTGGTGACTTCGCTCAACGGTGCATCGCCGACCCGATCAGCGCCTCAGCCACCTAGATCCCAACAGAGAGCAGCGCTTCCCAGTCGCAGCCTGCCAACTTTGCCAACCATGGGCCTCAGCAAAGAGACCCGCATCATCACCCTCTTGGTGATTGATGTTGTCTTCTTCTTCATCGAAATCATCACCGGTTATGCTGTCGGATCGCTCGCCCTCGTCGCTGACTCGTTCCACATGCTCAACGATGTCATGTCCCTCATCGTCGCTCTGTGGGCCGTCAAACTCTCCACCAAATCATCCGACCACCGATTCAGTTACGGCTGGCAGCGAGCCGAGATCCTTGGTGCCCTCGTCAATGGTGTCTTCCTCCTCGCGCTGTGCTTCAGCATCTTCATGGAAGCCATTCAACGCTTCGTCAACGTCAGCGAGGTGTCCAACCCCAAGCTTGTCATTATTGTAGGCTGCCTGGGTTTGGCGAGCAACCTCGTTGGTCTGCTGCTCTTCCACGACCACGGTCACGCTCACGGTGGACATGGTCATTCGCACGGTCACGGCGGTCACAGCCACGGCAGTCACAGTCACAGCCACAGTCACGCCGTTACCGACGGCTCAGCCCACGACCACGACAGCGCCCACCAGGACGAGGCCGAAAGCGGTGACACAGTTGACCTCAACTCGGTTGGTCGCAAGAAGACCAACTCGGCCTCTGCAGCCAACGACGACGCCATCCGCGGTCGCAGTCGCCAAGACAGTGTCGGCTCGATTCTCGGCCACCCCGCCCAGACGCGCGCCTTTGTCGTCCAGACCGCCCACGATCTCGGCTACGAAGGTTCGCGACACCAGCACTCCAACTCGATCACCTCGCTCGGCGGTGCCAACGAGCGCAGCCGTCTGCTCGGTAACGGCTCCAACGACTACGGCTCCACCGACCTCGAGTCTGGCAGTGGTTCTTCCGGCGCACGCAAGAACGGCCACTCGCACAATCACGAGAACGCCGTCCACAACCACTCTCACGCTTCCGACTCACACGATGCTCCCGGTCACGGTCACTCCCACTCTGGTGGTCACTCGCACGGCGAAGGCTCGATGAACATGCAAGGCGTCTTCCTGCACGTCCTCGGCGATGCGCTTGGTAACGTCGGTGTTATTGCTGCCGGTGTATTCATCCTCACCTCCTCCGCATGGTGGCGCTTCTACTCCGACCCTGCCATCTCGTTCCTCATCACCATCATCATCTTCCACTCTGCGCTGCCGCTCGTCAAGTCCGCCTCGTACATTCTGCTGCAGGGCGTGCCTGCGTCGGTGTCCCTCGAGAGCGTCAGGCAATCGATCATGTCCGTCGACGGCGTGCTCAACCTGCACGAGCTGCATGTGTGGCAGCTCTCTGAGAGCAAGATTGTCGCTTCGGTCCACGTACTGGTCGACTGCTCGTCGGGTCAGACCGAGAAGTACATGGAGATCGCGGCCAAGATCCGGGCGAACCTGCACGGATGGGGAATCCACTCGAGCACGATTCAGCCCGAGTTTGTGCCCGGCGGACTGAGGGAGGCGGCGATCCTGAGCGGTGTCCAGGTGGCCGAGAGCGATGAGGAGGGAAGGTTGAGGACGGTCGAAGGAAGACTGGTCGAGAGGGAGGTGCAGAAGGTGGATACGGCATGTTTGATCGCGTGTGGGGACGATAACGATTGTCAGACGGAAAGCTGCTGTCCGCCGACAGCGAGCGGGGCGCCGAGCAAGCCGGGGAGTGGGTCCGCCACGCCCGCTGGTGACCGTGCGTAGGATGACTACGGAAAACTGGATCTTTTGAAGTGAACGTGCTCTGGACTTGCTGCATCTGCGTAGAGCCTTGCAAATCGAAGCATACACTTGTACCGTTTCTCATCGTGCGGACTCGCTCCGTGACACATTCGGACAGCTTGAATCACACGCATCGAAAAGATTGAGTGGAGATACAAATCATTCGCAACAGATACAAACACACAGGGTATACAAATCCACACCTCCTCCTCCTCTTCCCTCCTCGTCCCATCTAAAAGAAGCTCCACCTACTCCCACCTCTTGCGCCAGCACCACCGCCATTCTTCTCCTGATACACCTTGACCAGGTCGCCCAATTTGCCCATGACAAGCTCCAACTTCTCCTTCCTCTCCTGCAACTCCAAATGCCTTCTTACGCTCGGGTTTTCCCTAGCAAACCGGCCCAGCTCCGCTTTGTCCGCTTCGTACACCAGCTTGGCATCGATCTCCCGTGGAAACTGGTAGAAGAACTCGCTGAGCAGCTCAATGTTGATAAACATCACCGCGGTGTAGGTGAGTTTGTCGGCGACCACATTCAAAAATGTTTCGGGGCAGAAAGCTTTTGCGCCCGGTCCGGAGCGACAGCGTTTGCTCTGCAAGGTCGAGAGGCGGGTGCGGAGCATCTTACTGCGTTCGGTGAGGAACAGCGCTTCGCGGGCCTTGATGAGCAATGCAGAGTTGTAGTCCGGGCGCGTCGGGTCGTTGCTATCGTCCTCGTCGAGGTCGGATGTAGCTGAGGCTTCCCGAGCGCGAATTCGCGCCTGCACCCGTTTACGCTCCCGCTCTTCCAAATGCGTAACGTACTCCATCGCACCCTTCAAGCGTCGTCCACCGAGCATCTTCTTGATACCGTTGAATGCGCCCTCGCACATGGACAGTTCGCGCTCGACCAGCTGGACAGATCGCACCCGCCCCGCCTCCCACTCGTTCGGCTCGACTTCCACTTCGTACTTGAACGGCTTGACGCAGTTCTCGACCTGGTCGGCTGTCAACCCGAACCGGTCACGCAGGATGGCGGTGCTGAAGGCGACGATGCGTTCGGCGGCGTCTGGGTGGTGGTTGAACGGCTCGCTCTGCGCAAGATGCTCGATCTGCGTTCGGATCGAGTCGACTACCAATTGGGTCGACAACCTTCCTATCCCGGACTTGGTGAGTGCAGAAGAAGAGGCGTCCAGCTTGTACGCCCAGTACTTGTCCAGCTCCTCGGCGCTCACCTTTCGTGCATCGGCCAGCTGCGACAGCTCGGGAGTTCGTGCATCCGACCAGTACATCTGCGCCAAGATGTCCATCACCTTCTCGTCCAGCGCTTGCTTCAGCAGCGCCCGCACCTCGGGCTTGCCAAAGTTGGACGCGAATTCCTTGAAGCGAAGCTTGAGCGCATCCATCGTCTCGGCGACGTAGGATTCGGCTGTGATGCTCCGGTCGTTGTACTGGACCTTGAACTGGTACGATGCTTCTTCGAGCTCGAGCTGGACGGCGTTGGCGATGCCATGCAGCGACGAGCCCATCGACTCTTCCAGCACGCTCATCAGTCGGCGTCGCAGCGTGTCGGTGCCCGTCATGGGCTGCACCCCGGCATTCCTGCCTCGTGCGGGGGCCTTGAAGTGCTCCCGATTGGCGTTGAAGTAGTCCGACTCCTGCTTGGCCACTAGGCTCGACATTCGGCCCTGTCCCGCGCTGTCGTGGCCCTTGCTGCTCTGGAACACGCCGAGGTTGTTCTTGCACACCACTCCGACATATCCTAATGCTAGCGGGTACTTGTTGTTCGACAGGATCCCGGCACCCACCTCGGGCGGAACCAGATCCATCTTGGTCACCACTCCGATTGTCCTCAGTCCGAGCGGATCCACCTGCCGACTGGCCCGCAGCGCCGGTGAGTTGGCGAGATCCACATCAGCCGCGCACACCGCGAGGATGATGTTCGGCTCCTGGATGTACTTGTGGCAGAGCTTGGTGATTTTTTCGCGCAACTCGTCGGGCTGGTCCATGGACGCGATCTGCACGTAGCCGGGGAGGTCGATGAGGGTCAAGTCGGGCACGTGCGGGCTGTGGATGCGCAGCTCGATGGGCTCGTCGCTCACGCACTCGGTGGCGGGCACCGCCATGTTGAGATCGTAGAGGGTCTTTTGGACGTGAGAAAAGTCCGTGATGCGGCCAAGACCGAGGCCGGGGAACTCGGCGTACTCGACAACAGTGTCCTTGGTCGGACGACCGGGTCGGGCGGGCGTGTGGATGAGGGTGAGCTCGATGGGACGACGTGTGACCATATTGTTGCCTTTGGGCAGGAACTCGTGGCCCACGATGGCTTCGAGGACCGAACTCTTGCCGCTGCTTTGCGAGCCAATCACCACGATCGAGGGAAGAGTGAGCTGGTCCGACTCGTGGTCGATTTCTTTGAGGATGTTGCGCACCTCGATGAGCTTTCGTGTGAGAAGCATGAGTTCTTCCGTGCTGCCCTTGGAGGTTCCGTCTGCTGTATCGGTCGTGTCGTCATCGCCAAAGAGTGACGAGGCAGCCACTGCAGCTGCGCCCGCCAGATGAGGTGCACCGTTCGGATCCGGTCCTCCTCCGCCGCCGCCGCTACTGCCTGCCCTTGAAGGATCAGCATCGGCGCCGTCTGCATCTGCCTTGTCGGTCTTCATGCCTGCAAACAGGTTGCGAAGAAACTCGGGAGTCTGCAACTTGGGCAGTTCGATGCCATCGATCTGCTCCGAGAGCGCCTCCCAGCCATCTCTCGCGCTGTCCATTGCATCAGCACCGAATTCGGACATGCTGCCGTATGCCTCCTTGGCACGTTCCGAGAGACGACCGTACCCACGGCCGAGCATGTCCTTGAATTCGTCCACCTTGTAGTTGGCGTACGCGAGCGCGCCTCCACCTGCTGCGATGCCGTATGCGGGAAGCCGAACGGCTCGGAAGGCAGCTTTGGGGACCGAGTTGAACGAGATGGCGCGGACGTGCATGAGACGGCTTCCTCGTGCCGAAGCGGTGAGGTGCGTGGACATGGCGGTGTCTATGGTCGAAGGGCGGTGTCCGGCGAAGCGCGAGAGTGGCTGGCGGAGATGGACATGTTGAGCGCGGGCGCTGCTTGTGTATGTGCGGACAGCGGCGCGCTGCGCAAACCTGCTGATGCTCTGATAGGACGACATGGCTGGGAGGGCAGCAATGTTGCTAGGCGCGTTGGTATGATACAGAGGCGAGTGGACGCTGTTGTCGAGTAGATCGATATGTGGAGAAGGGCGAGCAGAAGACCGGCTGGTCGCTGCTGTTCAGTCCATTGGTCTAGTCGTGAAAGTTGGAAGATGCTTCGTCGATGACGCAGTCAGTTGGAGAGTCGTTGGTGGCGTGAGGGAGCGATACGATGAGCGAGACCCTTGGTGTTGTTCGTCGATAACAAAAAGCTGAGCCAAAAATGACAACACTCAGCAGCAGCCACCGTGGCCGTGCAGCTCCACTTGCCGCGCAAAAACATGCCCGCAATATTTCAAATTTGTAAGGCCGATCGAACACTCACATATTGCTTATTTTCCCGGCCCATCAACGCGTCCATTTACGCGCCGCGCCAAAACTCATTTTTCCTGCTCGAACCGCATTCCAGACCAACACCTCTGCTCCTCATACCATCACCTCGACCGCTTGACCTGATGACCATCGACACCGCTCTTTCGACCGATCGCCCTGCCAAAACCGCAAAGTTCTCACACACCATGTCCGCCCCGTCCTCCTCGGCTCTTCGCCTGCTTGTGCAGCGCCACCCTTCGCATCCGCTCGCCAAGCTCCCCACCCGCGGCTCGGCCCTGGCTGCCGGCTACGACCTCTATTCGTCCGAAAAGGTGGTCCTCCCGCGTGGCGGGCGGAAGGTCGTACAGACCGGCATCTGCCTCGCCATCCCGGCGGGTCACTACGGGCGTGTGGCGCCTCGCTCGGGTCTGGCGAGCAAGCACGGTATCGATACCGGCGCAGGTGTCATCGATGAGGACTACAGAGGACTGCTCGGCGTGCTTTTGTTCAACTTTGGCGATTCGGACTTTACAAGTGAGTTGTATCACTATCATGGGACGGAATGCAAAGAAGGAAGGCTGACTCGGTGCTTGCTTCTTGGATCCAAACAGTCAACGAGGGAGACAGGATCGCCCAGCTGATCATCGAAAAGATCTCGACGCCCGAGGTGCAAGAGGTCGAGAGCCTCGATGAGACCTTACGCGGCGAAGGCGGGTTTGGATCGACGGGTGGATTCGGAGCCGCTGGTGCGAAGGACGCCACTGCTGCTGCCGTCGCTGCGGATCTGCCCGCCGAGGTCGGATCCAAGTCGTCCTAGTTGCTCTAGATGTCACTCTCAAAACGGAATTGCAGTCACATATGATAACTTCACGACAGATGGGTGTGCGAAAGCGTCACATTGTAGATGCTACGAGGTAAGAGGTTGGTAAGGATGCTCGCGCAGCCAGCAGCTCTCGTGGTAGACCAAGCCGGTCTTTTGAACCACGATCCTCTCGTCTTGCTTGCTCTCCGCTTCTTCCGCTTCCTCATGCTGCTGCTCAAATGAGGTACCGCCCTCAGTAACCCGCTCTGCGTACTGCGCAGATACGCTTTCTGACCTCTGTCCGAATCGCGAAGGCGTCAGCGTCCCATCGCCATCCTCCAATCCTCCGTCCCCATTCGCCTCCTCTGCCGTCAGCGACAGCCTCTGTTCAGGCTCATCGTTGATGCGCAACGAGAACCCAACGCTGCTCGCTGTCGAGTTCGACCGTGTCATTGCCGCACTAGGCCCGCCATTCGCCTGCGCAGACCTTGCGCCCAGCTCGCTGCCAAAGTACCCATCGACCTCGTTCGGCGTGTCGGTTTCTTCGCTGGCGTACCGCCGTCCCGCACTGCTGCTGCTTGCATTGCCGTTCAAGTGAGAGAACTCAGTCGAGGCGGATCGGACGACACCCTTGCCCTTGTCGACGCGCGGAGAGGCGAGCGGGGCTGCTTTCCCGTCGTACGGCGATTTGGCTCGACGATGATGCGTCTGCAGTAGCGGCGTGGAGGGCGTCAGCAAGGCATTGCCCGCGCTGCGGCCGCCGTAAGAAGAGGAGAAAGAGGTGCTGCGCGATGGCTGGAATGTCTTTCGCCTGAGATCTTCCACGACGGCGGCATGGTCTGCTTCTGGCGACGTGACAAGCATGGCCTGACCGTCTCCGATGGCGGTGTCTGCTTTTGCTGCGTTCGTTCCGCGTTTGGGTCCGACCAAGAGCACCTGGCATCCAGCACATCGAGAACTGGTTCCGCCGGCTGGTCGCCATCCGTGTCGTCGCTGTGCGTGCAGACGGCGGAATTGATGGAACGTGTCGTGGTCGAAAAGCTTGTTTGTGATCGCCAGCAGCTCCGATCGCAGATGATACGCTGATAGCATGCCATCTAGCACGGAGCGAATCTCGGCATAGTACTCGGCGACGCCGGCTTGATGATCGACATTACTGGCCTTGCCACCGGACGGGACTTTGGCAGTATTGTCGGATCCAGTGAGTCGGCGGAAGAGCGCAGGGAACGAGACGGCTTCGGCTGCCGTGGAAGAGATCAGGTCGGAGAGCGTTTCCTGGACAATGTCGCGGACGCCATTGAGCAGCTGCTTCGGGCGCGGTACTGCCGCACTGCCGCTGTATTCCTCGTGGCTGACGGAACCCGAGGGGGAAGGTGCGCCTAAGTGAGCAACATCGTGCACCAGACGGACAAGACTGCGCAACAGGCGATACCACACCTCGTCCGTATCGAGTCGCTCTTCCGCCTTGACCGACTTTTCGTTCGTCACGCGATCCTCGTCATCACTCTCGTGGACACCACCAAAGGCGTTGGCGCGCTCAATGCACAGCTGCACAGCTACGTTGACGCAGCGCCTGATATCAGCCAGCAGCTCGTCCGCGATGGACGAGGCCGGATCCACACCAGACTGCTCTGTGGCCACAAAGACGAGCGAGTCGGCCGTTCTGGAGCACGCCGTATCGAGCTCCTCAAACGCCTCCTTGGAACGTCCGAGTCGATCGAGCGCCCATAGGACTGCATCGCTGTTTTGCGCCACTCTGCTTCCGTCGATGGCCGTGTCACCGCTGCGACACGCCTGGACAAGTCGGTCGAGATCGAAGAAGCTCGCGCCCTTGGCGTCGAGGTTGCGCACCACCGCCTCTGGATCATATCGACAGAGTAGATCCAGGAACGCCTCCCGGTCCTTGCGGGGCAGATGCTCCGGGTCCGCTCGTCCGACATCGGCGTTGAAGATGGCAGCAGATGCTGCCTTTTCTGCGACGTCGTTGGTCCAGTCGAGCTCTGCCGTTGGAAGGTGGCTGGTCTGATCTTGTTGCTGAGACACCTGCTCCGCTGCGGTCGCCTTGCCGACTTGCACCGGCTCGAAAAAGCACTGCAGATACAGCAGTAGCCTCTTCTCGTCCAGCTGAGCTAGCCGTTGCAGCACCTGCTCGTGCCGCGTGGGGAAGAAGCGATCCATCATGCTGGCTGTTTTGAGCGGATCAAGGTCGAGCAAATCGATGATGTGGTCCGAGAGTAGTTCGTGCAAACGGATCTGAAGCTTGTCCCCGCCTGGGGTGTCTTTCCTTGCTGCATTAAAGAGGGTCTCTTCGAAGTGGGCAAAAGCGTCGCCGCCTGTCGCTGCAACACTGTCTTCGTCTTCCTCGATGGTCTGAGTCGGACCCGCCCGAAGATGTTCTCGGAGATACATGCCGAGCAAGCGGTCCCATTTCTTCTCTTGTCGGAAGGCGGACCGCAAGATGCGGTGAAAGTCGGCGCGTTCGAATGTGTCCAGCCAGTCATCGTCGAATCGTGGCTTGTAGTGCGAAAGCAGACACTCAGCTGCCAGCTCGCGGTCTTCGTGTGTCGTCTCGCCCATCTCCATGTCGACTGCGTCTGCATCGTGCGGCGATGGAAGCGCAAGGAAGCGAAGCAGGACGTCCACGTTCTGCGACGAAAGGTGAATAAATTGAGGATACTTGGGCGCGTTACGTGCGACGAAGATGTGGGCAAAGATGCGCGCCATCAGGGGCAGCTTCGGCGACCTGGTGTCCGGCGCGTGGCCCAATCCTTCGTCAGATCGGGTAGAACTGCCACTGACGACCCTCTGCGGGAAGGAAGGCTGACCACTGGCCAGCTCGAGGAGGACGTCAACTATGAGCTGCCTGCTGAGACGCTTTCCGACCACATCTTCGTCATCGAGGAAGCCATCCTCGAACGCCAGATCCAAAGCGTCGAGGAAGGCTTCGGCGTCAAACTCCAGGAGCAGCCGCAGGTATGGGTAGAGTGGTTCGTGGTCTCCGTCGTTGGCATCTGGGCTGCCATGTGGGCGTGGTCCGTCGTTATTAGCATCGTCATCCAGTCCGTAGAGCACAAGCTTGCCGCCAGGGCCTGGAGGCCACAGCATCGAGCCGCCGGAGAAGATGAACGCATAGATCGAGCTCTTGGCCTTGCTCGCCTGCTCGTCCTGCTCGAACGGTTCCTGGCTCGGATACCTGTTGCCCGTCAGGATGACCGACAGGTACGAAAAGACACGATAGCCATCTTCGATGTCGCGTTCCTCGGAATCCACCTCTGCCTCTGGTTCCTCTTCGTCAAGAGTGTCAGAGACACGGACATGTGCGTATGGATCGTCGTTTGCCTCTTGCAAACTGGCGGCGTCCCCATGCTGTTGCTGCTTCCGTCGACGCCCAATCGCGCGCCGCACAGGATGAAGCATCTCAATGATGGGCGAGACATAATCCTCCAGGGCAGCATTGAAAACGTAGGTCAAAGCGTCGTAGAGCCTCCTGTCGAGACACAGCGACAGAGCTTGATCCAGGTCGAGTGATTTGGGATCTACGTGCCAGATGATGCGCTCTGCTTGCGCATACTCTTGTCTGTCTTTTCGGAAAGCCACCAATCTCTGCACCACCGGGATTGGTAGCGATCGCAGCTCGCCTGACACGATGAAATCTTCCATCTGTCCGACAAAGATGCTCTCGATGCCATTGTCCTCGTACTTGTCGTACAGCGTATCGAAGAGAAAGTCGAGGTCGTTGAGCGAGAGACAGGCGCGTGCACAGACGCGAGCAAGACCTTGAAAGAGCGAGGTCCTGTCGACGCCACGGCCGTCGGCTGTCACATGTGTCGAGTCGGTGAGACGGTCGGGCGAGAACGAATACTCGGCGGACGCCGCCATCAGATCTCGAAGCTTGTTGGCGACAATGATCGTGCGCTCGTCAGGATCCGAAGGGAGACCAACGGCAGATCCGAGAAACTTGCCCTGGTGGAAGAGGGTGGCCAGCTCGATCGCGGACAAAAAGTCGCCTGAGGTGACGTAGAGCAGCAAGCGATCGGCCCAGGAGAGAAGAGTGCCAACGACGAGATCTGACTTCGTCAGAAAGAAGGAGCGCCCTTTGGAGATGCGGACGCTGTGGTTCAGAGCCCACGAACGAGGTCGAAGTGTTTCGTCCGACTCGACGTCGTCTTCTTGCGGCTCGGCGTGCGGATCAAAGGGCTTGCCGAGCAGCGCAGCGTCGTAGTATCGCTGCTCGATGGTCTTGGCCAGGATCACCGACGCACTGCCCCCCCTCATCCTCTCAGTCACTTTTCCGGCTCGACAATCAAAGAGCGCGAGACCGGATCTTGTAGTGATCATCAGCAGATCCGGGCTGAACCACTGCAGAGCGACGATGCGATCCGGCTCCTCGATGCCATCCTCGTTGGTGAGCTCGACCGGATCGACCTCCTCCACCATCGTGCTCGCACCTTGGGCGTTCGCGCCTCTTGCAGCTCTGGGATCCTGTCTCTGTTCCACTTTTCTGACGACAAGCCGCACAAGATGTAGAGTCGTCCCAAATGAGAACGCAAGGATTGGATTGGTCTGCCGCCTGCGTCTGCCGTCCGTCTCTGTGGATGCTGGATACCAAGCGAGGCAGCCCGGCTCTTGCTCGGCTTGCTCTTCGGTAAGTGCAACGATGGTCGGCTTTTCCTCTGCTTGTGATGGGCTGAGTTTGCGATACCATGTCCGCGGCGAAGGTTTGAGCCCGACGAGCACCAATTTGGTGGGCGTGATCATGGCGACAAAGGTCGTGTCGTCCGCAGCATGTGGCCCAGGTCCCAAGGGCAGAGGACTGAGCTGGAAGATGGTGTTGCGCTTCTTGCTGTCACCGAGACCCAGCTCGTCCTCGTGCTCGTACTGCGGATACTTGCCGAGCAGACGGAGTGTGTCGACGGAGCTGACTCCGAGGATCCGGCCCAGGGCATGGTAGAAGGCTAGGCCTTTGTTGTCGGCGGTGACAATGGCCGTGTGACGGAGACCGATGAAGCCGATGTGGACGACAGCGGAACCGGAAAGGTGGCCTTCCTTCTTACCAAGCTTGACCGACGACAAAGGGACTGGTGGTACATGGCGAGCAGCGCGCCCTGGATTGGAGAGATCATAGAGAAAGATGTTGCCTGATGCATGTCCGACGCCGAGGAAGGAGTGATCCGAGGAGAACGCGAGCGCGGTGACCGCATCTCCATGGCCTCTGCCATCGTGTCCGCACGAGGCTATTGGCTCTTGAGCAAAGTCGCAGACGACGGTCTTGCCGCCTTGCATTCCTATGGCGATGAGACCACCAGCCACGGCGAGCACAGTTGGGATTGGCTCAGGAGCGTCGGGAGCGGACTTGGCATCAGCGATGACACGCCGCAATGCGGACCACTTGACGACGTCGCGGCCGAGTTCGTCGCGCTCATTGTAGGTGGCCTCCTTCAGGGTTGGCTCCGAAGCTTGGTGATCACTGTCCTGCTCCGCACCTCCTCCCAGGACGACACGCTGTCCGATGCTCTGCTGATGAGCGGAAAGAGAAGACGAGGCAGGGTCGCTGAGGAGGGAAGTGGAGGTCTGTGCTGTTGGTAGCTGTAAACCGTTGACAGTGCCGCCGTATGGAAAGGACGCGCGAGGACGGCGCCGCTTGTTGTGGCCGACAATGGACCCGCTGAAGGTCGTCGAGAAAGAGCTCTGCCTGGATCGCTGCAGGATCGACGACTCGCCGAGGACTGAGCGATTCGCATCGTCCTCTCTCGAAGGATCGGCAGCCGCGCCCGCCTTTCCGTTTGCGGTGAACTCGAATGGAAGCGGCAGACGAGCTTTCTTTGGGGAAGAGGACGACGAGGGTGTGCCAGGAATGTCACCTGAGGATCTTGCAGACTCTCCATAGATATGCTTCGGAAGTGTTAGCGAGGCGCTCGCAGCTCTGCCTACCGAGGCTCTTAGCCGCGAAAGAGACGGATAGGCAACGGGGCGTTGTGGAGTAGACGCTGAGATGGTTGAGCTGGGCTGACGTAGAAGGGACAGGCCAGTGCCTGAAGTCGACCGTGGGGTGAAGATGCGTGAAGACGAGGGATGTGATGGAAGGCGGTGGTGTGGGAGCTGATGGTTCTGAAGGGAAGAAGCAGATCTGGTGTCGAAGCTGACGTCGTTGGGCAATGGATGTGGGTATCTGAAGGAGGAGCCATCGTCGCTGGGCGCTGCTTCTGCATGGCGCGGTGTTGTGTTGGAGGCAGAGTCGACATCTCCTTGCAGTATCGGGCCTCTCTGTGTAGTCGGAGAGGAAGGCGAGGCAGCCGAGGAGCGCACAAGCACGCTTGTGTCGATCACAGCCTTGACTGCGGTGTCATCCTCCTCGTCATCGTCGCCATCGTCGCCATCATCGCTGCCAAGGATGTCCTTGAGCTTGGCGCTGTAGGTATCGGAGCTCATGTCGCCAGAGACGATGCTGTCGCCGGAAGTGGATTTCGAAGGCCCGCCTGCTGTGTCGATACCACTGTAGACAAAGTCGTCGTCGTCGTCATCATCCTGATCTACATGGCTATCCGCTTGAGCATCGCCCTTCCTTCCATCTCCAAGGGACGATGCCTGAGGATCCTCTCGAAGCTCGTCTGTTGGAATATGAGGTGATGCAAGGACATCATTCATCTGCTGATCGTAGGAGGCATCCTTTTGGGCATGGAAGGAGGAGATGCGCTGAGCATAGGATGGCTCAGCGCCCCATGGGTTGGAGTCGGAAGAATCGTTGCGCTCCATGCTGCGGTAGATGAGGGTGGTGATGGACCCTCTGAAGGAGCGACCTAGTTAAAGGAGCCACATCGGCTGTCCATCTCGAGAGGCTGAGCTGTGATTGCGCGTTGGATCGAGGCTGTGATTGGCGTGATGGATGAAACAGATGGATGCGAAAGTGGAGAGTGCTTGTCTCGGCTCGAGCTGTCATTCAAGAAGCCCTTTGACGTGGGCAGCGGCCGTGCGTATCCTCCATTCAGGGTTCTCGGCTAAAATCCTCAGAGTGTTACGTCGTGGATGTGGATCGGGCTGAACGGAACCGAGGCTGAAAAAGGTGAATCATGGCCGCCTTTGGCTTGCATTGCCGTATCTCTCCAGTCCTTCGAGCCGAGCAAATCGGGGACCACTTCTGACAGGCAAACCGAGCACACCATTCCTTGCGGTCATCCTTTCTCCCCTCCATCTTGCCTGCCGCACATACTCATAGATCATGGCGACCCCAGCAGCGACATCAGGCCCCTCGCAAGCGAACGGCGAGGGCTTCTTTCGCTCGCTCTACATTCACACGCACGATGTCTCTCGCTCCCTCAAACCATCAGCCGACGGCGAGCTCGCCCACGCAATCCACCAAACGCTCCACTTTGCTCTCGATGGGCATCCCGACGACTACACGCCTTCTTCGTCCAACGATGGTGCAGGCTCAGGATGCGATCCGCTAGCCACCATGCCTACTGCCACTGCTTCCAACGGCGTCGAGACGAGTGCATCCGCCGGGCCCTCAGGGACCAACGTCAAAAAGGGCTTCTTTCCCACAGACGATCCGGAGCGTCCTTACATCTCGTATCACTGGAACCCTCGCTCGGCAACTCTAGCGCTCCCGAACCCGGCGACGATCACCAATCCCATAGCCGACCCGTGCTCACCAGATCACCGAAGCTCGTACGACATTACGGCCAAGTTTTTCTTTCTCGACCCTACCGATCTGTCCCCCGGGTTAGTGGATGATGCGTTGACTCGACTGACTTCCACTACCGGCATCATTACGGTAGACACGCTCGTGCTGGCGTTCCCGACACTTGAGCTTGACTCGCGATCGTCTTCTTCCGAAACATGGGGCTCGTCCGTGACAGAAGCGTGGTCGCACGTCTCGCAGAACCCGCAACTCTTCTCCCTCGGCCTATCCGACATCTCACCGTCCAATCTGCGACAGCTTCTATCGTCGCTTTCGGTGCAGCCGCCGTCGACTCCGCTCTTCTCGCCGGCAATCCCCTTGTCAACTTCGACGACAGAACCGTCGGCGAGCACAGCGCAGCCCGATGCGGCCGACGCAGACGTCCCCTCCTCCACCACCCACCACCTCGCCAGCTCGGGAGCAGGGTCGTTCTGGAACTTGGAATACTCCACCCTCAGCGCCGCACGTAGGCCGAGGCTGGTGTCGATCAATGTGAAGCAGGATCCCTGCGCATTTGATCGCGACTTCGACTCGTACTGCACCCAGATGGGTATTCAGCTCGTCGCACACTCGGATAGGAAGGATGTCCTCCCGCAGAGGACACTACCGAATTTGATGGATGAGTTCAAGGACAGACTGCCGGTGAAGATGGCAGGGAGACTCAGGGCAAAGTGGGCCTTGAAGTATACGACACTGATTCGGGACAGGGGTGTGCTCGCCGACAAAGGGTACATTGTCTTTGTCGAGACCGAGAATTGATAGGATTGTATCGACATCCTCATGCACGCAACGGAAAGAAACATTTGCAAACAACCCCACGTAGGGAAGCTGTATTAGTCTCGATCTATGAACGACTGTCTTTTGCTTCCTACAAGTCGTCGGTACGAGCCCGCTTGATGGGGCTTTCCTTGCCGCCCGCCGTTTCTCCCGCCGTGACCTGAAACGCATCCGTCACCACTTGCGGCCGTGGCGTCTCGGCAGCTTCCTCCTTCGTCTCTGCATCCGGAGCAACACCGCCTTCCCAACCAGCCAGCGCAGTCGCTGCGATCGCCTCCTGATCCTCCGTACTGGTCTGCTCCTGCTGCTGAGGCTGAGCGGCCTCGATGCTTCGGCAGATCGGGTCAATCAACCCCACATAATCCTCTCTAACGTAGGTCACCAAATACGGTGTTGCACCCGACCGATCCTTGACCACCTGGTCCAGAGACGTCGCCGAGACTGCCGAGTCGTTGTACTTGAACCACTTGCTCTCCGGTCCGCCACCGCGCAGGTTGAGAAAGTAGTGCCCGTGACTTGCCTCGCCCCGATGCATAAACGCCGCCACCAGCCGATAAGAGAAGCGATGCTCGTCGGACCAGATCGAAGCCATCTCGGCTTTGAGCGTCTCGATCTGCTTCTCGGCTTCTTTGACCTGCTCCCGGAGCAGCTTGGATTCGTCTCGGAACAGTTTGGAGAGACCGGGATCGATGAGCGATGAGAGAGCTGGCGGCAGTGGGCTGTTGTCGTCCTCAGAAGGACCAGAAGCGACGTCGCGAGCTGCTGCATGCTCGTCAGCCATCGTTTCCGTGCCATGATTCGCCTCCTGAATCTGCGTGGCAGCCTGCTTGGCCTGAGATCGAGGGGACAAAGATACCGGGTCAGCCGTGTCGGCTGGACCGCTACTTTCAGCGCGAATCTCGTCGAGCTGAGCCGCCACATCAGCCAGAGGAGGCAACCTTGCAAGCTCCTCCACCGCGTTCGCAGCCTGGCTGAGCGTCTGTGTCAGATGGAAAGTGGCGCCGTCCTTGCAAGCAGCCACTTTGCTTCGCAGCTCCTGGATCTGCTTCCTTTTGGCTTGGTAGTCCAGCCTCTTCGCGATTCGCACGGCGCCGTCACCGTCGTCCGCATTGAGGTCCATGTAGCGGTCCATATAGACTGCCTCGGGCAGTTCGAGATGGGCTTGCGACTTGAAGGCCCGCATGGTGGCACGGTCGTATTGCACACGCTGCAGCTGAACTTGCAATAGCGGCGGTGCAGAGAGCAGTGTCACCGACCGACGCTGCACGGCACCCGAAGTGGCAACAAATGTGTCCGAGTCGAAAAAGCCGTCAAGGCCGTCGTAGATGTCGCGGCCCTCCTCCAGGACGTCGATTGGAAGGATCTTGAAAACTTCATGCTTGATGTGCGTGCTCGTTTGCTTCTGAGGTTGACTTGGTCGAGACGGTGCACCTTGCGAGCCGCTGCTGTTTGACTGGTCGCCGACATTCGTAGGAGCGATGGTGTCTGCTTCGATGCGTTGACACGTCTTGCCCAAGAAGAGACCGGTGAGCAGATCCTCGTGAGGAGTGCCATTGACGACGATGCTCGAGAGCTTGGACTCTTCGCCGCCATCGACGTCCATGTCGTGCTCGGCAGATGGCTTTGGCTTAAGGTCGGGCCCATCAGCCCCTTTAGTGACAGCCAAAGCAACCTCGAGCTGAAACATGCAATTGTCCAAGCACTCCGAGACATCCTGCTGTGCGCCCAACTGCATGAGCGAGTTGCGTCTCGCAGGCGGCGGCAGCGTTGCGGGCGTACTTTCAGTAAGGGTCGGTCTGCGAGCCGTCGGACGGGGGGGCAAGGGGGGTGGACCGTTCGGTGCCGAGGCGAGAGCCGGAACAGACTCGGCTTGACTAGTGCCGTCTGCAGTCGTGTCCATCGATTCGCCGATCGAAGATATTGTCGAATCGAATGGAGCAGGTTGAGTCCCGGTCTCGAATGGCGCAGGGTCAAAAGAGACGACAGACACAACTGGATCGCCGCTCTGGCTCAAGGGAATGGGTGTAGCTGCTGCCGTGTCGACGACGGAGCTGAATTCGCCTTCCAATTCCTCTGCGCGCGACGAGACGAGAGCGAGATAAGCGAGCTCCCTCTCTGGACGGACCGACAAGGCATTGTCGTGAATGAGATGATGAAAGAGCTCGCCGAGGTGTGCCACGAATCTCCTGCTGCGTTGCCATTCGCGAGCCGTGATGAGCTGGCCACCTACCCTGCGGTCCTCGTCGATCTGATATGTGTCCGCTGGCTCGGTCAGAGTAGCTGCGGCCTGCAAGACGCGGTTGCGGACTTCGGTGATCGAGAAAAAGTACTGCAGTACCGAATTGAGGTAGCAGGTGTTGCCAATGTTGTCGATTCCCGCGGGTAGGTCGTTCGATGGCAATTGCTGCCAAGACTCTGCTGCCGACACATCTTTTTCTCCCGTGCGAAGGAAATGACGCAGATACTCGCTTTTACGATGCTCGGCGACAGCGCGTAAAGCATGCCGCAGGGCGTCGCGTCGAGCGGGTGCATCCGCTACGTAGAGGTCAAAGATGGCAAGAACGGTCGAGTCGTCCATGTCTGGGTTGACGTCGAGCATCTTGGAGGCCTGCTCGATATCCATATCGACATCCTCGTCGAGCGCCAGCATGAGTCTTTCGGCTTTGCCCAGATGCAGAGCGATGACTCTCAGTGCATCCTTGACCGCCGCGTGCTCCGAAGCGTCGCTGTTGATGAGCACCTCGCGCGCCCGCGCCTTGTAGTTGTCGACAATCACTTCGATGGGGATGCTTTCGCGTTCGATATCGTGGCCAAGATGAGCGACCGAAAGATGCAGCTTTTCGTACGCTTTGTCGACGTCGCGCGGCGAATACCTGCCTTGGCTGCGCTCATACGTGAGGAGCTCCTCGAGAATGCGCGAGGTTCGACGCTGGGACGTGTACACCTCATCGAGGCATGCAAACAGCTCGAGAGCTCGACGACCGTTGCTGGCCTGCATGTTGATGAGATAGGCAAATTTGACCAGCTGGTCGTTCGTCGTGCTGGAGGCGCCCAAGGTGAAGAGGGCTTCGAGAGTGGTTCTCGAGAGATCCTTGCGGTAGGTTCCATCGATGTGGTCTTTCCGCGAGCCGATCGTTTCGACAATGGACCCGGAGGCGGAGCTGACAAGGACGCGCGTGACGAGATCCTTTTCGGGAGCGGTGAGCACCGAGGACGCGGGTCGGCTGCGTTGCAACTGTTCGACGTGAAAGGCGAGCCAGACGCTCAATTCGATCCAGGCGCGTGTGTTGCGCCGAAGGTCGATGCATGCACTGAAGGGCTCGGAGGATGCGGTTTTTGGCGGTGTGATGGCATCTCGGCCGTCGGGCATGGTGTCCTCCTTCCAGCCGAGGTCGGAAAAGATCTTTCGGGTGAGGTGATCCCATCCCAGCTTTTGACCAAGCGATTGGCTGGTAGTCGGAGCGCCTCGCCTTTCGCCATGTACGTAGTTCCCGATCACTCGAAGAAGGATCCGAAGCGCACGAACAAACGTCTCGGGGCCCGTGAGACCGACGGCGGGATCGTTTTCGCGATTCTCCTTGAAGCGTGCGAGGACCTCTCGATCGATGACAGTGACGATACTATCGGGAGGACTGGAAAGGATGTGTTTGCCAGAGAGGTAGCACCGATGCGAGTTGAAGTCCTGAAGCACCGGGGCCGAGCTGTTGGAAGCGACTGGCGTTCGCCGCTCGAGGAGTTGAACGGGATGCTGTTGGTCTTCGGTGGGGACGGTCACGGGCTCGGTTTGGTATATGCACACGGAGCCAGGCACGAGGTTGCAAGCCTCGAATAGGTCTGTGGCGTCGTGTACAGCGGATGCAGGCGGCGGTGTGCGATAGAGCTGAGACTGGTCTAGAATGACCCTCCATTCGAGCGCTTCGGCGACGAAGAAAGCGTCCGGATGTGGCTTACATGCCTCGATTTCCGCAAGAGGAGGTATCGCTGCAGAGTCGACGGCTGCTGTCAAAGTCTGCGTGGAGCTTGCTGAATCCGTAGCGACCGATGCGGCGGAGGAATGCGAAGCCGTGGGTTGGTTGCGCTCTAAGCGGACACTGCTGAGAGAGAGCTCTGGATTGAAGAGCAGGCCGGAATCGTGCAAGGCATTTGGCACCAGCAGATGGATAGTGGGTGCCGTGTCAATCCCATTCGAGGTGATGGCTGAAGAGTGCGGATGAGCGTGAGACGAGCCATCGTACGCTGGTGGTGGGGAGGCAGGAGCTGTGGCTGACGCTATCGATGCAATGTGAGGTGTGGGTTCGAGGGGAACGGAGGATTGAGAGCCAAAGACTTTTTTGTGATCTTCCTCATCGATGGTGATGTCGATGGTCTCGACTTCATCGACGGAGGTCGCATTTGCGTTGGTGCCGCCACTACGTTGGATGGCTGAGTCGGAGGGACGAGTGACATTATCGATGAAGCTGTTCGAGTCGAACTCGCTTCGCTGCACCCCCATGACGTCGACGTGACGGCTGCTCGGTCGTCCAGCCACCTGTGAAGAGACTTGCTGATGGCCTCAAAGATAGAGCCAGTCGATCTAGGCTGAATGCGTTCCGAGCTTTCGTTAGGCTTGGTGATAGGAGAAGAGCAGCGCTTTGCCCTGGTCAAGCCGAGTGCGCGTTCGGAGGCTGAAGCTTGAGGCCGGAGAGCTCCGATTTGCGTGTGACTGAGCCTCGACAAGCAGCCAAGGAAGGGCCGATGGACGTGGTTGGGGTGTGACAAGCTGCTTGCGTGTGTGGATAGCAAGTCCCACGCCAAGGTCGTTGCTTCGTTGACCTCGGTTGCTGGCTTGACAGCGTAAAAAAACAAGGCTCAGCAGGGCGAGGTGGAGGCCAGTGCACGCGTGTGTGTGTGCCTTTTGAGAAGATTTGATCGGGGTCCACCACAGCAACAGCCGCCGTCAACGCGGGACAGGGTTCAGCACAGGAAAATCGGATGAGGACGAGGACGAGGACGAGGAGGACATGGACCTCGAGACGATTCATTGTTGCTTCTCCTCTTCCGACCCTATCACGCCGCTCGGCAAATTCGCGTAGACGACCACGACTCAGCCGCTGCGACGAGCCGGACCCAGTCCCGACATTGGTCATCACTCCGATCTTGGCGTGACCTTTCCCCTATAAAGTCACACCAACGGCACTGGTGGCTCGTTTTATCGACTCAGTCAGCTACGCCGCCATCATGTCGTCCTCTACCGAGTCGCAGGCGCAATACAGCGAGGCCCTCCAACTCGACGAGCCACGCTTGCAGGCAGCCACCTCTTCCGATCAGGGCGAAATCTTTGTCCTCGAATGGCTCGCAAAGGCAGAGCAGGCGCTCCTCAAGGCAGACGACGACACCATCCGATCTGCGCAGACCAACTTGGAAGCTGCTATCCTCAAACTCGCCTGCCCAAGCGTCGCTTTCGGAAAGGGTGACGACAATGCCTTTACAGTCACGCCCAACACCGCCATCCCTCGCCCAGGCAGGCCCACCCGACGTCTTCTCGCTCGCTGCATCCTCATCCTCTTCCGTCGCATCGACTCGCGGTCCCTCATCGACGTCTTGCAGAATCTCATTCGCGTCGCAGGCGAGGATGCAAAGGGCAAAACCGCAGAAAGAGAGGTGCGCGTCGCCGCTCTCTACATCCTCGGCGAGGTCTTTGGTTCGCTCGGCCAGCAAATCATGTCGCTCTTCAACGAAATCGTCCTTCTCACACAGAAGGTGGCCAAACAGGCGAGTCATCCCGTCATCCTTCGGTATCATGCGCTCTTGGCCCTTCAAAAGACACTCAACGTCGCTGGTAAGAGCTTGGGCGACCAGGTTGGCAAAGACCTGATCAAGACGCTCCGTCAGGGTCTCTCGGATCGTGCAGGCGCCGTGGTGCGGGGATGTGCGGACTGCGTCGTTGCGATCGCTCTTCACACTCAGCTCATCACGACGCGCAACGAGGTCGAAAACCTGGTTTCTCCGGCGCTCAAGGCCATCGAGACGGCCGACTTTGTCACCAAACGAGCCCTCAGCCGCATGCTCGGCGGTCTGCTAGCATCAACACAGATCGAGCAGGCACCGCCGGCTCCAGTCCCGTCCAAGAAGACGTCCAAGAAGAAGAAAGAAGGCGCTGCGGAGGAAGAATCGGACGACGACGACATCGTCACCTCGGCTGCCGCAGCGGCTGCCAGCGCCCCAAGAGCCATGATGACCCCGGTGGGAATGCTCGATCAGCTCTCGTTGCCCTTCCTGCGCAGCTCGGCCAACCGCAAAGCACGAGCTGCTATTCTGGATGTCTATGCGACGCTCTTCGAGACGCTAGGCTCCGCATGGGTGAACAGCAACTACGCTGCCATCCTCAAACATCTCATCGACGATCTGCCCAACCATTCGCGCGGCTCTTCTCTCACCCGTGCCGACGTGCTCAACGTTCGCACTGGTGTCAGCCTCATTCTGCGCAAACTCGTCGGAGAGCGGATGCTCGGTGAGCAGGCCCAGGTGCTCGCCATCCAGGAAATCTGCGTCGGCTACCTCAGGAAATGGCCCAGCGTCCTGCCCGAGCAGCAGCCGCCCTCCAAGACGACATTGTCGCTTGCTCTCACCGAGATCTCAGGTCTTCTCGTGCAGCTCGGCAGTCTGCCTCCCCAGGTCCTGGATGCCGCCTACGACCCGCTGATTCGTTGCTTAGCGCACCCCAGCCACTCCGTGCAGGTGCAAGCCGCGTGGTGTCTCAAGACGCTGTGTCAAGTCTCGCCCAACCACCTTTCGCCTACGTTGGCGGCTGTGCTCGAGCTGCTCAACCGCGACCTCACCACACTGGCCAATGGTGGCGGCTCCGTCGGCACTGCGCAGCTCTCGAAGCGCGCCAACGGTCACGCCAAAGGTCTCGGCGCCCTGATCAGTGTCATCCCGCAGCGCCCTCTGTACACTTCGTTCGCCATCAGCTCCAAAGTGCTCTCGCTCGCCATTCAGCTTCTCAAAAACAGCGGCAACCACGATCTCAGCGTCTCGACCGTCGAGATCTCAGTCGCTTGGACGCTGGTCGGTTCCCTCATGACGCTCGGTCCCAACTTTGTGCGCCTTCACCTTCCACAGCTGCTCGTGCTCTGGCGCAACTCGCTTCCCAAGCCTACATCCAAAGACACGGCACCAGGACCCTCGACGCGCTCCGATGCCGAATGGGGCTTCCTTCTGCACGTGCGCGAGTGCACGCTCACCTCCATCCTGGCCTTCCTTCTGCACAGCGGACCGAGCCTCGTCACTCTGGATACGTCGCGAAGGATCGTTGTGCTGCTGAGCAACACGCTTGCGTTTGTCGACGGGTTCGCGGCTCAGAATTCGCACCTCCTCCAGGAGCACAACCCCGAGGCAGACCGCAGCACCCTCTCCCTGCTAGATCGTGAATTTCTCCTTCGTCGACGACTGTTCCAGTGTCTGACCGTCTTGGCGAACGACCCCGCCATGGAACCGATGCATGACGGTCTCATCAAGGCCACCATCCGCACCTTCGCCGATCCGGACCGCTACATTGGCAGTTCGGCTCAGGCGGCGATTGCAGCCAGCGCAGGCAACTTCACCAGCGTCTGGGAGACGGCAGATGGATATGCATTCGGTGTCACGAGCTTACAGCGAGACGCCGAGACCTTTGTTTCGGATCCAGTCGACTCCCTGCGCGCCTGTAGCGCCATCGCCCGTCCTGATCTGCTCAACCGTGATCTCGTCGAGACGCAGCTCGATGCGCTTCAGAGGCGGCCCGTGCTGGGTGCTGCGGAACACGACGAGCTTTTCCTCTACTCGACATCACGAGGCTCGACGTCTGGCCCTGGCCCGCGAGAACCGAGCGCCTCGGCCAGCGCCGCAGAACCGCGAGCGTCGGCGTTCCTGTCTCCACCTGTGGCCACTGGTGTCGTTGATGCTGCCATCCAGCTCTTCACTGGCCTCTTCCCCTACCAAGAGCGAAGCGTGCAGGTGGCGGCCATCGAGGCGATGCTTGCACACACCAAGAGCACCAAGCTGGACAAGAACCCTGGACGCAAGCAGGCCATCCAGATCAATGTGGTTGTCGCCCTCCTTGGCGCTCTCCGACTCGCTCTCCAAGGTGCGCCTGGTGCCGACGGCAAACGTCCGAGCGGCTTCAACAACGATCGACTCAGCTCGGCCATCAAAGATCTGCTGCAAGATGCCCTCCTTCAGTCGGACCCTGCACTGCGAGCTGCTGCTAGCGAAGCCTACGGAAAGCTGGCGGCGGCAGCAGGCTCGCAGGCCTTGTCCAGTCAAGTGCAGTTCCTCGTGGACCAGATTGTGGGCAATCGCGACCCGGATGCACGTGCTGGGTGCGCCCTAGCATTTGGAGCTGTGTACAAAGAAGTGGGCGGCCTCGCTGCGGGACCATTGACAAAGACGATTGTCAACGTGCTCATGTCCCTGTCGAGCGACCCGCATCCGACGGTCCACTACAATGCACTGGAAGCCCTCCACGTGGTCATCGACTCGGCGAGCTTGAGCTACAGTCCTTATGTTGCGTCCACATTGGGCATGCTCGTCAAGCTGTACATGCTCGACACGCACGAGGCCGAAGGTGGCAGCGCGGGATCGGTCAACTTGCGTGCCGACTTGCCCGCCCACCAGGCCGTCTGCCGCGTCGTCAACGCACTCATTGGCGTCTTGGGCCCAGATCTGCAAGAGTCGGCCCGTGTTCGTGGCCTCATCCACTATCTTCTGTCCGAGTTCTCGCAAGAATCGGATCCGGGCGTCGTTGTCGAGTCGACCAAGGCGCTGCAGCATTTCGGTCTCTTTGCGCCCCAATTTGTCGACGTGACGGCATGGATCCAGCAACTGCGCAAGCAGCTGAATGGCAAGCAACGTACGCTCAAGCTCGCCGCCATCACCGCCTTTTACCAGCTCGTACAGCGCGAGGCTCTCACCATGAGCCGGGTCGGAGGGGACCAGCTTGTCGAGGAATTCTTTGCGCAACTCGACGCGGACCCCAAGCTGGAGGGAGCTCGCGAGGTCATTCTTAGCTGGTTGCAAAAGACGGCCGATCTGGCGCCGAGTGGCTGGATCGACCTGTGCCAACGCATCATGTTGTCCACGCCCAATCTCCAGGCGGCAGGGGACGGGCCTGCCAAGGGCAAAGACGCGCTTCCTAGCCTCGCCACCATGCTGCAAGACGAAGAAGCGGCAGCCATCGATCTCGGCAACGACACCAACGTGATCAAGCTCAACGCAACAGGGGGCAGTCGATGGAGGACGCAGCTCTTTGCGCTGCGCTGCCTGCACCAGGTGTTCTTGACCGTGCGTCAGGCCGGCAAGCTCGAGCACTTTAGCACGCCTCCCGGAGCGGGTGAGAAGGGACAAGCGTCCCCTCAGCGACGGCTGCTGATGAGCAACCGTGTCGTCGATCTCATTCGTATGGCGTTCAGCGCGAGCACCTCGGCTAACATCGAGATTCGTCTCGAGGGTCTGGTAGTGCTGCGCGACGTCATCGAGTCTTTCAAGCTGGCACGCGATCCCGACTTTGAAGAGGCGCTGCTCCTCGAGCAACACCAGGCACCGATTGCCGCTGCCTTGACTCCTGCCTTTTTGGCCGACTCAACACCCGAAGTGTTGGCGGCTGCCGTGCAAGTGTGCGCTGTCTTTGTCTCGTCCGGTGTCGTCCGGAAAGTGGACCGCATGGGTCGAATCCTCAAACAGCTTGTCTCTGCTCTGGACAGCTGCATGCAACCCAGCATGACGCAGCTCGGCGACGTCAAGGACTTGTCGCAGAATGCGAATGCCATGCTCAAGATAGCTGTGTTCACTGCCTGGGCCGAACTGCAGACGGCCAGCGCGACACAGAGCTACCTGGTGGACGTCATCCAGCCCCACGGCGCTCGCATCGTCCCTTACTGGATTGCATGTCTGCGTGAGTACGCCAAGATCCGCTCGGATCCCGAGATGGACGCCGGTGGCGCCCCGGGTGGACCAGGTCCTTCCATCAACGCTAGCCTCGATTCGCAATATGCCGCTCTGGCGCGCGAAGTGGTGCTGCCGTATCACGAACGCTCGTGGTACACGATCCTTCAGGCCGTAACGGGCCTGTTGCACGACAACGACGCACGCGCTTTGGCAGCCATGGACGGAGAGACGGCTCCTGCCTCCATGGGCGCGAATGCTGGCGGGGCCCCATCTCGCAGTGAACCCTGCCTCTTCTTCTTTGTCCTGTACGGACTTGCTTTCGAGGCGCTGGCTACGCGATCATCGAGCAGCGTCGAATCGGTGCATGAAGGCAAGGTGATGCGCATCTCTTTGCGCGCCATGACCGCCTTGAGCAAGCCTCCAGTAGCTGGATCCGCGCTTCTGCAGGACACTCTGTTCTCGGAGCTGTGCAACCTGTGGTACCGCTTGGTCATGACCGAGCCTCCTGCAGTGCAAATCTCGGTGCTCGAAACGATTGGCGGCATGGCGGCCTCGTATGGCGCGCTGCTGCTTTCTTCGGAAGACCAGGCAGCCGCTGAAGCTGGCAAGTTGCCCAACGAGGCCAAGCTGAGCCAGTGTCTGCGCGTCGTTGTCTGCGTCCTGCAGAACGTGCGTATGACGCGTGGCTCGGTGGACGAAAAGACGGCGCTGCTGCGCGTCGCCTACTCGGCCTACATCGGCATCGTCGGTCTCTACCCAAAGGCTTTGCAGGAGGACCTCTTCGCCGTCGGCTTCTACACGTACGCGGAGATGCTCAAGGACGAGACGTCGGAGCAGGATCTGGTAGGACCTTCCCTCGGCTCGCTCAAGGATCTGTGCGAGCGCTCCGCCAAGTCGGTGAGGCCCAATAGCGATGTTCTGCAGCGCGCCATCCACGGCTTCCTGTCGCAAGCGCTTCAGCACATCGACGACCTGCGCAGCCGTGCTGGTCGCATCGCGCTCAACAAGACCAAGAACAGCCTGCTGGCAGTGGTCGTCGTGCTCACCTCGATCCCGATCAACGTCAAAGTGTCGCAGGCGGTCGCAGAGCATGCATGCTACCTGATCGTGCAGAAGGTCCTGACGTTTGAGGAGGGAGTAGAGCAGTGGGAGCAGACGAGCGGAGGCAAGGGTGCCGGTGCACCAACCTTGGGCGAGGGTGTGGAAGAGATCGGTTTGACAGCAGTCAACTGTGCTCGCACCATCGTGCTTGCCTCCTCGCGCGGCAACGCGGCGCTGCTGTACTGCGTCGGCCAGCTTCTGCCAGGTCTGATCGAGTTTGTCTGCCGTGCAGGACCGCTCGTCGCCACCGCCTCTGCTGCGTCGAGCAACAGCCGCACGCCGATGACGGCACTGCGTGGAGCCGTCGAGGACGTCATCAAGACGTTTGCTGGTCTCGTCTCAGTGCTGCCCAACGAGGGCGAGTTCCGCGCCAAAGCACTGGCCATCATCCTGCCGACGCTGCTGGTGCTGCTTTCGCCCACGAACGCGACCGAGCTGCACACCTTTACGGTGAGACAGCTCATCACGCTGGCGGGCCAGCACGCGGCCGCGTTTAAGGAGGCGACTGCCGCGCTGGACGCGGAGAGGAAAGCGCTGCTGGAGAACGCGATTCGAGCACAGCTTCAGTCGGCGGCCGGATCTGCGGGTGCAGGCGGTGCAGGTGGTGCCGGAGCGGGAGCAGGGGCAAAACAGGCGGCCAGCTCGATCGCGCTCAAGTCTTTCGGCAGCTGAGCACCTCGAGGCGCGGACGAACATGTGCTCAACGCAACACGGTGGACACGCAATGATTACTCATGCAACTGGAACATGCGAATGCTGTGATCGAGCTTGAAACAATGCTGTGCTGTGAACGTCTAGAACAGGCGGAAGTTGGCCATCTGCTGTTCCTCCCCGTTCTCCTTTGACGCTGGCGCTTCTTCTGCCTGTGCTTGTGTTTGCGCCGCCGCTGCCTCCTCATCCTTCTCACCTTCTGTCGCCTGCGCTACCTGTGCGGTCTTCTCCTCGCCTTCTGTCACTTGCGCTACCTGTGCAGTCTCCTTCGCTGTCGTCTTCTCGGTCTTTGCCAGACTCGCCGCGATCCTCCCCTCGCCCGCCCCTACCTCCCCGCCCTCCACCGCCCGCTTCTCGTTCGCCGCCTGTGCCACCATCTGCAGGTTCATCTTCTTAAACCGCTCATAATCCTTTACGACACTGATCGCCGCCGAGTTCTTGACCACTTCCACCACGATCCAATAGTCCGGATTGGTCAGGTTGGCGTTGTGCACCCTTCTTCTTTCCCCACCTTCGACCTCGGGCTCGGCAGTGGGGATGTTGGATGCGATGACCTGGATGACATCGCCTCGTTTGAGTTTGGAGTGCGATCGGATGCGCGGGTCGATCTTGAAGGTCTTTCCTTCGTCCGGGTTGGTCGAGAAGTAAGAGGGCAGGATGGTGCGCGCGAGGGTTGTGAGGTCGGTCTGATTCGCGGCGCATGTGGCGATGACGGGTGTGAGGCGCTGAACGAAGCGAGACCGCGGCTCGCCGGACAGCTCCACGTCGGACAGGATCGTGTATACGAGAAGGTACGGGTCGAATGGCGGGCTCACCGAGATGAACAGGAAACACTCGGTGTCCGTTTCGACATTCTTGAACCGCGGCGCTGCAGCCTTCTTGTTGGAAGGACCACGAGAGCGCTCCGACGACTTGATGTCGGATAGCTCGGCGGCGATCTGCGCTGCGATGTCGTCCTCGTCGCTCTTCTTGGCTTCCGCCTGCTTTGTCGTGGAACCTTCCGCTGCCTCGATGGTCTCCGTCTCCGTTGCTGGTGGTGGAACGCTCGCTTCTGCAATCGCCCCGTTGCGCAAAGCATCCATATCTTCCTCCTCTGTCATGCCGACATCCTTCTTCGCCTCCCCCTCCTGCGGCTGCGGCTGCGGCACCACCCCCGGGTACAATCGATCCGCGACCTCATTCAACAGATCAATGAACTGCAGCGCCGCCTTGCGCTCCTTGGACTGGACGCATGTAACGAAAATTCCCGGACCCGAGATGTTCTTGGCGGCGACCCTGTACACCTGATGGTAAGGTTTGGAGCGCTTTGGCCCCGAGTCGGTGTCACGGTTGAAACCGGGTCCGGAGCGCTTGCGTTTCGACGGCATGTTTGAGGACGGTGTGGGGTCGAAGCGAGGGAAGAAGAAAGGAGTGAAACGTCAGAAAAGGTAAAATTTGGTCGGGGCGGAAGTCGGGAGTTGGCCCTGGCGCAGAGGTGGAGGGTCAAGGCACAAAAGTTGGTACAGACCCTGAAGTGAATTCTTCCTCACCTCCTCGACCTTCTCGACCTCATCCTTCTCGAGCCTTTGTGTAGTGCGGGTAGCTACCATGGACTTCACACAGAACAAAGACGATCCACACGGCGTACAGCGCCTGCTCGGTATCCTGCGTCGCCAGCAGGACTCTTCCTCCTCCCCTTCCGCTCCAGCCCCATCAAGTGCCGCACCGTCCTCCTCTTCCTTTGCGGCATCGAACCCCTTTTCTACCTCATCATCGTCCACCGCTCCAACCACCACCACCTACTCCCATCCCGAATCAGACGCAGCCGTCCGCAGACGTACCTACAACTCTTCCTCCAAATACACCCCCACCACCGCGACGGACCCATTCGACCCGTACTCGTTCAACCCGTTCAGCACGTCTTCCCCTCCGCTCCCTGCTCCCATCCCAACACCACCCAAACCAGCAGCGCCGCGCGACCTATCCTCTCTATCGTTCGCCGAATCCCTCCCGATCCTCTCCACCCTCTCCTCGGACCGTACGCTACTCAAGCGTCTATCAGCCCTCCGCACGGAACAGCACGACCTCGAACGACGTCTGACAAAAGACTACCGGCAGTTCGCAGCGACCGCCGACAAGCAGTACCCGCAACCACGCGCGAGGAGGGACGAGGACGAGCGTCGACGCAAAGACATCCTGCGGAGATGGGATGCATGTGTCAAGCGGCAGCAGGAGGAACTGCGACGGGCGGGCGTGCCCGGTATCCGGGTGACTAGCGAGAAACGCGAGTGCGACAAGCAGAGGCGGATTGTAGGTGTGCTCGCCGAGATGATGGATGAGGGGGAGTGAATAGTTTCATTTAGTGCAGTCGTCATGTGTGTGTGAATTGCCCAACGGAGTCTATTGAGCCTCCTCGATGGCCCGATACAGCACCCGTTCGGACAACCTAAGCACCTCCTTGGGACTGTTCAAGCTCGACATGAGGTAAATGACGTTCCCCAGCGGTCTTGCATGCACATTGTACGGCAGCTTCTCCTCCCCTTCCTCCACGGGTACACTCGGGTGGCCCTGCTCGGCACTGCTCCCATAGCGCAGCTTTTTGAGGATGTCGACCGAGGCGGTGCTCGTATACCCTCCGCTCCCGGTGTCTTTGAGGGTTACTTTGAGCACGCATCCCATGGCGATGGCGTGATCGACGTTGTCCAGCGCCGCGAACCGCTCAACCGCTTCTTTCGACCAGAAGGACCAAACGCCCGCTCCTTCGCTTGTCGACCAGTCCGATTGACACGCCTGCCAGGCCGGAGAAGTGCGCAGCTCGCTGATCGCCTTGAGCGTCTCGAGCGCCACCGCACACCCGATCGGATGGGCCGTGTAGCTGTGTCCATGAAGCAGCGCATCCACTTTGGAATCGGACTTGTTGAAGACATCAAAGATGGAGCTACTCGCAAGCGTCACCGACATGGGCACCATGCCACCCGTCAGAATCTTGGCGAGCACCGAGATGTCTGGTGTCACCCCGAGCACCGTTGCAGGCGTGCAGGGTCCCAAGCGGTAAAGCCCCGCAAAGACTTCGTCGAAGATGACGGGGATGCCTTGCCAGCCCTCTCTCTCCTTAAGAGGGGTGGATGGTGGCGTAAGAGGCGCGTCGCTAAGCGAAAACAAATCTTCACTGGCACGACACACGTCGATCAACACACGCTGATACAGCGGGTCGACAAACACCATCCCGCCCGCACCCATCACCAGCGGCTCCAGCACGAGCGCGCCGAACTTGCGTCCCTGCTCCACCGTCAGCATGCGCAGCTGATCGCGGATCGAAGTGCGGTACACCTCGACCAACGGATCGCTGCGCAACCTCGACTCGACGTCGTACACCTCCTGCATCGATGCGTATGAATGTTCGAAGATCAAGCCGTCCTTCTTTCCGATCGCCAGCGATGCCGGCAAGTGTCGTGCACGCATCCGATCCGCAACGTCCTGATCCGCAACCTGAAGACTAACCACCACCCCTCCGTTGCGCACCTCAACCGTCGGCGCATCGAACCAAAACCCTCGTCCCCTATACCAGTGCACCGCCTCGCTATACACGCTCGGCTCGCACGCGTCCATCGCACCGATGGTATCTCCATGATAACTGCCCTTCAATCCCAACACCTCCCATTCCTGCTTGGCCCTTCCACCCCTATACCCCGCTTGCTGGCCGGGCTTTGCCTTCTCCGCTGCCTTTTCTGAGCTCGCCTTGTTCCCATACCTGGTAATGGCGGATTGAAGCGCCATTTTGAGCGCCACCTCCATCCCCGTACTCCCATCATCACTGAAAAACACCCTATCTGCCCAGCCCGACCCGGGGTTGCTCTCCAAACTCGCCCCCTCCACCCCCTTGCCCGTCAACACCTCTGCCAGCTGCAACGCAGGTTCATGCGTCCCATTAGGAAACAGCACATGTCCATACCGCCCCGCCGCATGCGCCGCCGCCAACACCAACCGTTGTGGCGCATGCCCCAAACACTGGGTCCACCAACTGGCGCTCCCGTCCAACACCGGCTGCAAGAGACTCTTCGCCGAACCACGCTGATCGAGCGTAGCGAAAAAGTCGCCGTGCGCGGAATCGATCACGTTGACTTCTTTGTTCGTTCGTGTCAGCTGGTGTTGGGTGAAGGGCCACCAGACGGTATCGCGTGTGCGTTGGGCCATGCTGCCCAAGTTGGCGATGCGCGCGGCGTGTTTGGCGCGAAGATGTCGGATGACCGAGTAGACGCCCCCCTCGTCGTGTTCGGCGGAAGGCGGATCGGGATGACCCGCGACAAGACCGCGGTAGAACTGCATCATTGCTGCTCGATCCGCTGCGTTGTCGAGGTTGCGCGTGGGAGGTGGACCGTATACGCCTTCAGCATTAGGTCCGCCCAGCCCAAACACCGGCACGCCATGCTCTTCCGCAAAGAACCGTCGGAGATACTCCACATTCCCATACCTCTCCGAAGGGAACAGCAGCACCGCCTCGACATCGTACCCTGCAACCAACAGCGACTCGTATGCCGACCTGGTGGTGCTGATGCCGCCCAACTCGGCTGATCCGATCAACACGGTCGGCAATCGCAGTGGCCTCAGCAAATGGCTCTGCGACAGCCCCGATGGGCCCGGCGAATGCACCCCGCCTGCCGTCTCGACGTACGCCACTCCCTGTCCCGTTTCTGCCGCAGCAGCATGGATCCACCTCCCAACGTCACGAACAAACTCCTCGTCGGTCGGCGGGGAGGGTTCCTGTCCTACCTCGCGCTCCGCCAGCCTTGCGCGGCGTTCGAGCTCGACCGCCAGGTGCGGCGACACGGGCTCGCTGAATCGGTACAGCGTCTTGTAGCGGGTCGAAGGGGAGTGGCGGGCGATGTGGACATCGTCCGAGTCGGTCAAGGCGCCGGTGGAGACGGGTTTGAGATAGTGCACCTGCTCCCCCTGGCCTTGGGCGGCGGCGCTGAAGACATCCGTCGGTGGGGTGGTCGTGGCAGAGAGGGGCAGGGCTGAGGAGGCGAGACAGAGCGCAGTGGTGAAGATCGTCTTGCCCACATCGGTGTTCGCCCCGAACACCTGGTGCAGTCGTAGATGCGGGTAGAGATGCGCCATGGTGAGAGGAAGGTCGATGAGGGTCGGAGAGGTGGTGAGAAGGTCGATGAGGAGGTTATGAGCCGTCGTATGCGATCAAGTGGGTGATGATATATCCCCGTCGTCCACAGCTACGACGAGGTGCGGGTGCCTTAATCCGAGCACGAACGTTCTTGAGCACGACGATGATGATGGAAGAAGATAAGAGACGACTATCACGTATGATGCGAATCGACTCGACCCCAACAAGTGTCGCCCCGTGCACTTGTTCCGAACCCTCGAGTCAAGGCTTCGGCTACCCAACCGGCTAAAAGGCAAAAATTGAGCTTTCTTCTTCTCGAATCGCCCTTTGGGTTAAGCGCGCGTATCGCGGCTCCCCCCATCGATGCTCCGCCAGGACCTATCGAACAACGCCGAACAGATACATCCTCTTATGCCGCCGTCAAATCACACTGTACCGGGTCTGGCTGATCTATTTATACAACATGAAATGAAACGAAAAGAATATGTACAGCATGCTTCACTCATCTGAGTCTACGACGGGGGTGTGTATATCTTACAGGTGTGATGGCGAACAAAGCGGAACGGAAGCCCGAGTGGTGTTTCTGCACGTCTTCAGGGACCGTTTCTGATTCACCTCGAAGAGTGTCGCAGAGAAAGCGGCATCAATGCGGCAGCACAAGGGAGGAAAGCAAAGATCCGACGCTGTACATGAGATGGCACGGAGGTATCTTGCTGAAGTGCGAAGACAGACGAGCGGCGCGTTCCATTGTACCAGAGCTTCGCCCTGCCTGTGTCACAGCGCTTGCCGCTCTGGAACGCCTTCCGAGGTCCTTGTCGATGCCACGACAGGGGCTGTCTGCGTGCGTCAAAGACGGCGTGAGCGGCCCTTGAGTCTGAAGGTCCGAGAGGGCAGCTGCGATCTTTACGCTTCGATCCACATCGATCGAGACGGTTGCGAAGCCGGCATCGTCTACCGTTATGCAAGCGAAGCGGTCAGCAGCCGTGCGCACGGCCTTTGGAAGCCCCATAATGGCTGCCCGCTTGTGTCCGAGTAGCGCTAGTAGACGCAAGCAGTCGTCATCAGAGGCGATCGACGCCTGCATGTTCGCATCGCCCCGCTCGTGGATCCATTGGTGCAAGACTCTCAACGGGTCTTCGAAACAGTGCTGGTTCGCACTCGCGTCGGCCCCGCTGGCAACCTGTTGGGCGACCGCATCAGCAGGGTGGTCGCGATCTCGATCGACGTCAGGGTCGAGAGGCTCGGCGGCCGCTCTCGGCCATGCTGGGAGAAATCCCAGTCCGGGTAGTTTGCACAAGGTGATTCGACGAATCGAGATGCTTTGATCCGGAGCCGCGTGGGCTGCTGGCGACCACGTGATGCTGTGTTTCCGATCCGACTTGCAATGACGCTGGTCTCGTGTGTGTCGATGGTCTTCCTGATCGTCGGACGACGATGGCGAGATGGAGAATGACGCGTTGACGACGCCGCCCTCGATGTTCAAACCCCAGCTGGGATTGTCGGGCCTCTGATGCGACGGAGGCTCGATCTGATCAACATTGCCGCTTTCGCTTCCAGCTTGCGTTCGATGTGGGCCGCGTTGACAGGCACTGAGCGTATGCGACCAATTTCCCCAAAAGCCGGCCGATGCACAGCCGAAGACTTCGAACTCGACCTCTGCTCCCCGAGCTGCATCGCGCGACACGGCTACCGCCCAGTCCGAAGTGCGGTCCTGTCCGTAGATGAGAGCGAGATCGTCGGTGCCGATGGCCTCGATCTGACCATAGGTCTCGATCATCCACTTGTAATGAGCCTTCATGTGTGCTTTGAGCACGCCGATATGTTTGAGCCGTGTGCGCTCGGTGGGATCACGAGAAAGGAGAATAGCGCCGTCTCCTCCCGAGCTCTTGAATCCAATCTTGACGCTGACAGGCGTGCCAGGGATACCCGTACCGCCCTTGACGCCAATGCAGCTATAGCTTGACGATGTGCGTGGACCCATGTCGAAAAGCTGGGGTACTTCATGGTCGACCGACAGCCGCATGGGAGGACGGGGACCTTCAGGAGGCGTGCCCGAGCGAAGCGCTCTATGAGCAAAGGTCGGCGAGCCCTTCTTGGCGGCCGAGGGGAGCACAGGATCCGAAGCAGGAGATCTGAACAAGCCGATAGGGCATCTACCCGGAGAAGAAGAGAGGTTCGATGACGCCAACGAAAACCTTCGAGACGCTGCCTCGGATTCTGTCAGAGCTTCGACTGCATCCTCGGCGTCCTCTTTTGACGCGTTGACGTCCGAATCGCGGCGAGTACGTTCGAGAGGATGGGAGAGGTCCGAACGACGCGCTAGAGGAATGCTGGCTGCATCTGACAAGCGACCGGGACCATCGATAGCATTGTAGAGCCTGATGAAAGAACCGTCGCGAACATAGCCGACGTCGCCAAGACGGAGCGGTGATGGGTTCCATAGAGGGTAGCCTTCGCCGCCCGTGTACAGACACGCAGCATATATTTCGGCAAAAGTGGGCATCAGTCCGTTCTAGTGTCGATGGTGGCAGAAAGCAAAGATTTGGGCTGAAAGTGTGAAGGTGGATATGTAAGCGTCTGCCTCCAACTTTGTCAGAAGCGACGGTTGCTGAAGATGGAACGAGTCAAGGATAAGGCTGACTCGAGGTTCTTCCTTCTTCTCGATGGTGACAAGCTTCGTTTGGATGGAATCAGAGGAGGAGAGAAAGCGAAACTGGTATGTGTGAGGAAGGTTGGAAGGTGATCTCGCTGAGGTAAGGGGTGACTTTGTTGGAAGCGGAAGAGTAGAGGCAAGAAGCGAGAAGAAAGTCGGGTTGACCACGTCCGACGTTTTCGCTGCTTTCGACTTGTGAGAACACTGCCTCGATGCCCCGAAGAAGGAAAGTGTGACGTGGAGTACGTGAAAGGAGATGTTGAAGGTTTCTAAGGGGCGAGGGAGTGCTCGGGATAGTGTAGGGGTGAGTTGGTGGTGGTGGTGAGAGAGGAAGGCGAGTGAGGTCGAATGACAAGCTTTTGGCTTCCAGGTTGACGAGAATGCGCAGTCGAGCGTCACGCCAAGTTCACAAAGCTTTGAGCAGGGCACAACGGAAGCGTGTCCGACCGAAGCGCAATCTGGCTGCGCTAATCTGCTGAGACGGTTGCTCTGGGCGAACAAGGTTTGCAAGGGCAGTGCAACCTTAAGACGTGGGAAAAGGGGCTCTCTGATCGGAAGTGCTCCGCGTGTGATTGACCGAAGTGAGATTCTACGCCGTCACTCTGCAAAATCAGCAGAGGTGGGCGCGATGAGGTTGAACTGCGGAGATGGTGCCGTTCTAGCTCGAAGAAATCAAGATCGGGCCAAAGTCGATAAAGCCGAAGCGAAATGAAGTGGCTTGGATCCTCGCAGAGCTAAACCTTGATCCTTTGGTGGCCGTGATTCTTTCTTCGTCTTGACCCCTTGCTCAAGGATATCCAACGCAGGTCTAGAGTGTTAGTCCTTGATCGTCGTCAGAAGTGGCAAGTGTTGCTCGAGGACACTGTGTCTTTCTTTCTGTTTTCTTTTTCCCTTTTTTTATGTTTTTCTTTCTTAATCTTTTGGCTAACTGGAAAGGGGAGCGATGGAGCGGAAGCGAGACGATGCGGCGTAGATCTCGGAAGCCTCGGCTATGCGGACAGACCCCAAGGCAGTGAGAGAGGGTGTATTAGGCGGAAGAGTCTCTTTGAGGATACGGAGACGGCTGGTGATGGTGATGGGCGACGTGGGAGATGGTTTATTCTAAAAGTGATGAGGAGGAGGAGCGAGTTTGTCAGGGGATGGCGGAAGGGACGAGTTGCGTTGCCGAGTCGGGTCGGTGTTATATCCGCGTACCGCGATAGGACACACTGTCGAGCTCTCATAGCACTTGGGGAGCCACGCTATCCTGAGAATGCTGCTTTCTGCGCTCAAGTACAGCTCCAAGAAACCATCCTCGCAGGATCCATCACAGAGGACCACGAGAAGCCCCTGTGAAAAGCTTATCGCGGACGAATCAAAGGTCATGCTCCTCATTCTCTCTCTCTCTGTTCTGCTTCCCTCAGGGCGAGGACCACACTCTTCATCTGCAGCAAGGCTGTGCCACCCCTCCCAGCTCGTAGCTGAACTTCCGCCTGCCTCCTTCTCGATTTGAGAGCGGTAGTGCGCCTTTTCTGGGGCTACCCCAAAATTCGTGAAAGGGGTCCGAGCTCTTCGATTGGCCTCTCTCGCTGAGCCTGGAAACGGTCTGGACTTAGACCCAGTTAAAGAAGAGATTGGAGCAGTCTCGACCAGGCTACTGGTCGTTCGATACAGTAGCAGGGCGAGGCGAACGTGCGTGAGAGTTGAGTGGCTGCACAGAGGTGCAAAGATCTTGCCGACGGAAGCGATTCCAGCCGATCTTGCACAAGGCTTTCGCATCGATATTCCCACCCTGACCTCTTACCATCATTTTGTCGCCTTCGACAGCAAAACAGACCGACCGACATCGCCACGGGTCACCACCACTTTTCGTACACTCTTGCCAGCAAATGGTCACTGGATGATGACGGCAGCTTCAGACGCTCTGAAAACCACCAATCCTCCTTCTTGGATGCGTCAATCAAGACTCTCTGGCTGACGGGGAAGCCAAGATGAAGTTGTACGGTACATTGCATCTCCATGACAGCTTCGATGCATGGAATGCAGAGCCGCATTTCCGTCGGTCGCCTATGCAGAGAAAATAGAGTTCATCTCGGCAACGACACACCTCAGCAGTCCCCACCAAGCCACCCTGCGCTATGCACTCTCTCGAGCCTATTCTTGCTCCATCCGATTCCACCCGTGCCGTTGATCACTCCAGGAGGTAGCTCAGCTCCTGAGGGCATCGTTAGCCTACAGGGCCAATTTGCGGATCACAGACGCCGGCATGAGCTGCGCAAAACCTTAACACAAACGGCGGGACTGAAGACGATCATAACGTAAAAGGGGCCTCAGCGGAACAGGAATGAGTGCGCAGAAGGGGCTAACCTTGTCGCATTCAATCACATCTTGAGCGCAACCCACAACGATTACCATCCCAAAGGCATCGAGTCACACGGCCTCGATCTCACAGCCCCTGCACTCGCACTTGACCCTGCATGTGTTTGAGTACATTCCAAGGGAGCTTGTTCCGCACTAGCTCAAGCGCGCGAATACCCATGCGAATAGGGAGAGCGGTGACAACTCTATCGTGGGAACTTTCCCAAAGCTAAGCCCTTCGCGTCAGGACAAAGGGAGAATAACGCATTGAGCCAAAGTGCCACTGCGCAGACTCGCCGTCGGATGAACCGATGTGCACTTGTCAGAAGGGTGATTGCGGCCTCGTGACCTACATTGAGCTGTGACAGAGTGACATGACAGGAGGAAAGACTAGAGTCGCGACGCCTCCTGATCGAGGGGCTGAGTCGAACCAGCGTCAAAGTCTGAAGGCTCTTTGCTCGCTACGATGGTCTCCGCTGTTGTCCCTTTTGCTCAGCATGGATCGAGCAGAAGTAGTGCATCACTGCACCGCTCACAGGGTTCACCGCCAGCACGCTGTTGCCCAGCCGCTTGTGGCACTTCGGACACGTCCTCGACTCGCCCACCTTGACTCGTCGACTCTGCAGCTTGCACAGCGTCTCCTCCACTTGCCAGTTGCGGTTCGTGCGCACCTCGCGGATGATCTTGGCCTCGTGCTGTCGGCGCGTCAAGTCTCGTAGGTTGACATTGACAAAGTCGGCGATTTGCGACACAGGCACCGACGCTGGCAACAGATCCAGTGCGGATCGCAGGTCGATACGCGCTGCGTGTCGCTCGATCAGGCCAAGGGCAGCATCCAGCTGCAGCGAAGCTTTCGAGGTCGTGTCCAGGTAGATGCGCAGCAGCGTCAAGAACACCTCTTGGTCGGCGAGCTGCTTCTGTTCGTGGTCCACCAACAGACTCTGCTGATGATTCGAGCGTTTGCCTGCTTGCTGCGACTGGCTCGTTGCGGGCGTCGGCTTTGTTGCTGCGCGGAACTGCCACACGTCACAGCAATACTCTTCGGCCCTCTTGAGATCCTGCAGCTTGCGCACATAGATGCTCAGTGCACCCTCGTGCTGACCCATCCGTCCTAGCAATAGCGCTCGCGCTTCGAGCATGTCTCGGTCGTCGTCGTCGGCAGGCAGGCGCACCAGGATCTGCTCCGGGCGGTACTGGGTCGAGGAGCGTAAGAACTTCAGCAGCTTCTGCATCAGCTGGTCTCGCTCGCTCTGACCTCCGACCTTCTTCTCGCCGTCTTGACGCTGCGCCGCTTCGCCAGACTGCAATCGCTCCCGAAGCTCTGCTGCTCTTCGCAGATACAGCTTGATCAGCTTGTCGTGCAGCTCTGGATCTGCTTCGCCTGCATGTTCGATGATGAACTCGAGGTAGACGGCGCACAACCCCTTGTCGAACCGATTGAGGTCGTCGACGATCTCGAGCCGCGGCCACGATCCCACCTTGCCCGTGTCCGCCGTGAATACCTCCATGCCGAGCTCGCTATCGACCTCCAGCAGCCAGTGCGACGACTCGAGGATGACATCAATGAACTCGGCGCCGAGGTTCTGCAGATACTGGACGGTCGGTCGCATCTTTTCCTCCACATCGTCCTCGTCTTCTGCAAATTGCTTCAGCAGACCCAGTGCCTTACTGTGCATCTCCTTGCCACCGTACAGCGCGATCAGCTCCGAGTATTTTTTGCGCTCCTTCAGCAGCTCTTCCACCTGCTCCACCTCGCACCAATTCTCGATTCGACAGAGCGGGCCGATCAGCGCCGGCTTGGTCAGCAGGAATGTCTTGAACAGCGCCGTGTCGACCGTCTGCGCCACCGCGATCAGCTCGTCCTTGTCCATCTCACCGAACGGCTTGTTGGGCAGCGAGAGCAGCCAGTTGGTATCGCGCTTGATCTGCGACATGGCCATGTGGTCCTTCGACTCGTGGTGCGGACTAGACTCCAGGATCGGCTTGAAGATGCGTCGACGGTCCGCCAGAAATTTGCCCAGCGCGTCCAGCGCCTTGCGCGAAGAAGCTTCTGCTGCAGCGCGGCTGTCTCGGCTCGCGCCCGACCCTGTCGCCTTCATCTCGGGTGCTTCGCGCGCTGTCTTGACCGATCGAATCGACCCTGTCTCTGCTCGGGAGTCCGCTTCGTGCGCCGTCAGGTTGGTCGCACCCGTCGCAGTTCGCGTCGGCTTCGGCTTGGTCATGTTCGCGTGAGACGGACTCGAGCTCAGGCTGCTTGTTCCAGCTGGCTCGCCGACGATGCTCTGAGGTCGTCGTGCAGGCAAAAAGGCACCGAGTCGGCTTCTTGCTGTGGCTGTCGTCAATGTCGCGTGACTTGGTGTGGGGCTCCCATCGCCGGCATCCGACGAGGGACTCTTGAGCTTGGCTGGCGTTTTCCCACCAAAGATGGGAAACCACTCCTCCTTGTTGCGACTCAGCTCTCCCGCGACATTTGGTGGATACAGCGCAATTACCTTGGCTGGATTGGTGTCGAGCTCCATGAACATCTCTACGGCTTCGTCGAATCGTTCGTCGGCGAAGAGCGATACTGCAAAGAGGCCCTGCACGTGTGCTCTGCGCTCGTCCTTGTCCTCGAGGATGACATTGTCAACACTGTCCAGCAAGCCAAGAGCCTCTTCAAACTCGCCCTTCTCGACCAGCTCGTCGATCTGCCGACTCCAGCCTTGCATCTCGAGCTGCCAAATGGTACTTCCCTCCCTTTCCAGCGTCGTCCGGTCTGTCGGTGTCACGACGACAAAGATGGGTGGCTTGTTTCCGCTCGATGGCGTCAGGAGCCGGACTTGCGGTGGCGACGTCGAGCTGGAGGAGGGCACCCTAGACGAAGATACCGCTGGAGACGCTGGTGGGAAGCAGAGCGTCTGGACAGCGAACAGAGTGCCGACAGACCTGATCTGGAGGATCGGATTGTTCGCGTTCGGCAGAGAGCTGTTCTTGAGTGACGGCACAGATCCGCTCGGCAGGACGCTAAAGACGTATGGCTTTGCAAAGGCCACTTCGAGCGGGCTGGCACTCCATTCGACTCCTTCGCGTCGAGTGGGTCGGCCGTCGGCGCCAAGGAAGATGCCCGAGGCGTCGCGCACAAAGAGCACCTCCCCTCCATCCACGTGGAGCACTGACATCTTGCCTTTGCTGCTCAGGCCCATGTAGCCGCCCAACCCGCCGAGACCGCCGAGCGCTGCGCCAAATCCGCCGGCTCCTGCTCCGCCCGCGATCGAGATGCTCGTGCTTGCATGTGCACCACCTGCGGATGCATGCGTATCCTCGCTACTCGCTCCATTGTTCATGGAGAGATCAAAGTCTTCGACGTGCCAAGACGAGAGACTGGACGAGGTGAGATCAACGAGCGGTCCTGAGGTGGAGTTGGCCGGAGGGTGGACATGCGTTTCACGACGAAGCTGGCCACTGCTGTTGTTGCTTGTACCTCCATATCCCGATGTGGGATGGGTATATGAGACGGTCGACTCGGCAGCGAGCGGGATCGAGATAGTGCCGTACTCGGTCACGTTGTAGCCCATGAAGAGCCTGGTCGGTGCGACGAACGCCAAGCTGCGCGGTGTATGATGCAGCGCCACTTCTCGCGTATCCCAGAACTCGCCATCGACCCACCGAAAAACGAGCAGCTTTCGCTTCACGCCGACAGCTAGCACCGTCACCAGCGTCATGACGCCATCTTGACCGTCTGTGTCCGCTGAAGCTCCGCCAAAACGCGCGCCTTCCATCGCCTTTCTTCTCTCCTCTTCGCGATACCTAGCCACCGCATCCATGCCCCTCATGCTAGCAGCCTGCCAATCCTTGGACGGAACATCAAAGACGCTTGAACGATTTCTCGACACTGTCCCTGTTCCTGTGGCACCGCCACCTGCATCGCCGATCGCGCCTGGTCGGAATGCTCGCGAGCTGAGAGACGCAGTGGGATTGAGCTTCTTCGATGCTCTCGCGCCGAGCGGACCAGGGCCGTAGTCGGGTATTTGGGGCGCTACACGCTTCTGTATTGACGTGTCGATGCCAAACGTGGTCGCTCCTTTGGTCTGCAGCAACTGCGAGCGTAGCTCCAAGGTCGACAGATCGTGCAGCGAGACGAACCCATCGGACAGCGATACCAGCAGATTGGCTTCCTTGACGATGCCGAGCTGGTCTATCGAACGTTTCGAGAACTGTGCCACTGACTTTACTGGACTCGATGCTGGCGGTGACGACTTGAGATCTCGCGTCGATGCTCGGGAGGAGAGGATGGAGGCGGGCTTGGTGGGTGATCCATGGAGCGAGAGTGGGCGTTTGGACGGTGAGGTTGATGACGATGCCTCTGCTTGCTGTGTCGCTGGCTTTTGGTCGGTGCGGAAGACGTTCAATGCGCCTGTCGACGATCCGACGTAGAGCTTTGCACCGTGAGCGACAATGGCTTCCGGCTTGCCCTTGATGCCCGTCAGGAGCGGCGAGCTGTCGAAGGCGGTGTGCATCTTGTCACGGCTCTCGCGCGCGGCGCAATGGTCGAATGTACGGCTCGCTGCGGAGCTCTCTGCTTCTCACACCCGAGCCCAGGTATCTGATGTCGAGCCGATATGTGAAGGTGAGTATGGTGTGAGAAGGGCAAAGGCTGCTGGTGTCCAGCCAGGGTCCGGTCGAGGCTGTCACGCTCATGCTCATATTTTAGGTGAAGCGCGAAAGTGGAGTAAAAATCGCGGCACAGGGCGGGTCTGTGCGTGACCCCTTCATCCTCGCTCTCGCTCTCAGCTCTTGGTGGTTCGCCTCAGAACATGATTCTGCGATTCTTAAGATTGCGACGGAGCGTAAACGACGATATGGAACAAAGGAGGAACAGATGCATGCAAAGGCGAGACAGTACGAAAGACAAAGGAGACGACTCTTACGGCCATCTAGGGCACAACACGGCGACTGGTCCACTTGCCCGTGGCCGCATTCTCGCCGGACACCAGCTCATAGATGGTCCTCGTATCTTCAGCCAGATTGACGAGGTCCACCTTGTACGGCTCGACGACGACGAGCGCAAAGTTCTTCTCGCTCTCCTTGAGCTGTTCCTTCTGCTTGTCGTTCTCCTCCTTACCAGGCTGGGGCAGTTCCAGGGGCCAGGGCGAGCTGGTGTCGTCCTTAGGCTTGGCCGAGTCGAGCTTTGCGGCGTTGGGATGCGGCGTTCCAGGCGTGGGTCTGCAGAAGGATGCGAGCAGACCAGCATTGAGCTTGTTGAAGATCCTGGTGCGCTCTCCGTCCCAGTCGAAAGCCTCGTCGGAGTCCATGGCGTCCGGCGCCCTGGGTGGCGACAGGCGCTCGAAGGGGAACAGCGATCGAAGCGGGTGGTCCTTCGTAGGCAGCACGTGGACCGTGCCGGAGATTCGGAACTGCATCTGGGTGCTCTCGATCCACCAAGCGATCTCGCACTCGCCGCCGCGACTACCATCTTCGCCGTGCGAGCGGAGGCTGCTCTGCGAGGTCAGCTGCTGCACCTTGGGCGTGCGCACGTCGGTCGTCGTCATCAGGCACGGGCTAGACCCGAAAGCCGGGTTCTGAGACGCAACGCCTCCCTCGGCATCACCATCCCGCTTCTCGTTGACGAAGCCGCGGTGGACGACGTAGCGTACGTGCGGCTTGGCTGCATCGTGCACCGAGCTGGGCGGCTCGACAGTCGAGAATGCGTAGTAGAGGATCGACTTTTCGTCCTTGATGTTCTCGCCGATGCTCTTGGCGAGGATCTCCTTCCAGTCGGGCTGCGGCGAGTTGGACGTAGCCTTCTTCTGGTCTGGACCCGAGGCGTGGCCGTCTCCTGCCTGCTGTCCACCCGACGATGGACCGGAAGAACCGCTCGAATTGCCGATCACAGCTCCGAGACGCTGCCCATCAAAGCCGGATCCGCTATGACTGGTCGCATGCTGCTTAATCCTCGCATCCAGCGCCTCGCGCAGATCCTTCAGAACCTCCTTCTCAACATCCTGCGCCCTGACCTCCTCGGCATCGATCCCGAACGCCGCCGCGAGCTGCTCCTGCGTCTTTGCTTGTGCAATCCCCATCCGCAGCGCGCTCAGCTGCTTCTTGCTTACATGCTTCGCATTGCCCGCCTCGGCGGGCTTGAGCGCGAGCTGCGACATGCAGTACTTGGTGTTCCCAATAGGATTGTTGAGTGCGATCGAGTAGCGCACCCACTTAGGTGCGATGATCTCGGGGAGGCTGAGATTGCCTTCTGGGCGGAAGCATGAGGGGTTGGCCTCGGCACCGCGAGCGATCATGGTGGAGGTGACGCCAGTAAGCTCCTTGATGCGCGGGGCGGTGGTGGCGTCCCACACGTCGCCGTTGCACACCACGGGGACGGTGCGGCCCATCTCGGCAGCGACGGTGTTGACGTGGTCGACGATCTCGCGCAGGCGGTGGAGCAGCGCCGGTTCGCGTGGGCGCATGTCCTTGGTGCGACAATGGACGGTCAGACACTCGATAGCGCCAGTGCGCACGATCTTGTCCACCAGCTCGATGGTCTTCTCCTGCGTAGGCAGGAGACGGATCTTGCACGTCACAGCGACGTGAGCGGGCGCAGCGCGACGCATCGCCTTGAGCGTGTTGCACAGCAAGATGGGGGTGGAGAGCATGTTAGCTCCCATGCCCGCGTGGGTGGAGAAGGGTTTGGGACAGCCGCAGTTGAGGTCGACAGCAGCGACGTCGTCGGCCTGTGTGATGGTCTTGATGGCCTGGTAGGCAAGCTCCGGATCGGCCGATCCGAGCTGGTACACGAGATAGGGTCGCTCCATGGGATGGCACGAGAAGATCTGTTTGTGGTCCTTCAGAAACTCGACGACGCCCGTGGCGGGGTTGACTTTTCGTTCAGACCCGATGATGGCTCGGTCGACAATCTCGGGACCCCACACCAAGTCGGCGCCGTATTCGAGGGAAAGTAGACGAGTCGGAAGCGTGCCGATTCGCACCATGGGAGCGAGGAAGATGCCGTTGCGGTACTCGAGCGTCGAGGTGCAGGCGGGGATGGGTTCGAGGTCGTCTACGCGCTCGCTCTCCTTGGTTTCGGGGAGTGGGGCGACGTCTTGGTACGAAGTCGAGTCTGCAGCGACCGCTTCAACCTCGATGGGAGTCGACGCCTCCATCTTGGGCCGTTTCGCAGGAGGAAGCATGGTGGTAGGCGGAGGCTGACGGATCTCGGCGACGGAAGGCATGCTGTCGAAGGCGGCGAGGGTTGCGAAGGTGATGCGGCTTGACAAAGCAAAGGATGGACTTCGCGCGAAGGGGTTGATCGCAGGAGTAATGCAAGAAAGTGGGAGCGAAGGACTGGCGAGACGATGCAAAGAGCTTGCGACGAGGTTGGTACGAAGGAAAGGCGATGACAGCGCCGGCAGTCGTGGCATGAACTTTGTAAGGCGGGACAGGTGGTGGTCGCGAGCGAAGGCAGGGCGTCGACAGGCAGTACGATGTGAACCCCACACCGGCTACCGGAAGGGATGGCTCGAGCGTCTCTGTGCTGGTCGGATCAATGAATCAGCCTGGACGGTACGCAATGTCAGACGTAGGAGAGATATGTCGATCGGAAAAGTGCGAAGATGTGGAAAGGTCGCCGGCGTCTTCCTGCTCTTACTGCGCTGTGCTGAGGCTTAGTTTTCCGCCGAAATCTCGAATTCCCCTACGCAAGTGTGGAGGATTAACGCTGCAGGCGCAGTCTTTGCTAAGAGTCGATCGTGCTGTCAAGCAGCCTCTTCCCTTTCCGTGTACCTTGTCCAATGGCAGGTGAACTGGCGGTCAGGCCGCAGAGACCGGTTATTATCGTCAGTGACCGGCTTGCATGCCCAAGACTCGGTGTTGCTCACGAACAAAGCACTCGAAGTACCGGCGGGATGACGGTTGAAGGCGACAGCAGTTCAGGTTTCTTGGCCGCCAGCAACATTATTTTGGTGCAAAGAAAGGCAAAAACTCAAGACTAAAAAGAGGATCCGAAAAGCACCAAAAAGGTCTCTCGTGCGAAAACTGCCGGACCGGCTCCACTGCGCACCGGCGCAGCTTTGGCACTGCTGTCAAGAAGCTTTTGAGCTCGAAAGGGTCCAACGACCATGTCACTCGCTTGAACCCCACATTCTCATCATCTTCCCCTCCCTCCGCTTGGACTTGATCTAGCTGCTCCGTCTCTTCTCATCGCACCCATAGACATAACATCGCGAGCATGCTGGATACGATCTACATCTGCCGCCATGGCTTCCGGATGTCCTGGATCGGCGCCGAGAACTTCCCTACAACGAACCGACCGCGCGATCCGATCCTCACAGCACACGGGCAATCGCAAGCGCGGCACCTCGCGTCCTATCTCTCCAGCCTTCCCGAATCGGAGCGACCGCAGCTGATCGTCTCGTCCCCCTACTATCGATGCTTGCAGACTTCTCTGCCGAGCGTTTCCGCGCTGGGGTTGGAATTGGTAGCCGAGCCGGGGTTGGCAGAGTGGTTTCCCACCGCAGTCGCTGGTACCGGTCCACACCCCACACCTGCCCCTGCGGCATATATGAAGGAGTACATTCCCGAACTTTCACTCAGCTGGTCACCCCTCCTGCACCCGGATCCCGCGGGGGAGACCATCTCGCAACTTCACGCACGTGCACGAACCGTGTTGGATCGGATCCAAACTCGCTGCGCAGAGCTCGGCATCTCTCGTGTGCTGTTGTGCAGTCACGCAGCAACAATCATCGCCATGGGCCGCGTGTTGCTCGACGACGACGCGGATGGTCGTCGGACGAAGTTTGTCGGCGCGGGCACTGCGAGCTTGAGTAAATATACCAGGAGGGATGGAGGGCAGGGGTGGACGCAGGAGTTGAACGGTGATGCGAGTTTTTTGCCCGGCGGCGTGGAGAGGGAGTGGCATTTCGGGATGGTGCCTGATAACGTGGAGGAGGTCGGGATGGGGTTGGGATGGACCGACCCACAGCAACAGAGGCAGGAGGAGGCGGGGGAGGGGTTGCAGACAAAGCTATAGTAACATGCGGCAATACACACGGACACAGCCCGCACAATACAGAGGCAATGCTGAGGTGCTGGTGACAGTCGGTGCGAGAGGACCACGGACAGAGGCGGCGAGCAGCTTTCCCAAAGGCGGTGCGACGTGCCAGCCTCAAGAGATCCAGAGAAAGTTCAAGATCCGTCAGAGCCTCTCCCTCCATACGCATCCAGTTCCTGCGTTTGCGCATGCACAGGTTCCCTCCTCCCGTCGTCCCCTCGCCTCACGTCTGTCCGATGCCCAGCTCAGTCCACTGTTACACAAGCCAGACAATGCAAACCACTCGTGGTGCGATACGGAAGAATCATCTCTTTTGGATTTTTGGGGGTTGAGTGTGATGTGTGAACCTACACCTGGAAGAGGCGCAGAGAACGTGATGCTGAGAATACACAGATGATCGGCGAGACGATCATCATAGAGGAATGGCAGACCGTAACGCCCGTGAAACAACCGGACCGACCATCATCTAACCCAAGAGAAAGAAAGTTGGACGACAGCCGGGTGGGGTGCATCACTGAGCAAGATGCGGTCTGTGAATGCAACGAATGCAGAATGAAGAAAAGATTGCAAGAAACGAGAGAAACCAAACGAAGAAGCACATTTACTTCTTGGCGTTGGCGGCCTCCTCCTCCTTCTTTGCGATGCGGGCCTTGACCTTGCCGGCGGCGCGGTGAGTGCCGCGGGCCTTGCGGAGGGTCTCGAAAGCGCTGAAGTTCTTCTCCTCGCTGGTGATGGCACGGGGCTTCTCGGCCTCGACCGCGGCGGGAAGGGGCACAACCGACGAGACGGTGCGAACAGCCTCGATGGTGCTGACATCGACCTTCTTGTCCTTGTTCTTCTTGGTGATCTTGGGGATGACCACGAGACGGCCCTGGTACGCCTTGATGCGCTCGACGTTGAGCTTGAGGCTCTCCTCAGACTTGTTGCGGCGACGGTGGTCGACGGGGATGCCGACCGAACGGGCGTACTTCTTGCCCAAACCGGCAGCCTTGACCTCCTCGATGGTGAAACCACGGCCGGATCGGACCTTGGTGTTGTATCGGAGGGTGGGGCATCGGACAGCGGGGCGCAGGGGCTGGACGGGTCGCAGACCAAGCTTGGCAGCCTTGGCCTCACGAGCAGTGCGTCTCCTCTTCTTGGCACCGGGCTGGTCGAACCAGACCTTGACCCGGCGCTGCCAGTCCTTGCGGAAGTGGTTGTTGTGAAGGATGTTGTTGTGCTTCACGGCCATCTTTTGTGACGAGAAGGAGATGCGAGACGAGTTGGTAGTGGTGTGAGTCGAGGTGAGGAGGAAGGGAGAGGAAGAGTAAAAGTCAGTCTTCCGAATTCGAGTTTTGAAGATCTTTCGAAAAAACATGCAGCAGCGGAGGCGAGAAAACACAGAAGTCGAAAGACAGGCGGGCTTGGCAATTCGAACTTCGACAGAGTTCGCGAGCAACGTGCAATGTAGTCGGCCCATGCGATGATGGGTTGGCGGTGCGAGGGATATGTCAGGTCATTGTGGCGTGAGCATGTTCGGGGTGACGATGCAGAGATGGTGGCGTGCTGGAGGTTGGTTGCGCTGCGGATCGATCGCGCGCTGGCGACAAGGACAAAGGCAATGCTCGATAGACACGGCGAGGCAGTCCTTTCGTACGCTGGCAGACATCCAGATCAGGCGTCAAGGCGACTGTGAGATGCGACCACAAGCCGAAGCGGCAACTGAACTCGTGACTGCGCCGAGTGCAAGATCGGGGGTCGCGCTTGTCGTCCAAGGATACCGAGTGGTGCTGCATCGCAAGACATGCTCCTAGCATAGTGCTGCCGCGCCTGCTTGTCTGCGGAACAAGCATCCCTAGTCGCTGCAAACAGACTGACGGACTGCAGCCCTCGCGCTGTGTCGAACGGGGACGCTTGCAAGACGACAATTACGATGATGCCGGTCACTGTCCCTGCGTTGCAAGGTATACTGCCTGCATTGCCTCATGCTGCACTTGTCCTAGTCGATGTCATCTCTGCCTATCGTGGAGTATGTCGGATGCTGACGCCTGACCCCATTCTGCTGTCCAACACGGCTTCAAGAGTTCGAAGCGCAAAGACTGTCCGTGCTAGGATGTGTGGTCATGGTTGATCGTGTGTCGATGCTGCCACTGCCTCCATGTTATCATGCTGTCGGTGCACTGTCCAAGTCGATGCTGCGAGCGTGCTGTGCCAAAGTCTGTTGCTGTCTCTCCCTGTATTGCTGTTCCCTCCGCTGCTGGTTGTCGAGCATCCAATACGTACTTTGATATGATCTTGAGGGGTGGATGGTCGAAGATGAAGGGCAGAAGGCGAAGTTGATGGCGACCGACGGGCTTAGAGCTCTCGCAACCCTCTCTCACTGTGCTGCACAACCGAAATTCTTGTGGGCCAGGCGAATCGGGGCAGCAGCTGGCTTCCTGTGCTTGGCTCGCTGCTACACGCTCGAGGATCCCAACAGCCACTCTGGTGTTGAAGCTGTGACTCTGCTCAATCTCGAATTTCCGCCTCCAGCAGGCGCTAGTTGAGATGATACAGTTTTGAATCCAACGTCACGTGCTGGTGTCTTCGTTTCCATAAAATCGTCGGGTCCGTATTGACCAGTATTGCTTCATCACCGATCAGCTCTCTTAGTATCTGATCACCGATGAGCAAGTTGGAAGAAATTGGTGTTTGAATTTGCCGTGCCTTGTCACCGTTCGAGGAAAAGTGGGATCCGAGGCACGTTTCGTGGGATGGCGACAGTCGCACGAACACAGTTTGGTGGTGTCGAACGTGGCTGCACGATCTGTCCGAGTTCGAGTCAGCGCTTGAGTTTCTATAGCCGACAGCCGACTTTGTCGCCGAAGCATGATCTTCTCTTGTCGATCAACCTGGCTACATTTCACTCACCCTTTTACGTAGGCGCAGATACACATCGCATATAAGCTCGACTGCTCAACCTTCACCCCGCGTGTCCTTCCACACGCAAGCCTTCTCCATCGACACCATACACATACCCCATAGAAGCTCGTCAAGATGGTCCAAACGCTCACCGTGGAAGTGGACACGATCCTATTCGACATGGATGGCACGCTCATCGACTCCACCCCTGCCGTCAATGCCACCTGGGCCTCTTTCGCGCACCAGTACAACCTCGATCTCGACTTTGTCATGCAGACGTGCCATGGCTATCGCACTGTGGAGAACCTTCGTCGGTTCATCCCTAGCATTTCGGATGCCGACCTCCCTGCGGAAGTGGAGCGATTCGAGTCGAACATTCTGGTGGTGGCCAAGGAGAATGCTGCCAAGGGCAATGGGGGGAGCATCGTTGCTATGCCAGGAGCAAAAGCGCTGCTCGCCCAGATCAACGAAGGACGACCCGCGGTCGCGGTGGAGAAAGGCAATTGGGGTTGGGCCATTGTTACTTCCGCTACCAAGGCGTATGCGCAACAGGGCTTCGCTTCCGCAGGCGTCTCGGATCAGCCAAAGGTGTTCATCACCTCGGATTTGTGCACCAAAGGCAAACCCGATCCTCAACCCTACCTCATGGGCGCAGAGAAGACCGGTCAGGACATCACCAGGTGTTTGGTCGTCGAAGACGCCCCTCCCGGCATCCGGTCTGGTAAGGGCGCGGGAGCAAAGACCTTGGCGTTGAGGACAACACACGACGGCGAAAAGATGCACAAGGAGGGAGCAGACTACATCGTCGAGGATCTGAGGAGCGTCGAGGCGAAATGGAAAGAGGATGGCAGCGGACTGGTGCTGACCATCAGGGCGGAGGAGCCCGAGAAGGGCGAGGCAAAGGGCATCTCGGCATTGCCTAAGCAGATTCAGGCCGAGAACGATCCCACACAGGCCAACGGGAGTGCTTGAGGGCAGATGGGTAGAATGCTCGATGGCAATTCACACATGCAAAACAGAACAATCGCCTGCGATAGCGATCGACGCAACACGGTGCGTGCAAAAGGCTCTCAAGTCTCAACCTCTTCAAATGAGTCACGCGGCAGAGTAAAGATAAATCCGGATCTATGTGATTGAGCAAGAGCATGAAACTATGAAACGGGACGTACTGTGACAGCGACAGGAACGCTTATATACAAAAGGAATGATGCAGAGTGTTGAAACCAGTCAAGGCATCTTTTCGGGGTGGTATCGATGAGGGAGTTTATGCAGAGGAGGTTTGGTCGTAGTGCTCGATGGCCTGAGCGGGGCCCTTCTTGGCCGCCGCCGAGGGTGGCACCACATCCGAGGGGCACATGTCCTCGTAAAACGCCTTGCCCTCGGTGGTGGGCTTGATGATGCCGGCGCGGATGACCCAGTCACCGAAGCTCTCGCCCTCGATGCGGTTCTTGGCGTACTGCGGCACGAGCTTGTTCATGATTTCCATGATCTCCTTCTCGTCGACCGACTCGCGGTAGATCTTGGACAGACGCGTACCGTTGTGCGAGCCACCGAGCGTCATGACGTACTGACCGGGCGCCTTGCCGACGAAACCGGCCTCGGCCATCCACGGTCGCGAGCAACCATTGGCACAGCCTGACATACGGAAGACCGTGTCGGTGCTGCGAAGACCGTTGGCCTCAAAGATTTCCTCGACCTTGTCCATGAGCAAGGGCAGGTAGCGCTCCGACTCGGCCATGGCAAGACCACACGTGGGGAAGGCGACACAGGCGCTCGCCGAGAGCTTGACGCCCGAGTGCTCCCAGTTGTTCATCTTGTACTTGCGCAGGTGGGCGTCGATGGTGTCCTTGTCCTCGGGCTTGATGTCCGAAATGATGACGTGCTGGTTGGGCGTGAGGCGCAGCGCTCCCTTGTGGATCTTGCACAGCTCGCGCAGACCCGTGCGGAAGGGCGCACCAGGCTCGTCCTTGACACGACCGTTTTCGAGCCACAAGGTGCAGTGGTAGTTGCCCTTGTAGTCCTGCGTCCAGCCGTAGTGGTCCGTGTTGGTGTCGAACTTGTACGACTTCGCCTCGGCGAGCTTGTAGCCCAGACGACGCTCCACCTCGGCCTTGAAGTTGTCGGCGCCACCCCAGATCTTGTCGATGGTGTACTTCAACCGAGCCTGCTTTCGGTTGGCACGGTTGCCCGTGTCGCGCTGGATCAGCATGACGATGCGGCAGGCGTCGAGGGTCTGCTCGGGGGTGACGAAACCAATGACGCTTCCGAGACGCGGGTAGGTGGCCTTCATCGAGTGCGTGACACCCATACCACCACCGACGGCCAAGTTGAAACCAGCCAAACGCTTGGTGACGGGGTCGGCAATCGCGATGAGACCAATGTCGTGGGCGAAACAGTCGGTGTCGTTGCGTGGCGGCACGGCGATGGCGATCTTGAACTTTCGCGGCAGGTAGTAAGGGCCGTACAGAGGCTCGTAGTCCTGCAGCACACCGCCAATCAGCAGCGTCTTGGAGCTCTCGGTCTCCTTGTCGAGCCAGATCTCGTGGTAGGCGTCCATGCGAGGCAGCAGGTGCTCCGAGATCGACTTGGAGAACTCGTAGACATCCTCGTGCAGCTCGGTGAGGCTCGGGTTGGGCGAGCACATGACGTTTCGGTTGACGTCACCACAGGCGGCGATGGTGTCGAGCATCGACTTGTTGATGCCCTGCATGGCCGCCTTGAGGTTGCTCTTGACGATGCAGTGGTACTGGATGGTCTGACGCGTGGTGATCTTGACCGTCTGGTTACCGTACTGCTCGGCGACGTCATCGAGCTGGATCCACTGCGCCGGGGTCACGACACCACCGGGGATACGGGCGCGGATCATGAAGCTGTAGGCGGGCTCGAGACCAGCCGCCTTGCGCTCCTCCAGCGTGTCTCGGTCGTACTGCATGTAAGTACCGTGGAACTTGGTGAGCTGACCGTCGGTCTCGGGGATGGCGCCGGTCGACTTGTCCTCGAGCGCCTCCTTGATAGTACCTCGCAGGTAGTTGGAGGCGATCTTCATGTGCTCGTTGGTGATGGGCTCGGGCTCGGCCTCCTTGACCTCGACAGTGTCGACGCCAAGCGCCTTCCAGAGCAAAGGCTCCCAGATCTTGTAGCCAGTCTGGTAGCCGTCGGCATCCTGGTCGTCACCGAGACCGATAGGGGCCATGCGGCTGGCACCGAGCTGCTCGAGACGGGCGTCAATGTCCTTACCGGGCTTGTTGTAGTAGTGAGCGTCCTCGGGTCGGGGCCAGTAGTGGCTATCACCCATGGCAAAGACGGTGAAGTTGACCGTGTCGGGAAGAGCCGCGGCGTTGGAGGCGAGCAGAGCCTTGTAGGTGAAGCGACCGTTCTGAGGAGCCTCACCCTGACCGGCAGTCGATGTGAGGAAAACGACATTCTTCTCGTCCTTGAGCTCCTCGGCGAGAGGGTAGTCATCCATGGTGAGGAGACGAGCGGCGACACCACGAGCCTTGGCACGCACAGCGAGCTTCTTGGCCACCTTCTCGGCGTTGCCACCGTCGGAAGCGACGAGGATAAGCAGAGGAGGGCCGTCGAGCGAGCCGAGCATCTTCTCGTAGGCCTCCTTGGCCTTGCGACGCTGCAAGTCACGGAGAGCGTTGCCCTGCGAAGCGGCGAGGTCGTACGAGAGCTCGGGACGCGACTTGACGAGCGTGGTGAAGAGGTTCTGTCGGTCGAGGAACTGCTGCAGCTGCTCACGGAGACGCACGCCGTCGAGGCGCAAGGTCTCGGAGCCGCGAGCCTCGGCACTGGGATCCCATCGGAAGAGAGGCCAGTAGCCAGAGTCGACAGCCAGCTTGGTCTCGCGCAGCACGTCGAGGGCAGGAGCGTCCTCAGTGCGGTAAGGCACGTAGGCGAGCACAACCGAGGGGCCGTCGAACTTGTCGGCCTCCATGAGCGCGTGGAGCACCTGGGTGTAGTCGGCGTAGATGGCGGTGCTGGCAACGTAGACGTTGCCGTAGTTCATGGCGTACAAGGCGATGTCCTTCTTGCGCTTGTGTGCGGCCTGAGCGTCTCGCTTGGTGTACGGAACACTGTCGAAGATGAGCATGTTGACGTTGCGGCCAGAGGCAATGACGTGATGAACACCGCCCATACCGGCATCGTAAGCCCATGCGTCGCTACCAACGATCCATCGGCTCTTGAACGAGAGGTGCGATGAGAGCGACTTGATCTTCTGCAGAGCAGCGCCCGAGGTAGACGACTGGAGGAGCGAAGCGACCTTGTTGCTAGAGCTGACGTTCTTCTTGGCATCGGCCTTGGCGCCGAGCCACTGCGAGAGAGCCTCGTGCAGCTCGCCCGAGACACCACCATCGCGAAGCACGTCGTTGACGGAGCGGACAAGCTCGTCACGCTGCTCAAGCTGAGCAAGGACCTGGCCAAAGGCGTATTCGGGGCTGCGAGCGGCAGGGTGGTCGTCCGACTCCTCGTTGGCCGAGTTGACTACGGAGAGACGCTCAGCAAAGACTTGCTCAAGCATGAGATTGTAGGCCTCCTCGTGCTTGGGCACCTGGACGGGACCGGTGATGGCAGCAGTAGCAGGAGCAGCCTGGGCGCGAGCGGCGAGCTTGTTGGTGTCACCGACGACGAATGCATGCTTGGCCTTGGGAGACTCGAGCGCCTTGATCAGCTCCTTGGCGGCCTTGTCACCGTCGTCGATGTGGCCGAGGGTGCCGCTGACAAAGACGGAGGGAAGGGAGCGCTCGGAGCCCTGGAAAGCGGTGGCAACGTCCACAAAGAGGGGGCCAAGCTTGGTGGTCCTGCGAACACTCTGCTCGAGGACGGCAATGCGCTTGATACCCTCAGGGATGGTGTCGAGCAGACGCTGTGGCAACGAGGGGCGAACCAGTCGGATATCGAGGACCGCGAGGTCGTTGTGTGGGGCAGTGTAGTCCTGCAGCGTCTCGGAGCCGGCACCCAGGACGACGGCGAGGTTGTGAGCGTCGGAAGCGCCGACCAGCTGGAAAGGCTCGACGGCGTGACCAACGAGCTCAGCGACATCCTCGTAGGCGGCGTCGATGGCCGACTCGAGGTCGTCGAAGCCGGCCTCGCTAGCAGCAGCACTGGCGTGACCGTTGGCGTGGCCATTGGCACCGTTGACGCCATTGGCACCGTTGGCACCGTTAGCGTGGCCGTTGACGCCGTTGGCCTTGGGAGCAGAAGCATCGGCGCTGGACGAGCCAACAGCCGAGCCGACGAAGGAAGCAAGGTCAACATCGGTCACCTCCTCGACGTCACCAGAGACATCCTCAAAGAAATGGAGCACAGCTCGCTTGGCGGAGGTGGCGATCTTGGTAGCCAGGAGGGCGTGGTCGTGAGCCTGAGCGGCAGTGGAAGAGTGAAGGAGGACAAGGCCAGACTGGCGAAGGGCCATGACATCGCTGTGCTCGCCCGTGCTGGCGACGTGGAAGACAGTGGGAGTGTTGACGATCTTGGGAAGGTGAGGCACGAGACGAGTGAAGGTTTGCTGGTATGCGTGGGAGAGGACCGAGATGAGACCGTTGCCAGCGGGCTTGAGCTGAGTGAGGACGGAGCCGAGCTCGACATGCTGGTTGAGCTGCTCAACCTCGAGCTGTGCGTTAAGCTCGGCGGCCTTGTCAGCAACCGAAGCGAAGGAAGAGGTGGAAGCCTTGCCGGAAGGAGCGACGTTGACCAGCGTGGCCGAAGCGAGCGCCGCAATCCTGGCGACGGCGCCAGCAGCAGAGATGGAGCTCATCGTGTCGAACGCGTGTGATCCGAGGACGAGTGACTGTGTGATCAGACTGGTCTACCTGTGTCGGAAGAAGCGAGAGCCTCGATCGTAACACGCGGAGGGAACCGAATCGAATGGTGACCTGTGGCCACTATGAACCCTTTGCGATCTGGATCGAGATGAAGGTGTACGAGGGCGTACGCCACCGATGATGACCTTGAACCAGAGGAGCGACTCCGAACTGGATGATGCGGAGAGATGGAATGAGGTTCGTGGGATGGGTGGACGGGTGAAGGTGAGGTGGGAGGGAGAGTGACAAGGGATGTACGGATATGTGACTCTGACCGTGGCGAGAAGAAAGTCGAGCAGCGAGGATGAGCCAGGACAACAATTGGTAGGCCTGCAGCAGCATCAATACTTGGCGGCAGTCACCCAATCAGTCACTCACTTTTCTCAATCAGCGAAGGAAGAGAGCTGTCGGAGCATGCCGCTTCGAACAGCGAGCGGCCATGCATCTGCACCTCTGTGTTGCATTTCAGCGTCGATCTAGCCACGCCATAACTGAGTGAGTGAGACGCCTTAACGCCGCCAGCTGAGAGGCAAAAAAGAGTTTCCCACAATATTCTCCGCAGGCCAAAGCAATGGCAGGCTCAATTGCAAAATCGATTTTCTCCCATCTAAAGTTGACGCGCAGACTCACTTGCGAACGCCGTGTGTGTCCGCTCAAGATGCGCGGATTAGCAAGCAAGGAGCCCACCAAGCCGAGCTTCGATAGGGTCTTGCCACGTTTGACCTTCTCAAAGCAAATCGTTCGCAGCAGCTCGATGCGTCAGCAGGACGAATTCGGCTTCATTTGATAGCATGTCTTTGCGACACGACGGTGGCCTTCGCCCTGCTTGGGAAAAGGTCGGCAGGCCACACCTTGACGGCGTCGAGCACGACTTGTGATGATCTTTGAAAGGAGAGGCAAAACACTTTTTTCTTCTCAGATGTCAGGGTCCATCTCTCGGGCGCTGTCCATAGCCGTGTTTGCCGCCACTCGACGCTTCATCAACAGCGTCAACTTAGTCGCTGACACAAGCATACGGGCAGAAAGATGAGATTCGGACCGGTCGAGACAGGACTTGCAACTGCATCTATGCTCGTGTAGAGGGCTTGTCTGCAAGAGGTTGCAGAGAGCTGAATTTCGTCTCGGGCTCTAGAGAGCCTAGAGGGCGAACCAAAATCTCCCCCGCCTTCTCGCCGGCTGTCCAAAGTTGCAATCTTCTAAAAGGGCGACGAGGATGCGGGGAGCACGCCATCGCAGGGGTCAAATGGTGCAATTTGCGCCTCATCTTGCTTGCTTTGCTCTCCAAACCCTCATCTAATCAATTTTCTCAGGGTTGCCGCCCCGCGACTGCAGATCGCCGAGAAAGTCTCCGAGACGACTGCATTTATGGCATTGCTTCCCAGCTTGCCAAGCTCTAACACTTGTGGCCTTTGTTACAATCGGACAGATACCGCTTCCGATTACAGATCCGTTCAACCGTAACCACGGCGTCGTCTACAGCATCGCCTTCGCCAAAGCCGATCTCGCCCCAGCGAGCGACGATGCAACTTGCAACTTGAGATGACGGATTGAGATCAGATCATTTCTCTTTTCAATCACAATAGCAAAGCATGTTCAGTCGCACAGCATCTTTCCATGAGCTGTGATGAAGTGGACGGTTCCTGTCCGCCTCGCCGATGTAGGCTGGTGCGCAATGATCAAATGCAGGAGTCCGTTGTTTTGCGAACATTGCTATCATTGTTTGACGTGAGTACGGACCTTCTGCCTACCGTGCTGCGCCGTGCGCTGTCTGTCCCGGTGAGAAGCTCATCTTTTCTATCGGAACGGCTCGAGCTTGGCAAGCTGAGAGAAAGCTCATCTCCATTTTTACTATCACGGACGGCTCATTCACTGTTGGCTGGGGTCGAGTCTTTCGGTTCACTTCACGACGAAGCTGACAGGAGCCGCAGCTTCACCTCTTTTGTCGGCGCAATCGGACCTCTCGAAGCGCTCGTCTGAGCAGCTGCAGCTTACACATCATCTTGCCTGACGATGTTCGACGGACGAATGTCGATAGAAACGAGTATATTATGAGAGGCTTTCTCTGCCGTCTCTCCCTGTTCTCCATCACTAAGAGCTATACCTCTCTGCTCCAACATCCTTCTTTCGCCCTCCAACTCTGCCATTCTTTCCTTACTCGCACCACGCTCCTTTATCCTCCTCCGCAAAAACGACCATGAAAGGGCTGGTACCTTTCGTTCTCCTCGCGCTGTTCGTCAGCCGCAGCGACGTTGCCAATGCGTCGCCTCTGCCGTACCTTGACCTGATCAATCAGCCCGACCAGAAGGGCATCGAGCTGGGCCTTTCTCTGGGTCCACGTGGCGATAAGCCGGCTGGCGCTCCTGCCGAAGACTGCTTTGGCCTCCTTGGCGACCTCACGGGTCTGCTGCCTGGCATGTCGGGCTCGCCCCCGCCCCCCAACCCGGACACGGCGGCTCTGCAGGCGAGTATGGACAACCCGCCGCCGCCTGGCGACAGTGGTTCATCCGGCGCCACCAGTGGACCTGGCGGTGACGAAGCTTCTCTTGGAGGACCAGATTCTCCTCCGAGTTCGCCTGGCAATAGTGGACTTGCAGGTCCTGGAGGTCCTGGAGGTCCTGGAGGTCCTGGAGGTCCTGGAGGTCCTGGAGGTCCTGGATCGCCTGGCGACACTTCGTCCTCGTCAACGCCCGGATCCAGCGGCGACACCACATCTTCGCCCGACAGTGGCAGCTCGACAAATGGTGCCGGTGGACCAGGCGGAGGTGGAGGAGCTGGCGGCCCTGGCGGCGTCGGAAGTACTGGATTCACAGATACATCGGGATCATTCGATTCACCAGATGCCAGCAAACCTGACGACACCGACTCTTCCAACTTTCCATCTCCAGGCGAGCCTGGGTCGCCTGGATCGCCAGGAAGTCCCGGTTCCAACGGCAAGGACGATTCACCCGGTCAAGCTGGTCAAGCTGGTCAAGCTGGTCAAGCTGGTCAAGCTGGTCAAGCTGGTCATGCTGGTCATGCTGGTCAACCCGGTCACGCTGGTCACGCTGGTCACCCTGGCACGCCCGGTACACCAGGTCACGCCGGCCATCGTGGTACGCCTGGCCATCCTGGTACGCCGGGTCATCCAGGTCATGCTGGACACGCTGGACACGCTGGTCATGCTGGTCATGCTGGACACGCTGGCTCTGCTGGTCATGGCGGCGACGGAGGCAATGGGGGCAATGGCGGTGGTGCTGGACCCGATGGTGCCAGTGGAGGAAACGGTGGAAATGGCGGCAACGGTGGCGATGGTGGCGATGGAGGATCTGGAGGTGGCCGTGGTGGAAGCGGAGGCAATGGTGGAAACGGTGGCGCAGGTGGTGCTAACGGCGGCGATGGAGGCAATGGAGGCAATGGAGGCAATGGAGGCAGCGGCAGTGATGGTGGTGCTGATGGCGGCAATGGTGGTAACGGCGGTGATGGCGGTGATGGCGGTGATGGTAGTAACAGTGGCGACGACGAGTGCAAGAAGCACGACAAGCGCGGGAAGCACGTTCAGCATGGGCAGCACGACAGGCGCGGGAAGCCCAGTAAGCGCAACATCGCCAAAACCACTGCTCCCCGTCTTGACCCAACTGATCCGTCCCAGCCTCCCAAGCGTCGATTCGTGCACAAGCGTCGCCTGGCCTGGAGCTCCCTCCTGCTTTCGTAGTCAAAGGCGTCGTCTCCTCGGTCTGCCTCTCACACTCGTTTGCGTCGCCCCGCTGTTCCGTCGTGTTTCTGGACAATTTCAACTCTCGCTCCGATCGTCTTGCTTGCCGTGCCGTCACGAAGGATCGCAGTGAATGGTGTGACTGGCGTTGAGGTCGTGCGTTGGAAATAAGATTGCATCTTCGAGTAGTGGTGACAGTCTTCTTCCGCCGTTTACTGGTGCTTCGCCACGTCCGCTGCCTTGCCTGCGGCGTTCCTTTTGACGACGTCTTGAATCGCCCTGTCCGCGGCCTTCCTGCCAACCTGCGCCTTGACGACGTGATTTGCCTTGGCCCAGCCCATCCTGACGAGCCACTTGACAAAGCTCGGTGTGACTGCTGCGGTGAACGCCACGCGCAGGGGCAACATCAGTGTCTTGTGGATCGTGTACGCCAGTACGGCTTCAGTCCAGATGGGGTTCGTGCCTTTGGCCGGCTCGCTAGAGGTCTCGTCGTCGGAGCGCTGCTCCAGTCCGATGGATTTGCGCAGCGATGCCTCGAGCGAGCGGATGTGGTCTGCGCCCAGCATGTGGATGGCGAGGAGAGTCAAGGTGAAGTCGACGGCGGAAGCGGCCAGGTAGACGCCGAGAGCCCACCAGCCATACCGCCGTGTGAGGAACTTCAGACGCTCGCGAAGGGTGGCTTTCGGTGGAGGAGCGTCGGCGTCTGCTTCGGATTCCGCTTCTGGCTTGCTGTGAGTGTTGGATTCGGAGGGCTTCTCGTTGGCCTTTGCGGTCGAAGTGGGCTTGAACTGGACGGGCGATGTGGTGTGGATTGCGCGTATGCAGGCGCTTGCCGATAGGTCGCTTCTTGGCGTGAAGAGGGACAACGACGCCGGTTTCGAAGTAAGACTGCTTGTCTGTTGCCATCTTGACGCGCGCAATACCAAGCCCGACGATGACGAGGGTATTGAGGAGGAGGGTGTCAATGCAAGCCCTCTTGTCGATGTTGCCGCCCTCGCTGTCATTGTGGACGTGGACGAACTCTTAGCTGGCGCCATGAGCGCGCGTGTAGCTACTCTCAGCGACATCTTAATGATGCTGTTTGGTTCGCTAATGTCGACCCTGGTTGTCTGTGATGAAGAAGGCAAGGAAGAATGGAGAACGACCGACTGCGCTTTGATCAGCGAACTGATGTGACTTCTCAAAAGTGTCACTTTTTGCGCTTTTTTTCCTCTTGCTTTTCCAGACGTCACACACCTCTCGGATCACCTTACCGAGACGTGATTTTGGTGGAAACGTGCTGCTGCGCCAAATTTGGCTCTCGGTGGACCTGAGGCGTCCGCGGACCACACCATCTTGCCAAAGTCGGACGAGTCTGGGAGCCGGCGAAAGCGCATCTCCTTTCCTGAGTCATTGTCCACACCAGCTTGACGAGCGTGACCAGGTTCACCGGGATCATCGGGCGAGCCAGCAGAACCGGCATCGCTGGACGAACCTGGAGAACCAGGCGAGCTAGGTCAGCAGCTTGACTCGGCTGGACCTGAGTCGCCCGGCGGACGTGGGTCAACGGGTGGTTTTAGGCGCACTCGCGCACCAGAAGAGCCTGCAGAGCCTGGCGAATCGGGGGCAGTAGACATGTACGGGCTGAAGCTTCATTCACACCTCCAATCAGATCAATGCCGTTGCTTTTCACACTGTCGATCATGTTCATGTGTGAAAACTCCATTCAGGTATCAAACAACAGAAAAGGAGAGATTGAGCAAGCAACAAAGGAAGGAGTGTGAGGTATCGAGTGAGTTGTCCTAAAGCTGCAAGTGAACTGGCCGCTGCTCTGTGAGAGCCAACATCATCACTGGTAATGGCCGTGCGAGTACGCTGCCTGCTGCTGGGGGTGTGTCATTCCCTGATGACCATACGGGTCGACCGCGTAGGGGTTCGTTCCATCGGGATACGCCACCGCAGCGCCGGGCGAAGTCTGCATGCCGTACTGCTGATACACGTGGTGGTCCTGGTAGTACGCTGATGCTGGATCCATTGCGTATCCGTGATCCATGCCGCTTGCGTACTCGCCAACCGCGTACCCACCTGGTGCGGCGGCGTTGAGCGCGGTGGTGGATCCGCTGAAGCTGTCCCTCTTCTCGCGCATCCCAGCCCCATTGTCCTGCTCACCGCCCTCGTTGTCCGACTCGTCGCCCATGTCGAAGCCTGCACCGCCCGTACGACGCGCCGGCAACGGCTGCATGACGTTCGAATCCGGATCATGCTTCAACTCGGGCCACTTGATGTCAGCATCACCATCGTCAAAGTTGCTGAAGCGACGAGTGCCGAACTTGAAGTAGAGGAAGATGAAGGCGACCAGGACCAGGACGCCGCCAGCAACGGAGACACCAACAATGAGACCCGTGCTCGCGCCGCCACCAGACTTGCTGCCAGAGCTGGTGTCGGTGACGGAGGCGGTGGAGGGAGTGACAGAGGAAGCAGTGGCGACAACGGTGGCGGTGAGCGTGGTGGTGAGCCCATCCGACGTGGTGACCTGAGCAGCGGAGACGGAGGCGCGACTGGCCGAAGCAGCTGCGGCGGCAGAGCTCGATGCAGCAGCAGCCGATTCCGAGGCGGCTAGGCTCGCGCTGGACGCAGCTGCGGCGGCAGATTGCGATGCCTGAGCAGCATTGGACGCAGAGGCCGCGGCGGCGGATCGTGAGGCTGAAGCAGAGGAGGCGGAAGCTGCTGCTGCTGCGGACGACGAAGAGGCAGCAGCGGCGGCGGCAGCAAAGGAAGAAGAGGCAGCGGCGGCGGCGGCTGACGATGAGGCCGCAGCGGCAAAGCTGGACGAGATGGCGTCAAAGGGATCGGTCGTAGAGCTGGCTCGAGTAGTTGTTGTCGTATCGTCATCGTCGCCGTTGCCGCCGCCAAAGAGGCCTCCAAACTGAGGCGTGGGCTGAGGTGCTCGTGCCACAAGGTGTGCAGGACGATCTGAGCGGCTTCGTACTTGATGTTGGGAGGCCGAGACGGTCGAGGCGGCGACGAGCGCGGTCAAAAGGAAGTTGGTTGCCTTCATGTTGTTGCTCAAACCCGAGGCAGCGTGATGACGATGGATGTGACTTGTGAAGAGAAACGGCGACGACGAGAGATCACGTCGCGGACGAAGTCAGAAGATGTGCGGGTGAAAGTATGTCGGTTCGCGGTTGCCGTGACGATGCAGATGGAGCCAAAATGCGGTACGAGAGAGCGTGTGCGTGATATTCTGCCAAGGATCCGATGGAAGGAAGATGAGATGAGAAGGAGAGAAGGTGGCTGTTGATGATGAGGAGCAGGCGATGGTGAGGACGGGATGCTGAGTGAAGTGAGGTCAGGCGACAGGAAGAGGGGAGAGGGAGTGTTGAGCAGCTGGGTTAGCGTGCATGAGGATCGGAGGTGTGCTCGTGCCTGCTCAGTCTGTATCAGCTGAGAGTGAAAGGGCAGAAGAGAGAACAGTCCTACAGTGGGCGGAGTCTGGCTGATTGACTGCTTGTCCGAGCCGCCGCTTTGTGCGCGTTGCCATTCCAGCTTCTCTTCTCAAACGGCTCTTTGGCTTCGCAGAAAAGGGGGTTGGGGGTCACCGGCCGTGCTTGCTGTCGCTTAACGACTCTCGTGCCGAAGCTGACCTTGATAGCAGCCGCTGGCTAGAGCATTCACAACGGACAAAGGGCAGTCAGGACCCGAGGTTTCAAATTCTCGAGAGGTATGCGGGCCGAATGGAAGCGACTTGAGTGAGCGAGGCAAAACCTTGAAGCGAGCCGAGTTTGGGCGCGGAGAGAGAAAGAGACAGCAGCGCGCTTCACGACTGATCTGCACAACACAGCCGAGAGTGCGTGGTGCTGTGTGACGCTGCGTGCTAATGCTGCTGGTCCAGTGAGCCAAGCGCTGTCAACCCCGAACCTCCTTTTTTCTCCTCTTCATTCCCAAGCCAACAACACGAGACCAACACCCCCTCAAATTTCAAATGCAGGTAGCACGCTGGCGCCGATCCCAATTACAAATGTACTCTTTCAAATTCAAAGGTCCGCGCCGATCCGTGTCAATCCGTGCAGCTGTTCCGTACTTCTTCATCTCAGCAGCTTGACAGCTTCACCAGCGCGCCAAAAAGGGAAAAAAATAAAAATTGAATTTCGCTAAGATTCCAAAACTCATCTCCCGATTTCCGCACCGTCAGCCATCGTCATCGAAGCGCGTTACGCCCATGATTTCGCACAGACGCGCTCAAACGGGCTCAGCTCGCTAAGTCGCTAAGGCCAAACACAACCAACACTTTCCACAAAGAGACGCTCAGAACATCTTTCTTCCCCTCCTGCATCTCATCCAGGTCCAAGAAGACATGTCGTCCGCTCCACCACCAACACGCCCTGGAGTGGGTCGAAAGCGCGCTCCTTCCTTCTCCGAAGCCATCGCTGGTATCCCTCAAAACGCAAATGCGCTCGACGAGACCGCCGACCCGGCCGTAGCGGATCGCATCGCTGCGGCTGATAAGGCGGCTCTCGAAGCTGCCACCAAGGACCCTGTCGCCGCTTCCACCTCAGCCAAGAAGAAGGGCAAATATGAGCACCAAGATGCAGAGATCTACCGCTCCCAGGGGCTCATCAAGGACATCTTCACCTTCCGATGGATGACGGCACCCGCCTCGTCGCTGCAACTGGCGCTCATCTTTGTGCTCGCCTACTTCAACTGGAACTTCTTCATCGGCACACCGGAAAACAACCCCATCGCGCCCTTCCTCATGCTTTCGCACCGGGTTCCTCAATCCCAAGTCATCCTCGACAGCCTTCCCTCGAAAGACCCGGTCCAACGGGCGCTGCAGAACCTCATCCCTCGTTCCGCCGAGAGCTTCGAAGCACGCTATCAAAAAGGCTACGGTGATCTTCTTTTCCTCGTCTTCTACGTCATCGTCTTCTCCTTCTTGCGCCAGTCGACGACGCTCTACATCTTCAAGCCGTTCGCCAAGTGGTGGGGGATCAAGAGCGAGTCCAAGCAGGCGCGCTTCACCGAGCAGGGCTATGCCGTGCTCTACTGGGGCAGTGCCGCCGCGCTCGGCCTGTACGTCATGAGCTTCCAAGACAGCTGGTGGTACAACCTCGAACATCTTTGGCTCAAGTACCCTCACTGGCAGATGCGAGGTGAGCTCAAGCTCTACTACCTCCTCCAGTTCGCCTTCTGGCTCCAGCAGGCGCTCGTCATGCTTCTCCGTCTGGAGAAGCCCAGGAAGGACTACTACGAACTCATCGCACACCATCTCGTGACGCTGTGGCTCATCGGTTGGTCCTACCTGGTCAACCTCACCATGATTGGAACCACCGTCTTCGTCTGCATGGACATCCCCGATACCTGGCTCGGCATGAGCAAGGCACTCAACTACATGGGCCTCGACAAGATCACCACCGTCATCTTTGCGAGCTTCATGGTGGTCTGGACTTACTTTCGCATCTACCTCTCGGCGGCGACGCTGCATTCCGTGTGGTACCAGTTCGAGCTGATCCCCAGGTACGCAAGGGAGTGGGAGCCCGAGAAGGGCTGGTGGCTGGTCTGGTGGATGAGGTACCAGATTTTCGCCCCGCTCTTCTTGCTGTTGCTGTTGAACCTGTTCTGGTACTTCCTCATGTGGAGGATCATGCTCAGGTCGATCAAGGGCGATTTGAAGGATGAGAGGGAGGACGGTGAGGATGAGGAGGAGCAGCAGGACAAGAAGACGCAGTGAAAGAAGAGAACAGTCCGTAATGTAAAAGTTTTCGCCAAAGGGAATCGTCGGTTGTGTGTGGCTAGCGTGAACTCATCTCTCACAGCACAAGCCTGCATCAACACTGTCTCTACTGCATGTCATTGCTTCTGCATGTTCAAAGCAACACCACGAATCCCTGGTAGACGAGATGTCGTATCGACCTATACCGCAACAGGTGGACCGAATCGATGCTGAGCGTTGCTTCTTCGCCACTGTTCTCCCGTATTCACACCCAACATTGTCAGCGAACTTTATTCACGTCTCTGTCCCTTTCGATGTCTACTTACTCGGGCAGCGTGATCGGACCGCAATCCTCCAAACATCGAATAAAGACGGGCGCGTCGAGGTCCGGACCTGGCACTGTTTGATCCACATCCAAGTCAGCATCTGCATCGTGGAACGGAAAGGTTGGAGGGGAGGGAACGTACCCATGTTGCTGCTGTTGTTCTGGTGTTGGGCATCTTGCTGGCTGAGGCCTTCTTCCTGTTGACCCTGCGACAGATCGTGCAGCTGCTCCGGGAGGAAACCCAACACGGACGTGTGCAAATGATCCTTCTTCAATTGCCAGAACCTGCAATCCTCTTTACGTCAGTACCACTTCATGCATCGAACGAAGGAGGGGTGGGGGTTGACTTACTCTCGAACGAAGGTCGCCTCGGAAGCATTCAGCTTGTCCCTTTCGCCGCTTCTACCCGCTACAAACCCGGCATACTTTTGCAACAGATCCATGCGACATCGAACCACCTGTTTGAGCAACCATTTGCACCGCTCCAGATCCACCTGCACCAGTGTCAATCGCAGATACTCGTCCTCGTCCACCCCCTCTCCCTCCCCTTCGTCGTCAAAGGAAGGTTGAAGGTGGAGGAGGGAATCAAGGATGGACTGTTGCTGCTCCATCTGCGAGATGAGCGCGTCGAAGGACGATGTTGGGAACGGGAGCAACTCGGGCGATGCTTTTTGGGACGACATGAAGTGGGTCAGCTGTTCGAATGGCGACATTCTAGCCACCGGGGAGCGGGAGGAATATGGCCAGCCCGAAGATGCCTTTGAGCGCAGCGCCGGTTTGGTCGACGACGAGGCGGTCGGGCCGAGCAGCGCGTCAATGTCGAGCGATGCGGGGGCGTCGTACGCGGAGAGTGAGGGCGAGGTCGATCGTCGACCAGAGACAGATGGTGTTTGGGAGAAGCTACGTGAGCCACCCGCGGCGCTGGCCGCCGGAAGGCGGGAGGTCGAGGCCGCATTGGAGACGTACGACTCTTCGAAGGTCTCCTCGTCTCCATCTGCCCCATCGTCGAGCGAGTATCGTGGCAGCGGCATCGTCGTCTGGGTTGCGTCCTAGTGGGATTGTCGATTGTCGCTGTTGATAGCTCCTCTCGAGGGGTCGAGACGCTGCCGATGAAGTCGCGAATAGCAGTTGAAGTCGATGGCTGATGATATATGGCTTGTTGAGCTTCAGAAGAACGGACCGAAGCTCGCCAAGATCAACTGAAGTTGGGCGCATTATTCTCGGATAGCGGAGCCAAAAAGACCAACACCTGCCACTGTACGCGACGCGTTGCCTTTTCGGCCATTCCAGATCGCTTTCCAGCCCTATTGCACTCACAAGGCTTGCAGGCCATCGCACACCGAGGCAGACATGGTCAATGTTTCGCATGACAGGGATCAGGGAATTACAATACAGTGACATCGAAAGACAGTGCGACAACAGGTATAAAGAGACTAGAGCTGAGGGTGCTTGGGCGAGAAGGACAAGGAAAGCAATCACATGGCGACGCCGAACCACTCGGAATCCTCCTGCGGTTCGTAAGCGTGCTGGTGATGTTGGTATCGAGCAGGGACGACGTGCGTTTGTTCGACGACGTGCTGACCGTAGCTGCCAGGTGTAATGGCAGCTTTCCGAGGACGAGACTGAGGCGAGGGCGACTCGATAAAGTTGAGTCCCAATCCGAAGCCACCGTCGATCTTGGGTACTCCCGAAGCGGACACCTTGCGTCCCGCGTTGGACTCGATGGGCGTGGATCGAGTGCGAGGAGGCGTTTGTGGCGATCGGCCAGCGATCGACACGGGTAAAGGCGACATCGCAGCAGATGCAGCAATGTCGTTGGTGTTCACTCCGAAGCGCGCAAGTCCGCTGGCGCTTGCGTCGGCGGCGGGTGCAGGCATGGGTCTGGAAGCCGCGGCAGCACGGGCTGAGGATTTGGGAGGCTTGGCAGGTGTGACCTTCTGAACGGTGCCTGTGCTGGCTGTGCCCAAAGCTGCGGTTGGCTGGCGAGCAGGCTTCTCTGCGAAGGCCTCAACACCTTTGAGGTGGGCGAGGCCGATCTGACTTAGACGACCCAGTCCAAGCTCTTGAGCAAGGTCGCTGAGATCCATGCTGAGTCCGAGCTGCCTGTTGGTGCTCGCCTTGGCCTGCTGTGCCTGGGTACGATGCGCATTGTTGGCGCCCATCTGTCGGCACGATTCAAGCGTGGGAGTCTCGCAGTCGCTCGAGTCTGCTGCAGATTGCGCGGCCTCGGTGTCGACCGTGAGGTTCTTGACCTGGAATGGGGTCTTGAGCTTGCGCAATGCGAGCGCTTCCGACGCGTCCATCCCTGCGCCCGACTTGATCGGCGACATGCCGCGCAACTCGGCTTCCGTCTCGAAGATGCTCGTGCCGGTGGTGGAAGCGAGCGAAGCGCTGCTGGACATCTGGCTGAGCGAGGACGCTGGCGAGTCGATGCTGGGCAAGTACCCCATCTTACGGTCCGGACTGTCCGAGATCTCGCTCGAGGCCGAGCTGTAGGTACCGCCGCTGACCAAGGACGAGATCGACATGCTGCGCGAGTACGCAAAGGCGCCGGAGGAGCTGCTGCGGGCGCTGCTGGTTCCCGAGAGCTCGCTCGAGACGCTTTCGGTGCGAGTCATGCCAACGTAGCTGAGCTCCGTAGCGACAGAGTCGGCTGTGATCTGCATGTCTTCCTTGCTCACTGCGTCTTCGGTGCGGAACAAGCCGAGAGCGGAGAAGGGTCCTTCATTTGCTTCGGGCGAGTAGATGGATGCAGGCGAGTAGACGCTAGCCGGGCTCATCGCCGAGGCCGGAGCAGTCTCGATCGACCGAGCAGGAGCCTCAACGGTTGCTGTGACAGCCTGAGCGCCCACAGTCTTGGGTGTAGGCGTCACAGCTCCCTGTCGAGAAGGAACGTCGCACTCGGTTGATTCAGCGTCGGGCTTGACAGGCGACGAGATGGTCACGTTGCTGACGTCCTCCGTCTCCACAGCAGCGACCACCGGAGTCGGAGCTGGTGCTGGTGCTTGCTCGGTAACAACTGTCTTGGTTGGCTGTTGGATCATGGCTTCCTCGCGTGGCTGGTGTTCCTCGCTTGATGCAAGATCGGGAGTAGGAGGCATGATGTTGACAATGGGAAGGGGAGTGCCGCTTCGGCCGCCCAACCGAGGACTCTTCGAGAGCAGCATCGGACTTCCAACGGCGACGGCCTTGGCGCGCTGACCCACAAAGTTAACGCGCCTGGCTTGATGTGTCTCGCCAGAAGCTTGACGCTGGGGACTTCGGCGAGACGGAGACTGGTTCTGCGCCACGATTGCAACAGGGGACCTGTTCGGGGAGGCTGCGCGAGGAGACGTCTGTCTGAACGTTGGTGTGGCAGATCTGGCGGTCTCGGTATCAGCAAAGAAGCGAGACTGAGGGCTGTTGGCGCCGCCAGGTGCGGCCGGGGCATGCCGAACAAAGGCTGGGAAGACCGAATCGGAATGGCTGTTGGACCTGGGCGAGTTGGTGAAGTCCTGCATCTTGAGCGCAGGCAACGTTCGACCGTCTGCGCTGCGGCTTCTTCTACGAGCCGATCGTACCTCCATGTCTGTCCTGCGAGCTCGCATTTCGGGCTCTTCACGGCCGTGGTTCTGATCAAGCATGCCGTCGACGACTCTCTGTGTCATAGATTTCCTCTTCTCGAGAGCAGCAGCAGCGGCCTTGGGATCGGCGTGACGCCTGGGCGAGGCGGCCGGTCGGGTCACCGTAGACTTGATCGGAGCCGACCTGACGTCCTCGGCGAATCGAAGGGCGGGCACACTGCGGGCGGGGCTGGGCACCTTGCGAACCTCAGTAGGTCGAACAGGACTGACACCAGGACTGGGCACTCCGCGACTTGTGCTGGACACGACACGACTGGTGGGCCGGATACTGAATCCAGACGAGGGCGCCTGACTCTCACGGCCTGCCGCATTGCTGCGCTTGGCATCCCAAGCAAATTCGAGCGGAATCATCGGAGAAGACGTGCTGAAGCTGGGCAGAGGAGGCAGTGCAGGAGCAGCGTCGAAAGGGTCGGTCCTGGTCGTCGCGGCCGATGACTTGGTTCGTGGCTTCCTCTCGGGGCTAGCAAAGGTGATGGACCTGGATTGTGGGGCGCCTGCAGCGCTGTGAGCCTCACGAATCTGGCGCAGCGCCGGCATGCTCTGTTTGCTGCTCAGTGGCGAGGCGCGAACGCGGCTGCTGGCGTCGTGAGCGACTCGCGCCGGTCGGCGTTCTGGACTTGCGGGAAGCGAAGAGGGGGAACTGTGAACGCTGCTGGAGGCGTCCGAGGCCTTTCGTTGCGGCGATGAGGAGAACTGGTAGCCCGACTGCTCGAAGGTCAAGGTGGTAGGGGGCGCACTCTGAGAGATGTCGTCAAAGAAGTCGGGAGTCGACCTGGATGCCATTCCTCCGAGATGGGGAGCCCTGTCCTTCTTCTTGCGCGCAAAGAAGCGGGTGAAGGAGGACGCGTTGGATGTAGACGCAGCGCTGGCGCCTGCGCCCGCGTTGCGGTTCGCCTTGGTCTTGGCCGAAAGAGGGGAAATAAGAAGATCCTCGGTGGGAGTGGTTGCTCTGCCGGTAGCGACACTTTTGCGGGAGAGGAAGCGCCTTCGCGATGTGGCTTCGGGCACGTCACGATCGTCCTCAAAAACGGATGACGAAGCCGACTGCTGTCGTGTCATCTCGGTGGTGCTGAACGAGCCGTACGGGTGGTTGTCCGCAGAAGCGGAGAAGGCTTCGAGCTCGGGAGTTGGGCTGGCAGTCCATTGTTGGTTGCGAATGGTGTTCTCGCTGCGATGCAACGCGTGCTGGGAAGGCTGGTCGAACGAGGATCGTGTTTCGGGCGAGCGGCTGGCGTACCAATCGTCGCCGGTGTCGATGCCCATGGCGTGTCTCGGATCAAAGATGGCGAGGCTTGCCTTGGAGACAAAGTTGATCTTGCCCTTCTTAGACTTGGAGGCGGCGGCAGGGCTTGCAGAAGGCTTGACGGGTGCTGGCGAAGGCGCTGCCGAGCGCTCTTCGACGTATTGAGACATGTAGACCAGCATGATCGGATGGCAGAAACGCCCGTTTACGAGCTTGTGAGTCGATGAGAAAAGCAGGAGCGAGGGTGGAAATGTGAGGCTTGCTGCTGTGGTAAGAGACGGTAACACTGGCGACCTGACGAATCGTGGGAAGGGGACGGAAGAGAAGCGGATCGATACGGAAAGATTTAGACGAAGCAAGGTAGGAGTAGTCTCGAAGGAGCGTGACGGGGGGGATGGAGAGCCGGGTATGTGGGATAGAAGGTGATGGTGAGGAAGGAGGTCGCTCTAGCAGCTGAAGCTGGTCTCGTCTGACCGGCCGATGATGGAATGAGGAACGGGGACAGCGACGGATGCAGGTCGATCCAAGCGGTACTCTAAGCGACTCGGTACAGAGATGGACACGCCACTGCAGACGACGACACGATTGAGAGTGGCTGCCAAGGCTGCGGCTCGCGTTGAGCTGGTCGTGCCTTGGTGGGTGCTGCGTGTCGCATCCATTCTAGCGGAACAACTGCAGAGCAGCAAGCGAGGTTCGCAGTAGAAGCAGAGGGCCGCATTGGAATCTTCACCATGCAATGATTCGCGACAAGCAGACGGAGCGGCATCGCCGAACAAGCGTCTCAGCATACTCCGAAGGACCACCTCTTCGAGGGAACGATGACTGCAGGAGGTCGAAATGCATAATGAGAGACGGATGCTCCGTTTCGGCATCCGCCCGATGCAATGCCAGCAGCGGCAGAGTGGCCAGTGAATCTAGCAAACGGATTGACCGAGCGGCACTTCAGATGACCACTTTACCCACGTCGGACATGCCGAAACAGTCGCTGCTTCAGACTCGCAGCGCTTGGCGTAGTTGTCCTGCCTCCCCTCAGCTTTCTGACGCACATCCCTCTACCTTCCTTATGTCCCTGCTTGCTTCAGCGACAACGCTCCACGATAGTGCCTCAACATGCTGTCCTACCAGCCTCGTTCGAGCGTCAAGTAAAGACGATCGAGGACAGAGGATAGCGACTTTGGCAGTGGATTGGACTCCTTTTCCACAGGCTCGGACATGTGAGAAGATTTGATGCAAGTCCGATGTCACTTGCATGAAGGCACAAGAGCAGTGTCCCACCAAGCGCTCTCTGACGCCACCTTTGGAAAATTTCATTTCATTTTTCGGGCAATGAGCGCGTCGCGTAGGGACAGCTGTCTCACAGCAAGAGTGTTGGTCTCCTCCGTGCTGGCGGGTGGAATGCCTCGCTTGCAACGCTGACAACTCGCGTTGCGACTCTTTTGGCTTCAGGATGAGGCGGCAGCTCGGTAAGCTAGCGAGCAAGGTGCAGAAGGATGATCCCCCGGATCGCCATTCCTCATGCCTGAACGAGAGACCCGCCTTCCAACTGTCCAAGATGGTGGTGGAACGTCCACGCCTGTCATTTTGCATGCCAGGAGACGTGGACAAATCTTTGCTATCCTCACTGCCATTGCTGCAACTGCTTCTGCCCGCTCAGCGCAATCACGCTGCTTGAGCAGAGAACGACCTCTGGCATCGCGACTGTCATTCTCTGCGAGAGCGGACCGTCAGAAGATGTGTGATGAGTGTTTGAATACTGCGTGAGGACGATCAGCGAGGATCCTTGATGCAAGACTTTCTCGCACATCCTTAGTCAGCTTGCAAGCAACGCCCTCTGAATGAAGCCTGGAATGATGAGAGACGAGCAATGTTCCGCTTCTCTCGACCCTCGTCACCGTCCAGCCGATCGAGATCCATCGGACGGATCGGCCTGCCGGCCTGCTCTCATCGGCGGTTCAGCCCATCACGCCCACGGCCCACCAAGCTGGCACAGTCACGAGTCACGTCAAAGCGCACATCTCAGAGCCTTGCATCGGATTTAGCCTTCCGGGCCTGTGCTCTCTCGCGGCGTGAATTTGAGTGGATAGCCGAGCGCGCTTCTCACGCCTCGTGTCGGATGTGGAGCCTTCGTTGTGACTGCCGCCTCAACGTGAGAAAAAAGCAGAGCGTCCTTCCGCCAAGCCGATTTCCGAAGGCGATCCGATGGCTTGGCCAACTTGTTCTAGCGCCATCGGAAGGTCCCGTCTATCTCTCCTCCCATCTCGTTCACTCCGGACCATCGTCATCCTGACAGGCCACACTGTCATTGTGACACAGCAAGCTGGACGGTTCTGTGAGCGGTGGAGCAGACCCGGGCAGTCGCACCTTCTCATTGTCGCATCTCGGCTTCTCCTGACCCGATTTCAGGGTCCAAGCGGCTTGGTCAAGTGCATTCTTCCGTACTTGTCTATTGCCTCGTGTCTCGTCTGCGTCCTCACCACATCCCAGGCATCGCCACTCGGAACCGTTGCGATGCCGTCCGACGTTCACTCGTCACACAAGCGACCGACGCCCTTGGTGGTGCTGTCCGGAGGCCTCGTCTCACACATCCACACCGCGCTCGGCTTCCTCGCTTTCTTCGGTGCACTCTTCACCGCGCTGTCATTACATTATCAAAAGGTGGTCAAGAATCATGTCGCGCAGTATCCTCAAGAATGGTGGCCTTCCGTATCCGCCACCATTGGCGACTGGTACCCAGAGCGCAACATCTTTCAGGTCGGAATTGCTCTCATGGCCGGCCCACGTTTTCTGCTTGTCTTCCTCTCGGCACTCCTCGTCTCGCTCTCGACGCCGGCACGATCTCCAAAAGCATCCATATTGCTCGTCGTTGGTGTATGCAGGACCCTGGCTTGTGGCGGATGGGTCTACGTCACCAGCACCGATGATCATTTTGTCCATGACATTGCCATGTTCGCCTATCTCGCGCTGACACCGCCCTGGATGTTCATCACCAGCGGAAGTCTTGCCCAACCAAGCATCTTGAGCCGTTCAGCAGGCTCGGACGATCAGCTTGCTTCCAAGGCGCGACGTACCCGTAGGATAGCCTGCTTCTCCTTCTTCGCTTGCACTCCCTTCATGGGCTTCTTTTTTTACCGCCACAACGTCCTCCGTATCCCAGGAGCATATTCGCATTACGCTTACTTTGAGTGGGGCCTCATCATCTTTGTGGGTATTTGCTTGTTGGAAGATATGGTCGTGCAAAGCTTCGCTGACCCCTCTGGATGTCTTTCCTCCCTGATTGTCTCTCGCAGGACCTCTTGTTCGATGCGGCAAGCGTCTACGACCTTTCTCGCTTCGAGATCCACATCGTCGAAGCACCGCAGCCAGAAGCGGGCTTGGACCCTGCAGCAGGCCAAAGCAATACATATGGTCCAGAAGGGAGACGGCTTGTCGATGGCGCTTGGGTGCGCGGGGGCAGGGCGCAAGCCATCACGTCCGGAGCTTGGTCGGCTTCCCCCACCGACTCCCAGCCAGAAGGGTACGATCTCTTGCCCCGCACCTAGAAGATTCAGATTCGCCTGATCAACGAGCACCACAGCGAGCAACTCTGAAACATGTACTGACAGATGCAATCACGATGCGATCCGTTTTCTGCCATCACATCTTGCTACTCGGACGCACTTCTTTGGGCTGTCTCTACTGCTTTGTTGCGAAACACCCTTTACAGCCAGCCCACGATCTCACAAAAGCAGGACGAGCGCGACGATGAAGCCGTCGATGCTGCTCTCAACGCGGTGCCGCAAGACCTGACCAGCCCCACCAGTCTTGGAGCCGTCGTCTCCCTCCTTGCGGACAGCTACCTTGGTACGTGCACATTGAAGTCGCGTCGATTCAACCCTTCTACTGTAGCTGACGTCAACCATCCGTATACTTGCACCGGGGTATCGATTTATATGGACAGCCTTCTGCTTCTGGACAGCCCTCACCGCTTTGCATCCGATGATCTTCTACTGTGAGTGTCGTCGCTGGTACGCGGAAGCGAAAGCAGCAAGTCGGAATCCTGATCTAAAGCCTCTGCTCCCCTTGCGTTCTTGCTTCACCAGTCAGCGTCTACAACCTGGCTGTTGGCGGCCACGAAGCTTTGCTCGTCTCGCAGGTCATCGGTCTCGGGGTCACTCTAGCGGTGCCAGCACTACGATCTCGTGTCCGTCGGCTTTCAACGAGCGGCGCGACCACCGTCGGACCCGTCTCGTCCCAAGCCAAGGCGCTTGGCTGGTTCTTGTCGCTCGTTGGTCAGGCTAGCTGGTACATCGCCGATCCGCTCACCCGGCTCGTTGCCGTCGCGTTCTCCAATGCGCTGCTTGCTGTCCTTCTCGCCCTCGAGTGGGGCGCTGCCTGGGAATCGGATCAGCTGCCGGTCAAGGTCGGAGTCTGGCTCATCGGTTTGCTCGCGTCTATTTTGGCCAAGTACGCCAACCACAGCAACAACCCTGCTTGGCCCTTCATGGACTCGACCAATGGAGGTCACAACGTCGTGCTCCTTGCGCTGGCTCTCCTAGCGGTCGCAGAGATGGCGCTCCGTCCCAAGTTCGACTATCTACCTGCCGTTCAGCGGCGTCGCGCAGTGCAAGCTGTCACATCAATTCAAGATGGCGACCTGCAAGCAAGCGAAACGGCGTCTGGAAGCTTTGCGGCTGCCGCTCTGGGCACTGGCGCCTTGATCTATGCTCTCGACACTTTCTTGACGGACACCGGCACCATGATCGCGTGGGGGTGGACTGGCTATCCCATCAAAGGTCCGATGGCCATCCCACACGGCTGCATCATCCTCATCACAATGGCCTTTGCGTCGCTCGCTGCGACACGCTGGACAGGCTTCGGATACAGCATCAATCTGTTCATCGTGCAGTGCGGCTCGGCAGCATTGCTCTTCTTCACCACAGACTGGATCAGCTTCGCTGGCGCTATAGGCATGGCCCTCAGCCTGCCGCCGCTGGTCCTGCCGATGATCTCGGCTGCTATGCGGCATGATCCGATCAAGGTGATGCTTTTTGCATGGCTCATCGCCAACGTGCTGACGTTCCTCGGTGTCTTGACGGTCGCGTACGCTTTCGTGCCCGGCGGCAAAGTCATGCGAGAAAGGACAGGGTTCATGCTAGGGCTGCAATTGGCGCTACTAGGCTTGGGTCTGATCAACGCCCGCCGAGTCGACAGGCAGCGACTCAGCTCTCAGCGCTCTGGAAAGGTGGCTACATCGTCAGCACAAATCAGCAGCAAAGCGACGAAGGCATCCACATCTGGCGGGGAGGCACGGTCTGGGTCCACCTATTACATTTGCCTGATCATGGCCTTGATCGGCCTCGTTGGAAACATTGTTCCGCTCTACCGCATTGTGCCGCCATCCTCCATCGTTCCTCACCACCCAGAGGATCGGCTGGTGACGGCAGGCATGTGGACGGTGCATTTTGCGCTCGACCAGCACATGCGCGACAGCTCGCGACGCATGGCGTCCATCATGAAGACGCTCGATATGGATCTCTTTGGCCTGGTCGAGTCAGATTTGCAACGTCCTGTCTTTGGTAACCGCGACCTGACTCAATACTTGGCGGAAGAGCTCAAGATGTACACCGACATTGGCCCGGCTCCCAGCAAGAACACATGGGGAGCCGCGCTCTTCTCGAAATTCCCGATCATCAACTCGACACATCACCTGCTGCCCTCGCCCAATGGCGAGCTTGCTCCGGCCATTCACGCAGTCATCGATCTCTACGGCACTCCGACGCACGTCGTCGTGTCGCACAATGGACAGGAAGAGGACCCGCTCGACCGCGAGCTGCAAACCACCGAGATCGCCCGCATCTTCCGCCACAGCTGGCCGCATCCCGCCATTTTTCTGGGATACGTGGTGACAAAACCACATGCAGAGCGACCCGCGCCCTACAAGATCCTCTTCGAGGACGGCAAGATCCAGGATGTCGAGCCGACTGACTTTGGCAGGTGGTGCGAGTATCTGGGCTTCCGAGGGCTCGAGAGGATCTCGTACGTGCGAGTGTCGAGGTATACTGTGACGGACACCGAGCTTCAGACGATGAAGCTGGTCGTGCCGAAAGAGCCGATCAATCCGGATGAGAACGAGCTCACTCGGTTTGTGATGTAAGTATCGAGGCAGGTCGTCCACAGCGATTCTTGACAGCTGACCTTTGCCAATCTCTACACCTGATCGATGAAACAGCATGGAGACGTATCCAGAGTCGATGCGGTATCCATTGTCGCTTATCGACACCAAGTCGATGGTGTACGACAAGTAAGTGCCGAAACAAAGCACCTGCCACGACCTCCTCTGTTTCATCCGCTGATGGTCTGTCCTATCTACTGACTCGTGGAATCGTTGCCGACACAGACACCTCTACTCGCCATATCCCTGGCCAATCTACTATGGGCGTCCTGTGCCTGACTTCTAAAGCCGAGACCGCAATCTAACCGGATTCTGCTCAGTGAGCATATGTGAAGCCATGTACATGACGATCAGCCGTGTCCGTCATGCGTTTGAGACGAGAGACATAAGAGATACGCAAGGACAGCGCCCAAAAGACCGTGATCACCATCGGGATCCTGAAGAAGATGGGCAGCAGCTTTCGAGGTGGAGTATTACGTAAGCCAAATTTGAGCCGGAGCGGAATTTTTTGCAGGAAGATGCACGAAGAAAGCTCAAATTTCTCAAGGGTCCTGTCTCGTTCTCCTTCCTGCTCTTCGACAATCTCTTCGCCATCACCGCCTGCACGGACAGGTATACCGACAGACGAGATGCCGCCCAAGGTCCGACAGCGAGGCAAAAAGCCATCAAAGGTCAGAAAGCTCCAGCAAGAGCAGGAAGAGGAACACAAGGAGAGCGTACAGCCCGTGGCCTCCTCCTCATCATCCAGCACCAACCACATCCAGTTGCAAGCCGACTACATTCCTCTGAGTGGCGATGACGCGCCATCATCAACAGCGCCGCATCAAGAGAATGGAGACGATGGGCAGCCGAACTGGGTCAAGCTAGGAGACAGACCGAGCAAGGCCGAGCACGAGGCACCGTTCGGCTACGTCGATGCCGAGCTCAAGGCGTATCTGCGAGCCGGCTGGGATCGTGTCATCGAGCTCGAGGCGCAAGGCTATGCGGCCAAGTCCACCTTGACAGCTCTCACTGCGGCGAGCTCCGCTGTTGCTCAGCCAAGCTCTCGCGCTGCGGACGAGGAAGACGACGAACTAGCGCTGCTCCTGCAAGCCACGCTCAAAGAGATGGACGGCAAAGAGCTTCTCCTCTCCACCGACCCGGACACCTCGCTCATCGTCGAAGCCATTCTCCATCGTCTCCCTGCCAAGCCGTTGCGCGTCTTCGTCGATCGTCTTGCAGGCAACTTTGCCGTCCTCGCCAAACACCGCTTTGCGAGCCACGTCGTGCAGGCCTGTCTCGCCACCCTCCAGCCCGCCGTCACGCTCGAACATGCAGCGCAGGAGCACTTTCAACAACACACTCACCGCGCAAATGGAAACGGAAAAGCAGCAGCCTCGTCGGCGTACGCGAGCGACACAGCAACTATCGTCAACGAGGACGGCATCCTGCGCAGCGCGACGCAGCTCATCCTGGATATCGCCGAGGAGCTCGCTTCGGACCAGCAGCTGCTCACGTCGCTGGTCACGGATGCATTTGGATCGCACGTGCTCCGCTCGCTGCTGTGCGTCTTGACAGGAAGGAGCATCCAGGCAGAGCCGAGCTCGGGAACAGCAGCAACGGCAGGAGGGTCAGATCTGAGATCTCGACGCAGTGCCAAGTTCCGCACTCGCAAGGCGCCCGCGCCTGGAAGCGCTGCAGCAGCAGGCTCATCGGATGACCTGCTGGTCGTCATTCCGGATCTGCTCTTCAGCCGAGCCACCACGCTCAGGAAGGAGATTCTCAACGATGCAGGCGTCGACGTGGTGCGCAGGTGGGCTACCGACGCGGTGGCTTCACCACTGCTGCAGTTGCTCATCGAGGTGGAAGCCGATTCGCTCAACTCCGAGGATGCATCGCAATGGAAAGGCTCCCTTGTCGACAGCTTCCTGAACGGCTTCGTATCCACTCCACCCACTGGCGAAGAAGCGCAAAAGGACGTCTACCTCGAGACCTCTCTTCGCGACAGCGTCGCATCGCACGCACTGCAACTCGCCCTCGAGCGCGCTCCGTCCTCGACCGCATCGCGCTTCTTCGACACCTACATCCGCAGCCGTATGGCGAAACTATGCGTCCACCCTGCCGCCAACCACATCGTCGCCACTCTCCTCCGTCGGCTCGACGGTGCAGAGCTGCAGACGGCGATCGCAGAGATGACCAAAGTTGCATCGGGCATGGTCAAGGAGCAGATGGTGGGGTGTTTGCAGGCTGCTGTGGACCGCGTGGTGCAGCTGTGCGCAGCGGAGAGCGAAGCGAAGGACCTCGTCCAGGCGGTCAGCGATGCGGTGCTTGCCGCGTTCAGGATCAAGTCCCAGTCGACAGAGGAAGAAGGGTTGAAGCTGCTTGTGCCCGCAGTGTTGGCGCTGAAGACGCGCAAAGCGTACCTGCACACGTTTGGTGCGCATCTCAAGAAGGAAGAGCGGGATGCGGATGGCAAGGGACGTAAGCGTGGTCGTGACGGAAAGGCGAAGGGTGGCAAGAAGAAGTCCAAGTCTGCCGCTGAGGGATCGGACCAGGAAGAAGAGGCACCGTGGAGCATGGATGCGAGCTACGAGCTGCCGACGGGAGAAGCGACGGTGCAAGGCAGTCTGTTGCTTCAGTCGCTGCTGCGTCTTCCTGGACCAGCTGCACCACCGCGCGCACCTGCCAAGCGCACCTTTGGCCGTCCTGTTCCGGCTTCCACCCCCACACCCGCACCAGAGAGTTGGGGCAGCGCTTTGGTCCTGGACAGCCTGCTAGCGCTCCCAACGCTCGTGCCGTTCGCGCGCAACCCCACCGCCGTGCACGTGCTCATCTCCTCCCTCGTCCCGCCTCCTTCCTCCACCACCTCCTCAGCTGTGGACTACGTCCAGTCCGCACGCCGTAGGAAGCTCTCCTCGTCCCTCACAGCGGCCCTGCCCTCCTACTGCGGCGACAAGTACGGTTCGCGTCTCGCTGACGCCCTCTGGTTCTCCGTCGATGGGTTCACCAAGGAGAAGATTGTCAAGACCGTCATTGAGCATGATGCAGAGGTGTTGAAGGGCCCTTATGCGGGGTACTTCACGAACAAGCTGCAGTTGCAGCTGTATAGGAAGGGAAAGGTGAGGGAGTGGAACGAGGCGGTCAAGGCGCAGAAGGCGCCCGAGGTGAAGAAGGAGGAGGCAAGTGGAGAGAGAATGCACAAGGCAGTGGTGGTCGAGACTAAGAGGGCGAAGGTCGGGAAGAAGGAGAGGGGCAGCAAGGTCGATGGCGAGCTGGATAGCATCTTGGGTCAGATTTGAGCTGCAATTCAACAGGAGCATACTTATGCTGAATTCGAGGCGCTGATGCTGACAGAAGTGAGTTGTTGACACAACCTCGAGCATACATGTGAGGACGAGACTGTAGCGAGTCAGAAGATGCCCCTCGCGGACCATCTTGACTACGAAGATGGTGTGCGGAGCATGATCAGACGGCTCGGATTTCGGACGGCTCCAAAAGTTGCTGGACCCTGAACAGCTTTCTTCCAACGTAATTCTTCCACTCCACCTCCTTCATCTGTCCTCACTTCGACGTCGATCCCCTCTACTTGCTCGCAGCCCAGCCTGCGGCGTTGAGTGTTTGCCCAACATGCCGCCTCGAATCCCGCTGACCCCGGAGCAAAAGCGTATTCGCGTAAGCTTTTTCTCCCACCTTTCCTCGTCCTCATCTGTGTCGCTGACCCCTTCTTTCTCCCTCCCATCTCCCTTCTCTCCGCCCCTTTCTTCTCCTCCCGCCGCCATTCTGTTCTGGACGCTCGCTGCCCTCGCCGCAACAGACAATCATGATCTCCTTCCCCCTGCTCGTAGCGACGACCGTGGTGCTGTTCAAACGGCTCTACCTGGGGGAGGAGCAACGCAAACTGCCGAGTCAGGGCAAGATCGCGCCTCCTCCTGCGTAGCCCGTTTCTCCATTCTCCGCAACCCAACGCAATCGATCACAATTGTGTCGTACGAGGACTGTGTCAGGACGACTGGGACAAGGCTTTGAGCCGTGGTTGTCAGGCGTAGGGAAGGACGAGACGGGAGGGACAACACAAGTGGCAGTGGTAGCGACGGATGAAGCGCGGATCAACACAAGACGCTCATTCGCGGGCAGGAGGCAGCGGCGGCAGTGGCAAGTGACGAGCGTCTCTCGGATCAAAACGTCATTTACCAACATCGAGCCAAGATGCAAGCAGAAACGAGTCATCGACATCGGCAAGCGACGGGCGTGCATCGGAAGAAGAGATGGGCACACCGTCCGGCTAAGGATGGACCCAGAGGCGTCTCACCACGGGTTGCATTGCGAAAGGGCAGCATGTGCGCTCATACAATTTACGGACGAGCGGTCTATTGGCACATGAAGAGGTCTCAGCATGGAAGGCTTGGTGGGCAGCATTCGCTGGATCAGGCGTGCTCCACCGGAAGCGTCCTTGCGAGTTCTGGGAGGGAGAATGTACGCAGGTGACACACAATTCAGACAGGATCGTGAACAAGGGTACACGGCTAGAACAGACGCCAAAGGGGTCATGTCGCAGTCTGTCACCATCTCCTCATCAACTGAACACATTCACATCACAAACGCTGGCACCATATGGAACCGATCTCATTGACTCTACTCTCCCGAACTTGAAAAGATCACCGCATCACTCGGGAACTCCTCCTTGCCGCCCGCACATCCAATCTTCGGCAGGTCAAACTCGACGGTCGCGAGGAGCACCACCGTCTTGGTCTCGTCCTGATTCTTGACCTCGTGGACGCTGACGGGGACGCTGACCTCTTCCATGCCCGCTTTTAGCGGGGTGCGCCGGTCGGTTGGATCCGAGGTGTGCGACGGGATCGCGGATTGTACTGCGCTGGGGCGGACACGGAGGATGAGGCGTTTGCTGCTGTTGGGTGCGAGCGTGCAGGTGACGGTGGAGGAGATGCGTTTGAGCTCCTTGGGTTTGTCCGAGGTCGGTGCCGAGGTGGTGGCCGTGTCGTCCTCCGGCGCTGCGGGTGGAGGGTCGGACTTGCTCGCCTCGCCATCGGCCTGTGCAGCACCGGCGGAAACGTCCTCGGAAGCCGCAGAGGAGGCTGGCAAGCTGGGCACCTTGACACCTAACGCCGTCAACCGATCCTCGTACTTCTTGACCTTGTCCGCATTTCCCTTCCTACTAGCGATCTTGAGCTTCTGAGACAGATTCTCGATCTCTTCCTCCTCCTCCTTGCTCAGCGTGCCCCGCACCTCGTCGTCGCTAGCCGTGCTCAGCCCGACGTCGATCAAACATCGCTGGTGCAGCAGATCATGCGAGTCGATGGCAATGACAAACGAGCGCGACTTGGACGTCGTGTTCGTCAGCACAAAGCTTTCCGGTGTCGACAGCTTGCCTGGCGTGCAAGCGCCAAAGTTGATCGCGCTCGGGTCGACGGCAAAGTTGGGCGTCTTGCGGATGTTCGCCTTGAGCACCACCGTCTGGTCGTTGTCCCGATCCGCGACATTTTCCACCACCAGCTTCTCCTGGAAGGGTCCAGACATGGAGGGCGAGAACACGAACTCGACTTCGCGCTTGCCGTAGCCGGGCACGACGCCGTAGCGCCCGCTGCTGAGCTTGATGTCTCCAGAGGCAATGCTGCCGCTCTTGCGAATGCAGTAGCGCAAAGCCCACTCGCTTCGGTTCTGGATGAGAATCTTGCGCGTTTTCGAATCGCCCTTCTCCATATGACCAAAGTTGATGTGAGGTTGGCCAAGCTCCAGCAGACTGCGGCACGTGTTGCTTCGCAGCATCAGGTCCCGCACCGGCAGCTCGTCTGCTTCCAGCTCTGCCATGCCCGAGAACTCCTCGGATTGTCGGACCACGCCCATGTCGAAGTCGATCAACCTCATAAAGATGCGCGAGTCCTGCTTGCGTGCGTTGCCCTGGATGTGAGGCCGAGTGCTGCCGCTCGGGTGGTAGACAGCGATGACCTGCCCCTCGGAGCGCGGTGGCACTTCGAGCACGGAGAGCGGGATGAGCTTGCCAGCGTCGATGGAGCTCTGCAGCTCCCTTCGCAGGTTGATTTCGGCGCGAACAAACTGCTCTTCGGCCTCTGGACTGCCGAGGAAGAAGGTGCTAAGCATGCTTGTCTGTGCCTCGACAGCAGCGAGCAGGTCTTCTAGCGACATGCGTGACACGTCGACGGGATTCGAGAGCACAGGAGGGGCTTTGCGCTTGCCAGTGAGTGCAGGCGAGAAGTGGACACGCGCTGAGGCATCCCCTGCCTTGCTCTCCTTCGAGCTCTTGCCGGGCTGACGGATTGCCGATGCTGGTTGCGACTTGTTGCCAGAGCTTGCTTGTGCTCCTTCAGCAGCGAAAGCATCCCGTCGCGAGGCATCATGAGCGATAATGTCGTTCGCAAGAGGAGATGGCAGGCGGGGTACGTTGGAAGCAGCTTTGGACGCTGAGGAAGTGGGCGACAGAGAGCCGACTTCGGACCTCCCTTCCGTCGTCTTGTCCTTCGAAGCTTGGCTCGACTTGTTCTTGGACCCTGACTTGGCCTTCGTAGTGCCTCCATTGCTGCTGTCGTCTTCCTGGGCAAGCTTGGCACCAGTGGTCTGACCCAGACTCTTTGGCTTGCCGCCGGTCGTGATGTTCTCGAGAAGCGCATACTTCTTGCTCTTGGCAGGTATGCGGCGGGCATCCACCGGCGGGCCAGAGGCCAGGTCAAGATACTCGAACACACTGATGAGCGTTCGGTCCTTGAACGTGACCGTCTTGCCGTATCCGACGGTGATCCTGCCCTTGCCGCCCTTCTTGAGCGCCGAGACCAGGTTAATCGCGGGCTTCGCCTTGCCTGACGCATTCGACTTCCTCTGCGTAGACACAACGCTGCCGTCCTCCTTCTTGCGGTAGTGGCTGTGCTTCTGCGCCAACCTCCACGAGGCATTCTCCGTCCGCACTGAGGTGGGCGAGTCAACCGAGATGGTCTCGAGGAAACGCTCCTTCAGATCAGCGCCTTTCATCGAGGTCTTTGCCGACTTGGCTTTGCTCGAGCCACCGTTGGAGCTCCCAGCCTTCATCGCCTCGGCCGTTTCTGGACCGCCGCCTTCCATCTCGTCCGGCTGCGTCTCGCTGTACTTGGAGACAGCCGTCTTCGCCTCTAGCTTGGGACTGCTGCCGCGACTTGCATCGCTCGACGGTGCCTTGAGGTATAGCGTGACATCCTCGGGATGCGCGGGGCTCAACTCGAGCGACAGCTTCTTATCTGAGACGTTCTCAATCGTGAAGGTGCGCATGCGCGTCGAGCTGATGTTGACATCGCCAAAGTCGACATAGTTGGACCCGGTCGGTGTGAGAATGCGGTAGAAGAGCGAGTGGAAGCTGATGCGCTGCTTGTCAACGTTTCGGGATCGTACTTCGAAGATCTGATCGCCCTGCCTGTTGAGCAGGTTGGCAACGGTGATCTGCTTGCGGTAGGTCTCGTTGACTCTGCGAGGGAAGGACTCCACCTTGAGCTCGATCGTTTGCCGGGTAGGGATGGCAACCTCATCTCGATACATGCTAAGCACCTTGGACACAAAGCGCAGATCGACACGTGCAGTCAGCTCGGACCTGTTGGTGACCGAGATGTTGGCCGACTTGCGCGTGCCCACCTGCACTTCACCCAAGTCGATCATCTTGGGAGCGATTGAGATGAACGAGGTGCAGGTGCGGCTGTGGCAGACCACGGTCCTCCTCTCGCGACCTCCTCGACTTCGCATGTTGGCAAGTCGCGCGCGCGAGTAATCGAGCGAGATGCGGAACGTCTTCTCGACCAGACGACCTCCGCTGAAGTCGGCGTCCCAAGCAACACGCTCAGGGCGGTACGATACAAAGACGCGGTATTCGCCACCGGGCCTCAGCACGAGCTCTTCCAGCTGGTTGCTCTGTGTGCTCTCGACATTGCGCAATCCAGACAGGGCAGCACTGGCAGTGTTGCGATGCTGATGACGGGCGGAAGTGCCGGAGGAGCCAGCGTTCGAGGAGCCAGCGGGATAGGCAGCCGCTCGACTGTCCTGCGACAAAGCCGTGTGGATGGAGCGTACCGAGCTAGCATCGTCGTGGCGCTCAGACTCGGCAGGCCGGCTGTACGAGGCATTCCGAGACATGTGCCCGGACGAGTTCTGACTGTACGGAGTGGTCGACACGCTCGCTTGGTCAAAGTCTCTGGGCGCAGAGACGAGCGATTGGGGTCGAACAGAGTGGAGGCGGTCCATCAGGTTGAGATGAGGTGTCTCACCCATACCGGAACGAGCCGACTCTGCTGCGGACGACGCAAGGATTGCACTGACGGGGCCCTGCGATGGAGAGCTGGCGGCGGGACGGACGGGCGAGTTGGATCGTGATCCTGCCTGCGATGCAACTGAAGAGGCATCCACACCATCCTCATCCGTCTGTGCGCTTCCGCGGCGACCTCGCATCAGATCTTCACTGCTATCCGCCGCTGGCAGCTCGAGGGCGGGAGGCTCCAATGCAGCGGATCCTTTCGGCACGTGGGCGTGATGCGTCGGTGTCTTGGCGAGCTCGGAAGCGGTCGCGGCCTGTTCACCTCCGGATTCCGACTGTCGGCTATAATCATAGGCGCTCGAAGCACCGTCGAGACCGGCACTGCTGCTGTTGTCTGCTGAGGACATTCGACTGCGGTCGTCCGTGCTGGCTGATGAAAGCGACAACTCGCTCATATGAGCATTCGGTGGAAGCTCCTCTTGATCGGGTGTATCATCCTCGGCCTGTGGCGCCAACTCTGCCAGCTGGAACATGACCTGATAGCCCTGCTGAACGCCGAAAGAGACGTCGAGAAGCACGTCGGCGTTGTTCTTGAGCACGAGCAGCTGCTTGGTCCAGTGTCCGCCGTAGCAGTCGCCAAAGTCGAGGTAGTCGCCGGAGAGGACGGATAGAGCGTCGTCTTTGGCAGTGCCGAGCATGTTGGCTCTGATGACGACACGAATGCTGTTGGCGGAGTTGTGCAGTGACGTGATGGTCAAGACCTGTTCGTAGTCCCGACATGGCTCCTGTGGCTTGAGAGAGACCTTGATCTGCTTAGATGCAAGGCGACCGAGGATCAAGGGGTTGTACGACAGGTTTTCCTGATCACCAGCCCAGACAGAAGGCACCGTCTCGTCCGTGTCAGCATCGTTCAAGCTGATGGGCGGCGTTTGGAGCATGTTGTCGGCGTCTTCGAGCTTCACCTGGCAGAAGCAATCGATTTCGGAGAGATTGCGCAGCGTCAGGGTGTGAGACTGCGAATGGCCGACAATGACATCGCCAAAGTCGAGATAGATGGCCGAGCCGCTGCTCGTCTGTGTGGACGAAGAGTTGAGATCCAGTGGAGTAACAGAGGCGATCGCAGCATCGATCAAAGGTCGACAGCATTGTGCAGCGACGGGGATGCGAATCTTTTGCACGGCAGCGACGGGGATGCGAATCTTTTGCACGTCTCGCTCGTCGGGCTGGGAACGAAGCGCAGAGATGACAGACGAGGCAGCAGACGTGGACGCCGCTTGTGAGCCGTAGGTGCTCGTCGGTCGTGATGAAGCCGAGGCAGAGGCGGAGGAAGGGGGTTGACCGCTCCTTGTCGCATTGCCGTTCTTCGTTTCAACAGCTTCCTCTTCGCTATCAGGCGACGGGAGCAGCCAGCTGGACGCAGTGATGATGCCGCGGAGACCGAAAGCAGGATGCAGTGGACGTGCCGTCTGCGCCCGAGAGGCCACTTTCGAGGCATGCATCTCTGGCGCAGAGCGCGGAGAGGTGAGACCGAGGTCTTCGGTGACACTGCCAACGCTGTCCTGATCCGATGCTGCAGCACTGAAGCTGCCTTGCTGGTCGCCAAAGGTAGCTGGCGTAGACATGGGCGATGTGAGCATGGCATCCTCTGGGCGGGAGATGTGAGGCACAGGCGATGCCAACAGGTCACCGTGCTTGGTGGCAGTGACCTGCGTCGATGTCGAGAGTTGTGTTTTGTAAGGCCAGCTGCCGCTTGAGCGCAATGCTTCAGCTTCCTCGACGAAGTCGGCGGGTCGAAGCACAACATAAACCTTGGTGGTTTGCTGCGGATCTAAAATGAAGGAGTCGGCATTCTCGAGATTGGCAAGGACGTGCCTCCAGCCCCTGAGGTTGGCGGGGACAAAGCCGCCGTTGGTAGCCCAGTTGAAGCTATTGGAAGGCCATGCAACAGGTTCGAACTCGTTCTGATTGGACCTCTTGCGACGCATGAAGCTGAGGCCCTGCCGCAGATCGGACTCGAGCCGGACGAGAGCGCAACGATCGGAGCTACGGTTGGTGACCATGACGTGGTGGACGCAAGGAGCATGGTTGATGTAGCTGCGCTCGAAGCGAAGACAATCCTGGACATTCACCGAGATGCAGGCTGGACCCTGGGAGTGCACCCTCAACTCGGCAGTGTCGTGAAGCTGGGGTGGTCCGATGTGGAGAGAGGCAGGAACCGACTTGCCGTGCGGCTGCAATGATGTCCCGTAGCTCGTACTGGACGAGGCGTTCTGTGTGGATGCTGCCGAAGAGGGAGGCAATGAGACGAGCGAGACGCTGCCACTTGACGAGTTTGTACGGAAGCGAGTCAGAGCACCGCCGTTGTAGTTAGCTCCGGAGCTGGCCGAAGCCTGCGCTTGATCGGTTGGGTTGTCTGTGATCGGAAGGTCGGAAGCGGGCACGCCTCGCAGAGACGGAGAACCATGACTGCTTGAATGCGAACTGCCGGCTCGAGAGGCGGCGTTCGACCTGGCCGGATCAGCGGTGGGTTCTTCCAGGCCAGTGGGTCGAATGGACGGGTTTCGAGCGTCGCGTGCACCGATGAGGGGATTGGTGGAAGGGACCTGTTTAGCGGTGGGTCGAGAAGGACGTTCTGAGGCGAGACTCTCGCGATCGCCGAGAACCCTTTCGAAGGCACCGACCCACTGATGACCCGAGGAGGAATGCGAGTCGCCCGGCTCCTCATCCAGGTCAAAGCGAGGCGACTTGAGCAGGTACGTGTTGTCTGACATGATTGGTAGCCGATATCAAGATGGGGGACCGAGAGAGATAGTCCTGTGCTAGCGATTGAGCTGATGCGAGCGATTCGAACGAATGGGTATAGTCGAAGCTGAGCGGCGACTTTGCGAGACGTGCCGTCGCGATGTCTTGTATAAAGCCTCCAGAGACCTTTGCAATCTTGCGACGGTACTCCTGGAAACGGTCGAGGTCCGGTCGGACGGCCACGGAGGGCTAGGACCGATGAGAGTCGAGATCAATTCGACATAGTGAGCGGAAGATGGTTCCAAAAGAGGATGTGGTAGAGCAGTGGATGCAGGACTGCGTTGACTTAGTAGTGATGCTGATGAGCTGTCGAGAGGCTTCCTGGAAGCTAGCGTTAAGTGCGAGCGACTTATGCTACCTGTCTCGGCGGCTGAGCTGGGCTGAACTGAGCTGAGCTGAAGGTGGATGTCCAAGCGCGATACGGGTTGCGGTGCCAATTCCGATTTGCCTTGTCAGCGAGCGAAAGCTTTCGTCAGGTGGTGTGAGGACGTAGAGAAGGTGGTACGGCAACAGCCGAAAGGGATGCTGATGGAGTCTGGACGAGGAAGAGAGGGCCGCCTATCCCAAGCAGAAGTCGCAGGTCGGTCTAAGCAGCATCTCACCGGCGAGGCGTGGATTGGTATGCGAGCCTCACCTCGAGAAAGTGCAAGTCCGCAGCCAGCCGCAAGCCATATTTTTTCTTTGATTTTGGATTTGCGTGGGTGTGCGTGTGTCCTGGACCCGGGGGTCGTCTGTTTGCTCGCTCCCGAGCTCTCTCTCTCTCGCTTCATCTGTCTTAGTCTGACGACACTGGACAGGCGGCAGCTAACGCGCAGCCAACCGGATGCCTTGGTTTTCGGCTGCGCCTCTACGCATGAAGTCGAGCCTCGAGAAAAGGCCAGAAGGGTCCGCTTGCTCTAGTCACACGCTCTCTCGACATCCGTCGGTCGGCTGCCATTGTTCGGACGAGCCGTCGTCACTCGACAGCAATAAGCTCGATCGAGTGACTGTGTCGCTTTCGGCTGGTCCGCGGAGCATCTTCGAATCGCTCTCTGCGGATGCGTCTGATTCCAGCCGGCCGTTCCGTACAGCTCCATGGACCGGGCGTGGAGACTCTCAAGCCGCAAGTTGTGCTCTCAGTGGCGTCGTTGCTGAGCCATGAAGCGAGGAAGGCCCGAGCTGAAGAAGGTCGTGTCTCGGGTGCAGTCACAACAGAAGTTGACCGATCTCACGAATTGATCCTTGGGATGTCGTCCTTCACGTGAGCTTGGGCATCAAATCGCCGATCCGTTCAATTTACACGAGCCTCGTTTGCGCGACGCGCCCTTTCAACTTTTCTCGGAAAGTAACACTTCCCTCCTCTCCTTCTCTTTCTTCCTCTCCTTTCCTCCTGCTGGCTCCTGCTTCTGGTCACTTCTCCTCCGACTACTGCCTCTCACACGCATCGTCCATCATGCGCATACACGTCAACCTACCGCAGCCGTGTTCGGCAGACAATGCTTCGTCCTCGTCCTCGACCCTCCTGTCCCAAGCACCAGCGCCGCTGACCGCCCTCACCCCATCCGGCGAGCTCATCCTTATCGAGCTTCAAGGCTCGCTCGAGATCGAACACCAGCGACCTTCCGGCGGGCAGGTGCTGGGCACGCTAACATTCGATCCGTTGCGCCCCGACCGGCCGGTGCTGATGGTCTCGCATCACAGATTGGAGGGTAAATTTGTTTCGCTGGTTCGACCGCTGGCGGTGTTGGAGAAGAAGGTGCGCCCCGGCAAGAAGATTACGGAAGGCGTGCTCGTGGATGTGGTCAACAAGCGTGGGAGTGAAGAGGAGAGGGTGGGCACAGTCAAGAAAGCGAGAAGGGACGAGGAGGCTGAGCCTTTGACACCAAGGAAACCTACCCGCGACAGCCTAGATTTCAGCTCCTCCCCACCCCAACCCACGCCCGTCAAATCCAGACCGCTCGGAAAGCCATCCGAGCTCGACACAGTAGACGAAAACGAAGAGGGAGAGCTCGAAGAAGCCCAAACGGCGATCTACTACGACGTGGTCAACGTCATCCGTCGCAAAATTCTCTTCTCAAAACGACCCGAGCCCATTGTCAAACTCAACACTTCACCTTCAATCACACGCGCTCTCAGCACATGATCAGCACTCTAGCAATCACATACCCCATTCACTCCGTTCGAAACAGTCTTGCATTACTGCCCTTTGTACCTCTGCTTCTCAAACACGCCCCAAACTCTCTTCATCAGCACTTTCCCTGCGGAATCCAACAGTCCCACCATCGCAGCGTCTCTCTGTCTGACACCCATCACCTCGCACACGGTCATCATGCCCACCTCCAATTCCTTCCTCACCTCCGCATCCACTACGGCACCTTGGACGGTGAGACATCTCAAATACGCCACCAACACCCCTGTGGCATGCTTGCCAAACGGTTTGGCCAGACTTTCGGCCTTGCCCCCTCCCGCGAGGGGGACGCTCTTGACCACCAACCCCGAGAGAAGTCGTGCCAAGCCCCTCGCTTCGCCCACGCCGAGGGGCGGGACCAGAACGGGATCGAGCCAGGTCGGAAGGTCGCGTCGCAAAGTCCTCCTCTGCGATCCCGATGCACCCCCTCCGTTGCGAAGTTGACGGAACAACGTCACCAGTCTAGCCAGGAGCAGCGACAGCTGCGGCAGAAAGCCCGACATCAGATCCTGACGCAATCGCAACAGTGTGCCCAACGTCGACACCATTCCGCCAAAGATCTTCGCTCGGACTACCTCCAGCTCGCTTCGCTCGAGGTGGACCAAAGCGCGCGCTGGCTCGTCGGCCATACTCGGCCCCGTGAGCGTGGCAAACAGCTGCAGGAGCGCACCCATGTCTTGCGTTCGGAGCAGCATCGCGTGGTTCCCACAGAGGTCGTCGAGGGCGCAGACGGCGGAGACAATGGATCGGAGCTTGATAGGTCCTGCGGTGGCGGTGTTGAGAATCGCCAACCAGGAAGATAGGTGCGAGCGAGCAACTTTGGATGTTCCCTCTGGTGCACTGCCGAGCACGAGGCCGAGGGTCGTGGTGAGCGCCGCTTGATCGTTGTCCACCCCGGCATCGGCGACGAGACTCGCCGTCCCGCGCAAGATCAGCAGGAGGTTGGAGAGGACTTCGTCGTACTGCTCCGCAGTGAAGCGCGAGACGATGCGCTGCAGTCCTTCTGTGAGGCGTCGCTGCTCTCGAAGCCCACTCAGCGATGCGACCAGCGCTGCGTAGGTGCGGCAGATAACAAGGGCGGTCTGAGAACCGCTGGACACCCGGCCGTGCAGATCGATGCTTCGCAGCAGCTCGAGCGTCACGTCGGCTGCAGATCGCAGGATCTTTTGTCGTTCATTTGCTTCGGCGTCGATGAGGGCTTGGGCGCGGCCGAAGACGGTGCACAGCGTCTCCACAATCTCCTTGGACAATGCCAGCGTGTCGCTACTGTCCGTGCCAGCCTCGCCAAGAAGCCGTACCTCCCGCAGGTGATACAGGGAGATGTCGAGCGCCTGTGCGATGTCGCCAAGGGTGTCGAGGTTTATGTATCTTTGGTCGATGATTGCGCGAATGTTTCTCGTAGCGGGGTCGCCTTGGTCGGACGGCTTGTCAGCTATGAGACTGCTGAGAATGGAAGACGTCTCTTGAGCAGCACGCATTTTGAGCGTGATATGACCCTTCTTGCTGCTTGCCTCCACAGCTGCTTCCTGGCGCAGCTGCTTGGCGACGTCAAAAAGTCGCTGCGAGATGCCTGACTTTTGCACGCTCCTCGCTCGTAGCGCCCGAACAACGGCAGAGAAGGCGGCGAGCGTAGCGCGTTTCCAAGCTTGATCGTACTTCTCCTCCGCGCTGCTATCCTGCAAGGACAAGAACGCGTCCAGGGAGGCGAAAGGGTCCTCGTCGCTAACGCTCGTCTCTGTGGCATAGTCTTGCAGCGCTCTCGAGATCAAAGTGCGCAGCTGCGTCCAAGATGCTGTGAAGTGCTTGCTGCCTGTAGATGCCCCTTGATGAGCAGATTCGACGTCACGATCGAGCGCAAGAAGAGCCTTGATCAAGGGTCCACGTGCGCTTTTGTGCACCCACTCGGTCGGAGTAGTCCAAAGCGCCGCGGTGGAATCCAGCCTAAGTTCAAGGTCTGCTTGAGACGATACCTCTCGTTGGACAATCTCGACGATCTGCCTGCGCCAATTGGGCAGCTCGAGAAACGAGGCATTGCGCAACGCCGTAGAAGTGATGTATCGCATCCCGCTCTGGACGTCGTCCTTTCGCAGACTGGGCTGCGCTGTTCGAACGAGAGTGCGAGCGAGCGCTTGAACGATCTCGCCATCTGCGATCGCATCAAAAAGGGGTGCCCATCGGGTCACGATCGCCATCCAGAGCATCTGCATCAGCTCGCCACGCGATCGAATGTGATCAGGGCTGCCTGCCCATGCTCCTGCAACCGAAGCGTGTGTCGACTGCAGTCCGCTAAGCAGGTCATGAAGGTGACCCTTGTCTTCCGAGATCAGTCGACAGTATCGCGATCCCTGCAGTCCGAGGAAGGTATCCCGCTCTGCACGCTGCAGCAGGCTCTGCACGATCTGGAACTGCAATTGTAACATCTGGGGTCCCCCATCTTGCGATGACAACAGCTCAAGGAGAGAGTCTGCTCGCTCGTCGAACGCCTCCTCGAGACACGGAAGGCTCTCTGTCGGCAGGGATCCGTCGAGCTTGACCGCCTCGGATGGGTCGTAGCGCCACTTCTCTGAGAGCAGCGCTTGTCTGACACGCAGCGCAGCTGCTGCTACACCGCAGATGGCGGGCGAGGATGGGGACGAGAGGCAAGCGTCGATGCATGGAAGAATCAGATTATTGTGCAGGTCCTCCGCAGCAGCAACAGAGCGAGCGCGAAGAGTGGGCGCCAAATTGACGCTCTGCAGCACTTGGGCAGCAATCTGAAGCTGCGCGGTCAGCGCAGCTGCCCCTTCTGCCTTTGCATTGTCGGTCTTGCTTGGACTGCTCTGGGAAGTGCGCTGCTTCTTTGATGCTTTCGGAGTCGCGCTGGTCTGCAGTACAGCGGTCAAGCCCTGAGACAGGCTTGTTAGCCTGTGAATGAGGTCCGACACCTGCATCGGCGTCACGTTGTCGCGACAGAGCTTTCCGAGTTCAGCCAGGAAGGTCTGAGACGCGAAGAGAGGCGAGAAGAGTGACCCATCAGGCGACTGGGCGGAGAACTCGGCTGCAAAGGGAAGGCTGCCAAGGATCGTGTTGACGAGGTTCGGGATGCTTCGGAATCTGGCGTCGATAACCGCAACGGCCCGGAAAAGGTCGAGCGCCGCAAGCGTGGACATCGACAGCTCTTCCGGAAGCCACAAAGCTTCTTTAGAGACACGTTGGGCTGCGACCATGGCGAATATCGACGTCAATTCCGGTTCGATGATGGCCTTTTCGAGTTGCCAGAGCGACGTGAGGCAGCTGAAGTGGTCGGCAATCTCGACTTGATTCGCTGGCCCTGGCTCAGTGATGGCTCGACGCAATTCTTGACGAACGACATCGGAGATGACGTTGAAATACGAGCGCCACTCTTCGTGTTCTTCGCATCCCATGATGTAAAGACCGTTGCTCTCGATGCTGCGCAGCAAGCCTCGTCTTGGCGCTGCACTTTCTCGGCAGAACTTAGACGTATCAGAGGATTTGGCAAGGTGCGGCAGGAGCGGGAAGAGCCACTCGGAGAGCATCGTCTTGCGAACGAGAGAAAGCTGAGCTTCACGGACGGTGCCCGAAGAGGTGTTGCTGAAGCTGACTATCGAGTTGAGTGCCTCACTTCGATAAAGCTTCGCGTAGAGGAGATTGGTGAGCGCAGGAAGACAGCTGAGCGTGACGCTTTCGAGCGCTTCGTCCTCCATGAAGCCGTGCAATTGAGCGACGATACCTGCGGTGGGAACTTTTGCCTCCTTCCAGGTCGGCCTTGCCGTTATCTGCGCTTGACGTCCTGCTTGCAAGAGCGAACGCTGGACGTCCTCGGTGAATAAGGACTCAGCAGCGATCTGCTGTAAAGCCTCGATTGTCGCCAATTCTTGCGCTGTGTATAAGCCGTCTTCAGCGTCTCGTGTTCCAAGTGCGTACAGAGCACGCAAGAGAGACAGGAAGGCATGGCTGCAAAAGTGCTGATGGTTTCGTTTGGCATTTGAGCCGTATTGCAACGCAGTCGACCAAGGCTTGACGATGGCTAGGAGGATCGTGAGCCCCTTCTGCTGCTCTTTCACGCCACGTGACTCGGCGAAGAAGTCGAGCCAAGCCTGTATCGAGTCTGTGGCTGCCTCGATGTTGGTGGCTGCTGTTCTTGACGTAGCTGGAGGGAGCAGCTTCTCTAGAGACACCGATGCGGAAGAGAGCAACTCCTCCAGCTGAGACTGCGATAGAGTCTGATCTTGAGCAAGTTTTCTCGCAAAGGCGCCAGCGAGAGCGAGGACAGGCTGAGTGTTGGCAAGGTGAGACAGCCAACTGCGCTTGGCTGCTTCGGAGAGGTCCGCCTGGTTGCTGGTCTGGGCGGTGACGATGCCGGCAAGAAGCTGCCATGCTTTGAGATTCAGCTCGACTGTCCCTGCTGATGTCGAGGACTGCTGCTGTTGGTGTTGCTTCGCCTTGTTCTTTCCCTTGTTGGGTGTGCCAGGAGCCGCGGCGGACGGAGAAGCCTTCAGCGAAGAGCAAAGGTATTCGAGGACCCATTGCGATAGCAGATCTGCCTTTTTGGGCACAAAGAAGCTGTCTGTTTGCCATGCTTCGAGGGCAATGTCGATCTTGCTGACTCCGTTTGATGGTGGTTGCGGTACACGGAGGGTCTTGACGAGCTGTTCTGAGGTTGTTATGGAAGCCGAGGCCAGTGCTGACGAGCCTGGACTCGTTCCTGCACTCGGCCCAGCCGCGACCGTCGCACTACTCCGTGTCGCTGTCGGCATGTTGCTCCTGATGATCTGCTCGTACGCCTTGCGAGACAGGTGAGGAGGTCGTCGTTGATGTTGAGGAGAGCCTGAGTACCAAGGCTGTCTTTGGTTGTGGAGGACACGAACTCCAAAAGTCAACTCAAAAAAAGTTTGAGGCAGCAGACCGCTTCCTCGAGAAGACCCTGAATTTAAGATTTTGCTTTGGCCAAAGAAGAGCAGTGTTCTTCTTATCGCGCGAGAAGAGCAGCCCAGCCCTTCTTCCGTTCGAGGTTTTCGGACAAGTGTCACCAAACCATCATCTCGCTTTGACCTTCACCATCTTCGCCAGCATATCCCTCCATCGTCACCTGCAACAGACCCGTCGACCACGCACATACCATCACGATGCTCCAGACCACCCTCCGCGCCCTCTCGAGGCGCACAGCGGCCGTCGCGCCAGCACAGGTCCGACTCTGCTCCTCCTCCGCCTGCTCGTCCACCCTGCTCAAGAGCGCATCGCTCAAGTCTCCTTCGCTCGCCTCGTCTTCCACACTCGCATCGACATCACCAGCATCATCAGCGTTGAAGTCGCTGGATCAGCAGCAGAGGGGCATGAAGGTGCGCTCGTCCGTCAAGAAGTTCTGCGACGGCTGCTCGGTCGTCCGCCGCAAGGGGAGGCTCTATGTGATCTGCAGCAAGGATCCCAAGCACAAGCAGGTACGTATGAACACTTCTGAGACTCTCGTTTGTTTGAGCAAGTAGCTGACTCGTTTCTGTCCGTTCCTTCGCTCCAATCTCTACTCTACAGCGTCAGGGCTAACGCGATACACAGAACCATATGATCGACTCAACCACTTTCACCCTTTGTACTTGTACGGAACTCATCTGCCTCGACATGCATCTTTCACACTGAGTTCGGACAGACTTGGACGATGTGGGCGGATACTCGGACATGAGTAGCTGACATTCCTTGCTTTTCCGCACCGCTACGATGAGTCGCTGAATGCGTGTGTTTGGAGTAGACGCTCTGCTAGAATCTCCCCTCACTCCGGCTGCTTCGCCTCCTGCTGCTGGATCAGCCCTTCAATCTCCCGAATCTCCATCTCGACATCGGCCATCCTCTGATTGACCCCGCTGAGCCTCTCCTTGAGCTTGCTCTCGTACTCTTCGTCCGAGACGCTCCTGATCGGCATAGCATTCTTGACCTTTCCCATCCAGCCTGTTTTCCCCTCGTCCTTCTTCACCTCTGCGATCGGGGCGACAGCTTGGGACGCTGCGACTGCTGCGTCGCTCCCATTCGGCACTGCCACCTGTCTTGGTGCTGGCCTGATCATCGTATCCCGCACAATCCTCGCTTCGTTCCCCAAAAACTGCAACCCGGCACACGCAACCCCAAAAGTCACCACGCCCTTGTGCACCGCCCCCACTCCTCTCGTTAGCACCGCCGCCCCTGCGCCCACCACCGCACCCGCCAGGCTCGAAGCAAGCACCTTGTCCGAATGCCTGTTCGTCGCCACCGTCCTCAATCGCATCGTGCGCTCCTTCAAATCCGGTCCGCTCGAAGTCCGATTCAACACGGGAGACATGACGTACTCCCGCACCGCAAAGAACGGAAAGGCAAAGGCGAAGGATGAAAAGGCCATTCGAGTACCAAGCACGGTTCCGGCACCTTGACGACCACGCAGGACGCCGTAGATCGAACCGCCCACGCCACCGGCGAGCGCGGTGAGAAGGGAGCCTTTGACGACTTGGATGGGTGCGTCGGATTCGAGCTGGTAGGTGCTGGAAGGGGGTGGTTCGAGGACAGAGAAGACGCCGTAGCCGCGTTTGGCGTTGCGTGCCGACTTAGCGGCGGGATCGTCGAGGAACTCGTTGTTGCCCCAGCCGCTCGATTGCGGGGAGAACGTGGCGGGCGAGGACCAGCGTGGATCGTCCTCGGCGCCGGAGAGCGTCATCACTGGCTCGTCACGGTTGCGAGGAGGGGCGCGTGGCGACGAGGGCGCACCCGAGGACTGTGGTCGAGCTGCTGGGTTGGCGGCGGTAGAGAAGGTCGAGGGATCCTGCGAGTTGTTCTGCCCGGACTGGGACGAGGCCGTTCGGTTGCCGTAGGCGGTGCGAGCGTTGTCCTGTCGGATCTTGTCCCACTTGCTGGGCTCGACGCCGCGTTCGCCTCGCAATTGCGCCCATCGTGTGCCTGCTCCTGTTCCATCCGGCGGGCTGCCTGAAGATGGCTCGGATGCTGCTGTCCTGCCACCATTGCCGCGTGGGCTCGACGACCCCTGAGCTGCCGAGTATGCGTTGAAAGCATCGGCCGTACTCGCCCCGTTATCGAACCCAGCTCCGTAGCTCGATGCATCCCTCTCGCCACCCCATTCCTGCTGCTGCTGCGGTTGCTGCGGTTGCTGATCGAACTCCGTCTCGCCATTCAACCCTTTTGGCGGAGCCACTCCGACCTGCGGTCTCTTCCCCTGTCTCCTCTCCTCCATAGCTCCCGTCAGTACCGCCCTCAAATGCTGTGGATCCTCCACATCCTTCAGCACGTTCCTGCTCATCAGAATTCCAACCGGCATCGTCAAGAACGATCCGCCCAAGCCGCCTACCACGCACCATCCGAGCTTCGATATCAATCTGGGCTGCGGCTTGCGGCGCGCCAACAGCACCCATGTTCCCGCCGCACCGAGCAGCCAGCCTCCGTATTTGGTCGTGTCGACATTGCGCTTGATCGTCCGGAGAGCGGCGAGCTCGCGCTGGGTGAGCTGCTTTTCGGACTGGGTGCCGGCGAGACCAGGAAGCGCGGTGGTCCCGGCACCACCAGAGCCAGGACGGTTCGCGCCTTGACCGGAAGAGGAGGATTGGTCGTTCATCTGCGTGATATGCTCGAAGGTGAGCTTTCTGCTCCGTGGAAGAGATGACGGTGGTCGTGAGGGGATTGCAGTGAGACCCTTTGAGGTCGAGCACGAGCCCGAAGCTGGCGATTTGAGAAGAAGCAGAAAGTGGAGGCTGAACAAATTTTCATGGATGTTAGGTTACCAAGCTTGAAGTCAGGTTTAGCCGACTCCTCCTTCAGGGTCCAAGGCCAACCTAAGCAGACCCCAAGCTGATTCACCGCAAGGCGCATCTTGACGCGACAGCCTTTCATGGAAGCCTGACTTTGACTGTGATGACGAGCTGATCAGTCGGCTCTGACTCAGGTCCACGCTTCAACAGAGTTACTGCTGAGCGACCTCACTGCTGTCCGAAGCGTCTCGGTTGATCTGCTGCATTGCGTAACGACGAGCCGCTCGGCTTCGTCTGTCTGTGCTCGCTTCCTATATAAGTTCCTTGACTACGAATCGTCTGCGTCGACCAAGAACACCTCACCAACTAAATCCTCAACATGACGAACAAGACGACAGACCAGGCCTTCAAGAAGACCCACCAGGTGGTCGGAGCCGGCGGCGGCCAGCTCGTCGACGATCTCAACGGCAAGATCATGAAGGAGGCTCCCGGTCACGATGGCGTACGTCTTCCCACACCCCACCGCAACTCCCGTTTTTCAACAGCTTACTGATTTCAAGCTCTTCATCTTGACCTTCGCTCTATACAGAACGTAGCCCTGGAGCAGTCGGGCCAGCAGCGAACGCACAACGAGCAGATCGAACGCGACCTCGCCAACAAAGGCTACTCGACCCGCCAAACGGACGAGGAGGCGGAGGCGGACGCTGAGCTCAAGAAGAAGCTCGACAAGCGCGGCAACGAAGCTCAGTAGAATGTCTGCACTGCAATCGACTATCATTCCGCATTTCAACGCCGCGAAAGTATCTGTCTCATCTCGTGCCACCACTGAAGTAGCTGAACGCCCTCGAAACGGACGCAATCGCGCCGCTAGCAGTAGCCGGTGTTGCCGTGGCCGCCGCCGGTGCACCAAGCACTCTCGTCGTGACCAACGTATCCGGTGCCACTTCACTCTTCCCTTGCTTGCCATCCACTGGCGGGACCCGGCTGAGCGTGGGCAGACCCAGCCCGATTGCCAGCCCACCCTTCTTGACGTGTCCGTTGCTCGTTTCCTCTTCGTCTTGCGTCGAGAGCGACAGACTCGATTTGACGGACCGCAACGCGATCTCCGTTTTCCCGATATGACTCTTCCTCGTCAACTGGCTCGTTGGCGGCGCAGCGGCCACCGTCACCATGAGGTTCTTGAGATTCGGCAGCGTATGCCGGATATCGATGACGGTGACGGAATGGACGTTCATGAGCTGCTCGATGTCTTTGTTGAGCAGGAAAGCGGCGTATTCGTATCGATACCGCTCCATTCCTTTGGCGTAGAGCGGGAAGGCGCGCGGCCCAGACATGAGCGAGATGCCATCTTGGACCACCGCCCTGCTGCCCGCCGTTGCGAGCGGGTAGTGGATCGGTGTGGCGAGGTAGGTGCTGAGCAGCACGACGAGTTGGGCGACGAGTCCGAGCGCACTGCTGACCGTGTCGTCGTCGAACGCATGGAACACGGGTCGAGATGATGCTGGGTGGTGACGCTTGACTGTTTCTTTCCATCGCTTTTCTTCGTGCAGCAGCTCGGTCTGCGGCAGCGACGAGACCGCGTTCGGCAGCGGCAGCCCGCAGACCGAGTACAGCAAGGACGTTGCATCCGACAGCTCGATGGGGAAGATGGTCTCGAGGTCACGCAGCAACGACGCTTGTTGAGCATGGAGCTGAAGTGCGCTTTGCACCTTTTCGCTGGTCAGAACTCGCGCTTCCTCTCCAAGCTGGCGAGATCTGGCCTCCGCAGTTTCAAAGAGAGAGACCGAAGCCTGCATCGCCTTTTGACGTGCTTCTAGCGCTGCTCTCCTCTGCGCCAGCTCGGCCCTCCTCTGCTCCAGAAGGTTCGACTCGTCAATAGCCATCCCCTTGACCGCTTCGTACCGTGCTCTCTGTTGTTCCCGCTTGAGCCGAAGCTGTACGAAGCCTTTCGGATCTGCAAGCGTCTGCCCTCCATGCTGTCTGAGCTCTTCCACCTCGTCGAGCAGGTCCTCCAGTTCGGCTTGCTTCATGGCGATCTTTTTGGCTTGATCGAGGTCGTAGCTCGGCATCATCTTGGTCTCGCGCAGGCTGAGCTCGAGCACGCGCTTCTGCTCGTCTTCAAAGGCCTTGCGTCGCTCGCGTCGTCTTGCGTCTGGTGTGATGGGAATCGCTGGTAATGCCGACGTGGCCTGTCCCGACAAGGATGTCGGGGGAGCGACACTCTGCTCTGGGATCCGGGGGACGACGGCTTTACGACTCGTCGCCTTCTCTGGATCGGACGTGTATCCTTCTCTCGAGACACGGCGCTGCAGTCTCGGCGACCGGCTTGGGTTCGCAGCCCGTTGTCCTTGTTCGCCGCTCGTGTTTTTGCCTTGTACAGTCGCGGATCTTTGACCTTTTATGGTGGCATCTTTCTCGCTAGCCACCGCTTTGATAGGCACCGCATAATAGATGATGCTTTCGAGGATATGTCGCGTCCTCTCAGCCTCTCTCTCGCTCACCTTGCGTGTGAGCTTTGGCCCGTCCTTGAGCTCTCCCGCAGTCTTGGAAAGGCTATCGTGTTGTGAGTCAGACGAGGCAAGGCTTGCACGCCCGGAGAGCGAGTTGGCGCCGGGCGCGAGGCCGAGCAGGATCGCGTTGGGTGGAAGCGCGAGACTGGCGTCGTGCAGGTTCCCTGGCAGCGGCTCCAGATCGCGAAGATCAGCCCGCGTCTGACACACTAGCTTCCATTCGCCGGCTCCATGTGTCGAGGGCTTGCCGGAAGAGGAAGACGCTGGAGATTCTTCTGTGGGAGAGGGGGTCCTTGCCCAGACCTTTATATGGACGGTAGACTCCTCGAGCGGTCGCTCTTCAGTCGGCGCTTCCGAATGTATCGCAAAGTCGCGTTCTGGAGTGATCGGATTCCCGCCTTGATAGCCCCAGGAATGGTGCAGCCCTGGCTTCGAGCTTGGTGTGCGGAAGAACACACGTCCTGCGTCTGTAGAGCTGGTTTGTGTCGCTTCTCTGAGAAGGTTCCGTGTCGACTCCGAGGTCGCCCTGACATGCTCGCTGCCTCCGTCTGATGCAAGAGACAGTTCGACGTAGCACTCCAACATGCGATCCTTCATGATCTGTGCAAGACTCTTTTGAGAGAAGAGGGCGTACCGTGAAGCGGCATTGAGGCGGCCCGATATCCGTGACGGACGCTTGACGCCGTCACTGTCTCCGAGCTGGCTCTCGTCAAAGCGGACGCTACGGACACTCGTCGTGGATGTCATGCTCGTTGTCCTGGCACGATGTGAAGGCCTGCGAATCGTGTGAGAAGATCGAGAAGAGCTGCGGGAGTCGGATCTGGAGAGCATGGTGGTATTGGCCCCGAATTCATCTAGGAAGCCGGCATTGGAGTTGCTAGCAGGTGAGCCACCCTGCATACGTGCGTCGCGTCCATCACGATGGCTGGAAGCGCGTTTGAGGATAGGTCGCGGACTCGCCTCGACGCTGTGTGTGACATCTGAAGTGGAGCCAAAGGAAGAGGATGCAGCGAGATCCTGGTCGGACGTGCGTCTGTGATTAAGGAGAAGAGCCGAGCGACCTCTGCTGAGCCTGGCTCTGCTGTTGTGCTGTGCTTTCGCTGATGGCGAAGTGGACGTGGATGCCGCGTCGAAGTCATTGGTCTGCCCTTCTTCATCCTCATCGGTCGATTCAGCATTATCTGACCTGTTCCAGCTGGTACTTCTCCGACGAAGATAGGTGCCATCAGCTTTGGCCTTGCCTTTGCTGTTGGGTCGTGCAAGACTGAGCGTGAGATCCGCATCGTCCGAAGTCGTGTGATAGCGATTCGATCCGCCGGGTCGTTTGGAGGTGAGGGTCTGGAGCGCGCGATCTCGTGTTGGTCTCAGCGACAGATTCCGGACGAGGATGGCACATATGTCTCCGATGCGACGCTGTTCGTTGTGGGTCGACGACGTTGAAGGAGAGCTGCTTTCCCCAGCCGCGATGCGAGAGGGCGTCGAGACCGGCATGGTGGTAGAATGCACGGTCGCGGAGCGCGTCGATTGGCCCGTTTCAGCCGATCCTGAGGAGCGTGTCTAGCTGTGCATGATCGGGTCGGATCTGTCATGAGCCTTCTAGGCTAGATTGGCGAGATCGGTCGTGGGCTAGCCAAGGAAGAAGCTCGTTGGCGACGAATGATGTGTTAGTTTTGGATGCGAAAGATACAAGACATGCACGGTTGCTTCTTGAGCTCAGAGAACCCTGAAGTCGCCTCGGCAGACACACAACCACACGCTTGCCTGCTGCTGCCCCTTTTGGGCCTCCACTCCAACACGCTAGGTCCGAGGTGTGAGATCGTTGTCGCATGACAGCTAGAGAGCAAAGATATCGGCTGTTGCATTATAGGATCTAACAGCTGAGATAGCCGGGCCCATCTTCACCTTCAACTGCTCGCCTTGACAGGTGCGTGAAAGTGCATCATCTTGCTTAGATGTGTTTGGAGCGCTGTGGAGCTAGCAGTCGGACATCCGTGGACAGACTGCGGGCGTCAACGCCCGGCAGGCGACGAGGCTGTAAAGGAACAACAAATGACGAGAGCGAAAAGGCGCACTCGAAAAGGAGGTCCAAAAATAGCTTGAACAAACCAGTCGTACTTGAAGAGGCAGGGAAGTCGCGGCCCGAAGACTCTATGGGGGACATCGCGAAGGAACCCTAAGCAGACGCCTGCAATGACGACGAGCCAGATGCTGCACAGCTATGATGTCTGGAGCAGCGTCGGATTCGAGGCGACGTCGGCAAGTGTTGCCGCCGATCTTGACAGACACAGCATGCAACAAAAGGGTCCTGTCAAGCGCGAACCCTCGAAATCCTTTCTCGCTGCCGCCATTTGAGAATTCGGACAATGCCAGGGACAGCGCAGAATGACGACGATGGAGAGGTCGCTTCGGAAGCCTCGAGCCGTGAGCGAGCTGTGCAGCCGAGCCGATCAAGGAGCTGACCGCAACAGCGAGCTCGCAAGGGTCCGTCGGCAGCGAAGGTACCGGAATCTCTGATCGTTGTGTCGGTTGCACATAGGGCAGGCTCTTGCTTTGAACAGTGAGCGAGGTGTGTCCGGGCTCTGATCAGATGAGACGCTCCGATACTGAGCCGATCAATTTGTGTCAGCAAACCTGTACGATTGAAAGCCGCAAGCATGGAACAGAGTGGTAGGCTTCAAGAATCCGATAGGCGGCCCATGTCACCTTTCAAAGTGCCTCAAAGCGAAGAGCATACATCAACACACGACGGCCACGTTGACAACGAGACGCATCGCCAAGTGCCTGTTAGGGTTAAGTTATGGCAAAGGTTGCTTCTTTTGCTGTAAAGTGATCTCCCAGGCCGGCGACTTTCTTCGAAGAGGCCAGCGACGGTCCTGACCCGACGACTGGTTCGCATTGTTTTGTAGAACATCATGCCTGACGTTGCACACATGTGCATCGAGAGCGTGCAACGTTGAGGCGGCGAGAGCATGTCAAATCAACAGGTACCAAGTCCGACGCCGAGGCACATGGCTTCGGACTAATTCGTCTTGATTTGGCACAAGACTCTCGAATCGGGCCGCAAGCCGTGCATACAGTATCAACCTCGGACGATTGACAACACGAGGCTTGGATGGTATTGTCGGCTGTCAAACCGAACGACAATGAGGATGCCGTGGGAAAGAGAGGCTACAGCGACGCTCGATATCGCAAGTCACCGACGTCGAAGTGTTCAGCTCGAGCTTCCAACGCCACAATGCCACAGCTTCCGAGATCACGTCCAGTAAGGAATCGATCCGGAAGAACCGACTAGCCTTCTTCCTACCAGGTCACCGCCGTCTCACTGCCAGGAGAAGAACGATTGACGGGCCTGCAGAGCGGGACGGGGGGAACGAGGCTGAAATTCACCGCAACTCGATTTGGAAGCATCCCGCGCTGCCCGTGCCGCCTGCGTGTGCAGCCAAAACAAAGATCCCGTGTCTCTTTTTTTCCGCTTCCAGGTTCCCGTGGTGCGTCGTTCTTGTCTTGAATCTCTCTCAAAATGGAGCCTGGAGCAGCTTTGTAGTCTGAAGCTTGGTTCGAACTAGATCGACTCTTCGTCGATGCCATTCCTCGACATGCGGTTCGAGCAATCGGCATCCACCAATAAAGCGCAAGGCACCTTCGACAGCATCGACTCGGTGGACTGGCACATGGCGGCGATCATCCATCTGGGCATCACGTCTGAGTGTCAATTCGAGGGTTGCATGGCTCGAAGGGAAAAAAACACAAGCGAAGAGAATGATTCGTGGGCGGATCATCGTTCTGCAGCGTCAAAGGCATCGCGCTCTCTCGCTCGGCGGTCGGCTTGAATTTTTAACGAAAAAGAAAAACAAACGAGAAAAAGCGCACGTTGCAGTTGCCTTTTTTTTTCCGAAAAAAAGCCTCCACCCGCTCAGCTGGCAAGAAGCTTCTGGCCAACTTGGCGATTTGGCCGTGTGGTCGACTTGTCTCGGTCACGGAAAGCCACACCGTGTCACACAAAATCACACTTGTTCGGCCTCTCCGCCTTGGCGTGCCTGACCGCCGCCGCCTCGACTGCCTGTCGCTTCTGTCCCGACGTCGCAGCTGTGCCTCTTTCATGCCTCTGCTCTGCCCGTCATCGATCGACAAACCCTTCTTGGACCCTGCAAGCACCAAGGGCGGCCGGCAGCACCGCCGAGTGGGCGTCTTCCCTTGGGTTTTCTCTCCTTTCGCCGATGCCTTCCTTCCCGCTCCTCTACCGTTGCTCCTTCCTCGTCGCTCGTCAACATCCGTTAGCTTGATACTATAAAGATGTCACGCTCACCTCGGCACTCCTCTCCCTCGTCCTTTGACAACAAATACTCCGCCGCTCCTCCCCAGAACCCTTCGCTTCTCTCCATCCCCACCGCCTCTTTCGCGTCTGGCTCCAACGACTCGCCCACTACGCCCATCGCTATCCGCTCTTCTCCTGCTGCCAAGCTCACCAGCACACGCTCCGTTTCTGGTTCCAGCACGCAATCCTCAAGCGACGACGAACAGGCTCTTCACGATCTCTCCGCCGACGACATTCCTTCCACAATGGGCAACGTCTCGGAATCACACGTCCTCGAGCAGATGCTCGGGGTCATGCAGTCGATGCAGAAAGAAGTGAGTCTCCTGCCCCACCAGAACGCGCACAGATGACGCAGTGAACTGACCTCTTTCTCCCCCGTTCTGATGCATTTACAGCTCACTCGACTGAGCGTCAAGGTGGACGATCTCGACAGCAAGAACGAAATGGCCGCGTACAATGCGCGACGCAACTCGTTCTACAGCGGCACCATCCACACACCCGGTAACATGTCGCCTTCGCTCAAGAGTCCCGGTCTGTTCCCCAAGCTCAGCCGTCGTTCCTCGTCGCCTCCCAAGAACACGTCGATGGACAACCTCATTGCGGCGCATCTGTCGGCCAACAGTGCCAGTCCGGCGCAGACCGCGGGTCCTGTTTTGACCGAGGAGCCCAAGCTCGGGCTCTGGGCGGTAGTGCCTGCCGGTGGAGCTGGAACGCGACTCTGGCCCTTGTCGCGAGAGTCGTACCCCAAGTTCCTGCTCGATCTGACCGGATCGGGAAGGACGTTGTTGCAGACGACGTGGGATCGATTGCTGCCGCTGGCGGGTCAGTCGCAGATGATGATCGTTACGGGCCAGGCGCACGTCAATGGTGTTTCGGGGCAGTTGCCTGAGCTGGAGCAGGCGAATGTGCTTGCTGAGCCCAGTCCGAAGGAGTCGATGGCTGCGATTGGGTTGGCGGCTGCGGTGCTGCTCCAGCGCGATCCCGAGGCGGTGTTGGGCTCGTTTGCTGCCGATCACATTATCAGCGGTCGCGAGGCCTTCGAGACGGCCGTCACCGAGGCCGTTGCCACTGCCAAGGCAGGCTATCTGGTCACCATCGGTATCGCCCCTTCTCACCCATCCACGGGTTTCGGTTACATCAAGCTCGGCGAGAAACTCCGCGTCAGCGCCGCACCCAACGCACGAAGGGTCGACGAGTTCAAGGAGAAGCCCGACGCCAAGACCGCCGCTGCCTACCTCCAGACGGGCAACTACCGCTGGAACGGTGGTATGTTCGTCGTCCAAGCCAAGGTCCTGCTGGATCTGCTCAAGGAGACCGTGCCGGAACTGCACGAGGGGTTGACGCGTATTGCTGCGGCTTGGGACTCGGATGCCAAAGAGCAGGTTATGAGCGAGGTCTGGCCCACCCTGCCTAAGATTGCGATCGACCACGCCGTGGCGGAGCCCGCGTCCAAGGTGGGCAAGGTCGCCGTGATCCCGGCGACGTTCGGTTGGGATGATGTAGGAGACTTTGCCAGTCTGGCCGATTTGATCCCGGCAGAGGAGGGTGAGCCGAGGATCCTGGGTGATGCCAAGTTGGTCATTACAGAAAGCCAGGCGGGTGGGTTGATCGTCCCTGCTGCCGGACGGCCTATTGCGTGTCTGGGTGTCGACGATGTGGTCATTGTGGACACGCCTGATGCGTTGTTGATCACGACCAGGGCCAGGAGTCAGGATGTCAAGAAGATTGTGGGTAGGACGAAGAAGGTTTACCCTGAACTGTGTTAGGTGGTGTATCGAATGGACACTTTGATCAGATTGCGCATGCTTGGCTGAGATTGTGTGAAGAGAGATGGGGAGTAAGTGTGAAAGCGAGATGAGCACTGGTTGGACTGCGTAAGTGTCGGGTTCGGGTCAGAATGGGAGCCAATGACTTGGTCCTGGAAGAGGGCAGGAGGCAACCCGACAGACAGTCAGGAACGGAAGTCTCAGCTCTCCACGAGACAAAGTCAAAGCGGTTGCTCAAGCTCAGCTCAAGGCTTCTTAGAAAGTCATGCGAACGATGTTTGCGTAAATGTGTGTTCTGTGGTATATGTGTGTGATCTAACGGAGTGTCAGTGTGTGTGGAAAGTTCAGGGTTGCTTCTGCCCGAGCACCCTGGTGATGGTATGCATCCTCTCTCTGCTTCTTCTGCTGAGCGAACCGCTCAATTCCCCGCCCTCCTCAGTGGCAACCGGCACGTTCTCGGCCTCCTCGATGAGCCGCATGATCTTGCTCGTGCGCGTAATGCGTGCCGCGAAATCCTTCTTCTTGAGCGTTGGTCGAAAGACATCCTCCTCCTCTTCCGTCTGTGCTCGATTCTGCGCCCCGCTTAGCGCCAATACGGCCCGTTGCGGTCGACGAGACTTGCTTCGCGTCGGCGAGTCGTCCACTTGACCACTCTCGTCCTTGTTCTCGTCGTAGACGTACATGTCGTTTCGCAACGCACGCGGTTTGGAGGAACGCGAAAGCGTCCCGACGGAATCGCGAATGAGCGCTGCAACAGGTCCACGCTCTCCCTCCGGCGCCCGGCTCTTCGGTCGCCCCCGACGAGGCATTTTGAGCGCATCCGCGGCGGCGACAGACCGCAGGTCGGATCCCGATGACACATGACGCAGCTTCGACCGCGGCTTCTTGGCCACTTTGCGATTGGAGATCATCACCCCACCACGACCGGGAGACCACGAGGTCGGCTCGAATTCCACGCCCTCCAGCGCGAGCTCTTTCGGCGAAGAGATGCCACGCGGGGACGAGACGGTGAGTCGGGGCGGGGTCGAGCGGCGGCTGTGCGTCGGACTGATCGTGCCAGAGTCCGTGTCGATCAGGACGGAAGAGGTGGAGGGGGCGACGGTGCGACGCTCGCGAATGATCTTGGAGAGCACTTCGACGCTCTTCATGCGCCGCATGCTGAGGTGGGTTGGTTGGGTGGCGGATCCGTTGCGAGGGGCGACGGCCGGGTCGGTGGACAGGAAAGGCAGGGCTGGACCGGAGAGCAGTTTGGCAATCGCCAGGTCGTCGTCCGTCTTCGTTGTTGCAGGCGATGCTTCCGCATCGTGTGATGTGGTGGGGGACGAAGCGTTGTCGCCTGTGATCTCAGCAGCAACAGCACCGACACCTTCTTCTACAGTCGCTGTCTCCGCCGCCGCAGCTACAGCTGCAGCTGCTGCCTCGCGTCGCATCCGAGATTGATCCATCATAGCTTGCAAATCGCCGAGCGATTCCCTCCACGCAGCCCTCTCCTGTCTCCATTTGCGCTGCCGACTCGGACTGTCCTTGCTGCTGACAGCCTTGCTAGTCGTGGCCTTCTTGGTGGGACTGGAAAAGGCGTCCACCAGACCAGGTCGCCTCTTGGAGCCGCCGTTGGAGGGTCCGTTCTGTAACGCCTTCCATGCCTCTTCTGCCGCTGCGTCGCTTTCCAGTACGTTGGAAGAGATCGCGGCGCCTTTGCGAACAGGAGCGGTGCGAGACTTTGCGGATCGGTACGCCACGCTTGCCGTCCAGACTGCGTTGTTGGATGTTGTTCGCTTGGCTGGTGGTGGTGCTGGACGTGTGGACGAAGTGGATGCAGATGCAGATGCGGAAGTGGAAGCTGATGTAGATCTTGAGGTTGATGCTGACGCGGATACGGATGCTGGTGTTGACGATGATGACGCGACCTGTTGCTCTGCGGGTTGCTGCTCGGATGCCTCTGACGGTACAGATGCGCCAGCAGAGTGCGTCGGATCACTGGGCACGGTACCGGGCCCAAAGAACCAGATGTTGGAGAACCAGCTCGAGGATGGTGTGGGTGCATCCGGCAAAGGTGGGACGGACGATTCATCCTTCGCCGGTAGCTTGTAGTTGCGCGATGGCAAGCTCTTGCTCGTGGCTGACTTTGGTGTCCAACGGCCGGCTGCGCTCTTCTGCATCGCCCGCCTCAATTCGTCGGCGGCAAGCGAGGGCGAGTCTGAGGAGAAGTCATCGACCATTCGCTTCTTGGGTGGTGTTTCCTTGGGTGGAGAGTCGTGCTTCCTGGCAAACATGTCTGCTAGGGTATGACGATCAGGAGTGACGATGCGCGTCTCCTTGTAGCCCGCTCTCTCGAGGAGCTCGTGCAGACTGTCAAAGCCGGCTGTACCAAGCGTGTCTGTCGTGTCCGCTGGAAGGGGGGAACGGCTGTCGTCGGTAGCGACTCGATTATGGCGACGCGCTCGCGATAAGGATGTTGGTGTCTCTCCAGCGGGAGACGGTTGATAGAGGAAGCTGCCGGATGAGGCTGGCTGCTGGCTGGAACAGGTGGTGGTGGAAGAAGAGGGGATGCTACAGTCGGTAGTGTGGGAAGTAGTGCTATCTGGACTGAACATCGGGTCCGGGGAAGCTGTATAGGATGATGAAGGGGACGGCTGATAGCAATGAGGGTCGCAAGACGGCATGGGGCCTAGCGAGGGGTAAGCGGCCTGCTCGGCATTCAAGAAAAAGTTGATGCTGCTGCGGAGAACTGTGTTCGTCCAATCAAAGAGTTTGCAGCGGTCTGGACAATCCCAATGTTGTCGGTTGTCGGTGGTTGGACGTGGTGGAGGAGGGTGAGTTTGCCAGCAGTGTGTGCATGAAGGGGAAAACAAGGCGCGAGAGATGATGCTGGTCGGCTGTAAGGAAAAGGTTTCGCGCTTCGGAGACCAAATCAGGGTCCGACCGAATGTGCAGGCGAGCTGGCAGCTAGCGACCGATCCAATGATGTGGACTCGTTATCCGAGGATTGGGTTGCCCAGTATCGACTGTGTTGGAGTTGTGCTGTTGCGTCCAGACCTATTGCTTGTACGAGATGACCTTGACCCAAGCCTAGAAGATGATATGAAAGCGTGGCGTTGTTGTGCTTGCTCGGATCAAACGGATTCACGCCGCCTGAAATGCTGTCGATCAAGCTCGATGCAAGGGCGATGTGATTTCAGAGGAAAAAGAAGCACCGCCTGCATACATGCATGCATACTCGACACGCCGAGCCACGATGGCTGTGACGCATCACTAAGCGAAGAACAGAAAGAGCGGGACAGCCGGCCTGCTTCCATCGTCATTGTCTTCAGCTGGGCGTACAGTATCTCACCTTCCATGCGGGACGGATCCATTCAGCCAACTCAGATGTGTCTCAGCCGCGATGGACAAGCTTCTTGTTGGTCTTTCCACGAGCTTTCCAATGCCCTCCATTCTCTAGGCCTTAGTTGCGTTGTGATGAGACCAACCACATTCGCCCAGCACCTCAAAAACAAGGCAGAGCTCGTTCGCTTCGATCGAGAAATTTCCAGCAAAGACCGACCAACACACACCCCGAGACGCGCTTCACCCTGCCGCGTCGACAAAAACAGGACACGGGACCTGAACCACAAAAAAATATATCTCCCGATTTTGTTTTGAATGCTGACCCGATGTCGCACGACAGACGCGGAGATTTTCAAATTCGTGGACGCCGCCTAGGAAGCTCGAGCACGCAATCGTGCCCAATTTGACGTGACAGCTTCTTCCTCTCCAAAATTTCTTCTTCTCCGCTGTGCCCGCCCATGAAAGCCAGTCAGTCAGTCAGCATCAGCGCAAACCCCGCTCTCGACTGCATCTCAGCTCTGCTTTTGCTTTGCCGAAAATGCCTCGATCGACGTGATGACGAGCAGTAGTGCCGCCAGGTCTTGCCCTCTACTCCCTAGCTTCGAGCGTCTGCTAATTGACTGAGCCGCCGACGACGGTCAACTGCCCTCACATGCGAGAGCTCACTCGAGCCAGGGGCCTGGACAAGCTCGATGAGAGAGACGGCGATGAGCGGCTAACAAAAGGAAGATCAAAGTCATGCAGGCGTCTGATCAAACGACACACTCAGCACAGCGATTCAGCTGCTGCTGCCAAGGGATGAAAACTTCACCCATCCGCGCCAGCCTCGGTTGTACAAGCCGCTTCCCCGTACACTGAGCCTCTATCCCCGAGCACAGGCACGTCCTTCTCACCGAGATCAAGCCCCTCTCCGCGGCTTGTGTCTGCCTCGCCCACAAGTTTTTACCGTCTGCGCTTCGCAGTGTCTGTAACCTCTGTGAGCTGGTGGTGTTGGTGGGTCCGTTGTGGATGACCGTGTGAAGCATCCTTCATCCTCTTTATGTCTCTCCCTCACATCCACATCCTTTTCCACCACAACCCTCATCTCCACACCGTCTTCAATTGAATCAGCACCTCCCATCCATCCGGGGCCACCTCTCTGCTTCGCTTTTCTCGCTGTGCATTCCATTGCATCCCCGCTCGTCGACCGGACTGGACCAAACAACACCCGCTTACCCTCCTGCCAGTAGACCCCTTCACATATTCAGCACAATGACGCTGTCAAACCAGATCGCACAATCCTCCAAGCAGGCCGAAGAGGAGGCCAAAATCCGTCATGTCATCAACAACCTCGAAGCCATCAACCGCAAACTGAGCGAGGCGGATCCCACGGAAATCATCGAATGGGCCATCGACAACCTGCCCAGTCTGTACCAGACCACTGCTTTCGGCATCACGGGCTGCATCACGGTCGACATGATCTCGCGCATCAGCGAGCAACGTGCGGTCAAGCAGGGTGTTCCCGTCCAGCACCTCGTGCCCCTCATCTTTGTCGACACCCTTTACCACTTCCCTCAGACGCTCGACCTCGCACACAAGGCGGCCAAGCACTACAACGCCGAGATGTACACCTACTACCCACCGGGCACCAAGACGGTGCGCGAGTTTGAGGACAAGTGGGGGCCCCAATTGTGGGAGAAGGACGAGGAGACGTACGACTACCTCGTCAAGGTGGAGCCTGCGCGACGATCGTACGAGGAGCTCGGTGTTCGTGCGGTCTTTACGGGACGACGCCGATCGCAAGGTGCCGACCGCGCCTCGCTCAAGGCTGTCGAAGTGGACGAGACGGGACTGGTCAAAGTCAACGCGTTGATGAACTGGTCCTTCGGTCAGGTCGACACGTACGCAAAGAACAACGCCGTGCCGTACAACGAGCTGCTGGACCTGGGCTACAAGTCGATCGGCGACTGGCACTCGACCAGCCTCCCCGGCGCAGGCGACTCGGGCGAGCGCTCCGGCAGGTGGAAGGACAAGGCGGGCAAGACCGAGTGCGGTCTGCACAAGGACTACTTCAAGATGAAGAACCTCGCCGAGAAGAAGTTGAGGGAAGCCGAGCTCGCAAGGAAAGACGAGGCGAGGGACAAGGCGGCCGAGGCGGCGACCGCGACGCCTGCAGCCGCTGCGTGAGCTTCGTCCGAGCATCTCATCATTTCCAAAAGGATCCCGAAGCAGATCTCAGCTCGGGACCACACCGCACTCTCGTGTCTTTCTTACTTTCGCATGTGTCCATATATATCCAGAGTGTCCGCCAAGCTGCCGACCCTTGTCAATCCATCGCAAAATCAGCATTCGTAGAGCAGCGAGAAGCAGTGGGACCAATGAGACGGCGGCGTGTGCACATAGAAGCAGAGGGACATGCCGAGCGCTCTTGCTCGTGTCACTTGATCTTGGAAGGTTTGTGAGACGGTCCCCGATTCAAGGGTATTCGAAGGCAGGTGGTAAGATCGGTCTTCTCCGACGCAAGAAGAAGGCGGAGCGTTGCCGTGCACTGATTGACCGATACGTGCGAACCGCCAAGAGGCTATCGACGTCGCAAGGACAAGCGCAGGTTCGCAGCTCGAGGCAGTCCAGCAACAGTATCCGAACGGCAGAACCGACACTTTCCACAGCCGATTTGCATCTGCCCTTGTGGAGCTTGGAGTCAACACTGCATTGAGGGCCCGAAGGACAAGGTTCAAGGGCAGGAAGGAATCGACAGACCGACGAGCAACCGTGATTTACTCGCTCTAACTTTTCGGAGATCGCCGTGAGAAGCTTTTTCCTTTGCTCTGCTGTACCTTTTTCCCCCCCTTCTCTTCTTCTTCTTGCTCAACTTTGGCGCACGCGTCCCCGCACAACCCCGCTGCGTCTCAGGGCTTATCGCTCGCTTCTTCGCTGCGATGCCAAAGGATGAGGTCGCTGATTGGTTTGGCTCGCAGCCGCTTGTCGTACAAGCAGACGCAGATATAAGCTTGACGAGAGAAAGCAACAGTCTCATTTGCGCCCGTTCCTTCTCTTCGTTTGGCCCCTTCACGACCTTCCATCGTCCTTGCCAACGTCGACGAGCTCGCATTGTTCGACGCTTCGCGAACGCTTACACTCTGCCCTGCAGCCAACACCTGTTGGCCTCCCGACGAATTAAGCAAACTGACTGTGGGTCTGCTGCCTGCAACCCAGACCCTCGGAACGTCGGATCAATTCTTGGAAAAAGAAAGGAAAGCAACTCATCAGCTGCCACCTACAGACACGTTTTCCTGGACAAGCTCAAATTTTAGCGCTGCTTTCTGCACGGTTCACAGAGATATACACTCCCGATAAAGCGTTATAGGAAAAAGTGACAGATAACAAGATCTGCTCGACTCGGTGTGAATCATCTGTCGAGGCGCTCTCCAGCAATCGGTCCTCCCGTCATCACTCTTCTCACGTTTCTCCCAGTCAGCCATAGTCGAAGCACCGCCAAATCGGATCTCAACCGACGCACCCAGCAACAGCGACAGCAGCTGCAGCTCTTTACTCGTCAACCCGTCACTGCACTGCTTTTGCGAAGAAGGCGTTAGGATGACAAACGCACGTCCTCATCTGCGACCGCCATTTGGCGGCTCTGGCTATGTAAGTAGACGGTCGAAGAGCTGAGACCTTTGTTGTCGCTTGCTGTGATACCAGTGAACTCAGCAACTCCTTCTGTGCCGTAGCTGACCGTCGTTTGACACGTCTTTCATATCATCTTTCTATCCGCCCACCTCCGCAACGACTCGATGTCAATCGCTCGCGTCGCAATGGGATCCCACCGCCCTTCGACCTCGATCCCTCTTCTCAACCCAGCCGACGTCGGCGTCAGAGAACTTTCGCCCAGCCATGCCCGCGCCTCATTTGCTCCCTAAGCGAGTCTTCGTAGGTGCCATCATCTCCTCCAGATCAGCAACCGATCTCAGCATCATCGAACGAGGAATCCTCGGCGTAGGATCCGGTGGTGTCATTCGCTTCCTCGAAGACCTCGACAAACTCGAGCGACTGGTTTCCCGACCTGCCTCTCTGACTACCTCGGCGCAGACGCCCTCCTCCGAGTCATCAGCCTCCACTTCGAGTACCACTCCTGGCGCTGGAGAGGACCGCTCCTCGACACCTGTGCCCATCCCTGGCTCTGCTCAGTCCGCACTGCCGAACCTTCAAGATGCACCTGCGCTCGAGATGCCTCCACCAGCCGTGCCTTCGCGTCATCCCACCACCAATGCCGCCAGCCCCCTCGACGAAGCATCACAACGGGAGCAACAGCTCATCAAGCATGTGCTTGATAAGCATGGCTGGCGACGCGGCCAGTACAAGCTCACTCGCCTTCCGCCCGGCAGCTTCCTCTGCTCTGGCTTCATCGACACCCACACCCACGCCTGCCAAGTGCCCAACATCGGTCTTGGTCAGCAGTACGAGCTGCTTGACTGGCTTCAGCACGTCACCTTCCCACGCGAGAGGAGGTTCGAAGACCCTAGGTATGCTCGCAAGACCTACGAGTCGGTTGTGCAGCGACTCATCGACTCCGGTACCACCACGGCTTGCTACTACGCGACACTACATCTGGACGCGTCCAAGATTTTGGCCGAAATCTGCAACGAGCGAGGCCAGCGTGCGTTTGTTGGCAAGTGCCAGATGGACCGCAACTCGCCCATCGACTACATTGAGAAGAATGCATCGCAGTCGATTGAGGACACGAAGGAGTTCGTCCGCTTCACCAGGAGCCTCCGACCGTATGGACAGCCGCCCGATGTTTCGTCACCATCAATGAGTCCTGCGGACCTGCACAGCACGTCGCCGGAGATGGACGCCAGCATTGCTCGCCTCAGCGCGACCATGGACGAGATGATGTCGCCGACGAGCAGCAAGCCGTCCTCCGAGGCGGGCGGCAGTCCTTCCACCACCAAGGTGGCTCCTGCAGCCAAGTCGCATCCCACCCCCTCCCGAGCCAGTCTTCCGGTCGTCAGGAATCCGAGCAGCAGCAGCATCCGCTCGGCTCGCGAGAGCGGCACCTCTACACCGTCGAGGCAACGCGAACGCGAACTCAACAACGCGCTGGTCCAGCCCATCCTGACCCCACGCTTCGCCATCTCGTGCACCGACGCCATGCTCACCGGCATCTCGGCGCTGCTCTCGCGCGATCCCACGCTGCGAGTTCAGACGCATCTCAGCGAGAATGAAGGCGAGATCACCTTCACCAAGCAGCTCTTCCCCTTTGCCAAGAACTACACCTCGGTGTACGACCACTACTCGCTCCTCGGTCCGCGCACCATCCTGGCGCACGCGGTGCATCTCGACTCGGAAGAGCTCGCCATCATCAAAAAGCGCAAGTGCGGCATCTCTCACTGCCCTACGAGCAACCTCAACCTGCGCTCGGGTGCGTCTCGGGTCGGAGAGATGCTCAACATGGGGATCAAGGTTGGACTGGGTACGGATGTGTCGGGCGGGTTCGGGTTGGGGATGCTGTCTGCGATCCGGGAGGCGAGTGTGGTAGCGAAGGTGTTGGCGTTCCAGCGTGCGCAGGCGGAGAGCAAGGCGAAGGAGGAGCACGCTGCGCTGACGGCTACGGCTCCACCCACGAGCGAGCAGGCGGCGCAGAATGCGCAGCAGCCGCTCGCGGGTGCGGCTGTCGACGGTCGCTATCCTGGACCTCCCGTTGCGGGCCAGTATCAGCCGCGCAAACCCCACTCGATCGCCACGTCCAACCTCAACACGACGGAAGTGTCACAGTCCGTCCAGGATCCCGCCTCGTCACTCACCACCAAAGCCACGATCGATTTCACCAAGGGACCGCTGAGCATCGCCACGCTGTTCTACCTTGCGACGCTGGGTGGAGCAGAGGTCTGCGCCATGGCTAGCAGGATCGGATCGCTCGAGGCGGGCAAGGAGTTCGACGCGCTGCTGGTCCAGACGACGAGTCATTGGGGGCCTGCGGGGTACACGGGCAATCCAGGCTGCTTCGTTGAGGAGGACGATACGCTGCCGGACGTGTTTGAGAAGTGGATGTTCACGGGCGACGATCGGAATATCGGCACGGTGTTTGTGAGGGGGAGGGTTGTGGGCGGAGCAAAGCCGCTGCGTGATTGATCGTAAGCTAGGGAAATTGGCAGGCTTCATAGACATCGTTTTGTGCTCTCGCCGATACGGCTGTCTGTGTCCGTGATCATGAGTGTGTGTATCTGGTGTTGACGTGAGACGACGACGGCCTGAGCTAAGCGGACGATTCTCGCACGGCCACTTTTGTCGCGGCCAACTCCGGGAAATTAATTTTGGCCGGACCCTCCACGGCCTTCTCTTACCATCGTCTCGTCCACGCTTTGTTCATCACACCACTGAGCAAGGTCAAGATGCCGCCTCCAGCGCGAGCAACGGTGGAGTCCATCGACGACGAGGACGATCCATACGCACCATATCGGCCTGGGCAAGGTAATTCTCGCGCCTCTTCCAGCTCCTCCTCGAGTGGATCTAGCAGCGCTTCCTCCTCCTCGTCCACCGCTTCCTCTTCAGCATCCTCGATCTCGTCGACCAACCGCGCGCAACCCAGCGCAACCGCAGCATACGACGCCTCCCCCTCCTCGGGCACGCAAGGCACGTTCCCGGCATCAGGCGGGGATGAAGAGCCCCTGTTCGGGGGTCGACCCTTCCGCGACGCCCATTCGACCTCTTCGAGCAGCAGTACGGACAAAGAGCACCTCTATGCCATCCTCAACGTCCCCCTCACCGCCACGCCGGACGCGATCAAAGACGCCTACCGATCGCTCGCGATAGCTTTTCATCCGGACAAACACTCTGACCCAACCCGCAAGCGTGCTGCGGAATCGCGGTTTCGCGATGTACAGAGAGCATACGAGATTCTGAGCGATCCAGAGAAGAGAGCGGTGTACGACCATTTCGGCGAAGAAGGATTGAAGTCGACATGGACGGTCACCAGACGGGGTCGAGGGGTCGGGGAGATGCGCGAGGAGATGGAGCGCGAACGTCGACGAAGGGAGGTGGTCGATGCGGAAGGTTTGGTCAAGAGCAAAGGCGATTTCACGGCGCATGTGGATGCCAGTGCGCTCTTTGCGCCGAGTGCGCGGGTGGCGCTGTCGCCAGCGAGACAAGGTGCACCAGGCAACCTGAAGCACACCGTGTCGTTCGCCGACCGGATCAGCAGGGTGGGCTGCACCCAGCTCATCGGCAAGCACGGGTTCGAAACGCAACTCACAACGAGGTCATCCGCGACACTCTCCGGTCAGATGGTCAGCCGTAATGGCTTGGGAGGCGGGAATCTTGTCGGCACGGTCAAGACGCATTGGTCACCGAGGTTGTTCAGCGAGGTGACGCTGAGCTTTCTGCGCCCGCAAATTGTGACGACCAAGGGACAGTTTACTGTCGATGCGAACAGCTTTTTCTCTTGGCAAGGGACGATGCAGACGTGGAGGATGCCGCCGAGTCTCAATCTCACGTACGGTCAACGGCTGTCGGCGAAATCCAGCCTGACTGGGTTCACGAGTGTGCGGAGCGGCACGTATAGCCTCGGACCGTGGGGTAGGGAGGTGGGGGGGATGCTGCGACGCGAGCCGGCAGCGGTGAGCGTGGGGTTGACCAAGCAGTCCGGCGAAGGACGCGGGTGGACAACACAACTGAGCGTCTCACCAGTAGACCAGGCCGTCTCGTACGACTACGCCACCGTCCTAGCGGGTGTCAAGGTCAGGTCGGGGTTCAACATGGGTACCGGCTCCGGGGTGAGCGCGTTCACGTCTGCCGAGCGCAGGGTGACCGAGAACGTACGGCTCTCGGTCGGGCTCACCTGCGCCCTCCCTGCAGGGGGCGTCACGTTGAGGTTGAAAGTCAACAGGCTGGGACAGAAGATTTTGCTGCCGATTCTGTTGTCCAAGGAGTTCCGACCGGATCTCGTGCTCGCCTTCACCGCCATCCCCGTCGTCGCATACGGCACGTTGCATTATGGCTACCTCGAACCGCGCAAGCAGGGTCGGTTGAAGAATCGACTCGCCGAGCTGCGCGGTGCTAACGCCGACGTGATCCGCGAGAGAAGGGAGGCGGCATGCGAAGCGGTCGAGGTGTTGAGGGAGCAAGCGTGGAAGCGAGCGCGTCAGGAGTTGGGCAGTTCGGGACTGGTGATGGTCGAAGCGTGGTACGGGCGCAAGAGCGATTTCCCCAACTCGCCCTTCAGCGCAACATCAAGGGTCGATCTCGAAGAACAAGCACAGCGCGTTTGGACAGGTCTCAAAAACGCTCCTCCATCAACGCAGCAGGTGGATCTGGAAAAGGAAACCGCGTGGGACGCCAGGATTGCGCTACAGGCCCTCATCTCCAAGGGTCAATTGATCATCCCGGGTGGAAGGAGCAAGGCCAACCTGCTGGGCTTCCACGACCCGGTCATGGGCGAGAAGAAGCATTTGCTGGTGGTGTACGTTTTCCGCGGTCAGCTGCATAGGGTGGTTGTGGAGGATTGGGATGAAGTGGCGCTGCCGATGCGCATTCATCAGGTGTGAGGCTCAGGTTGGGCAAATGTCACCGCTCACAAGACTTGTTGATGGGGAGAGCGAATGTGTTGCGGGTCGACTGTGAATTGAGCAAATGTGTATTCATTGAAGGAGCGCAAGCCAGGCGGACAGCCCGCTGTGTCGGCTTTCTGCGACGCCGTCCGCCTCGTCGACTGGTGACAGCTCGGACAGATGGTCCATCAGCGCACTCTCAAGCACCTCCCACTTGGCCCGTGTGCAACCTCTGGCACCCTTTTGAACAGCCGATTTGAACCGGACGAGTTTGAGCACGATCAGATCGAGCAGCTGCCTAGAGGTTATGCTGAAATCCGGGCTCGCGATGAGCAGTGCTGCTGAAATCGAGGTCGCGGCTGTCGATGCTGCGGTTGCGGTCCCGGCTTGCGTTGCGCCGTTGAGCGGAACGCCAGTGGAGGGTAGAGGCGGAGTCGTCGGCTCGTCATCGAACAGGTCTGCTCCCTCGCCACCGGCTGCTACGACCTCCGCAGCCTTCTCGTTGGCGGACGGGGCGAGGAGGTCACTTGCCACGTTGTTGGGTGTGCTACGCTGCGCCTCGCCGGCACGAATTAGGCCCAGGACCAGGCCCAGCACTCGGACGAGCGATTCGATCGCCCCTTCGTCCGCCTTGGCAAAGTCAAGTCGCTGAATGAAGGAGAGCACGGCGGGTAGAGGCGTGTCGACGCTTTTGAGCGCCGGAGCGACGAGGCACAGCCAGCCCGCGAGCGCCTTTTGCTCTGCTGCATCCGTCTTGCCCATTGTTCGGACTGCCCGATCGACGTTTGACGAGCCCGACGTAGCCAGCAGCGGTCCGACGCCCGACGCCTTGCCCCTCACCCACGTCCTCCCGGCCCCACTCAACAGCCCCGCTGTCACACCCTTGCCCTCCATCCTCGCCCGCAATGCTCCCAACTCAAACGTCTCGCACCCGTTCGCCAACCCAGCATCCCCCTCCACGGCTTGTACGAAAGTATGAAAATCTCGGGCGATCACCTCCCGCACCACCCCGGGACACGCCTCTGTATCCAACAGCAGCGCCAACACTTCCAGCCCAACGGTCCGGGAGGTCGCATTCCGCTTCAACCCATTGGCCAGCGCGCCGTCCACCGACGGAACATCCACCACAGTGCTCTGCAGCCCGCACTCTGCCAAGAAATCCAACACCGGCTGTTGCGGGGTACGCACTATCTCACCCAGCAGCCACACGAGCGCTGACGGGAGGGCGAAGGACAGCAGGTCTTGCAAAAAGTACGACAGTCCACCGCGAAGCGTTTCCAGGTCGATCACGCCGTGCTGGCATGCCGAGATGCTTTGCGAGAAGAGGAGGGGCGAGAGACGAAGCAGGGTGGTCGGCGGTGAGAGGGAGATGAGATCGTCCGAGATGCCTTCGTTGCCGAAGAGGGCGTGGATCCATCGTCCGACAAGGGCGCGTTCGTCCTCGGAAAGGGTGGCGAGGGGCGAACAGAAGGAGGTTGTGGCGAGGTGAGTCGCGAGGAAGGGTGGTGCAGTGTCCTGTGAAGTTTGTGATTCGTCGAGATCGTTGTTCGGCGGAATGTAGCGCGAGATGCGCGACGGGTGTATGGCATAACGATAGCAGAGGAGCTGGGCGAAGAGCAAGATGTTGGACAGGGTGGACGGCTCGTCGCTCGTCTGACCCAGCTCTGGGTGGTCCAACACGCTCGCCAGAGGCTCCAGCATCTCCAACGGGTCAATGTACAGCATCACCGTGTCCAGCACCGCTCCCCCTTCGCATGCGTCTTCGGATAACGCCTTGCACCAGCGCGCGATGCTCTCTAGATCGTGCTGCTCCAACCAGCTTTGCATCTGAAATACGAGCTGACGGGCAAAGCTGAAGTGCGTTCCAGGATCAGAAGCGACGCGATGGAGCAGCTCGTGCGGGTCGTCGGAGGGCACGCGTGTCTCGAAGAGCGTGGAGAGGGCGAGGCCTTCGAGCTGCGCGTCCATGCGAAGGGATTGCGTGAGAGACTGAACCTCCGAGGCGAGCTTGTGACCGTCTGGGAACTCGTCTGCGATGGCTTCGGGTCGTGCTAGGGCGTGTTCGATGGATGCTCGGAGCAGCCATGCTTTGATCGGCTGCGAGGGTGGTGTGTCTAGGCCTAGAACGTCTGTCATCGCGGCAGCCTCTTCGGCGCCGCTGCTCTGCGCGTGTGACTGGCCGGTCGCGCTCTCGCACGTGTTGAGGCGATCCGCCATGACAAGCAGAGCAGCACGGAGGGCGGCTTCGAGCCGCACGTGCGGTGCCTCGAGCCTCTGCCCTCGCAAGGGCAAATCCTGTTGCACGTCGAGCCACTGTTCGAGCTGCAGCACGATCTCGGGAACCATGCCGCAGAGGGCGTTCCTCCAAATGGCGGCATAGACCTCGGCGCCCTTGAAGGCGGGAGGCATCTCGACAATACTTGCGCACGCATCGATGGCCGCGACGAGCAACTCAAAGTAGTACGCCGTGAGCGACTTTTCCAGCGTCAAGGAGGGTGCGGCTGCATTCCGTCTGGCGAGGAATAGTGTCTTGACCGCGTCTAGCTTGCGCTCCCAAGCGACGTGCTGGTCGACGAGGACGTGCATGAGAAGAGCCATCTCCGGCTCCACAGGTGGTTTTTCGGTCGCAGCGATGGAGGAGACATTGAGGAAGTGATCCCACGTCGCTCTTTGTTGCGCATCTTGCCACGTCTCTGCTTTCCTTTTGCGAGCCTGAGTCGAGGTTCTTGACGTGGTTGCGGCTTCCGAGAGCGCCTCGCTGACCTGCTCGACGACGCCGATCTGGCTGGTGAGCGAGCGCAGGAGCGCGATTTCGTCCTTCCAGGCCGGGTTCATCGATTGCAGCACCGCCTCGATCTCGGTGACGCAGGACCTAGACATCGACCGAGTGTGCCGCAAGGCATCATCGTGAGGCTTCAGCTTATAGTCCTTCGATGTCTGAGCGACCGACAGCTTTTGGATGGTGTATGCGAGAAGGCCTTGCGCGACATTGATAAGGACGGTGATTGCGACACGTGGAGCAAGCAAGTTCTGCGGAGAAGCAATGGTCGGGTCGGCGGCGAGAGCCAGCAGGCGTAAGTTAGAGACGACGAATGCCAGCGCTGCTGGAGCGATCGTGCCATCTTTTGAAAGCGCCTCAGAGCTGGCCAACTGGGCCACTGCATTCGAGGGACCGGCGAACAGGCTTTGCAGGAGGTGGAGGAAAGCGGGACTTGAGATGCGGAAGGGAGCTGGCCCTTGAAATGTCATGAGAAGGCCCTGACCGGTGACGGACGAAATCGTCTCAATAGCTGGAACGTTGGCTGCCGCGATCTGGACGTTGGCGAGCAGGTGAAGCGTGACGGTGATGACATCAGTCACGGGGCCCTGATCCGGCTCGACTCCCGAGCGGTTGGCGCTGCCATAGATGAGCGCTTGAAGGTATTCGGTGAGCAAGGGATCGATAGAAGACTGCGATAGGATTTGTTTGACGAGACAGCCAGCCGCCTGCGAGCCTGCGAGCGACATGCCATCCTCATCGTCGCCGCCGGCATCTTGTCGAGAGGCATCGATGCGTCGGACCAGTTGGTGCAGCAAGGAAAGCCACTTAGACTGCGGCAGGCGCCGAGACAGGACCTGCAGGAGCAGCTTCTGGATCAGCTGTTGCGCTTCGCCTTCTGACATTATGGTCTCGAACAGCCACGAGCTGCTTGTGGCTGGAGAGACTCTCGAGTTACTGATCCATCACGTTGAAAGCCAGCAGAGCTGCGACTGGAGTCGGATGGCAGGCTTCGAGCTCCAAGCGGCGAGCGCGCAAGCCGTGATGCGGTGTCCGGAGCTGGTAAGGCAGCCAAGCGCAGCCTGAGGCGAATGGCGAGGCTGGGTCGAAGGGGACGGAAGTAGCAAGTGTGAGGTTGAGAAGAAGGGCCTTTCAGGGTCCGAGCGAAGGTTGATGTGAGAGCATCGGCCAAGTGCATCTCGAGCCGATTTGCGAGTGTTACGCCGCCAGTTCCCCAAGACAAGACGAATTTTGGAATAGGTCACGAGAACACGACTCGAAAGGGACAGGAGCCAGCTGCAGCCCCACCTCATGAGGGTGCATTTGTGCCGCGGCATGAGGTCATGCTCGTGGGCTTGCTCATTGTCGGATGTGACAACCCCGAGGAAAGAGGTTTACGACCCATGACCAGCTGACAGCAGACTGAGCATCTGGAGCGCTGAACCAAGTTTGATTGGTCTCAATCTATGAGTGGGGGCTTCGGCACGATTCAGCTCAGCGACCGACATGCAACGTTCAGCAGAAAGCGAGCCACGTTCACACGGCAGCCTCACGTTGATCCCGCATGTTGGATTTACTACTCTTTTCGGATGTGTCGGCTCGAGACCGCCGCTTCGAGGCTGCAAATTTGAGTTGGAGCCAGAGCGTCAGTCACACTTTCGGCTCACTTCAAACCGCAAGGCCAACACTCGCAACTTTCGAGATCAAAGAGTGCTGACTGTCTCTAGTTTCCCACGCCTCATCCCTCATCGCTCCCACCACCATCACAATCCGTATCGGCTCATCCGACTTGTGTTCGCATCGATCCGAGTTCGTCGATCAGCTACTGCGAATTGTGCGTCGGCTCAGTTCAGCATTTGCTGCTACACGTTAGGTTAGACCGCTATCAGCATACACACAGGCCAGCCCGCCGCAGCTAGATCATGTCGACGCCAACCAACTCCAACAGCGCCGGCAAAGCGCGCGCTATCCCCTCGCCTCGTCACCGGGCCACAGACGATACGTCGGCGTCTACTCCCATTCGCTCGCCCGCGCGAGCGTTCGGCGATGGGTTTGGCCATGCGTCTCCCGCCTTGCCCAACATTCCTCCACGCATCGGCTCGCCCTCAGCGGAGCCATTGAACCTCGCTTCGACCTCGCCGCAGCAGCAGCGACAGGACTCGGGCAACTTTGGCCGCTCTTTCAACAGAACCATGTCGATCGATCCGCCTTCTCGTGACAGCGCCTCCTTGGCTCCCCCGTCCTTGAACTCGGGCCTCTCGACGCCGAGCAACCTTGACAACCTCGATTCCATGCCCTTCTCGGACGAGCGCAAAGCACGCATCATCGAACGACACCTGGCTCGACCTGATGCCAATCGCGATTCGGTCTCGATTCCTTCTTCCGAACATACCGACGAGAGCTACACCAGCGAAGACGCGCACGGCTCTTCTACCCCTCACCAGGGAGCAGTCGCCGATGGCAATGGCGAATCGCCCTCCGAGATTGCCATCGAAGGAGTAGACGAGAGCTACATTGGCCCACACCAGATGCAAGGCGGTGCCATCACCGACGATGTTTACCGCTGGGCCCACAAGAACCGTAGAGTGTCCGCTAGACGCACTCGCAGCGAGAGTCTCCACATGCCTCGCACTGCCACCATCGACCCCGAACTCGACGTGCAAGGCATCAAGGAGCCAGGAGGATTCCGACGGTTCTTCGTCGTCAACCGTGCCGAGGAGCAGGGCCGACCTGCTCCCCGAGCGCTTCGCAGTTTCATCGATTTCCTCAGCTTGTACGGTCACTTCGCCGGAGAGTTCCTCGAGGAAGACGATGATGACGATGACGACGAAGACGACGACTACGATGATGATGATGACGACGACTCGCGCGCGATCCCCGGTACTAGTCGCGGCGCTGGCAATGGCGACACCGAAAACTCTGGCTTGCTCCGTCGACGCAGAGGTCTCCAGCGAAACGACACTCAAGCGCGCATGCGCAAGGCTAGCAAGGAGCGTCGCCGTGGTGAGGCCACGGTGCTTGACGCCGTCATGATGCTGCTCAAGTCGTTTGTCGGCACCGGTGTGCTCTTCCTCGGCAAGGCCTTCTTCAACGGTGGTCTGCTCTTCTCGACCATCACGCTCTGCTCGGTGGCCATCATCTCGCTCGTCTCATTCCTGCTGCTTGTCAAGACCAACCTCAACTGCCCCGGCTCGTTCGGTGACATGGGTGGCATCCTCTACGGTCCGCGTATGCGTCTTGCCATCCTCGCCTCTATCGTCCTGTCCCAGCTTGGCTTCGTTGCCGCCTACACTGTGTTTGTTGCGCAGAACATGCAGGCGTTCGTGCTGGCTGTGACGCAGTGCAAGACGTTGGTCCCTGTATGGGCGCTCATCTTGGGTCAGATGGCCGTCTTCCTGCCGCTCTCGCTCATCCGACGAATTGCCAAGCTCTCGACGACGGCTCTCATCGCCGATGTCTTCATCCTGTTCGGCATCGTCTACCTCTTCCAATACGAGATCGCCAAGGTGGCCAAGGAGGGCATGGCGGACGTGGTCATGTTCAACAGCAAGGACTTCCCGCTGTTCATCGGCACGGCCGTCTTCACCTTCGAGGGTATCGGTCTGGTCATCCCGATCACCGAGTCGATGAAGGAGCCCGAGAAGTTCCCTCGTGCGCTGACGGGTGTCATGGCGTTCGTCATGGTGCTCTTCGCCTCCGCCGGCGCGCTGTCCTACATGGCGTTCGGCTCCGAGATCCAGACCGTGGTCATCACCAACCTGCCGCAAACGTCGCGCTTCGTTCAAGCCATGCAGTTCCTCTACAGCATCGCCATCCTCCTCTCGACACCCCTGCAGCTCTTCCCGGCGCTCGCCGTGCTCGAAAAGGGCATCTTCAACAAGAAGTCCGGCAAGTACAACTGGAAGGTCAAGACCGAGAAGAATCTCTTCCGGTTCCTCGTCGTGGCCGTTTCCTGCCTGGCTGCGTGGGCGGGCGCCAACGACCTGGACAAGTTTGTTTCGCTCATCGGATCGGTCGCCTGCGTTCCTCTTTGCTTTATTTACCCGCCGCTGCTGCATTTGAAGGCCAACGCGACCAGGACTGCGACCAAGGCGCTCAACTACGCCATGCTCTTCTTCGGCATCGTCTGCGTGGTGTTTGCTGGAAGTCAGACGATCAAGGCGATGCTGGAGAGCTCTAAACCGAGCGGCCCGCCCAAGTGCTCGCCGCGATAGACGGCGTTTCTCAAGTCATTTTGTTCGCTTTCACTTGTTAAGGTCACTTTCTCACAAGCAATATAGACGCTTTCTCAATCAGCAGCTTTTAACGCGGACGGAGATTGATCAGAGCATTGTCATTGAGTTCAACAGACAGACTTTCAGACCTCTAGAGCTTGGGGAGGACGTGGTCAGCGCCGCTGACCTCGACGGCGCCCGGGTTGGGTTCAGCGCTGAAGTCGACGACCTTCAAATCATCCACAATGAGCGCATAGCGGCCGGTGCGTTCGCCGAAGCCCATGGCGCTGAGGTCGGCGGTGCTGCCCACACCCTTGGAGAACTCGAGTCCGAGGTCGGTGGCGAAGATCACCTTGTCGGCAGCATTGTTCTGGCGACCCCAGGCGGACATCACAAAAGGATCGTTTTGAGCAAGCACGACGATCTGATCAACACCCTTCGACTTGAATTCGTCGATCTGCTTGATGTAGGGTGGGATGTGGTTCACGTGGCACGTGGCTGCGATATCCAAGAACAAGACTCTCGTCAATGCTTGTTCCGAACATGATTCGAACGGGGGTTGAGAGAAGACTTACGGGTGTAGGCACCGGGAACGGCAACAATGACGACCTTCTTGCCCTTGAACGCCTCGTGGGTTTGCACCTTGGTGGGCGCACCGCACGCCGCGCCGTCGGCGAGCTCGGGCGTGTACGGCACGTACATGAAGGTCGAGTTGGGGATCTGGTCGCCTTTGGAGATGGTCTGCGTGCGTGACGTCGTTGCGAAGAAGCGATGCGTCGTCGATCCAGTCGAGCATCGAACGGGTGCGATGGCGGTTCGCGCAGTTGGTAGGGTGGGGGTGGAGCGAGCAAAAGGGGAAGCGGAGGTGGTGGTGGTGAGTCCCCGAATCGCGGCAGGTCGAACCAGTGCTGGCCGAGATGTGGCCACACGCGCAGCAGCGATGACCGAGGAGGTAAGAGGCTTGCTTACCATTTTTGCGATGAAGTTGTTCGGAAATGTGATATGGGAGTGGTTGGAACAGAAGAAAGGATCGACGTCCCGTTTATATGCTGTTTGAGAAGGTGGGAAGAGCATGACTAGATCTCGGCACCAGACGCCGTCGGTTTGCCGAAGGGAGATCCTGCTGTTGTGAGCTCACCGCACCTTTGGGTTGCGTCCGTGCGCTCAGGCTGGAACTCGTTCGCCGAAAAAAGGGCACAGAGCCACACTCTAAACTCTTCTCAGCTGTTCCTTCGCCCAATTATAGCCGAATTCGCTTTTTCGCGGATTGTGTTAGACCTCATGGACCTCTTTCTCTGGATCGCCGATCTGGGAGACCAACACCCTGTGCTACGCGCTTTCCGAAAACCTATCCGCACTTGCAGCTAACACCAGCGAGTACCGTTACGCGTTTCATACCGTATTCCAATCTTCCATCATCGTCATCCACACTCGCGCACACAATGAATGCGCCAACAGCCAAACGACCTCGTCATTCGGACGACTACGACGGCGCGCCATCGCTCACCGCCAACCGCAGCAGCTTTTACGACAATGTTCCGCGCACATCCATGACTCGGATCCCGTCGGCTCAGCAGACTGCTTCGAGCTCAGCCATGCCTGCTCCTAACCTTCCCTCTCATCTCAACGGCGCCAACGGCAGTGGCACTTCCAAGACTTCTCCTCATCTCTCCGCTCGGCGACTCGCAGGCTACCTCAGCTCGGACAACGAAGAGATGGCACCGGCGAAATCGTCCTCCACCACGGGCGTTCGAGGCCGGGGTCGGGGTCGGGGACGAGGACGAGGTGGTGCACGCACGACAACTCGTCGATCGCGCGAAGACGACGACGCGCCTAATCCGCTCACCTTTCAATGTCGCTCGTGCTTTCGACTGCTAGGTGACTCCTTTGCCTTCGTAGCCACCGATACCGAGCTCGGCTACGTCATCCTCTCGGACGTCAGCGAGATCGTTACCCAAGATACTGTCTACGAAACCAGCACGGAGCCGGGGAAGGACATCGGATCGACCTTTGCCCGTCTCCGCTGTGCAGGGTGCAACACGACGATCGGGAGGAATTACAGAACGACCCCGAGAGATCTGGACGACCTCAGGGACTGTTTTTCGCTGGAAGTGGATGCGGTGTATACATATCAGCTCGGGTCGAACTATACGCGACAGACCGAGCCGCCCGAAGAAGAGGCGGAGGAAGGAAAAACGCAAAAGGCGTCGAGACAGATCGTCGATACCGCTGGTGGAGGGGAGGATGCACAGGCGCTGAGGGAGAAGATGGAGAAGACGCGCGCGTTGACGATCGAGTTGAGCGACCGGTTGATTCGTGCAGAGGAGGACATTCGGCGATACAGCGCCCTGGTTGATCAGCTGGTCGCGTCCAAGCAGGAGTCGACAGAAGCGCCGGAAGAGAAGGAAGGTGAGGGGGATGCAGCAGTGGCCACCTCGGAAGCGCCAGGAACCCCACCACTGGACCAAACAGACGTGCCAGAAGCAACAGAGACAAAGGAGCCAGAACCCGAATCGACAGCAGCGCAAGAGACGGAAGTGGTGGTAGAGCTGGAAGCCCAGCCGTCCCAACCCGCGACGCCAGCGAGGGAGAAGCGCGTCAGCCGATCGAGCAAAGCTGCCGACTCGGCGGTCACCAGTGGATCATCGTTGACGACGACTACGTCGACCAGGAGCAGCAGGAGGAGCGGCTTGAGTCCCGCGAGGTTTCTATGACATTTTTATCACGCGCTCAATCTCAATGAGCTCATCACATGCAGAGTGCTGGGATTCAAGCGATGCGTTGTGTGTGTCTGTCGACGATGTCGAGACTGGTTGTATTCGACGTGGCGGACGAGACATTCGCGCGCTTGAAAGCTGTCTAGGACACGCGCGAGACGTACGAGTTGTACAGCTCGCTCACGAAGTCCGGGTTCGTCTGTGTTGCCCGCACAAACGTGGATGTCAGTATCATTCTTCGCGGCTTCACACATCCTCAATCGTGTTGAACACTTACGTGAACCATGCTCAGCAGCTCGGTGACGAACTCGCGCCTTGAGAGCGGCTGGCCGTCGTCGCCGAGTCCGATGCGGTCGCGGATGGCTTGTTCGATCAGCTCCGACATCTTTGGTGCGCCGCCTGATGTGGCCGATGTCGGTTCGGGTTGTGGTGGTGGTGTTGTCGGCTTCGGTGGCTCTGATGGCTCGGTGGTGGCTGTGGGCGCAGAAGTGCTGGGTCCGCCTAGCAGGGCGAGCAGGTTTTGCGAGTGGGTGGCGGGTGTTGGCTCTGCTACTGACTTGGACGCTTCAGTGGCCGGAGCAGTGTTTGATGGAGCGTTGTCGAGCGAGACAGCGTTCTGAAAGAGCGAGTCGAGGAGGTTTGCTCCGTTCGATGCGGCTTGCGGTGCTGCTTCCTTCTCTGTCGATTCTTCTCCCGACTGCGCCGGCGTCGACGCCGGCGCACTGCTGCCAAACAGATCGTCCAAGTTGATCTGTCTGCTGACCTCGCTGTCGGTGCTCGCAATGGCGGATGGTGCCGGTGTCGAACTTGCCTCGTCTGCGCTGTCCTTCTCGACCATCAGCGGCGCTGTTGTCGTCTGCTTCGCATTCCTCTTCGGCTTCCCGTTCACCTTGCCCTTCCCACCCTTCGCTTCGGTCTCCTTCCCATTCTTCTTTTCCGCCTGCTTGGACTCCCCGGCTGCGGAGCTCGACTGCTCCGCAACGCGCACCACCTCGGCACTGGGCGCCTCGACCATCTGCTGCAGCCTCAACAGCTTGTCCCCCACACTCATCCTCTGACCCGGCTCGAACACCCAGATGCCGTACACTTCGTCGTTCGCCTCTGGCCGATAGATGATGAATTCCGGTGTGATCTCCAGGTCGTCATCCGGCGTCACGTCCGCAGAGAAGTTTTCCACCCCGTTGCGGTTCATCAGGAAGAACCCGTTGTACGGCGGCAGTCGACGGCGGAAGAGAAAGAGTGGACCTTCCACACCCGTCTTGGTCCACTCGCCATTGTTGTAGTTGTACAAGACGACAAAGGAGGCTGTCTCGAAGATCGATACGATCGATGGATCGTGTCTGCGGAGCACTTTGAGATTGAATGAGGACCGCGCCTCGGCTGTGGATGCCATGTTGGCGGACTGAGGGCCGGTCGGGCTGTGACTTCGGGCGCTGCGGATAGCGCGAGACTGCGATGAGAGCTCTGCTCGGTGAAGTGACTGAAGAATGCGTAATCTTCTTCGCCTTCCGCTCGTAGAAGGGATGTGTTTGTGAGGTGGAAAGACACGATTTGGCTCGTGCAAACGCGCCTTGTTGGTGTGGAGAAAAGTTGGCCGCGTTCCGAGCGGGACGCTGCTGCGCATTCCTTTCTCAGAAGTCCCCACCACACTTGTTGCACTCAGCATCGACACTCTGCCACACCAGACATCTTGCCATCAGCTTGCTTTCTCACCCTCATCAGCCCTTTGATGTACCCTTATGCTCTGTCAGACGCTTCCGTGCAACTGTCTGCTTGCACCGCTCTACTCAAACCCGCTCCCGATCTAACACCCGTCTTTACCTCTCCCGTTTGTCACCATGGCGACCTCCCATATTCTCGATCAGGGCGATCGAGAGCTAGCGCAGATCCTTGCGCGCCTAGAATGGCCCGAGACGGGGAACTTCAATATCCGAGTTGAGCTTTGTTACTTGATGTTCGACGAGGCTGTACCTGATAGGGTGGACGTCGAAATCGCTATTGGTCTTATCATGAACCATCGATTCTTCTCAACCCTCAAGAACTTGCTCAACACACACCGCGCACAGCTCGATCCCGACTTTGTCAGAAAGCTGGAGCACGGTTCGACCGAGGGTGCATTTCGTCGCTTATCTCAGGCCATCTCCGCGATTCCAGCTTCCTACAAAGCGACTTTCGGTTCCTACACAGCCATCTTCGATGCCATGCCAATGGAAGAGCGCATGGCCTTCTTACTCCGCCGCATCTTCGATTCATCTCCGCCCGGACATTCTTCGAACGACGAGGTCACAAACATTCAGGCATCGACCGGGGGCTTGAATATGCATTAAGACGGGATAAGACGCTGTTCTTCTCCGAACCTGAAAGATTTTGGTCCTTTCTACGCAATTTGACGCTACAAATCGAGCTTCATCTCGCCGAGATCTGAGAACGAAGCAGTGGCATGGCCCTCCTCGCCAGACACGAGCTGCATCGGAGACTGCGCTTCCGACGGTTGCAGCTCCGGCCAGCTTCCCTCCTGGACCTGGGCTCTACCGCGCCCCACCTTGTGGCGGGATCGTCCTCGCCAGTGCTCATCATGCCCGTCGTTCGATAGCCTCGAAGCCTGACTTCGACCGCGGCGGCTGAGCTCCTTGTCCTCTTCGCCGTCCTGCTGCTCCTCTTCCTCGATCGGATCGACCGATGAGCGGCGAGGCAGCCCGGTGCGCTGATCGAATCCTTCCAGCCAGGCTGTGAGCGCCGGCGTGTTGGAGATCGCATCATGAGCAGAGCTGGAATGAGACGAGTTCATACCGCTCTGGTGCATCGACTGCGACTGACTCGATTGCTGTTCCATCGGCATGCCCAGACTGAGCAGGTTCATGGCGCTGAAGTCTTGCACCGGCTGCTGCTGGGACATTTGACCGAAGGGATGAGGCTGCTGCTGCTGCGGTTGTGGCTGCTGCATGTGGTCGCCAAACATCCCGTTGTCAGGCTGGTTGAAGAAGGCGTGCATCATGCCGAGCCCTTGCTGCGGATCCGTGGTCGGAGGGGCCTGCATGCCTGACGCCGCGAGCGCTTGATGAGATCGAGCCAGCTCCGCCTCGAGAAACCCGATTCGACCCATCTGCATGTCGAGGAACTGCTGCAGGTGTCGGATGTACTCGACGCTCTTGCGCAGGATGATGCCCTTGTTCGGTTTGGCCTGTGCTGCTGCCAATGCTGCGCTGTTGGCGTCGACAGGTGCGAGCGCCGCAGCGTACGCCTCGGTCGAGGACTTTGGCAAGTTGCCTTGCCCATCAGCGCCGCCCGACATCGGATCTCCCTTGGCTGCTGCAGCCGCGGCCGCCGCTAGTGCCGCCTTGGCAGCCAAGGCAGGTGCAAACGTACCGCTATTACCACCCTGAGTTGAAGTGGCAATGGCATCGAGCAGCATCGCTTCGGGCAGCAAGGTAGCAAGCTCGGTGATCTTCTCGTTGATGTTATCTCGCCTGCGACGCTCGACGGCGTTGTGCGACTCGCGACGCTTTCGACGCTTCTCGGCCAGCTTCTTTGCTTCCGCCTCGCTCTTGCCGCCTGTACTAGTGGTGGGCGGGTCATCGTCATCGTCGTCCTCGTCATCGTCCTCTTCCTGCGGCGGCTCTTCCGAGCTGGTCTTCTTGAGATCGTGCTTGGCAGCTTCCGCTTTGATGTCCTTGACGAGTTTGTCTCGTGAGGCCTGCGAAGTGCTCTTGCTGAGCCGGCGTGGCTTGGTGATCGGAGCTGCTTTCGTCTCGCCTGCCTGCGATGCCTCGCCGGCTTGCACTTCTGCACTTTGCGGCGCTGAAGGGAAGGACGGCTGGTTGGGTTGCTCGCTGACCGAGTCCAGGCCGGGACGATGCGTGGCTTGCGAGTACGGTGGGAACAGGAAGGGGTTGAACGTCTCTTCCTGCCTGCTAGGCATCTGATGCATCGCCGCCGAGACGGGAGGAGTCTGAAGGTTCAGATGCGCCATGCTCGCGTGAAAGCTGAGCGGCGTTGGCAGTGACGAGGACGCGGAAGTGGTGCCTGGCTGCCCATGTGCTCCATAGGACCCTCGGTCGTTGAAGTTGAGATGCAGATTGCCGGCGTTCGAGGTATCTGGCGTTCCGAAAAGGCTCCAGCGGTGGCTCTGAGCCTGAAAGCTGGACGACAGACCCATGGATGAACCAGTAGCGGCAGCGGATGAAGAGGTCGAGCGAGTAGGAGCGGGTGGATTCTGGTTTGTTTGCATGTTGCCGGCCAAAGCGGCAGGTCCTACGGTGGCTCTGCGGTTGACCCGTGCTCGCGAGGAAGGCGCTTTGCCTACGCCTCCTCTGTCAAGGGACGGCGAGCGCTCGGAGGCACCTGCTGCGGCGCGGTTGCGACTTCGGCTCAAGCTACGAGCGGTCTTGGATCGGTGGGTCGAAGATGCATTGCTTGTGGAACGGTGATGACGCGTACCTGTGCCCTTGGGCAAGCTTCCAACCGTGGTGCCAAGGGAACTAGGCGACAGGATGCTGGTGGCGATCGTCGAGGTCGTCTCGCCGTTGGAGCCGTCGGGGGAGTCGCCGTCATCCATGGAGGAAGTGTCCTTGCTGAGACGGCTCAAAGCATCGTGCGCAGGCCGCACAGTGCCAAAAGTGCGAGAAGGTAGGCCATACATGTCGAGAGAGCCCGTGTAAGGAATGTTGACGTACGACTCGCCAAAAGCACGATCCGAAGCATTGTCCATCTTGGCGTTGGTGTCCGATTCAGCTTGATGATGATGACCGGCGATGTCGGTGCCGTTGGAGGAGTTGACAGTGGTCGCTGGTGAGAATTGGTTCCAAAGGTCGTCATTAAGTAGGATGTCGGTGTCGATGAAGCTACTGGGCAGACCATTCGTACCGAACGGACCAAAGAAGTTGCCGGAAGTGGTTGCGCACGCCGGTTGTGAGAAATGCGAGCTGGCGGTGGAGGCGCCGTTCGGAGCTGCACTGGCGTTTGAACCGATAGCAGGACCGGCACCGGTTACCGAGAGGCTGCCCACCGGTGCGCCCGTGTCGAAACCGTGTTGACGCTTCTTGGGCATCATGATGTCGATGCTTTGAGGCGCCGCCACCTCGATCGAAGCAGGCATGAGATGCTAGGGGCGGTATCAAGGACCGTGAAGGGCAGAATGAAAGCACGGAGATGGTGGAGGCGAGGACCGAGATGATCACGGCCTATGCCGTTTGTTTCTTCGCGCGCTGGATTCTTGTTTGCTTGCCGTCTGCGTGCGCTTCAGATAGCGCCTCGATGGTCGAATGAAGAGACACGAAATGAGCTTGGCGGGATAGGAAGTCAGCGGGATACGGCTGAGAAAGCAGGTGTCGAACGGACGCAACTGGGTGGGCGGATCGAGTTGGTGAACTGTCCCGGCGATCGGCTGGGCCTGAGCCTAGTTTCGTTGTCAGTGCCGTCAAATGAGGGGCCGCGTTCGTACGGGCGGAATGGGCAGCTGGAGGTCGTTGATGATGACGAGACAAGGAACGCGAGACCCGAGCACCAAAAGGGATGGTGAAGGTCTTGATGAAAGTGCGCGTGCACAGGGAAGAGCAGGGGCTGCGCAGCAAGTGTGTGTGTGATGGCAGTCAGCGTCAGCACGAAGGTGAAGAAGAAAGGATGGATGATGGAGTGGGATGAAGAAGTGGGGCTGACAATGGATGCGAAGCGATGCAGCCGATTGAGGCACGACGCACAGTCTGTGTGGGGTGTGAGGGGGCGTTGCGGGGTCTCGACACGGTCACAGTCACCCATCGCAGGGAAGCGGTGTAGCGTGTCAATTTTTGGAGATACAAAGAGCAGCCAAGGAGGCGCAGAACAGACATCTGTCGCAGACTGAACAAAGCGAAGCTCGACTCAACATAGCCCGCCCCACACGGGCATGCGCCGTGGGCGAATCGCAACCAAGCGGAAAGAAGAGCCGAACCCACTCTCCTGGCTGGCTTTGAACGCGTGTCTCTGAGCTTTTGGCTTGCTGAGCGGGTGAGTAAGAGGCAGTGACTAAGTTGAAGCAGGGCAGGCAGACTGAGGCGCGAAGTGACCGATTCAGCCAAACTTATTTGACCGAGAAAAATGCGGGGAAGCGGGCGGAAGTGCCTTTCCATGGATTAAGCGAGGGGCGAAGGGGCGAAGAAGGGGCGAAAACATGCGAGGACGTGCTCAGCCCACGAGTGTGCTCTGGTGCCTCCTCTCTCTGCAAAAAGAGATCCCTTCCTGACAGCCACTTCTGACTGGCCTCGCTTCGAGCTTGGGTCCGTGGATCCCCCACACTTTTTTTTCTGTTCCGTCCATGGAATTCATTTTCCGAAGGGCAGAAAAAAAAGGATTTCAAAAAAGGTCAATCGCAGGATACAAACCGAATGGACCGGAACGGTAAAATCAAAGTGCCAAGGTACAGCCAGAGACTCTGCTTTGAACTTTACCCCAAAAACTTGTTGCATTCGAGGACGAGGAGAAGGAGGGACGAATAGGCTTGCACCTCTTCGAGTCAGGAAGCGGCAGGGGCTGTAGGTCAGACAGGCATGCATCCGGGTGCGCCAGCCTTACGCCATTCTGCGGATGACAGGAGGCGGACCATCTCGAGCGAGCGCATCTTCTACAGGATGCTCGTCACAAGATGCAGCTGGAGCATTCTGGAGCGTCTTCCGGCGTTGACAGCAGCCTGTCAAAAGTTTGCATCGGAGCATCCGATGCATTCCCACAGCTCTGATAGGTTGTGCGGCCACAGACTCGGCAGATCCGTCAATTGAGAAGAAAACTTCTCGTGACCCTACGTTCTTCTTGCCGATGAAACGACGGAAGTCTCCGTCCTGATCATGCTCTCCTTCAATTGTCCGCTGCAAGATGCCACATGACACTTCATCAAGTCCGACTGTTTCAAGAAGATTGCAGACAAGCGACCCACTCTTCGATTGTTTCTTCCTGAAGATCGACGTCTGCGCCTTCTCGCTTGTGCTGCAGCAATCAAGGAAGAAGTCGCAAGACGTCGGCCAATTCTACGGTGCTTCGCGACCATCACCTCTTGGCGTCTTGTGGCGTGGAAGCTATCGAACGCTGATTGGTGGAGGAGTCGGAGCGCTTCGGAGCATCCGACAGCTTGACAAGCTGCTGACGCATCCCGTCGCTTTATCGACGTGCCTCGTTGCCCTTCTGAGCTTCAGCTGGCTCTGGGCAGAGGGGCGTGAGCCAGTGCTGACTCAGGCAGCTTCCTAATTGCTCAGCACGACAGAGCGGTCTGCTGGTATCGACAGCGCAACTGTCCTGAACTCTGGTGCATCAGCTCAGCTTGCACGGTGCCTTTGATAGCAGCCCGCGAAATGCTGCCTGGATGCTGCTTCTTCACCACCAAGGCGTCTCTCATTCCCTATCTTGGTCCTGTCTGAACAAAGACGAAAGGGCCATAATGATGTTGTCGACTCAGGGCGTCGTCGTCGGTATGGTCTCTAGTACGCAGGCAGCCAGATCGTCCTCGTTGCCGCCCGAGTTGACGAGTCCTTCGACATCGGCTTTGAGCACGGAGCGGCCCCCCCGCCTCCGAAAGAGGCCGAGCACCCGTCTGGCAGCTTATCATCGGTGACAGTACTCAGGTCACGCTTGGAGATGCAGTCACAGCCATTGCGTTTGGGCTCGGCTCCAGCATCATCGATCGTCCCCGAGGGGGGGCACGCACAGCGAGACCTCGAGGAGAGTATTGCGGTCGAACAAGTGAGGCAGTCTCACTCCAAGCCCTCAAAAGAGAGTCACGCTGAACGACAGAGGGCACCGAGCGCGCCTGCATCCGATGTCAAAGCGGTGGAGCGCCAGAGTCCAGCATCGAAGAAGAGACCTGCTTCTGCCTCTCCTCGAGGCAGCCATGCCAATATTGAGCCGAAGAAAGCTTCGAAGCATGACGCTGATCTCGAACAAGGAGCACAGCAGACTGCTGTGTATGCACGCGACTTTGCGAAGACCGGCGACGAGGTGATAAGCGGTCATGAGGCTACACAGCCTGAGCAGGAAGCTAAACCCGAAGCAGACAGCCCAGCTTCGAAGCGTATCAAGTCAGACATCGCACCGTGGATGACGCAGCGGCACAAGAATGCCATCCGACGCAGCCTTGGCGGCGCCGATCCTTCCCCCGACACGCCAGACCCGTCTTCGCCAGTCAAGGCAGTGCCGGTCGCTTCGGAAGAGAGTCTCCATGTCAGCAACACTAGGCAGCAATCGTGACGAAAGTGTGGTCGTGTTAGGGCGAAGGTTTTACTATCGGCTTCGAGACAAAAATGGACGCGTTCGAGTCGCGCCGCGTTGAGTAGCCGCTGGGGTGTTGGATTCAAGCTGCACCTCCGCGACTCAGGGAGGGTTCTGAAGTCCTTGACATTTTTGCGGTTCGATAGTTGCCCTCACTCTCGAACTGTACCTCGTCCCATCTCCTTACCGAGCAACCTCTTCGCTTTCGTACCTGCTTCCCACACATCCCGGAGAGCAGAATTGCCGAGGCTGGTTGTGAAGCGACTGCTCACCAGGCCACCTCCTTTCGGTCAAGATGGCAGACGAGAATGACTACTATTCGGACGACCTCCAAGGCGACGAGGGTTTCATCACTGATCTCAGCGATCAAGATGGATACGGCAGCGAACGCGGTGGTCGGGAACAGGAGTTCAACGAGGCAGATGCGCCAGACAAGGAAGAGATCCGTGATGCCGCCCGAGATCTCTGTATGCAGATCGGTCAATACGACTATGGCGAGGATGGCGAGGTTAAGGACGACGACAAGATCTACACGCGATGGAAGCGCGGTCCACGGGCGCTAGGAGCTCTGCGCTCGCTCCGAAAGCTTTGGAAGCTAGACGACGAGGACCCGACAAGGAAGGTAGCGCGTGCCTTTGCCGACAATGAGGTGCTCGAGAACTTCATCGTGCCCGCGCTGCTCGAAAGCGCCGGTCAGGGCAAGGAAGGGGATGCCATCGCTCTCGCATGCACCGATCTGCTCACTGCCATGACCTGGCCATTCGACGCTGTGGCCGAGCTGCGCGAGCAAGAGAAGCAAGGCTTCGAATCCGACGATCTCGGCGAGATCACAAGGCTGGACCAGCGACTGATCAACTACAAGGCCGTCATCCTGCGAAGCGAATCGCTCGACAAGATGCACGACGTGCTCGGAGTCATCATGCGGTACCTGTTGCTGCCCAACTTGGCGACAAAGCAACATCAACGGTCGAGTCTCGTTACTGGCATCATCGGCATGTGCCTTCACTTCTTCCGCAACTTGCTCGCCATCCGCGATCCTGTCACCACCAGTCTTAGCAGCGTAGCTCAGCTGTCCACCGCCAATCTTCAAAGCAAACTCATTCTAGCCATGCAAAAGCACTACATCCTCGACACGCTGCTCATGCTCGCCAGCAGCGCCGAAACACTCAACTTCAACGCGTGGAACGCCATCACTTCCGAATGCATCTTCCACATCTTTGTCGGCACCAAGGTCAAGGAGATTGCTGATCTGACCGGATCCACCTGCAAGGACGGCAGCGCAGCTGGCTCTTCGTCCAGATCGACCGCAAGTGCCTCGAAACAAAGCAATCTCTTGGCGGACAGTCTTGCGACAGAGGCCAAGATGAAGCGTGCTTCTGCCTTGGGCAAGGTCCCAACTCGTCATTCACGTTTCGGCACCACCATCAACTTCATCGGTCCCGATGGCGAGCGCCGCGTCGCTCGTAACCAATCCGCGCTCGTCAAGCCAGTTGCACAGCTTGCTGAGGAGGCGATGCACAAGGGAAGGCGACGGGCACAGCGTCGCAAAGACGCGCAAGAAAGAGGCGCACCTAAGCTGAAAGTCAGTTGGGACCCGGAAGCCGCCCTCGTGTTGCAAGACTTCGCCGACACATTCGTCCAGTCAGCATTCGAGTCTTTGGCCAAGTCGATCCTCAAAGACATTCGGTCTGAACGAGACAAGCTGGGCGACTTGGACATCGCACGGATTCGCATCATGCAGCTCGGTGCTTTCTTCCTCGAGTACTTCCTTTCGCGGCGCGCCTCAGCTGCGGCACGTCGCAAAGAAAGCCACACAGCAACGACACCGCGAAACGCATCGACACAAGACACATTGGCTCTTCTCGAGCCGGAACAGCAGCAAGAACAACCTCACGGGACCGAACAGCAAGCGGAGGAAGCAAAGGACGACTGGCCTTTCGAGCTGGTCAGTCAATGGCTGGAACCGTGGGCGTTCCGCATGGTCCTGGTCCGCACGATCCAAGCGCAAGAGTCGAAGGGGTGGCTCGAATTCGTTGCCTCGGTCCAGCTCTGGATCGTGTTGCTACGACTCGTCGACGAGCTCGCCAGCAGCAAGAAGGAGGCCGAACGGGATGTTGCCGAAGGGCTGCAGGCCGAGTTCTACTACATGAGCGAAACGCTCGACGCCTGCCACGCCATTGTGCGTTCCTACACATCGCAGAGCTTCGCCTTCCTCGATACCGTCGTCAACTTCGCCTACGTGATGCCTAAGATGCTCGAGCGCTACGCGTCGAATCGCGACCACATGTACGTGCAGGCAAAAAAGCACGTCCGTCGCTCGCGACAGGAGGGCGATCTCGATGCCGACGAGGATGAAGCAAGGCAGATCAAAGAGCAGGTGCAAGAGACACGATCCGAGCGCGAGTTCCGCTTTGCCGACTTCCAGCGCAAGCTTGCTACCAAGCAGCTGGCCAAGGCTTGCATCGACTACCTGGCACGCTGGCAAGACTACACGGACATGGAGGAGCAGCTCAACAAGCTGGTCACCGTGATGCACCGAATCGCGATCAAGGCCAACGACTACCGACAATTCTTCCTGTCCGGTCACCGCGCTGCGCTGCGCAAGGTGATAAGCGGCGATGCGATCAGGATTCTCGAAGCGCGTGCTCCGACCTCGGCGCCCAACCTCAAGAAGCTCATGGATTACATCCTGCGCAAGTTCAGTAAGCTGAGCCCGGAAGAGCAGTCGATCTACGACACGGGCAAGAGGCCACCTCGTCAGCCCAAACCACCAAAGGTGCCCGCCGAGATCGCGGTTCGACCAGGCATGTCGCGCGAAGAGGAGATCGGCGTCGCCGTCGGCCTGCTGCTCAAGAAGGAAAAGATGCAGGCGGTGCTGTGGGTCAAGTCGGCCTTGGAAATGGCGAGCGCATTGCGCACCGAGCTGCTCGTACGACATGAGGAAGAAGCGGCGCAGCGATCCCTTGAGGACCCCAGCTCGATTCTGGACCAGGATGGTCAAGAGGGCGAGATGCTGCTTGGCGAATTCGAGAAGCAGAACGAGTCGCCGGTCGAACACTTCCAGGCTTTCGAGCTGGCCTACCGCGGCAACGACGAACTTCGCATGGATGCATCGCTGCTGCCTGAACTCAAGCTGCTCTGTCGTCTCGTCGGTCTCGAGGCCAACGAAGACGAGCTGGTTAACTGGAGGTGGTCGGTACCCAAAGAGATCCTTCCTACTCACCTCGACGACAAGATCGACGCCATCGAGCGCTTCATTCGCGAGCCGCTCGACACGCACGGCAGGGAGCTCACCGCACTTGTGATGCGAGTCCGCAAGGCACGTGTTGGCGCGGATGGCGATGCTGACGTTCTCAATCCAGCCGATCTTCCTAGCGGCTGGAATGGCGAACAGAGCGACTCGGACGGGGACGGCGACTACTTTGACCGTGTCCGTGCCAACAGGAGCCTGGTCGAGAGTGGAAGCGCCGCCGCTGACGGAGGCCTGCTTCGCAGCAGTGGAGGCAAGAAATTCAAGTCTGCAACCAAGAAGGGAGGCTCCAGGAAGCAGAAGAGAAGGATGCAGCAAGACTTCATCAACGACAGCGACGACGAGTTTGCTTTCGCCATGGGCGATCTGCAGGAAACTCAAGGCCAACAGGAGAATGCTGCGGACAGCTCTGACGAGGAGGGCGGTCATCAGGATCACGACGATGATATGGAGCGCGCAGAGACGCCGTCGACTAGCCCAGTTGCTAACATGGAAGAGGGGGACGAGGAGGAGGACGGCAAGCTGAACGCGCTTCAAGCCTTGCGCGCTGCCAAGAAGCAACGCAACAAGGCCAGTGCCAAAGCAGCAACGCAGCCTCTGCAGGACGCTAGCGAGCGTACCAACCGCCGCGTCGATACCAAGCGACTCTTCCTCGCCGACAGCGACGATGATGAGGACGACGTGCTCGCATTGCCATCGCAGGAGTCCGTTGCCGATGCAGCCGCTTCTGCCAAGTTTGGCTCGATGAGCGGCAACACAACAGGACTCGTCAAGAAGCGCAGACTGGCGATTCTCGATGACGAGGACGAAGACGAGGAGTGATGGAGGAGCGAGGGGCGCGGGGCGCGGAACCACTGTTTGATACCCTGTGACTGTCTGCAATTTCATTCCTTGACCTCTCAGCAGCTTATTTCTTGTGGTAGCCATTGCATGATCGAGGTTGCACCGCGAGCAATCTGAAGTGCGCAGTCGTGTGAGACGCTACTGCAGCGTGTTGCCGGTGGGTCGCAGCATATCCGGCTGTCGGGCTGCGGTTGAGTCTGTTGCCGGAAATCTGGGGTGTGTTGGATTTCACCTGTCACCCCGCTTTGCAACTGCCGGAAAAGAACGCGGTCAAGGCTGCTGACTTGCAGCTATCGATTTTGTGCGGTCAGACCAGCCAGCCAAGCGAGCTATACTTCGTTTGACATATTCTTCGCTCTTCACCACCAACCTTCACATCCTACAACCTTGCCCATCTTGGCCATCAAGATACTTATCGCTACCTGTACAGCTTGATTCAACCTCAGCGCCAAGACTCGTATGCTTGCCGCCACCTCGACCGCATCACCGCAGCCATATTCGTCCTAGCTTCTTCCGCGGGACGGCTTGGAGCCGTCTTCCGTACCTCGCTACTCACATCACCTCCTACCGTCACTACAAGAATCCCACGTCTACGACCACCCTTTTCATTCCAATTCGAACGGACTCGTTCCACAACTGCGATTCTGCGCTTCTCGAACACAATGGCTTCCGCCGGCGTTCACAGCAACAGCGCGATCCTGACGCACCTCTCGCACGCGCTGCTCCGCATCTCACGCATTCCACCGAGAGTCATCGCCAGTCCTCCCACACAACCTCGTCGAGCATCCGTCGCCATCCTGCTCCGTGTCCGCCCAACAGCGGAGGATGAAGCCTGGCTGGCACAGAACCACGACCCTGAAGCCCAGCATGCTGCCACAACGCCCAGTGGCGATCCGAGCGCGAGCCACGAGCTCGGCAACTCCGGGGTGCACGTCTCTCAAGCCTCCCTGGGCGCCGGGACCGCCTCATTAGCCTCGAGCGTCGCCTCCGGGGACCTCTCCTCCACGCTCTCCACCTTCTTCGACCAACCCTGGGTGCAGCGGGGCACGCCCGAGATCCTATACATCAAACGAGCCGCTCGGATCGGGGACAACTGGTCCGCACACGTCGCCTTCCCCGGCGGTCGCAAAGAAGAAGGCGACGAAAACGGCCTCTACACCGCCATGCGCGAGACGTGGGAGGAGGTAGGCATCGATCTCGCCGAAAAGGAGTTTTCTTGTGTTGGTCAGCTCGACGATCGTGAGATCACCACGAGTCTCGGTAAACGGCTGCTGATGGTGTTGTCCCCGTATGTGTTTGTGCAAACCTCGCCGTTTAGTCCGCTGCCGGATCTGCAGCCGAGCGAGGTGGCGAGCGCACACTGGGTGCCACTGGGGCTGTTGTATACGCCCAAGCCGAAATGGGGCACTACGTCGGTGGATATCAGCAGTCGATTGGCGCCCAAGTCGCCGCTCGTAAGGTGGGTGTTGCGTGCGTTGGTGGGGAAGATGGACTTCAAGTGCATCCTCCTACCGAACGACCCCGTAGCGGTGGCAGAGTACGAGGAGGAGGACGAGGGGGATACGTCGCAAGAGAAACCGGGATCGCACATCGCCCGAACGGAGGAAGGCGTTGTGCGACCCGATCTGAGGTTGTGGGGTTTGACGTTGGGTATGACGCTCGACCTGCTCTCGCACATGACGACGTACGAGTCCAATTCGTCCTTCCGAAGCGGTGGGATTTCGCCAACGACTCCGACTTCGTCTTGGTCCAATCTTCCCTCTCCGCCACCGCTGCGGGTCGACTCATCGCTGCCCTCCGCGTCCGAGTTGGTCTCTGCCCCGCTCGTCTCGGCCAACCGAGTGATCAGTAGAGTGCGGGATGAGTTTCACCTCAACCCTCCACCCGCCTCGCATGCGCTGGCGCCGAGCCTGACCTCGGTGTTCCCTCGTTTCTCGTATCCGGATGTCAACTTTTGGATCTGGTTCTTCGGCTGGCGGTACCGCACGGTGGTGCGCGGCTGGGAGGGGAGTGTGGGCACGCGGATGGAGCGCAAGTTCAATTGGAGCGGTATGGCGTTGGGTGCGTTCTATAGTGCGGTGCGGAGAGCGCTGGTGGTGGCTGTTGTGTTGAGGGCACTGGGGATGGTGAGCGCCGGCGGGGTGGTGGGGTGGTTGTTGGCCAGGAAGGCGGGGAGGATGAGGAGGGGGCAGCAGGGGTGGGGGTTGGACGAGCTGTTGAGGTGAACGGTGTTGCAATGGAGATAGCTTTCATGGGCATATGAGTGGTGCCTGAACGTGCGTGTCCCCTCCTTTGATCGTTCGGTTGTGACGGTGAGGAGCATTGTATGACCTCTCGAGGAGGTCGTGAGGAGCTGAGAAGCATGACGCTCGGAACGCGGGCAATCGCGCAGCCGGCCAATTTTTCTTCCCAGTCGGTGGACCCTGAAGCCGCCATCTTTGCTTCTAACCCTCCTTGGCTCCACACCACAACCCAACATCGTCCAACATGGTCGCCCCATCAGCAAGCAAGCCTGTCACTGAGCCAGAGGAGGGCTCAGACTTCCGCAAGGCTCCTGCAGACACCAACCGTATGCCAGGCTCCGCAGCATCGATGAAAGTCTTGGAACGATCTCGCACCACCCCCTCTGCCTCGTCTGCCCCTACACCTACCCGACCTTCCACGAGCAAATCCGCGATCCAATCGCTTCAACCCATCCTTGACTCCACTTCAACAAGCGCTATTCAGCCAACGGACATTCAACTGCTCACCACCTCGATCCTGTCGAACCAGCAGCGCGCGCGTCTCGTGCTCTCGCATCAAGAACGTCTCATCCACACCAACCCCTCTTTGTCCCAACTAAAAGAGTCGTTACGAATCCTATCGAGTTCGTCGTGGGGTCAGGTGCTAGAGGAGCGTCATTTGGCGGGTCACTGTGCTTATCCGCCTTGCACGAACTCCGCCCCGACGACGGGCAGGGGTGGCGAGGGGCGGTTTCGCATCAGTCTAGGCGCTAAATCGGTCAAAGCGTTGGAGGACGTCGATCTGGGTGAGGCGGGCAATACGTGGGATGATGTACGTGGGGTGTTTTGTGGCAAAGCGTGCTATGCGAGGAGTGAATGGGTGCTGCGGTGGGTGTTGTCGGATGGGTTGGTGAGGGAGGAGGGAACTGGTGGAGGAGGAGGGAAGTGGGAGAAAATGACGAGTCGGGGGGAGGTGGAGTTGTTGGAGGATATCGAAGCGGAGAATGGGGGGTCGTTTGGAGAGGCGATGCTGGATGGGATGCGCGTTGAAGCGGAAACTGCGCGGGGAGCGAGCACAGCGGTGCCGACCCCAGCGAGGGGGAAGGACGTATCCAACCTCATGGGCGAACTGACCATTGTGGAGCGGCCAAAAGGAACTTCCGCCCCTGCCGCCGCAGCAGCAGCGTCAGTCGACGTCCCCAACAACCTCGGCGCGCGATTCGGCCCCTCTACCACCACCATTCCCACCAGCATCACCACCGCTGACGACGACGAAGACGACGACCCCATGGACGCGCAGACACGCTAACTCAGCTCCATCCTCCGCTACGCATCGCGCGCCACCGCCAGCCGCCCGCTACGCATCCCCAAGAGCGTCTCCATCTCCACCGCCCCCGCTGCTGCTACCCCTGCTCCCACAGCCAGCACAAAAGAAGACGAGCAGGACGAACCGGTGTTGGATCCCAAACTCGCAGCAGAACGGAGCGAGATCCGACGCATCATGGATTTGGCCCTCGACGTGAGGCGCGATCAGCGCGAGTTAGGGTTGCTCGATTGACAGAACCATGCAATCAGTGACTCAGATATGCACACGGACGCAGCGTGAGGGAGATGGAGCATGTGGATTGAGTGTGTTTTGACAGATTAACCAGGAGAATTGAGCATTTGAGGAAGAGGTTGAAGGGGAAGTATGGCGAAAAGGGGCGGAACAGGATCCGATAAACTCCAAGAGAGGCAGTTGAAGTGAAGAGAAGGAAGCGAAAGAGACCAAGGGAAGCGGTGTTGTGAATGAGCTCAAAGGAGCAGTGAGAAGAAAAGGTCGAATGTTGAACTCGACCTTGTCGAGACGGAGGAGGACGATCACTTGTGCGTCTGCTGCAGATCGCCACTGGACCCACCCTCCGAGAGCTCCCTCTTGAGGTGATGACTACCTTCCAGCTGGGCCTCATCCAACTTATGTCCGTCGTTGGGGTTTCCACTACCGTGAATACCGTGGAAGTCAGCCGGCCTGTCCTCGGGCAGGGCGTACCTGGTGACGTCGAACTCCCTGTACTCGAACACGGTGTATTTCTTACCCGTGTATCGGCAGTAGACCCACGTCACACCGGCTCGAATACCGAGCGTGACAAAGGTCCATCCGAGACTGCCGAGCGGAGCGGCAAAGAAGGCGCCGAGCACGCTGTAGTCGTCGATGTACAGGCCGTTGGGCAGGCCGATGAGCGCGATACCCTTGGCAGCGCTGTCGTAGAGGATGGTGCCAAAGAGGAAGACAGTGAAGAAGCCGCCGACTGCGCCGCCGACAGCGTCGACGCCATTGAGGAAGTACAGCTGCGGTACAAGACCGAGCAGGAACGCGGGGATGCAGGCGATAGCTGCCAGGTCGGCAATCAGGAAGACCTCCAGGATGTCGATGTTCTTGACGGCCAGCACAACCGAGGGGACGTTGATGAGGATGAGGATGGCTCGGCACCACCAGATGTTGAGTCGGCCCAGGAAGACGTCATTCTGGATAGTCGAGATCTGGGCCGACTGGAAGGTGTCGTAGGCCGACGAACTGAGACAGCCACAGAGGACGATGACGATGCCCGTGAGCCAGTTGGGCAGCGTGGCGAGGATGTAGAAGAACGTGAGCGATCCATCGTCTTCGGCAGAGTAGCCGTCGAAGAGGCCCGACCACTGGGCCAAGGGCCCAGCCATGCCGACCAGCATGCACACGGCGAAGAGCGGGATGGTGGCAAAAATGACCGAGAGATAGAGCGTCCTGTTGTCCTTGGAGGCGAAAGCACGCTGCCAGAAGCCCTGGTTGAACATCTGACTGAAGACAAGAGCGGCAGGCAGAATGTACCAGAGCTCGCCACCAAGACGCTGAGGCCTGAGCAGGCCGGACGACTCGACACGAGCATGGTCCACATCCAGATTGACACCGACAGCGACCGTAGCGATCACGATGAAGATGAGGATGATGACGGCGTTGACGTTGTCGGTGTAAAGCGAGGCCTTGAAACCGCCGTAGGCGGTGTAGATGGTGGTGATGATCGCAATCACGAGCGCAGCGATGGTGGGGTTGACGCCACCCAGCAGGTTGACGGCCGAGCCGTACGTGTTGAGCTCGACCAGCATGAAGCAGAACATGAAGCCGACAAAGATCAAGCCCGACAAGATACCAACAGGCCATCCGAATCGACGACGAATGTACTCGGCCAACGTGAAGCCATCCGGGCAGACACGGCGGATCAGAGGTCCGAGCCAGGCGAAGAACCAGAGCGGCATCACGGTGGCGAAACAGTATGCAACGAGACCCAAGACACCAGCATTGGGGATGACAGCGAGCTGTGGGTAGCCGAAGAGCAGCGACGAAGACATGTCTGTTGGGAGAAGACGGTCAGATCAAGAGTAAGGGATGCATGAGTATGTAAGTCAGCAGACGATGGCAAGCATCGCGCAGCACAGTATCGAGATGGGTTGAGCAAGATCTGTTGACGGTGTTGGCGACCGATCGTCGCGGAGGTCGACAGCCAGTACTTCGCCAGACGCGTGATGAGGCATCTCATGCTCGTTCTGTTGAACAAATGGCTGTCGACCTCGTCTCAGCATGGTGCAATTCGGACAGCATGACGCCGTCCGGGTTGTGACTTAGCCGCGCGATCCGTGCCAATCGTAGGTCGTCTTGCTCTTCCCGCTCTCGATGTGGTCCTGCTGCGATGTCTTGCGCCCACAGTAGTGGTTCGGTCAAGAAAGTGGAGGGAGCCCGACCGGGGATGGAGACTGAGGACAGTGTTGGCGTCGCGGAGACCGTGCATTTAAAAGTGCGCTGTATGCGGCAACTAGACACGACGTCCATAAACACCAACAGCGGTCCATAGTGACCACGCCCCAGAAGGATGATACAAAGGCGAGATACATGATTGGAATGGAATGAAAAGGCATGCAGCATTCCCTTCGCGAGTCCTAACTCGATCAGGTAATATCCGCGTCCTGGTCGCCACTGTCTTATGCCACTAATCTGCCAGATACTGGCAGGCAGCGACAAAGCTGTGACGGCCGTCGGACGCCGATGACGGTATGATCTCAGCCCAACGTATCTAGTCGGCAGTCCGGCCGCTGAGCAAGCTGTGAAGCTCGCTGCGCGACACCCGGACTACAGGCCCGAGGATCTGCAGTCGAAGATAAGACGGCAGACCAGATACGCAAGCACCCGTAGCTGATGCCAAACTGATTGAGCTTGGTCTTTGTGGAGCGTCAACCACCACCTCGCAGTCGTGATGACACGATGCGGGGGGCAGATCCGCGTTCGTCGGTCGCCGAGATCTTGCGAAAGCCCGTTCATGGCTGAAATACAGTCTTGATGTCCTTGTTCGGCGGTAGATCGGTTCGTCATGTCGTCGCTTGTGCGTTGTGAGGAGTCTTTCGACACGCATTCTCGAAGCTGTCAAGCATGCGTCTGGCTTTGAAGCGGCCGTCTTGCGCCGGTCTTGAGGTAAGGTCATTGCGCCACAAAGGGCCAAAGTCAAATCAGGGGGAAAGGCGTCGAGCCAAGAGGTGGAGGGAGGAGGAGACATAGACCGATCACGATCGAGGGAAAGGAAAACGCGAAGGGAACATACCTGTGAAAGCGCGATGCTTCTTGCTGCATACCTTCTCACCCGCATCCGTTCGAGTCCGCTGTTTGCAGCGGTGGGATGGGTGGAGAGGCGATGTTCAAAAACTTCAAAATAAGGGTGGATCGAGCCGTTGATACTAACTTGACGCGAACCAGTTGAGCGTCAACGGGAAGACGCTCTGAGTGCGAAGACCCGAGAGGAAGTCATTGGTGTTGCGGACACGGTAGCCGGCGTAGAGACCGACCAGCATGAAGCCGCAGAGGGTCGAGTAGACCAAGGCGTTGGCCTGTTGTACTTCCAACATGATTGACGATGGAAATGGGCGGGTGTGTGGACAGAGAAGGGTGGGATGGTGGTAGTGTGATAAATGGCGCACAAGATGAAGGATCTTATCAGCTTTGGGTGACTCCGCAGGAAGGGGAAGAGTTCAAATTTGAAAATGGCGCCACCTGCTGAGAAACAGGACCGCAAATCGATTCTGCAAGACTTCTTCTTTTTTGATCAAGATCCGCGTTTGTGCGCTCTGCTGCCCGAGTTGGCCGTCGTCCGCGTATTTACTTTTTCTCGCCAAGAACAGCGTCGAGGGTCCAGCCTCAACTCTGCGAGCGGATTTCTCCGCTTGTCCGTTAGCGGTCCGATGTCCACTGGCTCAAACTTGGTCGTCTTCCTCGTTCAACTGTGTCTCCATACTGATGCTCAATCTGCTCCTCAGGCGGTCAATCCGTGTAGTCTGTGCAAGTGTCGATTCCAATGTCATTATCCGAATCGTCCATGTGAGTGATGTACAAGATGCCCAACCAATACTCTCTATGCCGCCTCTCAGCTGCCCCAAACCGCCCGCAGACTCTTCAACTTGTTCTCGCCAATCGCCTTGGTCGTGCCCCTACCGCTCATCTTGATCTCGGTCCCATTATTGCATCTCCACGTCGACACGTCGTGCGAGCCATCGTAGTTGAGCGCGCCCAATATCGTCGAGTCGACGCTCACCTTGCTCATCATCTCCTCGACCGACATCTCTCTCTGGGCCACCTTGTCCTTTTCAAACGTCGAGAGGAGTTGGGTGCTGATCCGGCGCGATGAGGTGCGTTCGGGCTTTTGGGCTCGCATCGCCGTTGGGCGCACGAGTTGCGGCGCAGGAACCGCGCCCGGTTGCAATACGGGCTTGGGCAAAGGTCGTTTCTCCGGCTTGGAGGCTGCGTCGGTGGATGCGGAAAAGACCGCCTTGGGCACGCTCGTGTTGAGGAACTGAGGCGCAGTGAAGCTCTTTAGCGATTCCGGCTTGTTCGAGTCGACCTCGCCGGCGAAGGTCGCAGCGATCGCAGTGACACCTGTCGAGGTTGTCGGCGACGACATGGCCTTCTTGCTAAAGTCGAGCGCAGGTGCACTGTTGCTTGCCGACGAGGATCGTCGTGGCTTGGGTCTGAAAGTCGATGTGTTCGACGGCGAAGCTGAGCGAGGCTCTCCATCTGCCGAAGGTGCCGCGAGAGAGTTGCGGCTCACATCGCTTGCTGCATCGTCATCGTCTCCCGCGATCTTGGACCACAATTGCGCTACAGATGTGACGCGTCCGCCTCGACCACCACGAGCAGATCGAATGTCGTAGCTGTGCTCGTCTTTGTTTCGCTGAGAGTCGAAGTTGGGCGCCATGAGCGTCTTCTCCACGCGGGTGGGGATGCCTACCTCGAGTGTCTCGTGGTTGCGTGACGCGCGGCGTTCCGTGCCCCGGCTGCTGCTGGATTCGCTGGGAGTCGCGGTCACAAAGGGCACTGCGGACGCGTTGCTGCCGGCGGGCAATCCAGGACGAGGCCACGAAGGCATCGAAGTATGGCGCTCGCGACTTGCCTGCGAGGACACATGCGTAAAGGAGGGACCGGGCACCACAACGGCGCTCGCTTTGTTCGTCGATCCGAGGCCGGACAGACGGCGACTGATGGGGTGCTCCTTCAGTGCTGTGCCCGACTTGCGCGCCGGTCTGATATCAGAGCCGTCGACCAGTGCTCTCAGCTCGGCAGAGAGCTGGGGGATCGGCTCGTCGATGGAATTGCGAGCTGGAGCTACGGCAGCTGAAGCTTTGGACGAAGCGAGATCCGCCATGGTGTGCGACTTTGGCATGGCGACTTCAACCTTCTCGGAGCGAGGAGGCTTGGCCTCCCACATGGGGTCGATCACCTGCGAAGGCGAGCTGTAGGCGTATGACGATCGACCTTCACCGGCACCGGCAGCCGACGCAGATGGCTCCTCCTTTCGCATCACCGACAGCACCGAAGCGCTTGGCGTGCCTGGCGTATTCATGTGCGACGTGTTAGGACTGGTAGGGTTCGACAGCCAGCCATCCACTCGCTGAACCGCTTGCTGCTTCAGCACAACGCGATCCTGGTCGCTCGTCCGGCTGGGCGCGGCTAAGACCGGCGCTGTCATCTTGGATGGTACCGAAGGCGCCACCGACTTGGGCGCATTCGCAATCGCCGCTTTGATCCTCTCCATCCGATCGCTCGCGGAGTACGCCAGCCGGCGAAGCTCCTTCGTGTCGTCAGCCACAGCTCGAGCCCGTGCAGCCTCGGCAGCCTGGCGCTCCTGACGCTCCATCTCCTCGCGCTCCTGTCGCTTCGCCTCCTCTTCCCTCGCAACTCGCTCCGCCTCCGCCTTGAGTCGCTGTTCCTCTTCCTGTTCACGAAGCTCGCGTTGACGGCGAGCATGCTCGGCGATCCTCTCGCGCTCCAGCCTCTGCTGTTCTTCAGCCCGAATCCTGGCCGCCTGCTTTCGCGCCGCCTCCTCCTCGGCAGCCGCGGCTTGCCTGGCCTGTTCGGCCTGCACTTGCCTCGCCCGCTCTTCAGCCGCGCGAGCTTGCTCTTCGGCGCTCTTGCGCTCGGCTTCTTCGCGCGCAAGGGCGGCAGCACGCAGCGCACTGTTCTTGCGCGATCTTGTCGAGTCGTCGAACACGGCAGGTGCAGCTGCGAGGGGGCTGGGAACGCTCTCAGCACGAGCGACGTTGGCCATGGTCACGAGAGGTCGCGAGTTCGTGCAGATCTTGGGCGTGGTGGTACGCACGAGGTTCGACTCGAGCGCTTGCAGACCGATGCCTTGGGACGATGACGAGCGTCTGAGCGACACCACAGAGCTAGCTGTGGAGCTGCGTCTCTCGCGCGCCTGGTTGCTTTGCATGCTGTCGTAAGAGTCGTGCGAGTGACCAAGCTCCGCTGTCGTCGGTTCAGCAAGATCGCGTGCTGGCTCGGCTGCTTGGCTCGACGGCACATCCGCCGATCCTGCATGTTGGAAGATGTCGCTGGCCTTGAGCCTGTATGTGCCGCTCGAAGAAGCCTGCGTCCCGTCTGCTCGGCGACTCGTCGAGGCTTTAGGTGTCGAATCTGATGCTTCAGCCCGTGCGTCGGAAGATCGATCCTGCTCCTTGGAGGCAAATGCATCTTCATCTGGCTGCATGCCCATGGCAATCATCTGCCTCTTGACTTCCTCCTCGTCTTCCTCGGCTTCGGCCATGGCTTCAAACTGCTCGATGTTGTTGCGAGAGACGCTGTTGCCTTTGCCGCCCTTACCAGTCTTGCCGATGGTAGGCAGCTTGGCGAGCGTTTTTATCGTTCCAGCCTGGGACTCACTATCCTCTTCGATCGTCGCAAGACCTGTGATCGAGGGCGCGCCACCACCGCCAGCGAAAGGAGGCATGGGAGGCTGAAGGGGCGGAGCAGAGTATTGCTGTGCGTTTCGGCTGGAGTAGGTGATGCTCTGCGGCTCCGGCATGGGTGGCAGTACCTCTTGCGGCGCATGTTGATAGGCTGCTTGCTGAGGTAAGGCACCGCCGTACGGACCTGCGGCAGGCAGAGACGCTCGACGGTCGTTCGAAGGCGCCGGCGGGCCTTGCGGGAAGGGCACGCCGTGCGTTTGAGGTGGAGCAGCAGCTGCAGGAACAAAGTTGTCGTGCGGTGTAAAGGCGATCGGACCCGGAGAGGCCGACATCGCGCGCTGTGACGCAGCCCACTGGGCCGTAGGATCCATGATCGCCGCAAAGGGCTGCGGAGGTGCCACGTTCTGAACGACGTCCGGCGCAGCGCTGACGGATCGCTGGATGGAGTGACCTGTGGCAGCTGGCGGCGATACAAGACGGCTCGCATTCCAGCTGCTTTCCGCTGGGTTCCACTGAAGATGGCCGTCAGGGCTCATCATGAAAGGTTGAGCCTGCGAAGGAAGCTGGATCATACCTGGCGCAGTGCTGGCAGGTCTTGCGGCATCGGAGAGATGGCCAGAACCGGGCAGGACTGGGGCAGGAGACCAACCTCGCTCCGCGGCCAGACGTTGCACCTCAACCATGCCCACCGCCATGTTTGTCGCTAGTCCCTGTCGTTGGTTGCCATGGTGAGAAGGATGAGCGTGCTGTCCATGATGCTGATTATGCTGGTGGTGCTGGTGTTGTTGGAGCGGAGCCACATGACCGTGACCCATCGAGGAGCTTGGCCGTTGAGGCACCGAGTGCGATGGAGGTCCAGCGTGGAGACTATCGAGACCCTGCTGAGCCGGTGGTTGACCGCTCGCCGTGTGAGCAACGTAGACGGGGATCTCGATGGTCAGATCCTTGGCAAAAGAGCCGAGCAAGAGACTGACGAAAGCAAAAATCCGCACTTCGAAGAGTCTCGTCTTGCGAATGGTTCGAAGATCCTTCGGGACATCGACAGCGACTGTGCAGACCGACTCGGCATTCGGATCGAACTCATACTCGCGACCCTTGAAGGTCCGCTCATGGACGATCTCGGTGATGCGTGGTTCGAGCGAGAGCTTGTCTGGGCTGTCGTGGAAGCCTTCCGCGCTGCCGACGGGGAAGATGAGCCGTCGTGCGAGTGAAACTTTGATCCCACTGAGATGGCGTTTGGTGCTGTTCTTGATGCCACAACGGATGAGCATTTGACCGCCGCCCCAAAAGAGCTGCTCTGACACGCCCGCTTCGAGCCAGACAGCGCCGTTGCCGCCCATGAAGAGGCGCGTGTCCGCAACGGCCTCGGCCGGCTCACGGAACCTGGGATGGAGCTGATCTGCCCACTTTTCGAGGACGAACGCCTCCCGACGAGCGGTGACGACCATCTTGTCTTCGTTGTACCATGTCTGAACGGTGGCTTTGAGGCCATATCGGAGCGATGCGTTGCCGGCGAACTTGACGCAGGATGGGGCCGAGGAAGGTAGGCGGAAGCTGAAAGGGAAGGAGGTGCGACCTTTGCGAGCGGTCCAGTAGCCGTTGACGGGTGCAGCTGGCAGGACCGCATTGGAAGGGGGCAGCTTCTCGCCTTGAAAAAGGGTGCGATTGTAAAGGAAAAGCTGAGTGGCTGCATGATCGCGCGAGGTGAGCTGCTCCACTGCCTCCAGCTCGACGGCGATGTGCCCTAGACGAAGCCGCTGCCCCGTTGTGCAGGTCAGCTCCACCTTGCCGGTGATGGCTCCGCCGGCTTCAAAGACGTTGCTGGAGAGGATCACATCGATCTTGACCTTGGGATGCTTTGTCACCATGTTCATGTGGTCCTGCGTGCGGTCTCGCCGCTCTGTAGATTCCTCAAGACCCTCCACCTCGGCACCGTGGTGTGATGGGATTCGAGATGTAGGTGATATCGACTGCGACCGAGAAGCTGGCCGAGAAAGTGGGACGAGAGCATGATTGAGGGAGTCTCCAAGGGCGTCGATCTCGCTTGGCGGTGGTGGCATGCCAAGGTCGGGGTTCCAGGAGAAGGAGTTGCTGCGCTGAAGGTGCGGGTTCGGCATCATAGGCGAATGTGAAGAATCGTACGCTGAATACTGCGGATGATGAGGATGGTGGGGCTCTGTTGCAGAGGCTCGGCGGCTGCCGAGGTGGGAAGCGGGAGGCGCAAACATGCTTGAATGATATCGGTGGCTGTGAAGCGAATGTGCTTGTGGTAGATGTCGTGATACGTTGCTGTGCTCTTTGTCGTTTCGTGATGCGTCGTTCAGAGTCGTGATTGTAGTAAGACAAGTATCGAGACGGCGACCTGGTCCGGCGCTAGATGGATCGTTGCAATGCGGGTTCCTCTTCGAGTCGTGCTAGGAGGCTGCTGTGGAGGCTTGAGCGGGCAACTGAGCCTGGGTTCGAACAGGCGCTCTGCAGGCGAAGGCGCTATGCGCAGTATCGCAAGACACCTGGCTGAGCGAGTCGAGTTGGAGGTTTGATAGCAAGGACGGACCGCGAGCAAGCTAGCTGACTATGCAGCACCTCCATCAGCCCCGCTCAAGGCACAAGGCGGCAGACAGACATTACGTGGAAGACAAATCAACTCCGATGCACAGTTTGGCAGCTTTACACTTTCGAGACAAGATAGGGGCTGCACCAAGGGGCGCGCTCCAAGCGAATTTGACCGACTCAACTTCTCTTCTGCCAGACCAACACCGGACCCTGCTTCTACCTCACGCGCCCCTTCCTCGAAAATTCCAAACGTGTTAGACCTAGGGTGTAATGAAACGTCGCCTTTTGCCGTCGAACCACGGCCATCAATCATCGTCAACCGATCAGAGCGGCAGTCAACTGCGATGTATTATAATCTTGGACGTCAGACGCAGGCTCGAGGAGGTGTGAATGATCTCTGCGGCGCAGGTCCGGGCACCGACGTCTCATCTACGACTGCCATCATATAAGGTCTCACGGAGCTCGAGTCTGAGCCGGAGCTCCTCCTCACGCTCGCAACACTCTTGCAGCAACTCAAACACACCGCCCGCTGTCTTGGTCCGGAACCTTATTTCTCTTCGAGGCAAAAGCAAAAAACACATCACAACGAGGAGACGTAAACGAGAGGCAATACAATCTGCTTTTTGGAGGTGGGTGACCGATGTAGGTGGCGCAGATGGATTTTGAGGTTCGATCGTCTTCAGCGTCCCAGCTGGGACCCTTGGAGAAGCAAATCTAGGAAGCGAAGGTGTGTCGAGTGTAAGGATGACATGAAGTACGCGGATTGCGCTTCTGGAAGGTGCACAGCAATGCAATGGTCATCGTCCGTCGTGCGAGACGAGACTCGGTTGCTGGCTTCATCCTCGCGGCCAAAATTAGGCGAGCGAAGGGAAGGCGTTCTTGTCGGAGAGGTTGACCGACGAGTTGCCGCCACGGCCGCCGCGACCACCACGGCCACGACCAGCACCGCGCTCACCGCCGCGAGCAGCACCACGGCTGCCACCACGGGCACCGCCGCGGCCGCCACGCTGCTGGACAGCGGGCTGGCTGAAGGTCTGCTCAATCTCGAGCAGCTGCTTGCCCTCCTTCTTGGCACCGGTCTTGGCCTTCTGCTGCTTGGTCGAAGCAAAGTAGTCGGCCTCCTCTTTCTGGTGCTTGGCGAACTTGGCGTAAGCCGAGTTGTCGGCCACCTCACGGGGTGCCTTGCTCTCGATGTTGAGCTTCTTGCCAGCCTTGGAGGCGAGGTACTGGTCCAGGGTCATGGTCTTGTCCTCCTCCTCCTCGGGAGCCTTCTCGGCCTCAGCGGCAGGGGTCACAGCGGCAGCAGCGGCGACGGCCTCGGCGCCCTCAGCCTTGGCATCGGCCTCAGCCTTCTGCTCGTTGTCGAGCTCCTTCTCGCCATCCTCGCCACCCCAAGCCTGGGCGACGGCCTTGTCCGAGTCGACGCGGGCGGTCTGCGAGTGACGGTCGAAAGCACGGCCTCGGGGAGCACCGCGGCCACGGCCACCACGGCCACCACGACCACGGCTCTCGCCGTTGCGGCCGCGGCCAGCACGGGCGTCCTTGGGCTGGTCGCCCTCGACGGCGTCAGCACCGGCAGCGGCACGAGGAGCGCCGTTGCGGGCACCACCACGGCGCTGGTTGCCGCCGGCACCGGGGATGTTGCGCGTAGGCTGAGGAGCAGCAGCGGGGGCAGCAGCCTTAGCGGGAGCGGCCCTCGGGGCGGCGACGTCTTCACCGTCGTCTGTAGTCGGAAGCGTCATCGGAAAGCAAAGGTGGGGAGGAAATGTAAGCTATCGCGGCTCATTTGTTGAAGGTTGCTGCAGGCGTGGGAGAGCCCTTGGAGAGCATGCTGATGATCGTAGGATCGGAAGTGATTCCTGCGACGGCATGCGGCGGGCCGACTTGGCGATGGCCAGCATGATCTCCAAAGAATCGAATGTGCTGATGCTTACCACCAAGGATGGCGAAAGGGTTCTTGTTTGCGACCGACATGGCGTACGGTCGTCTTGAGTCCTTTCAGGGCGTAGACTGTGGTGAGAAGGCAGATAACAAGGGATAGCTGCGGGTCAGTTGTCGATGTTCTCGAAGTGAGGCCGACTCTGTGTCTGTCTTTGCTAGATCCGCCAGCTCCCACGGCAATGCTGCCGATTCCGCGTCTCTTTGCAGTACAGCGTGCTCCTTTCCTTCATCTCTGGATGGGCAAATGTCTGAACGACACACCCTGCGCGAAGCTGCGCCCAGAGCCAGACGAGCTTGTGACATTCCAGGTGCCGACAACCCGAACGAGCGATAGCTGGTCGGAAGGGTCGCTGATGTCGTCGAAGGCATGCCCACTCGGGGAAGACGGTGAGCGAGGGCTGGTCGAGCAAAACAGCTGACGAAGATGACCTCTAGCGCAGCAGCATGGCCGGAATAGGTGGTCACACCGAACAGCCGATGGAAAGTGCGACGACAGGCGAGACGCGCACGTTGCCGGAGAAGCTGGATGCCGAGGGCAGCGAGAGACGGAGCATGACGATGTTGCAGGCGCGTTGATGTGAACTAACCTTCTGCAAAGGAGCGAAACGCGGGAGAGTTCTGTGTAGGGAGCAAGAGAAAGTCGCGAAATGTCGATGGAGAGGTCGAAGGAGACAAAGTCAGCAGGCTGTTGATATCGGACGGAGACCCTGTCGGGACTTCTCGAGCTTCGGTAGCTGAGAGCAATGGATGCCATGAACGGTCTTAGGCTGAACAGTGTTGATCTAGCGTCACGCAACCAGGTGTGACACAGTTGAAACCGCAGCTCGCTCTTCCGACGTGCCAGTGCTCTGAAGTCGATCGTGATTCTCGAGCTTGACATCGATTGGCGTGACTGCCGATGATGAGCTCGGGAGTAACAGACGATGATCGTTGGCGTTGCAAGTCGTCGAAGAGCGTGCTAAAAACTTCGACTGGGTGTCGAGTGCCATTGCCCGGACGCCGAGAGCTGCTGTTTTCTGGTTGCTGAAGCTGTCCTTGGTGCGGTTGCCTCTACGTTGCTGCTGAAAGGGTGACACGTACTTTCCTGTAGAGTAGGAAGATGTAGGAGACGAAATACTGGAAGTATAGGGTGAGAGAAGGAAGCCGAACAACAAAAGCCTGGTGTCAGACGCACTGAGCGAGCCGAAACGACGACGACGAGGCAGAGCTTCTGTTGCCTGCTCGTCTGCCTCTGTTCGGGCAGTTGGGCCTTCTTGCTCGCTCCAAAGCGGCCTGCTGTTGCTTTTCCTTCCTTCCGCTTCAGGAAGACTCAGACGAGCTTTTTCTTCCTGCCTGCCTGGTGAGGCTTTTCGCTGGAGCAATACAATCCCAAGGCATAGCATATTCAGAAATTTCAAAGCTGGTTGGGAGACAATTCAATTTCAGCCAGGCTCGACAGCAGTTGAATTGAGCGCATAAGGTCGAGGAGGTCGATCAGCTCTTCGTACGGAAGAGAGCTATGGACAAGCATGACCCTCACGTTCGTACATGCCGAATAAACTCTTTCCTGCTCCCTCTGCAGGCTCAGAGATGATCGAAACAAAGCTGTCCGCACACGTCCAAGCCAAGACGAACGTGCCGAACGGTCATACAAGGGCTACCTTCGATGCGTGGAAGGTAGCTTTCATGTCGAGAACCCGGCTGTTCGAAATGACCGCAGTCACGAGAGCACCTGTTCGCAGGACTGTGAGAAGGAGGTCTTAACATCTCAGCAATCATCCATCGGCTGCGACAACCTTGCTTGCCTGTCATAGTGTCGAGGTCCGGCCACTTTCATGTCCACGGTTAAGCAGTGCGTCGGAAGCTGCGGGTCGAAGTTCTCAAGATCAAAGCAGAGACAAGCAAAGCATGCGGTCTGAGAGGCAACGAGGCACGATGGCCAATGATGATATTTTGGTCTTTCCTAGCAAGGAAAGGTCGCGAGCGCGCATGTGAAGGTGTAGTACATGGTGTAGAATGCAAAAGACAATGCAACATACGACGACGTCGCTGAAAAGAGGCGCAGTCGAGATGGACTCAACATGCGAATGAAACTAGAAAGGGGGAATGCAGGGAAGCTGGGGGTGAGAGTGAGGGCGAGAGATGCAAAAGGGGGGATGATCGCAACCGACCCGAGCGCTTAGGCCTGGACGTCGGCAGCGGGGGCAGCCTGAGCCTGAGCGGGGGCGGCAACCTCGGCGGGGGCGTTTCGCGACTCGGAAACGGGGGCGAGGATGGGGGCCTCCTCCTTGGGCTCGAGGATGGTGACCGCGTCGGGCAGAGGGAAGGGCTTGCCGGCGCGTCCCTCGGGGTCCCAGCCCTGCATGATCTTGACCTTGATGCCGAGAACACCCTGCTTCATGAGAACGTGACGAACAGCCTCGTCGACAAAGTCCTTGACGGGCTGACCGGAGTGGATCATGAAACCGTCGGTGAACTTCATCGACTTGGCACGGGCAGCACGCAGCTTGCCCGAGATGACGACCTCGCAACCCTTGGCGCCGGACTCCATGACGAAACGCAGGACACCGTAGGCGGCACGGCGGACGGCAAGACCACCAAGCAGCTTGTAGCGGAGCGACTCGCACTGGGCGACGGCGTGGAGACCGCGGTTCTGCACCTTCTCGGCGTAGAGCTCGAGCGAGTTGTCGGGGAACTTGAATCGCTTCTGGACGAGAGCGGTGAGCTCGCGGATGCGGCGACCCTTGTCACCGAGAACCTCCTGGGTGTGGGTGGCACGGATGATGATCTCGGTGCGGGCGTGGGTGACACGGACCTCACAGCCAGAGTATCCCTCCTCGGAGAGCTCACGAGTGAAGAACTCGTTGAGCTCGGCGGCGAAGACACCGTCAGCGACAAACTGTGGGCGAGGGAAAGGAAGGGAGGGTCAGATGCTGTTGCGTTCGAACTTGCGATGTCGGAAAGGTCTCTCTGTTCTGCCCCGTTGCGTGGCTCTGCGGTGTAGGCCTCGCTGATCCGCTGGATGCTGAAGGTTGTCGTGTTGTTGCGCTGGCAAGGCTACGACACGCAAGCAATCGTGTCGAAACCGTCTGTGTGCTGAGTTTCGATCGTCGATGGCGACGCGCAACGTCGAAGCGATGTGTTCTGCCTTCCGCCTCCTCGCATGGTCCTGTATCTTCAAGCCTATGCTGAACGTTCCCATCAATCGCCGATGTGTGTCCCATAAGCCACCAACCGAAAAACCAAGCCGAACCTGAGCTGCCAATCATCTGCACATCGAATGTCAAGTCGCAGGCAAGAGCGTTGTAGGAGGGCGGCACGCTTCCAAGACTTCGATGCGAAAATGAGCTGTCTCCCACCAAATCGAAGTGCTGGAGCGTTGTCGAAGGTCCAATGCGATGCATCTGATGCTGATCAAGATCCTGCGTGTCATGTGTCCGTGCTCTCCATCTCCCTGGCCTGGGCTTTCTTTTCCATCGACATGCCACCCAGAACTATCTTTGCTATGCTGACAAACCGGCATATTCTGCTGCTGATCGACGCATCGTATATTGCATGCGTGCTGCCGTTGATGTTGGTGCAAGCTGATCCCACAACGCAGAGCGCACAACAGGTCTGTGCGGACAGAGAGAGCTTCGTGTTGTCGATGTCTTACCTTTCTCTTCTTGGAAATCTGAGCGGAAGCCATCTTGATGATATGTAGTTGGTGGTTGGAGAGAGATAGCGACGACGACCTCGAATTGTTGAACCCCGCAGGCTTGCACTCAGACTCGCTCTGCGCCTCCAGGATCTGCAGCCCTCGTTCGCTGGTTGGCTGCTTGGTTGACCTCTGATGCGAAGAATTCAGCACTCACTGCGCTGTACAACCCAAGAAATTCCCAACGCCTGCTGGTCGCTTTGCGCGCAAGGGTGTGAACGAGTGGCAGCTCTCGCTCGCTAGAAGCGATTTTGCAAGACTTCGGCCGAAGTCAAAATTGGCTTCACGTGGTTGATGATCAAGATCTGGGCGCCCATCTAAGCCCGATCATGTGTGACATCTTGTTATCGAGGGTCTAACATCTTACTCTTTAACTCGCACAAGCCACCGCGAGCCAGATAAGCTGCAGGGTCCAAGGCGGCAAGCGTGCTGCTGCTGAGTCTAGGTTAACAGCTCTGCTCTCGAATCACCTGCTCTCCTCTCTGATCACCTCCTCTCCTCTCGACGAGAGCTCAACCAGCCTTCCTCAACGGAACGCTGCTCGGGCATCATTCCCAGCCATCGACTATCCGCGTCACATCATCTTGGCCCCAGCATGGCGCCGTCAAGAAAAGCCTCGCATGCAGGCAGCTGGTACTCCTCCTCGCCTTCGCAGCTGCGCACGCAACTCACATCCTGGCTCTCCGCAGTACCCACTACGCTCCCCTCTCCACTCTCTGTCTGCCAACCTTCCCCTTCCTCGTCTCCTCTCACGCTACCGATCCCGGGCAGTCGAGCGATCATCGCCCCGCACGCGGGCTACTCCTACTCCGGTCCCGCCGCCGCCTACGCCTACTCGACCATCGACACCTCCACCATTTCGACGGTCTTCATCCTCGGACCATCGCACCACGTCTATCTGGACGGATGCGCGCTCACTGCCTGTCACTCCTACGAGACGCCGCTCGGCCATCTGCCCGTCGATCGTGCGCTCACCGCCGAGCTCGCCGCCACCGGCAAATTTTCCACAATGACCCAGCAGGAAGACGAAGATGAACACTCGCTCGAGCTTCACCTGCCCTACATCCGACATGTTTTTCCATCGCATATCAAGATCGTTCCTATCCTGGTTGGCGCAATCAACACGGCGAAGGAACAAGAGTACGGCAAGGTGTTGGCGAAGTATCTGGCGGATGAAAAATGCTTCTTTGTGGTCTCGAGCGATTTTTGTCATTGGGGTAGCCGGTTTAGGTATACACTCTACAGGCCGATTTCGGGCCCGCCGATCAGCCTGACAAGTAGAAATGCGAGGGAGGCGACGCAGGGAAAGGAGATCCATCAGAGCATCCGCGAGCTCGATGAGGCCGGCATCCTGGCTATCACCCACCCGTCGTGCCCCGCCGGCGAGAAGACGGCAGAACAGGCACGGGTCGAATTTGCCGCCTATCTTAGGGAGACCAAGAACACCGTCTGTGGAAGGCACCCCATCGGCGTACTGCTTGCTGCCCTCGCGGAACTCGAAAGAGCAGGAACGGCGACAGAGTGCAGGTTCACCCGCTACGAGCAGTCGAGTGCCTGTCTCAGCGTCGCCGATTCCAGTGTTAGCTATGCTAGTGCCTTCGTTCGCGTTCGCGAGTAAGACGCACTTGGGGTAGGAGCGGTGTGGTAGTGTTGTCGTTAAGTTTCTTGCATGCATTGTCTCCCGTCGTCTCCCTCGCATTCTCATCTCGTCCTCAATGAACAATCACATCTCAAGGTCAAACAGCTGCTGCTGCCGCACAAAACGCTTGACCAGTAAAACATGACATTCGCCTGACATTCGCGCTCCTCACATGGACTGACCCTGTTGTGCCGCCTGGTTCTGCAGCTCCTGCAGCTTCTCGGCCAATCTCTGTGCCTCATTGACAATGACGGCCTCGTCGACCCAGGTGCCCTTGAACGTCTCTGCTCTCCTCATCTCCTCCGCAGTAAAGCTGGCCACGCTGCCCGCAGCTCCCGGGGTGGTACTGTTGCCGAGAATCGCATCCAGATCCCGCGCCTGGCTAGCGATCCACGTTGTCAGCTGACCCTGTGGATCCTTGGCAAAGCTCGCCAGGAAGTCCCTCGCGCTCGCTCTGTTCCGAATGGTCGCTGCAGCTTGGGCAATCTTATCGTCCAACTCGCCGATCTCCTTGGCCGTCGCATCGTTCGCCCCATCAAACTGCGCAAGCACGTTGTGCTGCTTCTGTCGAATCGCCAGATCCTCTAGGTCGAGCTCGATATCGTACGCCGTCGAATGCTTGTACTCCGCCTTGTCGGTGCGGATCCAGTACTCGAGCACGATAGGTTGCGCAGGGTGCAGGTGGCGATTGACAACTTCGGGCATGTGGTGAAAGTTGATGGTTTCCGTGTTGAAGAGCGAGCGCAGCGCCGAGTCGCACTTGACCTTTTTGCGATCTGTTTCGTCGAGTAGCTTCTTCTCTTTGACGTACGACCAGAGGGCCGAGATCACGCCGGCGCGCGATTCTTCCCGGATGTCGAGCAGGGATGCGAGTTCGGGAGAGAGCGAGTAGCGTTCCGGGGTGTAGGCGGGATAGAGGACGATCTTGACTTTGGTCGGCACGTTGCCCTTGCGCTTGATCTCAAAACCGTCCAACGCGGGTTCGGCACTGGCGACCAGCGGCGCCTCCATACCCTGAGTGCCGCCGAGACCGCCTGCACCACCGCCAGCTTGCATGCCGCTAGCCGGTGCCACGGAAGACACGGGACGGTGCCACTCAACGATGTTGCTGCCGTCGGGATAGAGGCTCGCGTCGCGCATCAGCTCGACAACGCAAGTTTTGATCAGGTTGCTGAACTTTTGTGCGCCGGTGCGATTAATGCTCGCCTGCGCAGAGAGCGCAGTATTGGCTCGAGACTTGAACGAGGGCTCCAAGAGTCGGCCCTCGATACGAAGCGTCCACGACGGCACAGCATCTTCCTCCTTGCCGTCAGCCCCTTCTGTCGCGCCTTCCGCCTTGACATCACTAGCTTCTCCCGCGTCGGCACTCGTGCTGGCATCCTTGCCCTTCTGCTTTTCTGCGAGCTGGAAGGGCTGGTTGGAGCACGTGTTGCTGAGGAAGATGCGCAAGGTGCGCTTGATCTTGGGCGGTCGCGACAGGCCATCGGTAAGCTCGGCGCGTTTCCTCGCTACGGTCCAGTCGAGGTTCTTCTCCATGCGCTGAAGGTCCGAGTAGAAAGCCGATTCGGGCACTTGACGCTTCAAGGAAGGTGGCAGGCTACGATCGGTTGGGCGGCCGCGCTTCAAGCCGCGGAAGCCTTGCCCCACCAGAACGTCCTGCGCATTCTTTCGTCGGAGCGTGTGAGCTTGTTGCTGTGCTTGTGCCTGCGCTTGCGCCTGTGCTTGTGCTTGCGCCATTTGCATTTGCATCTGCATCTGCATTTGATGCTGGGCTTGTGCCTGCGCCTGCGCTTGCGCTTGGTTCATCTGAGCTTGGGCTTGAGGGTCCATCCTGAACTGGGCGTTCGGGTTCGAACTCCGTGGTGGGTAGGGGTGGTAGGCGAATGCGTGTCTCAGCTGCGGGTGCTCAGAGTTGACACCACGATAAGATGCGCTGGATGCTACGGGATGTAGTGGATAGGACGGCGACGAGACCTGGCGCTGCGGAGACAAGTGCGTCTGTTGCGCAGGTACAAATGCCTTTGGATGAGCGATGGGTCCTACTCGCGGCTGTGCAGGTGCGAGGAAGGCTTGCTGTGCGTGAAGATAGGCCTGATGATGCTGCTGTACGATCTCGGGCGGAACGTACTGAGGAGGAGGAGAATAGACAACGGCCGGTGTAGAGCCTCGCGGCCAGGATGGTGGTCTTGCAGCGGTCAGTTGCTGGGAATGAGGCACAATCAAGCCTGGCGAAACAGCTGCCGAGAACTGTGCCGGAACGGGTGTCCGCTGATGAGGTAGCTGTGGTTGACTGTTGGCAAGAGGCGAGCTCAAGTATGGCGCGTGAGTGTACGCAGGAAGAGCGTGAGCTGAGGCTAGACAATCGGGAAAGGCGGTGCTTTGATCGAGGGCAGCAGAGCCGGCAGATCGAGAGCGAGAGAGGGCCCTTGCCTTTTTGGGTGCAGGTGAGGCCTTGGGAGCTGTGTCAACAGATGTGCTGGCACGTTGTGAAGCTGAGGAGGATCTCGTGGCACGGCGTCGAGCCGGAGCGCGCTTCTTGGGACTAGTTTGCGGTGAAGCAGGAGGATGCGGCGAAGATACCGAAGGGATCGACGAGGTTGCAGGCGAAAGGGAAGACGATACTTCGCGTCCGCTTTGCTCGACTGGCTGCTGCTGCTGTCGGGATGTTGGTGGTGGGGAAAGAGGTGAATCTGGCTGGTGTGAAGGCTCTAGCGCGACAGCGGAAGGAGTGTGAGCCGAGGCGGAAGTGGATGCGGGTTCGACAAGATGGTGTGATGGTTGAGGCGAAGGTTGAGAATGGAGATCACGAGCATGTTGGTCGGACATGGCCATCCAAGGTTGGCCAAGCTTCGCGCCTGATCCCACGCCAAAGAAAATCGCAAGATGTGAGATCGCTTCGACCACGTTTCGCGCTTTCTTGCCTCGCGTCTCTCTTATCGCTTAGGCCAATGCGCGATGAGTGTCGATGAAACAGCGCTCAGATGTCGTCCCGAGCTGTAGACAGCACAGCGGCTTCGTATGTAGAGCCGGAACTGCAGATGACTGAAGGTCCTGTTGGTTCGCTGCTTTTTGTCTCAAGCAAAACGGATGCCGCCAAAAGGATTCAGAGAGCTACAGGCTCAGCGAGAGTCCCGCCAACTTTCGGTGCGTAGGCCTGAGGCTGTACCGACACTGGTCGAAAGCCACCTTGCTTCCATCGACCTTGAGCTCAAGACAGCCTTACTCCTGCTGCGTAGCTTTCGAGCAAGATCGCGTGAGGAAAGTTCTCACGGGAGGAGGAGCGGGCAAGGACCAATTCTGCCAGATCGGGCGAGGCGCTCTGGCGGGAGGCTCTCAGTCTCAGGGACTTCAAGAGGATATGCGGATCGGGGAAAGCGGTCCCAACGTCGACGAAGACCAAAGCCGGCGGGAGGTGGCCTTGTGGATCGACCGGAGGAACCTCGAATCGGGTGAGCAGCTGCAGCGGTGAGCGTACAGGGGGCGTGCCAGCTGACGGAGGACAGCTTCTGGGCGTGTACGCGGGTATGCTGGGCCAAGTAGATGTCTGAGTGGGCGGGGCTCGGCAGGCGATGAGGTGAATGAGTGAGCGAGTGGACAGAGGCCGAAGCGAGCTGTCGGCCAACGCACCCGCATTTCAAGGGCCGCTCAGCCAATCGCCAGCCAGTCGCGTCTCCGCGATTGAGGTGATCGATTGTAATTCGTGCGAGTGAGCCTCGCAATTGACGATCTCACATCGCGACTCCATTATCCCTCTCTCTGATCTCCTCTGCCCTGCACGACTCGTCGTCCAGCGAGTTTTGAGCGTTACTTGGAGCGTAGAGCCTCGCTGTAGCTTAAAGGTAGTCCAGACGATCGCAAACATGAAGGCGAGCTCGGTAGCAACGCTGCAGCTCGCAGTCCGACGGCATATGCTGCGCTGCATTTTCGACGAGCTAAAATTGGACGGCTTCGAGAGCCGGATCGACAACACAGCTCGGTGCGGAGGAAAAGTGTTGGGTTGGCAAGCGAGCAGGTGAGGTCATTTCCCTGGTTGGGCGTGCGTGAAAAGCATGCCGTTGCGCACAGTCCATAACCCCCCGCCTTTGGCTAGCCCACATCAGCGTCCTCGCCATCCACCTCTCTCACCTTTACCTTCACCAGGAACTTACATCCGAACAACAACACCTCGAAGTTCACACGCAACATGTCTGCCGAAGCCAAGTTCAACAAGGCCGTCGAGATCGTCGGCTCGCTCCCCAAGGACGGCCCCGTCCAGCCTACCCAGGATGACCAGCTCAAGTTCTACGGTCTGTGAGTAGCCACAGGCCGGCAAGAAGCCTCAACCTCGCTGTGTAAGAGCTATTGGTGGACTGACGTTTATGTTCTCTGTCTTCGATCGGCATTTGTGATGAACAGCTTCAAGCAGGCCAACAACGGTGACTGCGACACCAAGAAGCCCGGCATGTTCGGTAGGTTGCCCCTCTCTCGAAAGCGAGCGACTCGTGAGCATCGGTACTGACTCTTCGTCCCTCCTCTCGTGCTGCTACCAGACCTGACCGGCAAGTACAAGTGGGAAGCCTGGAACAAGAACAAGGGCATGTCCAAGGAGGAGGCCCAGCAGGCTTACGTCGACGCTTTCCTTGCTGTACGTACCAACCCCTCAACCTTTTTAGATGACCACAATCATGAGACGACACTGACCTTGACCATGCTGCCGCTTTGCGTTTGATCCTTGTCGCCAACAGATCCTCAAGAAGCACGAGGGTAAGTTGTGCCCAAGCAGGACCGGCCCTTACACACGCACACAAAGGCAAACTTTACTCACACTTCCTGTTATCCGTTTCCTTCTACAATCACAGACGAGGGACCCGAGGCCGCCGAGTGGATCAAGAAGATCGAGGAGGCCTAAACGCCGACTTTCTCCGAATCGTCATGGCTCAAGAGCTCTGCTTCTCTCAAGTTGCTCCATGGTCGAATCCTCAATTGGCTTTAGATACCATAGCCCACTGTGTAGCTCCGAGACGCATGGTGTGACCATCGCGTGAAGTAGAGCTGTGCCGTGAGTACGTGTGTGCGGCTGTCGGTGTGATGCGAAGAGCAATGCCGTTAGTGAGCTCAATTGGTGTTCTGTACGTCATTCCTTGTGCGGGGGAAACGAACGCGGAAAATGCAACCAAAAAAGGTGGCTCAGAAAACAAGTTGAGCCAACGCTCATCACCCGAGCCACAACTTTCACATCAAAACACACGACGATGGGCCAAGGTGATCACAGTTCAGATTGCAACAGAGAGCACCGACGGAGGCCAAGACTGATGTATGACGGAACGACTTTTCTTTTTCGCTTGTTTTCCTTCTTCACGCCTGCTGACTCGCCGCGTCGAGCGCCTTCTGCGCAAAGAAGCGCACATCCGCATCCGAGTCCTCCTTCAACTTGTCGAGTGCGGGCGAGATCTTGGTCTTGATCACCTCCTTACCCTCGGGCGTCTTGACCAGCACGCTCGACAGCACCTCGAACGCCTTGGCCACATTGAAGCGGATGTTGGGGATCGGGTCGCTCACCATGGGCAGCACGGTTTCGAGCACGTCGCCCGTAATGGCGGGCGTGTCGAGCGACGGCGCCATCGTCGTGATCGCAAAGATGGTCGTCATGCGGTACAGGTAGTTCGGGTGCGTGCCCATTTGGAGCACCTTGGGAATGATCGTCTGCCTCGCCCACTCGACACCAAAGACATCCGTCAGCTTCTTGAGGTTGACCGTGGCCGCTTCGCGGATGCTGAACACCGTGTCACCCAGCCACGACATGCACAGGTTGCTGAGCTGCTCGTCGAAGAACTGCACACCAAGCTGGTTGGCCAGCAAGGGGATGTACTCGATGATCGCCTGTCGTACGCGCCACTGCTTGTCCTCGGCCAGCTCGACGATGGCAGGAAGCAGCGACTGCGAAAGCAGGTCGATGCCAATCACCTCGTTGACCTGCTCCAACTTCGAGATGATGTTGAGACGCACGTCTGGGAACTCGTCCTTGAGCAGTTGCAGGAACAATGGCAGCAGGTGCTCAATGGTGGCCTCCTTGCCGAGCAAAGGTGCCAACCCAGAGATCTGCATGCCCAGCGCGGCGCGAACGTGCTGAGAGTTGTCACCGGCAAGATCGCGCACGCACGGCATCAGACGCGCCAAGATGATGTCCTGGTCGACAAGCTTGGCAAAGCCAGGGATCTGACCGGCACCTGCTGTTCGCACCTCGGCCTCGTTGTCCTTGAGCAGGTGGACAAAAGCCATGACGAGCTCGTCTCGCACCACATCCTCACCCACCGCCGAGGCCAACTTGACAAAATGGTCGGCGACCATGTAACGTACCCTCCAGCTCTTGTCCTGGACGGCGCTGCGGATCGAAGGGAGAAGGTAGTTCTTGGACTCGTCGTGGCTGAGCGATTCTGCAATGGCGATGAGGTCCTGAACGGTCAGCAAACGGACCGAGTCCTGGTCGTCCGAGGACAGTTTTCGGTAGAGGGGAATGATGTCGGAGACGACCAGCTCCTTGGAGAGGTTCTTTGCGAAAGGACCGAGATCGCGTGCGGCGGCTCGTCGGACCATGGGGGTATCGTCGTTGCAGAGGGCGGTGAACATCTTGCGCAGCTCGTCCTGGGTCGCTGGCTTGGCTTTCGGGTAGACTGCGGAGAAGAGGGAAGTGGAGCTGGTTCGCGATGTGAACCAGTCGCCTCCCGAGAGTCGCTTCAGCAGTGGAATGTACTGCTCTTCGATCTGAGATTCGGAGAGGACTTCGGCGATCTTGACAATCGATTCCGCTGCCTATGGAGGTGCAAGGGTCGTAGAGCGAGACAGTGATCAAGACGAGAACAGATGTGTACCGAGTCAGGCGATAGGTTGCACGAGCGAGATGAAAGTCAGGAGAGGGTGGTCAGATCACTGTTTGAACGACAGAGACAGCCTGACCTCAAGGCCGGGATTGGTCTGCTTACCTTTTCACGAACAACACTCTCTTCGACAGCAGCAAGGTTCTCGAGAGGACCAAGCAAGAGGTGCGCATATGATGGACCGCCAAGGTACTCTACGAAACCGGAACCAAGCTCTTGTGCCAGAGCGAGCAGGACTTCATCTTCGTCATCGAGCGAGTCCTGCAAGAAGGGAATGAGCTCGTCACGGGCGCGCTCTGGGCCGAGTGCAAGTGCAATGGTGGAGATGCGGTGGATGGCGTTGAGTCGAAGGGTGACATCGTCCGACTTGAGCTCATCGATCAAGATGGCGATGGGGAATAGCTGCTCGTCGGCCTCCATTGTTGCGATGTATGTGCTGGATGCGTTTGTGCTAGGGAGAAGATCGGCGTGGTATGGCTGCTTGAGCCTCTATGTTTCTGGTTTGCGTCACGTCTGGAGCGGGTTCGGTGGGGTTACTTGGAGCTAGGAGATGACCGAAATGTTGTGTCGAAATCGATGATCGAAGAGGAGGCAAGTCTCGTTCCTCAAGCTGCAGTAGGAGTTGTGCGTACAAGAGTCGATGCTGCTGCCGATGAAGATCGTTTCGAGGTGCCGATGCCAACAAAGACGAGAGGTGCGAGTATCGATAGAAGACGGTATGGAAAGGTGGTGGAGAAGAAAGTGGAAGAATAGGACAACACGACGATTGACGCGATGGTCCAGCCGCGCTTGCTTTGCAGAAGGCACACAACAAAGCAAGACTTGCGCCTTTCTCGCCCTTGTCAGCCTGTGCCAGCCACTCACCCTCACACAGCCAGCGCCCGTGCGTAAGGCCATTTTAAATACAATTTGCTGGCCCGATTTCAACTTTGCCTTATCATTGCTTGGTCCTTGTATTCTTCTTGCTACTCTTCCTTGCTTCATTTTGGCTCGACTCGTGTGGAAATGGCCAAATCTCAGACTTGACGCGAGCGACTTTGACAGGCGTCAGAGGCAAAGCTCTCTCCCGCCATGCGTTCACCTTCTCATACCATCTGGGTTCTGTGATGGCGACAACGCAGAGTCTATCAGCATTCAGCTGCTACCAGGGTATCGATTACAGGCAGAATGGACTCGCGCAGTGCAGAATACAACGTGCAAGAGTGACACAGAGCGATACGTTACTCGACCTTCTCCAGATGCAAGTCAGCATAGACGCTCTCGGTGGGTGTCTGCCAGGCATGTCTGGCCTCGTCGAAAAGCGGCTTGAAGGCAAACTGAAGCTTCTCGCGTCGGTCCATGGCATTGACCACATTCTCCGGTAGCTGAGGTCGCACAGGTCCGTTGTAGGGTGCGCCTCCAGGTTGAGGCGTGCCACTTGCAGACTGAACACCGTTGGCGCCTTGCGAGAGATGCGAGTCGTCGTGGTAGGTATGACCGCCCTTCTTGCGCTTGCTCAGACTGGCCTTGATCTGACGCAGACGCTTGGTCCACCCCAGCTCGATCTCCTTTTCGACCGAGTTGAGGCAGTTGAGGTAGTCCTGGTAGGCCATTCGATCCTTGGCGATGCCAAACAGTCGATCCTTGCGCATCTCGTTGACCTTTTGCTGACGCGCCAGCTCGCGCTGCACCATCCTCAGCGTGGTCGAGATCTCGTCGTCGGCTCGTGTCGACCAATCCAGGCTCTCGTCAGCGCCGAGCACTTCGAGCGCCTTGAGCTCCTTGGCGATCCTCTCTTCGAACGTCGCCATGTCCTGGTCTTGCATGACACCCTCAAAGTCCATGTCGGGTTCGCCCTCCGCATCATCGTCGTCGCCGTCCTCTTCGTCGGGTCGAGCGTGCCCGTTGAGATTGACAAGAATCGAGGGCGGAAGCGCGGATCTGGACTCCGCTCCGAAGCCGGTTGCAGACGTATTGGGATCGTCGTTGTCTGCGTCGTTGTTCGAGGGCAGCAGGGAAGCGACCAGCCGTTCCGCCAACGGTCCGCTGCGAGCATCCACGACCGTAGGCGATTCCAAGCCCAAATGCTGATCCGACATCTGCTGAACCCTAAAGGGCGGAGGAGGAGGAATCTCGAGCTCCTCGCGTGCAGCGTGATCTTGCGTCTTGTCGTCTGCGGTGCTGTTCCTAGCTGCTGCCAGGGCGGTCACATCGAGCGGGAGTCCCATTCCAGCACCCAGGCTGACGGACGGCGAGCGCGAAATGGCAGTGAGGGGAAGGCCGTACGCATCGACGGCTCCACTGGCGATCAATGCTTCTTCCTCCTCCCAGATCTCCTTGTAGTGACGGCCGAGCGGTGGCATGTGGAACGGCTCGTGGTCGTCCGACTTGCTCGAGAGCCACGCCAGGTCGTCCTCGGTCAGCGTCTTGAAGAAGGCGTCCGCATAGTTGTAGAACGTGTTGATCGGTGTCTGCTGCAAGTCTCGGCCTCCTCTTCTGCCGGCAGTAGCCTCCTTGACCATGCTTTGGCCTGGGCCAAGACCAATTGGCGTGCCTGGTCCGACACTCTCGCGCTCGAGCAAACGATCGCGTTCGCGCTCCTTCTCCTTCCAGTCCTTGTCTGCAAAGTTCTCGTTCACCTCGCCAGGCTTGGTTGGGTAGCCTCGTGGTTTGCGTGACCTTTCCAAGCTTGGCATAAAGGTAGCTGGCGTGCGAGCCGGCAGCTCCCAGCCTGGCGCGGGCTGAAAGATGATCGGAGGAGCGACGGGCAAGGCTGAGTGAGGAAGAGGCGTCGAAGGCAACGGAGAGGGCGATGGCAAAACGCTGTTGCGCCTCGTTGAGACTTGTGTCGAGTCGGATGCCTTCCTTGGCAAGCCCGGGGCGTTGTGAGATGATGCGGTTCCGGCATTGGCCTTGAGACGCATTCCGATGGCGGGGATCTTGGGTGTGCCAGCACCGCCGGACGACGTGCCGACATCGGATCCGCCACGGGAAGCGATGGCACCTGCAGCTGTTACGGCAGCAGCTGCTGAGCGCGCTGCAACGCTGGAAGCCGACGCGCTACCAACGTGCTTCGATGTGGCAGAGCCTCTTGCCGAGCCTGCTGCACCGAGCAGAGCACCAGCCTCGAATTCTGAGCCGGACTCGTCCTCGTTCGAGTCGGCGTCAGCATCCCTGCGCTTGCGCTTCTTGTTCTTTGCGTATGTCCGCCCCGGTCGACTTGGCATCGAATCTTCGTCCAGATCCCACTCGGGATCGGTCGACGCTACACTCTCGTCATCTCCGCCCACATCCAGGCTGTGGCCCCTCGCTGCTTTGCTCCGAGGATTTGCTTTGCCGGCTGCGCCTCCGAGCTTGTGCGGAGACCTCGCCTCCGAGTATAGGAAGGAGCTGGCCGGGGCGCTGTCATTATCTCTCTCTCGCTTGATCTTGATCTTGTTCGTAGCTCCAGCGGCTGCGGTTCCGTTCAGATTGGAGCCCGAGGCGGAGGGAGCGGGAGAGGCCAAGGAACGCTCGCGAGTCTTGGTGTTCTTGGAAGCGGACGAGGAAGCAGATGGTGTTGACTTCCGGGCCGAGTCCGAGTAGAGACTCTGAGCGGCACTCGCGAGACCAGCGAGACCAGGCGGGCTGAAGAGGTCATTGGGTGCTGAGAAGAAGATGGGCTTGACTGGGTCGGCGGATCGAGATTCGAGGCGAGAAAGGCGTGCAGCTGATTCGGCTTTGATCCTGCTGAGGTGTTTCGCTAATGCCGAGAGCTCGTCGAGCGACGGTATTGGTTCGTTGGGCGAGATGTTGGAGAGCTGTGCGGGCAGGAACTGGCGATAGAATGGTGCGTTGCTGCCGGTGCGAGATGCCGCTTGGATGCTACTGCTCGAGGAGGTGCCCGCATCGCGATTCGCTCTTGAGAGCGCCGTGCTCGAATCTTTGCCTCCCATGTTGATCGGACCCGAAGACGACCAGTCTGTCTATGCGAGGCTTCCACGGCTACTAACTCCAAAGCGTGTGTTGGTCCTTCCGTCGGTCCGAAACGAGGGCGATGGGAGCGTTACAGTACGAGACGTTGCGAATGATTGAAGGAGCACTCTGATGCTGATAAAGCGACGGCGTGATCGTGTGACTTGGGCCCACTCGCGTCAAGAACCAGGGTCCAGTCGGGCGTCTGCAGATGGCACGCTTTGGAAGCGGTTCGAGCAAGATGCGGAATGAAGCCCGGCTGTTGAGAATTGGCGCAACAGTACCGCTGCAGATGAAATGCAGAGACCTGATACCGTCGACGCCCAGCCGAGATGATCCTGGCGAAGTGTTGGTGGTGGAGATCTTCGAAGGTAAATACAAACACTCAACCGAGTCGCGTCGACGTTCTTACCGATTCCCAACGGACCAACAGCCAATTCCGACTTCCAGGCTAGGAACTCAGTCGGCCGATTTGGAAAACGAAAATATCAAGTCTAACAAACTGGCAAAAACGCCTTTTGCTAATTCGACAGTGACACTCAGTTAGCTCGGCACGTTCCCATCGTTGGCTGATGTTGAGCAAAGGGGGCTGCGACGGAACGTGCAGGACGGCAGGGGAATCTGAGAGATGCAGAGCTGCAGCGCGGGGCAGGAGCGAGCGTGCATGTTTCATTCCCAATTGTTTCTTGTCAGACTGTTCAGCTGTCGAGCTGGCAAAGGAGTTGAGCCGGTAACTTGCCGATAACATGACGCTCTCAGGCGCTCAATTCGTGCCTCTCCTGCAGGTTGTCTCCGCTCCCACGCGCAGTGCATCTCTCCACTTTTCTCGGCCTGCCAATCTCGGGTCCATGAGCTGAGCAGGAGGAGGAGGAGGATTGGAATATTTTCCCTTGAGCAGACGGCAGCGCATTTACAGACACACGGGTCAATGCAGCAAAGCTCGCTCAGCTGATGGACCTGCGACTTGCGAGAAGGTGGACGGACCACAACGTCATTATTTATTCGAGGTCTCCAACAAAAGTCACAACAGCACAGCGCAGTCTCGAGAGCAAACAAACCCAACGCTGTCCACTGAAACTGTGCCTCATATCCAATTCACTCCTGCACGCACCTAACCTTGCATTGACCTTCATCATCATCTCGACCAACGTTGTGATCACCTCAGTGTTATACCCTTTCTCTCGGCACGTTTCTCAAGACCATCTCTTCGACAGATCACATAGTCTCCAGGAAGAATCTCGTCCGTCTCGACACTATCTAGCTCTTGCATCCCTCGAGCGCGCATATCGCCTGGCTCTATCTTAGCAACGGTCCATCCCAAAGCTCGCTCGCCAGCATGTCGTCCAACACAGATGCGCCCGTGGTCACCGGCGACAAGGACGCCTCGGCAGACGAGATCGCCGCTGCCCCCGAGGCCGTCCAGATGACTGACGAGGAGGAGATGGGTGCTGCCTCCGACAAGGACCAAAGCGACTCTGGCAAACTCAAGACCCTCATGGGTATCCTCAAGCGCATGGTCGGTGTCAAGGACATTGCCGCCATCCGTCTCTCGCTTCCCGCTAATCTCCTCGAACCTGTCCCCAACCTGGAATACTGGAACTATCTCGACCGTGGTGACTTTTTCACCCTTGTCGCTGACCTTGACGATCCACTCGATCGTATGCTCGCCGTGCTCCGCTTCACCTTCACTAAAGAACTCAAGTACGTCAAAGGCAAGATCTGCAAGCCATACAACTCGATTCTTGGAGAACACTTCCGCTGCCACTGGGACTTCGACCCTGTCAAGTTCGGCGACTCGCACGTCCTCCCCGTACAGACGATTGCCACCGACAGTCCCGAGCCGTTGCCGCTCATCTCTACACAGGCTCGCACACCCACCTTGTCTGCCAAGAAAAGCAGCGCTCCCCCCTCTCCTATGGTGCAGCCGCAGGACAAGGCCTCGCGGCCTGCCTCGATCAAGGGCGACAGCTCTGAGAGCTCCTCCAACAATCCGGCCTCTGCCGCCAAGAAGGGCCTCTCCAAGCTGCTCGGTCGCAAGAAGAGCACCAAAGATGCAAAAGAATCCTTCGAGACGCAACCTTCCACCGCTGCGTCATCCACCGCCGCGGACCACGACGACGACGCTACCGCCACCTCGTCCGTTTCCGGCGCCAACACACAGCCGGCTGGCAAGCGACGACTCGTCTTCCTCACCGAGCAGGTGAGCCATCATCCACCCGTTTCGTCCTTCTTCTGCGAAGCCAGGGATGCGGGTGTGCAGCTATGCGGCGTCGATCAGCTCGGCGCCAAGTTCACGGGTACCAACGTCAAAGTCTTCCCTGGCGAGCAAAACAAGGGCATCTTCCTGAGTCTCACCGACAAGGCCAAGTGCGGTGCCGTGGGCGAGGAGTACCAGATCACGCACCCGACTGCATCGATCAACGGTCTCCTCCGCGGTAGTCTGTGGGTGGCCATCTGCGATTCGCTCTACGTCACATGTCGTGGGGGCAAGCGGGACGACGACGGCACGCGATTGCGTGCGATCGTCGAGTACAAGGACGAGAGCTGGATCTCCAAGGCCAAGTACGCACTCGAGGGTGCCATCTACTCGTACGGCCCCAACGACGATCCGGAGGAATACACGACGGTGAAGCAGATCCCCTCCGACCGGGTCGTTGCGACGTTCGAAGGGTGCTGGAAGGGCAAGATTACGTACAAGCGGAAGGGGGAGAAGGAATCGCGTCTGCTGCTCAACGTCAACGATGTTGATCCGATTGCGAAGGCGGTGCGACCGCTGGGAGCGCAGGACGAGATGGAGAGCCGTAGGATTTGGGAGCCCGTCACCAACGCCATCTTGGGCAAGAAGTTCAGCGAGGCTACCAAGGCCAAACAGGAGATCGAGCAGAAACAGCGCAATGTCGCGGCGGAACGCAAGAGGAAGGGCGAAGATTTCGTACCGAGGTTCTTCGACGCGGACATTTCGGATGGACGACCCAAGCTCACGGAGGAAGGACGTAAAGCGGTGGATGGAGAGTACGAGCTGGCGGGATACGATGCGTCGGCAAAGGAGAGCGATCCAGTCGCAACCGAGGATGACGATGAGGACGAGTTCCAGGACGCCCCACAGGCTTGATCGCTCGATTCCACCCACGGTAGACTCTAGACTGTCCCCCCCTTCCTTCACGTTCGACACCCGGCCTGACGTGCTCCTTTTCACGCAATATCACACACTCGAGGATTTGATCATGGAGGTTCCATTAGGTGCTCGTCTGCGCCAAACCGTACAACCCCTGCACGGCCCTTCTGAAGAACGTGATGTTGTAATCGATCAGTCCCGCTTGTCGCGCATGCACGTCGGAAGGCATGAGCGAAATCAATGCCAGCCGCGGTGTGATTTGGTAGAAGCACAGCGTGCGGTCTGGCTGCAGTCGGGTCACTGAGCTGGCCCACCTTGGTGCTGCAGAGGATGCTTTTGTCGGGGTGGCCGAAGCAGGTGAATCTGTGCTCTTTGCTGACTCTTTCGACATCCTGCCCAGCAAGAAGCGGCGGGCAGACGAGGGCGAGGTGGAGAGCTGGAAAGCTGACCCTGCCGGCGTGGACGGTGTTGCCGATCCTCCTGGTTGCTGCGATGACGCCAATGGGTCCTGAACGCCGGCATAGAGACCAGCGAACTTCGCCAGGAAGCCGGCGTAGTCGAAGACGAGGTCGAACGATGCTGCGTCAAACGGCGCCGAGTCGGATCCGATGTATGTGCGAGTCGGCAGGTCGAACAGGAAAGCATTCTCGAATCGACAGGTGGAGCAGATCGAGTCGCAGACCTGTTCCATCGACTCGGCGAGCGTGAGGTTGCGTCGAAGCGTCGGTACTGCTGGTCGAGTCGGCTTGCCGTTTTCACCTGCCGCGGAGGAGCTCGCATCGCCGGCCCCGGCGCCGTTCGACGCCGCCTGCACAGGTTCGGCATCCAGAGGCTCCTCCGGCTTGCACTTCTGTGCCAAACTCTGCTGCAGCTTGCTTATCGCCACAAAGACGCTCGTGTCGTAGATCGACGTGGCGTGGCAATGCAGTCTCACCGCCTGATCCAAGTTGATCAGTCCTGGCTCTGGTGCAACGTCCGACCGGTACCCACCTCCGCCCGAAAAGCTCGAGAACTCTGAAGCGCTTGCATCGTATCCACCTCCACCCGAGCTCGAAGTGCCTCCCGCTGCAGCCGGCGAACGTGAAAACATATCCTTGCTCTTGCTCCGACTGCGGTCCTTCTTTGCACCCTTGCTCTCCTTGACTGGCAGCGGTTCCGCATACGACCACGGCTGAGCGACGAAGCTCGGACTGCTGTCCACCAGATCGTCCAGCACCTTGCCCTGGATGGTGGACAGCGTATCTTGACGATAGTCGTCCGAGTAGCCATCGATCTTGTGAACGAACACGTGGAACTCGATGGTCTGGTTCTCGGCGAAGGCAGAAAGGATGATGGACTGCAGCTTGGAGAGTGCCTCGTAGTGGTCGTCCTGCGAGTCGATGACGAAGACTACTGCGGATACGTCGGTCCACGCGAGAAGCTCGGGTGCTGCTCCTGCTGCAATTAAGCCTGCGGCTGATCCAGATGCTATCGCTCCGTTGTGTGTTTGTGCGACAGGAGCGTTTCGAGCTGGGACAGGCGGCGGAGGACCAGCACGAGCGCCGGCTGCCGTGCTTAGAGGGATACCCTTCTCCAGGCGAACATCGCCAAGAAGCACTCGACTCGGCGTATCGATGATGCGTATTGGGAGGAAGCTGTCGGAATGGATGAAGCTTGGCTTGGTGGTGGACTCGAGAAAGACGGTGTCGTCGGGATGGACTTCGTTGTAGACGACGTTGAGGATGGAACTCTTGCCGGACCTGCGCAGGCCGATGACGGGCACCTGCAAGCGTTTTGTCTCCATCCTGAACGGAACCAGCAGATATCGCCGATGTGTGCCTGATGATGATGTAGTCAGTGGTGGAGAAAGGTGGTGACCAAACGCATACAAGCGTGGGTCCAAGCCCCCGTCGTCGTTATCTTACCCCGAGTTCCGTACCTGTGTTACTCCACACCTGCAGTCTCGTATACGACCCTAAATTTTGAGTTTTCTTCTTGCACCCTCTTCTCTGACCCAAACATCATCTTCGACTACCCGATCGACCGGAACAACCCGCAGCCACCGTCGGACACCGCAGAGCACCGCCGAAACCGCGTGTCCTCGGCCTCGCATTTCTCGCTGCTTCAAGAATCTCCGTCGAGCCCAAACGTGTTCTCGTCGCGACTACATCAATTCCCATGCTCAGCGAAACCATTAACCCCCAGAGGTAGCCGTTCGACAGTCGAAGGAGGGTCAAGATGCCGCCCAAGAAGGCCGCTGTGGATAACAGCGCAACCATTCGCTCGGCCTCTCGTAAGAAGCAACGGCCTCAGCCCTCCGACCGAGCAGGCGCTAGCCCATTTGGTTCTTCGTCCGGCGGTAGCTCTCTCGCTTCGTCACTATCATCTCTTTTCTCGCCACACCCACACGGCAAAGATGCTGCGTTGGCATCACTGTTGGCTTCCAGCTCCAAGCCTGCGGTCAAACTGGGTCAGGCGTCTGGATTAGCTGCCTTCGGGTCGTTCTCGGGTGCGCCCTCTGGCCCGCCAACCACCTCGGCGCCGAGGATTCTGGATGACAGGCAGAAGGAGAAGCGCAAAGATGTGTCAGACAAGCCGGGTCCGTCAAAACCTGCCGTTGCTGCTGAAGGCCAGGGGGTCACACAGAAGCCTTCAGCCTCTGTCAGCCGAGACGAGGAAGTTGAGGTTTCTGCCCCCAAGGACCGTGTGCAGAAAGCATCGACTTCGGCATTTGCTTCTGCAGTATCAACATCCGTCCCCAGCGTTCCAGCAGGCAGACGACCAGTCTTTCGACCCGTCCTCGCCAGCTCCACGGCAGTCACTTGGCCCGAGATGCCCGTCGCGGGGTCGAAGACGGTCCTTCACACACTCATCGAGATTCTTGGTCATCCAGATGTTCAGGTCACACTTCACAGAGACTTGGGAAGGAGGTCACGTCTCCGCTCCTCTAAGACCACGGACGTGAATGAGAATACGAAGATGGACGTCGACGGCGAAGAGGGTCCGTCATTGAAACCTGCACCTCCGCAAGTGCTCGCAGGGATCAACAGCATCACACGCGCTATCGAACACGACATTGCTGCAGACCTAGCTAAGCTACACAGCCGGGACACTGACGTCAAGCAGAAAGGCAAGGCATCACAAGAGGCTACGGCGCGGCCAAGGGTCAAGGTTGTCTTTGTATGCCGTCATGACGTACCACAACCTTCGCTGATCGCGCACCTGCCGATGCTGATTACAGCGAGGAATGCGGTCTCGCAAGCCCTCACTACTCCAACTGAGGTCGAGAAAGACTCGTCTGGAGTATTCCTCTTCGCCCTGCCGTCCGGCTCCGAGTCTCTCCTGGCGAAGGCGCTCAACCTGCGCCGAGCATCCGTAGTGGCACTCACAACGGCGTTTGTCTGTGATCGCCTCACGCAGCTCCTGGAAGCAATCGAACGGGAGACTGGATCCCTCTGCCATCTGCGCGCAAGCTGGCTCGAAACAGCCATCCGCTCCGCCACACAATCGGCCTCCAACCCACTACCCTTGTCACTGAGACAACAGCCAACCTCGGTCAAGCTGTTGCGCACCACACAACCGCTGGATCTCAACAAGTGCAAGGCGGAGAAGAAGACAAAGAGAAAGGAGCGGTCGGCGAGATGGAAGCAGAAGAAGTGTCGGTTGCAGCAGAGAGTCAAACGGCTAAGCGCGGAAATGAAGGCGGCGCAGCGGAAGGAGAGGTCGAAGAAGGCTGCGCGTTCCGCAGATGTTTCATAGCTTCACGTCGCAAGCAGATTGGAGTCTCTGTGCGCTGTGTGCTGCCCGTCGAGTCTGTGGGTGTCCGCTTGCGCAGCGGCATTGGATGCCGAGACCTCAGAATGAACGCGCTGCGCAGGAGCGTCGCTTGCTCGACACGCATTGAGTGTCGCTTTGACGACGGTCCCACCGTCTTCAGCTGCTGCGCAACTCAGAACAGTTCAAAGCTCTTCGTGATCCGCTCTGCTCAGCTTGTCCGCCTTCTCAGGCCCCCTCGACTACACTTTGTCGCCTGACTCACAGACACACACACATTCACACGCACACTCACACACCTTCAACCCGGCTACCGGTCACAGCACCTCCAAATTATTCGTCACCGTTCTCGCACCCGCACCTCTCGCTCCGCGACATGGTCGAGCTGAGCTTCTTGGAGCACATGATCGTGGGGCGGTACCCGCAGCCCTCCTGGGCGAGATGCTTCATCAACGCCTTGGCGCACAACAAGGTCTTTCTCCACGACGCCTCTCGGCGCCATATCCCGTTCATCATGCTGCAGGCGATCGGTGACTTCGCGCGGTCCAACGAACGCACGCTAGAAGGTCTGCGGGCTTATGTCGACCGTGCCAACCAAGACATGGACGCTTTTCCGGGCATCACCATCGAAATAGTACTGGTTTTGCCTACAGACAAGTACTGCCGCGTGGCATTCTTGGCCTTCAGACCGAGATACAACGTCCCGCTCCCCGAGGATGGGGAGGACGAAAGAGCCGAGAAGTGCCTCGCCCGGTTCGAGGCTGAAGTGTTTGTCTAGAATCACACGCTAATCCGCGGCGTGGGGTGCAGTTCACCGATCATTCTTCTCTGTCGCAATCTCTATAGTATGCAATGCAGTCACAATTGATTCGTGTGCATTGCCGGCAGTGACATCGTGAGCTCAATCCTGAAGCCGTGAGTATGATGACTGGAGCCCTTCAAGCCGCCGTCCGAACCGCCCTCCTCAGCCATCGCCTTCGCCTCGTCTCGCACTTCATCTTTGGATCATGGTCCACCACCCCCGCGCTCAGCGGCGGCAGCGTGCTCCTGGCCTCTGACTCTGCGTCATCCTCGTCCACCTGGGCGTTGTCATCCGCGTGACCCTCGACGTCAAAGATGCTCGGCGGATAGTCGGGGACGCCGTTGCCGTGGCCATACGGGTAGCTCGCGGGCTTCTGCCAGCTCGCGTCGGTGTACACGTAGCCCTGATTATCGACGCCGACGGCGGACCAGCTGCCGCCCCAGTCGATGCGCCAATCGTCTCCGGGGACCCACTCCCATCCCGGCTCGAGCTGCATCGCGACCTGCCTGCTGTTGTGTCAACCAGAACGATCAGAAGAGGTCAGCACGAGGTCTATCATGAAAAAGAAAAGGGGAATGTCTGCTCACCTTATGTCGATCTTGGAACCGGGCAAGACATCCACATCGTCAGAAGACCATCCATCGGGCCCCTTAGTCCACGGTCTCCTCTCTCCCATTTGCAGGTTGTGTCCACTCCATCCGCCCACCACTCCACTAGAGCTCGCCGCCCGTTTGGCGGGCAGATACCTCTCGTTCTCAAACATCTCCACATTGCGATATCCGCGCTCCACCACGTAATCGTCCAATCGATCCTGCTCGATCCACTCGCGCAGCTTGTGGCCGCCCTCTTTGGCGATGCGCATGATCTTCCGCCCTTCCCTGCTTGAGTCGACGCGCTTCATGAGTCCCTCGATCGCGGGTTTGGTCCACGGGTGAGTGAGGATGAACGCCCCTTCACCGCCGATGAGCAGGACGAGACGGTAGGGCACGTACGGTGCGACGAAGAACATGAGCACTGTAGTCAGCAACGAGAGTTGCAAAATGTGCAGACTGCGGCTGTACGAGGACCAGTTGAGGTAAGGAACCGTGGGCGCGAGCAGGTCGTAACCATCGATGATCATGCGCATCATGTTCTGGATGTCGCGCAGGTTCTCGTAGTACTTGACGGTGCCTTCGTGAGGTGGGTTGGGTGTGAGTGGAGGCTGGACGACGCCCTCGCCCGTGCTGGTGGGGAAAGTTGTCGAGTAGGCGAGCACTTCTGCTGGAGACGGCGTCGGGACTTTTTCGACCGAAGGACGAGACTTGGATGCTGGCGACTTGGGTACTTCCATCCGCACGATGTTGTGCGTCATATTGTCCTGGTACCGAGCGCGATGCGTCATGACCAGGATCACTGAGAGGATTGTGCTCGGCGCCAGGAGCAAGAGCCACGGGTAGATCGAGACCACCGCCCAGATGGCCATCCACATGAGCGTCCAGCTCGTGTCCTGCCACATCAACGTCGCCTCAACTCCATCCTGGAACCAGAACATTGGTCCGGACTTTTGCACGAAACCTCGAAAGTTTTTCGTTGTCGTGGGCAGCGAGAGGGGCTCCTTGTTCTGCGCTACGGGCAGGCGCGGTGGTGCAGAGGACGCAGCAAGCACTGACTCGATCGCGAAGGATTGCAGCGCCATCGATGTCTGCTGGAACAAGCCCGCGCCTCGGGACGTTGACTTTTCGGAGGAGGGCGAACCATAATGTGAGGATGATGAAGAGGCACGTCGCCCGGAAGGAGAGGGTGATGACGAGAAGAGCGAGTTGCTGAACAGCGACGTTCTGCCCGTGCCCGACGTCGGTGACACCGAGCCTTCGTCCATGTTGGTTACCAGACCCTCGCCTCAGGTCCCGTTGATGGTTTGAGGGTGGTTAAGAACGATGATGGTGAGAAGCGGAAGCGTGCCCCGCACTTGTCCCAAAATCTCTTTGCGGCTCGTGCATCCGCAACTCGATTCCAAGCGTAAACTGGGCGGATGACGCTCCACCTGCAGCAGAGCGTGAAAGTCGCAGGCCAATTTTTGGGCTGAGCATGTTAGAGCGGGCATCTGAATGCCTTGCAGGGTTGGCAATTCCTCATGATTCGGAGGCTTCACAGACAGCGACCAGGACAGCTGGCGTTGCAGGCGTGATATATGAATGAGATGCTAAGGTACAAGTACAGATTCTGGCGGAGTGAGTGATATGCAATAGGAAAGAGTGTGATCAAGGGAGGGCATGCAGCAGGTAGTCTCTGGGCTTGGTTTTGCAGTTCAAAGGGGTCTTGCTACCGGCGAACAGCTGAGCGTCAAAGATCTGCTGGGCCTCTTGCGAGCCTTCATCCCTCCAATCGAGATCGACCCAGCGCTCGGCGTCCGCCTCTCTTTGTGCTGCCATGAGCAGGTCGCGCGCTTCACTGCTTGACCCACCGCCCATGCCTCCAAGGCTACCTGGCTTCTTTGCGTTGGGGTCGGCACGCAGCGCTACACTGAGCGTCTGAGCTGTCGGCTTCTTGACGTCCTTCTTAGCCTTCGAACGCGTTGATCCTTCGCCCGGTGCCTCCATCTCGATCAGCTCGTCTTCGTCCGATTCGTCCGAGCCCAATTCGCCGGCGAGAGCAGCACGGTCTCTGCGCTTCTCTGCCTCGCGTGCCTCATCGAGGGCATCGAGGTAGTTCATCGAGGGTCGCAGCTGAACGATGGACTCCAGGCGTGTGAGATGGAGCGCCTGATCTCTAATGACGCCGACCATGTACTCGGTGGCATTGGGCACCTGCGTGCTTTCCAGCTTGATCTTCTCAAGCTTCTTGGGGCCTCTGTTGGCTTGTGCTTCTTCCCTCTCCTGCTTCACGCGTGTTCGGCTGCTAGATGGCTCAGTTGCGGACGCAGAGCCTCCATGAGCAGCATCAGCACGAGCCTGCTTCTGTGCAAGCACATCTGCTCCTGCTCCGAACTCGACGCCGCGGTCCGTGTTGTAGACTTCCTCTCGAACGTCCAGAGGCAGCTCGACCTCTACTCGGTTGGCTCGTGGTCGCCATCGACTTGACACTTTGAGCCCTCGAGCGGCTGCCGAATAGGGTACTGGCAGTGGTCTGTCTCGTGGATAGATGGGGTATTGGAAAACGTGCAGGGAGGAGTCGCCGAGCAGAGACTTGCTAAGGTAGACCGGTAATGAGGCGACCAGCTCGGAGTCTGGTGGCAGGTCTGTCGCTGACGATGTTGGCAGCGTCGTTGTGGAGGCTGGCGCACCGGCAGGCTGTGTAGTCGGCGGCTGATCCATCGAGACGTCGCCGTCACCGAGGAAGAGTTGATCCGCTGCCTCCATGGTTTCGATGGTGGTGGTAGAGAGGTTGTGGAGAGGGTCCAGCAAACCAAAAAAAGTTGCAACTTCTTCTCAAAGTTGGGAAACTAACATGTCAAAAAATCCCGTTTGCCGGAAGGAGGAAAGCAGGAGATGGTCAGTGCAAGTGTCGATCCGCTTTGAGAAGAAAACGCTTGCATTTTAGACGTTGGGAGACTTCAGTTCTCCACACCACCACCTACAGACTTCATCATGTTCGCTCGATCTGCCATCCCCGCTTTCCGCGCTGCCTCGCGCTCCTTCACCACCCAGGCCGCCCGCAATGTTGGCCCCGCCTCCGCTCGTGGCTACATGGGCGCTGCTGCCCTTGCCGCCGGCGGTGCTGTCGCTTACTCTGCCTTTGCTGCCCCCACCGTCCACCTTGAGGGCCCCAAGACCATCGCTGGCGAGCTTGGCACTTCCACCGAGCGCTCCTATGTCATGATCAAGCCCGACGGTACCTCGCGCCAGATCGTCGGCGACATTATCAGCCGTTTTGAACGCCGTGGATACATGCTGGTGGCCATGAAGACGGTCGTGCCCAGCCAGGAGCTCGCCAAGGAGCACTACATTGACCTTGCCAAGAAGCCTTTCTACGGCGGTCTCGTCAAGTACATCACCAACGGCACGCCCGTCGTCGCCATGGTGTGGCAGGGCAAGGACGTTATCCGCCAGGGCCGCCGCCTCGTGGGTGCCACCAACCCCCTCGAGGCCAACCCAGGCTCGATCCGTGGTGACTTCTGCGTCTCGGTTGGCCGCAACATCATCCACGCCTCCGACTCCCACGAGTCTGCTACCAAGGAGATCGGCCTCTGGTTCCACGAGAAGGAGCTCGCTACCGAGTACAGGCCCATCGCTTGGGACATGATCATGGCCGACAACTAAGATGTGACGCACCCGCCTTCTGCTTCGTTGTGCGTCAATGCGACGTAATTGGCAGTATCAATAGAATGTTGTTACACCGTCGAGATAGTTTCTGGGCCCCTGCTGAAAGGTTGTTGAGCTGAGTGCAAGACATGAATCTCGTCCGACCTATGGACCTTTCGCGTCAGAAGAGCACTTGTCATTAGGCCCCTCCTCAGTCGAGCGCTCGCTGCGCTTGATCCACAAAAGTTGACGGCCCACGAGCTAGCCTGCATCGCTCTTTGCATAGTGTACAATTGCATGAGTTGGTATCGAGGGCATGAGCGTACGGATCTAGTACGTGTCGCCGTCTCCACTCTTGTCCGCACAGAAGCCTCTGGCTATGCGAAGGATGTCGGCCTTCTTGGTCTCGCTCTTTGCTTTGGACTCTGCTTCTGCCTCCTTGGCTGCGAGGAGCTGAGGGAGGGCGGAAGGTGGGAGTGGTGCTGCGATGGATGGTGGGATCTCGTCTTCCGCGTCCAGATCGATCTCGCCCATCAAAACCACGTTCTCACCGCGTACGAGGAAGACACCTCGAGCGATGTCGCCGTATCGGTTGCCGACAAAGACCCGCTCTACTGTGTCTTGCAATACGAGGTTGGCTGTGAGGCGGGCGAAGCGATGTGAGGGAGAGAGCCTCAGTCAGTCACGAAAGTAGAGGCGCTATACGCGTAGATGATGCGTCGACTACCTACCGAACTGGTCATATGATCGGAGAACACCGATGAGCTTCTTGCCATCTCGCAGCACGACGAGCATCTTCTTGTCGACGCAGTCCACCAATGACCCTGAGGTCGTGAATGCGATGTTTGATACGATATCTTGAGCGTCCATCTTTGCGATTCAGCGTGGAATGCAAATCCCTGATGTACCTATGGTTTGAGCGTCTGTGGAAAGTCCGTCCGTGTGATGTAGCGTCGATCGCGAGCTGGTCCGTGTATGACTTCAATGAGCTTCCGGTACGAGGATGGTGAGGTGACAATGCGAAGCTTCTCAATGAAACAGCTGCAGCCTTGATGTTCTCCACGGCCAATCCAGTGGCTCACGTGATTTCGAGAGGCTTTCGTGCGATAATTTCGAGCTGTGGGCGTCTTGCCCGCCAAAAAGGGTCCAACACCTCCACTTTACCATTGGCCGGTTGCAGCCGCCTTCGAGGCCCCCTGTTCTACAGCTGGCATGTGCGGAGGCATGCTCTTGCTTCTGCCATTAGCCTCTTGATGCTGGTACCGAGTACGAGTCAAGCTGGGGACTGTCGCATGACGCTGTCCGCTCGAGCATGAGTAGTGAGACCCTTGTGGTGAATCGGTGGACCCTGACGGTTGATTTGGCGGGCGTCTGCCGCACGGAAGTGTGTCACTGTGCAGGCACTCTCCGCATTATCACATTTTGCAAAGCAATGGCGAGATCTAGCCAAGGCATAGCGGTCCCATAAGCCGTCCAAAGCATTGCAGCATCACGTTGGGGTGACCGACCGATTGAGTGGATGCAAGGGTTGCCGTGACTTGTGACTTGGTATGACTCTTATCCGAGCATCATTTCACTCTCAGATAAGTCACGTCTCAAGCGAGCAGATCGGTCGAGACCCTGAATATCCGCAGCCCCCGCTCGCCCAGTCACACTGCACCGCCTGAGCCTGCGGGTTTCGCTTTCACCTGAACCACCTGGACCCACCAACGAACCCTCCCTTCCCCCTGCAACTACTTGCCATCCAGCATATATCACTATCACCACCAACGACGCCCTCTTCCTCGATCAGAAAAAGGTGTTCGCACCTTAGCCACGAACTATTCCAAGCGCATATATCTCGAACCACCATCGGCCGCAACGATCAACTCCTCCTGGTCATTGCAACAAGCTACTCAGCGAGATAGCAGCAACGGTCTCGTTCCACAACACCTCGTATCGTCCGCCCACACTTTGAACATCAGCGGTCGTCGCAGTCTTCGTCCACCCGCTCTGTCAAGATGACGTCTCCAAAACGTCGCATCGAGACCGATGTCATGAAGCTGTAAGTAAGAGCACGGTACCGGCAATGCGGACGAAGCTGCCTTGACTAACACTCTCTCCTTGCCATCCATTCACCTTCGCTATCGGACTCTGCAGCCTCATGTCGGACTATGAGATCACGCTCATCAACGATAGCATGCAAGAGTTCTACGTCCGCTTTCATGGGCCGCAAGAGAGTAAGTAGCTGCTGGCTGGCGCCCGTAACGCTGATCATGATTCAGCCTGGATACAGACATACAGACTCTGACCATCCTCTCTGCAACCTATCTCCAACAGCACCCTTCGCCGGCGGTGTATGGAAGATCCACGTCGAGCTGCCAGACCAGTACCCTTACAAGTCGCCCTCGATCGGCTTCATGAACAAGATCTTCCACCCCAACATCGACGAGCTGTCCGGCTCAGTCTGTCTCGACGTCATCAACCAGACCTGGTCGCCCATGTTTGACTGCATCAACATCTTCGAAGTCTTCCTCCCACAGCTGCTGCGCTACCCAAACCCCACCGACCCGCTCAACGGCGAAGCGGCTGCCCTGCTCATGCGTGAGCCCAAGACATACGAGGCGCGCGTCAAGGACTACGTACAACGCTTTGCGACGCGGGAAGCCGCCAACGCAGCGGGAGAGGAGGAGGACGAAGACGAGGATGAGGAAGATGAAATGTCGGACGTAGGCAGCTTCTCCGACCATGAACCGATGGGCGAGATGGAAATGTGATCGTCGAGCTCGTCCGCACCAAGAGATCCTGTTGTGGACCTTCATCAGCATACATGTCTTCGTCCCGTCGACCCGCCATTTGTACCAACACGTTCCCATCGCATGTCTCGCATTCACCTCTCTCGTCCCGCTCGCTTTGCTCTCCACTTTGACTCTTGTTCTTCCCAGTCTCTGTCTCCTTTTTTCTGTCCAGTCTTCTTTTGTGTCGATCAAATCAACGCCGAATCGCCGAATGTTGTGTCTATGGATGTGATTAGCCGATGCCAATGATCAGAAGCACAGATGAGTGAGAGGTGGGGGGTTGCTCGGTAGAGCAGAATGCTGTGTGTGTCTATTGCTTTTGCTGTTGTTCCTTGCGTCTAACCTCCTCTTTGGACTTCTCCTCCCTCCCTACGACCTTCTTTTCCTCCTCGACCACCTCCCTGAGCACATCCTTGGTCTTGGCAATGAGACCTCTGGCGGACTCGGCCTCGATCTCGCTCTTGACCTCCTGCAGCGCGACATCGTTGTACAGCTGCAGCGGGAGCAGTGCCAGGCTGGTGTCCGAGAGAGTCTTGGTCTCGGGATTGCGCGTGGTGTAGCGGAGCCAGGTGCAGAGGGATTCGTACATCTCGCGATGGTCGATTCCCGTGCTGCGGAGTCCGCGCTCTCCGCACGCCTTGGCTAGCGCATCGACGTGCTGAGGGATTGCGTAAGCCCCGTCGGAAGACATAAGTGCATCGTCCGAGCGGAGGTAGGCAAGGTGCGCATCGAGTCTGCGTCGCACCATCGCTGCACCACCCCATGTGGAGAGGCTAAACACCTTGCCGAGCTTGGCCAGGTCCTCCGCGGAAAGACCCTTAAGTACATCCCCTCCCTCCCGGTGCGCCTCCCTGAGCGAAGCGCCCCCTTGTGACTCCTCCACAACCGGTAGAAGGGGTTGCAACCCCTCCGACCCCTTAAGTGCCCTCCACGCCTCCGCGCGCTTCACCTCCTCGCCCATCCGAATCTTCACCAACTGGTTCGGCAAGATACACGTGCTCGGCAACAACGAAGGCGCCCAAATCACCACCAACGGCAACGCCTCCTCCAAGATCAACAGGATGAACAGAAACAGCGGCAGCTTGCGCATGTCTGACGCGTGCGTACGGATCAACTGCGACTCCTCCCGTGTCAAAGGTGAGCCGCCGGAAGAGATGCGGGATTGGATGAGGTTGACAGAGGTACGATTCGCCCAAATCTGCTTGACACCGTTGAAGTAGAATTTGAACAGGTACTTGGCGGTTGCCCACAGCTCTTTGGCTTTTTCGGCGAGGGTTTTGGTGGGAGCAGGGTCGGTGGTCGTGGCTGGTTCGGAGGAGGTGGAGGGGGTGAGCGAGGTGTTGGTGCTGGGTTCGACTGGTTCTTTTGGTGGCTGAGTGGTGGACGTTGTGGATGGAGGTTTGGATGCTGGCGGTTGTGGCTTTGCAGCCGCCGGGGGTGTGGGTGCTGGTTTGGACGCTGGTGGCTTTTGTCTTGACTGCTGTGCTTTGAGGAGGTAATGCGACTGATGGAGGAAACGAACAGCGCTGAAGAGTTGCTGCTGCCGCCTCAGTGCTGCGGTCGGGTCATATGAGGTATGTGTTGGTGATGAGGTTGTGACAAGTGTCGATGATGGTAGGGACGCATTGCCGCGTGCACATCTTGACCCTGCTGTGAGAGTCCTCCTCGGCGCTGGAGCACGGCTGCTCTGCGCAACGGCTCTTGCCGCCCGTGTCGTGTGCATCTTGACCGCGTGCTGCGGGGCTTGCAATGAAGAGACTACGGCTTGTCTATACGGTTGTCGTTGTTCGAATCGGAATCCTTCGTTATGGAAAACGCTGCCCTCTCGTCCAGCAGCTAGAGTGGTCGCAAGGTGGGATTCACAGCGTCTCGATCGTATGTGTGCTGTTGTCAATACGGTGGTCAAATGGAGCTTTGGTGAGGCTGAGTGAGCCGGTGATGGTGCTGAGCAAGCCCTTTGTTGGCTTCGAGCAGCGGTGTTTGTGAAATGCAAGAAGGACTCCGAAAAAGTCACAATTCTTCCTAAGCACCCTTGAAGAGCAGCCACGGCTCCGACTTTGCCCTTCTTTCCACGGCAATTTCGGGAAGGCTGACTCAAAGATTAGGGCTTAACAGGTTCGAAAAAAACGAGACATTTACCATCCAAAATGTGGATCAAAGGAGCCTAACAAATCAAAGAATACAAACGTCAGCACCTCTGGCAGGTCCGGCTGCTTCGCCGATATGCGATGTTCCGAGGCTCGCCGATGACGATTCAAACAGTGACCCTTGATATGCGAGCATGGTCGCAAGCACGTGGGATCTGACGGACAGAGAGCAGGGCTGCTCCAAATCCACCCGATATCGATCAAGAGTCTCAGCCAGCTCAGCCTTGCCGGTCGCCTGTCAACAAGGCCTGCAGATCCGGGCCAACGGGATGAGAGAGGAAAAGAAGGGTCCACCGAAATTTTGGGTAAAACTGTGCCTCGTAGGCTCGTTGGAAGGGTTTGGGGTCAGATTTGGAGCGGAATTCGACAACATTGCCAAATCGATGATTTCGCCGGCGTATCCAAGATCTTCCTTCTTCTTAGCTTGGAGGCGGTGTTGTCGACTATAATTCCGCTTCCTGGCTTGACTGATAGATGCTTGAGTGGGCCCTTGCTTTGCCAGAGACGGTCTCGCCGTCAAAAGCGAAAGGCGGGCAAGCGCACGGGCAATGTCCGCTTTCCGCGTTTTGCCGCTGCCTCGTGGACCCTGAATCTGTCAAACGAGGGCGAGTGGACTGTTGAAGAAAGCTCCTCCAGCAGCCCTCGGCTCTTCGCAGATGGTCAATGCTCGATTGTGGCTGAAGCACCCTTGTCAAGCTGGCGCAGACGACGAATGTGCTGGATTGCGCGCTGGTGCAGGCTTCAAGGCACGCCTTCCGCCTTTGCCGATAGATCCTTTCGGTCGCTTCCGGGCTGACCGTTTTTGATGTGCATTTCCCCTTCATCCTCTTGCCGGCAACTATCTTCTCAAACTCAAAGTCTTCATCGCTCAAGGATTTAAAGAGCAGGGGCCATCAGGCATACTCTGCGACAAGCGCTCGGTTGATCAATTGTGACGACGGTAGGGGCGAAGCTTGATAAAGGAAGGCCAAACAAAGAGGAAGGGGCCTTTCTTGGTCGAGGTGGGGGTGGAGGAAGAGACCGAAATCTGAGGCCGACAAGAGCGACCGACGTTCGCAATCGATACGGAATCAGCCTTGTGCCTGCTATCCTAGCGTGCGCGAGAAGCAACTCCACGCCTCCCGCATTCGTAGGCTGCTGCATCCATCTCTCCGGGTCGGGCTGATGCAGCTGCATCTTGGCTAACATCACACTCGGATGGTCTGTGCTAGAGTTTGACCCACTGGTTATTGCGCCAGCAGCAGCAGCTGCGGTCTGACTTGCGCTTTCGACTAAGACCGCTGACCGTCGTTGCGGAACCCTTCCGATATCGGATAAAGCGCTTTGCGAACATGACTGAGAAAAGTCGCTGCATTGTGGCGAAGGCTAAGATCTTGGTTGGAGTCCCCACGCAAGACAACCTGATCTAAGGGCCTGATCTGGCATCCGACACCAGCCCTCAGCTGGTCTACTCTATGAGTCCAGCTCACATTCAATTGAAATCGCTTGGCTGAACCAAGTACCTGGAGGAGTGATGAGGGAATGCAGGCAAGATCGGCGTTTCTCACTGACTGCTTCATCGGCCAGGTCGTATACATTGGTAGAGTGTGGCTCAGTGTATGACACCTGAAGCGTCTGCACCGAATCAGCTGCAGCTCCATTCTCGAATCCAGACAGGTGGACCCTTTCGAGTCCGCATCGACCATCGACTTCTCTCTTGGTCGATAACGAAGCTAGAGGCTGTCTCTGCGATGTGACAGATGAGAAGGGGGAGGTGGGCTCGAGCAAGATAGGCCAAGTCTTATTTCTATTTTTGATAAAATTAATTTGTCTTCGGTCTTTCTCTGCGTGTTGGTTCCTGTTCTTTTTTTGACCGGCCACTTTTTGTGATTTTTGGACTGTGCGTCAAAGGCAAAAAATGCCGCTTGTTGGGGCTCAGTCGTGGTGCCTCTTGCTGCGCCTGCGCCAATTTTGGTGTTGGTCTGACCGACCTCCTCCTTCTACTTGGCCAAGAAGTCATCAGAGAGGCTCACCCGCTCACTCACTCATTGCCTGGCTCAACCGAAACTATTGCTGCTTGGTCCTTCGAGTTTGCCATCCCACCTTCATCTCCATCATCCCCTCCCACACCATCCCCTTCGATCGTAGCGTGCTCTTCCATACACCTGCTTCTCACAACCACTGCATCTTGCTGAAACCGAGTGACGACGGGATTGGCTTCTTTCTTCCTCCTCTCATCATCATCCACCGACTTGCTGCTTCCAACCTGACGACTGGAACCTCAAGCTTCGACTCTCTTTCATCGCCTTTCCTCCTTGCAGCATAACATCAACGCACCCTCTCGACGACTACGAGAACCACTGCTGCGACCGACCTGCTCCATCTACTCCTCCGCGGACTCTACATCTGATCAGATCAGAAAGCCTGCTGTTTGACGACCAGCTTGCGCCTGCTTCTGTCAGCCTTTACACATCGTTCCATCTTTTTGGCCGCGCGACAATCTATTCATCATGTCGAGCATCAAGAACACCCCTTCCGACGACAGCTACGTCGAGCTTTCGACTGCTAGCAGCCAGAGCAGCGGCAACGGCAACGGTAACGGCTCGCTGCTTCGAGCTCTAACTGTCGCTTCGCCCACCGGCCTCGAGGTGCAGATTCCTGTCCCTGCGCAGCCTTTCGACGCCTGGATCGTCGCCGACGTAATCCGCGAGGACTTCCAGCGATCCCTCGCAGCTTCTCAGGAGACTGTCGACATCCTCGAGGTTCAGGAGGAGCAGGACGATGCTGCTGCAGCCGCCGACAAGGCCGCAAAGGAAGCCAAGGTCAGCTTGGCTGCCAAGTTCCTCGGCTTTGTCGCCTCGCGCGCTTCCGTCAAGACCTCGAGCCACGAGCTTAACCTTCTTCACTACGTCTGGGCTCACTTCCACGAGGCCCTCCTGGCCGAGCACGGCAGCATCCACGATCTTGTCGGTGCCATCGACTCGGACCTGCGCACCTCGGTCCTTCGCAGCTACTTTGAAGCCTACGTCCTGCTCGAGTCGGCCAACCAGGCCAAGCCTTCGCTGGTCACGCCCAAGCTTTTCTCCCTTTCGGCTCAGAACAAGGCTGAAGTCCACGCCGTCTTCGGTGGTCAGGGCAACAACGAGGTAAGTTTTCGCATCTTTCAGTCCCTTTCCATCCATTGCCAGAGCGACAGAGCAAGCAAGCACAGACAGCAAAGTCATCCTGTCAGCATTCGGTCGAATCGGTCGGCTTTCCGATTTCGCAACTCGACACGTCTCGAAAGGGTGGAGGCGAGAGAAGGGTCACCAGACGTAAGGCGTCTCTGCTCCTAGCCGAGCAAGAGCGCCCTGCTTCACCGGGTTTCTTCTTGCTCTTCTGGCTCGACCGCGACCGAAATTTACCCAAAATTTTGGGAAAACCCTCGAAAAGCATCGGCGAAACCATCCCTTGAGCAACGTGGAGATGACGCGCGATTTCCGAACCCGTTCGCCTATGGTTCGCAACTCGACACCACAGAAAAAGCTCAAATGGTCTCGGCTAGCGAAGAGCCTAAGCGCGACCCTTGCAGGCCAAGGCGGGGAAGGCGGGCTGTAGACGCGGCCATTTCGGTCAATTTCTCTCGCTTGGCTTCGGTGTCTTGCTTGTTCTTCGCTCTCTGATGGCTTTGACATGGCTCAGCTGAACATGCTACTGACACTTCTCTTTCACTCGATCGCATCGACTCGTCTGATCGCCCATAGGCCTACTTCAAAGAGCTGCAGACCCTCTTCGACTCCTACAAGCCGCTCATTCAGCCTCTCCTCGAGTCGACCCAGCCCGTCTTTGACAAGCTCGTCCAGGATGCTGTCAAGCAGGGCTTCGCCAGCTACTACAAGGACGGCCTCAACGTGCTCGGATGGCTCACGGGCGCTGCGCCCGAGCCGTCGGTGCCGTACTTGGCCAGCGTGCCTCTCAGCTTGCCTCTCATTGGTCTGACGCAGATCACCCAGTTCCTCGTCAGCATCCGTGCTTCTGGCCTTACTCCCGCTGAGTTCCGCTCGCAGATCCACAGCGCCACCGGTCACTCGCAGGGCATCATCTCGGCCGTCGTCCTCTCGGCTTCCGACAGCCTCGAGTCGTTCTATGCCAACGTCGCAAAGGCGCTCGAGCTCCTCTTCCACATCGGCAAGCGTGGTCAAGAGTTCTTCCCTACCCTCGCCATCGACCCGGCGCTCGTCAAGGACACCATCGATGGCGGCGAGGGCGAGCCCACACCCATGCTGTCCGTCTCGGGTCTCGAGCAGACCATCCTTGAGAAGCACATCAAGACCACCAACTCGCACCTCCCTGAGTCCCAGGCCGTCTCGATCTCGCTCTTCAATGGTCCTCGCAGCTTCATCGTTACTGGCTTCCCCAAGGCGCTCGTCGGTCTCGTCGGCAGTCTCCGTGCTATTCGTGCCGAGACCGGCGCCGACCAGGGCAAGATCCCCTTCAGCAAGCGCAAGGCCATCTTCCGCATGAACTTCCTTCCCGTCAACGTTCCTTACCACTCGAGCTACCTCACGGGTGCTACCGAGAAGATGCTTCAGGAGGACTACGCCGGCCGCACCACCGTTTGGGACGCTTCCGAGCTCAAGGTCGCTGTCAAGAACACCGAAGACGGCTCCGACCTCGCCAGCTACCGCTCTGAGGAGATCCTGAAGAGCATCGCCGATCAGATCTTTGTCAAGCACATCTACTGGTCCAAGGCCTCCGACCTGCCTAAAACGGCCACTCACCTCATCGACTTTGGTACCGGCGGTCTCTCTGGTATCGGTGGTCTCTCCGCCCGCATCCTCGAGGGTCGCGGCGTGAGGATTGTCATCCCCAGTGGCACCCACGCTCGCAGCACAGAGCTGTACAGCGCTTCTACGGTTAAGTTCGAGGAGCGCTGGGAGGATGTTTGGTCGCCTCGCCTCGTCAGGACCAAGAACGGCATCAAAATCGACACGCCCTTCTCGCGCACCACGGGTCGCGGTATTCTCATGGTCGGCGGTATGACCCCTACCACCGTCAGCGCCAACATCAACGCCGCTGTGCTCAACGCTGGTTACGTCATCGAGCTCGCTGGTGGTGGTCTCCACAGCGAGGCTGGCCTCCGCAAGCGCGTCAACGAGATCTTGGCCAAGCTCGAGCCTGGTAACGGTCTGGAGCTCAACGGACTCTTCATCGACCAGCGACGATTTGGCTGGCAGTACCCTCTGTGGGGTCAGATGCGACGCGAGGGCTTCCCGTGCAAGGGTTTCACCGTCGCCGCTGGTATTCCCTCCACCGAGAAGGCCAAGGAGATCATCGACGGTCTCAAGGCTGCTGGTATCGAGTACGTCGGCTTCAAGCCCGGTACTGCCGACGGCCTGCGAGCCGTCGCTGCCATTGCCGCTGCCAACCCCGACTTCAAGATCGTCTGCCAGTGGACCGGTGGCCGTGCCGGTGGTCACCACTCGACCGAGGACTTCCACCAGCCCATCCTCCAGACCTACGCCAGCCTGCGCAAGCAGAAGAACCTCATCCTCGTCGGTGGCTCCGGCTTCGGTGACGCTGAGGGTGTCTGGCCCTACCTTACCGGTGAGTGGTCGGTCAAGCTCGGCTACGCTCCCATGCCCTTCTCGGCCTTCCTCTTTGCCTCGTGGATGCTCGTCGCCAAGGAGGCTGCCACCGCGGACGCCGTCAAGCAGCTGCTCGTCGACACTCCCGGCTGTGGTGACGCCAAGTGGCAGGACACCTACGGCAAGGGCGCTGGTGGTACCATCACGTGCAACTCGGAGCTCGGCGAGAGCATCAGCTACGTGCACAACCGCGCTGCTGCCCTGTGGCGCCAGCTGGACGACCAGCTCTTCTCCCTGCCCCGCGAGAAGCAGCGTGTCTGGCTCTCGGAGAAGAAGAGCTGGCTCATCGAGCGTCTCAACAAGGACTTCCAGAAGCCTTGGTTCCCTGCCAAGGCTGACGGTTCCGCGCTCATGAACGTCGCCGACATGACGTACGAGGAGGTGACTCGTCGTATGCTTGAGCTCCTGTTCGTCAGCCACCAGAGCCGATGGATCGACCCTTCGCTCAAGAAGCTCTTCGGCGACTGGTGCCGACGTGTCGAGGAGCGCTTTGCCGGCATCGAGACCGCTGGCAAGAAGGAGTCCCTTCTGCAGAGCTACTCGATCCTCGATAAGGAGCCGTCCAAGTTCGTCGACACGTTCTTCGCAGAGTACACTGGCGCCAAGGAGATCCGTCTCGCCACCGAGGACGTCGGATACTTCCTTACGATCTGCCAGCGTCGCGGTCAGAAACCCGTTCCTTTCATTCCCGAGCTCGGCGACAACTTCCAAACGCTGTTCAAGAAGGACTCGCTCTGGCAGTCCGAGGATCTCGACGCTGTCGTTGGACAGGATGCGCAGAAGGTCATCATCCTCCAGGGCTCCGTCGCCGTTCAGCACTGCACCAAGGCCAACATTCCCGCCGGTGAGATGCTCGGCGAGATCGAGAAGGAGCTCGTCGCCAAGGTGCTCGCCAAGTACTACAACGGTGACGAGTCTCAGGTGCCATTCGCCGACTACGTCTCGAGCGACCCTCTCGCCATCGACGAGGCCGACTTCTACGCCCGCGCTGGCGTCGAGGCTTCGATCGAAGGCAGCGTCAAGACGCTCAAGCTCGGCAGCCGCCTGCCTGACACCAAGGAATGGCTCGAGGTGCTCGCGAGCCAGCGCACCAGCTGGCTGCGCGCTCTTCTGCGCAATGTCAGCGTTGTTCAGGGCAAGAACTACGCCGACAACCCGATGCTGCGCATGCTCGCTCCTCGCAAGCACCAGACGGCCAAGATCGCCTTCGGTGCGGACGGCGAGCCTCTAGGCCTCACCCTGTTTGGTGCTGCCCGCTCCTACGGCCGCCACGACGACACCTTCAAGGCGCTTGAGATCACCAAGTCGCCCGACTCGGCTCAGATTCAGGTGACGCTTCTCGAGGAGCGTCTTGGCGAGGCTGTTCCTCTTCACTTCTACTTCACTTATCGCCCCGACCAGCCGTTCGCTTCGATTCACGAGATCATGGACGGTCGCAACGACCGTATCAAGCAGTTCTACTGGCAGCTCTGGTTCCACGCCGACATGCCTGCTTCTGCTCAGCTCGCCTCGGCCAAGGAGTTCAAGAGCCCCGTCAAGTCGCTCGACGAGTCTGCCATCCGCAACTTCTGCCGCATCGTCGAGAACCGCGGCGAAGTCTTCACCAAGGGTCAGGCTCCCATGGACTTTGCCATCGTCGCTGGCTGGGAGGCCATCATGCAGGCGCTCATGGCTAGCTGCGATGCTGACTTGCTCAGCCTCGTTCACCTGAGCAACTCATTCAAGGTGGTCGACAATGCTCGTCCTCTGCGCGCCGGTGATGTCTGCACGGCCACCGCTCACGCTAGCAGCATCAAGATCTCGGACACGGGCAAGTCGGTCAGCGTCACCGGCACGGTCCTGCGCAAGGATGCCAGCGGCGAGTTCGTGCCCGTCATCTCGGTCGTCTCGAGCTTCTTCTTCCGCGGCCGCTTCACCGACTTCAACACCTGCTTCGAGACGTCGGAGAACGAGTTCACGCTCGAGATCAAGACCAAGGCCGATGCCACCGTTCTGCTCGCCAAGGAGTGGTTCGACTGGGTTGCACCTTCGCCTCTGACGCCCGGCACCGTGCTGCACTTCCAGATGCAGAGCCTTCTCCGATTCAAGGACAGCACTTCGTACTCGGATGTCGAGGTCATCGGCGGTGCCTACGTGCGCGACTTCAAGGACGACCTCATCAAGGTGGGCGAGATCGAGTACACGGCCGACGCCATCAGCTACGGCAACCCCGTCATCGAGTACATCAAGCGTAACGGCGGTGCTTCAACCGGCGGTGTCGCTCCTCTCGAGGCTGGCTACACGATCGGCGCACCCGAAGTCCCCGCCACCTTCGTCGCTCCCGCCACCAACGAGCCCTACTCGAACGTCTCGGGTGACTTCAACCCCATCCACATCAACCCCTACTTCTCTTCGTTCGCCTCGCTGCCCGGCACCATCACCCACGGTCTCTTCTCGAGCGCTGCCTCGCGCAAGTTTGTCGAGGTCGTTGCCGCCGAGGGCTACCCCGACCGATGCCTGTCGTTCGAGGCCAACTTTGTCGGCATGGTTCTGCCCGGCGATGAGCTCACCGTCAAGCTGCGCCACATCGCCATGCGCGACGGCAACAAGGTCATCAAGGTCGAGACTTTCAACCAGAACGGCGAGAAGGTGATCGACGGCCAGGCCGAGGTGAAGCAGCCGGCCACCGTGTACGTCTTCACTGGCCAGGGCTCCCAGGAGCAGGGCATGGGTATGGATCTGTACAACTCGAGCCCGACCGCCAAGGCGCTCTGGGACGAGGCCGACGGTCACTTGCGCAGCACCATGGGCTTCAGCATCCTCGAGATCATCAACCAGAACCCTCTCACCAAGACCATCCACTTTGGTGGTGTGCGCGGCCACACGATTCGCGAGCGCTACATGTCGATGACCTACGAGTCGACCGATGCCGATGGCAACACGGTGACGCTGCCGCTCTTCCCCGAGATCACCGCCTCGAGTCAGAGCTACACCTTCCAGTCGCCCAAGGGTCTGCTCTTTGCCACTCAGTTTGCTCAGATCGCGCTCGTGCTCGTCGAGCTCAGCGCCTTCCGCGACATGAAGCAACGAGGCCTCATCACGCCTGATGCCGCCTTTGCAGGTCACTCGCTCGGTGAGTACGCATCGCTCGCCGCTGTTGCTGCCGTTCTCGAGGTCAAGTCGCTTTGCGACGTCGTCTTCTATCGTGGTCTGTCGATGCAGAACTGCGTGCAGCGCGACCCCGTTACTGGCGCCTCCAACTACGCCATGATGGCTTGCAACCCCATCCGCATCGTCGGCGATGGCAACCCTTCGTTCGCTGGCCAGGCTCTCGCCGAAATCGTCGACTCGATCAGCAAGGAGTCCGGCCGTCTCCTTCAGATCGTCAATCACAACGTTGCCGGTCAGCAGTACGTCACCGCTGGTGATCTTGTCGCCCTCACCACGCTCGGCAACGTGTTGAACTTCATCAAGATCCAGAAGATCGACTTGAAGAAGCTCAACGAGATCATGTCCATCGAGGACGTGCGCGAGAAGCTCGCCGAGATTGTCCGCGAGGTCCTTTCGGCTGCGCTCGAGGAAGAGAAGAAGGGCCGCATCGAGCTCAAGCGTGGTTTCGCCACCATTCCTCTGCCAGGTATCGACGTGCCCTTCCACTCGCGCTACCTCACCGGCGGTGTGGCTCCGTTCCGATCGTACCTGTCGAAGCGCATCAACGTCGACGCGATCCGACCTCAGCTGCTCGTGGGCCGCTACATTCCCAACTTGGTCGCCGCTCCCTTTGAGCTGTCCAAGTCGTACGCCGAGCTCATCTTCGCGCAGACCGACTCGCCTCGTCTCGACAAGGTGCTCAAGAACTGGGAGAAGGACGAGTGGGCGTCGCCCGCGAGGGTGCAGAGGCTCACTGCCACGCTCGTGGTCGAGCTGCTTGCCTACCAGTTCGCCTCGCCCGTTCGATGGATCGAGACGCAGGACATCTTCTTCACCGACTACAACTTCGAGCGTCTCGTCGAGTTTGGTCCCAGCCCGACGCTCGTCGGCATGGCCAAACGAACGCAGACTCTCAAGTACTCGGCTGTCGACCTCGCTCAAGGTCGCAAGCGGGTCATGTACTGCTCGAGCAAGGACAAGGAGGCTCTCTACTACGCCTTCGCCGACGAGGAGAGCGAAGCGGAGGCTGCTCCCGCTGCTGAAGCTTCGTCCGCTCCTGCTCCTGCGGCCGTCGCTCCCGCTCCTGTTGCTGCCGCTGCCCCCGCTGCTCCTTCTGGTGGCGCTGCTGCTGCCGACGTGCCGGACGAGCCTGTCAAGGCGGTCGACACCGTCCGTGCCATCCTCGCTCAGAAGCTGAAGAAGAGCATCTCCGAGGTGCCTCTCTCCAAGTCGATCAAGGACTCGGTCGGCGGTAAGTCGGTGCTTAGCAACGAGCTCGTCTCTGACCTCTTGGCCGAGTTCGGCAACCTGCCCGAGCGAGGTGAAGAGCTCCCGCTTGAGGAGCTCGGTGGTGCTCTCCAGGCTGGCTACAGCGGCTCTCTCGGCAAGACCACCTCCGGCTTGGTCACTCGTACCGTCGGTGGTAAGTTGCCCGGTGGCTTCAACCTGTCAGCTGTCAAGTCGCACCTGCAGAAGGCTTGGGGTCTCGGTCCCGGCCGCACCGACGGCGCTCTTCTGGTCGCCATCACCATGGAGCCCGCCAAACGTCTCGGCTCGGAGGCCGAGGCCAAGGCGTGGCTCGACTCGGTCGCTCAGTCGTACGCCTCGCTCGCCGGCATCAGCCTCAGCCAGGCCAGCGCTGGCGGCGGAGGTGGTGGATCCGGTGGTGTCGCCATCAGCAGCGAGGAGCTCGACAAGCTCAAGGCGCAACAGGATGAGCACGTTCGTCGCCAGATTCAGGTGCTCGAGCGCTATCTCAACATGGACGGTCGAGCCAGTGGACGTCTCGCCGAGAGCACCAAGCTCGAGCTCGAGGCTGCTCAGGCTCAGCTCGATGCCATCGCTGCCGAGCACGGCGACATGTACACCAACGGTATCATGCCCAAATTCACCGAAAAGAAGGTCCGCCACTTCAGCTCGTACTGGAACTGGGCTCGCCAGGATGCCATGACGCTGCTCTACGACATCATCTACGGTCGTCTCACCACCGTCGACCGTGAGATCACGGCTCGCTGCATCACGCTCATGAACCGTGCCGACCCCAGCCTGCTCCGTTACATGCAGTTCCACGTCGATCAGATCAACGCCGACCAGGGTCCCACCTATGCGCTCGCTAAGATGTACGGTCAGCAGCTCATCGAGAACTGTCGCGAGGCCTGCGCCGAGGACGCCGTCTACAAGGAGGTCCACGCCCCTACCGCTCCTCACACCGAGATCGACGCTCGCGGCAACATCGCCTACAGCGAGGTCAAGCGTATCGGTGTGCGCAAGCTCGAAGCCTACGTCAAGGAGATGGCCGCCGGTAGCCGGCTGCTCGGCACTGACACGCAGGTCAACCTGGACAAGGCGCAAGAGAACGTCGCCAAGCTCTGGACGCTCATCCGCAACGAGCCTTCCGTCAGCAAGCTCAGCAAGTCGACCATCAAGAGCTTGTACACCGAAGTGGTGCGATCGCTTGGCCCCGCTCGTCAGGCCCGTGCTCCTGCTCGCCAGGCTCCTCGCAGCCGCCGCCTCAGCTCCAACACGCAGCGACCCCAGATCTCGGACGCGCCTGCTGCTGAGGACCGCACACCCTTCCTCCACGTCAAGAGAAAGGTCGCCGGTCAGTGGCAGCTCAGCCGGAAGCTCACGTCGGTCTACCTCGACATCCTCGGCGAGATGGCTACGCAGGGTGTCAGCTTCAAGGGTCGCAACGCTCTGCTCACCGGTGTCGGCAAGGCTTCGATCGGTGTCGAAGTGGTCAAGGGTCTCTTGGCCGGTGGCGCTCGCGTCGTCATCACCACCTCGAGCTACAGCCGCAGCGTCGTCGAGTACTACCAGCGCATCTACCAGGAGGTCGGCTCGCGTGGCTCCACTCTCACCGTCGTTCCCTTCAACCAGGCTTCCAAGCAGGACGTCGACAACTTGGTCAAGTACATCTACGGCTCGCTCGACCTCGATCTCGATTTTGTGGTGCCCTTCGCCGCCATCTCGGAGAATGGCCGTGAGATTGACGGCATCGACGACAAGTCGGAGCTGGCTCACCGTCTCATGTTGACCAACCTCGTTCGTCTGCTGGGTGCCATCAAGACCGAGAAGGCGAGTCGCAACTTTGACACTCGTCCCACTCAGGTCCTCCTTCCCCTTTCCCCCAACCACGGCACCTTCGGTGGTGACGGCCTGTACGGTGAGAGCAAGCTCGGTCTCGAGACCCTGCTCAATCGATGGGAGAGCGAGAGCTGGGGTCAGTATCTCTGCATTACCGGTGCCATCATCGGCTGGTGCCGAGGCACGGGTCTCATGTCGTCGTCCAACACGGTCGCGGAAGAGATCGAGAAGCTCGGCTGCCGAACCTTCAGCACCACCGAAATGGCGTTCAACTTGCTCGGTCTCTTGGCTCCCACCGTCTCGGCCGTCAGCCAAGTCGAGGCTCTCCTTGTCGACCTCAACGGTGGCATGGACAAGATCGTCGATCTCGCTGAGCAGACTGGCAAGTTCCGTGCCGCCATCCAGGAGGCTTCGTCCACCAAGCGCGCGCTCGTCGCCGACAACTCGGCCGACTTCAAGGTCATCAAGGGCTCGGCGGCCGAGGCGCTCCACAAGAAGGTGCACATCAACCCGCGAAGCAACTTCACCTTCCGCTTCCCTGAGGTCGGCACGCTCGACTTCAACCGCGAGATCACCAAGAGCTACTCGCAGATGGACCTCGAGAAGGTGGTCGTCATCACTGGTTTCGCCGAGGTCGGTCCCTGGGGTTCGTCGCGCACTCGATGGGAGATGGAGGCCTTCGGCCACCTCACCAACGAGGGTGTCATCGAGCTCGCCTGGATCATGGGCTTGATCAAGCACCACGACGGTCCCCTCAAGTCCGGTGCCACCTATGTCGGCTGGGTCGACGTCAAGAGTGGCGAGCCCGTCGACGACAAGGAGGTCCGCGCCAACTACGAGGAGCACATCGTCAAGCACGCCGGTATCCGACTCATCGAGCCCGAGCTCTTCCGCAACTACGACCCCAACCGCAAGGGCTTCCAGCAGGAGATCGAGCTCAACCACGACCTCGAGCCTCTCGAGGTCTCGGCCGAGGAGGCGGGCAAGTACAAGCTCGAGCACGGCGACAAGGTCGATGCTTGGCAAGATGCTTCTGGCGGCTGGTTTGTGGTGCTCAAGAAGGGTGCTCGCATCTTTGTGCCCAAGGCCGTCGCCTTCGACCGCCTCGTTGCTGGTCAGCTTCCCACGGGCTGGACGGGTCAGCGCTACGGTATCCCTGACGACATCGTTGCCCAGGTCGACCGCACCACCCTCTGGGCGCTCGTCTGCGCTTCCGAGGCGCTCGTCAACTCGGGTATCGCCGACCCTTACGAGCTGTACAAGCACATCCACCCCAGCAAGGTCGGAAGTTGTATCGGTTCGGGCATGGGTGGCATGACCTCGCTCAGCAAGATGTTCCGCGACCGCCGCAATGACACGGACGTGCAGAACGACATTCTGCAGGAGACCTTCATCAACTCGGTCGCCGGTTGGGTCAACTTGCTTGTCATGTCGTCGGCTGGTCCCATCAAGACGGTCGTCGGTGCTTGCGCTACGGCGCTCCAGTCGATCGACGTCGCTGTCGAGACCATTCTCTCCGGCAAGGCCGAGCTCATGCTGGCCGGTGGCTTCGATGACCTTTCGGAGGAGGGCTCGTTCGAGTTCGCCAACATGAAGGCCACTTCGAACGGCAAAGAGGAGCTGGCCGCTGGACGAGAGCCCTCGGAGCACTCGCGACCCTTCTCGACCTCGCGCAGCGGTTTCATGGAGTCGCAGGGTTGCGGTGTCCAGGTGCTCACCACGGCCGCCAACGCCATCAAGCTCGGCATGCCCATCCAGGGTATCGTGGCCTACTCCAACACCCACACTGACGGTGCTGGCCGCTCGCTGCCCGCTCCTGGTCACGGTGTCATCAGCAGTGCCGACGGCATGCAGCGTGCGCTCGCCCGCTTCAACCTCACCGCCGACGACATTGGTGTCATCTCGGCGCACATGACGGCCACCAAGGCCAACGACAAGAACGAGTCGCACGTCTACCAGGAGCTGTTCACGCGCATGGGCCGTACACCGGGTCACGCCGTGCCGGTCATGGCGCAGAAGTGGCTTTGTGGTCACGCAAAGGGTGGTGCCGCCGCCTGGGCGCTCAACGGTGTGATGCAGTCGCTGCACACCTCCATCGTCTGCGGTAATCGCAACGCTGATGACATCTCGCCCGAGCTGCAGAAGTTCGACATGCTCCTCTACAACTCGACCTCGATCCACCGCACACCGCACCACGTCAACGCTGCTGCTGTCTCGTCGTTCGGTTTCGGTCAGGTGGGTGGCATCATCCTAGTTCTGCATGCCGCTCACATTCTCGGTCGTCTCTCGCCCAAGGTCTTCGAGGAGTACGTTGCGCGTCGCAAGGCCCGTCAGCATCAGACCTACACTCGCATGCACTCGGCGCTTACCAAGGAGGACCTGGTCCGCATCAAGGACAACCGCCCTTGGCCCGCCGAGCTCGAGGACCAGGTGCTGATGAACTTGAACGCTCGCGCCGTCGAGATGGGCGACAGCTATGGCTTCAAAGCACCTCTCCCGCCTATGCCTGCGCTCGTCACCGTCGAGGACACCATCGTTCCTGCCAAGCCGGCCAACGTAGCCGCTCAGCAGGAGAGCCTCGAGAAGATGATGGGCCACGTCGCTGGTGTCGGCATTGACTGCGAGAAGGTCTCGACCTTCCCTTCGGACAATGAGAACTTCGTCTCGAGGAACTTTACCGATGTCGAGATCGAGTACTGCCGAGCACAGCCCGACCCCAAGGCTTCGTTCTGCGGTCGATTCTGTGCAGCGGAGGCGGTGGTCAAGTCGCTCGGCGTTCGCACGCAGGGCTCGGGTGCTTCGCTCAAGGACATTGAGATCGTGCCCACGCCCGAGGGACCTCAGGTCAAGCTGTACGGCGAGGCACTCAAGGCTGCCAACGGTTCGCGCTTCCTGGTCTCGATCTCGCACGGTGACGACACGGCCATGGCCATCGTTCACCGCCTGCCCAGCGCCTAAGAAGCGCAACCTCGTACGCGCCGATCTCCTCTCTCTCTCTCGCATTGCATCACAAGGCAGGGTGGATCATCGGGCATTCGGGCGCTATTCGAACGACGTTCCATTGGCGTCTCACTTCAACACACTTGGGTCCACAGCTGGACGGGCGCGCTCTTACGAAACGATGGATGTAGGGAAGGAGTCGTCAACCGGCCCTGCACCGTCGTCATTCGATCTGCCGCCCAGTTTAGCCCCAAGTTACGCCACGAATGATCGCTTCGGTGGCTCTCCTGATCTCGTTGTTTCGCCTTTGTCTTTCACTCTCATCATTCTGTCCCCTTCAGCCGTGTTGCCGATCTTGCCAACGTTCGGCGGAGTGCGGCGATTCGTCACCGCTTAGCGCTACCCCTGCTTGGCTCCCTGCTTCATGGCTGTCGGGCACTCACCATCATCACATGCTTCATCATAGATTGTCCGTACGCTTCATTTTCCCTGGTTACCATGCTCCGTGTTTCGAAATGTCATGATTGATCTTCCCTCAGCGTCGTGTGGGCTGCCTGTGACTGAGTCCAAATGGTGGCACAAGTGGAGCCTCGGCTGTGAGCGGCTAAAAAGTGGGCTTGAGCAGCGCGATGCGGCTGATAAGCGGGCGGAGTTGAAATGTGGAAGCGAAGCAGCTGACTCGTTTGTGGTCACACTCACAGACGGCATTTTGTTGGAATCACGAATCCTCGATCTGTATTCATCCTTTCTTCCTCCCATCCCTTCAACAACCTCGCAAGCATCCAGCAACGTCCGCCGTCTGTGACCATCCCTTCGTTTCGTTCGTGACACAAGCTCTCGTGGTTCGCATCAAGATACCCGTTCCCGCATCGCAACACTTCGCATTGACTCGATTCTTGCCCGTCTGGCACGCCAAGTTGACCTCCTCTCGAAAGGATCCCAACCTGCTCTTCTCACCCGGAGTTCAACTGTGCTCATTTCCATCGCTCGCCACTTTGCTCGCTCGCATAGCAGCATCTCCCCAATAGTCTAGCTGAGGCTCGTCTCGGCGGTCAACACAATGGAGCGCATCCTCGGCACGATCTTCCCCTGCTGCTTCCCTGCACGTCGGGGTCGTCGCTCTTCCGCGGGGGAGCACAACGAGCGCACGCCTCTCCTTCCGGACTCGGCACAGGCAGGCAGCTCGCGCAACTCGCTCAACGGTAGCGGCATCGCCACTCCAGGCTCGGACAGACGGGTGAAGCGGCAATCGGTGCTCCCTGCGCCGGCGTACGATGCACACGTGCTGCGCGGGATCGTCGACGAGTTCCGCGGAAGGATCATCAGTGTTGATCCCGCAGCAGGCGCAGGGGCAGGAGTGGGGGAGAAGAGCGGCGTGCTTGTCGGTCCTGAAGAGGTGGGTGAGGCGCAAGCGGGGAGGGCACAGAGTGGGGAAGGGAGACACGTCACACCCGTCCACACGCTCACCCTCGGCGCGACGGCGGAGAGGGGCGGAACGAGGTTGGTAGATATCTGGTCCGATCCCACGCCACCTCCAGCAGCAGCGAGCGGCGCGGGTGTGGGGATGAGCTATTCGGCTGCAGCGAAGCGCGCCCCTGCCATCGCACCGGGTAAAAAGGCCAAGCGCGGAGCGAAAGCGACAGCAACAGCGACAGCGGCAAAAGGGACAGAAGAGGGCGTGGAACAGCGGACGTACGAGGCGTTGGCAGAGATGGTCCGCGCCAAACCGGTTGTTTTCGATTGGGCTGAGGAGGGGGATGCCGAGTAGGGGGTGGGATGGAGCTGTGTGTGGATTTTGGGGATGGAGGTGGAGCGAGGGCCAGCGGAAGAGGTGTTGAGGTTGGGAAATGATGGAGCTCTCCGAACGATCCGTCTCGACGAGGCATAACGGAGCACACCTCACGAATCAATGGACACCACACGCTCTCAGCATGCTTAGGCATCTCACCACGTTCGGACTTCACATCACACATTCAGCCGTTCGCTCACGAAGGCCAACCCCAAATGCACAAATCGCCTCTGCCGTTCGCACGCAGACTGCGTTTTCCGAAATGATCGTGACTGTGTCTTCATTCCTGTGTGTGTGCAAGTGTCGACGTGATCGCTGATCATGAAGAAGGTGGATCCGTGTCTAACCTGTGGGTGCGAGAAACGATGGGTTGCAGCTCGTGCGATTCGCCCGCGTCAGCCTGAGTGACGATAGGTGTCGGTGTGGTGGCGGTGCTGATTGCTGGTGCTGCGATTGGCTCTGCCTGTGAAGACGCTTCTGCCGCAGATACCGGCGTCTCTGCCATCACCATCGCCGGCTGCTGCACCGCTTCTGCTTGCCCATTCGAGCCCACATCCTGTTGCTGCTGCTGCTGCTGCTCCCCCATACTCCCATTTACCGCCCGCAACGCCACCGTCTCGGCCCGCTCCACCTGCATCTCAGGTATAACCGCCTTCTGGCACACGGGACACCTCCCGCTGACCGTCGTCAACCACTGATCCACACAGCCCCGATGCATCACATGCCCACACTCCAACAAGCGCAGCGGCTCCGGTTCGGGCTCCTCGCCGGGCGAAGGCTCTTCGAAGTCGCAGAGGCAGATGGGGCATGTTGCGCGGTGGGCGGGGAGCGGGTGGAGGGGGTATTTGAGCCCCCGAGTGGTTTTTGGTGGGGAGATGGTGGATGGGGTTGAGGTGGTGGGGGTGGTTGGGGAAGGAATGGGGGACCTGCGTCGTCGAGGGACGAGAATCCGGGTGAGGCGGGTGACGCGATTGAGAGCGGGGAGGGTGGTTGTGATGGTCTCCTGCGTTGGACGTCGGGAGCCTAGGTCTGGTCGAGTGGGTGTTGTCTCGCCCTCGCTCGCCTGTTCTGCTGCATCGCGTTCGGTAGATTGTGGGATCGCCTCTCCCTGCTGCACCGCGGTCTCCTCCTCCGCCGGCGTATAGTAGACCAACTTGACCCGCTTATCCACCTCCTCCTGCCCGATCTTGCCCGTCTCGGGATTGATCTCCCGTCGCGCCCTCCCGTTCTGCAACCCCAGCGCGCGCAGCACCACCATCAACAGCGGTAACGCGCACACGATCAAGAAGGCCAGCACGGCGATCTCGAAAATGAAGATGTACACCACGATCAAGCTGGCCAGAGCACCCCAGAAGAGGGGCACAGCCTCCGCTGGTCGCTGAGAGCACTCCGTGCTGCTGTAGACGATAGCGTTTCCAACGAAAAAGATGACGAGGCTGGCGATCCCGAGGAGGGTGGAGAGCTTGCCCACTTTGACATCGAGGTACTCGGAGCCGAGAGGACGGTCGCGTTCGGCGATGGCGCGTTGTTCCGGCCCAGCATTGCGTCCAGCCCGCGTGCGATGTGGTGAGAGACCCAAATAGAGCTCCACGGGGATATCGAGGGCGAGACGCACAATGTGCACGACGAGGTAGTTGAACAGCGATGCGGGGTTGCAGACCCGCCCGGTCTCGTGGGAGGGCGAGACGCGGTGTGAGCCAGGGAGCGAGAGGAGCGGGATAAAGGCGATGATTTGTGCGAAGGAGATGATGATGCGTGAAAGAAGGATGAGTCGGCGCCCGCGAGGAAGTTGCCGTACGCCGAGGTAGAGGGATGCTAGGAGGTTGCGACGTAGTGTCAGGGCTTCGGTGAAGGAGGAGGAGCTAGGTGCTGGTGCGGTTGCTGCTGTGGGGGTTGCGTTGATGACCGGAGCTGGCGCCGCCACGGCTGCTGCTGCTGGGTCGTTGTTCGTCGACATGCCTGCAAGCTCGAGGTCGACCGACCTGTATGATGACAAGATGGTTGTGAAGAAGCAGCAATCAAGGTTCGACCCAATGATGTGCGCTGTCACACGAGCTTGCCGTGCTGAATGCGGAGCTCGAATGCGAGTCCTCGCAACTTGGATGGTGTGATGGTCGAGACAGAGCCAGCTGCCGGACGAGCTGGATCAGAGTCGCACGTCCAGCACTTGAGTAACGTGTGGTGGTCGAGAGGAGTGTCGTCTGATGGTCAGCGCGCCTTGATGTCAAGGTGGAAGGCAAGCGGTTCTGGAAATAGAGCTCGGTGAGTCAAGAAGCAACGCAGCTTGGCGCGGCGTGTGGAGAAAGCCAGCCAACAGGATTAGACCCAAAAACCGCGCTGGGTTCAGGCACAGCCAGGGTCTGACATATGGCCGCGCCTCGGAACAAAAGAGCTGCCAAGAAACGCCAATTTTTACAGCGTCTCCTGCATAGAGGCTGTGCTACGTATAGCCCGATCCTTCGTCGAACAGCATGCAGGCAGTCATACTTCAAACAGTCCATACAATCGTAGCAGCCTTATCAGATTACAAGCTACCCATGAGACTAAGCGTTGTGACTTGACACTTGAGCGACAGTTTGCGGTGTAACAATGTCGCTTTTGGCGAGACCTTTTTCCTCCGCCTCGCGCTGGATGAAGAGAGCCTGTTCAATCTTGCTCTTCTTGAGATCGAGTGGCCAGAGTAAGACGCAACTTGCCGCGCTGAGTGCGAGCAAGAAGTAGAACGGCGTGCTGGCGTTTCCAGTGTCGTCCGCGATGGCCTGTGTGATGAACGGGGCGATGAAGGACGAGCCCTTGCCCACAATCGAGAAGAGGCTGAAGAAGAGGAACTCTGTACCCTTCGGCGTCACCTCTGCGATCATCGTCTGCCCGTAAGCATACCACGGGCACACCACTAGGCCGTAGTATGCCTGATAAACATAGAACTCCCATTCGTTGTGGAACCCGAAGCGTTGAGTGAAGATGCCGATGAAACCCCATACCTGGAGGAGCAGGGTGAAGAAGATGACGGCGCAGAACATTGTAAAGGTGGAGAGCTGGAATCGTTTTTGGATCAGCCAGAAGGTGTAGATGCCGACTGCCTGGGCTGCAATGCCGACGATGAGGAGGATGTTGGACGTCGTGGCCGAGTACGAGGTCGTTGCATATTGAAGGGTCGAGATGACGGTGACGGTGGTGTTGAGCGCGTCTGAGAAGAGGAAATAAAAGATGAGGTAGATGAGCGTCTGACGCAGATGTCGCAGATGCTTTGCTGCGAGAAAAGCCTGTTTGACGGCAGCAGTGAGGTAGTTGGTGCCCGGCGGGAGGGGCTGGCCAGGCCGCCAGCGCATGGCGAGGAAGTACGGGATCGAGCAGAGGATCTGCACTCCACCGCCGAAGGCAACGATAGCGGAGAGAGCCGTGGTGTTGGACTGCGTGTCACGATCAGCGTGAATGCCGTAGAGCATGCCCTGGATGACGGCAAGAACCACGAGCTCGCCGACGGAGCAGACGGTAAAGGCGATGTTGGAGATGCGATTGATGGCCATGGTCTCGAGCAGGCTGTACTTGTCCGCTGTCATGCGACCCTCGTCGTTCGTACCAGAAACAGACTCGGTGATGTTTTCGACGGCTGGAGTGGTCGCTTTGTCATCGACGTCCTTGGTCTCGGTTGTCGCAGCGATGTTCGAGTCCTCGATAAGCCTCTGGCGAGCTTCGCGCATGTGCGGCAGGTCTCTGGCAAGGCCCGGGAAGGCAGCCGTCCAGTAGGTCTGACAGAGCTGATACGCAATGAGACCAACCATGTACATGCCCGTTGCGACCTGCCACTTTTCCGGTGTCGTGACACCAAGCCAGCCGAGACTGAGACCGATGGAAAGCGCGGTCGAAACGATCAGGATGAGGGGCCTGTTCTTGCCATAGTCCGCCGTGCTACCGATGGCGATGAAAAGTGCGGCCTGGATGGCGAACGAAATGCCGTTGCTCAGCAACACAATGCTTTCGATCGTTCGCTCCTTGCCTGCGAAAAGCAGGCGGCACTCTGGCTGGTCATCGCCGCCACAGGTTCCGGCACCAAGGTTAGTCGCCTCCTGCGACAAGAGGTTCTGAAACTGCGTCGGAGCAAAGTTGAACAGACTGAGACCACACTGGCCGACGTAGTAGAGGTAGTAGGTCCAGAGCTCTTTGCGACCAGTGATGTATCGAGCATGGGTGGCGGTAGCATCTGAGCTGTTGGTAAGGAGGGCGGTCGCAAAGTTCTTGTTGGTGCTGACTTCGCTGATCGCGTCGGACTCGTGTTCGAGTGAAATTTGATCTCGCTCGTGCAAAGAGGGAGCGTGCGGCTCGGGCGCAGGCTTAACAGTGTCCGCCATACTGACAAGGGAGGACGAGGAGGGGGGAGAGCTGATGGTGAGAAGGCAAGGTGAGGCTTGAAGGAAGAGACAGGATTTTGAGCGGGATGCAGGTGCGAAAGAGACCCTTGGCATGCAGACACAATGCATTCACAAACATCACATGGGAGCCGCTCCATCCCGCGGCGGATACCCCGTGTGGCGGCGGCAATACACGAGGCTCACGGAGGACCCTCTGCGGGACAAAACTTCTTGCGACGAGCAAACGCCGCATTTTCATCTTTGCCGTGACGGCGGCTTCGCGTGGGCAGAGCCGTCGGTCAGCGCGGCGGGCCCAAATTGGCAACTTCATCAAGTGTTAGATCCCGTGCTCGACTGCTTTTCTACGGATCAAAAATCGCACAGAGCATCACCGCTGTTGACAATTCGCCGAGGCCAGCCACAGCTTTGTTTTTCCCCGCCTGCGGGTACACGGAATGATGCTGGAGGGACCGAGATTCGTGTGTGCTCAAGACCATGGACCGTGCTAGACCGGCGCCCGCGCCTGAGAGCAAAGACAGAGACGATCGCTGAGGCATGAGCAAGAGGCAGGAATTGCAGCAGTCCGCGCTACGGGCCGAGGCCAGAGGCGTGAGCGCTCGGTCTCCACGGCGTCTGCAGCAAAGCACACACAAACACACGCACGCACACGCGATTTTCAATTCATGCTCGAGATCGTCATCTTGTCTTGCCCAGTGCTCACAGATCGTCTTTCTATCTGATCACCATCTCTACCTCACAAGATTGCTCTCCACCTCAGTTATATTGCCGCCCTAGGCTGGCAATCAGTATCCCTGCACTTCAGCAGGTTTGAACCTTGATCGTCACCGACGGCTTTCTGACGGCCTAAAAGCATCAGATCAGTCTCAGCAGCGACCACAAGCGAGCCGACAATCCACACGACCGTAAACTTCGGCCCCTTCATCTCGCCATCTGAACAAGGCCGTTTCATCTGTCTGCCAGCTTTGGTCCACAAGAAAGGAACACGGTCACGAATCGGAACCTCATCACAATGGGTAAGTCGATTCAGCTCCGTCACATTCGATCCGCTCTCAACCCACCTTCCAGCTGCGTTCGAATCGGCTTCATTTGATAGTCAGGGAGATTGCAGATGAGAGTGTTCACAGCAAGCGAGACAGGCAGAGAAGCGCATCGGCAGCGACAGGCTCTGCACAGACACGGTTGACAGCTACGGACATGACCCGAGTCAGGTGGCTCAACGCCTCAGTACGGCGTCAATGATTTGCGTTGCAGGTGGATGGCGGCAGGATCGGAGACAAGAGCTGCAGCGTGTCTGTCGTTGTTCCGGGCCCGATTGGTGGACTGAATAGATCTCGATACGAGCCGATACTCGAGAGGCAGATCAGTGGTGGCTGTTGATCTCATGCAAGCCAAGCATGCGTATGCAGTCTTAGGTTGGGCTCGGGTGCGGTCTGTCGGTTGGGTAGTTGCAGGCGTAGTCAGCGACTGTCTAGCCAGCTAAGCGCGCCACATCAGCGGCCTCGCCAAGGCGCACGACCCCTGTGCCTTTTTTCCAGCTCAAATTCCCTCTCTCGGATGCACGTCTCAGACATACACAGCTTTGCGAGAGCCGCACCCTGTCACTCTACGCGCTTCCCATTCTCGAAAAAAGGCCACAGCCCAGCACAGCACAATCCTCTCGATCGCCGCGCTAATTTCACTTGGTCGGGCCACAGAGAAAGATGCGCAGATAGCTCAGCTCGCCTTGACCTCTTTGGCTTCATCTTGTACCCCGCTTCGATCTTGCATCAGCATCATCATCTCTACCTGATCATACATCAGCTCTCTGAACATTGGCGTCTAACCACTGGCTTATTTTCATCATCTGACCAGCCTACCGCAATACCTCAAGGCAGGCCGTCCTCGACGCTCTCTCCGACGTCGTCACAGTCAACCCAAACGTGGAAACCGACCGAGCTCGATCTTCTCGACACGCTCACCACCCATCTTACGATCCAGAATCCTCCTACCACGGTCTCCAGCCTCTTCCTCACTCCGAGCCTCCGCCCATGGTTCCTGCCAAGAGCCCTTTCGAGGATCGCAGCCTCCCACCACCTCCTGAAGTGCCCTCCAAATCTGGAAACACCATGGCTAGCAAATTTGCCAATGCTTTCCGCAAGCAGAGCGCCGACGACAAGGCAAAGAAGCGTGCAAAGGACAAGCGCTTGAACGACGAGATCAACAAGACCACAGCTAAAGCAAGCCGCATGGACATTATCGACCGTCTCGACTTGTCCGGGATCAATGGCTCCAGCAGTAAGTGCCCTCCGCCGTTTTGGTCGCTTCGTCAGCGCATCATCGTGCTCGATGCTGACCCCTCTAAAACTTTGCTTGTTCAATCGCTACAGTGTTCCACCACGACTCGCCGTACGACGCTTGTGCCCCTCACATGAACGCCGGCAAGCGAGCTCCCGTAGGTGCCTTTGACCCCAACGTGGACCCCATGACGGGTCTCCAACGCAACGCAGCAGGCGGCAAGCGCGGCTCTCGCGTTCCCGCTCAGGACGGCAGCCCTGTGGACGAGAAGAGCGGCGCCGTACGACCCGGTCTCAACGCAAAGGGTGGCCGCAGTCGTAGCTCCACAGCGCCCCTTGTCCCTTCCCTCTCGATGCACGCACAAGGATCCGCCACAGAACTTCCCCTCGACGAAGAGGTGGATGCCGACCGAGACGCGGATGCCGAGCGTGTCTGGCGAAGTCGACAGGGCTACCACACTCAGCCCTCCAACGTCCCGGAAAGCCGCTACGATGTTTCCAACCCCAATGCCGACGTATGGGGTGTCAGCGCCGAACCCTGGCAGGACTTTGCCCAGCCCAAAGCGCGCGTCCGTTCGACACTCAGCCCCTACTCTGCCGGCAACGGCGACGCCAGTGGCACCACCAGCGCTGCCAGCAGTGTCCTCGACATGGAAGCCATCATGACGGGCCAGAAGAAGCCATCGCGCCGTCAGGAGGAACTCGCCACCGGAAGCGCCAGCCCCTTCCCGGAGCCCAACTACGACGACCGCGCGCTTGCGGTTCCCTCGGACGGTCCCAAGCGCAACAAAAGTCTTATCAAACGCATCCGCAGCATGCGCGACAACCCCAACGTCCCTCCACCCGAGGACGGCGTCGAGATGGGCGTCCGTGGCAGCCGTCGTAGAGCAGCACACAAACATTCTCCCAGTACACCGCCTATGCGCACCGATTCCGTAGCCGGCAGTGGAGCTTCCTCGTACGAAGCTCGTGCCGCTGCGGCTGACGCTGCCACCGGCGCCACCAGCGGCAGCTACAGCCGTCGCACCGGCCGAACGGTGGTGACGCCCAACGAGAGGGATGTCATCACGCCACGAGCGGGACGCGACGAGGACTCCTCCTACTTTCAAGGCCAGCAAGCCGGACGATCTCCGACGAACGAAGGCGGATTGACAAGGAGCGGTAGTTTGTTCGACAAGCTCAGACGTGGTCAGAAGCCCAAGTCGACGGAAAGGGCTGCTGCGTACACTTGATGCAAGGACAAAAGGTTGCGAGCCTATGCTGTGTCTTTGGCCTTGTTCCCCAACTGGCCCGCTGTCTTTTTTTTCTGTAGTCTGGCACTCGCTCAAATGGACTTTCTTTTCTGTACGCCCGGGCCCAAGCGCCTCCCTCACCAGCAGCGAAGAAGCTACCATCAAAGCAGTGTTCGATAGATGGCATGGAGACAAAGCCACTCATCCTACAGAGACGATGAAAGGCAGAAATGAAGGCCGAAAAGTGCATCTCCGAACGCGTCTATTTCAATTCTTGGAGAGGAGCTCGAAGGCGTTTGATCGGAGCGCTGGACGTCGACAAGCACTCAGATTCCCGGACTAAATTTTGGCAGAGATGGAGAAGCTTCAGGTCCAATAGCGCAGAGACGCCGATCCCAGAGTCGACATCGATGTCGTGAGGGAATCTGGACAGATGCTCGCCGATCTTCGCAGTTGTGGATATGCGGTTTGCGGTCGGTGGGTCCGATGGGCTTCTTCAAAGCTTTGTCCGTCTGACATCCGCATTTTAAGGATGGCATGAGCAAGAGTGACTCAGCAGAAGCATCGACGGACCATCTGGACAGCGATCAGGCCTGTGCGGCGCCGTTATTGGATGCTCCATCTGGACGCCTCCAACGGGCAACAGGTAGACAGTCTGAGCGGAGTCATTGTATGCCAAGCACCTCGAAAAACCTTGGAGTCGATCCTATCAATATGCGTGCTGTCCTTTTGCTCAAACGCTCCGATTTCAGAACATGTAGAAAGCTTGCATGTCGTATACAGTAGCTTTGAGAGCCCGAATGAGCCGCCTGCAGCAGCCCTTTGCCCTGCTTTTGCATCCCAACCTTGAGATCGGGCGAGACTGTCCTCTCGCTGATGTTGTCTCTGAGCTATCGAAGCTCATCAGGCTTCTTCTTGTAGACCTCCCAAAAGGCAGCGTCGTACCAATCCATGAGCTCGAGAAGCAGCTCTGCGAGATCATCGACTCCGGGAAAAGGTTATCGGAGGACTTCTTCCTTGAACAGCGTCTTGCACGGCTCGGATGGTATTGCGGGAGCCCTTGGCCGTGGCTTCCTCGAACCTGGCGGAAGCAGACATGTTGAAGGATGCCTCCAACTGTCGGCTACCGTTTTCCGTTCGGACAACTTATCACAAACGTCGTTCGTAGTGCCCTCCGCTTTCCGAGTCCAGGTTCACAATTGGAGCGCCGTCAAAATCGTTCTCAACGTCGTCAACGTCGCCCTCTTCGTATTCCATCCCAAGAGTCGCAATCTCAACGATCTCAATGTCGTCAATGTGATCATCTCATTTCTGGCGGAGTAAGAGCAAAGGGGCGCCCATGAGATCCTCGCCGGACTCCCTGCGATGTCAATTCCGAGCAAAAGTGCAAGGTCTTCCACGCCTGCGCACCTGCCGAGGGTGACAAATTTACGTGACCGCGACTGCTCGCCGCTGATTCATCACACTCTTGAGGCGTTGTCGGTTAGACGATCACAGTCACACATGATGTGTAGCGAGCAACAGTCAGCCCTCACTGCTTTAACGAAGCGCCGCTGTCGTGGGAACGAGTCAGCAGGACGCGATTGCTAAGCCGAGTATCCTCATTGGCTAGGAGAGGTCAGCTGTCAGTCGCAGCGCACCAACGTAGAGACAATCAGCAAGATGATCCGAGCTCAAGTTACAAAGTGACTGACCTTGGAGCTCTTCATCGTCGCTTGCCGCTTGCCATGCGATGAATTCAGCCTTCTGCTGAAGAAGCACTGCTTCTCAACGCGCGGCGCGCGGGTAGCATCAAACATATAAGAAGCAACGAGTCTCCCACCGCCCTGCTCGTCTCTTGTCGTATCTGTTTCTCTAACCACGACAATGGCTACGCTTCCGCTGTTGTCTGTCCGAACCATCACGCCTCTGCTACGCGCCTTCAGCATCGCTCCTACCATCGCTGCTCAGCTTGCATCTTCCCCGCGCACCTTTGCCACGATGACAGGTGGAATTCTACTCGATGAGATCAAGGTGAGTCGTGGTGGTGTAGCTTCTGCCAGGCGTCTTGGGATTCAGGATTGGGGACGCTGAATCTTGTTCATTTGTACACTGCTGCCCCTTGCAATCACAGGTCGACCACGACAACATCCGAGACCTCCTCGAGCGCTTCAAGGACGCCCACTCCAAGAAGGACGAGGACCTTTGCGTTGCTAGTGAGCTGCCTTTCGTCATCTCGTCTCTTCATCCAGCATTCTGACGCTCACGTTTTGCGGACTCTCATCCTACTCGCCCTGCTCCTTTGCGCAGTCTCCAACACGATCATCCGCGAGGCGGCCGTTCACTCGGACGCCGAGGAGCTCTCGATCTACAAGCTCATGGAGAAGCACGGCATGACGTCGGTCGCTGAAAAGGATCGCTCGGATCACCAAGAGGTCAAGCAGGCCATGGCTGAGGTGGATACCAGCACCCAGGCGCTCCACGCCGACGGGCTCGCTACGCACGCCAAACGTGTCGAAAAGGCTTGCAACCTCTTCCTCGAGCACGCCAAAGTAAGTTCCATCCGCTTAACCACCACAAATCAGCCTTTGACACACCTTGCTGACCTCGACTTGCTTTGGAGTAGGAAGAGGAGAACGACCAGCTGCCGCGTCTCTGCGCCGCCCTCGACGGTGACGACCAGGCCAAGGCGATCGACGATTTCCTCAAGGCGCGCAAGATGGCCCCCACCCGTCCCCATCCTTCGGCCCCCCAGCACGGTGGAGCGACCCAGAAGGCTGCCGGCGCCGCCGCCAAGGCGGTGGATGAGCTGTCCAACGTGGGTCGCAAATTCGTTGATGTCAAATACCGACACAGCGACGGCTCGCCCTCTGGCACTTACACCTGAGTCGAGCGCTCGTTCGTGGTCGCACCGATCCTCTGTTTGCAAGCGGCGTTGCTCGAACGTCATTCTTGAAGTTGACGTGAAGCAGCTGCGCGCTGTCTTTCTCTCACTCTCTCGCACCTGTCTCGCTCTCTCTGTGCTTCTTTCGCTTTCAGCCAATCCGTCATTCGCGCCCAATGCACTTGCATCATCCTCAATCGCACACAAAAGGAAGCTCGACTGCTGCATTCTGAGTTACACGCCTTGAGTGAACTAGCTGCCAGTCTCGTCTTCCGCATCCTCTTTGGTGGGAGTGACGGGGCTGGAGGAGGCAGACTTTGGTGGGACGTCTGCCTTGAGCAGGTCGGCGCGCAGCTGTTCGCCCGTGCGGTCTGCGTCGTGCACCACTGCTTGCAGTGACGCCTCTGTCGACGGGCTCGTCTGAGTGTCCGAAGTCGTGGTTGCCAGCTGTGCCTGCGCGTCACTGCCGACAGGTGCCTCTGCCGAGTCCGTCGCCTCGTCGCTATCCTCCCCATCCAGGCCCAAACTCCTCGCCTTCCGGAACAGCTCCGCCTCCTCGCTCAATTGGCCTTTCGCCAAATTTTCCGTGGGCGATCGGGGCGGCAGCCTCTCCTCTGCCTCTACCGGGTCTTCTCGATCCGCAGACGTTTCCTCGAGCGCCAAATTGGACGTTTGGATGTGCAGTCCGGCCATGAGTCCTGACAGGGGCGCGTCCTGCCCTGGCTGGCGTCGTCGGGTACCAGCCTCGTCGTTGTCGCTCCCGTCCGAGTCGGCGATGCTGAACGCCGGCGAGGCGAGACCAGATTCCAGCTCGGGCGTCTGAAGGTGCACGCTCGTTGATCCTTCCGCACTGTCAACCGGCCCAGCAGAACGGTACATCGTCTCCAATCGCACCGACACCTCGCCCAGCTCATCGTGCAGCGTCAGAATCCTCCCCAACAAACCCTCTTCTTCTGTCGTAGACGCAAGGCTCGCAAGCCGGCGCCTCAGTTTGGCACTCTGCCTCGTGAGATCACCAACAAACTCGCCTCGTGCAGGTGGCGTCTCTTCAGGCTTCTCCCGTTGCCGTGCCTCCTCGCCTACCAGAAGCTCCGCGAGCACCTTGCGACACTCACTCGCCGCAGCCAGCAGCTCCTCCACCGCCACCCGATCCTTCGCCGCAGCGTCCTTTGCGACTTGAGCCGCCTTGACCCGCTCTTCCGCCTCCCGCGCCGCCCTCGCTACGACCGACTTGTAAATCGGCGCTGCCACCGGCTGCTTGAGTCCCTTTTTCGTAGCTCGCTGCTGCGCTAGCTCCGTATTGCGTACGCACGATTGCAGGATCTCCTGCGACAACCGCGCGAAATCCGGGTTGTTCGGTGGGATGTTGAGGTCCAAACATCGGAGACTGCGGTTCATCCTCAGGGAAACAGCGAGGGCAAGGACGCCAGCGATGTCGATCGCATTCTCGGCTAGGTCCAGGTGGATCAGGCTGCGCGCTTCGGGTAGGAATTCGGCCAATGCGATCGCTGCTTCAGAGGTCAAGTCGGTGTCGTTGAGGAAGAGACGCTTGAGGTTCGAGTTGAGCGCGAAGGCTGTTCGGAGGGTGGTGATGCCTTCCAGCGAAGGGCCTGCGCAAGGGTTGTGTGAGAGGTCGAGGGTTTCCAGAGTGGAGTTGTACTTGAGGGCTTCAGCGATGGAGACCAGACCGGGGACTTCGATGTTGTTGTCCGACAGGTTGAGGACGCGAAGAGTGCGGTTCTTTTTGAGCACCTGCGCAAGGTAGACTACGCCGCCGCGGATGTCGTTGGATTTGAGATCGAGGGTGAGCAGGTTGCCGACGCGAGGGTAGTCAGCGAGGATGCGACGCGCCCGTTTGGCTTGGTACAGCGACACGGCCTCGGCTTCGGTGAGATTGGGTGGAGGATTGAGCTGCGGGGTGGGCAGCGGACTGGTGGCGCCGGCGAGCTGGGTCTGCATGGCGTCTTGAAGCTGCTCGGTGTGAGCTCCGTTGACGTCGGGCTGCGCGGGTGGCATCTTGCGTGAGGTGATGCCGCCACCTGGGCTGGAGACGATGACAGGCACCTCGGGTAGACCGGGCGAGTAGCTGCGCTGTCGACGCTCGGGCGTCGATTGTGCATCGCTGGGTCGTAGAGTTCGTCCGCTGCGGTCCTGTCCGTCCGCGGCGGCGCGGTCGGGTGCCACCGCTGGATCGAAGTACGAGTTCGTGCCCTGGGCCGTTGCGCTGGTGGTGATGGGTTCCAAGGCTCCGACACTATCCGGATAGTCTTTCAGCATGATCGCCAATGCGACAGAAGCGAGCTGACCGATCTTGTTTCGACGCAGCGAGAGATGACGAATGTCAGAGTACCGCACTGTCTGAGATAGCAGCTCGAGCGAAGCGGCCTTGAGACCGCAATTCTCGAGTCGAAGCGAGATGATGGCCGAAGATGGCGGATCCGGATCGTCCGAGACATCCCTGAGTAACGGCGCAGTCGGCATGAGCGGCTCGCCCGAGTCATCAAAGAACTCGTCGTCGCTGTTGTCGTCATTTTGATCCGTTTCCTGAGGATCTTCCGGCTTGCTCGTGCCATTTGCATCCGCCTTGGCACTGGCAGCGGAGGGCTTGACTGGCATTCGTTGATGTGTCACGGCAGCTGGCGGCTTTGCGACGACAGCTAGAAGGTGCTCGAGCGACATGCGGTCTATCGAGTTCTCTGACAAGTCGAGATAGCGCAACGCACGTGCACGGCGCATGAAGATGGCAACGAAGCGCCAACCGCGGAATCGAATCTTGCGGTTGCTAGCTAGGCTGAGGTTGGGCAACGTACCCGAGACAAGTAGAGCGTGCAATATCGACTTGACGGTGTCATCCGTGAGCGCGCAGTTCTCGAGCACCAGCTTGTTGAGACCAAAGTCGACACTGAGCAGGTCTGCGATGGGCTCGACTGCGTGCCGATCGAGTGGGACAAAGGAGAGATCCATGGTCTTGAGTGCGGGTGGAGCGGACTGCGCAGCCTCTTGGAAGACGAGTCGCATCTTCTTGAGTGGATGCTCTTCGCGTGTTCGACAGCATTCACGGTAGAGCGCCTCGAGTTCTTCGGGTGTCCATGGCTTTCCTCTGCGGGCCTTGAGCATTCGACGATGCTCTCGTTCGATGCGTAGACGGGTCAGGTCTTCGTCCTCTGGGGTTCCTGCACCGACGATGGGATAGGTGACGGTCATGTGTGACACTTGAAACTGCACCTTTTTGAGTGGCGCGGCTGATGTTGTGGAAGCAGCTACTGTTGTCTTGACCAATGGATTTGCTGATCCGTTTTCCGACTCGGTTGCTTGTGATGCGGAAGCTATGGATGCCGAGGACGATGCAAGCGTCGTGCTGCTGCTACTGCTTCTGCTGTGGACAGCTCCATCGTAGATGGACGTTTGAGAGCCATTGCTCTTGCTCGGAGGATCATTTGAGAGGAAGCCACCAACGGCAGTGGCGTTCGAGCCGCTCACGTTGGCAGCCGCACCGGCAGCCATGCCGCCTATCCTTCGAAACATGCCGCCGAGGTAGTTGGCGGTCGCTTGCGCTGTGCTTCCTTGGGGCACGGGCACCTGCACGTTGACGCCCTGTTGGGCGAGGCGAGTGTTGATATTTTGGAGGATGTCGCGGCGGAAGGAGAAGCCCTTCTGCGGAGGAGGCGCGGGCTTGAGGATCCCTTTTGGCTTGGATTTGAGCTTGCGCTTATAGACGGATCTGCGGACTGGGCTGACAACTGTGATCATGGACGACGCGAGCTCGGGGTCCGGCGAGGATGGCTGCGGGAGCTGCTGCCGTGACCCTCCTGCCGTGGTATCGAGTGAATTGTGTGTGGCAGCATCTTGCGCGATGACCGGAAGCGGTTTGTCGTCGGGACTGCTCTGCTTGGGTGGACCTAAAGGGGCTGTTGAAGACGACGAAGGTGCCTCAAAGGAAGTTGGGGCACCAAATGCACCAGGCACGATAGGGCTGGGTGATTCCTCTACAGAAGTCACCGCCGTCACATCCTCGGCGGGTGCCATAGAGACCTTCACCGCTGCTACGTCCGCCTTGTCGTGGCTGATGCCTGCTGGCGAATCGCTTTGTGTGCTTTGCGATGCGTGTTGCGAGGGAGAGGTGTCTCCATTCAAGACCTGGTCGACATTCTCGGCGCCGATTCCAGCCGACATGCTGCCGGACGGAGCTGATTAGACGACGAAGCGCAGCAAAAGGGTCTGAGCCGAGGGTCTAGACAATGAAGGGTGTCCAGCATCCGATGAGCGGGGCCAACGATCTGGCAAAAGTCCAGGACAGACAGCAAACGTGTCGATTGTGGAGGTGGCTGTGGTGATGCGGTCAGTGTGCGGTGCTGCGTCGTGCGGCGCGTCAGGCGGTCGTGAAGGGAGCAGTGAAGATGGTGGCGGCGACAAGAAGGTCAAGTGTGAGCCAGAATGACGGCTTGGAAGTGGTGATGAGGCGAGGTTGACAGGGTAAAAGGGGTTCTCGATCTCGGCTGGCTCAAGCGTGTTTGTGCGTGTGCGTGTGTGGTGCAGGCCGGTGCATGAAAGCCGCGAAATTCAGAATCGGGCTGAGCCATGTGATGTGTTTCTTTGAGAACAGCCCTGTCGTCATCAGCAGCCTCGACCGTCGTCTTTCCATTGCAATGCCCGATACAGCTTCCGAGACCCCAAAGAGCACACGATGCCTCAGCCCGACGTCCGATTTCGAATCTGTGCTAGAGCAACACCTGTCCGACATCTGGGTGGAGCATGGCCTCAGGAGAGTTGGGAAAAGGCTCGGATTTCGGGTTTGAATTCAGGGCGAGCTTCATCTTTTCCTTTCTCGAGTGAGGAAGCTCTCGATTCTTCCTCCATCCATCTTCGACCCACATCCTGGCGAGTCCACAGCGCGGAGCACATCCGCAAAGATGAGCGAGACCCAAGCGAACGGTGCTGAAGCGCCCAGCCAGGTGGCTTCCACCTCATACCAGCCACGTCCGGCACGCAAGCAAGTGACGCTCGCCAAGTTCAACGCCATCCGCGAGGCTTTCAGTGCGAGACCCGACTCAGCCGGCACCTTCAACATCTGGTACGAGAACTACGCAGGTGTCGACAGGGAAGAGAACGAAGCGCAAAAGGCAAAGCGAGAGACGAGATGCGACATCGCAAGAGACTCAGGCTACACAAAGGCCGATATCACTCTCAAGACTCAGGCCGCTCGTGCCCAGCAAGGCGTCTCCATCAGCCCGGATGAAGCCGTCTACTGCTGTATGCACTTTGCACGCGGATGCTGTCCACATGGCGTCGAGTGCAACTTCCTACATCGCCTTCCGCGGCCGAACGACTTTCCTACCCAGAGCCGCGATTGCTTTGGGAGAGAAAAGCTCGGCAACTACAAAGACGACATGAGCGGCACCGGCTCGCTCTCCAAGATGAACCGCACACTGTACGTCGGCCGCCTACACGAGGAGCACGGCGTCTCTGCCCCCAAATCGACCAACTCGGCCTGGCGCGATGGCGGCAAGACGCTCAAAGGTGGGCGCAGCGTCAACGACCTCAGATCCAAGTCCGGTCCTCGCCCCAAACAAGACTCCAAGACGTACCGACCGCAGCACAACTCTGTCCGCCCCGAGACAGACAACGCCACGGAGCGCGTGGTGCGTCGCCACTTCAGCGAGTGGGGCGAGATCGATCGGCTGCGCGTGCTCACCGGCCGCTCGTGCGCCTTTGTGACGTACAAGTACGAGGCCAATGCCCAGTTCGCTAAAGAAGCCATGCTCAATCAGTCGCTCGACCATAACGAGATCATCAACGTGCGCTGGTCATCGGATGATCCGAATCCAGCCGCTCAGAAGAGGAATCTGGAGCAGATGCGAAGGCAGGGAGAGAAGGCGATCATGGCGGGCATGTCGACCCAGGCTATCGAGGCGCAGCAGGCATTACGTGCATTGCAAGCGTTGGAGGACCCGACGGCTCAGAACGAGGGCGAGAAACGGAGACGTATCGCGCAGGCGAATCACGATGAAGAGATGCGCAGACTGGAAGAGGAGAACGAGCGCGGATGGGCCGAGCTGGCGCAGGAGAGACAGGCTGCTCTGGCTGCTGCAGAGACCAGTCAAGCGCAAGTAGCAGCCAGCGCAGGCACGACAAGCAAGGCTAACGGCTCGCGCTCGCTGCTCAACTCTGAGGCCATCTCAAATCTGGCCTCGCTTCAAACGACAGGTAAGGCTAAGCCACCCCCGACGACCGGGCTCGGCAGCCTCGCAGCCTACGGAAGCGACAGCGAAGACGATAGCTAGAACCGACCGTCTCAATCCAGCTCTCGTATCTGCTCATCATCACGCTCTGTACTTGTACCGTCAGCAATCGCAATGCTGCCTTTGAAGCGAATCACCTTGCGGTGGGCGAAGCAGCCCAGGACAGCTTGAGCTTTTTCATGGCGCTACACGACTCGCGATCTGACACTTGAGAGAAATTTTCTGCCTTGGTCCGTGCCAGAAGGTGGAGGCTAACGTAGCCGTTGAAGCCGAACCGCCTCACCCGTTCGCTCCTGCTGCTTCTCACGGCGTTGTCACAGCCACAGTGTGTCTGGCAACACTGGCTGGGACAGCTCAACAGGAGAGGTGTAAGAGATGCGGTCAGGGGCGTAGCGAATGGTGGTTGTGCACAGGGTCGTACGACCGTGCGTTCATCTTAAAAGGTCTGTGCATTCGAGGTCCGCCTCACCTAGTGTCGGCAGCGGTTTCGGCAACGGTTTGGCCAGATCGGTGCTGACTGTGTTTCGGCTCACAGTCGACCGCACCCTTGTCTATCTTCGACGGCTTTGCATTGCGATTTGATTAGCTACCACCACAATCGATAACATGACCGATCACATTGCTGGCGTCAAGAGCGCCGGTTCGGCGGCCGATACGGAGGACTCGCCCTCTACGGTCACCACGGCTGTGTCGGAGAGCGGGATGGAGGATCTCACCATCTCGGAATCGTCCTCGAACGTCCGGGTCGCTGCGAGCGATACGAATTCGTACGCCAGTGCTGGGACCAATGCGTCGGTGCCTGCACCTGCTCCTGCTCGTTCCGCCGACGAGCCCGCCCCCACGCCGTCGCGGACGGACAACCACGCCCTCAGCACCTCTTCGTCCGGCCTCGTCCTGTTCGATCTCACCGACCGACTCGGAGGGACACGCTGCTTCAGCCCGCACACGGTCAAGACGCTGCTCGACCTCAAACTCCTCAACGTCGGCTACGAGCGTCAGCGCCTCACCTTCGTCCAGGTCCGTAACGAGCTCGCGGATAAGATCGGTGACAACGTCACCGTTCCCGCCCTTGAGCTTTCCGACGGTAGCCACATCGTGGACAGCTGGAACATCGCAGAGTATCTCGAACGACGTCATCCCGAAGGCCACCGCATCTTCGGCGACAGCGCGACAAAGAGGCTAGCAGCAATGCTCAACAGCTTCGGCAAGACGGTCCTGGCGCCCAGCATCGGCCCCTTGGCGCAAAAGGGCGTCCACGCGATGCTGGACGAAGAGAGCAAGGCCTACTTCGCAGATGTCAAGATCGGCAAGACCAGATGGGCCAAGGTGAGCAACCTCAGCGCGAGCGAGCGAGACGCCCACGTCCAGGCAGCAGTGGCCAAGCTCGAGGTGATCAATGCCATGTTGACGTGCGAGAGCGCCGAACGAGGTGGTGCCGGCGAGAATGGCAGGAGCAGGAGTCGCGGCAGACAACCCGTCTGGTTGGCCGGCGGGGATCAGCCGACGCATGCAGACTTTGTCCTGTTCGGTTGGTACGTGTTTACGAGAGCGGCGGGCGAGAAGACGGCCAAGGAGATCTGGGGGGCGCACAAGCCGGTATGGAGGTGGGTCGAGGCCATGCTGGAGTGGTCTGGAGAGCTCGCTCAGGACTTTGTGTAGCGTGCTAGAGGCAATGACATTGGTGCGATGAGCAAGTGTATTTCGTCTTCAGAAAGTGACTGAGAGAACTGTCCGTCCTACGCCCTTGGTGACGCTGTGAACAGGTTCGACCCTCGCCGTTGGGTGCAGTTGCGCCAAGACCTGCTTGAACGACTCGACCCCTCCTCCTACGCCAAAGTAGATGACTTTAGCAGCGACGAGCACCTGTCCACCCGCATACCGACCCAGCAGCTCCACCAGCGCAGGCAGCGACTCCAGCGAGTAGATCGTCTCGGATGTCAAAATGAGATCCATCTTGCCTGCTACTAACGACTGCGGAAAGCCACTCCATGCGCCCGAGTAGATTTTCACCTGAATGCCACGCGATGCGAGCGACTCGCTGAACGCAGCAAGGAGTTCGTCTGTGATGGCGAGCTCGGCCTCGTCTGTGGCAAAATGTTCTTGACCGCGCCTCGAGAGTTCTTGTTGCTCGTGCGAGCGGTGTGATGCTTCGAGCGAGCGATAGTGCGATCCGGCCGGCGAGGCGTACCACGTCAGCAGCAGGTTGGGCAGTGTGACCAGTTGCAGCACTTGCGCGTTGTAATCCGCTAGATGAAGCGTCACACCAGCCCGATTTGACGAAGCAAGAAGGTTAGAGAAGAGGAAGAGCGAGGGTAGGGCCGTCCCGCAGCCCAGCTCGAGGATGTGTTTGTGATCGGTGGTGGAGTGGGTGTGGAGGACTTCGACGAGGTCCAACGCACACTCCCAGGTTTTGAGCCCTCCTTCGTAAACGTTGGGGATGAGATCGGAGTGCGTATCCACCTGCGAGTTGGAGTGGTCGTCTTCGTCGAGCAACATCTGGAAGCGCGCATCGAAGAGGTCGCGGCGTAAGAGCTTGTAAGGTTGACTCGACCCGCTACCACTGGACAGGCTGATGTCGATCGAGGAGTAAGATATTCTTGATGGTAGGTGTTCGAGCATATCTTCAAGTGAGTGTTCGCAAAACGGCGCCTGGTCGGATGTGGATGTCTGCTGCGTCGTGGGGGATGTTGATGGTTGGAAGGGTGCGTTGGACGAGGAGAGGTACTCTTCGTCCATCTCGGAGTCGTCGAATTGGAAGCCGAACGACATCGTAGCCTGCTGCTTTGCTGCTCAATTTTCCAGCTCTTCGAAGATTGTCGATGAACTGTGATGGTAGGTCGGATCTCTGTTGACAACCGAGGATAGAATGGTAGCATGGGTGTATGGAAGGAGCTGCAGGAAGAAGTTTGTATGAACATGTCAAAATTTGGTGGAGAAATTCGGATCTCGGCGCTGGGCAAGCTGGACCCTGAACAGCTCCTTCTCGACCTCTTCCCCACGACTTCATACTCTGGCGACTGCATTCGTGGTGGGGACAGCAAGCACTAACAAGCCACGCTCAATCACTATTGTCAAGCTGCGCCTACCACTCAAAGCAAGTCCATCCCATTGTATGGTCCGATCAGAACAGGTCGCGGTCCGTAACGCATCCCTCCGAAGCGTTCTGCACGTCCCTCGCGAACTTGTACAGCCAACCGCGCTTGTGCTTGATCGGCAGCTTGCCCGCCTTCTCCTTGAGCCACCAATCCTTGCGCTCCTGCATCTCGTCGGCGCTGATATGCAGGTTGATCTCGTGCGACCCAGCATCGATCGTGATCCTATCTCCGTCCTTGACGAGCGCGATCGGTCCGCCCTCGGCCGCCTCTGGCACCACGTGTCCCGTGCAGAATCCGTGGCTGGCACCTGAGAAGCGTCCGTCCGTGATGAGCGCGACGGTTTTGCCCAAGCCTGCGCCCATGATCGCACCCGTGGGGCCGAGCATCTCCGGCATCCCCGGTCCGCCCTTCGGCCCGACATAGCGGATGATCACGATGCTTCCGTCCTTCACCCTCCCCTCTGCGATCGCTTCGGTGATGCCGTCCTCGCCATCAAAGACGACGGCGGTACCGTCGAAATACAACCCCTCTTTTCCAGTCAACTTCGACACGGCGCCTCCCGGACACAGCGAGCCGCGCATGATCGTCAGATGCCCCGTAGCTTTAATCGGGTTGGAGAGCGGCCGAATGATATCCTGCGTCTCAAACTCGAGCGGTTCGACATCGACGAGGTTCTCGCGCATCGTCTTGCCCGTCACCGTCATCACATCGCCGTGCAGCAGATCCGTGTTTTCCAGAATATACTTGAGCACGCGAGGCACTCCACCGATATTGTGAATGTCCTCCATGTAGTATTTGCCACTCGGCTTGACATCGGCGAGCATGGGCGTGCGGTCGCCGATGCGTTGGAAGTCGTCAATGGTAATGTCGACGTCGGCGGCACGAGCGACGGCGATGAGGTGAAGGACAGCGTTGGTGGATCCACCCATGATCTGCGTCATGGTGATGGCGTTTTCGAACGCTTGCTTGGTCATAATGTCCAAGGGCTTGATGTCCTTTTCGAGCAGGTTGCGCATGTAGCCGCCGACGCGAAGACATTCTTGGGTTTTTTCAGGGTAGACGGCGGGGATGCTCGAGGTGAGCGGCAGACCCATGCCCATGACCTCGATGGCGGTGGAGAGCGTGTTGGCGGTGTACATTCCACCGCAGGCACCTGGGCCAGGGCAGGCGTTACGAATCAGATCCACCCGCTGTTCCGCCGTGATCAAGCCCTTTGCATAGGCACCCGTAGCCTCAAAGTTGTCCGCAACATTGCACGGGTCGCCCTTCTTCCTTCCGAGACCAGGCACATCCATCCCATGCCTGCCCGGCTGGATCGTCCCTCCGTACACCACGATCGTCGGCCGATTATGCCTCGCAGCGGCCATCAGCACACCCGGCATGTTCTTATCGCACCCCGGGATGGACACGTTGCCATCGTGATACTGCGCCATGGTGATGGTCTCTATCGAGTCGGCGATGAGTTCGCGCGAAGGCAGGCTGTACTGCATCCCCGGTCCACCCATGGTGATGGCGTCGCTGACACCGACCGTGTTGTTCTGCAGACCGACCAGACCGGCGGACTCGCAGCCCTGCTTGATGAGACGCCCGAATTCGAGCAGGTGCGTGTTGCACGGATTGCCCTCCCACCAGACGGACGAGATGCCGATCTGCGGCTTGGCAAGGTCGTCGACGGTGAGACCGCAGGCGTGGAGCATCGACTGCGCCGCGCCCTTGTCCGCGGATTGCGTGATGAAGGCGCTGATCCGGTTGAGCGGGGCATAGGTGGGTGCGGCGGCGGAGGCGCCGTTGGTGCGCGTGGCAGAGCGCAGCTCGACTTCGCCGTTCGCCATTGTTGCGGCTGAGTTGCTTGAGGCGGTAGTGGTGTCGGCAAGGTGTGTTGGTAGAAGAGATGTGGGTAGGGTGGAACGGGCAAGGAGTTGCAACCGAGCGAGGTTTCGCAGCTGGACGCAGACTCTCGATCAAAGCGGGGTGGGCAAGACACGGACCACGACGAAGCACAGACCCAAGGATTGCTATCCCTCTTGCACACCTGCTGCTGCCCCTTTTGCGGGGAAGAACGAGACGGCGCGGGGGAAGCACAGCGGCAAGCGAAAAAGCAACCGACGATGGTGCGCTGCAACCGCCTTGGATTCGCCGACCAATTCACCGAGGCGAGCAAGCAGCTCTCTCAGCCAATCCACGGCGTCGGATTACTCACTCTTCCGTTCGGTCGATCTCTCACAATTCACCCTTTCCCAAATGCACGACATAGAATACGACCTTGTACTGTGCCATATGTTCAGGCAGAACCTCGGGATGATTCGTAAGCGCAGCAGGGTAGCTTTCTAGCTAAAGTCAAGGTTGAAGATCTTGGATTGCGACGAAGGGAGTCGCCGGTCAAGGTGGGGGACGCGGGCAAACCGCGCAAGTTCTTAGAGAAATCGGTTCATCGCGGCCTAACAATCCTGAAATTGGCCTCGTGGACAACCTCAAAACATCAGCACCATCCCTCGAGGGCGCGCTCCTCGTCGTCCGCTCTGGTTGAATCGTCGACGTCATAAGAGGCTGCTGTGCAATGATCAGCTTGATCGAATGACAGCGATCTTCCCTGCTGCTTGTGTTGTGTTGTGCAGATGCCTGTTGTGAAGCAGGCACTGACATGCCTCGGTGTCAAGACCAAAGTTAAACTTAGCTCGGTAAAGCGTGACAGCTCGCTTGGGTTCTGCCGACTCGACACACATCTTGCTCATGTCCTTTGCCGACGATGACGCTCTTCGATCAGTCTGCAGCTGTCAGTTACTCGCGAGGCAAGGTCTGAGCAAACACGAGATTCAAGGGAACCATTACGAAAGGGGCGAAAATTTGTACGATACACAGTGCTATCCGAAGGGGGAAGACAAAGGGAAAGGGGGGGGGGGATAACGATCCGAGAAAGTCTGCTACGAGCCTCTGACGGCGAGCATCTAAGTGAAAGACCACTGAATATCGATCACGCCCACATCCGGGTCTGCCAGCTCCTTGAACAGACTCGGGCTCATGTCGAGACTCGTGTGCTTGCAGCCCGGGCACAGATCTGCCACCTTCGCATTCACACATTTGCCCCCATGGCAGATGCGGACGCCATCAAAACAGTGGTCGCCTTGATCGTAGATGTCTGCCGACAACGCAACGATCTTGTCGGCACCCGTGTTCCATTTGCCACACGCCCCCTGATTGGGCTTGAAAAAGGTGCCCTTGCCCGAATAGGTGCCGTCGTCCTTGGTCGTATACTGCCCCTTGCGGTGAGGTTTTTTGGCGTGGTGCTTCTGGGCGTGACGGTGCTTCTTGCGGTGTCGGGAGGAACGATGACGCGAATGCTTGCGATGACGACGGCCTCGAGACTCGAGTGGTACGGTGGAGTCTTCCTCATCCTCTTCTTCATCGTCATCATCGTCGTCGTCGGCGTCGGTGTCTGCCACCGCTGCTGGCGAGTCGTCCTTCTTTTCCAACGTGAGGTTGTTGATCAGCGACGAGGATGACGCGGCGTCTGCGCGGGCAAGCAGAAGCGATGACGACGAGGACGCGGCGACATCGCCGCTCGGGAGTTGTGCGCTGGCGGCTGCCACGACGAGCGCGGAGAAGAGCGCTAATGTTGTGAACCGCATGTTTGCTTTGACTGAATGCTATGTCGCTCCAGATGGTCCAGCAGCGTCGACTGAGTGCTGTTGCTGAGAGTGGTGCTGGGTAGATGAGGTGAAGCAGTCAAAACTAAGATGAAGGAGGAGGTGAAGCAAGGTGGTGGTAGGGACGAGAATGGTAGTATAAGACCATACAGCTAGGAGAGGCATCCACGTCGTCGATTCATGCGAAAGGCTTCAAAACGAGGAGGAGATACGCTGGCCACCACTGCGCTGGTAAGCCACTAAGCGATTCGGCAGAGCGTAGATGCTAACCCACATCCAAACCCGCCATTGTGCGAGCCTGCGGCCGACTGCATCGACGATCTCCTGGCCATGTGACGGCATCCTTTCCACAGGAGACTGGCAGCCAGCGGCTTCGAAAGAAAACAGCCTCGACTCAAACAGGCAACCCTGCGGGCGGAGAATGAAAAAAAGGGATCAACACCTACACGGGAGAGGATCGGCACTGTGCATAACGCCATTGTCTCCCTCTCTCTTTTGTGCAACGTTCTTTTCTTCTTCCCCTTCTTTTCCGACCCAACTCCGCTGGTTCGAGATGCACCCTTCTCCGCGTCATCACTTCTTTGATGATGATGGTGTCCGCTGGCGTATAGGGAAGGCGTGTGAGCGCGGATCGCCGTTCCCGGTCTCGATCTGAAGAAGCAAGCGATCCGATCTCATTCCGGCGGAAGATGAGGTTCCAGAAGCCGGTCAAGTCTTGAATCGTGCACCCTGTCGATCCTCATCGGCAGGCTATGCACGACACTGTGGGCTGTGGCTGGCTCTCCGGCACGCATGCTGGCCTGTCCCGAGATGAACAATGAAGGGTGTTGTCTCCCAGTGTTGGTCTCGGTTGGCGAAAATCATTGAAATCCGACGACGCGTCTAGTGCCTCGCGCCGAAGTTTCATGCTCCGACCCCGAGCTCTCTCATTTGCCTTCTCCCTCGTTTCCCCCTTGTTCAGCCTTCGTCTGCCGTCTTGCATTCGGAAGCAACTCAAGTCGTCGGCCCTTCGTTCGACGAAGAGGCTGTCCCGAAGCGGATGTCCTCATGTAAGCTTGCAAGCGGTCCCTCGTTTCGAGGAAGCCTAAAAAAAAAAGGCAAAAAGAATGCATTGACGGGGACTCGAACCCCGGTCGAGTCGAATCGGTAGTCACGCCTTATGCAGGCGATGAGTTTGGCAACGACTCATGATACCCCTACACTATCAATGCTGATTCATACAGAGCTGGCCCTTGGTACGCAAATTATACCTATTGACTCTCAGGCTGAGAGGGGGCCTGGCCCGCTCGCACAACGTACGACTGAGTCTACTGACAGAGATGAGCTCAGAGCAGTGCGTTGTCTGTGCCGCCTTCACTGTTGACCGCACGATGTTCTGATTGCGGAATCATATTGCGATGCTGAGATGGTGACGATGGATGGTAGAAATGCAATACAAATGAAGCAGGAAATTGTGACCATAAAATCACATCCTCCCATTCGAGGTTGGCGTATGGAAGACGTTTACGAATGCTTGGCTGGCCCGGCAGCGTCCACGAGACCGACCAGACGCAGCCTGGAATGGACAAAGAGCGTCGAGAACAGGAACTGCGACAGCTGCTGGTCGTACAGCGGCAAGTGACGGTAGCCTTGCTGCAGGGCACCCACGGATACCGAGTACGCTGCTACGCTCTCGGCGTCGATCGAGGATGTGGACGAGGCAGAGGATGAGACGCTGTCTTCTCTGTCCCTGCTCCCGCTTGGCAGCTCACCTTCTGCTTTGACTGTCTTTTCTGCATCTCCACCGGTGCCGATGGAGCTATACGAGTCGAGCGAGAGGCGAGAGGCAGATTCGAATAGGGATGTCGAACTCGTCGACGTGGTCGTCAAGCGTGCGTCGGATGCAGCCTTCGACTTGGATGCGTCGACTAATTCGCTTTGATGATTGTGTAGGTCGTCATCAAAGATCTCGAAGCGGACAAAGCAGAGATCGAGCAAACCTCGACTGAGTCGATCCAGCTCCGCTTGTGCCAAGGCATCTCCCGACTGCGAAGCCTTGCTTGCTTCGATCAGTGCCATGACCTCGCTGCTGGCGCCGGCTGGCACGTCGATGAGTACGCTCATGCCCGTGTGCCATTCGGGACTGAAGCCGTTGCCCTTGACAGTTGGTGTTCGCAAGAGATGAGTCGGTGCCAGGGTGGAGTCGTCGATTCGAGAGCATGCGTTTGGCGGTGCAGCCTCCGACCCCGAATTAAGCCCCGCAGAGCCGTCTTGGGGAGCTGACATAACGGCAGCGTCCTGACAGCGCTCGGGTGTATCAGTCGAGGCGGGCTCATTCAAGCCCGCGGCCTCGCTGTTTTCCGAAGCGCTGCTCGCATGGTCGGCTGCTGCGCCGGACATTGCTGTGTCGCTCTGAACGATCTGCTGCCGCTTCGATGGCATGACTGTCTCCTTCTCATCTGCGTGGGCGGACACTTTCTGCAGCAAGCCCTTGGGCTGCTTGCCCCAGCATCTCGGCGCAAGCAAAGAGACGACTACGAAGGGGTCTATCGGTTCGCGACTGTCGTTGTTGCTTTGTCCTTTATCCTTCTCCTTGTCTTTCCCTACACCCGCTCTGCTCTTCTTGGGTAGCTGCTGAGCGGAGATGATGCTGAGGTCGAGCCGAAAGCGCACCGCCTTGCCCGTGAGCGTCTTGCCTTGCTCTTTGGTGCGCAACGCTGCTGGTTTGAGCACGTACCCGCACCGGCCATTACGGCTGAACATAGCTTGATTGAGCTCAAAACCTAGATCAGTCGTTTGCCAATTGAGTGCGACGAGCTGGCAACCCGTTGCCCACATGTCGAGCGGGACGAAATTGCGACTGGCGTGTAGCCTGGCGAAGCTCGTCATCGACGGATAGACGCGGGTGAGGTGATTGCGGTTGTGCTTGATCAGCGCTTCGTTCGAGATGGCATCGCGGATCATCTTGAGCGCTGTCTTTTCTGACAAGGACACCATGTGCTGATTCGCGTACGTCTCCTTCTTGTTGAAGCCGCGGCACTTGACGCCGATCGTATAGACAAGAAGAGATGCGAGTGCGGTCGACATCATCTTTTTAGCTTGCTTATCGCTGCGACTCGCCGCCTTGGAGTCTTTGCGGGTCTCGCTGATCGATCCAAATGCGTCGAGTGCATCTCCAGATCGATAGCCTGCTGCTGCATGCTTGGAGTCTCCGCGATGAGCACGTCGAGTGACGCGTCGCACGAGCTGCTTGGCGCTCGAAAGACGGGAGTCGATCTCAGAGTCGGTCGTGGTCGTTGGAGTATCTGTAGCAGATGTGGGAGCCTCAAGCACCATCGTGGGGACCACATTGGTGCCGTCCGGGTGGGTGGACGACATTGCATCGCCGCTGGGTGATGCCTTTGCAGGCAGCTCTGGGCGCTGACCGTCGGTTGCCGCAACATTCTTCGCCTTGACCAAGACTTTGAATTTGAGCTTTTCGGGCGAGGGAAGCTCTTCTGTAGCGCTGGGCATCTGCTGCGAGTCAAGGGGTTGGTTCAACAGCATCTCGCCGAGCGTGTCCTTGAGAATCCGCGCCATGGCTTCTTGTTGCGGTGGGTCGGCGTGCACCTCGAGACTCAGGATCAGCGGGTAAGGCGAGGTGACAAAGGCGTACCGAGCAATGGCGCTGATGACGTCCTGAAACGGGACCCGACTGGTGAGGGTGCGGCCGTGGGTGATCTGGGGCACATTGTTCGGCCCATCCCAGCAGTCGAGCTCAACGCTGCGTGCGCCCTGCAGAAGAGCACGGATGTATCCTTCGACCGTGCTATCGCCCTTCCACTGCCCTCCAACGAGATACGTGTTGTGACTTGAGCTGATGTAGTATTCGCTCAGCGGCCGTGTCATGTCGTGCTGGACGGTCGACTTTCGCAGATGTGCGGCAATCTTCCGAGTGTTTGCCATGGAGTCACTCGCACCGGCTGCAATCAGCTCTTCCGCTGTCTCAGCAAAGGCACGCGAGGGCGTCTGCTGTTGGCCGGTCTGCTTTGAGCTCGGCTGCGGATCTTTGTTCGCCTCTTTGTCGGTCGAGGTAGACACGGCTGGCTTTCCAAGCACAGGCACGTCCGTGTGGTCGGCGACCACCGTCGAGAACAATGGAAGTTGATCGAGCAAAGGTGGATTGTCGGAAGAGGAAAGGAAGTCGAGGAAGCCGTCATAATCCATCTGAGCCCGTTCCGCGAGCTCACCGGCAATATGCGAGGTCGAGAGGCGGCTGTTGCAATGACGACGGAAGAGATCGTCGATTTGACCGTCGGAAAAGTCGCGATTGCCTTGCTCTTCACGGATGAAGCGGCGGAAACTCGCGACAGAGATTGCACGAGTCTGGCACGGCTGCGCTTGAGTTGCCGGAGCGCTCTCTACGGATGGCACGGCGCCTCGGGACTGGCTATCGACTTCTGAGCAGATTCCTGGTGTCGAAGTTTGGTCTGCCAAAAACAGGTCATCATTTGATGACGACGTCGGAAGGGAGTCGTGTCGAGACTGATCAAGGGTGAGATCCGCCCAGGCCGCAAAGATGGTCTGGATATCCGCTCTTTGCTTGAGTAGCGAGACAAAATGCTGAAAGTCCTGAAAGTCGAGATAGCCACGATTGCGCCAGTCGGCAAGATTGAAGCAGCGCCGAAGATGAGCCTTGTTGGACTCGATGCCGAGACGCCGACAGAGCAGCATGGCCTCATCGATGGACAGCTTCTCGTCGTTGGACTGATCTGCATCCTTCCAGTGATGACGCATCCACAGATGGCGACGATGTTCGATGCTCGATGATGTGCCGGCGGCGCCGAGGAGCTCTCTGCGGAGGGACTGAAGATGGAGCAGACTGGCTCGCCATCGTGAGAGCGAATCATCCGAAAGCGCAATCAAGTGCAGAGCTTTGTAGATGCCGCCGTTTTGGTATATGATGGTGAGCCATCGAGGCTCGTGAGCAGATGAGATGTTGAGCGAGGTGCGGTAGGACGCCGCTGAGGGGCCGAAGCGCACTTCGCGAATCGATTCAAGATTGACGCGGTTGTTCTTCTTGGATTCCCACAGGATCTGACCACGATCGGGATCGAGCTTGAAGGTGCGAGGTTTGACTTTCTTGTGGGTGACTTTGAGCATCTGTTCACCCTCAGGCAGTAGGAGGTCGTTCGGAGCATCGCTGTTAGATGTGCTGGCTCGCCTGGGGCCTTGTATTGGAGCGAGGCTCGCGGCACTTGACGACGTGGAAGCGATTGATGCTGATCTTTGCGCATCGGAGGCCTGTAGACTAGTCCGTTGGGTAGCCGAGCTACATGGACGTGTGAGGCTGTCGGTGCTGTCGGCTGGCGGTTGCAAGACGGCCTCATCTTTCTGGAACACTGCTGGAGGTGAAGCAAGCAGATGCGCAGCTCCATCTGGCGTCCTGGATAAGCTGCGGAAAAGACCATCAGATTTGGCTTCTGCTTCTTTCGATGTGCTACCGGACCGCATCCTACGAAAAGTCTCGCTCGCACGTCTCTGGTGGAGGACGCGATCCGTCAGTGTCACGACACCATTCGAGAAAGTGCGGCTGAAGCTGGGGCTCTTCGGCGGTGATGTGATGGGAACGGGCGAGGTGGCGAGACTGTCCTGCGGCGACGGATTCTCAGGGAGACGTGCTGCGCCTATTCTTGGGGCTGCGATAGGTTGAGCCGCTGTCCTGCGCGCGGCCGCCTCGTATGACAGAGGCCCGTTGCCGGAGCCTCCACTGAAGGATCTTGGTGGAGGTGCAAAGCTTGGACGCTCGACGTCTTCCATGGTATGATGGAATGAGATCATGTCCGTTCCTTCTGTGGTCGGGTGCGAAGAACCCGCACCCCCTGCGTCGTCATGGTGATCCGAAGGTTTGCGGATCAAAGAGCGCAGCCAGGAGCGCACCGGAAAGTTGGGCCTGTCGTGAGGAGCATGATGATCGCTGGCTGACATTGTCAGACTCTATATGACGAGCAGGATCATTCCTCTGTTGGGTGAGATCATCCGAGTTTGAGGCGGGAGGATGGTGAAAGAACTTTGATGAAAGGACGAGATGCGCAGTAGTTGGAAGAGGGACGGTGGGACTCAATGTCCGTGCTCAGTTCAAGGCGCCCAGAATGGTGGGCTTCCCTCGCACACAGCCAAGGAAAAACGCTTTATCTGCCCGATCTCAGGGTCCTACCAACGTCCTACGTGTTGAAATCGGGCTGCGGCCGTGGAAATTTTTGAGGTGCAGCTCGACTTTTCTGATTCTTCTCAAGGACCCTTCTTGCCTCCTCTGCAACAAGCTGTCACCATATCACCCCTCCTTCGACGCAAAAGATGTTCAAACGAGTGGCGAAAGCGACCAGCAAGAAGGCTGACGTCGACGACCTCAAGTCGGCCACCGGCGATGACACGGCTATCGGCATCGACAAGCTAGTGGATGAATCCTCCAGCTCGGAAGGCGAAGACTCGGAAGGAGACGATGATGAGGACACGAGCGACGAAGAAGACGAGGATGAGGAAGGAGATGAGAGCGATGAAGACGAGGCTGAAAAGGCAGAGGGCGCCAAGACTGGCTCAAAGCGCAAGCGCGGCAAGGACGCAAAGGAAGACGAGGAAGAGGATGCCGCCGCTCAGGTGTCAATAGACGACGCCATTCAAGATCCCATTTACGTCCCGACAGAAGGCGAGAAGAAGCACGGCATCTTTGCTTCTCGATGCATCGTATGCGAAGCTGCAGTACTCAAAGACGCACACCTCGTCACGGCGCATCTCGAGGGCAAAGCTCACAAGCGCCGAATGGAGCGCTTCCAACGCTACGTCCAAGATCAGCTTTCCGAAACACAACGCAAGGCCATCGATGCAAGGGACGCCGTTGACCAGATGGACGCTTGGAGGGCCGAACAGGACGAGCTCGAAAAGGAAAAGCAGGCGCAAGCACCGCCGAGCAAGAGGGCGCTGGCAAAGAAGCAGAAGGCTGCCGAGTTTCGCCAGAAGAAGAAGGAGCAAGCTTTGAAGCGAAAAGCGCAACAAGCGGCCAAAGGCGACAAGGATGCCGACAAGGAGGAAGCCGCAACAGAGCAAAAGACCAGCCCGAGCAAGAAGGACAGTCCAAAAAAGAAGGACGGCTCAAAGGAGAAGGACGGCTCAAAAGCAACATCCAGCCCAGAGAAGAAGACGGTCAAGGCGAAGAGTCCTAACAAGAAGGCTAAGAAGGACGCTTGAAGCGACCACGACATCGGCAAACCCAAGCGCCCCATCCATATACCCACTCGTAGCAATTCGACACAGCATCCCAATTTCAGGCATTCATCGCAAACAACCGGTTGGCTCGAACAGCAAAGGACGAGCAGAATCTCATTCGAAAGCAGTTTCGATCTTTGTTACAGGAGCACTAGGGCAAACAATTAAATGTTGACCAGCCCTTTTTAGGTGTACCAAGTGGGGGTGGGCCAGCCGTCCTTTCCAGGTCCGTGAAGGGCGAACCTGCCGACCTCGGCCCTCTTGTGGGCAATAGGGTCGTGCAGCGTATGCGTCCTCAGGTCCCTGAAGGCGACGTCGAAACCATACTTGCCAGCGACGGCCCTTGCGCCGGTCAGCTCGTAGATCTGGCTCGTGATAGCCAAGCCGACATCGGCGGCGTTGATTTTGGCCGCAGCGACACGCACAGCGAACTTGGCACGCTGCTCCTCGGTGATCTTCTGGCGAGGGCTGGCGTGCAGAATGCCCGCTGCCTCATCGATGACGCTGTCGATGAGCGAGGCGGCGGCCCAGAGCTTGGCCTGCAGATCACCGTAGCCGATCTGGATGTAGGCCTCGTCGGTGCCGCGAGCGACGGGCGAGGGCTGGTACGGCCATCCACGGGTGTTCGCCTTGGTGTAGGCCAGGGCGCGAGCAAGCGCTCCTTCGGCAATACCGAGGTAGAACGAAGTGAACACGAGCTGAATCTGTGGCAGGTTGAGCGTGTTGTACGCGCCAATGGGCTGGAACTGCTTGTTGACGTAGCCGAGCGCATCCGACCACGAAATGACAACATTGGAGATCGAGATACCGCCCGACTGGGTGCCGCGCATGCCGAGCGTGTCCACCCACTCGTCGCCGTAGACGATGCCAGGCTGGCGGCTCAGCACAGGGGCAAAGACGTGCGAACCGTCCTCCAGCGATCCCTCGAGGATGGTCACGTCGCTGATCTTGCTGCCGGTAGAGAAGGTCTTCTTGCCATTGTAGATGAGCTTGTCGGGATCGTTCTCGTCTTGACGCACCTTGAGGTCGGCATCGCGAGGGTTAACGGCGCCGCCGACAAAGTACTTGTTCTTGGTGATCCACTCTTCGTACTTGGTCCTCTGCTCGTCCGTGCCGACAAGAGCAGCAGTCCAAGACCACAGGTAGTGGTAGCCGATCAGCTGACCGAGCGAGCCGTCACCACGAGCGATGATGCGGATGACTTGATAGGCCTCCTTCCAGGTCAAGCCAGCACCACCGGCAGACTTGGGACCGAGGATGGTAACCAGACCGGCATCCTTCAGAAGCTGGACCTGTCGGTAGGGGACGACATTGCCACGGTCACGGATGGCCTCGTCAGCGTGAAGCAGCTCCGAGACCTGCTCGGCACGGGCAAAGACCTCCTCGGGCGTGGCAGGGTCCTTGTCGAAAGTGGGGTACTGAACCACTTCGGGGTCAGGCTGGATACGAGACGAGCCCTTGACGGCGGGCGCGACGTTGTTGCCTGGGGCGGTGGTAGCGGTAGCAGCGGGTGCCATGATTGGTTGGGGAGGACAGAAGGAGAAGAGAAGTTGTTGGGGCCAAAGAAGCTGGCTGGGAGGGGTAGGCTGATGTATATATGAGGCGATCCCATCGATCCGCTTTCCTCGCTCAAATAAAGCTCTCGGATCAGGCTAGACAGGGACCCTTGATCCGAGCGAAGAAGCAGATGGGGCAAAGGCGCTGTCTCTCTTCCTCACGCCTTGTGAGACTAGAGCGACATAGGCTATCAGGGCTACTGCAGGAGTGGGTCGCATGATCAAAACCCTCCTCAGGTCACGCTCTCTATCCGTTGGCCTGGAAGAACTTTCTCGCTGAAAGGCACCCGACCAAGATGCAGGCAGGCGAACGTGGACTTGTGTCAGCTGAAGCTTGATCAGAAGACGTGTGGGACCTGTTCGCAAACACAGAGCTTGGTTGAAACGACGTCGAGAGCCAGTGCGACTCCAGCGATTGGGCGAGCAAGCTGCCTACAGGACTAACTTTATCGCAGGACCGGGCAGGCAATAAGTTAACACTCCGTGGTGGTGCTAACTTTGACTAGGATCACGTCTTAAGGGCAGCCTTCCGAAGCTCCCGCGACATCCAAGTCGATAGCTGTCTGCGCGTAGATGCGCTTTCAGACGTTGACCTTGCACCATCGGCTGTCAGAATGATGTCTCGAAGCACGAAAGTCGATGCCGCCGTCCGCTGTACCATGGTAGCGAGCTCCAATGCAGGGTCTTGCTGCTTTTTGTAATGGCAATACAAGATTTGTATTGATGGTCTTAGTGCGCTTTTCACCATTTGGCGCTTTGTGACAGCCGAAGAGCGAATCTGACGTGCTCGCTCGCCATCTGGACCCTTTCTGGTCGGGAAGATTCGCCATCGGACACCAGTACCAAACAACATTGCCCGCTATTATGCTGGTGCCGCCGTTTTGAGCCGCATGGACGAAATCAGATGGCACAGTCGTAAACGCGCTTCGGCCCTTGAAGGTTGAATCCAGGTGACCAGACCGGTGGCCCCACCTTCGCTTAGATTGGCGTGTGGGCAAAGCTAAGCCCAAAAGTGGTTGTGACTGGTCGCGAGAAATCGCCGAGGTCTCCACGAAGAAGCACGCTAGCGTAGTCATCAGCGTCATGTCGACCGCGCACATTCAAAGTGTCGTTTGCCTTGGGCGTGGTCGTATGTGTTGGTACAAGCGGCGAATCTTCTAGCTCCTGCAACTTTTGCTGTCCCTCGTAGTCACCATCTCGACTACCGAGCTGGCCACCTTCCTGACTTCTCGACACCACCTCATACCACCTTCTCACACTTCGCGTCCACGTACTGCGACGTACTCCACAGGTTGCACCGATCCATACACCATGGCGGAACTCGAGATCATCGACGCCGAGATCGTCCCTCGAGCGTCTCACGAGCAAGAGCTTGCAGCCATCAGCAGCCATCATGCGACTGCCAAGCAAGCCGTCGCACCTGCTCTGACCTCTCTCTATCCAGTCTACACACAAGCAGAGCGCGATGCAGCCCTTCGACTGCTCGCTCCATCCACGCACGACGTTGTGCTCGGCGCTGGATGGACGGATTCGGAAGCGCCCTCGAACACGCTCGGCGACGAGGAGCATGCATCTCGTCGCGACTCGTCCTCCTCATCCTCTTCATCCTCTCATTCCGGTCCTTCGACGCCGTCAGGTCTGACGCTGCTTTCACAATCAATCCTCAAATCCGCCCGCAGCGACGACGCGCACTCAGACGCGCTCCTGGTCCGCTCGTGCCTGCAAGGCTGGTCCCTCTCCTTTGAGCTCACACCCCACCAGCCCATTCCCGCACCTCAATCTTCGGACGAGATCCTGATCCGCAACGACGCAGTCGGCCTCAACCCGGTCGACTGGAAGAGCGTCTCGTACAACTTTGGCATCCCTGCCTTCCCCTGGATCCTCGGCCGCGACATTGCAGGGACGATCGTTCAGCCTCCCGCGGACAACGAGGAAGGGTGGAAGGTGGGCGATCGTGTCTGGACGTGCGCAGACTCGCGGTCGATGCGTGCGGGCGGATATCAGAGGTTCTCTGTGCACAAGAAGGGAACGCTGGCGAAGATCCCGGATCAGATGACTGACGAGGACGCTGCGACATTGGGGACGGGTCTGATCACGGCCGCTGTCGCGCTGTTCGCCTTCTTCAAGTTGCCATTTGCACCGCTCGAGGACAATGAGCTGGCAAGCAAGCTCGATCAAGTAAAACTCGTAGAAGAGCAGGACAAGTCCGACTGGATTCTGTAAGTCCTCCTCCCCATGTCTAGTCCAAAAAGGCTGAGAGCAACACTGACATCATGCTTCGCGCTTTTTCCCGTCATCATCACAGCATCTACGGCGGAGGTGCAGTGACCGGCATCTACGCCACCCAGCTCGCGGCCATCTCGAACCTGCGCATCATCTCCATCGCTTCGCCGTCCAACTTCGACTACCTCCGCTCCATCGGTGTCTCAGCATGCGTCGACCGCCATCAGTCGCCCGACGCAATCCTCTCCTCCATCTCCTCGGTCCTCTCGGAACACGGCGGGCAGCTGCGATACGCTATGGACTGCGTCTCATCCAGCACAGCCAATCTCTGTCTCGAAGCTCTCCGCTCCAACGCAGGGGACAGCGCAAAAGAGCTCATCTGCCTCGCGGGCAACCCCAAGGCCGAAGCGGGCGAGGTGACGGTGCACAAGATCTCGTTCTCGACCACGTTCTACCACCCAGATGGCGTGTTTGCGAAGGACGTGCTGGCGTACGTGACACGCTTGTTGCGAGAAGAGAGGTTGAAGCCCTGCCGACCCGAGGTGTTGGCTGATGGCTTGGCTGGCATTCGGTAAGTCTCTTGTCCACGTGGTGATCATTATCGAGCGAGAAGCTGACTTTTCGAACCTTCTGACTTGTCCTTTTGCGTGCGATCGGTGCAGATCCGGCCTCGAGCTGCTGAGAGAAGGCAAAGCTCCGCGAGCGAGAAAGCTCGTCGTCCGCGTGTCCGACACACCAGCGGCGGACGTGACCCATCTCGGCGTGCGCACCGAGCTCGGTTGGAATGGTGTCGTGTGAAATGCCGTTGTTGCAATAGACGTCTTCGCATCCGAACTCTGCGTGTGCCCGCTTCTTTGAGCGCTTCTGAGCCCGTCAAGTGAGCCCGTCAAGCACATCCTCTGGCCCTGTCAATGCGGAACAGATGCACTGAACTGCGCTTCTGCCTGTAAAATCGATCGAAATCTATGCCTGAACCCCATTTGTCCCTTGCTCCTCATGAAACTCCTCCCCCTCCTCCTCCTCTTCATCCTCCAACAACGCCATCTCACTCCCCTGCTTCCCCACCAGCCACTCCAGATCCAGCTCGTCCAAAAAAGCCCTCATCGCTCCCTGCCTCCTTTCCGCCTCATTCCTGCCTGCGATCGTATAGAGCCTATCACCTCTGATCTTGAGCAGCTTTTCATAGAAATGACCGACGGCACTGCCGTTATACCCTTCTGCCTGCTCGGCGGGGGGCACAGGGTTGTCGGTGGGATTGTTGGGAGGGACGTAGAGTGGTCTGTTGACTTTGGCGCTGTAGGCAGCGCACCTAAGCACCCCAATGGAGCCGATGGCGTCGAGACGATCCGCATCGGAGACGCAGTGGAATTCTCTACAGCTGTCCAGCCAGGACTGGAGCTGCGTGTCGTGTTCGGTGCGATGATGGGGTGGGGTTCGACGTCGACGTTCGTCCTTACTCCAGCTGACGTTGGATACGATGTGCTCTACTGACTCTCTCTGCCCTCGCGTCACACCGGAACACACGGGATCGGCCCAAAATGGCGCCAGCACCGAAGAAGGCGTTGTAGAGGAAGAGTATTTGGCATCGGTGAGATCATGAAAGAGCGCCCCGAGCTCAACGACCAGTTTGTCGACGGCTCCAGCTTCAGGGGACCGTGTGAGGGACAGTGCGAGTAGACGAACGCGATGCACGTGGTGATAGTCGTGCGAGGGATCGTGATGCGCAAAGGCGGATTCGACGAATGATTCGGCGGCAGCAATGATGTCGGCTTTCTGGGAGGGCGGGAGGCGCGATGCCGGGGCGTATAGGGAGGTCGACGCGAGCACCGGGGAGAGGTCGTCCATCGTGTCGGCTTGAGAAAGGTGAGGCTGAGTGAGGGAGGCGATGAGGTGGAGACGGTGGCGAGGAAGGAGCAAGAAGTGCCACGCACGCAGGTCCAAGAAGATCTGCAACCCGCGCATCCGTGCGTGACGTGAGCTCTAAATTTTTGCCGGACCCTTGCGCCGTCCCCTTTCAGCATCACTTCTTCTCGGCTTCGACCCCTCGCACACCACCACAGCACACTCGAGCATGGTATGGTATATGTGTTCGATAAAGTAACACGATAATGCCCGACACAGTAACATGATAACACCTGACAGCGATACCACCCGAATCCAATGCCTTCGCCTGAACCCCCGCGCCTAGGCAAAGAGCGAAGTGTCGATCCCCTGACTGCCAAAGTTGGTGACGCAGATCATATGATCCTCGCTAGCCGAGACGATGCGGGTGACGTTAAAGTCGACGTCGAAGATCCTGGCTCGATGACATCGAATGTCCCTGAGACACTTGCCCGTCACCGGCCTGTGCTCGTCCTCGCCGTCCTGCTCTGGCGAAGCGGGAGCGGGTATGTCGTGTGACTGCTCTCCATCGATCGTCTCCTCTTCCTGTTCTTCCGCGGAAGCCGCCTGCGGAGACGAGCCAGTCTGGCTCTCTCCATCATCAAGACGCCACAGCTTGATCATTCGATCGTATCCACCCGAAATCACCAGCCTGCGCTGAGGACAGAACGCCACCGTCCGAACCAACGACTGATGATCTCCCAACACATGCGTGCACCGCCCGCTGACCGTATCCCACACCCGAATCGTCTGATCATTAGACCCGCTGATCAGCGTGTTGCCCTTAAACACAATGCACGCCAATCCCTTCGTATGGCCCCTGAACGTGTGCTTCCGCTGGCCCGTCTCGAGGTCCCACAGAAACATCGACCCTTCCCCCGACGCCGAGACCACCTGGTTCCCCTGCAGGTCCACCGCGTTGACCGGTCCGATGTGCTCGAACGTCATACACGCCCGCGGGGCGCGAGCCGCCGGCGCATCGTTCGTCTCCACATCCCGCATCGGCATCTCCGCCCGCCGCCACACGCGGACCGTCGCATCCTTCGATCCGGTCACGATCCACCTCTCGTCAAAAACAACATCGAGCACCGCCGACGTGTGTTCCCTCAGCACGCAATGCACTCGTTCGTATCGATCGTGCACCAACGCACCCGATTCAATGTCCACCGTCACCTGAGTCCCGTTGGTCGCAGTGTAATTCGTCATGGACGCAAGAATCGCCGCAAAGTCCCAAATGAACACCTGACCGTCCGAAGAAACGGAGACGAGAATCCGGTCGTCGTACTGCAATGCGAGCACCGACGCCGCGTGACCGGTGAGGATGTGCTTGGTATCGCCCATCTCAGCATCCCATACTCGGATGGTGCAGTCGCGGGAACCAGAGACGATCTTTCCCGGTGTACCCGTGCCGAGCCCGTCGTCTTGGCGAATGCAGTAGACCGAATCTTTGTGACCCCGGAGCCAGCGGCGGGTGGGCTCGAACCAGCTCTTCTCGCGACCGGGGCGAGCGACGCTGCCGGGCGTCTGCGGGGTCAGGTCGCTCGTCGACGACGCCGACGGCTCGCGAGACATGGGAGCTCCGCCGGCGGTGCTGCTTTCAGATGTCTCTGCTTTCGTGGGGTATTGCGGACTCAACCAGCGCTGCTGCAACACCCACCTGTCTTTGTAGAGCTTGCGCCAGTTGAGCGATTCAGCAAAGAACTCCTCGGCTTCGGCCACTTCGGCGTAGTGTTCGGAGATGGCGGAGGGACGCCTGGAGGGTCGGAGCGAGCCCGCGCTTGTGTGTCGTGACATGTCGACGCCGCCGGAGTCGTACGAGCCAAAGTAGGAGGATGAGAGACTGGCTTCGATGGCGCGCCGAGCGCCTGCTGGTGTCGACGGAGCGGGGCGCCCTGGGCTGAGGAACAGACCGAACCGTCCCGTGGCAGCCGTGGGCGAGCGAAGAGGACTCATGGCTGGTGTGATGGATCGACCGGTGTCCACGTCGACTTCGTTGCGCGAAGTGCTGGAGAGGCTGAGGCCAGCTAGTTGCGGGAAGGAAGGAATGTGCAGATTGTCCTTCCAGCTCTTGAGTGCGGCCAGTCGGTCGAGGTACGGGCTCGAGGTCGACGCGGCCTTGCGTTGCTCCTGGATGCGACGAAGACGTTCCGCTTCCTCCTTCATGGCTTTACGTGCGGCGCGGTTGGCGATACGCTGCAGCTCCACCTGATGCTTGAGGACCAGAGGCGCATCTTCTCGAATAGCCCAGTCCGGTTGGGCGAAGAACAGATCGCGCCATAGGAACTGGTTGGTCGCAAACGCCCTCCATCTGCGACTGACGCGCGAGATGGCTAGCAGGTCCTTGTGGGAGTCTAGCATATAGAGGATGCACAATGCCAACTCTGGCGGGAGATCCCAGAGGAAGTCGATGCAGCTGCGGTCCTCCTTCTGATCGATTGGCTTGCCCTGCTCGCGATGTCGATCCTCAATAGGTGCAAGTTCGTGCTGCCCATCGATGTAGCACGCCTCGTCACCGATCGAAAGCGTGGCACCCATGTGGTCGGATGCAGCGTAGTCAGATGTAGCTGTAGAATAAGAATGTCCGCTCCAAGAGACCCGGTCTCGTCGTAGCGCGATACGTGCCTTATCAGGGTGAGCGCGAAGCAAGTCGTAAGGCTCGATAGGAGACCCTGGTCGTGCGGTAAAGTAGCCGTCGGCGTCGGAAGCGATACTGATCTGCGAAGGCGTGCGGTAGAGGTCAGTTGCTGCCGGCGTCGAGGGGATGGAGAGCAGGCCGTCGGAGCGTGTGGACGATGATGAAGGAGGGTCGGTGGGTCGAAGGTGGGAGCTATTTGTACGTTGCGTTGCGAGGGTGGGGCGGGCTTCATCGTCAATGCTGTCGACTCTTGTCTTGGGTGAGACGGAAGCGTGCATGGTGTTGTCCGCCTTGTCAAGGCCTTGTGTTGATGTGAATGCGGTTGGCGAGGGAATGCTGCTGCTGCTGCTGCTAGATGCACTGGGCCTGCTATCTACGCTGTTCTGCCGGCTGAACTCTGCTTCGGGACTATGGGCGGAAAGCGGGGTGATGGACCCGCTTGTGCCGGACCTGAGCATTCTGCGTCGTCCATTCCGATCTGTTGCCCCTGCTGTTCCCATGAGCTGCTGGCTGTCTTCTTCGTCAGGTGAGCTCAATGGCGAGGTGGCGGTGACGCTCCTGAACGAGTGGACTGGGCTGGGCAGCGACGGCCTTCGATACGAGCCCGAGGCCACGTTCTTGTCTGCGATCAGCGGTGCAGAAGCTGTCGGAGGTGATTGCAGGATCTCCTCTACGTCTAGCTGAACCGCAATCGGCGGTGCAGGAGGTATCGACGTCATGTTGAATCGACGGCACCCGTCGAGCGCCACAGCTGGCTATCGAGATGTCTACTGAAGCCTTGGCATCGTATGCGCCGCTGCTGTCCGTCGGTGCAATGCAGGAGCTGCTTGTATGTGGTTGACGAAGCGGTAGCTGGCGATGGATGCAGAGCAGGAGATGTTTAGGAATGTCTTTGGACGTCGACTGCATGAGGTGGCACTCGGCCGTGCATGCGAGGCAACTGTTGTTTCGGTTGCTAAATTTGGCGCGCGTCACAAACACCTTCCGATTTCAAAGCAGTCAGTCACGCATGCTCTTGACTCTGCTATGGCAAATCCTCTCGAAGCAGCTTCACGAATGGCTTACTTGGCACGTAAATCAACAGCCTCGACGATAAGGATGCTGAATGAAGGTTTTGCAAGAGAGTCCAGGTGACTGAGAGATGAAAAGAGTGACAAAGATGTACGCGAATAGCGCGGCTACAAAATCTGCCTCGAAGCGGCATGTCCAGGCGCTTCCATCCCCCTTCCAAGCCCAGCACCCAATGGAGCGGCGGGCGCAAACGAGCCTTGTGAAGACATTGGCATCCCTGGTCGCGGCATGGAAGCTCCAAAGCCAGCACCGTATGGCATCATTCTAGGCCCACCGGGTGGTGGCGCCATATACTGCTGCTGCTGCTGTTGCTGCTGCAAGGGAAGCATGGGATCATTGGGTCCAAGGGGTCCGAGTGGACTCGAAGAACCATTCGAGCTACCGCTGTAAGGCGAGCGCCTGCCGTCCTGTACTCCAACCGACAACAAAGCATCGCCGCTCGACGCTGGCAGCCCATCTCGGTATCCACTTTGGGTGATGGAGGGAGGCAGGGTTAGCTCCTCGGCCACGATGGTCGCAGGTCGGTTGGTTCGGTTGTTGGGCGTGAAGCGACTCGACCTTCGCGGATCGCCCTTGCCGATGCTCTCGACACGACGCAATGACTTGGGTCCGTTGTTCTTGGACGTGTTTCGACGAATCTGTGACCCGTTCTGGTGGTCGTACGAGCCGTCCTGCGACATGAACATGGACTTGCGATAGGTCCCTGGTCCAACACTGTCGATCCTGCTGCGTCGCATCCCCGACAGGTCTCCAGAAGACTGGTTCTGATGGTACCGCGATCGACGGTTGTTGGAACTCGCGGGCGGTGGCCCGCGCAGATAGGGTCGCTGCTGGGGGTTGTTGTTCGGTGGTGGGTTCAAGCTTGCTCGTCGGGGGAGCACGCCAGCGGGGGGACCATCGAGGTAGCTGGTGCGATGGTCGCGCTGGTCATTGGGGCTCTTGGATGGGGCGCCGTTGTAGGCACCATGGTCAAAGAGCGCGCCTGGCGTGAAGCCCGATCCATCTGGCGCGACCGATGCCGAAGTGAAGCCATTGGTCAAGCGCGGTGAATCGTAGGAATCGTCCGCGTTCGAGTGCACGGGAGGATGAGATCCACTGACGTTGCGTCGGAAGGTGGCTGATGCTGTTGGGCCCGGAAGTTCGATGCCGCTGCTGGCTCCTCGAGCATGGCCGCGACGAGGTCCACCGAATCGTTGCGACTCGTCTCCGCTGAAGCTGCTGGCGCTGTGGCTGGGCATCATTCCGTACCCACCATTGACACCAGGCGCGACGCGATCATGGCCCATGCCATTGGAGCTGAGCGAGTCGTCCGCAGCCTCCTCGTAGCGACCTCCGCGTCCCATGGGCTGCGCAGAGGTGAGCAGACCCGCATTCGGGCTGGAAAGGTCGTGCATCGACTCGTTGGGCCGGAAGGCGGCATTGGGGTTGGTGCCCGCAGCTGCAGATCCGTATCCTGCGGCTGATGGTTGGTACATGGCCCTGGCAGCAGGTTGTCGTCGAGCGTCGGTGCGCGGACGGTTGACGTACTTGCAGGTGACACCGATCAGGACAAAGAGGAAGAAGGTGCCAAGAAAGCCACCGAGCAGGATGGCAACGACTGGCGCTTCGAGACTCGAAGTTTGTGTCCTGGCGATCTTATGATGGTCATTTTGAGCGCTGCTTGTAGCGGATGGGGCGGCGCTGACGGCCTGTCTGGCGACGAGGGCGCTACGACGAACGACGTGCTTGACGAAGCGTCGTGGCAAGTCATTCTGTAGCGTCATGGTGGTTGTGCGAGGGAGGGTTGTGCCGAAGGAACAAGGGACGCAGCCTTTCCTTTCCGAACTGCACAGTTGGCAGAAGGATGGCTAGCTCGGCTAGACTTTGTGTACCGGTCCGAGCGATGTGCTAAGTGAGGCGCAATCGAAGACGGCAGCGAGGCGACCTGTCGATGCGCTAGCGTGTCCGAGATGGGCTTGCGCTGAGGTAGAAAGATGGTGGAAACAGAGCAGGTCCAGCTGTAAGTCCTTGAGAACGAGATGTCGAGATTCCAGAGTCGAAAGAAGAGACAACGCTGCAGGTGTAGGCCCAACACGAAGAAGGAAACTTGCGAATGAAAACGAGCGTGGTGTATCTGACCAGCTTGACAACGATGGGCAAGAGGAGAGGCGCGATGGAGAAGTAGTCGAATTTGAGAAACCTTGCTAGCAGAGTCGAAAGGATGCGGTGCGAGAGCGAGACGATGTGCAAGGATGCTTAAAACCAATGCCGAACCTCGAGCTGGCCAGAAGATGCGAATGAACAAGTCCGTTAATGGGAGTGGAAGACTGAGATGAAAGAGAGTGGAGAGACAAAAGGAAGGAAGTAGAGTGGGTTGGTTCGCACAAGGAGGCTCCGATGGTGGTGATGGTGTTGGTTGGTGGAACGATGGCCAAGAGAGCGGAGATTAATCCAGACCAAGGAGGAGGGAACAGGAGGAACGGGAGACGAGGAGGGATGAAAGCGGCGCCTGTGGAATGCGAGGAGGATGAGGAGGAGGAGGGGCACCAAGCGCGTCTCTCCCACACACCGACCAACAGCGTGGACGGATTCGAGGTGCTGTTGGTCTCATCTTTGACCGAGGCTCCCTGCATCCGACGCGCTCAACCAGCACGCCAACCAGCCTTTCGGCAATTTATTTTTATTTTTTAAAACAAGCAAGAAAGGGTCTTTTCTGTCAGAGCCGAGTGGACACTCTTCTTGAATACGCAAAAGCACGCCGAGCTTCTATTTGACCTGTAAGGGGGCTTGCCTACATCATCGACAGCTTCTTCAATCAGATCTTGATCGGCAGTGGTGGTCGAGGCTGTGACAGCACTTTTAGGAGGCATTCAGGGCGCTCGCTGAAGAACTGGCCGTGGTTATGCACAGCGGCACGAAACGCATGAGGATTCGGCGTCTCTGAAGGGGTGAGCGTGCTTCTGATGCCCGTCTGTGCCGCTCAATTGACACACGGATCATTGACACCTTCCAACCCCTATCCTGCTTTGTCGCTCGGTTGCACTGCAAAAACCTCATGTCGCTCAGCATCACGACCACCACCGCGAGGTGGAAAGCATGCAGCAAGGTGCCGCTGGCCGTGTGGTGGGCCGCGTTGTTCTGCCATTTCTCGATACGCGCCTTTTGCTTTACGCGTATCCGAGCCCAGCTTTAAACTTTCAATTCAACATTTCGGCGGCGTCGATCCTTTTTTGAATACAATTGATGCAGCCAACTTGCAGCTGAGGTTCTCCTCCTCGACTGCTCTGCTGTCAACCTCACTCCTCCGGCGTTTCTGGACCCTCGGCCAGCCGGAATGGCATCCTGCAGCTCGCAGCGCCGGCAACAGCTTGCCTCGGGCCAAGACTTTCCCATCATTCATGCCGCTCCATGAGATTGCAACACAACTTAAAAGACACAGGGAGAGAGCGAGAGAGCCGTGCGAATAGAAGTCACACGCCGATCATCTGCACTTTGTCGATCGTCTGGGCGCTTCTCACGGTTGACCGTGCTGAGTGGCATTGAGTTTCCATGACATCGATCCAGGCCCACTACATTGGTCGTAGCAGCCACGTGTGCCATTCGGGTGCAAGCTGAGCTGAAGCAATCGCCAATGCCATCAAAGATACGTCACCTGCGTGCCCATCTTGATCGTGTCCATCACCTTTCGGTAGACGAGCAACAGCCAATTGAAGCCCAGCACGCCTCCGCCGCCCGAGCCGTTCTTTCCCACCAGCTTGCTCCTCGCATCTCTGGCCGCGGCGTTCCTCCGAGGACTGGCCTTGGTGGCAGCACCCTGCGCTGGAGGCCTTCGGGCTACTCGATAGAAGACGAGCATCATCACGATGGCTGACATGAGCATCGTCCTCGTCTGGTTCGCCTTGCGAAAGTCAAACATCGACGTGATGGTCGACAAGATCGAGTTGTTCGACGTCACATCGCGTGGTGAGCCCTTCTTCTGCGAAGACGACGAAGAAGACTCGCCAGGTCCAGTGGTCGAATGGTGGTGTCCCTCCATGTACCTCGACAGATGAGCTCGGGTTGAAGCATAGCCGGTGTCATCTTTGAGGCGCGGCTCCTTGGTCGCAGCTTCACCACCATTGCTCCGTGTCGATCGACGAGAGTGATTCGAGGCGGCCGAGGTGCTGCTCTCGTTTCCACCATCAATGTCCGAAGACCGCGACGAGCTCGATCGCCTGACGGAACGACGCTCCGCTTTCTTCTCCTCCTTGACAGCGCTGCTGGCAGCTTGCTTCGATCCCGACTCTACACTGCGGGTTGAGCCAGGGGAGATGGCGGGACTCGTCGACGAAGACGAACCCGACTCGGCAGCACCGGCACGAGGAGAAAAGTATGCGGGCGACTGGCTGCGTTGTCGGTGCGATCGCGAGCCTCCATCCGATCCAGAACCAGACGAGCCCGAAGGCGAGTCACGCGTGCCGCGCGAGCTGCTTCGCGAGCTTGCACTCGTCTTGCTTCCCGCTGTTGACGACGACATGGTCTCGGCATCGGTCTCCTTCTTGCCTGTCAGGAAATTGCCGATGCCAGCTGCTAGGTCGCGTGCCTTTCCGCCCACTTTGTTGGACCCCTTGCCGCTAGCTGCAGCGGCGGCAGCAGCTTCCTTGGCCTGCTTCTCTTCTGCTTCTCGCTTCGCCTTCTCCTGTGCGTACGACTTCTGTGCGTTTGCGATCGCCTCTTGCTCCCTCTCCGACTGACCGGTGAGATGCGTCTGCGCTTCGTTGATTTGCTCCAGCAGGCCAAACTTGATCGACTCAGCCAAACTCGAGTAGCCCACAAACTCTCGCGCGTACTCCCACTCGCCCAATCGCGAGGCGAGCACGTGCAGCGAATAGAGACCGACAATCTTCTCGTAGGCTGCGGCGGCCTTCGGCGTAGGAGGAGCGGCACCAAAGGCAGAGGAGAAGGAGGCAAGATACCATTCGGCGATCAGACGCGCGGCGTTCGTGCCTGTGCGTGCCGATGGCTCGACTGCATCCAGGCGAAGAGCTGCAAGCACAGCAGATGAGACAACCGAAGCGGGAAGCTCGATGGCAAGATGGATGGTCTCCGGGGTTGGATCCAGCGATGGCGCGTCAGCTTCTCCTGAAGTCTGTGTGCACAGTCGCAAGGCCTCGAACCAGAGATGACTGATCAAGCTTTGCGGCTGCTTGGACAGGAGCAGCAAGATACGATCGACAACTGCAGCATCAGAAGACGATTGCTGCCTCGTCTGCGCGAGCTTTTCGTTGAGTGTGGCAGAGACTTGCTTGTCGGTATAGACCTGAGTGAAGACCGTCAAACGAAGAATGGCCACCTTTTCGACCAGCTTCTGCACGTCGAGATCAGCGTCCTTGAGCAGAGCCGATGCTGTGAGGCTATGCCCTAGCTGGCTCGGCGAAAGGAGCAGGTCCACCGCCTGTTGGCTTTGAAGCAGAGCAGTTAGGAGATCCTTGGCGAGGAACGCCCTCGCTGCTTTGCCGTAGTGCGCTTTCGCCGTCTTAGTCCGTGAGAGCGTTTGGCTTTCGTCGTTGACGCCCTCTGGAGAAATAGGACGCTTGAGATCGGATGCGGAGGCTGAGATGGACTGCGAGAGGGAGAGGTCGCCTGCGTTGGTGCCCAGCTGGCTCGATTGCGAGCCCGCCGGCGCTGTCGACGTGCTATCTGGCACCGGCATCTTCAGCAGCGCTTCCACTGCTCGATGTTACCGCAGGGGATTCTTCAATACCTTTGACCTCGAAGCAAGAGTAATGGCCGTGGGTGTTGGAAGAGAAAGGAATGAGGAAGTGTGGGGCAAGTGGGAAGCGAGGGAGCGTCTGTGCGTGGGAAGGCAACTCAGCAGGCTCCGGTCCAAACTGTGAATTCTCAGCCGGTGAAGCTGCGCCTTTCTCGGTTCTCGCGCGGAAGAAAGCTCGCGTGATACGGCGAGATGAAGTGTGACTTTGTGGAGAAGAAAGTCGAAATTAAGGGTCCAACACCTTCGACCCTCCAACTCAGCTTCCTATCCAAAGTCACCTTCTGACAGCACCACCACCGCAACACGATGGAGTAAGACCCAGACCAAACTCTGCCTGCCAGCGCTAGCCAGCATGACAATGCAAGATGCTGCGGACCAAGAGGCTGTCGATGCCATCACGGCTGCCTTCCTTTCAGCTCCCACGGCGAAGCAGCGTCTGCTCACCAAGCTGATGAGCAGCACCGACAACCGGTACCAAGAGTTCTGCCAGCATCTCACACGCAAGGATTGCCCCGACGCCGGAACATGCCAGAACCTGCACTTCAAGCCGGTCTTCTATCCGCACACCGACCCTTCGTATGGTCATTGCAGCTATCTCAATACCTGCCATCGCACCGCCTCATGCAAGTATCTCCATTTCGAATTGGATGCCGACCCGCCTCAGCAGCCGTTCAATTTCAAGACCACGGATCCACGTCACCCCCACGAGCCTGACTCGGAGGAAGCAGGCGAGATAGGTCTCATTCACCCGTCTCGCACACTCAAGGAGCATGGCTTCAGCAGCTGGATTCGGCCTTCGTCTGCATCCGGAGCACACACTGCGGACCAATCCGAGGCGCAGTGGATCGACTGTGATCTCAAAGACTTTGACTACTCGATGTTGGGCAAGTTCGACATCATTCTGGCCGATCCGCCATGGGACATTCACATGTCGCTGCCGTATGGGACGATGAGCGACAACGATATGCGCTCTATGCCTGTCCCGCAGCTGCAAGACGAAGGGCTCATCTTCCTCTGGACCACCGGCAGAGCCATGGAACTAGGTCGAGAGCTGCTTGCGCACTGGGGCTACACACGCATCGACGAGCTGATTTGGGTCAAGGTCGGTCAGACACAACGTCTCATCCGTACTGGTCGGACAGGGCATCATCTCAACCACACGAAGGAGCACTGTTTGGTCGGAGCTAAGGTGCGCTCAAATCCCAGCGAGAGGGAGACGCTGGAGAGCAGACCGATCCCAGGGTCCACACAACATTACGTCGGCAGTCGAGGAGCAGGTGTTCCACCACCACTTCCTGATTGGGTGCACTGCGGTCTCAACGCCGACGTGATCGTCTCCGAAGTCAGGGATACTTCGCGCAAGCCCGACGAGCTGTACAGCATCATTGAGCGCCTCTGTCCGGGCGGACGCAAGGTGGAGCTCTTTGGCCGAAGGCACAACGTCCGCAGAGGCTGGCTCACCTTGGGCAACCAGCTCAAATCGGACCACGTTCTGGATCCCGAGCTGCAGCATCGTATCGATGCTTTCAGGTCGAGCAGACTTAGGCAAGGACAGACTCCGCCGATGCAAGCACAGCAGAGGCACTCTACAGCTTCGAGAACAGGCATGGCAACAATGTATTGAGCCGAGCAAATATACCCGATTGATCCACGATTCAGTCAGCCTGGCGCCGGTCTTGGCTCTGGGACCCGCCTCGACGCTCTTGTCTAGGCCTTGAGTTCAAAGGTGGAAAGCGGCAAAGTGTGGTTGGAAGAGCCGCGGTTATGTCGACAGCCCATCTAGGGTCCAGTTCTCTTGATTCACGGGCAACTTGTCCCGCGCCAAAAAGGACGCGCACGGCCGGGTCAGATTTCATAGCCGAAGCCGCTCCCTCCGCTTCCAGATCTTCGCGAGCTCCCCATCCTTCCCTCATACACCTTGAGCCCACCATCCCTTTACACCATATCACGCACTTTCACCCTCCAACGCAAAGACAATGCCAGCACTATCACTCGCGGGTCGCACGGCCTTTATCACCGGTGGATCGCGCGGAATCGGTCTTGAGATCGGCAAATCGCTCGCTGCACGCGGTGCCAATGTCGTGATCGCAGCCAAGACGGCTACGCCGCACCCCAAGTTGCCGGGTACGATCTTCACCGCCTGCGACGAGATCTCCTCGGCTGCCCAGGCGTCGGGCTCTTCGGCGGTTGCTCATCCTGTTCAGCTCGACATTCGGGATGCGACTGCGGTGGAAAAGGCGATTGACGATGTGGCGGCCAAGTTTGGCGGGCTCGACATTGTCGTCAACAACGCGTCGGCGATCAACATGGCGCCTACAGTCAAGGCGAGTGTTAAGAGCTATGATCTGATGAATGGGATCAATGCTAGGGGAACGTGGTTGGTTTCGCGATTTGCGCTGCCGCATCTGCTCGAGAGTGCTGGCAAGGGCAACAATCCGCACGTCCTCACGCTCAGTCCACCGCTCAACTTCAACTCGCTCTCCACCACCCCTGGTCCCGGTGGGAAGGAAGCAGCGATCTTCCCGCATCAGTTCGCACAGACCGCCGCGGCGTACACCATCGCCAAGTACGGCATGTCGCTGCTCACCCTCGGCCTGTCCGCGGAAACGCTCGGCAAGGTGGGCGTCAACTCGCTCTGGCCCTACACATTGATCGCAACGTCCGCCATGAAGATCGTCAGCAAGGATGCCGAGGTCGAGGAGAGGAGGTGGAGGAGTCCCACCATTGTCGCCGAGGCAGCAGCAAGGGTCGTCGAGGAAAACGCGGCGACGTTCAGCGGGCAATTCTTGGTCGACGAGCTGTATCTGCGCGAGAAAGGCTTTGGGTTGGAGGACATTAAGAAGTTCAACGTGGACGAGACGACGGAGCTGGAGAATCTTGCCGAGGACCTGTACATCAGCCAGGAGCTCAGGGATGCAATCCGGGCGAGCCGGAAGTAGAGAGATCGTGTCTACCTGGATGCAATCTTATGAACGTCGTGCTCACTCGCGCGCTGCTCGGTCAGACCTCGAGAAAGTAGTTAGGATGACCTGCGAGGACACCGATCTCTTTCAGATGAGGATGTACGACTACAAGATGCCTGTCTCTCCTTTTTCGTGAGCATCTCGACGATGCATTTTCTACTCCAGCTCGAATATCGCTTCCTCCTCATCTTCCTCGGCCGTCACCACAGGCAACGTCAACGGCGAGTGCGGAGCAGCAGCCGAGCTTCCCGCTCTCAGCCGATGAGTGGCAGGATGCTGGGCGTACCTCGTCCCGCCCACTGTCGAAGCGTGCTTCTGTGCACCGCCTTCGGGTATGGCGATGCCGCCTTCGCCGCGGTGCGATCCGATGGCTGGGAGTGGAGGTGAGAAGGGCGAGCTCATGTTGCCGCTGCCTGGTGAGCCGAAGGTGCCGTTGCCGAGCTGACGGTCTGCGAACGAGCCGCTGAGACGGTGGCCAGGAACGTTGCTGGAGCTGCCGACGGCGAAGGTGAGTGGGCTGCGGTGGCCCAAAACGGACGAAGGCGCCGTGGGACCGAGGCCGTAGTCGTCGAGGCTGCTGGGAACGCGCAGGCCGCCGTTGCCGTTGCCCAGCTGCGAGTTTTGTGAGAAGGAAGAAGGTCCGAATGTGCCACCGTTGGTAGATGACGCTGTGACACCGTCGTTGCCTGCGCCTCCTCCGATGGCGCCAAACCCACCAGCACCGACGTCTCCTTGGCGACCAGTACGAAGGTGCAGTCGGCTCAGACCGGCTGCCAAGCCCTGGGGCAAGCTCTGTCCCGGCGCATGATGAGCAGCAGTGCGGCTGGCCGAGGTCGACAAGCCAGACGAGCTCTCGCGAAAAGCGATCGAGTCAAGCCCACTCGTACGGCGTACGCTGCCAAAGGGGCTGAAGTCGTCGCCTGTTCCTTGCTTTTGATACTGCTGTTGCTGCTGGAATCCTGTCGACAAATTGCTCGTGTTGCCACGCTCCGCGCCGATGGCGGTACGACCAAATCCAAGAGACGATCCGAGCGGGATTCCAGCTTGCGCGGGCATGCTCTGGGCCACAGTGACCCTTTCATCGTTGCCAGCGAACGAGCTCGATAGAAGATTGCTGCGCCTCCTGCGATCCAGCTCAGCCGGCGTGAGCAGATCTGAAAGACTGGACGGGAGGAAGTCCTCGGCGTCTTCCATGTCGTCCTCGACTTTGCTGCGGCCAATAGATCGGACATTGGCACCAGAGCCGATTCCACCCCAAATGTTCGTGGCCTCATCCTTGCGTCCTGTGCTGCGCGCTGCAAAGGCATCTCGGTTGTTCCGTGCAAAGGGACCTGCGCCGCCTTCGGAATCCTGACTGCCACTGAAGAACAGAGCGTGCCCGCTGGGATGGCTGAAGGGGCTCGTACCAAACGCTCGCGACGCATTGGCGGATGTGCCAAAGGCAGCTGCGGTCGCCGGCGAGTCCATACCTCCGAAGGACTGAGCGGCGAGGGAAGCGCTCAGGCTCTGCGACAAGGTGCCCGGGCGGCGGAACGAGGAGCTGCCGGTGAACGATGTCGACATGGCCGGATCCCTCGCGGACGATTGTCCCATAGTGACGCCCTCGAAGCCAGCCCGGGCCGGATCAGTAGATGCAGCAGCGGAGGGCTGGAAGTCGTCTGGCATGCCAAAGGGCAGATCGTGATCGCGCGTCGTGAACGACGGCTTTTGATTGTGCACCTGCTGAGGCGCTTGACCGGGCACAAGATCGTTGCGGTTGGATGTGGCCTGCTGAGGAGCCATGGACATTTGCGACACGGCCTGCGCTTGCTGTTGCACTTGCTGCGCTGAAACCTGTCGCGGCATCGAATTTTGGGACGGACCGGCTTTGAGCTGGCTCGAGTAGGTCGGTTGGGACGGTGATGCTTGCACACCGCCGCCCATCTGTTGCTGCTGCTGATTGGGTGCCTGCGGAAGTGGCTGGCCATGCTGAGCAGCTCGCTTGTTCTTGCGATCCATGCTCATGGGCTGCCCAGGCAGAACATGCGCCAAGGCACACTTGTGGCCGAAGCGACAACTGCCCTTCAGGAACCACTGGCAAACGGACTTTTGCCCGCCATCTCCCGGGAGAGTGTGGGCGAAGGGACAGGATGCGCCGGCCGAACATCCATTACTCCGAAAAAACTTGCAGGGAACTTGGCCAAGCGCCTCCTTCTTCTTGGAGCTGAGCTTGGCGTTGGCGAGCGCACTGCCGGTATCCTTGTCGTCCGCTGCCTCGCCGGGATTCTGCGAGCTGTCCCGCTCCCTTGACTCTGCGCCGTTGTCAGGATCGGAATTGGCTGCATCGTCGGCAGCGCGCGGTTTTCTACCACGGCTTTGGGCCTCTTCGCCTCCGGCGCCATCGCCTTCTTTCGCAGCCGCCGCAGCTGCTGCAGCAGCTTCCTGTTCTCTTCTGGCTTGCTCGATGCGGAGCTTTCGACGGCCAAGCTCGGTGTTGAGACCGGACTCAGCTAGGATCTCCCATTCTTCCTTGACCACCTTTGGTTTTGGCGGAAGCTGAGATGCGCCTGTAGCAGCGGCAGGAAGACTGGGAGGCGGTGTTGCAGTCGGGGGCGCATCCGAAAAGACACTGCTCTGAGCGGTTGGAGCAGCAGGGGCAGCTTTGCTCGGGGAAGCAGCCACGTTCACCGGAACAATAGCTTTCTTTTGCGGAGAGGCGGAACGACCACCTCGCTTCTGACGGAAGGCTTCTTCCCTCAGTGGGTTGCCTTCCAGCAGGAGACAGAGGACTTTGACGTTGAGACGATCCTCCATCTTGTCAATGTCGGCAGAAGTGGGACGATTGAGCACTCGCACGAGCTGTCGTGCTGGCATTCCTGCACTAGCTTCAGCATGTTCCTGATTCGAAGGGAGGGTATCGACCTTGCCTATGGCTTGATCGAAGGACTGGATGCGACGCGATCCGAACAGAGCTTCCATCTTGGCGAGGTCGTCGACCTCACAGCCGGACAGATCGAGAACGGAAAGGTTGGCAAGGATCTCTTTCGATGTTTCAGAGGCCCCCTCTGGTGCGAGAACATCATCGCCGATGCCGCAACCTGGCAAGCCGAGGTCCTCCAGGTAGGCGAGCTGCTGGAATAGCTTGACAGAAACCGGACCCCGAATGTTGTTGTGCCCGAGGTGGAGGGTCTTGAGACCGGTCGGCAATCGAACAAGGGTAGCATCACGAGCGTTGTCTTGAGCAGTTTTGCTGCGGCGGCCGGCGAGATCGGGGATGCCCAAAGCCGCGTTGGTGAGCTTGTTGTGGCTGAGATCAAGACTTCGAAGAGAGCGCATGGGCGTGGTGGCGTGCGCCTCCAAAGCAGCAAGGAGCGGTTTGCGATCCTTCTTGGAAGGCGAGAGACCCGCCCATACGCCGTTCTCCTGCACCGCGTTCTCCTTGTCCCATGCCTCTCGTTGCGCTCGTGCCGCTGTCACGTCTTCGTCCTTCCATAGATTCTGGATCTTGTTGTGGGAGAGATTGAGCGTCACGAGATGGTCGAGGGCTAGGAGACAGCTCGGGAAAGCGGTGAGGCCGTTTTTGGAGAGAGTGAGGTTGGTGAGAGCAGAGAGCTGGAACAGTGTAGATGGAAGGCTGGAGAGACGGTTGCTGTGAAGCTCCAAACGTTTGAGGCCGCGAAACTCTGCTAGCTTGTCGGGGAGCGACTCGAGCTCGTTGTTGCTCAACTGGAGAGTGTGAAGCTCTTCGCGCATGTACCAGGGCTGTCGGTCCTCCTCGGGGATCTGGAGGAACCAGGGCTGCGGCTCGTCGGCCAATAGAGAAAGGAGTAATGCAGGGACCTCGCGAAGAGAGGGTGAGCGTGAAGAAAGATTGACTTTGCCTGTTGTGGACGACAGAATGGGAAAGGTAGGCAGCAGGTCAGCAGATTGTCGGCAGCCGTGCGCCGTGCCCGGCCTCCGTTTGGGCATACACTTCGACATACCATTTTGAATGCTGAGGCGCACAACGTCTTCTTCCGACTTTTGGTTCAGGCTTGTATCTGGCGCAGGCGAAGCCGATGCGCGGTTGAAGTTGGTTGGTGTAACGGACCTGGAGGCAGGCTTTGGGGAGCCGAAGGGACTGGCTATCGAAGCATCGAGGTGATGTCCGAAGTGAGGAAGCTCATCGTTGCCGTTGGGAATGGAAAGAGTGGGTTTGGTAGGCGAAGCAGAGCGGGAACGATGCTCAGCCCTTTTGGCGGCTAGAGCAGCGCGCACCGCCGCCGACATCCGGCGTCAAGACGATGGACCCTGTCGAGTCGGTGAGAGGTCGCTGAGAAGGGGAGCGCGCGTTGGCAAGGAAGCTCACCAGAGCTGTTGCGTGGTGCGTCGGGTATCGAAGGGATGGCGGGTCCGTTGATGGAGCAGATGGTGAAGAGAGGTGCGGAAAGAGTGTGAGTGGAAGGTGGAAGCGGTGGTTCGAGGGTGGGAAAAGTAGGGTCCAAGCTGGATTGACGGTGGTCCCAGACCTCGGTAGATGCGTGCGAGTACGGGATTGCACCACACGAACCCTAACGCACTCTCTTTGCTGCAAGCGCCGTAGCCGACGTTTAGCTTGGCTTGTCACCTCTTCAGACCACGCTCGACACAGGTCAATCCAGACATGCATGGACCGCTATGAGCAGTGCCAACATGACTCTGGTACTCAATTGACTTTGCTTCCGACTGCATTCAGCGCGCGGGCCGAATCGGGCTCAGATTGAGCTTTCCATCGAGGCAGCAGCAAAGAGCTAGGACGGCATGTCAGGCCTCATATCGCTATCTCTTGGCTTGGAATTTGTGCGTCCACTACGCCCCTGACTGGCTTGCAAAGGCTCTCGATGACTGTGAAACGCACTGCGACGGCTACAGTAAAGTGATCTTGTCTGAGGAACGACATCAAGAGCCCGTATCAAAACTGCATCGAAGCGCGTTCCTCTGCGTCCAATCAACGCTGGGCAAAGCAAAGCCTTTTGACTCGACCCTGAGGACGAGCTCAACGCTGCGCGTCTTTCGGCCTGACCACGCCCTGCAGCAAAAGAAACACTTCGCAGCCTCACTTCGCGCTGAACTGACTTAACATCACATTTCCGGCGGCCACGTGCTCACAACGAGGAGCCTTACTCCATTCCTCCAACAGCATCTGTTCGGTCGAGTCTGCGTCAAAGCCAGGTCTTGGAGTCATGCTATGAATTGACCTTAAGCGATCAGGTTCGACTAGACGGCTCGATCTGAGCAGGCAGCCGCTGTCGTACTGCCTTTTAGTCGATCAGCTGCGAGCCAGCTACCGAAGTGATGTTGGTGAGCAACATCTTGCGTCGCTTGGCGAGGCGGTCGCGGTCGATGGCTTGCGTATCATCGTCCTCTTCTTCTTCGGCCCCCTGCGCGCCCTCGGGCGTGGACGATGGATCGGTGAACAGGACCGTGATGAGCTCTGCGATGCGCTTCTCTCCGACCTCGGACTCGGCACGGCTGCCCCACCTCCACTCCCAGACCGTCGTCTCGTCGTCTGCTGCATGTGCTCGTCCTCCTCCGCCGCTTGTACGCCCTCGCCGCCTTCCTTGCGTCTGCGCTTGGTTGACTGCGGCGTCCATGACGTCGATGCCAACATCCGAACGTTGCCTCTCCAGGTAGTTTTGCTTGGTCATGGTGGTGAGGAACGCTTCCAAAGTGCCCTGTGATGCGCGCGCCCTGGACTGCGTCTGCGTGCTCTGTGAGCCTGTGGATGCTGCTGCGCTGGTTGGGCCTGTACCGCGCAGAGCTTTCGGAAGCGAGGTGTCCGGATGCAAGTGCAGGCGTCGCAGGTACATGAAGAGCGTGGCTGTCGCAGCGGATACAGAAAGCGAAAGTGGAGGATCAGGTTTTCGTGTTAAAGACCATGGTTTCGGGTCATGACCAGAGAGCCAATGGTGACTTACCTTCCGTGATGGTGCGTCCACTGACGAGGATGAGGGCGAGAACGATGTACAAGAGACCCATCTCTCCGTCCTGGTGGTCGGCGGAGGACCAGTCGAGGGCCGCCTTGGCATCTTTGGCCGAGGGGCGCCTTCGCTGGGTCGAGGACGAAGGGGCGGTTGTCAAGCTGGTCTGCGCATACGCATCGGTGAGCTTTTCGTCGCACCTTGCGAGCCCTTTCGTCAACCCAGAAGGTAACGACGAACGCAGCATCCAAATTCTGGGCCCCTGTCCTCCGTCTCCGGTCGCATCCTCTTCGGGCGGATGTGTTCGGGCTCTGAGCCCGTTCGCCGAGGAAGATGCGGCGCGAATGGCCTCTTGCGCCTGCTTGAGCAGTTCGGCGTTGTCTGCTCCCTTGGAACGCACCTCGACCAAGTGGAGACCGAGCGGTTGGAGCATCTTCTGAGCAGCGTTGAAGATGGGAGCAAAGCAGCGCGAGATCTTCTTGTCCTCGCCGAACACATCTTTGCGTATATCATCCCTGCGGATCTCTTTGCGTTTATATTCGTTGGAGAGAGTGTACCTGACGAGGTCGCCTGCCTTCTTGTTGATTTCGGCTTCGCCAAGCTCTTGCGCAGCCTTGCGCGCAAGGTCACTGACGTTCAACAGCTTGTGGGGCAGCAAAATGGAGTCGATACGAGATTCAAAATCATCGACAGCATCTGCTTGCGAGCCTTGTGAGCTGGATGACGCAACTGGCTCGGCATTTCTTCGGGATGATGTGGGAGGGCGGCGGCTGGACGAGGCGACCGGAGGCTCGTCGCGATGCAGCCGCTGACTCGATCGTCGACCGTATGTGGACATTGTAAGTGTGTGCCGGATGGATCAGCTGATGTACGATGGATCAAGGTTGGAGGTCAAGGAAGGGGTCGACAGCTTGAGCGCTGCATGGACTCCAAGATGGCTGAGTTCTGACGAAGAAGCGGGCCTTGCTCAGGGTCCTTTTTTGGCGCAAGAAAGTGTTGGTCGGATCTGCAAGGGGATGCGTCGCGCAGAGTGCGGGTCGCGATTTGAATTTTCTCCCCGCTTGCTGTTATCTGAGCTGATCTCACAGACATGGAAAAAGCAGCTCATCTGCTCGTTCCCGCCGAAGCGATGCCGAGGCAGCCAGGATCATGCGACAGCGGTCATCCCCCTTTGTCGGACGCCGGCGACTCCTTTCAAGTGATGAGTTTCCCCAAAGCTTCAGATGCAAAAGCGCTGTTTGTGCTGGTTGTGCCAAAGCGTGACTGTTAGTGAGAAAGCCACACGATTGGGTGCTCTGGCGTAAAGCTGGACACGGTCGAGCGTCAGCAGCAGGCCGTGCCGAGGCCGCAAGGTCGTGTCTCGGTTCGCGCTCTTGGAGGCAAGCCAGGGAGGAGGAATTTGAATTCCAGATGGTCGGCCGCGGGCTGCTTCTGTCATTCGAGAAGACCGAGCCCTGGTGTCGGCTTGATCATTCAGCGCCATCATCTCATCTCAGCCTTTCGTCGCTTCCTCCGGGCTCAGCCTTCATTTCTCACGATCCAAGCTTCGTCCCCGTCGGTCCGATCCGATCGCATTGGCAGCGCGCGATCCGATATCCATCTCTGCTGGCAGAGCGTCTCACGGTTCTTTATCGCCACCAAGCCGCTCTTTGAGCGTTCTGTACTGCTGTCCTCTTGCATCTTACAAGGACTCTCCGACGAGACAGTGCCTTCCGCCTGACAGCCAGCAAACCAGCGTCCAGGGCTTTCTCCATCTCAATCGGCTTCACCGAGAGATTCGATCGTGGTCGCCTGACCATCCTCACCAACGGGCTTCTCTATCGGTTGGCTCCGTCACTGTCGGCGTGCGTTCCTCGCTACAGCTGATTTCAGCACAATGCCAAGCGATACACCTCAGACTGCCGCGCTGCGGTCGCGGCTCGTCCGCATCGCCACCATAGCCATGCTTTCTTGGACTGTAGCCACCAACGCTGCGCCAGCATCCACAGACCGACCGGGCTACCTCCCGCCAGATCCCGCAGTCGATTCGTCAACATCAACGCTCACTCAGCAGAAATGGATCGGGCTCACGCTGGCCATCAGCAGCTCGCTCGCCATCGGCACCAGTTTCATCATCACCAAAAAGGGCCTCATGGACGCAGCAGACAGGCACAACGGCTTGGCATCCGACGGTCACACCTACCTTCAGAATCCCATCTGGTGGGCCGGCATGGCGACGATGATCGTCGGCGAGGTCGCCAACTTTGCCGCCTACACCTTTGCTCCTCCCATCCTCGTCACTCCTCTCGGTGCACTCAGTGTACTCATCGGCGCCATCCTCGCTTCCTTCATCCTCAAAGAGGAGCTCGGTCGGCTTGGAAAGGTCGGCTGCACGCTCTGCCTCGTCGGTACCGTCATCATCGTCGTCAACGCCCCGGAAGATAAGGAGATCCAAACCATCGACGAAATGCTCAATTACGCGCTTCAGCCTGGCTTCCTCTTCTACTGCGTCTTTGTCCTCGGCTTTTCGCTCTTCATGATCTTCCGCATGGTGCCCAAGTACGGTCGCAAGACACCGCTGGTCTACATCTCGATCTGCAGCTTGGTCGGCTCCATCTCGGTCATGAGCGTCAAGGGCCTCGGTGTCGCCCTCAAGCTCACCTTTGCGGGCAATAACCAGTTCAGCCATCCTTCCACCTATTGCTTTGCGATCGTCGTCATCGTCTGTATCTTGACGCAGATGAACTACTTCAACAAGGCGCTCGATCAGTTCTCTACCAACGTCGTCAACCCCATCTACTATGTCTTCTTCACCACCTCCACCATCCTCGCATCCGTGCTTCTCTTCCAGGGCTTCAACACCACCACCGCCCCCGCAGTCTCTCTGCTTGGCGGCTTCATCGTCATCTTCACCGGCGTCTACCTGCTCAACCTCAATCGCATCATCGACCCCGTCACACAACAGCCGCGCATGTCGCTCGTCACGGGCGAAGGAACCTCGCGCCTGTCCGAGCAGCACGAGCGTCTGCTCGATCAGCAGCGCGCCATGAGCAGCTTCGCCAATGGCAGGTCCAGTCTCAGCGGTCCTGCAGGACGAAGCGCCGCCCTGTACGGCCACAACAGGAGAGGCAGCGCCGGGTCCTCGGTCATCTTCAATGCATACGAGAACGAAGAGGCGCTTGGCATGGCGCGGCTCGATGAGGACGAGTACGAGGACGACATTCGCGACACGTCGCCCATGATCCGTCAGGGCAAGCCACGTACCAACGGTCATAGGTCTTCCGTAGAGGCAACAGCGAGAGCAAATCGTCAGCTCAAGCGACAAAGCCTCCTCGACGATTCAAGTCCGTCGTACGAGAACGGCAAGTGAGCGACTCTCATTGCATCGCGAAGGAGTCGACCGCATACACTTTGCTAGCATCCATTCCGTCCAGCGACTGCCATCGCCGCCGTACCGCTCGCGCATGCGATGCACTCAGCACGCATTCTCATCTCTTCGTCGGCGGTTCCAGTCGCCGAGACCCCGTATCGCATTCGCCGCACAACACATGCTACTCGTCTATCAATTTCCTATCACGTCGCAGCGAACACTGACTGTATCACTATTCGAACGTGCAAAAGAAAGCATTGCAACAAGAACGCTTCGTACCATGCCCTGCACGCGACTTTGTGCCGAAAGCAATGCTCGTTCCGTTCGACGCGCATCTGCACCGCGCCGAGTGGTGGCCGATCATGGCATGCGCTTGCAGATGTGGCTTGCTGCTGCTGATTTGCTAATCAGCCGCACATTAAGGACAAGGACGGGGAGCATGAAGAAGGGCGAGGTTGTATGCTGTCCGCAGCAAAGTTTCGTGTTGGCGTTTTGTGGAGCTGCACAGCGTCGATCGGCGCGCTGCGCATCACAGACAGCCGAGTCGAAGGTGCACAAGACACGGCATACACTGTCAAAAGTCCTAGACGGTCCGCAGGAGACGCTCCGACTTTCCTTGAGGCGACTCTGGATCGAGCGAGAGGAGATATAAGGCCTCGAGATGGGAACGGGCGATGCTTCCCTCCCTCCCCCAACGGCCTTGTCCTTGAAGAGTCGTTTCTCTGTCGCTCCCTGCCCCTCCCCTTTTGACACACGGACGTTCCTTCCCAACCGCACCTCTCTGCCTATGGTACCTCGCAGCGATCGAATCTTCTTTCCCGTCGAGGCAGCTCCAGGGAGCCCTTCAAAAGACGCTTCTCCCCCTTCTCTCGCTACAAGTCAGACCACCCCTTGTGCGACGGCCACCATGACGACAGCGATGCATCGCAACGGCGGCAAGCGAACCGCCGTTGTCAAAGGCAAACCACGCGTTCCCGCACCGGCTACTCCTTGGCGTCCGCGCATCTCGCGCAAGTCTCCAGCTCTCACTGCCGATGATCAAGAGGATCAGCCTAGCCCGCTCGATCGCAAAGCCGTCAACACGGCCCTCCATCTCAAGTTCGGATCGAAGACCGAGCCTATTGCAGCTTCACCCGCCCCGACGTCGGCGACGCTCGTACCTGGTGCTGACAAGGAAGAGTCAGTCGGACCCCAACTGGTCGGAGATGCGTATCGACGCAATGTCCAGGAGCCCGGTGCGCCCAAATTGGAGCAGGGCGTCGAGTGGCCCGGCGACCGATGGAGTCCGATGCGCTCGGACTTTGGCATCAGCACTGGTCCTCTGGACGAGGGCCAAGCACGCATTCACGCTTTTCAACGAGGACTTCCGGCATTTCATTTCCGTCCTGGCTCGGCTGCTGACGCATACGACGCATCCGCGCGACGTGCAGACGATTGCCTAGCGTTCGACCTAAATCACGAGACCAATGTCTACGTCAATGGACTTCCAAAAGAGTAGGTATACGAGCATCGTAGCATACATGCATAGCAGTGTGAGCCTCTTCTCTGACATACTTCCGTCCTTCGTTGACAACAGAATGACCGATCATATGCTGTATCTGCTCGGCTCGGCATGCGGAGTGGTCATCAGCCACAAAGCAATGCTCGATCGTCTAACGGACCAGTGCAAAGGCTTCGGCTTCCTGATGTATGCCAGTGCCGACATGGCCAAGCATGCGATCGAGTGGCTCAACAGCCATGGCTTCGCTGCTTCCTTCGCCAAGGAATCATTCTCGGCCAAGCTCCGTCGCATGGCGGACACCAGCTCGACTAACGTCTACCTCAGCAACCTTCCCATCAAGTTCACAGTCCAGCAGCTGGAGCAGCTCTTCGTTCCTTACCCCATCGCCAGTCTCAAGATTCTGTACGACATCCATGGCGAGAGCCGAGGGGTTGGTTTCGTTCGGCTGTACGATCGAGCAGCTGCCAAGGTGTGCATCGAGAGGCTTCACGGTCGGGTGCTGCCGGGCACGACGCTGCCGCTCCGAGTGCGATTTGCAGACAGCGATGCGCAAAAGCACCTCAAGCACTCGGTAAGCCAGAAGCACACGCTCGAGTCGCTCGGCCTGCTCATGCTCGACGCCAGAGCGAGTGGCCAGCCTGTCCAGGGTCTGTGTCGGGGCGAGCTCGATGCTGCCGTTTCAGCACAGCCTCGCAACACGGGTACGATGCCGCGTCCTTTCATCCCCGCTGCTACGTCGCTTCCCGTCGCCGAGGGAGGCTCTCCGCCTGTCGTCGAGCAGGGCTGGCAGGGTCACAACGGACTTGGCATCCAGATGCCAAGCCAGCTGATGTTCGCACACCCTCGTGTCAACCAGATCCTCCATCCTGCCATGTGGCCTTCTGTCGCGACCGCCGGCGTTGTGTACACGGGTATGGAAGGCAACTTCCCTATCGATCGATCCTATCCGATGTCGCCCGTCGTCGCTGGCGTCTACGATAGCCACAAGGGATCTCACGGTGAGCCTGCTGGCTACCTGCCTATCCCGCTGCACCCGCCTCCTGGCCTGGTCCATCCCTCCCACCTTACCAATCGTGGCGAACAACCTCATGCCATTCGAGAAGAGCCCAAGGAGAACCGCCAAGCTCCCGCTCAGGACTCGAGCAAGTTTCGTCCTCGACACGCACGCAGCCGCAACCCCGGAGCCCGAGTGCGCTTCCCCGGAGACACTGTGGACGCTGGTACCCGAGCAGTATCGGACCCGATGGCGATGCTAGCTGCCCAAGCCCGGGTTCGCGAGGCGCTCGGACTGCCCGATCGCGTCCGCGCCGCTGTCTCAGCCGACAACTCGATCGATGAGGGTCACGTCGAGGCGCCTGCCGATTCCTCGATCATCAGTGGCAGCAGCAGCGATGACGACGAGGAAAGCTTCAGTGTCGAGATCCAGATTCATCCTGATGCACGCGCCGCTTGAAGATCCGCTTGCTATCATCTCACGGTCATTACTCTTTGTTCGTCAGTTTGCTTTCGTGTTTCTGTTTCATCTTTGCTTTTTTGCCCGCATTTCGTAGCACATGTTCATGCTCCGGTCGTTCTGCTAATCGAAGCTTCTGGTACCGCTGTCGTGAGTGCTAGTCAAAGGTCATGGTGTTTTTGGCCGCATTTCTGTGCCATCTTTTTCGCCTCGACTTTTTGGGTTTTCGTGAGTCGGGAAAGGGCGGAGTTGACGCTTCGCACAAGGTGGCCTGACCGGACCCTGTCTCCGGTCTAGACGAGCCGACCGACAATGATCTGACGAGCTTGACGTGAGAACAATAAGCTCGCGAGACGCGGTCGTGCGCGAAGCCAATCAGGTCCCAGCACGATTGGGTTGTCGCTCTGAACCAGAGAAGTTTCACGCAGCTGCAAGTGCCGCAATCACACGAGCACACCAAGCCATCGCGCACGGTCCCGCTCCTTCTTTTGAGCCGCCTGGAAACGAAGGATGAGTCGCTCTCCGTACACTGTCAAACAAAAGGCATCACCAGGCGAGAACAAGGCGAGGCCAGCAAGCTGACCGGAAACATCAGCAGAATGAACGCTGGACGCAAGCTTGACCAAGGCCCAGTCCCAAAACAGGGCTCGTGAAAAGAAAGCTTTATCTGCGATGATCTCCTTTTTGTTCTTCGTCTCGACGCGAAGGAAGGAAGAGAGAGAAGGAAAAAAAAGAGGCAGAAAAACAGCAAGAAGAAATCAGAGACAGCCTGGATTTGACACTTCGGCTCCGGGTTTCCCCCCTTGCTCAGCATAGTACACGTTCCCCTCACGCTGACATCGGACCTTCTGCTACCATCATCTCGCTCTTTGTATCTTCTATAGACGCTGTCAGCAATCCTGCTTCTACGAGGATGGCTACAGTCGCACCCATCGACACGGCTTCGTCCGAGGGACTGCGCAACCGCAACAAGCAGCCAGCTCGAGGCGACTCTCCACGCTCCGACTCCACCGAGGTCGCCAGCCCCGCCCTCGATAAAGGTCATCATGACAAAAAGGACACGGTGGCTTCGGATGGACAGGCCAAGGTGCTCGGCAGGACACCGGATGGCACAGGTGAGTGACCCGGCCCCGCTTTTTCCCCACATTCGGCTCTGGAGTGCAACCAAACCATTGGGCAGTTGTGCCGCGGCTCAACTCTAGCTCGGCACCAAACCAGCTCGCACAATGGGCCTCTACCCTCTGCTCATGTCCCTTTCCCCTCGCAACTGTCCTGTCTTCGTGGCCAAGGGCGCAGGAGACGTTCCTGCTTGTCTTCCGTTCCGATTCCTGGCTTTGCATCCGCAGATAAGATAACAAAAGATGATCCGACTGACACCTCCGTCCGGTTCTTCCTGACACCGCCCCCCTGACCTTCTTCCCAAACGTACATCCGATCCTGCTCCTCGGTGCCTACGATGTCACTCTGCTCTGCTGACGTTCCTGACCATGGACCGTCGGCAACCCAGTCTTCACCGTGCCGCACACGCCGGACATGCTCTCGTCCATCTTTGACCCAAGACAACCCAAGACGCCTCTCGACATCGTCACCGTAGTCTCCCTCACCCTTCAGATCGTCCTGTACTTCGCCCTCTCCCGTCGAGCCGCCCAGATCTTCTTCTTCCTCTACTTTGCCTTCTGGCGTGCCTCGTACAATGCCGGTCTCGGCTGGATCCTCAAGCAGCAGAGCGAGAAGGGCCTCATCATCCGCCAAGTCAAGCGCAATGGCTGGATGGACGCTCAGCGTCGGCCCAGGATCCACAACTGGGTCAAGCAGCAGCTCGTCACCAAGATGGACAAGGACTACGTCTTCGACGCCATGCCGCTCGACTACAATGTTTGGCTCATGTTCCGCAGCATCGTCGACGTCATTTTGCTCAACGACTTTGTCGCCTACTCGCTCTTTGCCTTTTCGTGCACAAGACTGCCAGAGGGGCATTCCGTGGCGATGCACGTGCTGCGCTGGATCGCAGGCTGGACCTTGATCTTCTTCAATCTCTGGGTCAAGATCGATGCGCACCGGGTCGTCAAGGACTACGCGTGGTACTGGGGCGACTGCTTCTTCCTCTGCCTCCAGAGTCTGGTCTTTGACGGCGTGTACGAGATCGCCCCGGATCCGATGTACTCGATTGGATATGCCGGCTACTATGGTCTCTCGCTCGTCAGTGGCAGCTATGCGGTGCTGTTCGTATCTCTGGCTGCCCACTTCTCGCAATTCCTCTTCATGACCTTCTTCGAGGGACCTCACATCGAACGAACCTACGGTGAGAGGAAACCCATCGCTGCACGCGTGCCGCTTCGTCAAGCTCCTTTCAATGCTGCCTCGCGCAAAGCGGCTCACGCTGACGACGATGCAAACGCAATTCAATCGCCTATCGAAACCACCGAAGCAACACCCATCAAACCATCCCACCCCACCGACCGCACAGCCGATTCGGACTTCGACCGTCCCACGCCAAGTCAAACCGAAGGATCCACAGCGCTCACCTCCGACGACGAGACCTCCTCGGACGGCCACAGTCGCACCATCAAACGCGCCGCCCTTCGCACCTCCTCCTCCTCCAACGACGCCATCCACTCCCACCTTTCCTCCCAACGACCCATCACCACCCTCCACGACCTCCACCACCGCATCTTTCGCAAGGACACGGTCGTTTTCCGCAACATCGACCTTATGCGATCCACCGATTTTCTTTTGCTCGTCGCCTCGCTCTACTCGCTTTTCCCGCTGATCCTCCCTTCTCTCGGACACCATCCTCGACTGACGCTGCTCTTCTTCAATGCGCTCGCATGGCGCACCTTCCACTCGGTCGGTCTCGGCCTCGCGCTCTCGCGTCAGAGCTCGTCCAAATGGATCGTTCGTCATTTCCTAAAAAATTACCACTACTCCACACCCCAAGATGCCGTCTTTGAGGCCTTTGCGCATTGGAAGGTGGTGTACAACACCTCGTTGGTCATGACGTACATTTCGTTTTCGGTGCTTGCGTGGAACTGCTACACGCCCATCGGGCATCCCGATTGGACGGTTGGACCGGAGCTGCTGCGGCACACGCTCGGCCTGCTCCTCGTGGCGTTGCACGCATGGACCGCCAACTCGTCCTACACCGTCCTTGGGCCGTTCGGTTGGCTGTACGGCGATTTCTTCGTGGACGAATACCCGCATCAGCTGTACTACACGGGCATCTATCGGTTCCTCAACAACCCCGAAAGGAGTATGGGTGGGGCGGCGTTTTTCGGTCTGGCCCTGATCGCGGGTTCCAAGGTCACGTTGGTCATGGCAATTTTGAGCTATATTGCGCATTGGGGGTTCCTGAGTTTTGTCGAGGGACCTCATATGCGCAAGTTGTACGGCGAGGCGGCGCTTCGCAAGGATAGCGGCTTGACCAAGCAGCTCAAATCCCAATGGGTCGCTGCGAGGGATTCGGAACTGTGGAAGTCGGCACAGGGTCATCCGACGGTCAGAAACGTCCAGGGGACGTTGGAGAAGGTGCAACGGGATGCGAGCGAGGTGTTTGAGGAATTTTTCCGACAGAGTCGACCACGATTCGAGGGTATGTTGGAGGAAACCAAGGTGTTATTGCAGCAGTCCAAGGATAGGCTGTTGATCGTGCGGGTGGAGGACGATGAGAAGTTGCGGTCCGACGGTGTGGATCACAAGGCGTACGGGCTGAGCGTGAGGGGGGAGAGGTTTCATCTGGGACAGCCGATTGCGGTGGAGTGGCGCGCAGCGGTGAACCACTCGAGGAGGGACTGGATCGGTGTTTACCATTTGTCAAGGTTTGGCGGGTTGGAGGGCGCGGAGGAGGCGTCGTTGGTGACCAAGATTTCGAGCCAGGGGAAATGGTTGGGGGTGGCGGAGGAGGAGTGGGTGGGCGATGTGCATCAGGGATCCGATTCCAGCGCTGGGATGCGCGTGGATGGCATCTCGGTGTTTAGGGATAGCAAGTTGCCCTGGCAACCGGGGACGTACGAGTTCCGATACCATCACGATGGCAAGCACAACGTGCTCGCTCGTTCCAAGCCGGTCGAGATCTACGTTGGGACGTTGGCGGGTGGTGGGGGGGATGAGGTGGAGCGGACCGTAGAGGTGATCCGCGATATCGTACGGTACTCGATGCCGTCCACTAAACCGCTGCGGTTGAGCATCAGCCAGGCTGCTCCTCCGGCTATCGTCCCTGCCTCAGCTACATCAGGCCAGACGAGCATTCCTGAAGACGCCATCGACGAGTCTGACAGCCAAGCCCGACCGCTCGTGCCCAACGCAGCCAGCGACGCAGACGACTTCACCATCTGGGACCGCAAGCAGGCCACGCGCATCAGTCAGGCGTTCAAGTGGGCCTTCGACCTCGAGTTGAGTCCCGAGGTGATCATCGCCGAGGCTAACGTGAGGCGGTTGGCCATGGACGTGGTTGAGGGCAGGAGGGTGCTCACGCCTGGCTTCACGCCGATGATGAGCTGAGCGGATCGGATCGAGGAGGAGCGGGAGGTAAGAAGCGGAGAATGGACATCGCGGATGTAGACACAGACTTTGCTCGTCGATCACGGTCGAAGATGATCAGTGGCGCACAAGCGATCGTCACAATGCTCACACAAAAGTAGATAATTTAGAATGACAACATCACGACCAATCTCGCATTACGGATGCATGAAAGTAATGATGAACTCCCTGAACGTCTGCAGCAGCCGTCGGATCTCCTTGCGCCGCATCTTGACGCGGTACTCGATCTCGTCGATGGTGTGTTTGCCATTGAGGTAGGGCAGTAGTCGAAAGAAGTGCTTGACGGTGGCGGCGTCCTTGTGCTCGAGCATGGTGGCAATGTATTCGTTCTCGCGGCGACTTGCGCGGGACGGCTCGACGATGAGCGAGGCGGTGTAGGAGACGGAGGAGGGCGGAGCGCGGTTATGGATCGGGCTGGCGGCGGACACGGACGACGAGGAGGGGGGCGACTGAAGATGCGACCGCCGTCGGACCGAGGAGGTGGAAGAGGAGGAATCGGAGGAGAGGGAAAAGTCCGAGGTCGACATGTCGTCCTCTGACGACAAGGATGGATGCTGGGAGCAGCTGCAGTGGCTAGGGTGGTCGCTGTCGGCGCTTTCGGAAGGGGGAGGCAGGTCGGGTCGCTCGCTGGCTGCCGAGATGCGTCGCTGCTTCATCACGTTCTTGCCCTCGTCGGCGAGTCGGAGCAAGCCCACCTTGGAGGTGAGCTGACTGATCGGACCGTTTCTGTCCTCTGCAGAGTTGTCTCGCGATCCCTTCTTCGGGACTACCTCGTCTTCCTCGTCATCCCCGTCTTCGTCGATCTCAACTTCGGCGCCGACACCGAAGCCTTTGACTCTCATCCTCGCCCGCGATGGTGACCTTGATCGTGCCACCCCTTTCCTGCCTCCTCTGCTCGCCGAGCTCGTCGCCCGCCTCGCACGTCGCGGTACACTGCCCTCGGCGCTCGAGGAGATGTTCGATCCGCGGGCCCCAACCGACCTGTCTCTTATATGCGAGGGAATGGGCCGACCAGCTACGACCGGCGTCGTCGGTCGACTCTGCTGCGATGTATTGGGTGTCATGCTCATCCCATCGCGTTTCTTGCCGCCCGCCAGGCCACCGCCGGAGGAAGACGAACTTGTAGTGTCTGCACGCGCCCGACGTCCCAGTTCGCCGCGTTCGCTGAGGTTGCTGAAGCTGACGGAGAGGCCTGTGCTGGTTCCTGCCGCCATCATTGCGGACGAAGGCGAGCGAGAGCGGAGCACCGGACGACGTTCGAATTTAAGTTCGTCGAATTGCTGTCGTGGGGCGATGGCGATCGGCGCCTTTTCAGATGTGGCTATCGGGGCGTCGGAATCAGCCGTCGCCTCGTTTGCGGGCTGGTGATGATGGCGATGATGGTGACGGTGATGATGGTGGTGATGATGGCGACCATGTTCGTGAGATCCAGATCGACGCTCCTCGACACCGGCTCCGGCTCCCGAGATGGCTGCTGCAACAGCGGCCGCTTCGGCGACGCTATCCGGGTGCACCAAGATCGGTGGTCTGGAATCGGCCAGACCGGAAGGTGGCACCTCTGCAGCTTCGCTCGAACCCTCTTCGAGAGAGGCTGACAGCCTTCGTGCGTCTGCTGACCGCGATCGATCCCTCGCTCGGATCCTGCCCCTATCTTCTCCTGAGCCTGACTTCCTGCCATCTTCGTCCTCCTCCTTGCGCGCCGCTTGCTCAGCCGCCTTCCGCCTCTGCTGCTCCTCCGACTGCGACTTCTTCATCCGTTTCGCCTCGGATTTGGCCGCCCTCTGCATCTTCTTCTCCTTCCTAACGCGATGCCTTTCGTGTCTCTCCGTCCGCCTCTCGGCCGTCCGTCTCTTGACGCTCTCGGTCGCGATGAGGCGAAGACGGATGTGCATCTTGACCACCACCTCGCGACGCAGCAGCCAGATGAGAACGTCCAGCGCGAGCTCGCGCTGATGTCGCGCCGGGAATAGAGCATAGAAGGCGCGCGAAGAGGACGACAGCTGGGACAGAAACACCGGCAGCGGCGCGACATCCGGAAAGGATCGAGCCCAGACATGAGAGAGCGGTCCGAGTCGAGCAAAGTCAAAGAGGGGCGAGATGGCGTAGACGTGGCCGGGTTTGGGAATGTCGATCACCCTCGCTTGTCTGTAGTAGATCAGGTGGCGGACCATAGGATAGATATCCTCGTAGAGCTCCCAGCCGAGCATATCGGCAACATCGCTGAAGTTGAGCGTGTGGTACAGATTTGGCTGAAACAGGGCCGTGAAGTTGCGCGTGAGCTGCTCGAAGCCGTGCGTTTCTGGTGCCTGCCCGCTTGGCGACAGGGCACCAGATGGGCTAGAGCTGCCCGCTGTGTTTCGGTCTCGTCCTGGATCGGCATGGTCGTGCAACAAGAGGAGCGTCTTCCAGGGCAACAGATAGGGGCCTGTGGTGCGGCACCACTCTTCGAAGCTGAGCTGATTCGGTTCGAGGCCCAAGAGCCGGTCGTGAGTGCCGCCGCCTCCGTCTTCATCTTGCCCTTCCTTGCCGAGCCCTGAAAACCCGCCGCCCGACAGGAAGATCGGATCATTCTTGTCGAGATCTGTCTCGATGTCCACCGTCTTGAGTAGATTCGACGGATCCTGGAGGATGGGCGGAAGCTGAAGATGGACTTCGATATTGTCGTTGATGGTGAGAAAGGCGTCGGACGAGGTACTGATGCTTTTGTAGAGGTCTCGGATGCATCGTGCCAAGGATGAAATGCCGAGACACTGAGCTGCGTAGGCCGCATATGCCTGTCCGTCGTCCATGCAGCGCTCTCGGAGAGCCAGGAGCTTTTCGGTCTCGCGACCAATGTAGTCGGATTCCCGTTGCTCCGCAAAGAGCGCCGATGTCATCTTGAAGATGATGTTGTCGTAGAAAAGCTGGAGCCAGGAAGAGATGTCCATGCCATGCATCGCTGTGGACGGATCGGGTCGGTCTAGGACGAGGACGAGGTGGAATTGGGTCAGTGGCGCGTAAGACCGGGACACCGAGGAATCCGACGTCTGCTCCATTCGGGTCTGCGATGCATTCCGAGCTTTGGTCGGTGCAGCCGCTTCCGTCTTGCCACCGTTCTGCCGCAATGAACATGCTGCATCCTTGGAAGCATCTCCGCCGTCTGAGACATCGTAGGGCCGAATCTCCTTGCGCAGCCCGGATCGACCACGTTGACCTGCTGATCTGTCGTGCCCTTCGGCGTCGGCATCTTCGTCGTCTTGCCCTCCTAAGATGTCGCTTCTGTCGAGCGACACCGGATGACCGAGAAAGGCAAGATCGTCGATCATCAGCTCGAACTTGTGATGCGTGAGCTCCTGTCGAGGATTGAGGATGCTGGCAAGAAGCTCTATGTCGTAGCCGAGGTAGGTCTTGTATGCTCGTGCAGCCCTCTCTTCTCTTTTGGCCTTTTCCTCGGGCGAGAGCTCCTTGGACGTTCCAGTATCGGACTCTGGCGCTTTGTCGTGTGCATCGCCAGCATCCTTGTGAGCTCCGTTGTGTCGATCCCCTGACCTCACGCTGGGACTGGCCTCTTCCATACCCATCAGTCCTCGCCTGACTTTGCTCTTTGAGCGGTTGGCAGATGCACTCGCACCTGTCTTGGATCGGCCGTGTGACGCTACTGTCTCGGCGCGATCCCGAACGGAGCGGTTCTCGTCGTCGTCGGCCATGGTGCCATCAGAGTCTTCCACGTCAGAAGAGGAAGGGGTATCGCTCTGACCTGCACCGTCGGTGTTGCCATCGGCGTGATCGTCATCGTCCTCGTCGTGTCGATCCCACTTTGCCTTCTGGCGCACGGGGTCGAGATCATCGTCGAGACGGTTGAGGTGGGATGGGCGTGCTTCGGTGTAGTATTTGACCTTGGAGTAGCGTTTGAAGAGCTTGGGGTTGTTCGGCCAGCGAAAGACGACGTGCTCTCCGCGCGATGAGGAGGTAGCGAGGATGACCCCGAGCAGAGGCTCAGCCATATTTGCGAGAGGCTCGAGAAGACCAGCTCGAGCGCCGCGTCGCAACGCTTGCTCTTCTCGTGAATTGCGACGATTGGGTGACTGCTGCCTTGAGACGGATTGCTGGTCACGAGAGACACATGACGAAGTCGAAGTGCAGGTTTGTGACTTGACAGCGAGGTGGTTGAGACCAACGATGGCTGTGAAGCTGCGATGATCTAAGCGGCTACGCCCACAACTGCATGCAGTTGATAGCAATCAGAAGGTGTTGGTTGCGGAGAAGAATCACCAGGATAACAGCTCGGATGCTCAGTGGACCCTTTTGGCGGCGCCAAGATGTTAGGCCTGCCTCTTCTCAAGAGCAAGGCTTTTTTGCCGCTGTCCAGACGCGCGCACGTAGCACCTCCAGAGACAAACACTTCTCGTCGTCCTTGCTTCCGTCGATCTTCTTGCACCTCACCACATTGTATCGGACACGGACAGCAAACAACATGGCGGTCGAACAAGCTCTGTTTCTGGACAGCGCCATCCGAGATTGGGTGCTGATCCCCATCTTGGTGGTGATGATTCTCGTGGGTGTGCTGCGACACAACGTCATCTCGCTCCTCAATTCGGCACCAAAGAGCCTGTCTCCGCCAGCGCTCAGGGAACAGTAAGTCACAATGGTGCTGTCTACAGCAGAGCTAGAAAGGGCGCTCAGAATGCTGACGAGATCTCCTCCTTCCTTTTGCAATCGCAGACGAGTGATGGCGAGAGCAGGTGCCCTCCGTCAGAACTACTTCCAGCTGCCACCGACCTCTTTCGCAGCCCGCAAAGCCTTCCTGACTGAGGCCCTTTCCAACGGCTCGTACTTGCAGCCCAAGGACAAGGAAGAGAAAGAAGGCCCCAAGAACCCATTCGAGCCCGCGGGCGGCATGGACACCATGATGGACGGCATGAAGAAGCAGATGGTCATGATGATCCCGCAGACCGTCATCATGGGCTGGATCAACTTTTTCTTCTCCGGCTTCGTCCTGCTCAAGCTGCCCTTCCCTCTCACCGTTCGCTTCAAGGTGATGCTTCAGCGAGACATTCAGTCGCCGGACCTCGATGTCACCTGGGTCTCTGCACTCAGCTGGTACTTTTTGACCCTCTTCGGTCTTAGCGCGGTCTACAAGCTCGTGCTGGGAGACGACAATGCGGCAGATGGCACACGCGACATGGCGGCCATGGGCGCCGGTGCTGCTTCCATGCAAGCCATGAACCCAGCAGCACCAGGTCAAGCACCCGACTTTGAAAAGCTCCACCTGGCCGAGCGCGACAATCTCGAATTGGCCGGGTTGGAAGACTCGAGCGTCCGCTGGATTGGCGACGGCATCGAGGACCGCGTACTCGCCCTCTACTCTTAGCGCCCATCACGGCGACACTCATCAATCGATCAAGTTTTCTGGACGCACATGCTAGGACGACTCTCATAGTTGAAATGCACGTCACTGCGGATGATGCCGGCGTATAGCGTTAGGTTGAATGGGCGTGCAGTAGATGAGCATGCTGTACGAGAATGAGCTGATCTATGAGCTCACTTCTACGGGAGCTTTTTAGCCTGTGGTCCTTTCCTTGTAGACTTGTTGACCTGTTGTCCCTTCCTGGCAGACATGTTGGCTTGAGGACGTTTCTTTGTCGGCTTCTTGGCCTGAACACCTTTGCGTTGCTCCTTCCGGCGCCTTTCCCGTTCCACACGGGCCGCTTCCGCGACCGCCTCCGCAGCCGCATCTGCAGCAGCCTGCTTCTTAGCCACAGCCCCCTTCCTCTTGTCGGCCTGACGCTCGTTCCGCTGTACGCGGCCTGCGCCCTTGTACGACTCGCCAGAGACGCTGGTGATGGACAACGGAGCTCGCTTGTTTTCGACGACCCTGCTGGATCCCATCGCGTCCACATCGGGACCTCCGCTCGGAAGCGCAGCGATCATGCTGGAGCGCTTGAGAGTCTCTTCGGCCAACGCTGGTGCAATGACGGAGGGTGCGTCCAATGGCTCGGCTTCCGAGAACTCTTCGTGCTGGATGCCGCGTACCGACTTGTCGTTGGACTGCACCGAAGGTTCGAATTCGGGTCCGCGCTTGCGGTCTTGCGCGCCAAGGAGGCGGTCCATGTTGGACTGGAACTCGCTTTGCAATGGCTTGTCCTGTGGTGCGAGCGGAGAGACTGTGTGTCAGCAACGTTTCCACTTCTCCTATGATGCAGCAGAACGGCATGCTAGCCATTGCTAGCTCTCGATGTCGCGATTCAGTATAGTAAGGATTGTAAAAATTTTGGTAACCATGTAGATGTCTTCAAGACTAATCGAATAATTTGTTGGCTCATCACCTTGAGCCACATCGAGAGCTGACGAAGATGGCTGGTTGAAATGAGAGCTGACTTACCTGTGACGTCCATTCGTTCTCTAGAGCCTTCAATCGCAGGATAGCTTCCGTCCTCTGCAGACCGATGGAAAACTTTTCAGAGAGCGCACGGATGGTCCACTCCTTGGGATCGCTGGCATGCAGACGCCAAATCTCGGTCTTGGTACTTTGTCGGATCGGAGCAGGAGGGTTGAACGAGGGGTTGAGCGGGAAAGGGGTGTCGCCGATCCAGTTGGGCCCCATGCCGGGTTTAGGCTGCTTGTAGACGCGGGCATCGGAAAGGATCCACTGGTCGTAAGGGGCGAGCATCTTGGGTCGACCCCGACCTGCCGACTTGCGACCACGGCCGATTGCGTTGAGCTCTGATGGTGCTGGAGAGGCTTCTGCGGCCGCCGAGTAAGGAGCTTTACGCGATGTGGCATCTTCGGGCGTTGATGCAGCATACGAGGAGGAGGCGGTGGACGAGAAGGCGGCAACGACCGTTCGCGAGCTGGAAGCCACAGCTGGACCCGAGCCGAGTTGGCGCAACGCCAACCTCGATGCTGATCTGGATGCAAACGCCATTGCGACGATATGTGTGAGGAGGCAAGTGATGAGGTGATGTGGGTGATCAGAGGAAAGAAGGGTGGAGTCGTCGTCGTTGTTGTCCAGCATCAGACGAGCTGAGAAAACAATTTCTTCCAAAAGCGCCAAATTTCTTTACGTGCGGTAGAGCGAGAGAGAGCCAGCCGTCAGAGCCAGAGCTAGAAAGGACGCCGCGGAGACGCGACTCTTCTCGCTGTGCGGAAAGTGACATTTTGGAAAGAAAGCGCAGTGCTGCGCAAAGTAACACTTTCTGACATGTCACCTTCGCAACCTTCGCTTCTTCTTGTTCTATCACATTTGCTTTTGCAAGATCACATCTCAAAGAACTCAGCCATGACGGACCGCGGCTGAGCTCGTCCCGCTAACCTTTGTCAGCCCCGCACGTGCCGCCTCGACCTTTTGCGTTTGTGTCTTCTTCTCGACTTCTTCTCGCATTCTTCCCCCACCTCCATTGAACGACCCGAGCATGCTACCCTATGCTACCCTACCCATCCATCTGAGCAGCCACACTGTTCTCACTACTCTCTCGCCATGTCGATGCCTGGAATAGACTCCTCGGGCCCCAGCAGCTCTCCCGCCAAGACGAGAATATGCAAGAAGCTCGTTATCAAAGGGCACGCTTCGAGCTCCAGCGCTTCCTACACCCTCTTCTTGAAGGTGCAGGTGCCCAGATCCAGCCATCAAGAATTCCACGAGCTCCTGCAAGACCCTCATATCAAGCTTCAGGATGCCATCGTCCACCGCTTAGATGCCTCGGGTGCCGCGCCTGCCCTGTCCACCTCAGCTGCGACTGCGGCCAGCTCCCTTGGCATCCCGCTTTCAATCGGTCAGGAAATGAGCGACAGCTTCATCGACCATACTCCTAGAAAGGGCGGAAGGAATAGCATCTCACCGAGAACCAGTGACGCCTCCGAGCTTCCGACAGTCATTCAATGTGGCGATGGCAAGGTCAGGCTTCGCACGTCTAGCCCATCTAGCCCAAGCTCGAAGCACGCCAAGCCGTCTCAGCACGACCATGATTCCTACATGTTGACGCTTCACTTGGTCGCCGAACCACTTTCGACGCCGCCTCTTGCGCCATTCTCTGTCAGACTAGCTGTGCCGGTCTGTCTCAACAACTTCCTGCGCCTCACGGTGGATGAGTCCATCGACGCCAACTTCAGCGAGCAAGGAATGGCCGTCGAAGTCGATCCGCCCATCCTGCCCATCGCAAGCGCACGCAAGCCAATTCGCAGGCGCAGTTCCGCAGCATCATCCCAACGAGCTCTCAGCCCAGATACGCTCTCTGATGATGAAGCGGATGTCACCCTGCTCGGATCCGACTCGATGGACGAAGCCGACCTGGACCAGGACGACACTGCCATCGTCGGTCCGTTTCAAGCATGCGATGCGCTTGTGATCCGCATTGCTGCACAACGAGCTGGCGACTTGGTCACTTCCGAACCGCCTCTCCGCGCTCTACCAAATGCGCTTCGGGCAAAAGAAGCGGTCAGTTCCATGACCTATACCCCGACAATATCCGAGGATCCCATGCCATCATCTTCATTGCGAGCCGTCTCGGATGATGGGGCGACCAGGATCAGCTTCGATGCTACGCTTCAGCTCCGAGACCTTTTCTTCCCTGGACTCGATCGAGAGGTACAGCTGTACGTTCAGCTCGCACCGGGCGCCTCGATATCAGACTGGCGTCCCGTGGCGGTCGATGCATCCAGAGGCATCTTGAGCTGGTCTTTCGGTCGCAACGCTTCGACATCCTCGTCTCCCAGTCAGCCGGCCAAGGTCACAGCGGAAGGGAGTCGAGGACGATCGCCGACGTTCGAGATTGGCGACTTGGTGGTCCTGCCCGAACCGAGTCAGCAAGGAACGGATGACGAAGACCTGCTTCACGTCGCTCCTCCAAAGGGCCTCAATGATGCTGATCTCGACTATTCACTCGACCTTGCCGCCGCGCCATCCGCCACCACCAAGCGAAGGCGATTCTCGCTGCAATCCTCGACCAGCACCCGTAATCTCCCCTCTCAGCCCCCGTCCGAGCCCTCGGACTCTTCCAACGCATCGAGCGGCGTGCTTGCCATCACGTTCAGCTTGCTGCCTGTTCTGCAAAGTAGTGACCCGCTGTTCATCTCTGTTCGCGGTACGCTCATGTTGACCGACACACCGAATGGACCGCTGCAAAGCCGTGACCTCGTCAGCCTTCCACACGGACTCTTTGTCCCCGCCGCGATGACGCATGCTTACGAGCAGCCCAGAATAGCTCACGATGAGTCACAACTTGTCCAGCCGCAATCTACGAACCAGCCGCAAGAGTCGCTAGAGGACTCGCGCGAGACTGTCCAGCAGAACCAGCCGCACGTTCAAAGCATCACCATGCTGCACGGAGGGACGACAAGTCCCGTCAGCGATGCAAAGACCGAGGAGGTCCTGCGCCAGGCACTGGCCGTGATTGCGGCGCACAACGAGACTTTGACGAACGCTGGTCGTCTGGAATCACCGCGATCGGAAGGAGGAGGCGGCAATTGGATGTTGCGCACATCGCATCTGCTCTGGACACTCTTCCTCACGGCCATGGTCTTCACGCTCTTCAACGCGAGCCAGACCGCTAATCGCGCCTTGTCGGCCAAGCTCGATGAGCTATCTCGCATCGTGGAGGCGTCTGCTGGAGTCGACCATTCGAGACTCTTCGCTGCCAACGCACTCGGCGACTTCCCATCAAGCGCCTCCGATACCGTTGCTCCAGCGGTGGTTGCTCCAGCATTCGATGGAGGAGAATCAGACTCGCTCGAAGACAGATACTACGACACTGTCGACGTATCCTCGGACACACAACTCACGACTCAAGCGGTTGAAGCGGACACAGCGAGCTCGCCCGGGTCAAACACGCTCGCGTCCGACCGCACAGAGCTGCAGCCCATACACAACACGCACAGTCTATCGCACTACGTCTCGGACTGGCTACACGATCTCCTGCGCATGCCCGTCACCATCATCCGAGCTTTCCTGAGCATCTTCATCGGCGCATAAATCTACAGCATACACGCATTCACACAGATACCCCCTTTACAATTAGCATTTCCTCACCCCTCAGTTGATGCCGCAGCTCCGTCAAACGGGGCGGCAGCGAGAATCCGTGATGAAAGTCAGATTGAGCAAGCAGCAGTCGTACATGTAAAAAAGCATGAAGCAAGGTACAGAAAAGGAGTGTGGGGTTGATGGGAACGAGATGTTGAGCGAGATTGACTAGTACTCGTCGTAGTCTTCCTGGTTCCTGTATCCGGCCTGACGGTTTCTCTTTTCGCCGTAACCGACGGGGACGCGGGGGGCGCTGCGGGGGCTTGGTTGGCCCTTGGGTGGTCTTGTCATGCCGAGCGCCTTCAACACGAGTGGCAGGGCAAAGTGGACGGCCATGACGAAGAAGGTGGTGGCGAGGGTGACCCAGGCGATGGCGACGGTGATTCGGTAGTGTTTGTAGTTGAGGAACCTGTTTTCTGCCAAGAAGGCGTTTGCTTGTTCGAGCGTTGTGATTTGGCCCCAGACGCCGAGGGCTCCGATGGACTGAGAGGTGGATGTGGGCGGATCGCCGTTCTGGCCGTTGCGGAACATCTCGTAGATTGCTCTCAGGAAGACCTGTTGACCCTGGGTGAAGGGTTCCGAGTACTGAGGACCGGCGACGAACACGGGGTGGCGGTTGACACTGAACGCCGTCAGCGCGGAAGCAATACCCAGGTAGGCACCAGACAAGACCAGCTCGACAAGGCCAACGAGGATGTACCCATACGTGCCCTTGCCCGTCCTCTCACCTCGACGCTTGGGAAACTGAATGCACGCCAAGAACGCCGCAAAGTTTCCAAACGCAAACCCAATAGCGCTGACGATCATAGAGGCAAAGACCACCATGAGCATGCCACTGTCCTGGAACTCGACAAAGTTGTTGATGCGCGATTTTTCTTTGAGGATCTGCCAACGGGAGTAGTCCCACGCAGTGAGACCGAGGAGGGTGACGGAGAAGCCAACGATGGCGAGTTGGAGCGGGAGCTCCAGGACTTGAGGTGCGACCGGCGCGCGCGAGTGCGGGGGCGCCATGGTTGCACGTGAAGAGGCGCTCGGCCTGGGTAGTTGTGGTGGTGAAGGATATGTAGGGCGAGCGACGAAGCCTTGCTGCTAACGAGATTGCCTCGACGTCGATACGAAGCTCGGGATAGCGATGCGAGCGATACGGTGGTGATGGCGATGATGGAGAAGAGAGATGATGGCGAACAACCTTGGATACGTATCCAGAGGATCGGCAAGGTGAGGGCTGAAGAACGGCAGAGCAGAGATGAAAGCTGCAGGCCAAATCGCATGGGGAAACCCTTGAGCTGCCATTTCACGCAGACATGGCAATTTTAGGAACAGCCAAAGAGGCAGATGCATCCGCCCAGGCTCGCTAAGCGAAGTATGAATCAACAGCCGAGTGCAACGGCCTCTGCCTTTTCATATCGACCGCATCCTACCCACTCTACCTCTCAGTGGCATCGTAGCACCGTGAACCAAGCTCACACCTTTGTATGACCTAGAAATGCGCTAACAATGATCAAGATCAACCCTTGAACGAAGCATTGCGGAAACATGGAATGTGAGCAGTGGTTAATATGCGCGGCGTGGATCATCGCACAGCGGGGATTTTGTGCAAACTGGGCAGAGGACCTGTGTCAACCCACATGCGGGGCATTCATTACGCAGACAAAGGCGGATCAGCACAGCTGCAGTCGAAAATGGCAGGAAAATGAAAAAAGTCTCCCCGCCGTCAGGAGCAGGCTTGGCTTGATTTTGCTCGCTGCGGAGTTGGGTCGCACGCGAGGTTGGAGCGGGGCTGAAAACGGCAGCAGCATACGGATGGGGGATTGTTTCGACGTGTTAAGCCTCTCTCAACGTCGATGCTCATCACCATCCTTCGGGAGCATGCTGGTCCAGACGGCGGAGACGGTGATGATAGCATGTTACTTTCTATTGGGCAGTCTAACACTTGCGATCAATGCCACGCCGTAACTCTTCCTCCCTGTATTCGAACATGACCTGTACACCCACGAACAGCGTCGCACACGCGCCCACCATGAACCTCACCCCCTCGGCACTCCCAAACAGCTGCTCGATCATGTACCGCATGCCATCCGTGCCAATCGCAAACCCGACCAAATTGCCCGTCATCATCATCAGCACGTTCCCCACGCCCCCCACCGCCGCAACGTGTCTGAACCACCATCTCTCCCCATACTGGCTATAGGGCAGCATCTTCCGCGCCACCACCTCCGGCACGATGAAAAACGTAATCAGCCATCCCCACGCGAGCAACTTCAGACTGAGATCATGCCACAACGCTACGAAGGTAAACACCAACAGCGTCGAGGGGATCTGGTTCCGGCTTCCGCCCAGCGGCACGTAGATGTAGCGTACGATCCAAAGATTGTACGACCGGTGCCAAGAACGCCAGAAGCCGAGGGTCGAGTAGTTGTTGGCCATGCATCGGACCATGTTCTCGGGCGCCTCAACGCCATCTGCCATGGCCCAGAGACGGAAGAATCGCCACGGGATCAAAAGTTTCAGCCAGACGATGATGAGGTTCCAAAAGCCGATCATCGAGAGTTCCAGGGGTGTGGCGCCAACCCAGGCTTTGGTGTCCTTGATGGCGTTGACGTAGATGAAGTGCAGGATAAGCTCCATGGTGAGCAGCGAGATGACGAAGCGCACGGCATAGCGCAGCACCGTGCCGGTAGAGATGCGGATGGGATGCCGGAGCTGATGCGTGAAGTCGTTGAACGTCATGATGGGCCCGGCGATGAAGAGGGGCGGGTAGAGCGCGTAGAGAAGGTAGTTGCCGAGGGTGTATTCTTCCAGGTGCTGCGTGAGCCGTACGCGTTCTTGATAGCTCGCTTCGCGGTCTTCGCGAAGCGCCTCAACCATCGCTCGTCCAGCTTGACCACCGTTGTTTGCCTCACACTTGGCCCAGTGGTAGTCCATGGCAAACGACACCAGCCGCAGCATGGTGATGTTGAAGTTGATCTGCCAGCGTGGCAGCAGGCCCTTGAACACCTCGAGGAAGCCCAGCGCGGGCGAAATGTGACTGTACTCGAAGCCGTCGTTCCAGTGCACTGCGAAGAGCGCACCGATGTTGAATGCGAACGCTATTGCCGGAGCGATCTTGGTGCCGCCCAACGCTTTTGTCAAGCCATAGTTGATCCCGAGGATCAAAAGCAGCTTGAGCGAGTTGAAGCCGTGGAGCGCAAAGATGAAGATGGTGGTGAAGACGGCGAGGAACGCTATCCTGTTCGGCTTGACGGCGGCGTTGCTGCTTGCGTTGCCGTCAATACGACTATATTGAGTCGATGCTGTCGATGGCAGGAAGCTGAATAGCTTTGAAAGTGCCAGGTACAGTCCCGTGATGCCTATCAAGGAAGGGACGTAGTCACGAAAGGAGCGATACTGAAAGTCGCTGTCGTCTCGTAGTCTTCCCGCGATCCAGCCTGGTTTCAGATGGCCGGTGTAGGACCAGTAGTTGGCATTCGATGGCGTGCTGAGGCGAACAGGGACGTAGACCATGAGCGGCACCGCGATGGCGAAGACCAGAAAGTAGAAGCGGAACTCGAGCGTGTGCCATCGTCCTCGTTTTGCGCCTCCTGCGGCAGATGTAGATGTCGTGGGCGACGGCTCTGTCCGTGACGCGTTCTTGGTGGCAGCGTGACCGGACAAAGGCCCCGTATCGATGGTGAGGGAAGCAATGCCACGAGACCCCAAGAGCTTCTTGACCTTCGGATCGGAAGGGGAGGTGCTGACCGCAGCGCGACGGGTGGCGGCGGAGGGCGGATAGGTGCCGGACCCATTCTGATGCGAGTTGAAGCCTTTCATGGCCGCAGCCGTCATGTCGTGTTCGTGATGGTCACCGTGCAAAGCATGCTGCGAGGCGTTGGCAAGGCTGGCGAAGTGTGTCGGGAGCATGCCCTGCCGCTCTTTGTCCGTTCGCCGCTACGCGTCGTCGACAGCCTCAGCAAAGTGCGAGCTGAGCAGACTTTCCGAGCTAATGAAGACCTGCGTGAGCAGAGAGCAAGAAGAATGGGCGCCTGCGCATGAGGTGCACGAGCAAGGCAGGCACGACCCTGTTGACAGGTGTTGGTCTCTGGGCGGAAGAGCGCTTAGTCAGCCTGACGCGTTCAAGATTTTGGGGCGCTGCGAATTGCCGCTCGGGACACTTCTCGATAGCAACACGCTTTCTCGAGATCAACACTTGCTGCTCGCTATCGAACCCATCACCTCGCAGCTGCAACCCCAACGGCGCAGTCGTCATCTTCAATATGGCGGTGAGTCAACGTCACGAGCACACGCAGGTAATTCTAGGACACATACTGACTTTAGCAACTTCGTTCTGGCTCGACTCGACTCGGCCCAATAGATCAACTGGATCCTCCTCATTAGCCGTCAAGGCAAGGTGCGTCTTGCCAAATGGTTCACCACCATGTCGCCCAAGGCGAAGCTCAAGATCACCAAGGATGTCACACAGCTCGTTCTCGCGAGGCGGACACGGATGTGCAACTTCCTCGAGTACAAGGACAGCAAGGTGGTGTATAGGAGATATGCATCGCTCTTCTTCGTGACGGGCATCAGTCAGGGCGACAACGAGCTGGTGACGCTCGAGATCATCCACAGATACGTCGAGGTTCTCGACCGATACTTTGGCAATGTCTGCGAGCTGGATCTCATCTTCAACTTTCAAAAGGCGTACGCTGTAAGTTGACGCAACAAGAGATCACGTCGGCTGGAGGCGCGCAAATACGCTGACACTGGCGCTATCATAACCTTTCTTTGTCTCAACAGATTCTTGACGAATTGATCATCGCAGGCGAGATGCAAGAGTCGTCAAAGAAGTCGGTCTTGCGGACAGTCAGTCAGAGCGACGCAATCGAAGAAGCAGAGCAATCAGAAGACGTAAGTACTCCAAGCCCAATCCTTTGTACTTGACGCCTCTATGCGAAGGTGCTGGATGGGATCGCTGACCCTTTCTATCATGATGCTACTCCGCTCTACTATGAACGCGACAGTCGCTGGCAAGAATCGGCAGCAGATCAGGCTAGACGTCTTTTTTCCCGCTCAACTTTCTTGTTTCTCGCTCATTGTCTGTCCCGGGCGACTTGTCCGCCAGCCCCTCTGTTGGCCATATCTGTACACTAGCATCCCAGCAATTGTCATCGTTACGCATATCACACTGGAGCAGAGAGCTTGTTTGTATTTGTATTGGAACTGATGCGACAACGCACATCGACCTCCGAGCTGACGGTTCACTGTCAGTCTCAGCTTACCTCCGCAAGTCGCACGGCGGGAATCTTGCGGTGTGGAGTGTACCCCTGCCTCGCGATGAGGTCTAGGGCATGCCAATCAATGCTCAAAGGAAGGCTTGGACAGATTGACAGGAGGACAAGCGGCTTCTCCGTGGAGCTGCCATCTGCACGAGGAGGAAAGATTCGCACGGGACAAGCTTCGACGCGAGGTGGAAACGGGCTTTTGTTGAGCGAGCGGGCCATGGAAGCAAGGCAAACAGAAAGCGACGGCCGTCCCGGACCAAGCGTGTGAGGTCTCGCCTGCTCTTGCTCGCTCGTCCTGCATGCTCGACAGCTTCTTAGCCGTGTTGTATCAAGTGTCGTAGCATCATCGTCTCAATCTGCTCTCGACTCTTCTCCATCGCTCGACAAGCTGATAGGGTGATTGAAGATAGTGCTCCGAGCGAGATCCTTGACGTCTATAGGGAAAAGGGCGCTGCCGATCCAGGTCCCTGGTGGGCTCAAGTCTGGGGAAGCTCTGAAGGCGTGTCAGGCGAGCTTGGACACAGTGCATTTCACGTTCATCGACAGGACCAGGGCGAGAGGAGACGCAGAATGCCATCATCTCACTGACGATCGACTTGGGATCGGAGCATCAAACAGAGGTGGTTCCCCCCTCTCTCCGCAATCTGCGCTGGCTGCCTCGATTGGAGTGAGTCCGGCTTTAGCTTTGAGTGCTGAGGTCAAAGGCAGCAGAGGGCGGTGATTTCAGACATGCTCGAAAAGGGCTCGCCTCGCCTCGATTCACCTTTCACGCTGCTTTTGGAAAATCCCATGAAAATCTACCACAGCGGCACAGTGTGGAGTAAAGAGTGAGCGACCAAGGTCTGTTCTGCTGCAGATGCTGCTGCTGCTGCTTGCGGCGCCCAACCACACGAGCCGACTCTGTCACTCTGTCTGTCACTCTCTAAGAGATCCCAGAGCGAGACTGCTGGACCGCCCTCGTCGACTTGAGCCTCGCAACCGTCGACCTGGCTCACATCGCAAAGTCAAAGGTGAAAGCCAAATCAAGCGAGCCAGTCCAACGCCCCGACTTGACCTCGATCTCAGTACATATACCTCCCCGCATTCTTGCTTGACCTTTCATCTCCGTCACCACCAACAAAACAACACTCTCCCTCCATCCCACCACCAACACACAACACTTTCTAATCAAAATGGGTGAATTCAAGTCCAAGGCTCTCTTCGAGCAGATCGAGAACGGTCTCAAGGAGATGGATGACAAGGAGAAGAAGGACATCCAGAAGAAGGTATGTACCACCATCTAGATGTCGACTGCACTGCTTCCCCTAGCTGGTCAGAATGCACGTGAGCCGTTGTAGCTTTGTCTCGCTTCCGCTGTCTGCGATTATGGAGATGAAGCTGTCGAACGGCTTTGCGTTCGCAGACTGCTGGCCGGAGTAGCCGGCTCCACTCAACCTGTTCAGCGAGCAGCCGCAACAAACCTCAGATCATATGCTCGTGCACGTTGCTGACCTTGCCATGCCTTCACTCCTTTATTCATCGATCGAACGCAACTTGGTCCACTGTCACGCCATGACATCGCCACATCGATCACTGCTGCCCTCTGAACGACCCAATAGACCAACGGTGTCTTCGAGATGCACGTCAAGAACTCCGGCGGTGAGGAGCTCGTCTACACCATCGACCTCAAGAAGGTACGTTCTCAACTCAAACAGTTGAGGTTTCGGACTGCGGACAGATGCAGCGATGGATCCATGCTTCTGCACAGCGTTTGGTCGACTTCGATCCTCTTCTCAGCAGCGCCGCTTCAGTTATGAAGGACTGGCAGGCTAAGATGAGACGAGCATCGCTGCCGAGCAAATCGCTGTCAGACTGCACTTCGTTTGGCTCAGTCGCAATCCGGAGTCGCCCCTATCAGATATATCTGAACACATTGCTGACCCTCTCTTCCCCCACTTCCACCGCTACACAGAACGCCGAGGCTTACGAGGGCAAGGCCAAGGGCAAGGCTGATGTCACCATCAACCTCGCCGACGACACCTTCATGGACCTCGCTGACGGCAAGGTCAACGGCCAGAAGGCCTTCATGTCCGGCAAGCTCAAGGTCAAGGGCAACATCATGCTCGCCACCAAGCTCGACAACGTCCTCAAGTCGCAGAAGTCCAAGCTCTAAATGTGCTTGTGCTCTAAGATCCGACCTCGTACATCTACATGTTGCTTGTCCAGCGTAATTTGATTTGTGCTTTACAGGCATGACGATTGGCCATTGAGGGCGGTGTGTATCGGATCAGGGGGGTCTTTCAGTTCCCATGAGCTGCGTTGAGACTTCGCGAGAGGAGAGCCAGGGAGGCTTTTGAGGTACGACGATCGTGACCAGGCTCGGCTCACGCTGCTTCAGTACGAAAGCATACATGGAGCAGCTGCCGGATAGTTCTCCAGTCGTTCACCTCGACGATGAACTCGCGAGATAAGCATGTGTCCGCTCTTTCCTCAGATTTGTTTGACGGTACGAGCTGCGCGCCTGATCCTCAACACGAGCAGGAGTCTTTGATGTTTGCCTCGTACCAGGTCCGAGCGCCGTGCGGCATCAACAGTGTGACATTCTCCTCGAACAAAAATTTTGCTGCCGGCTCGAGGTTGAGGGTTGCTGCGAACAAGAAGCTGTACCAGACCTGGGCGATGGGTCGACAGGGTACGAGGCTCTCAATGTCGATCAGCCAGCACCACGCAAGGCTGGTGTCGAGCACGATTTCAAGACGTCCACTCGTGCTGCCACAGTCAGGCTTCAAAGTTAAGGCCTGGCGTGGCCAGATTCTCTTGCGTTGCAAGGCGAATCGCGCTGCTCCTCAGGCCCAGCACTTCGAGGTGCTCGCTGGCTGCTCTAAGGCTTCCCAGACAGAGTCCATATCATTGAAGGCCGCTCTTCATTGTGGCAGAAAGAGAGAGCTGCTCGTATCGGTGTGTGGAGACGCTTGCTCCACGGCGATAGGCGCCACTCCACCTCCACCCTATATTTTTGGCAACAAGCCGCGGAGGCGCCGTGGAGGGTGGCTGAGCCCTGTGGCGTGTCGAGAGGAGTTTCTGCCTGTGTAGCGGCTCCGCAAGAGCATCGGCAGCACAACACGGGCGATGGCGCGGCAGAGGGGGCCTCCAACCGCACCAGTCAGCAGTCATATTGCTCCACTACTGTAACTTCCCAAAGGCGGTTGCGCGGCAGCGTCCACTCTGCATTGCCGGGGTTTGGAAGGTGGCCGGCCCGTGCCCCTTGCCCTCGGCGTTAGACGTTCCTTCCTGAGCACCGGCTAATAGGTATAAGAAGCCCCTCGGTCTCCGTTCCGTCACCTCCTCCATCATATCAAACTCACCGGCGAGAAGGTACAGGAAGCCCACCAATCCGCCACGCACCACGTTGACCACACCAACAACAACCCTTCTCACAACATCAACCATCATGCCCATCCCTACACGTGAATTCGCCAAGACCGGCGAGCAGGTCGGCGCCATTGGCTACGGCGCCATGGGTCTCGCCGCCTTCTACGGCGACTCCGCGCCCGATTCCGTGGTCAACGCCATCTTTGACAAGTGTCTCGCTGACGGCGTCACCCACTGGGACACCGCGGACATGTACTCTCCCATGGGCTCGGGCAAGCTCGGATACAACGAAGAGCAGATCGGTCGCTACTTCGCCTCGCACCCGGGAGCGAGGGAGAAGGTAACGATCGCCACAAAATTCGTCAATCGCTACGACGCCGACGGCTCGTTCTCCATGGACGGAAGCCCGGAGTGGTGCCACCAGGCATGCAATGACTCGCTGAAGAGGCTTGGAGTTGATCAGATCGACCTTTTCTACGCCCATCGACCGGATCCCAAGGTGGACGTGACCAAGACGGTGGGCGCGATGAAGGAGCTCAAGGAGCAAGGCAAGATCCGCTACATTGGCGTCTCCGAGTACAACCTCGACCAGCTCGAACGGGCCAACAAAGTGGTCCACATCGATGCGATTCAGATCGAGATCTCTCCCTGGACACCCGAAGCCCTCACCAACGGTATCCTCGCCTGGGCCGAAAAGAACGGTACCGCTCTTGTCGCCTACTCTCCCCTGGGCCGTGGCTTCCTCACTGGTCAATACAAGACCGTCGACGATCTGCCAGAGAACGATTTCCGTCGTCACAACCCCCGCTTCACTGGCGACAACTTTGCCAAGAACCTCGAGCTGGTGAACGACATCAAGAAGATTGCGGATAAGAAGAACGCCACCCCCGGCCAAATCGCCCTCGCCTGGCTCCTCCAGAAGTCGCCCATCATCCTACCAATTCCCGGAACGAAGAAGGAGAAGTACCTCGAGGAGAACAACAAGGCCGCCGAGATCAAGCTGAGCAAGGAGGAGATGGACGAGATCGATGGCGTGATCAACAGCTTCAAGGTCAGCGGTACGAGGTACGCGCCCGAGATGATGCAGGTTTGCGCTTTCTAAGCGGCCGGTCTTTGGCAGGATTGGATTGTCACATCGTCTGGATGGAAGGTAGCGGACTCGTGGAATCGAATTGTATCGTCAGCAGAGCCTTCGACGAGTGTGACATTGAAAGACGCAGTGAGTCTCACGAAGTGGCAGGTGGCCGTTCAAAGCACAAAGCAATGGCGAGTCGACGATGGATGCATGCAATTTCGAGAGAGTGAAAGAACGAAAGGGACAGATCCTGAGACGAGGCTCATCGAGATCAGTTCAGCACTTGAACATGATCGCTCGATGTCAACCCACCAACCCACGCCCCTGTCTTTAGCGCTTGAAGATCGTCACGCAGTCTTCGTCCTCCAACACATGATCCGCGCCGACCCTCTGCCCTCGGGGGTGCTTGGCACTTTTTCCCCATACCATGGCGAACTTGAACTGCTTGATAATCTCCTTGTGGATGGCGTTGCAAAAGTCCTCCACCGTAGACCTTCCGGTCTTCAACACCACAGGACTCGAATAGTCGGGCGAAGCCTTTCTCGGCTTGGTATAGACGCGCACCAAGGACAGTTCCTGCCACATCTTCTCCACCAGCTCGTCGTCGACGTTCCACCAGTGTTGCGATGAAATGGGGACCGAGTTGGGGATTTTATAGAGCAAGTCGAGCTCTTCGATGGAGATCGAGTCGATCTTGTTGAGAACGTAGATGGCGGGTACGTAGATTCGGTTGCCTTCAATAACGTCGATGAGCTCCTCGATATTTGCGTCTTGCCTAAAGCTCACGTCTGCGTTGCTGATCCTGTATTCGCTGAGCACCGCTTTGACTTCGTCGTTGTCGAGCTTCGTTAGGGGGACGGTGTTGGTGATTGCGATGCCTCCCTTTTCCTTTTTGCGCACAACGATGTTGGGGGGCTTCTTGTTGAGTCGGATACCGAAGCCTTCGAGTTCGTTTTCGATGATCGCCTTGTCCTTCAGCGGCTTGCCTACGTCGAGGACGATGAAGATGAGATTGCACGTTCGTGCAACGGCAATGACTTGACGACCACGACCCTTGCCGTCCTTGGCACCCTCGATGATACCCGGCAGATCGATGATCTGGATCGGCGCACCGTGCACCTTCATCGTACCGGGCACCGATGTGAGGGTGGTAAACTCGTACGCTGCCGCTTCGGACGTCGTCCCCGTCAAACCCGACATCAATGTCGATTTGCCCACTGAGGGGAAGCCGACGAACCCAACAGATGCCACACCCGTCTTGGCCACATCGAAGCCAATTCCCGGACCACCACCACCGCCTCCAGAGGGAGTGATCAGCTCGCGCTTGAGCTTAGCAAGCTTGGCTCGCAGCTGTCCCAAGTGATACGATGTCGCCTTGTTCTTCTGCGTCTTGTTCATCTCATCCTCGATCTCCTTGATCTTTTGCACTGTCGTCATCGTTGGCCAAGGTTGCTCGGAGTCGAGTCCGGCGCGATAGCAAGGTGCGTGTGTGTGATTGTCGTGTGACTTGCGTCTGGCCTACTTCCAAGAAGTGTTTGTGACTTAGATCCGAATCAAATGCCGAGTGGATTGCTGGGTGTGTTGCGGCTCGATAGTGATGATGAGAGAAAGTGATGGCAGATGTCGCTGGACAGAGATGATCAGCAGAAAGTACGTCAGAAGGGATGCAGATGCAGAAGCACAAAGCTTCTCAGCAACGAAGAATTTTCGACTGCTTTCCGCACGGCAAATTGAGAGCGCCGGGGAGCATCGATTTCCTCCAGGCCTTTGGAGCTCGGTCTAACAGCTCACGGTCTGGCGCCTTGATATTCGTGATTGCCTCCTTTGCTCCGCGGCCGTCTGTCGTGATTTTGTGGAGATTTAGCGCTTTCATGAGCCTGTCGAAGGGTGGGGAGCTGCGCTCTGGCCATCGGCCCCTCTCGACAGTATCCACACGCCACCATCACCACTCATCAACGCCTAATCACGCAGCGCTACACAAAGATGGAGCCATCGACCAAGCCTACTCAGTAAGTGTTGGGATGCCTGACGGGTCGTAAGCAGGACTGGCAAACTGACCGCCTCTTTCTCGTTCGCAGCCCACCCAAGGACGACCCGATCTCCGTCGAGGAGCTCAAGCAGTACGACGGCACCGACGCCTCCAAGCCCGTCTACGTCGCTGTCAAGGGCACCATCTTCGACGTTTCGCCCAAGCGCGAGATGTACGGTACGTTTCTCACCACCTTGATCAACCCTAGTCTGGGACGAACTCGCTGACCTTTGGACTTTCGTGCAGAACCGGGCAAGGGCTACCACATCTTTGCCGGCAAGGACGGCTCGCGCGGACTCGGCATGTCGTCGCTCAAGCCCGAGGACGCTGTTCCGGACTACAGCACTCTTGATGATAAGCAGCTCAAGGTGCTGGATGACTGGGTATGTCGGTTGGTCCCAAAATTTGCCCTCTCTATCAAACACTCTACTGACCATTCCGTACACTTGCGCAACAAACAGCACTCGTACTACACAAAGCGCTACAACATCGTCGGCAAGGTGGCTCAGTAGGACACTCCAATACATCACATTGTATCACTATGCTTTGGGTCTACGATTGTATTGCTCATGAGAGAGATCAGGGAGCAAGTCTGTCGATGGTCCACGTATCCTCGCTTGCGCTCTTTCCACTGTCCAGACTCCTCGTATACCTGAATCGATCGTGCAGCCTGTTCGGCCTTCCGCACCAGAACTCCACTTCGTCTGGAACGATCCTGTATCCACCCCAGAACTCCGGTAGTGGCACGTCTATCTTCTCGTCGCCCTCCCACTTCTTGCCTTCGTCCAACCCTGCTGCACCGGGGACGCCAAACCTGTCCTCCACGTCGTGCACCTTCTTCTCCAACGTCTGGCGATCGGGGATCGTGGTGGACTGAGGACTTGCCCAAGCGCCAATTCGACTGCCCAATGGACGGGAGTCATGATACGCCTTACTCTCTTCTTTGCTCAACTTCTCCACTTTTCCGCAGACCCGCACCGATCGAGACAGCTCCTTCCAGTAGAACGCCAACGATGCATACGGATGACCCTCCAGCTCCCGTCCCTTTCTTGAGGAGTAATTCGAGAAGAACAAAAACCCTCGCTCGTCCACCTGCTTCAGCAGCACGACGCGGGAACTGGGTCGTGCGATACCGTTGGCGAGAGAGACCGTGGAGATCGTCATCGCCTCAGGCTCCGGCACCCCGTGCTCGTTGGCGTGTTTGAACCACGTATTGAACTGCACGATGGGGGAGGCGGAGAGGTCGGACCGTTCGAGACCGGTGGTGCGATACTGGTTGTGCGATGTGATCGCTGTTTTGTGCGGTGTTGCGTCCATCGTGCGCGATGTAGTGGTGAAGGTCGAAGTGGTGGGAAGAATCGTGCGGTTTGGGAGGAGCGACGTGAGCGAAAGAAGTTGGTTGCGGGGCTTGACGGCTCTTCTTGCTGTCGAGAGCATGAACGCTTGCCTCTCAAAAATGGTGGAAAGATCAGTGGAAAGTTGATGGTGGGTCGTCAACAGTGGAAAGATGTCTTACCCAATCTCGACCAGGTGACTCCAAAAGGTGCTCGTGCGCCGAAATTGTCCAGACAACCTTAATTTCAGCTTTGATTTCCTCCACCTCCTCGCTGCTCGGTGTGACTGTGCAGATTTCAATGTCAATACGATGTCCAGCAGCTCAAGACAAGGTGGCGGTGCCTTAACGATCACGGACAGTGACTTCCGTATGGATAGATGCTTGATGCAAAATTGGTTTGAACAGTACAAATGAAGCGAACAGCCGTGACAGAGTTGTGCGGAACGAGGTGAGAAGGGCGATGCAAAGAGCCTCAGGAACTGACTGGATCATTTGCAGCGATGTTTGCCAATACGACGACGCATCAGATCCTCGGCGTGTCATCGTCGTGCGAGTCGCGGGCAAAGCTCCTTCTCTTGGCGTCCGGGTCATCATCGAGCCTAATGGTCACCTGCGAGTCTTTCGCCGCATCGTTCTGCCTCAGGTCGCGGTCTCTGCTCGTACTTGGCCGACCCTGCGCTCCGCTGTAACCGTAGGTCGGGCTGGTTACTGGACTTTTGCGGTCGTCGTCAAAGTCGCCCTGCATGTCGCCGCGCGAGTAGCCTGGCAGATCGCGATTCTCAGGCGGGGGACCGGCGGGAGCGCTGTAGGGACCAGCACCGTACGGCGCCGGAGGGTAGGTGTATGCTTGCGACTGCGACTGCGGATCGTACGGCGCCGAGTTGTACTGGTTCCCATACTGTGCGCTGGGCGGCTGCTGATTGTTGCGTCGCTGCCACCAGCCAAAGTTGGACTCGCGCACCCGGACCGAGTTGGGATCGCGCAACTGACGAACAAAGGCGAAGCTGAACATGACGAATGGAATACCGAGCACGATGGTGACGACGAGCCAGACGATCTCCCACGTCGAGTCGTACTTCCACGAGCTGTTGCAGTAATTGGTGGCGTCCGCAGCCGACATGACAGTGTTGCTGGATCCGCTGCCGAAGCCGAACCAGCCGAAGCCGGAGGAGGGAGCGACAGCGCCCGTGTTGCGCGTGATGCAGTCGCTGATGATGCGCGTCTTGAACATGTAGTGGCCGGCGATGTTGATCACCTCGCATGCAATCACCAAGACGAAGCCTGGCACGGTGAGCTTGGAGTAGAGAGTGGCGAGACTGAGGTTGGTCTTGAGCGCACCGACAAAGCCGATGACCTCTACAACAGCAACGGCCATGAGCAGCGCGCCGGTGAGAATGTCAAAGATCTTCATGGTGGCATTGTTGCCAGAGCTGCCGACATCCTTGAAGTTGGAGATGGAGACGAGAAGCAGGTAGAGGAAGGTGCAGAACGTCGTGACGAGCAGCACGGGACGCAGCGAGTACGGGTAGACCTTGCCGATGACATTAGCGTAGGCAGGAGGCGGACCGGACGGCGGAGGAGCTCTCCTTTGTGTGTAGGTTGGCAGGTAGTTGAGCTCCGGCACCTGCTCGTCTCGGGACGGCATCTTGACAGGAGTTCGGATGCCAGTAGGCAGGGATCTTCTAGGTTGGCAAGAAGGCCAGCGTCTCGAAAGGGTCGTCCTTGGCTGCTAGTTGAGCTCGGCGGTGCGGTTTGAAGGCGGGCACCGTTACTGTGAATGATGGAAAGGATGGTTAAGGTGGCGCGAAAGAAGATGACGAGCAGTGTGATAGATGGACCTCGAGAAGGTTCTAAGACGGGTCCACTGTCGAAAGATTGTCACTGTGCAGCATGGGCTGTGCACTTTTCCTTGCTGAGCCTGCCGGTCTGAGGGTGAGTGGCTGCCGCCTTCCCGTGTCTTGGCTCTGCCGTGTGACGCTGCGCCGTCTGTTCGGCTATGAAATTTCCTTCCGATGTTAGAGTTGTGAAAGCAGCCTTCTCAATCAAATCTCTGCTAAGTCTAACAACTTGCAGCTGTGCAAAAAATCTGAGATAGGCATTGCCGCGCTTAGCGCTATCCGCAGCATAGCGACTGACTGAACAATTGTGCTTGCAGGCCGCGGCATGGCGCTCTGGTGTGAACGGCAAGAGACCCTTGATTCTTGCGGTTGCCAAACGAGGTGTTGGCTGCGCAGATAGCGGCCTAGACGAGCTCACCTGCACGGTCTTGCTTCGCGCTTCGATTGTGTGGAACGTCGGGGTCCTCTGATGAGCAGATGGAGCTTCGAACGCACATGGAACGCACACGAAGAAAGCCCTTTGGCGCCAACGGCGCTTAGTTATGCACCACCTCCCTCGACCCACATTGCCCACCGAGTTAGGCGACCGTCCTCGCCTTGCCGGCCTCATGGCGAATGGACTGCCGCCCATATAAGGGCATGGGAAGCGCTTGAGCTTCGCACTCGCTGTCCTCCTCTCTTGGCCCACGTCGTCCCTTCCCACCTCAGGTATGACGGTACAGCTCTTCAAGAACGCGCTCTTCTTCACGGCGCAAGCCGAGGAGCTTGACGCTGCATCCTTGCTCAAGCAAGACTACTCGGACCATTCCGCTATCGCCAACAGGTTCGCAGAATGCATCGTAGCGCAGGACGGCAAGCTCGCGTACGTAGGCGACGTCGCCGGCATCCCTGCAGAGCTCAAGTCGAAAGCAAAGCAGGTCGATCTCGGCGGCGGCAAGCTCGTCGTTCCTGGCTTCATCGATGCACACACGCATCTGCTCAACTTCGGTCAGTCCCTCGACAAGGTCGACGTCGGCAAGTGCAAGAACCTCGAGCAGATTCAGGCAAAGATCAAGGAGGCGGCAGAGGCCAAGCCGGATGCACCTAGGATCTTGGCAGCGGTGTGGATGCAGAACAGCACCGACGGCAAAGCGCTCGCTTCGTGGATCGACGAGGTGGTACCAGACCGACCGGTGTACATCGAGTCGTTCGACTTGCACTCGCACTGGTGCAACACCAAGGCGCTCGAAGAGCTAGGCATCACCGACGATACGCCGAACCCGGAAGGTGGAGAGATTGTGCGCGATCCCGCGACCGGCAAGGCTTCGGGTCTGTTGCTGGAGATGGCCAACATTCTCTACGTCTGGCCGAAGCTGGCCAACCTAGCAACAAAAGAGGAGCAGGAAGCCGCCTTCATGCGGGCTTCTGAGTCGTACCACGAAAGCGGCTTCACCGGCGGAATCGATATGGCGCTCGACCCGCTCTCGCTCGACTGCATCCTGCGTATCAAGGCCAAGATGAAGGGCAAGCTGCCCATCCGAGTCGCGGCGCACTGGCTCGTCCGACCCGAGACCGAGCTCGATGCATGCATCGAGCAGGTCAAACACGCCCACGAGCTGAGCCAGAAGCACAAGGACGAATGGTTCCGCATCGTCGGCATCAAGCTCGTGTGCGACGGCGTCATCGACAGCTGCACCGCCGCGCTCAAGGAGCCCTACTACAACAAGACCAACGCCGACGTCATGTGGCCCCTGCCTCTGCTCTCCTCGGTCGTACAGTATGCCGACTCGGTCGACCTGCAAGTGGCCATCCACGCGATTGGAGACATGGCGGTCCACACGGCTGTCGAGGCCATCGCCACGCTCGGCGAGAAGCTGGCTGCGAAAGGTCTTTCGATCCGCGACCGTCGCCACCGCATTGAGCACCTTGAGCTTACCGACCCCAAAGACGTCGAGAAGCTCGGCAGGCTCGGCATCACCGCTAGCATCCAGGGCGTCCACTGCGATCCCAGCATCATGGAAGGGTGGTGCAAGATGCTCGGCGACAACTACAACGAAGGGCGGTGCTCGAGAGCTTTTGCGTTCCGCGAATTTGTCGAGGCAGGGGCACCCATCGCGCTCGGCTCGGATGCGCCCACCGCTCACCACTGGATTCTGCCCAACCTGTACACTGCCGTCACAAGACGATCGGGGAGAGAGCCGGAGCTCGAGGGAAGGACAACGCCGCAGTTTGCGCTGCCGCTAGCGATGGCCGTAGCAGCAGCGACGTATGGGGCCGCGCACAGCTGCAAGGCCGAGGGCTGGTCAGGCACGCTCGAGACGGGCAAGAGCGCTGACTTTGTGGTGCTCGACACTGACCTCTTCAAGGAGCACGGGGAGGGAGACAAGGAACAGACGATCCTCAAGACCAAGATCCTGCAAACCTGGCTACAGGGAGAGAAGGTATACCAGAGGCCAGCGGAGGGCGTCAAGAAGGCGAAGAGTGGGGCGAGTTGCACGCTGCTCTGAACGCTCAGTTTCGGGAATACATTGCATTGACTGACATTGTAGATCGTGTGAGCGTGACCGTGTGACAAGTTTCGGATTTATTGAGAGGTGATGAACCCGGAGAGGGACCCGTCGATCCCTCGAGCATGGCTCACGTGAACCAGGACCGCCAGCGGCCCGCAGCGAGATGAAGTTTCTCTCACTGCTTCTTCGACCCATCATTGAGAGCTGAAGTGTCATTTGGGTCAAAACCGCTCGCGAGGAGGGTGGGCAAGATCCCGCTGTCGCCTGCAACGACTTGAGCTGTGCCAGCGTCCGGGAGCTGACTCGGATAGATGTCCTCGATAGGCTCTGGGATGGGAGCACCGAGGACCAGGCTCACCGCGGCTAGCAGCAGAGCTGTGGAGACGGGACCGACAACGTGCTGGAACTTCATAGTAAAAAAGCTTGAGGGCGAAAAGGTTGATGTGAGGTTGTGTGAGATCGAGCGGGGCTCCGACAGATTGCAGATGAGGTCGGCTGACACTGGACTCGCTTTGCTGCGGTGAAGCGTTTGTCGAAGACGAGGATAGAGTGGATGTTGCCACTTTGAGAAGAGCTTAAAGCGCGTAAATAAGTGCAAGTCCCTGGATGGTGGACTCGTGGATTTGTGCGAAGATGTGTAAGGGTATGGCCGAGGAAGAACTGGGGAAAAGGCAATGCTTGGCAGATTGATGGTGGTGGAAGAGCCGACTTGGCATCAAAACGAGCCTGTATATGTACCTTTTGGCCATGATGTTGCGCATGTATCGTCGAGGTCAGGCTCGTCCTTCTCCGAAGCACGACCGTTGCAGCACCGACAGCTCTTGAGGCCTTCTTTCCGGCTCGTTATCGTCGGAAACAATTGGTCCGATACCGCGCCGATGAACAATGTTCGTTGCCGTTGGAGCCCACCCGAGTGGAGCCAATAGCAGAAGCGGCAGCCGATTCCGAATGTATGCTGAGCAGTGTGCCCACAGTCGTATTCTTGCTGCAGTGCGTCGCAAATAGGGGCAATGCTTCCGACGGAACGGCATGTGACTTCGAGGGGGACCATGGACATTGTCTCGAGATGAGATCGGCGTCCCATTCAAGGTTTGGCTTGACCGTTGTCAGCGTGCCATGACGCCATTACCCACGTTGGTCGGCGCCATGGCCGAAGAAAATACGCGTTGCTATGATGCAAGCCATCTGCACACAAATGAAGCAGTGGCCAAGTGCATCAGATGAAGCTCGGATGAGGTGGTTGTCACCGATCAACTTCTCCAGATGCGCTGCCAACAGACCTAGAAGTATTGGTACCACATGGAGCCTTTCCAAAAGCTGCAGAAGAAAGCTGAAGCACCCTTCACACGCCAAGACGATGTCTCACGACACAGTCTCGTTGTCAGCCACGTCGACACGCGTGACAATGGAAGGCACGCCTCGGGGCGAATAAAGGCCGTGTGGTCCTCGTCGCCACACTTGGCGGCCCGAAAAATACCCCATTCGGCTGACGACGACCGAAACAGCCGATCCTTGCCCTTCTCAAGGCCGGAGTGACGTCAGTTCAAGCGGCCTCTGGACGAGCCTCCTTCATACTCTTGCTTATCATCTCTTCGGTCTTCGCTCGTTGCTGTATTTTGAGCCGGAGCTGCTTTTGGCTCGCCCGGATGGAGAATCCTGCGCAAGAACAGGTCAATGTCCCGCAACCGGTGAAGCGGTCCGCCGTCGTTGGCTTTGTCATGGCTTCATTTCGACCGTCCCCACCTGCTCGCCTGAGCAAAATTCAAAGCGCGAGAATGCGCTGCGAACCTCGGCTATCTACCCTGTCCCGAGTGAATAGCCAGGCGATGCCAGCCGGTGTTGTCCCCGACAACGCCATCGCCGATAAAGTGGTTGCTGTCTCTTGATCAGCTTGAACAGTGCCATCGGACTCGGCTTCGGGCCTGATGGACATCCCGTTCTGCCCGAAGCTGAGGCGAGAATCGTATCTAGGCACTGCTCGCACCTGTGCAGAACACGCAACGACACAGCGCCGACAAATGCTTGAATCGTGGATTGTTGCGCACAACAAAGCAGGCCAAGCGGCGCTATCTGACACGCCGAGGCCATCAAAGCTTTTACAAAGTCGACTTGACCTGCTCTAGTGTCGAGACAAAAATCTTTATCCGAGTGACTACAAAAAACGAGCTGTCAAGATGCTCATCACAGACTGGCGCGCACGTGCTCACCGGAAGAGCGAGGTGTCACCGGTCTCATCACCACGATCGCCACTTGTCCGCTGCGTCGACACGAGTCAATTCGAATCGCTGAGGCAACCTTTTGAATCACAGAACGCTTTGCGGGTATCCGCTTCGCTGAGCATCAAGCTTTCATGGACTGTGTCACGTAGATCACAAAGCATTGAAGACCGCCACACAGCTGTGACTGTCTCGGCTCAAATGCGGTTCCGCGCCCGCTCAACTGCTCCATAGAAGCTCTCAGCGCTTGCATAAATACTAGCGTCCGTGACTTCGCCTTCCTTCTCCCCCACAACCACCAAGCTGCTCGGTACCAATCACCTTGATCAGCAAATCGCTCATCTTCACAACAATCTCACTTCAAAGATCTTGACATCTTCTACGATGACCGACGCAGCCACCACTCCCTCCACCGCTACCGTTGCCGCTGAGCGCAACATCGCCTCTCTGCCCACGCCAAAGCCCGCGGGACAGGGGGAGCATTCTGAGGTCACGACACAGTCATCTTCTCCCAGCAACAAGCGGATCAACGCTTCAGTCCCTACTTCTGCCGTTGAACGCATTCGGAATGGCAAAAAACGTCCTCGCACCTCTGCAGAAGGAGGCGAACTCAAGCTGAGCGAGAGAGAACTGTTGATCATGTACAGGCTTCCCCTAGCCCTCTTGGAGTGTCTTGTGGATCTCGCTTATGGCAAAGTCCCTCGCAGAAGGATGTATGACAACCTCATGGAGGAGTTGGTCATGGTCTGCGGGAGACGGCAAATCGGAGATATGCTCGCCAACCTGCTTACCTGCGGCCGCGACCTCGACGTCGTGGACGAATGCTCCGAGGACGTCCTCGATACTCTCGCGGAGGAACTTTACGACAGGGTGAGCCTGCCTACACTTGACTGACATCTGAAGGCCTTTCTCTGACAGACATTTATGGTCCTGCTGTTGATTGCTACAGTTCTGAGACGACATCTGTGCCTGGCCTTGACGATTCGTAGCTACACTCTCGAGAAGTGGTTGACGAACCATCTCGTGCCATTCGGTCCGCCCTCGTCCCGCACCACCATCCCGGTTTTGCTTTCGATCATATCCATCATCTCGTTGATCAGCAAAATCGGCACGTCCTCCTTCTCGGCAATCTCAAGAATCGACGCGCCCGCACCCCAGGGCGACAAATTGTCTCCATAGCTCGCCTCTTCCGGCTTCGCTGACGGTTCCGCAACCCCTGTATTCCCTCTTCCATCCGAAATTCTCAACGACTGCGCCTGTTCAATACGCTTCATCTTGTGTTCCCACTCAAGCGTGTCCAAGAAGTGGAGGATGCGCGAGGCGAAGGCATCGTCGCTGTACCTGGGCGTGTGGAGCACCGAGAGGCCCGAACGGAAGGTCTTGATGCGCACCGAGGGGGATGTGATGTCTGGCAAGAAGGCTGCTGCGGAGCGTAAAGCTTGTGGCGGGACGAGCGCTACACCGCGTGCTCGGTTCCAGACGCACCAGACCTCGTCGAGTCCGACCAAGCCGCGACCTTTGAGCTCGTCATCTGAGATGCGAGGTAATGTGTCGCTGCTTTTGCCCTTGGCTGCGATCTTGCCTGCACCCATCAAGCCGGCCGCTCGACCTCCGGTACCAAGCAGCAATCCAGCCAGCTCGCGCGCCAGCTCACGATGATACTCGTCCTGATCGCGAGCCATATCCTCCGTGATAGCCGGAGCTGGAAGACCGAGCTGGACCAGCGAAGACCGAATCAACGTCGCAGCTTCCTGGTCCGGTAGTGGCGCGGCGTCCGGCAGACCAGCCTCCCTCGCCGCCGCCGCCGCCTGCTCCTGCTTTGTCAACTTCGCATTGAGCGCTTCGGCAAATTCGACCATCTGCTTAGCCTTGCGCATGAGCGCTTCGAGGTCCTTGAGCGCGCCGTGCATGTCGTCGTTCTGCGCGCGACTGGTGGAATCGACCGAAGACAAGATTCCGTCGATACCGACACGTTTGAGCGCGGCCGATCGACCGTCCAGGTCCACCATGCCTGCGGCGACGCGCACTGCCCGGCTGTCGCTGCTCGATGCACCGTTGCTTTTTGTGTTGCTGGCCCAGGATCTGGACTTGAGCGTGGATTTGAGCAGGTTGTAGAAGGCTTTGTCGCCGCCTTTGCGGAAGCTGAGTTTGACCGAGTCGGTGGGTGGCGGCAGCGATATCGAGGCTGGGGTGGAGGATCGGCTAGGGGCGGTACTGGCTCGAAGGGAAAGTGCGTCCACATCGACGCTTTTGCGTAATGGTGTGCCAGGAGCTGTTTGCGACGAGGTGGTGGATGCTGTTGTGGAAGCCTCTTCTTGCTGCCAGCTACGGCCAAGGTTGGAGCCGCACATCTCGCACTTGGCCATCGAAGGGTGGTTGAGGAAGGTGCAGATATCGCATGCCAGGCCGTCCTTCTTGTCTGCTGCCGGTTGCGTGACTTGGTTCTCCGGGGGCTTCGATATTGACGGTGCCTTGCTCGGGATCGAAAAGGGATCTGGCCTGGTTGTGTCGGGTGCACGTTCGGGTAAAGTCAAGCGTTTCGGTGTGGGACGAGCTGGCTCCTTTGTCACTCCACAAAGCTCGCATATTGATCTATTTGCTCCATTGCTGAAGCCACAAATGGCGCACACCCAGTTCGATCCTCCTGCATCCGCTGGTGTCGAGTCGGCTGCAGATGCATTGATCCTCCAATCTCGACTTGATGTCTTGCTTAGTGAGGTTGAGTCTGTCTGTGAGGCCAGCGGACTCGGGCGTCGCTGCAGTCGTGATGGTTCGCTGTCGCCGTCCGGCTGAGCGAGTGTGAGAGTGATCTTCGGGCTGCTCTTGAGGAAACCCGCATAATACTCGCTCTGCTTGACGAGCGAGAGCTCCAAGCTGCAGGAATATCGATGTGGCTCTAGGTCATCGATATAGAGCAGACGATGGGATGTCAAGTAGACGGTGCCATTGTTCTGATGGAGAGTCTTCTCCTTGCCGTCGTAGAGACCGATGCTGTCTTGCAAGCTGACGACCTCTTCATCGTGAAAGAGGAGCGCGCCGATGGACGAGTTGCTGGCATCGATCTGCTTGAAGCGGTCCATGCCATGCAGAGGAGTCTCAACCAGCGAGAGAGGTTCGACGCGCGAACGACGATGCGATGCTGACGCTGACTTCGTTGAGGATCGTCGCTAAGGTGAGAAGTGATCCTATGATATCTCGGCGAGCGTAGCAGTCAAGGGTCCAACGCTTGGTTCTCGCCTGCATCGACGTGGGCCGGACGAAGGCCTGTGCGAGATGGAAAACTGCACAAGGCGATTCATTCTGCGGCCTAACAACTTGCCTTTGAGCTAAAACAAATGAGGTCACGCGGCTTTCTCAGCCAGACCCTGAAGGAGCCGTTCGGAAGGCACCGGTTAGACTCTTCGAGGCTGTCCAGCTTTTGCTTGCTGTCGTCGAGGCTGGCAGTTCAACACTGCAATTGCTTCCTCTCGGTAGGAATCAAGTCCACTACGCGCTCGCCTGTCTGTCTCGACTAGGCGCATACCAACAACGAGGCCGAAGCGCAATGCTGCGGGAAACGCTGATTTCCTAAGCATGAGTTAGGCGGCGGTGCGCCGTTTTATGCAAGCCAAAGCGGAAAAGCGCAAAAAAAAGTGTTGGTTCTGAGAAGAAAGGGCGAGAAGAAACGCTCGAGTGAGTCTCTGGCGCCGATCTTTTCACCGGCCCGCTGCTCACCGCTCAGCAAGCTTTGAAGCTCTCGTCTGACCAATCCGCACTCGACCTTCTTTTGGCGGTCAGAGCTCCCACTCATTTCGACCTTGGTTCATACTTGGTCCGCATCTTCCGCAGCTCCGTCTTTTGCTTTCAACTCCATCCCACCTCAGTTGTCCCAGCTCTCTTCTCGGAACGACTTCCATCCCTTCGTCGACACCCAAACCTGGAACCCCGCACCCGACGAACAGCAAGCATACAAAGAGCTTGGTGGATCGGCAGGAGTCTTTTCCAGCTTGGACGTTTCCTCCACCTGGTCACGCCATAGACCGCCTTCTCCTACGACATGGCTCAGGAGCAGCAACCCGAGGCAGTCACCCAGGCGCCCGCGCTTGATGGCGCCGAGGCAGCAGAGATCGACGAGTCGCTACAGCCTTTCGAGATCAACCTCTACCTCCCCAGGCGTCCTCTCATCCCTTCGGCCGCTGCTTCCGCACATGGTCTTCCCGAAACACCATCGCCGCTCAAGGTCGCCGTCACTCCGCAAGAGACGCTCAACGACCTCCGCATCACCATCACGGATAGCCCAGAGGGATACTGGCTAGGCGCGTACTGCTTCCGCAAGCCCCTGGCTGGAGCCAAACCGGCTGCCAAGGGATCCAAGGTGCAGCTGGGCGAGCGTGTACCGGAATGGACCGAGCTTCGCGAGATCTTCGAAGGCGTTCCCAAGGACAAGCGCGAGCTCCACGTCACCCACGTCGCCTTCAACGAGGCTGATGCCCGTGCACATGTCCAGCGTCTCCGCGATCTCCTCAACGGTGGTGCTGCTGATCCCTGCGCCATTGGCATCGACGCTGCTCTCAGCGTACAGGACGCCGTCAGAAACCCGCAAGAATGGCAACAGGATGCGGCTCGCCAGAACGCAAATGGTCGTCCCGCTGCCAAGAAGGGTGCCAACGATGCCGCCGAGCAGTCGCAAGCGTCAGAGCTCCCTCTGGTCGATTGGGCTGGCTGGCCTGCCGTAACATCGGTTGACCTCATTCCCGAAGTCGCCCGACGACCTCGCCAGCTCCCCATCTGCCTTCGTCAGCTGTCGCTCGCATCCTGGAACCCTCCGCCGCAGCACCTCAAGCTCAACGGTCATCTGCTTTATCTTCAGGTGGGCACCCTCGAGGGCGAAGTCATCTTTGTCACCGCTTCCACCCACGGCTTCTACGTCAACCGTTCTTCTGGCGCTCGGTTTGATCCCTCGCCCCGCCCAGCTGGCCAGGACTTTGCCTCTTGCTCCCTCTTCGACCTGCTCTGCGGCTTCTCTCCGCTCTTCCTTTCCACCTTCGCGAAGCTTTTCAACGACCCGCTCTCCTCCCGCGACTACTTCTCCGCGGTCCCGCTCACCAACGCCCTGCCTGCCTTCCCCTGGCTCGTGCGTAACCACAATCACAGCGCCGATCCGCTTCGCTCGCAGTCCGCTTTCCTCTTGACCGGCGCCACCTCTGCCGACACTCTCGAAGGCACCAGGGACTGGAACGATGAGCTGCAGTCGGCTCGAGAGCTGCCCCGCACCACGCTTCCTGAGCGACTCGTGCGCGATCGCGTGCTCAACCGTATCCACTCGGAGTTCACCTTGGCGGCGGCTCGCGCCATCCCCAGGGTCGCTGCTGGCGAGGTGCAGGCCATGAACCCCATGGACAAGCGCGACGCACAGATGTTCATCGTCAACAACCTCTTCATCTCCAAGGGCGCGGACGGTGTCGACCTTTATCCGCATATGGGCGGTGACGAGGCGGCCCACGTAGCTGTCGGCAAGGACATTCAGGGAGTCAAGACGCTCAACAGCCTCGACATCAACGGACTCTGTCTCCTCGGCACCATCGTTGTCGACTGGAAGGGCGAGCGATGGGTCGCACAAAGCGTCGTGCCCGGTCTCTTCCGCAGGCGAGAGGACGCTGACGAGCAGCTCGAGGCCGGCGAGTCGCAAGCACAGGATGCAGAGAAGGCCCCCGAGGCCGATGCCGACAAGAAGACGGCAGAGTCCAAGGACGGCAAGCCCGTCAAGAGCGACCTGAATGACGACACGCAGGTCGTCTACGGCGGTGTCGAAGGCCCCGAAGTCATCCGCGACAACGCCGCCTTCCACAAGCTCTTCAACCAAGTGGCTCAAACGCTTCATCTCAACGAACACGACGTCGAAGATGCTAACGGCAAGAAGCACTCGCTTTGGCTCAGCGTCGACTCGAAGGGTCTTAGAGGCGCTGACGGCCGCAGATATGTGCTCGATCTGGCCCGACTCAACCCTGTCGACATCAACTGGCTCGAAAACGATATCACTGGAGCTACTCTCGGCGGCCAAGAGGCTTCGAGCGAACAAGCAAGCTACCCTCACCGCATGACCTTGCTCCGCCCTGAGCTGCTCGAGATCTACTGGGACAGCGAGTTCCGCACATGGGCCCGTGCCAAGCTCGCCGCTCGTCAGGAGGCCAAGGCCGTCAAGGATGCCGAAGCCAAGGAAACTGCGGCCAAGGAGGACGGTGACAAGGAAGAAGCCGCCGAAACCGAAGAAGAGCCTGAACGCCTCGACACATCCGAATTCAAGTTGACCTTCAACCCCGACGCCTTTGTCGAGTTCAAGGTAGCCGATGCATCCGCCGAGGACGGCTCCAAGGTCATCAGCCCCATCACGGACGAGTCGGATGCCAGCATTGCAGCTGTGCGACAGGTGTCGGACTTCTTGCGCAAGGTTGCCATTCCCCGCTTCGTCACCGACGTCGCCGCTGGTCTCTTCACTGCTACCGACGGTGGTGCTCTGAGTCGGCAGATGCACTCTCGTGGTATCAACATTCGCTACCTCGGCTACGTCGCCCGTCTCTGCACCGCGGAAGCCAAGCAGGAGCTGGACCAGGACCTCCTCAAGAAGGCGGGTCCAGGTCACGAGGGCTTCCTCAACGTGTTCCGTCTCACCGTGCTGCAGGAGATGGTGCTGCGAGCAAGCAAGCGCATCCTTCGCAGCCTCATTCGCGATGTCGAGCAGGTCGACGTCGCTGCCTGCGTCTCGCACTTCCTCAACTGCCTCGTCGGTAACAAAATCAACGCCAGTCCAGAAGCTCGCCTGACTCCTTCGCCGCTTTCGGACAACGCCGAGGCTGAATGGACCAAGCTCACGCCTGAGAAGCTCAGGGAGCAGATCACAGGTGAGATCCGCAAGCGCTTCCGCTTCGAGCTGCCTGGCTCCTTCTTTGACCAGGAGCTGCGACGCGCCCAACTTCTTCGAGAGGTGGCTTTGCGCACTGGTATCCAGCTCAAGCTGCAGGACTATGTGCTGGAAGGCAAGCTCGCCGAGGTTGACAGCACAGTCTCGGATGACTCGCACAGCGAGGCGCAGCCCAACGGTCAATCGGCCGGAAAGAAGAACAAGAACAAAAAGAAGGGCGGCAACGAGCAGCAAAACGGTGCCAAGAAGACGAACGGTGTCGCCGCCGTTGCAGCCGACAAGAAGGTGTCCAAGCAGGCTCGCACTACCAGCTTTGAGCCCGAGGACGTCCTCAACCTGGTGCCCATAGTCAAGGACTCGACACCCAAGAGCAGCCTCGCCGAAGAGGCCTTCGAGGCCGGCAGGATCTCAATCAGCCGTGGCGACCGCGATCTTGGTCTGGAGCTGCTGCTGGAAGGTGTCAACTTCCACGAGCAGGTGTACGGTCTGGTTCACCCCGAACTCGCGCGATGCTATGCGCTGTTTGGTACCATCGTGCACCATCTCGCCGGTGTCGTCGCCATGGAGCGCGCCGAGTTGATCAACCAGGCCAAGTCGGAGAACAAGGAGATCACCGAGGCCGACCTGCCCGTCGCTAACGAGCACCTGACCATGGCCAACGCGGTGCGCTACCAGCGACAGGCGGTGACGGTGTCGGAGCGCACGCTGGGCATCGACCACCCGGAGACACTGAGCCAGTACATGAACCTGGCCGTGCTCGAGCGGTCTGCGGGCAACCTGCGCGAGTCGCTTCTCTGCCAGCGCCGTGTGCTCGAGCTGCATAGCCTGCTGTATGGCGAGGAGCACCCGGACTGCATCAATGCGCTGTCCAACATTGCGCTGACGCTGCAGAACTCGCGCCTTTTCGAGCCGAGTCTGCGGGTCTACCGCTCGGCGCACGAGTTGGCGCTGAGGCTGTTTGGCGCCGACAGCATCCACACTGCCAACCTGGCGCACGAGTTGAGTCAGGCGTACACGCTCGCCGGCGACCTCAAGACGGCGCTGGCGGTGGAGAAGGAGGCGTGGCGCGTGTTTGAGGCGCGACTGGGCAAGGAGGATGCGCAGACCAAGGAGAGCGAGGCGTTCTGTTCGAGCCTGGCTGCGAGCGCGGTGCGGGTGGCCAAGTTGGAGAAGGAGGCGAGCGCTCGTCAAGCTCGACTGGGCGGCACAGGTCTCGCCAATGGTCGTCGGGTCAACGGTGCTACGGCTGCACCTGGAGCCATTGCCGGTGCTGCACCAACGGCTGCTGCAGGGGCGAACCAGAACAAGTCGCTTGACGAGATTGTCAAGTTCATCCAGGGCGGTGCGAACGGCACCCCTACCGGCAAGAACAAGAGCAAGGGCAAGGGTCGGAAGTAGTCGAAGTCCGTTACAAAACCAAGCATATCTTCATACACACAAAACCTTCTTGTTCCAAGATGGACCTCATTCAAAAGCAATTGCACCACCGCTTCATTCTTACACTCACGCTTGTGTGTCCAAACAAGTCGATGTGTGCCCGACTGAGGGATAGAAAGCAGAAAGCATGACGCGTTGACACAAGAGCCAGCAAAGACGCTAGAGTGCGGAAGGATGGTAGAGTGCGGTGTAGCGACATGCGGGATTAGTGTGGCCTGACAAGCTCTATCGAGGCTGCGGCCCAAGCTTGACACTCAGCGTGACGTGCGGTTCTGGACAGAGCAAACACGCCACAATCGCTCGGCTTCTTGGATACCCGGTCATGCGACTAGAGCAGGGGCCTGCTTGAGCTTGGACCGACCAGCGTACCTAGCGGGGCTAGCCTCGAAGGTCGATAGATGTGCCGGTGGTGAGCTCACGATCCTGTTCAGAGCGGCATCACCGGCCATGTGAGACAAGACATCGAGGAAATTGGCTTTGACCTCCCTGCCATGCTGACAGAGACCGATAACCGATCCTGCAGCAACAAGAGACGGTTGCAACCCGACTGCTGTGTGCTGTGCTGTGCTGTGCAAGCGCACTTTCGGGGCGAACGATTTGACGCTGGAAATAGATTTGGTTGCGGCTGTGTCTGGAACAGGAACGAACAAGCAAGCCATGCTCAGTCTCTGCTTGTCAACTGAGGATCAGGCTATCCAACCGCACAGTCGAAAATGGCCCCACTTCAGCTCGCTCATCTGCCACGCGAACGCGCCTCGTTGCTTCGACACGTAACGCAAAGCGAGCCAAAGAAATCTTCCACAGCACACCGCAGTACCGTCGTTTTTTGGGGGATTTTCTGGTCAGAGCGCGTCGGTCCAATTGTCCCCCGTCTCTGGAAGGAACAACGTCAGCCGATTATCAATTAGATGTGTGTGCAGCAGCGCAGCCGGTGACCAGTCTACAGTAGGGCCAGTAAAAAAAAATCTATTCTGAAATCTTCTTTTTCCATTTTGTGCTTGGCTGCTGCCTCGAGAGTTTTGCTCGTCAGGCCATGGTGAATTGATTGGACGTGAGTGCAGTACGCCGCCTCGACAAGAGCAGCAGCAGCAGTAAGAAAGACCGCTGCCAGTCGACGATCCTCTTTTTGGGCCCTTGTTCTTGAGTCTGAGCGTGTGCGTGTGGTCTTGGCTCCTTCTCCTTCTGGCTTGGGAAGAGAGAGAGCGTGTGTGTGTCTCTTATGCCCTGTCAAATTCGTCACGCCCACTCTGTGATTTGATGACCTGCACTTGACACCACTTGGCCGTGTTCCCTTTGATCTCTCCCCTCGTCACCGTCAACCCTCTGTCAAGCAGGCAAACATCTTTCGTCGTCCTTCGCCACATCCGTGTGGATCATCCAAGGCCTGCCTGCCTGATCTTGCCCTCCTTTCGTCTTCTTCGCCCAAGCACCGTTCATTTTCAAGATAGGACCGGCTCAACTCCGTCCTTCTTCTTCTTCGTGCAGCCGCATTCGTTTGCTGGCTCTGCTTCCTTCACCGCCTTCTCAACTTGGCTTGAATCATTCATCGCATCCCCTTTGGCGCACGTTTTCTCGACTTCTAGCCGCATCACGGCTATCGGAGCATCATCGACGGGACGGTCTTCATCGACAAAGTTCTTAGCACCCGAACGGACTCTTCAATCGGCTCTCTCTTGTAAATCTTTGGCACTCGATCGACCACCACGGCACGTCGCCGCACTCCTGCGTCTTGACTGATCACTATCGCCGCATTGCATCTTCATTGCTAGCAAGCAAGGCGCCACCATGTCGACCTCCTCTACCTCCTCGTATAGCAGCGGCACTTCGTCCATGGGCATCTCGGCACAGCCTCTGTCCTTGCCCAAGGTCATGCTCCGACGTCTGGCCAGGGCGGCATCGCAGAACCCCATCGAGGTCATCGTCACCATCTTCATCATCGTCACGCTCGCCTACTTCCAGCTTCTGCATGCCGTGACACACTCCAACTTCTTCGAGCCCATCTCGATCGAAGCCACCAGCCTCGCCTCCAGCTCATCCTCTTCTGGCCTCTTCAGGTGGGCCGGCGCTGGCAGCAAGAAAGCGTCCGTCACTCCATCAGCACCCATCACCTCGTCGCTCAGCTCCGATGCCGACACCGTGTACATCCGCAAAGCTGGCAAGGGCACCAACTGGCAGCCACTCAGCCAGCTCCTCGGCAAGAACGGCGTAGAGGATGCTGCCGCGCTCCTCGACTCGTCGGCGCAGACCTTCTTTGTCGAGCCTGTCCTCCTCACAGGCGCACGAGAGTCGTACATGACCTCGCAGATCCAGGACTCGCTGCTCCCCTCGCTTTCCAGCAATCTGGCCGGCAGCCTCGTCAGCTCCGACGCCCGTGCGGTATTGGTCGAGGACCCAGAGTCCAAGCACTCGGCCTACGTCTTTGGCAAGGCTTTCGCCGACACTGCTGACCGTACCGCTGTTGCGACCGACGCCGATCCTCGCAACACCTTCCTCAGCAAAGTCGTCGACTCCAACTTCCTCTCCAGATCGCTCTCCCAGGCCATTCGCTCCGTCTCACGACCTGCCTCTGTCGCCAAAGCGCCGGCTGCCGAGCTTGAACAGCTCTACGACGGCCTTCAGATCGTGCCTCTGGTCCCGGACAGCGAGTTCAACCCGTACGCGCCCAACAACCTCAAGGGCAAGCGCGGCGCTCTCAACAACAATGAAGAAATCCAACGCATTCGATGGATGGCCTATGCTGTCAAGGCGCTCGTCATTCGCTTCTGGGCTCTGCTCAAGAAGGCCGACTCGGCGGACATCTTTGTCATGCTCTCGGCCTACATCCTCATGCACGGCACCTTTGTCAACCTCTTCCTCTCGATGCGCAAGTTTGGCAGCAACTTCTGGCTCGGCGCTTCGGTCTTGATGTCGTCCGTCTTTGCCTTCCTTCTGGCCATCACCTTTGCCTCGTTGCTTGGCGTCACTGTCGACCCCATCTGTCTGTCCGAAGCGCTGCCCTTCTTGGTCATCTTGGTCGGATTCGAGAAGCCGTACCTGCTCACCCGCGCCATCTTCACGCACCCCGAGATCATCTCGTCCGCCAACTCGCTCACCAACAGGGAGCGCTCCGAGCTCATTCTCAGCAACCTCGACCAAGCCGCCAAGCCCGAAATCGGTCAGCTCGGCAAGACGCCTCCTGGTGCCGCCAACGGTACCACGGCGGCCATGTCGCGCGAGGAGTCCTTTGTTCGTGCTCTCACCGAGCGACTCAAGAACGAGGACAGCCTGCACTGGGCAGAGCCTACACCGATGCCTGCTCACGAGATTGTTGTCTCTGCCGTCAACCGCGTTGGTGTCCCCATCATTCGTGACTACTTTATCGAGATCGCCGTCATGGCCGTCGGAGCCACCAGCGGTGTCAGCGGCCTTCGCGAGTTCTGCCAGCTGGCCGCTCTCATTCTGCTCTTCGACTGCATCTTCCTGTTTGCGTTCTACGTCTCGATCCTCACCGTCATGGTCGAGGTCCACCGCATCAAGGTCAAACGTGGCGTTCGCAAACCCAAGGTCAGCGCAGAACTCAACCTGGACTCCGACTCGGCCCCCGCCAGCCCCGTCTCGGACAGCTCGAGCTCGCGGGATGGCAGCCCGACACCCGCCAGCCGACCTCTCTGGAAGAAAGTGCTTCAAGCTGTCGTTGGCTCGGCTCCCTTTGAGAAGCGTCGCAAATCCGAAAGTCCTCTCGGCCGCCTCAAGTTGCTTCTGATCACCTCGTTCCTCGTCCTGCACTCTTTCAACCTGATCTCGACGCTCACCCGACAGTCCGCCATCACGCGTCACCACGCCACGTACGAGCCATCGCCCTACCAGATCGTCGCCGAGCAGTCACCCATCTTCACTCCTTCCAAGGTCGTTGCTCCCCTCCTGGCCCAGCTTCAGCGAACGCTGCCTGCCGACGTCGACCTTGTGGCCCGCATCTCTGAGCCTGTCATCCTCGTTCTGCTCGAGACCAACGAGGCCGTCTCTTCGACTCGCAGCACCCTCGCCAATGCCGCTCTCAACGCTTCCGGTGTCTACGCCCAGATCACGTCTTCGGGTGTGCGTCCTGTGCCTGTCGGCCGTGGCAGCTCGTCGCTTGCCGTGCTCGACAGCCTCATGAGCGGATGGACCGTCATCGTCGGCGACCCGGTCATCAGCAAGTGGATGTCGCTGGCGCTCGGCATCAGCATCTTCCTCAACGCCTACCTGCTCAAGGGCATTGCTACCGGCAACGCAGCACTGTCGGAAGGCAACGCAGCAGGCGCCGCCGCCTATGCTGCCGCTCGATTCATCGGCGCTCACCTCGACAGCGAAGCCAGAGCCATCGAGGAACACGGCGAACGCAAGCGCAGGAGATGGAGCGTGCGCGGGGAGAATGGCAAGCCCAATGTTCAAGCTCCCGTTCGCGGTAAGAGCGCAGATGGCATCTCGGAGTACCACAATCGCCTCGCTCAGATGTCGGCCGCCAAGGCCGCCGCACCTCTGTCCAAGCTGGCGAACGAATCCGACAAGGTCGCGTCTAAGGATGCTCCGGCCAAGGACGCTGGGGTCAACGCCGTTCCTGCTGACGCTATCCAGCCCGACGCTCTGGAGGCCATCAAGAAGCCGGATGTGGCGCCCAGCTCGGACGGTGACGGCGCCGCCACCACTCCCAACCAGCGCGGTCAGAATGTTCGTCTGCAGGAGGCTACTTTTGTTGGGCCTGACGGCAAGGAGGTCGTCCGCCCTCTGGAAGAGCTGATTGAGATTTACGCCGGCGGTGCTGGTGTCTTCTTCCTCAGCGACGAGGAGGTCATTGCCCTCAGCCAGAACGGAAAGATCGCTGCGTATGCATTGGAAAAGGTGCTGCAGGACAACGAGCGGGCCGTGCGTGTTCGACGTGCGCTCGTCTCGCGTGCTTCTTCGACCAAGACGCTCGAGAGCTCGCTGCTGCCCCACCGCGACTACGACTACGCCAAGGTGATGGGTGCTTGCTGCGAGAACGTGGTTGGCTTTATGCCTCTCCCCGTCGGTATCGCGGGCCCGCTCAACATTGACGGACAGATCATGCCCATCCCCATGGCTACCACCGAGGGCACCCTGGTCGCATCGACATCTCGAGGTTGCAAGGCTCTCAACGCCGGTGGCGGAGTGACGACCGTCTTGACCCAGGATGCGATGACTCGTGGCCCTGCGCTCGAATTTCCCAGTGTCGTGCAGGCCGCCAAGGCCAAGCGCTGGATCGACTCGCAAGAGGGTGCTTCCACCATCAAAGCAGCGTTCGACTCGACTTCGCGATTCGCCCGTCTCTCCTCGCTGCGCTGTGTGCTGGCCGGGCGTACGCTCTACGTCCGCTTTGCCACCTCCACCGGCGACGCTATGGGCATGAACATGATCTCGAAGGGTGTCGAAAAGGCGCTCGGATTGATGATGGACACGCACTTCCCGGACATGAAGGTGCTCTCGCTCTCGGGCAACTACTGCACAGACAAGAAGCCAGCGGCGATCAACTGGATTGAGGGCCGAGGCAAGAGTGTCGTCGCCGAAGCCGTCGTGCCAGGCAGCGTGGTCAAGTCGGTGCTCAAGTGCAATGTGCGCGATTTGGTCAACCTCAACAACAAGAAGAACCTCATCGGCTCGGCTATGGCCGGCTCGATCGGTGGCTTCAACGCGCACGCTGCCAACATTCTCACCGCCATCTACTTGGCAACGGGACAAGATCCAGCGCAGAACGTCGAGTCGTCCAACTGCATCACGCTGATGGAGGCCGTCAATGACGACCAAGACCTTCTGGTGACGGTGTCGATGCCGAGTATCGAGGTGGGCACTGTGGGTGGCGGAACGATCTTGCCACCGCAGCGATCGATGCTCGAGATGATGGGCATTGCAGGAGCCCACCAGACGACACCAGGAGCCAATGCGCAACGGCTGGCGCGCATCATTGCGGCATCAGTCATGGCGGGTGAGCTTTCGCTTATGGGCGCGCTGTGTGCAGGACACTTGATCCAGGCGCACATGAAGCACAATCGATCCGTGCCTTCCACACCAGGCACCATGACCCCCTTGCCCCGCCCGGAGACGCCCAAGCACTTTGCCGCATCCATGACACCGCTCGTCGCGCCATCCGTGCAGCCGTCGACGCGCGGCTCGCCCACCGGCACGCGCACCATGTCGATGACCAACCTCTCCATCCCCGCCTCGGACAGCACCGGTCGACTCACATAGAACCTCTTAGACACCAGGAACGGATGCTCTGCGCACACACACTTTTGTAACAGTCATACATGCTTATTCTTTTGCCGTTAGTGACCGAAACCGTGCGTGGAAGCGAGGCTGTCCGTCCCGACTTTGGAATGGTCCTTGAGCTGGGGGGCGCTTTCGTAGACGATGTTTTGGGGTGCACCGCGGGTGTAGCCGGACGATTTGCCTTTGAAGCCGAGGAATGCGAGGCCGGTTTGGTCGCGACCGATGCTCGACTCGATGAACAACGTGATGCTGTCCGTGTTGGCCCATTTGACGGGTTGGAGTGGGAAGGATATCACGTCCTTTGTATCGGTTATCGTCGGAATGCTCTCCAGCGTTGTCGTGACCTTGGCGGGGGGTAAGGAGGAGATGTCGTCAAAGTTGAGTGCGGATTCCGGGAGGTTCTTGTAGAGCTTGATGCAGGACGGGGTGAGATCGGCCTCGCTCGATGGTCTGAACAACAGGGTGGTGAGCTTGACCGAGGAAGTGAAAGGGATGTGAAGGATCAACTGGTCGTCGGCGTCCGAGATGCAGGATGGCTCAGCGTCAAGACGTCGATCCCACGTCTTGATGATGGCCGCCCCAGAACCGGGCGTCGACTCGTTGAGGGTGAGAACACGATCCCGATCGATCGAGGTAAAGAGCAGATCCTGATCCCCAGCATCAGGTGCGACGTGCGAGTCGTCATCGTGATGCGAGTGCCCACAGGGACCGCTGTGCGAGTGAGGATGCGACATGCTGCGGTGGACAATGTGCAGGAGGAAGTGTGCGCTGGTGGTGGAGAAGCAACGAGGGTTCGGATGTCGGATGTAAATTTTGGGCCCGAGCTGTCAAGAACAATGCGGCGCTGCATGACATCACTACGCTCCACCTTCGGCAGCCGCGCGGCTCGCAACAGAGCATGCTCACCCTCGACTCGGTGCTGCTCATGTTGTCGATACCGATAGCATACCAGACACGTGCATACATAGCAGATGGCGATGGTGTAACAAGTGTAAAGGGCAACGATCTTCGGGACAGAAAGATGGACCAGCTGAGCTTCGTAGTTGACCCCTTGTTTTACCGGAGCTTCAGGGTCCAGGCCCAAAACTGCTTGATGACGCCGTGACGAAACCGGTTCCTTGGCACCTTAATACGGCAGCGCACCGGATGACACCTTCCGAAGTCGGGAAGCGCAACCGCCAGAGCAGCTATAGTCGTTTGCAGTTTGCTGCTCGTTGACGTGCCGAACCTCCTCTTGAGTCAATCCCAGGGTCCGAGCGCTTAAGCAGAGTCAGCTCAGCGGCGTAGTCATCTTTCGGTTCTTGGCTGTCCTGTCCTTCTTTCTGTCGCCTTCCTGCTCCAGTCGTTTCGTTCCCTTCTTCCACGATTACGCTCCGTCCGTAGCAGAGCGTCTGTCCATGGCACGTTCAGCTGAGCTCACACCATGCCAGACTTCCTGAATGGTGATGATTCGCGTTCTACAACCGGCGTTCACCATACGCACCGCGACTACTACTCGGAGAGCTCGCCCATCCCTTCCATTCAGAGGTTCTTCAAGAAGGGACTATCAGAGGTCGTAGCAAAGCGCAATCTCGCCGACTCAGACTCGGATTCTGGCGAAGAAGATGCCGACCGCGTGTTGGGCAGCGGTGGCGAACCTTCCGAACTCTTCGACCCGCAGCAAGGCCCCGACAAGGACAAAGCTCAGCAGAGAGATGCAAGGTCGAGCGCAGACCGCCTTTCGAAGCTCTTACCCGGATCGAAATCTCGTCACGAAAGCAAAGATGGAAACGTCCATCCTGCAGGCACGGACGAGGAGGATCGTCCGAGCGGCGATTCAGCTCACCAGAGCCCAGCAGAAGCAGACAGAGCATACAAGCGCAGTCGAAAGCCCCGCAAGGTCAAAGACCCGGTCACGGGCCGAGAGCATTGGATTCACGATGTAGGCAAGCGCGAATACCGTCACACTCTGGCGCGTGCCGAAGCCGGCGACAAGCGAGGTATAGACGAGGTCCTTCGTGACAACCTCGCGAATAATCTCACTTCGAAAGCGTTCCCTGAAGCAGAGCCTCTGCCTCCCACGCCAGCTCAGATCGATCGACGGCTGCTCCCACTCTTTGCCGCCTGGTCCGTCCTCACTGTGCTGACGGTCATACCCGCCTGGATCAGTGTCATACTCAATGCCTGGCTGGTGTGGTGGGGCTGGCAAAAATTTCTCTCCCGGTCTGAAGACCATCGATGGGAGAGGGAGCGAGTCAGAGGTGAAAAGGCGAGAGCGTTCGACGAGCTCGCTGAAGACGACGAGAAATCGCAAGACGCCCAGCAAGGTCTTGCAGAGGGAGCTGAATGGCTCAACGCCATCCTCGAGGCGCTTTGGTCTGTCATGAATCCGGAGCTTTTCTCATCCCTCGGAGGTACACTCGAGGATGTCATGCAAGCTTCCATTCCGGCTTTCATCCACTCGGTCAAGGTAGAGGACCTCGCTCAAGGCTCCACTCCGATCCGCATCACCGGCCTTCGAATCCTTCCCGATGACAATGTCGACAACCTCGTGAAAGGAATGCGCGAGGAGAGGATGCGACGAGCAACGGCCGAGAACCCAGATCAGCAAGAACACAGACAGTCGACGAAGTCGAACGAAGAGATCAATCACGAGCAGCAAACACACGAGGAAGAAGAGAAAGCCGAACACTATGTCAACCTCGAGATCGGCTTCGTGTACCGAGCGCGACCCACATCGAACGGCGTCGGTGGCAAGAGTCGCAACGCTCATCTGCTCATCAAGTTCTGGATTGGTGCACGCAAGCTGCTCATGATCCCTCTTCCTGTCTGGGTCGAGATCAAAGGATTCGTCGGCAAAGTGCGCGCACGAGTGCAGCTCACATCGGATCCGCCCTTTGTCAAAGACGTCACCATCACCTTCTGCGGTCTGCCCCGAGTCGGCATCGAGGTGGTGCCCTTGCGCATCAACACGTCCAACATCCCCTTCATCTCGAGCTTCATCGAGAGCTCGATCGATGCCGCCATTGGCGAGTTTGTCATGCCCTCTTCTCTTTCGATGGATGTAGGCGAGATGCTCATGGGCGACAACATCAAGCGCGAGGTCTTGGCGCTTGGTGTTGTGGTGGTACTCGTCCACTCTGCCACCGATCTCGAAAAGCAGGACGTGCGCGGATCGTCGGACCCGTACTGCACGCTGAGTCTTGCCAAGGTAGGCAAGATCCTGTACAGCACGCGGGTGGTGGTGAACGAGCTGTCGCCGCGATGGGAGGAGAGGCATGTGATTTTGGTGACACGGGAGCATCTCGATTCGGATGACAAGGTGTCGATCGCGCTCTGGGACTCGGACCGCTTCTCGCAGGACGACATTCTGGGACAGGCCGAGGTGAGCCTCGTTGCGCTGGCAAAGCACCCAAACAAGCTGTTCAAGCGGAGCGACACGCTCAATGGGCTGGACCGGGAAAGCACCAAACAAGGGATTATTCATTGGAGTCTAGGCTTCTTCAGCAAGGCTCCATCGATGCGTCAAGAGCCACAGTCGGAAGGAGAGCAGACATCGAAGCGCAGGCTATCGGCTCAGGGTTCAAGCACTGGGCACAATGAAGACGATGCAGCATCCGATGATCAGGGTGATACGAACGATGCTTCCAGCAAAGGCGAAGAAGACCGCCTATTCCACGACGGTGACGAGCTCCAATCCGAATCGATCGAGTCGCACAGCCCGCTGCGAACCGAGTTCATCGACAACGAGAAGAAGGTGCAGACACGCAACCAGGCGACAGGTGTCGACTCTCAACCACCCGACCCTTCCCTGCCTTCTGGCATCCTGTCAATGCAGATCCACCACATTGCTAACCTCGAAGCATCCGACCGGCACAAGACCACCCGTCCTCGGCGCAAGAACGAACCCGGCCAGGACGTCGAGACCGTCGAAAGCGAGGCCGATCCGGAACACGCACCCTCCGCCTACTGCCGAATCATCCTCAACGACGAGATCATCTTCCAAACACGCACCAAGGCGCTCAATGCCAACCCGTTTTACAATGCGGGCACGGAGCGGTACATTCGCGATTGGCGGCGGACACTCATCATGTTTGTCGTGTACGACTTTCGCGCTCGCGAGGCGGACGCCATTCTGGGAGTGGTGCCGATCAAGCTGTCGGAGCTCTTCGCGCGCAATTCGCAGGTGACGCGCTTCTTCCCGATTGCAGGAGGTGTTGGCCACGGCCGCATCCGGTTGTCGCTGCTGTTCCGCCCGGTGGAGCTCACGAGCCTTTCCAAGAACCAGCTCGGATGGAACATCGGTACTGTGCGACTGCTCTCTTCGCCTGTAGCGACAGACTTTGCTAAGGGCACCAGCGGAGGGGATTTCAAACTCATCTCTCTGCGGTGTGCGACGCTGGCTGGGCGCGCCAAGATTGCCGCCACGCGTGCCCACTCGATAAAGGACGGGGTGGAGTGGAAGCTGGAAGATCGAGAGTTCCCCTTCAAAGTGCCCGCCCGCCGTCGCTACTGCGCACCCTACGTGATCGAATTTCGTCTGCTCACCCGAACAACGCACATGTGCATCCTCTGGCAACAAGATCTCCCCGACGACGAGGTGCTCGACCTTCGTCTCCCCATCTGGCGACCCAAATCGGGCGAAGACTTCCACCGCCTCCGCCAGAACTACCACGACTTCCGCCAGGAGGACCAGGCGGAACGCCTCGGCGTCGAGCGCGTCGGCTACCTGCACGTCAAAATGCAGTTCAAGTCCGGTCTAGGTAAGGTGCATACCAAGTTTAATAACGAGGGTGCACGCACGGTGATGGACGCATGGAAGTGTTGTGTTAGTCTGGGGTTGAGGAGTGTGGGAGGGGACTTTGCCGAGAGCCGGGTGAACACGCGGGGGTATTTGGAGGATATGAATGATCAATCCGAAGAAGAGCCTGGAGAGGAGTACGACTCGAGCGACGACGACGTGGATGCACAGGACTCGTCCCCATCCGACGGTCGCGAGAACGCCGCCCAGGACGAAAACACGATGGAGGGAATGAAGCGCAACCGCTCGCTGAAGGAGAAGGTGGCCGACTGGAAAGCGGAAAAGGCCGAATTGCATAGGCAGCACAAGGGTTTGACAGCACACAAGCCGGTACGGACGCTCGAGTGGGTATGCACCACGGTCAAGAGCGCCAGTGCAGGACTGAAGGACCGGTTCGATCTGCAGGATCGACGGTCTCAACACGTCGAGACGGAGCTGTAGGCTGTCGTGGCGGCCAGTGTCAATGGTAATCTGCGTGCACACTCTATTGAAGTGTGACGGTCAACCAACGTTTCGACTCAAGTGGCATCGCTGACAAGCCTGTGCGCCGCTGTAGAGGTACAACCTCGAAAACCACCGTTTCAATGGCCTTGAGGTACCGTGGGACGGCGCGGAAAGCCGGATCGCACGTGTCTGCGCATCGGGCGAGCGAGCTATCGAGTCCATCTCTCAGACTGCAAGCTATGCCTTTCAGACCGTCGGTACGGGCCACATCGCAAGCCTTCTGCCCGCCAGGCTCTGCAGCCCGAACCCTCGTCCCGGATGTTTATCCCCCTCCCCTTCGAGAAGGGTTGCGGAGTTTGGAATTTCCAGGAATTCCGGCGGTGTGCAGCCCCAGCCCGCGCTAAAATGTATGCACGGTGCCGATCATCAACAATAACACGCACGCTTGACGTTTTGCCGAGCTAGGGTGGGATCGTACGCTGTCGAGTGACAGTGGAACGATCGATGCTGCTGCTGCACGACTGGGCTCCAGCGAGGGCCTAAATAGGGGTGTGCATGACGCTAGACACAGCCTAGCAGCGTGAGTGGACGAATGTGACCTTGACGAGCGAGAAGCTCGGCCCGCAGTGTGACAGAGAAAAAGGCGGGACGAAGCCCGACCCTGACAATAGGCGTCGGGATACACAGCGACGTCGACAACAAAGGAGTGGCACGAAGAAGGCATGTGGGTGTAAGAAGGGTGGACATGCACGCAAACCGGCGCTTAGGCGGACTCAAAGCTTGTTGCCGGAGGTCCCTGGGTTGACCTGCCCTTTTAGAACCCTTTGTTCTTGTTGTTCGCTGTCCTACCCCTTGACAAGCTCTTCCTTCGTTCCCACCGAGACCTCAATTCTCCTTATATGCTCGACCTCGACCTTTCCGGTTCACAAGTCTTGCCCCTCCCACCGTCTCCATTACATTCCTCCTCTTGACCATCGCCCACTGCCGCTTCGATCATCATTTCCTCTGAACGCTCTTGACTTCTTGCACCTCCAATCAGCAGATCTGCCCCGCATTTTCCAAGCCCACATCCTTCATCACCCGCTCGCAACGTCGTTCACTTCTCAATATGGTCCGCCTCCTCACCTTGCTCTCCGCCCTCGCTTCGGTGTGCACCACCCTTGTCCTGGCTCAGGCGTCCAACGACGACCCCCGCGGGAAGGTCCTCTACGTCAACTACCCATCTTGCGACTACTACAAGTGCAAAGTGACCTGGCGCCCTGGTCAGTCGGTGTACGTCAACTGGCTCAACGCACCCAAGGGTGGGCTCCGCATCCAGCTCGCTCCGCAAGACGGCACCACGGGTCTCTCCACCTACACCATCACGTCCAACGTCGGTAGCATCCACGGCTATAACACGGGCCAGTGCGATCGCGCAGGCACCAACGAAAAGTGCGGCCGCTTCAACTGGGTCGTTCCCGCCAACGTCAAGGCGGGCGAATACCAGGTGATCGTCACCAGTTTGGCCCACCCCAACAAGTATGTGGGTTACACGGATACCGTGGTCATCGCAAAGAAGGGCAAGAGGGATGGGATGATGAGGATGGACGACCAGAAGCAGCAGGAGTAAAGGATGGACGTGCGTCGAGGAAGAACTGCTCCTCCCCCCATCCCAGCTGCGGTAGATTGAATCGCATTTTGTTCTCACACTCGGATGCGGCTTGTCTGCGCTCAAGATGGCTGTGTATGACCGAATCTGACTTGTTGAGAGGAGGACGGGTTGAACAAAGTACACAGCGGCGTGCATACGCACAGAGACGGAGGCTTGGTCGGCGCACATCCGCACTGGGGCCATCAGCTGGTGGAAACGCTCCATGGTGCTCTCAAAGCTCGTTTGGAAGGCGACCAGGGCGGAGACGATGTGGACCATCTTTTAAGATTGTCCCCAGAGTGAATTCGAGAAAGGCAGTGTGTGGATTGTGCAGAGGATGAAAGGAGCAGAGATGGAACGATGGCGCCCGTCTTTATGCGTTGCTTCGTCTAGGGACGCTGGCCGCCGTTGGCGACATGTGTGGGTGCTGTGCACGCTGCGCCCACCCGAGTCAAGCTCCCCGTCGCTACAAGATGCGCATCGTCAATCTCAAAACTTGACCGAGCAGCCCCTATCTGCCGGCACGTCAGTCCTCTCGATCACGCCCGGACACTCTACTTCACGACGTCTTTGCCGAGGCATGACAACAAAGGTTTCGACTCCAAGCCGCACCGACCATCCTTTGCAAAGTCACACACATCATGCCGCGTTTTCTGCTTTACGAATGATCATATTTTGGATGTACCTTGGTCAAGGGTGCAATGTGTGGTGTGTAGGTGTGTGACGTCCTCATCGAATGATGCCAAAAGGTCGACCGTGCTCTTGGCGCGTCATCCAGACGTCGGGGTACGATATACAACGGGTCCGCGGTAACCCATGCGGGAAGAAAAAGGGAGGGGAAGGCGATGCGAACGGTGACGGTGTTACAGCGGGTTGCAGCCGCTGAAAATGCCGATCGAAGGTGTCTTGAATGGAAGACTGGGCGTGTTGGGGAGATGAAAGAACGTCTAAAGCGCTCGCGAGGCTACAGAAAAATGCTGGGAAGGTGTCGAGATTGCAAGGGGACAAATTTTACTTGCGGCCCTTGGCAACGGGCTTGCCGATCTCAACAACGTTGAGTCCAGGAGGCAGCGACTGCTTGAGCTTCTCCGCCTTCTGCTTGTCGTCGACCGAGAGCGTGTAGAGGAAGCGCGAGCATCGGATCTTGAACTTGGTCACCTGCTTGCCATCGGCACGCGTGGTGCTCTTGACGCGGGCCGCCGAGGCGTCCTTTCTACGAGCAATCTCGAGGAATTTCTTGATGTCGGTGATTTGCTGAGGCTGTTGGGCGGTGAAGGGGAGACTGGGTCAGAAATGCTGTCGCTGAGGTTGTGGGGCGGTACGGCAAAGACGCGCCGAGCAGCCGTCGTCCGAGAGAAGCAGAGAGGTGCGCAGATGGCATGGCGGTCCTAAGGGCATGATGCAGATGTACGTAGGTAGGCCTGCTGACAGCATGCTGCCATGTGATAGGATTGTCCAGCTCCAAGTCCAAATCACCGAACGTCTTCAGCTTCGCCTTATGCTTCCTTACAGCTCCTACGAATGTCGATCAATGTATCCTTTGCGCAGGGTCGCATGACCCCAAGCCCGCTGCTCCAAGCAGAGCTACACTGATGCCGATGAAAGGTACTATGCTTGACCATATCCGCTCAGACAATGACCCGGAGTGTTGCTCCAAGATCCATGCCATCATCCCTTCCCTGTCCTGAGGTCGGCGACCTGCTCTGCCATCCAGTGCATGTCTATGCTGTTCCAAGATGCTCTGTCGATTGTTTGTTTTGTGATTGCCCTGACCAGGTTGTTTGCCGCAAGTGTCGGTGCTGCTCATTCCAAGCGTTGGTCCTATGTCCTTTGCATGTCGAATACGGCTGGATTTGGCGTCCTCTCTGTTCTCTGTGACAGCTGCTACAGTGTCGTGCGATGCCGTTGCTGAATAATGCTGCTGATGCTTACCATCTTGACGGATCTCTGTATGTGATGAGGGGTTCCTAAAAGGGCGAGAAGGAGAGAACGACGACGACAAACTCACTTGACTGGCCCACGAGCATCCGGCTGCTATCCTCGACAAACACTTAACACTCTCTAACGCTGAGCCCAATCTTCTGACATCCCTGTCCAGAGGCGTCGCGCTGTGCTGCCCAGATATTCTGACTTGAAATTTCACGGCACAGCAGCGCTTTCCCGAGTCGTCCGGAGACGCCAAATTTGGACAAATTTGAGCTCGGCCGAACATCACGTGACTGTCTTCTGGCGACATCTGGGCGAAATTTCAGTGTCCCATCTGTAGTCTACAATTTTGGCCTAGGGTTCGAATTAGTTCAAAATTGAGGCAGCAGATGGCAGCCTCGTGATTCCAGTCTGATCTTAGTCACAAACTGAGCTTGCGAGCCAGTCAATTGGAGATTCTTGACTGAGAGCTAACAGAGCTCAGCCAAGCGTGACTGACGATTCGAGAAGCCAACGACAGTGTGCTTCAACATCGCGAAGCTGGCTCATCATCGTTTCCGAACACCACCCACACATACTTCAAGATGGCCCCCAAGGTTCGTGCTGCTGCTACCAACGAGGTCTCCCTCGGCCCCAACGTCGGTGAGGGCGAGCTCGTCTTTGGCGTTGCTCAGTAAGTATCATTGCATCTACAATTCGACTTTCCGGACACGTCGCACGCAGATCGAAAAGACAAGGCGATGGATATCAGATCCACACATGGATCGCATCGCATCGCATTGCAGTCATGGACGGAGGAGATGGCGAATGGGGCTAGTCGCACACCAACAAACTCAGCATTGGTACTAGGTTGCAGGCGGACCTTTCAGGCTGGGACCTACAACGTATAGGCAAAAAAGTCGAGAAAGTGGAAGTCAACGGGCGCAGGACCTTGCCTCGATGCACAAGACTCTTGATGACGATGCTGCTCGGTGGGACAGAATCCACCGTGGTGTCTAGTCGGGAAGGGACAGGATCGGATCGATCTGCAATGCGACATGCCGAAAAGTCGTCGATCGAGAATCACGAACACGCATACTTATACCATCGACTACTTCCCTTTACTCGACGCCAACAGCATCTTCGCCTCGTTCAACGACACCTTCGTCCACGTTACCGATATGTCCGGCAAGGAAACCGTCACCCGTGTTACTGGTAAGTACAAATTCAACAACAGTCGCCAGCATCGCACAGCGTCAATCCAGCAGGGCAATCCATCTCGTGCAGCAGGCATACAGCGGTGATCGCAACGATCAGGGAATCGGTCAATGGCACTTGTCAGAAGGCAGGAGCAATCGACCCTCATCGCCCGGAGTGGCAGCATCTCGAGTTGGCAAAGTCGGATCTCTGGGAGGATCTAGCAGGAGGTTTGGTCTAATCAGGGAACTACCCGCCCTCACGCCTTCGATGGACGCCTGCTTCGAGTTGACGCTGGCATGCTTGCTACGATGCACACAACGACATCGCTTTCACAACCGATGACTGACCCGAGATCCCCCCACTATCCCTCTTCGTCACTTCTAGGCGGCATGAAGGTCAAGGCTGACCGTGACGAGTCGTCGCCCTACGCTGCCATGTTGGCCGCTCAGGACTGCGCTGTCCGATGCAAGGAGGTCGGCATCACCGCCCTTCACATCAAGCTCCGTGCCACCGGTGGTACCGGCACCAAGACCCCCGGCCCTGGTGCCCAGGCCGCTCTCCGTGCTCTTGCCCGTGCCGGCATGCGCATTGGCCGAATTGAGGACGTGACCCCCGTCCCCACCGACTCTACCCGCAGAAAGGGTGGTCGCCGCGGTCGTCGTCTGTGATTTGTGGTGCTCATCGGCATCCGCATCTCGCAACATCGATCGTTCGGTGTCCCTCTCTCTCTTCCCCCCTTTATTTACATCCACACACCTTTTTTTGCTTGATGGTCTAAACATCGTCAGGCCAAGCCGCGTGGCATACTCCCCCGCGGCTTTGTATGCATACAAGCAGCAGCACACTTTTCAGATCTCCCTCTCTTTTTAACCACACATAGGGCCGCATCGCTGCGGTCCCCGAGTCGTACGCGGCTCAACCACACAAAACTTTGTTCACCTGCAGTACGACAGAATGATCTGCTCAGGAATAGCAATGAAAGCATATTCTAGCGCATTGTCTTTCGGTGTCTGACCCGTTTCGATTGTGTGGGAAGTACGGTATGAGCATCGAGTAGGTGCAGACGATGAAGCTGCGACGTCGAGGAGGGGGTTGTTCGCGCCCTGCAGACGTGCTGATCGGTTGAGGCTGGATCGGGAAACGCGAAGAAACCTCCGCAGCTTCCAAAAAGTGACACGCATCTGCGTCCTGAGATGTGATTCGAGCTTCCTTTCGACCCACCACGACGCTTCTAAGCAAAACACTCTTCGAGCCATGCTCTTCACGGCGACGCCTCTCTGACACGAACCTCGCTTCATGCCTCCGTGGGCCCACGACCGCTCGAGACCACACCAGCAACCAGCATCCTAACCTGAGGCCCCATCTGCTCCGCCGGCATCCCGTGCTCGTTCCATCGACATCCCATGCTTCGCCCTCCATACAGCTCCTTTCGACGTCGCCTTTCCTTGAGCAATTTGAAACCGCCACACCCTCCCTTTCATACCTCTTCCTCTCCTCCATCCTCCCTGCTTACACACACACCCCCCTCTTCGGCAGAGACTGCTCTTTGCGCTCCCCTCCGGGAGAGCGAATCAAGGATGTTCGGTTTCATTTCGATCGCCCCCATTCCAACCCTCGGGTTGGGATGGGACTGAGAATTGGGGAAGACGAACGGCTCATGCGCTGCCGTATCAACCCATCCTTCTTGTGTTCGTGGAGGAATGGGTTCGTTGGCGATCGCACATCTTTTTATCGGCATTGCTCCGTGTGTCTTATGAGAAGGTAGAAGGACGTGGCAGATGCAATACAATGAACAAAGTGTTTCTCGTGACGATGTAGTGTGGTATAAGGTGTGTCTGGTCGAAGAAGTGAGCGTCACTGTTTTGGAGACTGAGCAGCGCAGCGGGATGCTCACACGCCGCTGCGGCGACGAGAAGATCGTCGGACGCCTTCTGTCGCTTGAGATGACGGAATGTTCTCCACCTTGGCCTTCTTTGCTGCCGCCGGCTTGTCAGTGTTTGTACTGCGAGCTGCCTTCCTTGTTGCTTTGGGCTTCTCGTCCTCCTCTACATTGGCCACTGTTGCCCCTGTCTCGTTCTTCGCGCTCGTCTTAGAAGACGCCGCCGAGCTCGCCTTTGGATTCCATTTGCCAGGCCAATGCTCCCATCCACCCTTCTTACTGAGCAACACCACCGCCTCAAACGCCTCTTCCGTCACCGGCTGGACGCTCAACCTCCCCCTGTTCAGCAGCGCCATCCCTTTGATCGCATTCAGCTTGTCCTCGTCCAAAAACCCCACTTCGTTCCTCTGCTCCTTCGTCAGCACTCCATCCTTCGCCATCCCCGCCAACTTCTGCAACAACCCCAAAGGCACCAACCGCTCCCACTTTTCCACAAACTCCACGTCGACCAACCACCACTTCGGACTTTCCCTCTCACTCCGCGGATCGAAATACGGATGTTTGGGATCGAACGCGCTAGGATCCGGGTAGCTCTGCCGCGAGCTGATGCGGGCTAACCCCGCGATACCGGGTACCTTGGTGTTGGAGTGGTAGAACAGGACGTCGTCACCGAAGCGCATGCGCTCTTTCATAATCGTTTTGGCTTCCGGGTTGCGTACGCCGTCCCAGGCGGTAGTGTGGCAGGTGCGAAGATGGTCGATGGAAAAGGCCACGTCGATACCGCGTTCGAGCCGCGGGTCGGGTTCGGCTTTCATCAGCCAGTGGGCGATGCGTGGGGCGGGACCGGTTGAGGTGGATGGCGCAGACGGCGCGTCTGCTTTGCGCTTGGGCGGCATGGTGCGGATCGAGGCGCGGAACTGTGTGGCTGATCGAGCCGACACACAATGTAGCCGACGCAGCAGGGTGGATGCAGAACCGTGGCTGAAGGAGATGACTGATGACGGGGGCAGCCACGATGGGTGTTGAGCAGGTGGAAAGTCAAGAGGGCGACGTTGGTCCAAGCGGTGCCCAGAAGAAATGCCTCCACAAAAAGCTTATTTGGCACATGACACACACACTCGTACTCACATCCTTATCGTCCGACCATCTCCCCTCTCACCTAACCCATCTCTTCACCTGCACCATATAGACCCAGCCCCAGCACAGCCTCACGATGACCTACCGACAGGCATTCAGCTCCTTCTACGCGCGCAACTTCGACCGGCGACCATGGATCACTCTCGCAGTCACCAACGGCATTCTTGGCGTGGTGGCCGATGGCGCGGCGCAGACGCTCGAGCGCGTATCGCAGGCGCAGAAACGAGCCGAGTCGGCACATCGAGAGACAGCGGTGGCGGAGGTGAAGGAAGCAAAATGGGACTGGTCAAGGTCGGGCAGGTTCCTAGCGTTTAATGTCGGGATGGCACCGCTGTTGGCCGAGTGGAATCGGTTCTTGGAGTTCAGGTTCCCCTTGCGGGCAACTCCGGCAGCAGCAGGAGGGGCAGCAGCAGCGGGGGCGGCAGCATTGGGTAAGGTGAGCTTGAGAGCGTTGGGAAGCAGGGTCGCGATGGATCAGCTAGTCTTGTAAGTCACCAACCCCAACTGATAAAAAAGGAGAGGAGAAGCTAACATAGGTTGAGGATCAACAGCGCACCCATCGGCCTCGCACTCTTCACAGGCAGCATGGGCTACATGGAACGTGGCAGCATCGACGGCGTCAAGGCCAAGTTTCACGAGATGTACATCCCTGCCATGCTCGCCAATTGGCAACTGTGGCCGCTGGTGCAGCTCGTCAATTTTCGGTATATGCCTCTGAAGTAAGTTCCCTCCTCGAGTTGATCGGAGAAGGTGTTCAAAGACTGATAAAGATGGTTTGTGATGCAACAGGTACCGAGTGCCATTTGTTTCGACGGTGGGCATTCTGTGGACCATCGGCTTGTCTCTGCTGTCACAGTCGACACGGCCGAAGGAGACGCCCGCCATCATCAAGTCTTAAGGCACTGTATACACTCAGCATCACTGGCATTCAGGACAAACACGGAAGCATTCAATCACGTTCACAAAGCATCTGCACTCGTTCGCACCGCATCTGTCCACTTGAATTGTCCGTATTGGCACACGTTACATCATCTCATCCTCTCTCGCCCGGCTCGCATCCAAATCTTCGTCCATCGCACCACCTTCACTCATCCTCCTCCCACCCTCGTGCGCGTCACCACCGACCGAGCTGCCGCCACGACTCATCCTCCTCGACTCGATGCCACTCCCCAGCTCGAACCCTTGCACGCTCGGGGGCGCTCTCATACTCCCCAGCGTCTCGGTGCTGTCCACACTGCCCCTTCTCGAAGGCGAGCCGACTGCATATGGAATATCGGATCCTGTCGGGCTGAGGGGTGGAGTGCTCGTTCCCGTTGTAGCGGCGGTGCTGCCTGCGCGACTGACGTTGTCGAACGCAGTATTGCTACCGAGGCGGGCCGATAGGCCGGGTGCGAAGGCCAACGGCGTCGACCCACGCGCTGGCAGTGCGAAGGACGGGATCGTGGTGCCGCCCACACCAGCTTCGCCACCCATGAGCTCGCGCTCGCGCATGCGCTGGCGCTCGATGTACGCTGCTCGGAGGGCCACTTCCTGGTCGTCCGCCGTGCCGGTGCTGCCTGGACCACCGCCACCCGTGCCTGTGGAGGAGACACTGCCCGCTTCCGACGGCGCGACGGAGGCAACGTTGCGGCCGAGCATGCTGGGTCCTGGCCCTAGGCGCATTGCTGAGTTGAAAGCCTCCGATGGCGCATAGCCCGCTGAGAGGGGTGGAGAGGAGCCACGCGCCGAGGCCGAGTAGGCTGAGGACCCCGCGGTGGCCGAGGCGCTGCTGGCGGGAATACCGTGGTGATCAGATGCGCCGCTGCGAGACGTAGGTGGCTCGACAAATGGACTGACAGGCTCTGAAGGCTCCAAGATGCTCGCTTTGGGCGATGCTGGCGGTTGGACGGCGACGGAGAACACGGAGGCCTCGCCAGGACTGTGGGGCCGGAAGGCTGGTGTTCGCGGATCCAATTCGGGCGGCACACCTGGTACCGGCGCTCCTCCTTCGCCAAAAGCCCCCACGCTCGTGTGACCCGTCTCGAGGCTCTGTGCGCCTCCATCCGCGTCGGACGAGGTCTGCATGTCGGTATCGGCTGCGTGCGGATCGATGTGTCGCCCTGGCAGACGGATGCCCGGTGCTAGCTGATCCGCATTGGGGATGCGCTCCAGATTGTCGGCGGTTAAAGCTCGACCTCGTCTGTATTCGGCGACGGGATCGTAGGGCTGACCGGCATCGCCAGCGGGAATGAAACGGGCGGCGGATGAGGAACCTGCAGCTTCATCGATCTGGTTGAGCTGCGAAGGGCGCTGTTGGAGATGCGACGTCTTGTTGTACTTGCGTGCGGACGAGTCGTCCCGCATCGACTCGTCTTGCGCCATGACGCTGTCGGGCAGCGTGTCGGATGGTCGTTGCAAGGACATGATGCCCAGTGAGTGCGCTGTTCCTGCGTCCAGGTGATGCCTATGGTTTGGTTGCTACGCAACAGATGAAAGTCAGTGTGAGCTCGATGCACTGTTTCAAAGGATGCGATTGTCCAAGTGTGGCTCAGTGCCTGAAAGCTTGAGTTTGAGAGCGGTGAGGTTGAGGTTGAGGTTGAGGTTGAAGATGAGGGTGTGATAGGCGTCGCGTGAGAGGTAAATTAGGCGCTTTCCGCTCGCTCGCTTGGCACCGAGCGCAAAAAGATCAACTCAACAGCGCACGGTTCCGCTCAGCTGCCCAAAACCCTGGCGAAGCTGCTAGCATTTTCAGGGCCGCCCTACTGCGCTTCATGTCCTCTCTCGTTCCATACAGGCCATCGAACGGTCGTCAGAGATACCAGCGGCTATATCAAGATTTTGCCTGTGGAGACTATATGAAAGAAGCATCAAAGGCCGACCGAGAAGCGTCGTTGAAGGCTGTCGGCCGTGTGAACTCTTTTTCTCCACATCGGAACGAGACGCCCGAGATCCGAGCCAAAACCTGGAAATTTTTGGCAAGAAGGCAACCTTCTACAGTAGCTTCTCTCTGCTCTCGACGTACCACTACGAATCCAGCAGTCAAGCACTTTCACGATGCCCATCGACACAAAACGCAAGGCTGAGGACGACGAGCCGAGGCCGGAAGGCTCGGACTACGACAGCGATGGCTCCGAAGAACCCGACTTTATCAATGTCGACTTCGATTTCCGTGCACCGGAAGAGATCGACTTTCTCGCGCTCAAGCGACTTTTGCAACAGCTGTTCTACACGCACAACACCAAGTTGGATCTGTCGGCGTTAGCGGACCACATTGTCAAGACATCGACCACGCAGGGCGTGGGCACGACCATCAAGGTGGTCGACGACGAGGATCAGGACCCTTATGCGTTTGTGTCTACCATTCAGCTGTCGAGCGAGAAGAAGGCTGGGCTGGAGGCGGCCAACAGCCTGACAAAGTATCTGCTGGAGGTGTCGTCCAAGCCGTCGAGCAAGTCAGTGCACGATGTGATCAAGAGCGCCGCCTCGAGCACGTCGACCAACGCCCCCGTGATCGCCGTGCTGCACGAGCGGATGGTCAACATGCCACCCCAAGTCGCTCCGCCACTGTACAAGATGCTACTCGAAGAGCTGAAAGCCTCGCTGTCGTCGACATCTGCACCGCAACCATCGCACTACCTGTTCTTCTCGCGTGTCTTCTCCGCCGATGCCTTCTCGGATGACGAAGCGATGGACGAAGACGACGACGACGAGCCATCCGGTCTGGCAGGTGCGCGAAAGAGGAAAGCCAAGCTGGCGCGTCGGGAAGCCAAGAAGGCCGGTGCCAAGAAGGACGCTCCCAAGACTCGAGCCATTTCGGACGGGATGGGGTTGAGCGGAGCCGAGTCGTCAGGGGACGAACAGTTGGGTCTGTTCCATCCGGAAGACATCGCGATTTCCAAGGTTGCGAGCCACTCGCTTACGTATCGCTTCCCGCCGCCTGCCGATGCCTCGGATAGCTTTGAGGCGCCGCTGTTTGGAAGGGTCGCTCTGGTCCCGGCGGGGAAGATGGAGACTCTGCTGCAACAGATTGAGGCGGATCTGTCGATGCCCATGCCCCAGTAATCAGATCTATTGTTCTGTGAACGTCTCTTGTCTGTTGAAAGTTCTGCGTCGTGAAGCTTTGTGACGACCGACTATCGCCGTCAGTGGCAAAAGTCATCGACAAACACATCGAATAGGTGATGAGAATGATTCTAGGCCACTTGGAAAAAAGCAGCAGAAATTAAGGTCCAGAAAAGAGAGCACGCAGCCGATTTGGTACAGGTTGCTTGTCTGGGGCAGGTTTCAGCATCGAGCAGAAGGTCCAGCACCGCCCCAGCGAGATCATGCTGACCCGCGGGACAAGGTCATCGGGAAGACGGGGCCCATCCAATGCTTCGGTCATAGATGGAAAGCCGACGCCGGCTCCTGCGTCACAAAGAAGCTGTGTACCAAGCAGCGCAGACCAATAGCCGGTGAAGGCTATGCAATTCTGACATACGGACTCGCCCAGGAGGAGACGCTCTGATGCGCCTTAGGAGAATCCCTTTGAGGCCGAAGCGACTGCCAGCAAGACGAGATCTTGGGCGCATCAAGACGAGCTGCATGCTTAGCTCCTTTTGACAGCTTTCTTTACAAAAGCTCGCTCTTATCTTGAGCGGAAGCGGGGGTTGAAAACCGCGACGATTCAGTGCTTCTTTTCGGTGTCTGCAAAAGAATCCGCTCGGGACCCTGCTTGCCGATCTCCTGCTGCCGTCGGCACTCGGTGAGAGCCGTCGTGAATCTGACCATTCATCACAGCGCTCGCAGTTGTAGCTTTGAATCAGACGTTGGTATCCAAGCCGCTACACACTGTCGAACTTCAGCTCACCTGAATCAATCGAACGAGATACTGGCTTTTTGACCTTCGGAATTGCCATAGGAAGGTCGGTCATCGCGTCTGTGAGTGCATAAGCGAGATGGCTTTCTCTCGGGCGCGAGACCGTCGGCTGATCTCCTTCCGACAGATTCATGCGCGCCTGTCTGAGTGTTGGTCTCTGTCACGTCACGCTTTGTTGGCGAAGATGCTTCTCGCTGATCATCAGTCTTGGCACCCTACCTCAATCTCGTCGGGTGCTAAGCGAAGTCACAATCAGAGTTATTGCCAGCACACGCATACAATCGACTTATTCTTGGTAGCCCTGTGTCGGCTCCTCCGCAATGTTGCGACTCCAAAGATACGACGTGCATCGGAAGAGACCGATGCGACTCCGTTGCTTCTTCAACGCCGAGGTAAGGTCGGCTGACAGAGTCATATCGACGCGAACTGTGGCAATGGCGGTGGATCCGACTGTCGCGTTCACACGGCCCCCCGATGAAGCCGAAGCAGATTGGGTCATTCGTTCCCACGCTCTCGTCGATCCACCAGCCTTGGTCGATTGACTCGTGGATTGCGCCATTGCATTGCTTTGCTTTGCCACGCAACCGTATCCTCTACCAAAGGATCGACGCTCATCAGCTCATTGTCGGCGCTCAACGAGAGGCGGTGGTATATGCACTTGTTCTCACGCGGTCGTGCTTAGGGAGGCGGCAACGGTATCGCCCACACTTGCTCACGCGTCCGTGGCAAAGGGTGAATTGGGTCCCACTCGTCATGAAATGACAGCCTACAGTAGTGCGCTTTCGGACCCTCGGGTCGCCACTCGTCTGCCACTTTAGCGCATGCACGCACCCGACTCATCCCAACTCCGCCCCTCCATCTTCCACCGAGAACACTCGCTTGGCATCGGAAGCCCTCGTTCCATATCGACCTTGCGCCATGTGGCCGTCCTTCATCCATCTGTCAACTCGCCACCCGCATTGTTGCATAGGCGTGCTCAGTGGGACAGCAAGTACAGCCTGTGCAGCCCAGCCTCGAAGGTGCAACCCCACACCAGACCCAGCGCGCATACAGCCGCGGTTGAGCTCGTCTCCCCTTGGCTCCTATCTCCAGCCGTCGCCGAGTTAGCTTCTCTACACGAGAGCGGTCCTCTCACTGGACTAGCCGCGCCCACTCAACGCTCGCACCCAGACCTTCCTCGCTGATAACCGGTTGAGTTATAAATATGCTCCCCTCCGAGCATCACCGTTCCGTCCTGTTTCGTCCCCTCATCCCGTTCGCGGTCGCTTCAAGTTCCCCCTTCCCTCCTCCACTCCCCTTCCCCCTCTTCCTTCCTCGCTGAGGCAAGACACGCCCCCAGTCGTGGTCTGCAATCGCTCTAGCTCTTTCTCACTTACGCTCCTTACCACATCTTCCTGGTAGAAGATTCGCTAGAACCACGGACCCTTCTCTAGAACCATGAAGTTCCTCTCTCTCGCTGCGGCCGCCGCCAGCGCCGGTCTGCTCCTTCTCGGCACCGCCGTTGAAGCCGCCAACAGCCCCGCCAGCGTTGCCGGTCCCAAACCCATTACCGGTCCTGCCGTCCCTCCCAACGCACCCGCCACCGTCAAGAACAGCAAGTCCAAGGTGGCCCAGCTGGAAAAGTACCAGTACCTCCCCCGCGGCTACATCGTCGAGCTCGAATCCTCTTCGGACCAGTCTGGCAAGCGCGACAACCCGCACGCCGACCTTCACGATCATCTCTCCAAGCGTGCTGGTCCTTACAAGACACGCTACGAGTACAATGACCCCAAGACCTTTGTCGGCATGTCGGTCGTCCTCGACAGCGAGCAGGACTATCATTCGCTCGTCTCTGCTCCCGGTGTCAAGGCCGTCTACCGCACCAGACTCCACTCCATCCCCGCTTTCGAGGCGGTCACCGTCTCGGAAGACTTTGTCAAGGCTGCTACCGGCAGGGACGGTGCCTCTGCTGCCAATGCTTCCCGCAAGAGGCGTCGCGACCAGCCCAAGAACGCCGAGCAGGGCTACACCGACACCTTCTCTCCTCACGTCATGACCGGTGTCGACAAGGTCCACGCACAGGGCTACCTCGGCAAGGGCCAGGTCGTTGGTATCATCGACACGGGTGTCGACTACACCCACCCTGGTCTCGGCGGCAAGCCGGGCAACAAGCCTTGCTTCGGCGCCGGCTGTCTCGTCTCGGGCGGCTACGACTTTGTCGGTGACGCCTACAATGGAACCAACACGCCTGTCGCCGACGATGATCCCTTCGACTGCGGTGGACACGGAACGCACGTCGCCGGTATCGTTGCTGCCAACGACACTGCGCTCGGCTTCACCGGTGTTGCACCTCATGCTAACATTCACGCCTACCGTGTTTTCGGCTGCTCAGGAAGCAGTGCGGACGACATTATCATCGCAGCTCTGCAGAGGGCCTTCTTCGACGGCTGCGACGTAATCAGTCTTTCGCTCGGCGGTCCTGGTGGCTGGAGCGAGGCTGCTTCGTCTGCTGTGGCCGGTCGAATCGCTGCCCTTGGTACGCCCCTCGCCATTGCCCAGGGCAACGACGGTGCTTATGGAATGGCCTACTCCTCGTCGCCTGCTACTGGTGATCTCGTCATGAGTGTCGGCTCGGTTCAGAACGTCGATCTCACCGGTATCAGCGTCAAGATTGTTCCCGACACGCTCAGCCGCAAGAACGTCACCCTGCTCAAAGGTTCGCCCTTCACATTCGCTGATGGCCAGTCCAAGGTCCTCGAAGTCTACCCGACCTCGAACAGCCTCACGGTCACCGACGACGCCTGCTCTCCTCTGCCCGACTCGACACCTGATCTCTCCAACAAGGTCGTCCTCGTCGGTCGCGGTACCTGCCTTTTCGCCACCAAATTTGCCAACATCAACGCCAAGGGCGGCAAGTACGTCATTGTCTACAACTCGATGGCGTCCATCACGTACGTCGAGTCGAGCGTTCCCGGTCAGCAGGCTGGCTCCATGACGCGTGACGACGGTCTGTACCTCAAGCAGCAGATCAACAACGGCGTCAAGCTCTCGCTCGATTTCTCCACGAGCAGGATCTCGACCATCCCGGACACCGCTACGGGTGGCCTTATGAGCTCCTTCTCCACCTACGGCCCCACCTACGAGAACCGCCTCGACAACCCGACTGTCTCTGCGCCCGGTGGCAACATTCTCAGCACGTGGCCTCTGGCGAAGGGAGCCTACACGATCATCTCGGGCACCTCGATGGCGACGCCCTTCATGTCTGGCTCGATCGCTGTGTTCCAGTCCGCCCGAGGCAAGACGGACCCGGCGACGCTGCTCAGCATCTTTTCCGGCGCCGCTACCCCGCTCAGCAACACCACCAATGGAACGATTTTTGAGACCGTCGCCAAGCAGGGTACGGGACTGGTGGATGTGGAAAAGGCCTTGTTCCAGCAGATCGTGCTCAGCCCGTCGACGATCGAGCTCAACGACACGGCGCACTTTAACGGCACCCAGACGATCACTGTCAAGAACCTGGGCGGTAAGCCGCTCACCTACTCGCTGAGCCACATCCCCGTGGGGACGGTGCAGTCGCAGGAGGACGACTCGATTTTCTTCATCAACGGCCCCGTGCCGCTCAATGCGCAGTACGCCACCGTTGCGCTCAACAAGAAGTCTCTCACTGTCCCCGCCAAGGGCAGCAGCACGTTCACCGTCACCGTCACCCCTCCCTCGGGGCTCAACAGTGAAAAGCTTCCCTTTTACTCTGGATACGTCCATCTGGAGCCCACCTCCACCGGCTATTCTGCTGCCAACATCGCCTACGGCGGCTACGCTGCTGACACGTCCAAGACTCAGATCCTGGACAACACGAGCGACCTCTTTGGCGTCGGCTTGCCCGTCCTTGCCAGCGCAGATGGAAACACCTACATCGAGGGCGACAACACGAGCTACAGCCTCAGCAACGTCGCTGCCTGGCCGCAGTTTGTCTACCGTCTCAACTACGGTACGCCGTACCTGCAGATCGACATTGTCAATGCGACGACGGACTTCACTCCGACGTACAACGTCGATGGAAGCTTCAATGGGAAGAGTAAGCGGGCAGCGGTGATGGGTCACAAGCGGTTTGTGCACCATCGACGACAGAATGCGGGGCAGAAGAAGCCTTCGCCCGTGCCTGGACCTGGCGGACCTAGTGGACCCAAGGATGGACCTGGTGGTCCTAAGAAGGGTCCTGGTGGTCCTGGGGGTCCTGGAGGCCCTGGAGGCCCTGGTGGACCCAAGGACGGTCCTGGCAAGCCCAACCCCAAACCCAAACCCGGTCCCTCCCCTTCGCCTGCAGGACCGCAGTTCTCGGACGTCAAAACCGTCGGCATGCTCGGCAACGCCTACTGGTCCGGCCGCAACTCGGCCACCGGCGCCCTGGCGGACAACAGCTACAACGTCCAACTCGTCCAGCCCTCGCTGACGCTGCCCCAGAACGGAAGCACCACGCTCACGCCGGGTACCTACAAGGTGCTCCTGCGCGCACAGCGCGTGCTCACCGATCGAAACGCCGAGAGCAGCTACGAGAGCTACTTGTCGCACGCTTTCACCGTCACTGCATAGAAGGATGTAGAGCTAGATTGCGGTGGAAGCAAACTGTACACTTTCTTCAAGGCCTGAGCTGTGTGATTGAGTGTTGGTCGTGAATGAGTAAGTCGAAGGCTTTTGCGGAATAGGGGCCGACGTTGGCCGACTGTTTGGGGGCTGCTTGACGCACCAGCATGAGCGCACTTCCAGGCGCTCGTCGTGTCCCACGCAGCCTAAGCGAATGTCAACGTTGTGCGGGGTCAGCGACGAAGCCCACGTTGGGGGTCCTCCTGCAGGCGAACGTCGTCCTAACAGTGGCGGCTGTTCGGAACGCGGAGGAGCAACGTGTGGAAGCAACCTTCCAAAGGCGGAGTTTGTGGGTTGCGGCTCTTACCGCTCGTGCAGGGGAGGAAGGAAAACGTTGACGTGCCCGCATGATCCGCACAAGCGCTCTTCCAGCCTTAGGCGACGCTCAGTGCTCAAGAACGTGCACCCTGCAATGGAGTGAATTTGGAATCAACTCGCTTCGAGAAGCTCACCTTTGTTCTGGAAGGCAAGCAGCCGCACCGCAGGCAGCAGCGCGCCGCCCACGGCCATCTCCGTAGCTAGCTACCAGCCTCGGTTAGCAATCTTCCAAATTTCTCGCCTGGCTGCATGAGAGTGACAAGCGAGATTGCGGACGGAGACTGAATCCTAAGCCTGTCAGGTTCGGCGGGTGGCCTTCCGAGCGTAGCGAGACCCTGGTCGAGCACAGGAACGTGCGTCCTGCTGCGATTGCCACCATCTCTTGCTTTCAGAGCGTGTAGCCGAGTATGACCCTGTCTAGCAGGTGAGTAGGGTGCGCTGTCTGCTCCTTGAGACATCCTTCTTTAAGCAGGCCCATCCGCATATAAGCTCGACCC